TTTGAAGGTGAACTAGCTTGGTTTTATTGTCACACTGCTATAGCAAAAAAAGAAGTAAGTGTTTACATCTGAAGATGAGCTGGCAGGGCCAAGCAAAAATGAGGGGAAGAGAAGGAGGAGGATCAGCTGCTGCTTACTACTAAATCAAATATGAAACTTGGAAATGATATATAGGCTACTATCTCACAAAGGCACTTCAAGTTCCATGCCAACCACCCTAACCATTCCACCCATCATGGTAGACTGATGCCTGAAAATGAAGCATTTGTTCCCAACTTTATAGGTGGGTCTCTTCCCTGAAAAGATTATGGCAGCCTTGAGCAGTATATACTATACTCTTTGTGCAGAAATGTTTCAATTAAGGTTTGAATTATTAAACCTCATTAATCGTTTCTGCCAGTAATGGCCCACTCCTACCAAGTACTTATAAGAGGGACGATGCAGCATAGCGCTCCCCATCTTTCGACCTCTTGTCTAGCTACGTCCCTCTGGCCTAGTGCCCATACATCTCTCTTGCTTGCCTTCTACCTCGCTCGCTCGCCAGTCCACTCGATAGTGCACCGTGCTTACTCGTGTCAGCATCAAGAGACGTCCCACGGACATAACCACTCGGCGTCTAGGCCTCGTTCCCAATGGAACTCGGACTTCGACATAACACTGCCTCATGCCTCTGTAGACCAAGCAGGCAGCCCAACCCGAGACCGAGCACACCTGAGGGAGATGTGGCCCAGGTGTCCTCATGCTTAGAAATGTGTGCCAAACGTAGATAGAACATACCTAGATGATCTAGAGCATGTGCACTGTTTGATACCGTGTGGTCTGACTTAAACTGGAGACGAACTTCAGCAGCAGCCTAGTCCACTTCAAGGGCTTTGTTTGAGGATGCCGTTGGTCTGGGGAAGAACACAAAACAGTCATGGGAGGGTGCACATCATCTGGTCGGGTGGCAGGGGAAGGGATGGCATCGGATAACCACCTGGTAGTAGTAGACCAAAAGAGGGGTGAGGTGGTCGAGCACAGCGTGAAAGGTTATTGGGGGCTTCTAGCCAGAGAAGGAGAGGACAACATAGACGAAAAGACATCTGTCCGCGGGTGGGAGTGCACACAGGCGACCGCTTTGCTCGGCTGCAGACATACGTAAGGTTCAACTTTGAAGCTCAGGCTTCAGTGCCCATGAGAGTGCCCGAACTCTTGCACTCGCCCCACGTCCAGCCCTCTTGCCCGCATCCCTGACCTCCCCCTGCCCTCGTCCATCCTTCTAGGTGAGCCCCATCAGAAACATGAGACAATAATCTCACCATTTGTAGTTTAGCATTACAGCCATGCTGCTTGCACACACATCAGCAGGCCCACAGATCATTATCTGCCAGCATCTAGGGACACAACTAGCTATACCAGCAAACAACAGCTGATAGCCAACCCCTGGCACATGCAACCATGGGGTGACACCCTTGCCCAATGAGAGGGATGTCATTGTGATGTGTGACAGCTCACTCCAGCGCACCTCACATCTCTCATGGACACAGGTAAGTAGTGCCCCATTATTTCCCCTGCACTATTCAACCCACCCCCTATCACAACTATGTCCAATGACGCACCCTCCACTGTGCTTGCCCCTGTCTGGGATAACACAGCTGTCCCCTCCCCTGCCATGTCCAATGCCACGTCCACAGCTGCTACCACTGCACCCACCACTGTGCTCAACCTCACACTCGCATCGAACAACGCTGCATCCAGGGCGCCCAACACCTCCGATGCCACGCCTGTGTCCGCACCCAACCCTGTGGCATCCATGGCTGCTGCTGAGGGCACGCACACACCCCAGTCTGGTGCACCCACGTCTCCACCCAACCCCACATCCACATGGACTCGGTGGTCACTGACACGGGATGCTGCGATCAATGCCCCTGGGGCCAGGCTCTTGGAGGCTCAATGGTGCGACCGCGTCGATGTGTCCTTCACTGAGCATGCTGGTAAGGCCGCACATAGCATGCAGAGACGTGCAACCACCAAGCGTTGCACGCACGTTGCACACCGGGTTATCGCAGACATGGAGGGGTGGAGAGTCTGATGACTCTCTGCCAGGCCTGTATATGCCATCCAACTCGGATGATGACTTGGACTTTTAACTAGTTACTACAGATGTCTTTTTTTGTAACAAAGTCAATAGTACCAGTTCTTTGAAAGGCCTACTATGCGTGATTTTGGTTGACAGATCTGTGGATGAACGTGCAGATCACCCACTTTTGGCCGACCTCTGATCTAGAGCTGCCGGGAGCCAGACCTGCATAAGCTGGACCTGCACGGCCCGTGGTCTGCAGCTCAATTTTGCGGCTCATCGCAGCTCTACCCGTGAAGTGAGCTAGATTCTCAAGCAGCCTTACTCATGTGCTACCTGCTCTCGCTCATGTTCCAGTTCACATGCAATCGTAGCTGGGCTTCGGTAGGGCAGTTGTTCAATAAATATATTTCTACTGATTACCCCATTGACGTCCAGCAGTGCGCTGGTTGCGTTTCCAAGAACACAGTTCATACGTGACATGCCGTTATGAATTTTGGTGTCAAGACCACGGTGGAACACATCCAATTGCACCAAAATTGACACCTACCTGTATACCAGATATTAATAGCTGGCCTGACCAGCCACGATATGAGGCTATTAATAGCTAGACAGTACCTGACGTGAGTTATTACAACCCTAGGGATGTTCTGTCATTACAAACGGGACCTATTACAAGCCTGGGGGGCTGTTGTCATTAAGATATTAACTTATTACAGCCCTGGGAAGGTTATGTGATTAGAAACGAGGCCTATTACAAGCCTGGGAGGCTGCTGTCATTGGAATATTGACTTATTACAGCCCTGGGAACACTTTTTCATTAAGATATGAGCTTATTACAAGCCTTGGGACTATTTGTCATTAGGAACAAGGCTTATTACAACTCTGGGAACACTTTTTTATTAGAAACGGGGCTTATCACCAGCCTGGGGAGGTGCTGTCATTAGAAACGGGGCTAATTACAAGCCTGGGCAGGTGCTATCATTAGAATATTGACTTATTACAAGCCTGGAAGCACTTCTTTCATTATAAACAAGGCTTATTACAAACCTGGGGGGCTGCTGTCATTACAATTTGCACTAATTACAAGCCTGGAAAGGTCCTGTCATTAGACTTATGCCTTATTACAACACCTGGTCAGGTTATATTACAATGAAAACATGGTGGGGGTTAACAAAACGAGTTTTTTGTATTACAATTGAGGTAATCACAGGTGCGAAATGGTCTTGTTGGGGCAACCTGTGACTCATAGTATTCAGTAGACCTTATGTAGAGGTAGCAGGGAGTCAAAAAATATGTAAAATGACAATATATGATCGCACCGGTGACAGATTCATCCAAACCTTCAATTGAGGTAACAAATACAGCGGTAGTACGGGTCGAGGTAAGCTGGCGTCCATGGGACGCACGTAGAGTACATAAGTGTCCGTATGGTCTCAGATCGCCTGATCTGATCGCTGAAGTCAAGACACCCGAGCCCTGCTCGCAGCATGGCTGAAATTCAACAGGTACGCCAAAATTCGGCACCGAAATCTGACACGTGTGCGCCCTGCGCACCCGTACCTTAACACACCAGCTTCAGTTCCAGGTGCGGTGGAAGGAATATGGAGAGGGGGACAACTTGTAGGAACCAGTGGCAAATGTTGCCAATGCCCCAGAGAAGGTTGCAGAGTTCTACAAGCGCAATCCCAACACACCTCACAAGATATCTGTGTCACAATTAGAGACTCTAGTATGCTGCCCCCCATTTAATTTTCTCAGATAACCCCACTCTTCCTATATGCACACCTCTAAATACTTACCTATCACGCTCTGACTCCGATGTACTCATTGCTACTCACCATGTCTCGTCATGACTCCCCTACAATCCCAAGTCACGCTGCCTCATTGTAACTCGACCTGCATCATACGGACTGGTCCCTGTATATAAGGGCGACGCCCCAGAGCGCTACCTCCCCAGACTTGAATCTCCTCTGTACTACTCCGTCTACCTGACTACGCGCAATCTTACTCTTTGTCGCTCGCACACTCACTCGATAGCACGCAAGCGCTCTGAGCATCACCACCGTAACCACAAGGTGCATAGGTCATATTCCAGCTAGAATAAGCCCTCAGACGTAACAATCTGCGACTCTATTCACTGCTCTGCCATAGAGGAGGGTTGAGCACCCTGAGCATGCAGAAATGGAGAAGGAAGACTGGCAGGAGAGGAGGATCATGTCCATCCAGGATGGATGGGTTTTAGGAGGGGGGTAAAATGTCGTGGAACGGACTCTGGACTCACTCTATGTATTATTTTTCGCCTTTTCTCTGCCTTTTCTCTGCCTTTTTACTATATTGGAAGGTTGTTCCCACGCTTAAGTGCCCGTATCACACCCTCACTTAGCACTTGCACTTCATGTCCATCTCGGCCTCTTGGTCTTTGTGGGCTAGGTGAGTATCTTGATTGCCTGTATGTATGTAGAGCTATGTTAACTTGGTCTTTGTGGAAGTCAACAATGACCTTAGTGTAGCTATGTGTGAATCTCCCAGTTGCCAGTGGGTGCCATTGGTGTTCAAAAAGAGTGTAAGAGGGACACTTAAGACAGAACAGAAACAGTGTCTGTATTGTGTGGTCAGGCAAGGGGAAATGGAGAAAACCAGGCAATATGGGTTGTGGAGGTATATGAGGGTGTACATAAGCATGGGAAAGTAGTATGTAAGCTATGTTGTAAGCACCAGGCTTACACCCACACAGTTCAGGGCTCAATGTATGCACAATGTGCATTTATACATGATGAACTTGTGCATTATGAGCTTATCATCTGTATGCATAAATGCTGCACCCTCAGGGCACCTAATGTGCACCCAAGGGTGTGTTCCCAACACATACTATGTTGTATCCCACAAAGGCTGTTAGGGATACAAAGCAGATGAATAACAGTACCATTACATACAACTATTAACCCATGAGTTGAGTAACATCTTCAGGTGGGTACTTGGTTTGTGCAAAGGTGAGTATTCTGCATTCACAGAATGTGAGAGGGAGAATGGAACAGTCAAAAAGAGCATACCTCTTCAAACTCTGTATGTACTTTCGACTGACTTCATCATTTAGCACATGTGCAACCTGATCCGCAGAGATCTTCTCTCGAGCAGAACGCTCGTGGATTCTGAGGGTATATCAACAAATCTCCTTGTCGTGAAGCTGAGCGCGTGACTTACCCAACCATGGTCACCCCAATCGGCCAAGGCGCGTTGCCGATGGACAGCCGTAGATATGAATCGTTCGCTCTCTGATACTGTCTCTTCTGCATGTAATGCACAATCTCAGCGATTCGAGCGAGCACATCTGCCGGAAGATTCTGTCGGAAGATCAGTATCAGCACCGCAAGATTAGGCAGACCGTACGCACTCGTGCACGGAGAAGCTTGAAAAGGGGCTTCAAATACTCAGCAGACTGCCGTTGCGTAGCAGCCGCAAGCTTGCCCTGCGTCGTCCGCTTGACGTGCTCTACGAATGGTTATTATCGCTCGACTGTCACGACAGTGGCCAGGACTCACCAGGACGGTCGTCCATCCACTGCTCCCACTCCTTCAGCGCACGCTTGAGGGCATAGTAAATCATCGGATACAGCTTGTCCGGGTCGGTCTTGACGAGCTGCAGGTCGAGCGTCTCACTGCCTAGTGCGGACTCGCCGTCTCTCTTCTTTCCCTTCTCCCTGCCCGCTTCCTCCTGCCGCTGCCGGTCCGTCTTCTGGCGTTCGACGTTCTCGACGTCCTCGAGAGCCCTCTTGAAGTCGTTCTGTCCGCCGTGCCGTTCGTGATCCTTCTCCTCAATGAGCTCGAGGGCGCGGAGTCGGAGTCGCCGGTCCTTGTCAGACTCTCCAAAGAGCCGTACAGGCTGGCCTTTCGCGCGCAGCCGGCGCACGGTCTCCTCGTTGGATATGTTGAAAGACAGCGAAACGGGAGTATCTGAGCCGTGTTCACCTGGACGCGGGGAGCCCGAGGCGCGATCCTGGGGGACCTGGTGGCGGATGTTCACCTCATCGTGGTCCACTACACAGAGAAGGGTACGTGCCTTGGACTGTTCTCGCCTACGCGCCTCGCATACCTGTTCATCTCGCTCACGCTCCTCCTTGCGCTGTCGTTCCTTCTCTTCCCGCTCCTTCCGCTCCTGATCCTCCTTGAGACGTTCGAGGTCGCCTCGCCGCATGTATTTGGTCGGGCGGACATTGTCGTTGGTTGGGAGGTCGAAAGCCTTGCGTTTGACGGCGATCTCCGCCTTGAGTGCGTCCATGATGGTCTTTGCAGTCGGAGTGGAACGGGAACGGGCGGTAGGAGGGGTGGGGAGAGGAGAGCCTGGGCAGGCGATGGACGCGCCGGGACTCGGTCGGGATGGCGCGGGCGTCTGTGCGGGCGGCTGAGCTGGCGCGCTGCCGCATTCCGACTCTTTCCTCTCCCCCATCCTCCCTTCGCCCTTCCGCCCGCCGCCGCCATGTCCGAGCTCCAGAGGTCCGTCGCGTCTCCGTCTCGCGTTTCCCTTCGCTCCTCTTGCCCGGCCGTATTCTCATCACGCGCCCCCCCCTCCGTAGCAAATACGTCCTCCAGACCGCTGGCTTCGACGGTGAGCCCTCCTCGCGTCTCCCGCCCTGCACCCGCGACTCACGAGCGTGTCCCAAGCCCGGTTCCCCAACCAAAACCAGACGAGGCACTGGTCCGTCTCTCTGCTGTTCGCTCTCTCGCCGCTGTCCCCTCACGCCTCCTTCCGGGTCCACCCGCCCGTGCCTCGCCCCGCCCATGCAGCTTCCAGAACTACACGGACTACTTCAAGTGCATCGCTGCCAAGGGCGAGGACTACGCCCCCTGCAAGCAGTTCAAGCGTGCCTACCACTCTCTCTGCCCCAGTCAGTCACATCTCGCCTCTCCCTGCGCTTCTCCTCACTCATCCTCCGCCTCGCTCTCGCTTCAACTTCTGACGTGTCTGCAGACGAATGGGTACGTACTTGTTCCCTCACTCTGCATGGTCGGCTGCGTGTCTGACGCGACGTACTTCAGACCAACAAGTGGGATGAGCAGCGCGAGAGCGGCACCTTCCCCGCGTCGCTGGAGCCCTGAGTCCTAGACGCACTTATACTGCGAGGTTGACCCCCGTAATCCCATGCGAGTCGACTAGAGGACCCTTTCGTCCGCGAAAGTTGTTCTATCATAAGATAAGAATTATACTGCGTAGCCCACAGTCCGTCGTGAGCGTGCTAGCGCGAGATAAGTATGGTATGTGGGGGCCGGCTCGGTCTGCGTCGGGGCATCGGTAAACTAGCAACAGGTATAATGATAGTACATGTCCGTCCCGAGTGCGGAAAGGTATATCTGCAAGTGAATGGCGAAATGAGTGGAAAAGCAAACCAGTCTAGATGTAAACTGCGTAGGACCCAATCACCGGTCGGTGGTCGCTCCGTCCCTCCAGCTTGCGCATTCCCTGGTCGTCTAGCGTGTCGTATTTCAGGCAAACAACGTCTCCGCGGCGATGTACCGGTGCCTGTAAGCTGGGTGTCGCCTGGTCTGAAGGTTGCCCCATCGTCTGGTGGCCGTCCCGGTACAGGAACGGCAGAAGCCACTTGAAGACTGGGGCGGAGGGGGATGAAATGGTGTGGGGTGGCGACCTCATATCAACCGGGCTGTCAGGAGCTATGGGGGAAACGAGCGTGGGGGATGTATCGCTGACAGGCATGACTGGGGAGATGGTGTTGGCATGGCGGAAAGGCACCCGCCCGTTGGCAGCAGGGTCCAGCGATTTGATTCGCGCCAACGAGCGTTCCTCAGACGAGGATGACGAACGTTGGAAGGAGTCCACCGACCTGACCTGGGGCAGTCGTTTCCCATGCGGCTTCGTAGGGAATGGGAGCAGAGAAGGATCGCTCAGAGGCGAACCCTGCTGCTGAACTGGAGTGGAAGTGCTCGCCGACAGCGGATGGGGCATTCGTTCACCCGTGATGGATGTCGGTGGCAACTCGGGATGGTGCAGGGACCACGTGGAATCTCTTCGCGAACGGAGAGACGACGGCTTGAGGGCGTGGAATATCTGACCCATCTTCGCGCGGAGCGGCACGAATCGCTGGGATTCGGTGTCGGGCTCGACCACGATGGTTGTCTTCCACAGTATCCGATCGCACCTGTAGCGAACTCAGTATAAGCTGGACAAGAGCCGTGGCCACACTTACCAGCTAGGTACCCTCTGTTTATGAGACGAGTCATACACACCCCTGTCCTCTTCCTCCAAGTCCACGTTGTTCTCGCTGAGAGCCAAATGCTTGTGTGGTCGCGAGTGGACGGCATCCAACAACGCGTGCTGCAGCTCCTTTGCTCTGCCAGATCTAGACTTGCGATAGTCCAACGAGTCTATAGGAGTTTCGGGTGGCTTGACATCCAAACCCTGCTGACTGGCGCGTCGAGAAGGAGTGGGGACTGCGGTCTTCGCGGCGGACCAGCTCTGGCGCCATTTTGCTCTTTTACTCTTGGAGCGGGCGGGAGTAGGTTCAGACTGGCTGGCAAGGAGCACGTTCATCCACTTCTCCTTTGCTTTGTTAGCGGCGGTCGCAGAGAACATCTTCTGAACCAGATTTGACGTGCTTGCGCTCGCGGGAGGGGAGGGAGGTGAACGCGGCTCGCAATCATCTGGCTCTTCGTCTGCGTCAGGATCGACCGTTCGGCGAGAACGCACCGACATCCATGCGGATGAGATGACGGAGGCTCCATCGGGTTGAGGCTCATCGTCGTCATGTTGTGAGAGACCGTCTTGCTCAACAACGGTGGTTGCTGTGTCCGGATCGTGTTCAGCGACCTCGGTGAGCATCTTCTCATGCGACGGAGTAACGATCATCGGAGTTGCGGGTAGCCGCTTGAACGACTTCTGTCGTGATCGCTTCAGGGTGCGCAGGACATCGTACTTGAAAGTCGGAGGGAAGTTGATCGGGGCCTCGTTGAAACCTGCGAAGGCCGTCCCATATGCCATGACTTTGCGAAGCTGATCAAATTCCAACGCCTGTTCATACTCTACGGCATAACGATCAATGACACAAACGATGTATTGGTGGCAGGCGTGCCTTACCTTTCCGTGATATAAGCCAATCTGCGTGGAGGCGAGTGATATCCAATCTAAAGTTCAGGTCCCCGAATATGAACGTTGTGTCGAAGCGATCTGTGACGTCTGGGATTGCGATTAGACAAGGTGGCTTCTCTGATCGTGATGCTAACCTTCGGCCATGAAGCGAGGGTCGTCAGGCGAAAGAAAGTCGTTGACGGACAGCTCGGCCTACGGCTCACTGAGCACGTGCAACAATGGAGATGAGGCTTCGACGTACCTTGATCTTCGCAAGGTCAGCCAGACGGTTATGGACTTTGCCTTCGTGGGCTAGACCGATGTCAAGAGGTATCGGAGGGAATCTCGAAGTTCAGTCACTTACCTGCCAGATGAGCATTCACGAATAGGAAAGTGGAGCCGTCCAAATTCACGCTGACTCCCACACCTCCTTTGTTCCCTACTCGACCACCAATTAGGCCTGTGGTCACTGCGGATCTTGATGTACCTGTGCGCGGGATGGATAAGAAGCGGCTGAGCAGTCTACACGAAACGCACCTCGAACCAATGGGCGGGCATCGCGGTGGATGAACACAGCAAGGTAGAGACCCATCATCCTCTCCTTGATTAATAGCTCGTATGGGGAAGTGGGCAGGGCATCGTTGATGGGCTGGTGTGGCGCGTCGGGAGAGGGAGCACATTGACAATACCAACTCTCGAGTATCGTTGACCAGCTGCTCGGCGGATGGTGGTGGTCGTGAGGCTTCTCGACCGTCGGGGAAGGAATATCTGCCTCTGCACTCTTTCGAACGACGATCTCGTCGGGGTCGGGGGGGAGGAGTGAGTGCTTGGAGCGCGAGTTCTCCTTGTTATTCAGCTTGAAACCAGCACCAAATGCCATCGGTATGCCTGAAGCAATTTCAGTACGTACGAGCGACTGAAAGCATTATCCACTGACCTGACGCGGACGGACATTCTTGACCGGCTCTGTGGAAGGACGTGAGGAGAAGCGTATGAAAGACGGCGAAGCACTCACACAATCACCAAATGAGATGGATGGTCCGGGGTGGGCGGAAAAGTGGGAAGGATTGGAGGGCCGTCACGAGGAAGGGTGGGACTGATAGGTTGAACAGTGCCCAAGAGCTCGTCTAGATCGCCCTGTGAGAGACGTGAGGGTGAGATGGAGACAAGGAGTCGGAGTGGCATACCTTCGGGAGGGAGTCATGCATGTTCCAGGTGACGACACGAAGCTTGATGAACTTTGGGGGCGGTCTGGGTGGAAGAGGAGGAGGAGCGGGGGTTGGCTCCGCCGGGGAGGTAGAAGTGGACTGGCCGTGGGGAGAGGGAAAGAGAGCGTGAAGGCGGGCCAGGACATTTGTGTGCGCTGGGAGGGAGGGTGAGCAAGGTAGTGGGATGCGAGACGATGGAGGGAGACGAACCAGGGCGGGGATTACGGGGAATGTCTCTTGAAGGATCAGCAGGAGGAGAGAGTGCCGGAATATCAATGGGCGGCGGAGAGTCGATGGGCGGAAGGACGGGACGGGGAGCGGAGGTGGCCATGGGTGGACATAAGACGCGAGGACGTCGAGTAGAAACAGGCGACGGCAGCGAGGGACTTGGTGGGGCAAGTGCGGACCGCCTGCCACAGGCTGCGCGGCGAGCGGGCGCGAGGAGGAGGAGGCCGAGGAGGGTTGAGGCGACGGGGCCGACAGAGGACGAGCGGGAGACAGACCGGAGACGCCGGCCCCCGGGCCTCTCCAGCCGCCACCCTCCGACTCGAGCCACACGACGCAGGCACGTCCGCGCTTTCTGTCGCATTTGTGTTACGCTCTCGCCGCACGCCCAGCATGAAAGACTGTTTTTACATTCGCTATCCGACATGCCAACAATTCTACGATGCCCACAATACGCTCAGCCGGCCCCACAACGCTCACGCCGATTTCTCATTCGATTTTGAGCCGTCCGCCTCCCTCGAGCCGTCCACTTCTCCAGCTGCCCGCGCGGACACGGCCGCGCCACCGTCAGACCGCGGCTCCTCATCCGCGTCCTCGAACTGGTCCGCCCTCGCGTCGAAGGGGTCGTAGATGATGCTCTCGAGATGCGCGAGCGCCGCCTAGAAGCGGAAAAGGGGAGGGAGGAGGTCGGCGAAGCAGCACGGCTAGTAGGGGTTGAAGCGAGAGTCATTGACGAAATCGCTGCGCACTTTGCCAACCTCGCTGAGTTCCTGATCGCCGTCCCCGTCGAACGTCTCGAACAAGCCCGGGTCGACGAACGCGTCGTCGTCGTCGTCCATCTCGTCTCCCTCGTTCGGATCGGGGTGTAGCGACGCGCAGAGCGACAGGCTTTCGAAGATTGGCTCCACTGGGGAGCGGGAATAAGAGCGCGCGGACGGAGAAGAGGGCGAGCACGTACGGGCCGAGGGATCTTTTGGGATGATCACAAGTTCGCGCATGGAGGACGTGTCTTCATCTTCCTCCGCTTCTTCAGCAGATGTCGGTTCGTCGAGCTGGCAATATATTGAGGGCCCGTTCTCGGCGCGCGAGATGGCATGGAGTGTGATGGTCGGGTAGTCGACCTGAATGCCAGTCCCCGAAGCAGACATGAAGAAAAGTGCGCTGAAAGAAGCATCAGAACCACAGGCACACAAGAAACAAACATGCGCACCTCTCAATCACATAGAGGTCCCCTCGCGTGCCATTCTCGGTTGAGAATCCATCGAGGGGCGGATCGAGAGTAACGGAAACATCGGACTGTTTGTGGCGGAGGACGGGCGGGATGTCGGCGAAGGATGCGGGCGTGGACGCGCTCGCGATTCGGTGCTCCTCGGGAGAGATATGCGCTGGGAGGGCGGAGACGACAGTGATCGGCATCTTCGACGCGGTGTGCGCGGGCGTGAGGTCGAAGGGCGGAAACGGATCGCGAGACTTCAGCCAGCTTCAGCCACAGTTGCCCAAGTTTTGCTGCAGTGCGGAATGGGCGTCCACCAGGCCGCGACCGGCACCGTGCGCAGGCCCTAGTGGCTAAGCAATCTCTTGCCTCCGACTCTCACCTCGACCACTCTCGCTACCCACCATGCCCGTCTCTCCGCCCTCCGATCCCCAAGCAGCGGCGCTGCTCAACCATGTTCTCTCCCAGATGCAGCAGAACATCTCCTTCCTCGCCTCCAACAACTACATCTCCTCCGCCGAGGCATCAGACCTTACCGCCCGTCTCACCGCGGGCCCTGCGCCCATTGCCCTTCCCACCCCCGGCTCTGTCGCCACCAGCATGAGCAATCTGTCCGTGGGCCCTGCCCGCCGCAATATTCCCCCGCCCCCGCCGCGCTCGAGCGTGCAGCAGGCTCGGGCTGTCTGGGCCTACAACGAAGACGGCCGAGTGCGTCCACTTACTCTCCCGTGCTGACCTCCCCTGTCTGACGCCCCGCCGCTCGGCGTACAAGGAGCCCAACGATCTCTCCTTCTCCTCTGGGGAGATCGTAGAGATCGTCGACGAGACAAACGCCGACTGGTGGACGGGTAAGTGCAGGGGCAAGCAGGGCCTCTTTCCGTCGAACCACGTCGAGAAGATCGCCTCCAGCTCCGGCCCTTCCTACTCTCCTCCCCCTGTGATGCCCGCTGCGCCCTCCTACTACTCCCCGCCTGCGCCGCCCCAATACAACACCCCGCCGTACAACGAGAAGGCGGCCTACCAGCCTCCCTACCAGTCCTCCTATAACCCTATCCCCGTCCAGCCGGCCCCGGCCCAGGCCCCGGTTCAGCAAGAGGAGCCACCGAAGAAGAGCAAGTTCGGCAAGCTGGGCAACACCATGGCCACCTCTGCTGCCGGTGGTGTTGGTTTTGGTGCTGGTGAGTTTCCCCACCAGTCGCTTGTCTGTGACTTTTTTTTGACCTTTCCTCAGGTGCGGCCATTGGCAGTGGCATCGTCAATGCTATTTTCTAGCCTGACGCTATCGTTCCGAAATTTCTATTCTACCCAGGACTTTTTGAGTTTGGACTACATCATGTGCCTGTATATTTACCTCCAACCGGTCGTATCAACCTTGCTCTAACCCACTCTCCGGTCGATTTCCTTGATCGGTATACCGAACAACTCCTTGACTTGTTGCACTATCGCAAGATCACCAGTGTTCTGCCCGGGGCTTGTAAACACTACACACGATCGTCATGGTCCTGTTGCCGACGTACCTTCGTAATCTCATCACTGATCTTTACCGTCGGCGTCCCGGCGACCGACGATAGCTTGATGACCATGTTCAGCGCCCGGCTCTTCTCCGTGTACCCACTTGACTTTGTCTTGAAGTCGTTCGTCAACGACGTGCCGATCCCAAATCCGCAGCGCATCCCGAGCTCGTCGCACTGCCTCTGGAGCCGGAGCACCTTCTCGACGTCGAGCGCGTCGGAGAAGATGATCGTCTTCTGCCGGAAGTCAATCCCGAGCTGCTCATACACGCCCTTTGCTCGCGGCGCGAAGATGAACGGGTCGCCCGAGTCTTGCCGCAGGCCGGACCACTGCCGGGCCAGATGCGGGTTCGCAGCGAAATCCTGGTGGACAGCGGTTGGTGAGCGACATGAGCTTCGACTCTCATAACGATGAAGGTGACGGCCCACCTTGAAGAACACCTCTGTCGAGAACGTGTCGGTCAATGCGATTTGGAGGGCGTCCGCGTACGTCTCTTGCCACGTCGTCAGGGCCATGGCGTTGACGTGTTCGTACCCTTTCAATGCACCGATCTATCGTACAGTTGGAATACCGTCAGCTCAAACACGCGCACGAAGGGCGGTGCGCTGCACTCACGCCCATGAACCATTCGCTTTGGGACAACAGCCATGAGTAAGCTTCAATCCCACCAGATAAAGAATTCTACACACTGTGCGATGGTGCCGATCGGTGCTACTTCGTACTTCATTGCTAAATGCATCTGTGCATGCAGTCAGTTCGCTGGAAGACGATATCGCAGCCATTTCGAACGCACATTGCTAGTGCCGTTGACTGCACCCTTTCCAGCATTGTCCTTTGCTGCTCGAATCAAGGACTTCACGACGATATCCTGCGTGTGGAACGAACGTCGTCTTCTGGTACCAAACTCGCTGATGACGCATCCAGCTTGGAGCATAGTCTCGGCCTTCTTGTATGCGGCGTCTACATTATCGCATCCGTAAGTGTTCTGTTAACCATGAGCACAGAACCACTGGGACCGATCACCTTCTTGGCCTTCGTAGTCCCAGTCGGTGTCCACCGTCGTGAAGTAGATTTCGCTGAGACAGGCCATGAGCGGGACCTCCCAAAGAATAGTCTCCTCCCAAGGGCCGGAGACGTCAATGTGGATGTGGCCCCTGTCGGCATCGCGCCCGGGCTCAAAAGAGATGGAGAGCTGCTCGGGCTTGAAGCGATAGGCCTCGAGGTAATCAAGATATGTGGGTTTAAAATAGGGGCAGGCCTTCTCGAGCCACGCCCGCTCCGAGGACGAGAGCGCCAGTCGGTCGAAGGCTAGTGAGATGTAGTCAGTACATGCTACTAAGCGAGAGAGTCGAGTCAACAAACCCGAGACCGAGCGCTTGAAACGGAGGTAGCACTCGCGGGTGAAGTAGACGTCCTTGCTGCGGTGGGTGAAGCGGTAGGTGCCCTGGACTGCAGGAAAGTGCTGCAGCACGGCTTGCTGCATAGTTATCTGGGAGGGCACCGAAGGATGAGCAATGACAAGAGCAAACGACAGCTAGACGGTGCACCTTGTACAGGTCGGTGTCCAGCAGGGACGCGGGCAGGACGAGGTCGGCCATAGTGGGAGGGCCGCAGGGGAGGAAGAGGGAGGAGGGCAAGTTGGAAGGCGGGTCGAGAGTGCGCACGCGATTCGGATATGGGCAGCCGAAAAGAGGCAGCCGATGTCTCTGTCCGAGCCAAAGCGAATGTTCGCAGAGTCCGCGAGCGTTTCATGCGGATGTGAGCATGTTTGGGCCTCCATCTCGCGTCTCTCTACAAACCTATCCGGGTGGCAAGCTGCGCGTCGTCTGTGGCCAGTCCATCAGCAAAGGGCGTATCTTCTTGTCACGCATCGCGGCGTCTGACCGCGCTCGGCGCTTCCTGATAAGGACATACCATCTTTTGTCTGCTAGACGGCTGATGGTAATACATGACAATCAGTCGCAAAGCCTATTATAGATGGTATCGAATTGCAGTCTTATTGTAAACTGTAACCTTGCGAGACGGTTTTCTGCAAGGCCTGGTCGTCAGACTTCTCTACAAGTACTTCACAGGTACATGCGCAGGTATGGAGCGTGAGAACGCTTTCATCGCGTCCTATTTCCGAGGCGCGTGTGCGGAGCGCGTCCTCACCGGGACCATCTGCTCTCCTCCTCAGGTCACGCTTGACTTCTCCAAACATTCCCCAGACGCATGTCTTGTTCACTGCGCTTTCAGCCTCTCTTCTTTCTTTGGCCCTCCCGCAACAAATTCACTACTTGTCGACATCGTATCCAAGAATATGGACATTCGGTGAGTACATCATCTCACGCACACACTCGACATGTCATAACGTCGGTGGCGGGTGACGCACGCTCGGGTCGGGTGAAGGCTGGGTTTCTGGGGATCTGTGGGTCAATGCGTGGGCGAGTGGCGGGGAATTCTGAAGCATTTAACAAGACTGGCGCGCCTGCGGCATTCTTTCCGGACGTACCATCACCACAGACGGGCGAGCCACTGAGCCACTGACATGGTGCCAGGTGAGTCCTTCGTCAGGCCACTATCCTTCTGCTTCCAACCCTTCCTTCCATACTTCCACGGCCATTCAATGTTTCACCCCGTCAAGTCAGTCATATTCCTGTGTCGATATGCCTTGCATCTTCGATGTAGATGCCACTCGGTGCCACTCGCTTCTTGGTGAGTCCTATCACTATTACCGGTTCTATCCCCGTCCCTAAAACACCAAATATGCGGCACATTGTCGTCTCCACAAGCACATCCAGGGGCTGTATTCAATCGTCCAAGTGATCCTCGACATCGGGACGACGGGATCTGCTCCTCCCTCGCGCTCTTCGCCCTGGTGCAAGTCACGCAGTTCCTCTCGGACCTACTCCCGATGTTCACGCTCAACGCCAAGTAGCTCGACAGGATCCTCGCCTCCGCGATAAACCGGGAAAGCACTGCGCCCGCAGCCATGCAGGATGGCGCACGGCGTGGTCCCGATGAGCCCTGGAGCGTGTGCACGGTCGTGAACGTGCCACTCGTCTCGAGCGGGGTCCCCCTGGGTGTTCTACTTCCGCCCGGGCACCGGCTAGGGGTTCCTCCTTCTGACGCCGCACGGGGACGGTGCCGGGAGCGACGAGACGGACGGGGTCGACGGCTCGGCCCGCCTCGTCGATTCTCGCCGCTATCTACCCCCATTATCGCGGTGAAGGGTGCGGTTGTGTCGGGGGGCTTGAAATAAGCACAGGTATGTCTGAGCGGCAGCCGATACTGTTTCCAGGTTCTTGTCCCCAGCCTCCCGGCGGCCGGCCCCCAGCCCCCGTCAGCACTCCCGCAATGTATGCCGTGTCCCAACTCGACGGATGCGCCCGGATCCATATTTTGGGTTGCCTGGTTATTGCGAGCAGCCTATGCAATGTGAGTTTCGACGTGTGACCTCCGTGCTCCACATTCTCACAGCACAAGGGCCTACAGGCTCGGATTAAATCTCGATGAACTTCTCTCCGTGCCAAGGGAGCTAGTAGGTGTCCAAGAATGCGTAGTCGCGCCCGGTGGGCGGCCCCCGCCTCGTCACGGTTTGAGTTGAAGCCCGCGCTCCTATTTAGAGCGCACCGGTGTCCGTAGCATTTTTACTTTGTGCTTGATTACATGGCATCTTTTGAATTATCACTGCGTACTTTGTTCCCTATTACCTGGTGTGCGTTGCGATATGAACCTACCCTGCCATTCACGACAAGGCGTCATAATCATTGCCTGAGATGACCATCCCGCCCCTTGTCCATGGTAATCCTCTCCCTCTTGTATTGCCATGGGCCCCCTCGTGTATTACAATGCGCGGTGGGAGAAGACAATTGTCCGACCGACTGGCGTCTAGCAGGCGGTAGATTGCCATGCCAGATGACTGATGGCCGTCTACGGCTACTACCCTGTCATACGTGATCTGTCTTGCGATTGCTTACCATGCAATATGGGTGTTTATCACGCATTGCAACACATTATCTTCAAATCCCCCATTTTGCTGATGTCAAGCTACAAGGCTGGCCTCACCAGTCTTCCCGCGCCCACGACCCTGTATCCGAGACGCGTCTGTGGCGGGCTCCCCGACGCGCCTCTCCTCCGTCTACCATGGTCAGTCGCGATCCGTTCTATCCCACCTGCCGCCTGATCATCCCAAGCTCACTCGCGCGCACAGAGCTCCCGCATAGAGATCCTCAACGACGGTGGTTTTCGCTCCGACGGCCGCAGGCAGTACGAGCTGCGCGACATCACCATCGACCTCTCCCAGCATGGAACCGCGGATGGCTCCGCTCTCCTCACCCACGGTCTCACCCAAGTTCTCGTGACCGTCTTCGGCCCAAGAGAGGCCAAGATGCGTTCCCAGACTCTGCACCATCGCGCCGTCCTCAACGTCGAGATGAGCGTCGCGCCATTCAGCACCGGCGAGCGGCGAAAACGCTCGCGCGCGGACAGGTCCGTCCCCGCCCTCCCCTCGCGCATTCTCCCCCTCTTCACGCGAGCCGCGTGCCCAGGCGGATCCTCGAGCTCGCCTCCATGATCGCCTCCACCTTCGAGCCCGTCGTCCAGACCTCCCTCTACCCCCGCTCCCAGATCGACATCTACGTCCACGTCCTCCAGCAGGACGGCTCCCTCCTCCCGGCCTGTATCAACGCCACCACCCTCGCGCTCGTTGCCGCCGGGGTACCGCTCCACGACTTCGTCTGCGCCGTCACTGGCGGGGTCCACTCGACGTCCCCTCTCCTCGACCTCACCACGCTCGAAGAAAATGACGTGCCGTTCGTGACCGTCGCCGTCATGCCCCGCACTCGAAAAGTGACGCTCGTCACGATGGAGACTCGCCTGCACGTCGAGCGGTTCAAGGAGCTCTTCGAGCTTGCGTGCGAGGCCGGCCAGACGATCCACAAGGAGATGCGGCTCGCCGTCAAGGACCGCACGACAGCGCTTGTCGGTGCGATGGACGCGGGGACGAAGCCGGCCATGCTCGACGAGCGCGATGTAGTGATGGACGACAGAATATAACTTGCGCCCTCTTGTTTCTGCCGGTGTTTGTTTCGGACGACGGCAGCACACACACACACACACAGGCAAGCGTACTACTCGCGTCTCGGTTCGATTCTGCGGAAACATGCAAGCCACTTCTCGCCCTCGTTGCGCTCCACCTTCTTCCCCTCCTCCGTGCTGCTGTACACCGCGTCGACGATCGGTCCTTTTCCTTCGTCGCGCAGGGCTTGCTCCGAGACGGGCTCGAAGAGCGGAAACTGCTCGAGGTGGGTACACATCCAATCGTGCAAATCACGGACGTCGGTGATCGTGTACACGATCCCCCCGGCCGGAGGATGTACGCGTACTCGGCGAGGAGGGTGGGGGAGATGATACGCGCCTTGTGCTTGCGGGCCTTGAAGTGGGGGTCGGGGAAGAGGAAGAAGAGGGCGGAGAGGGAGTGCTTGGGGAAGTAGTTGGGCATGAACTTCATCGAGTTGGCGCGCACGATGGAGACGTTTTGGTACGGCCCTGGGACGGCGGAGTCGGGCTGGGGCGGCGCGGACGTAGAGCGGAGCGCAACGATGCGGTCGTGGACATATTGTGAGACTTGTACGCGAATCTCCATCCCTGAACGATGTTCACGGGACCAGGACGGGAGATATGCGGATCGCGAGTCGGACATGCATCAGACAGGATGAGAGGGGGGGTGGAGGACATATGAGCAAGCCAGGGGACTAACCGAGCATGAGGGTGTTGGGGAAGAGGGGGGCCAAGGCTATGAGAAGGCCGCCAAAGCCGCAGCCAACGTCTGCGAACTCAGGCGTTTTCCCCGAGCCGGCGAAGGCGGGGTAGTGCTCGTCCCAGCCGACCTGGGCAGGGGAGGCGGGGTAGCTGAGCGCATGGTCGGAGAACGGGTTCGCGTGCGCGCGTTGGCGGTAATGCCTTTTCTGCAGGCGCGATTGGATGAGCGGCTGGGGCCCGCACGGTGGAAGATGGGGCGACTTGCCTGGGGGAGGACGTCGTTCTGGGCCTGCCTTCCTGCGGGCGCGTCGGCCACGTTCGGTACGCGCTTGCGTTTGGGCATCGGACGAGGGCGAGTGGAGGGAAGCAGGGCGGCGCGCGAAGACAGGCCAATCGCGTCGTCGGGATCGCCTTCGGAAAACTCGGAATGACCCTGGTCACGTGCACCGCGCGACTGGGGCGCACATATCAGCCCCGCCAGCAAACTGTCCCGTCCCCCATCCTCTTCTCCTCCACTCCATCATGCAGGCCGCCGCCCTCCGCTCCGCCGTCCAGCAGGTCCGTTCCCACGTCCCCTCGCGCCCTGCGCACCGCGTCTGTCGGACACTGACCATACCCCATCACCCCCTTCAGTCGCGCCGTTCCGCCTTCGCGCGTTCAGCCAGGTTCGCGTCAACCTCTGCCAAGGCCCCCACTCTCAAGGAGCGTATTGCGGAGCTCATCCCCGTCCAGCTCGAGAACGTGCGCCTTTCCCCCTAACTATATGCGTCCCCGATGTTCATTCGCTGGCACCACCAGGTCAAGGCTGCTCGTGCCGAGCATGGCAAAAAGTCGTTTGGCCCCGTCATCGTAGACCAGCTCTACGGGTGCGTCCTTCCCATGCGCTCTCTCCCACGCTCTTTTCAATTCTAGTGCGCAGTGGTATGCGTGGTCTCCCGGCCCTCATCTGGGAAGGTTCCGTCCTCGATGCTGGTACGCACGCTGTCACCTCACTTGAATACACCCATTCACACCCTTTACTCCAGACGAGGGTATCCGCTTCCGTGGCAAGTCGATCCCCGAGTGCCAGGAGCTTCTTCCCAAGGCCCCCGGCGGGTCTGAGCCTCTCCCTGAGGCACTTTTCTGGTTGCTCCTCACCGGCGAGGTCCCCACACAGGAGCAAGTCACCGCCCTCTCCAAAGACTGGGCTGCGCGTGCCTCGCTCCCCTCCTTCGTCGAGGAGATTCTCGACCGCTGCCCGCCCACCCTTCACCCCATGTCCCAGTTCTCGCTCGCCGTCACTGCTGTATGTCCTGACGTCATCTGCCCATGAACAATTCGCTCACCCGGCCCGATCCTCCGTTTAGCTCAACCACGACTCGGCATTTGCCAAGGCGTACCAGCAGGGCATCTCCAAGAAGGAGTACTGGCAGCCCACCTTTGAAGACTCCATGGACCTGTGCGTCTCAATCTCGTGATCTCCATCGTCGCCCGCTGACTGTCCGCGTCTAGGATCGCCAAGCTCCCTGCTATTGCTGGTCGCATCTTCCGCAACGTGTACGGTGGTGGCAAGCTCCCGGCTGTCGAGCTTGACAAGGACTATTCGTACAACCTTGCCAACCTCCTCGGTTTCGCTGACAAGCCCGACTTCGTCGAACTCATGCGTCTCTACCTCACCATCCACTCCGACCACGAGGGCGGTAACGTCTCGGCGCACACCGGCAAGCTCGTCGGCTCCGCGCTCTCGGACCCTTTCCTCGCCTTCGGTGCCTCTCTGAACGGTCTTGCTGGCCCCCTCCATGGTCTCGCCAACCAGGAGGTGCTCCTCTGGCTCCGCAAGATGCAGTCGAAGATCGGCGAGGACGCGTCTGACGAGGCTGTCCGGGAGTATGTCTGGACCACCCTCAAGGGTGGCCAGGTTGTGCCTGGCTACGGCCACGCCGTCCTCCGTAAAACCGACCCACGCTACATGGCGCAGCGCGAGTTTGCTCTCAAGCACCTGCCTGACAACAAGATGTTCAAGCTCGTCAGCCAAGTGTACAACATTGTCCCTGGTGTCCTCCTTGAGGCCGGCAAGGCAAAGAACCCCTGGCCGAACGTCGACGCGCACTCCGGTGTCCTCCTCACCCACTACGGCCTTGACCAGATGAACTTCTACACTGTGCTCTTCGGTGTCTCGCGTGCCTTTGGTGTTGCGGCGCAGCTCATCTGGGACCGTGCGCTTGGTGCTCGTGCGTACCCATGCCTTCCAATCATGATGCCCCGTGCTGACTTCCGCTTGCAGCTCTCGAGCGCCCCAAGTCTTACTCGACCGAGGCGATCAATAAGATGTTCAAGGACAAGTCGGCGTGAAATGTCTATAGCAACGTCTCTGGATGTGCAGATGCCGGGCGGAAGGGGGAGACGCATGACATTCTACTGTAGACTCGCCTTGTTGAACATCCTATGTCCTTACGTAATGCAACGTGCTCTCATGTCGCAAGGCGCGCGTGCCCGTCCGAGCCTGCCCAAAGCCTGCCTTCCCTCCACCACCCTCTCTCACTCCGTCTGCACTCACCGCTGCCTGTGCCTCCCCCCTCGCTCGCGCGCCCCGTTTATCCCACTCGTGAACCATGGCCGACGTCCGCGCGCTGCTCAAAGCGAAACGACAAGACGCACGCATCACGCACCCGCTCGTGTCGTACAACGCCGCCGGCGTCCTCCGCTGCCTCGCCTGCGGCACGCCCGTCAAGACCGCCTGGGAGGGCCACGTCGGCAGCAAGGCGCACCGGACGAACGCGGCGCGCCTCCGGCAGGAGCAGGCCCGCGAGGCGCAAGAGCAGGAGCGCGAGCGTGAGCGCGAAGCCAGCCTCAAGCGCAAGTCGATGGACGTGGACGACGATGACGACGACGAGGGCGGCGGCGGTGGAGACGGCGATGGGGACAGGGACGGGGACGGGGACACGCGCATGGCGGACGCGAAGAAGCGGCGGGTGAGCGAGGAGCCCGCCCCCTCGACGGCGGGCAGGGCGCACGCGTTCCCGGCGGACTTCTTCTCGGACCCGTCGATGGCGCCGCCGCCGCGAGAGGACGACGAGGACGAGGAAGAGGGGGACGACGGCGGAGGACACGCGGGCGCACCGGCGGCCGTGGGCGGGCTCGACGCCGAGTGGGCGCGGTTCCAGCAGGCGGTCGTGAACGCGCCGGAGTACCACGAGACGTACGAGCGCGCGACGGTCGCGGCGGAGCCCGTGCTCGAGGCGGAGGTCCCCGCGGGGTTCCCCGCGGCAGCCCCTGGCCCTGGGGACGCGGGCGGGGCGGGGAAGGAGGAGGAGCTGGACGAGGAGGGTCTGAGGCGGAAGCGGGACCGGGAGGACCGGGAGCTGATCATGGATCGGCTGATGGAGGAGGAGCAGGCGCAGGAAGAGGCGGACGCGCGGGTCTCGGTGCTCAAGAACAAGCTCGAGGCGTTGAAGAAGAGGCGGGAGGCGGCCAAGGCCGCGGGGGAAAAAGGCGCGAAGTGAGCGCGCACGTGCACGCAGACGACACGGTTGGATGTGTGTATGCAAGTAAGTGGACTGTACTAGTATAGCAGAGCGGTATGTGATGCTAATGTGCTACGGCTCAGACACAGTCTCTTTCTCCTCTCCCGCGCCCTGCTCCGTCTCTCCCTGCTCCAAACCCAGCCAGGATCCCCAGTCCGTACCGCGTTTGTGGAACATCATGAGTCCCATAAGGACCGGCAAATACCAGATGCTGTAGTGGAAGACCTTCCTCGCCTGCTTCTCCCCACCCTGCCTGTAGAACTTCCACGCCGCGTTGACGCAGACCGCGTGCGGGACCAGACTGGTGAGCGCGAACGCCCACGTGGTGAGGCCCGAGAGCGGCATGAGGACGGAGGTGGCGGGGACGAGGAGGAGCGCGTGGCGGAGGGCGACGAGCGCGTTCTTGTGCGGGTTGAGGACGCAGAGCATGCGGTAGCCCGCCTGTGCGTACGCCTCGCGGACGAGGTGCGAGAGCCCGTTGAAGTGCGGGAACTGCCAGCTGTAGAGCAGCAGGAAGAGCGCGAGCGGGGCGAGAGGATTCTCCACCGCGAGCATCGCGTCCGCCACGGCCGTGGGTGTGGACCCAAGGAACGAGGGGAGGACAAGGTGGAATGAGTCGAGGGAGGAGGGGAGGAGGGCGCCCCCGCAAGCAGTCCAGCCCATGAGCGGGGGGATGCCGCCGACAACGGCACCGACCCAGGTGTTGGCGATGCTCTTGCGCTTGAGGTAGGTGTATGCGCCGGCGTAGAGGGCAATGTTCGCGGCGCCGAGCGCGGCGGTGACGGGGTTCGTCATGGTCCAGAGCAGCGCAGGCCCGGCGAGGCCGGTGGCGAGAGCGAAGCCGGTTGCATGCAGAGGGCTGATGGCATGGCGTACGAGCGGACGATTTCGAGTGCGGGCCATCTGGGCGTCGTAGGGGACCTCTTGGATTTGATTGAACGCGTTTGCAGAGGCGGAGCAGAGGGCGGTACCGACCGCGGTGGAGAGGAGGACGGGGAGAGAGGCGGGGAGAGGGCACATGGCGACGCCAGACATGGCGGTGAGGACGACGAGCACGGTGAGATTTCCCTTGGCAAGCTGGACGTAGACTCTGGCGAGCTTGCGGGGAGTGAGAGCCTCTGCTGGTCGGAAAGCGGTCCCCTCGGGATGGTAGACGGCGCCGACGGAGTGTCCGCGGACGGAGTGGGCGACCGGGCTGGAGGCAGGGAGGGCATCGCGCGCGGAGGCGGCCCACCTGTGGTTGTCGTAGAAGAAGGAGGAGAAGGATGTTTTGTGGCGGTCGCCGGCCAAGCTGGACGCGGAGCGGGTGGGGGCCTGCGAGCGACGGACGCCGGCTGCGCATGAGCGACAGACATACGCCCCGAGAGTGCGCATTGAGCCTGTGCGGAGGGTGAGCAGAAGGTGCCGTAGCAGAAGATGATACTGACAGAAGTGCACGAGTGGAGGCAGTCACAGGCAGCGGCAGGACGCGGGGTCGAGCAGACGCCGAGACGCGTGGAGATGAACCGTGCGCGCCGGGCGTCCCCCGCGCCAGCTCCCTTCCTCTACTCCACCATCCCACCGGCCCCGGCTGCGCGACTGCCTCCAGCACGACGCCCGCCCACTCTGGGCCTGTCCGTACACACCTGGACAACCATTATTTATCCCTATTTCTCGCCTACTGCCCGCTGTCATCAACACGTTCCCTCCCACACAAATACGCCAGCCCTCCCACCCACACACTACACTCGCAGCCACCTGACGCCGCTCCAGGATGCCCGGCACCCACTTGCTGCCCCCAAATCTCCTCAAGCTCTTCGCCCCTAGGCCTCCCCTGCCCTATACCCGCCCGCTCGACAGGGACACCGACCGCGTCCGGCCTAAAAATGTCGATGGTGTCGCCAGCCTCATCGCTCAGCTCCGCGAGGCCAAGACGCAGGGCATGATGGAGTCCGGGAACACGGGAGAGGGCGAGGGCATGGAAGAAGGCGAGGAGCCCACTTTCACTCTTGCCGAGGAGACCAAACGCCAGCTCCGGAGGGAGGAGAGGAAGAAAAAGAAAGCCGAGGACTTCCAGCGTTGCAAGGAAAACTGTACGTCCCTCGCTCTCTCGCCCTCGCCCTCGCCCTAGCCCTGTCTAACGATCACACAGACAAGCCTTCAGAGGACGCCGAGGCTGCTGGCGACCCGTATAAAACGCTGTTCATCTCGCGTCTGGTACGTTTCTGCCATGTAGTCTGCCTTCGGTTTTGCTTACCTTCTCCTGCAGCACAAGAGTGCCACGGAAAACGATCTCCGGAGAGAGTTTGAAACTTTTGGCAGCGTTGAACGGGTGAGGATCGTCCGGGACAAGAATGGGCGCAGCCGAGGCTACGCGTTCATCGTCTTCGAGCGGGAACGTGAGATGAAAGGTAACGACCACCCTCCTTGCGTCTGAACGTGCTCACCCATCATATATCTGCGCCCCGTGCTCTCGCGTGACGCTTCGTTCTCCCTCAGCTGCATACAAGGACTCGGACCGACTGCACATCATGGGCAAGCGCGTGCTCGTTGACGTTGAGCGCGGTCGGACGGTGCGTGGCTGGAAGCCTCGCCGACTGGGTGGCGGGCTGGGTGGTAGGCCCAAGCCCGAGCCGCCTATGTTCCCCGCTGGCGGCAGCAGCGGTGGTGGCGGCCGGGGTGGCTTCCGCGGCGGCGGCGGTGGTGGTGGCGGCTTCCGTGGGGGCGACCGCGGTGGGTTTGGCGGACGGGGACGAGGCGGAGGCGGATTCCGCGGCGGTGGACGAGGTGGGTTCGGCGGCGGTGACAGGTTCGGTGGTCCTCGTGACGACTTCGGCGGCGGGGGCGGAGGACGTGGAGGGTTTGGTGGAGGATACAGGTATGACACACACCCTCTGTGTATTGCTGGCTGGTTTGCTGACCGGTTTTCGTAGGGGTCGGGGAGGTGGCATCGGGTACCAAGGAGGAGGATTCAGTGGGCCACCTGACCATGGACCGAACAGCTTTGGGGGCAGCGGTCCTCACGGGCCTGGCGGGTATGGTGGGGGTGGCCCCGGAGGGTTCGGCGGTGGACCGCCAGGTGGTGGACCGCCAGGCGGAGGGCCTCCAGGTGGTGGTGGGCCTGGTGGGTATGGGCCGCCTGGCGGATTCGGCGGGGGCGGAGGAGGGTACCGGGGCGACCTCAAGCGCGAAGGGCCTGGTGGGTACGACCGGGACTCGAAGCGTCCGCGGTTCTAGTCGACTTGAACGACGGTGGCAAGCGTCTGGCAGCCGTCTCTGGCCACTCTTCCCGGCTCCCCCTCTCATTTTGTTACGTCGCTCTCGCCTGGGTCTGCGTAAGTATGTGACTGCTCAGCTGTAATGTGGTAATGTGTCGCGCTCGAGAGAGGCAAGTATGTATAAAGTCGATTCGAAGCATCCCGTCTGGCGAGAGTGTGCGGAGGACGAATGGCGGAAATCGGACGGAAAGCGGGAGTAAATATCGTCCACGGGCGTCCGTCGCTCCCGCGAGAGTTGAGGCCGCTGTCGTCGACGGTGCTGAGACCGGGCCCGAGGCGGGAGATCGACACGGTCGCGGGGACGGCCGGGGACGGTGCTCGAGATCGCCTGCGCTGGCCGCCGTCGGGTTTGGTGATCGTCGGCAGCAGCGTAGCAACGCCAGTGTCGTGCAGCCCGCCGAAGAAAGCAAAGCGGCCGCTTCGCCCGTTCGCGCCAAGCTCAGGCGCGCAGTTTCGCACCGGCTCCCTCTCGAGCACGCCCACCTCCCCTGCTCGTCGGGTGTCGCCCTTGGCCAGCCCAGCTCTCCGCGCATTCCCCACCTCGAGTCTGTCACTCCTTCTTTCCCCGACTCTCCCTTTCTCTCCCCCGCCCCTGTCCTCCTCCCGCCTCGAATGCTCGCCCCCTAGCTGTCCTCCCCCGCCACGTCCCTCCGCCCACGAGCCTCGATCGTCTCCCCCACTGCGCCCGCGATCCTTCTCCCCCTCTCCCTTCCTTCCGCCTCTCTTCTCCCCCGCCGTCCGCACCAGGTCCCCGACTCTCCAGCCTCTGCCAGGCCGTCCCCAAGGCCTCCGCCCGACAGCCCGACTCCGCCCTCGCCTGCCTCGCCTCACCCTCCTCTCCCCATCCCCGCCCGCTCATCGAGGCAGACCCCGCTGCAGGCTGGCATCGACCCTCCCACTCTCGCTATACATCTACTTGGTATAATTTCCCGTCCCTTGTGCAGCATGGAGCGTAAGTAGCCCCTCCTGCTCTCCCCTCCCCTCCCCTCCCCTTCTCACCTCTCCGCCCCAGACAATGTCTTGTCTAAACCTCCCAGCCCTAGAGAGAGCCTCGCGCCCCTGTCCACCCGCGACCTCCCTCCGTTCTCCCTCCCCGCCGTCAGGGAATCCTCCGCGTCCTGCGCCTCGTCCCCCATCTCCTCTGCCCTCTCTCCCACCCAGTCCGACATCTCCACGCTCGCGTCCGACAAGCCAGATGCCTCCCAGAACCCCATCCTCCGACGCGCTATCTCCTGCGGTGCTCTCCCGGCCGAGGTCAAGCAGCGCCGCAAGCGTTCCCGCGTCAGCCCCGAGCAGCTCATCAAGCTCGAGGAGTACTTCGCCGTCGACAACAGCCCCACCTCTGCCCGGCGGAGGGACATCGCGCGCGAGCTAGGCATGGACGAGCGGCAGACTCAGATTTGGTTTCAGAACAGGTACGTATCCTCACATCACCCACTTCCCCCGACTCCCGTTGATCTTTCTTCCCCAGGCGCGCAAAGGCCAAGCTCCAGCTCAAGCTCAAGGCCCGTGCGGTTGAAAAGCTCGAGCCGCCCCCGGAGAGCCCCCCAGAGCTGTCGAGTGGCTACGACATGGACATCCATGGCCTGATCCATGAAGACGAAGGTAGCCGCGCTTCCCCCCACGTCTCCTGCTACGGGCACTGATCTCAACCAACAGAGGTCACCGTCTTCCCGTGTTCGGATCTCACCATCGGCTCCTGGCGACGCATGGGATCCTCACAACACGACCTCATCGCGTATACATGCGAAGCCAAGCGCTGTCTCACCTGGTTCATCCGCTCTGGCGGCCGCAGCTTCAAGATGGACGTTCTCTACGAGCACATCGCCGAAGCCCGCTTCACGAACCTCTCCCCCGGCACGGGCTCCGCCACCTTTTACCTCGAGCGCCCCCCGACGTTCTACATGGAGGGCCTTCTCGACTTAAGCCTAGGAGAGGACTCGCCTCGCATATGGCAGGTATGCGGCGACTGGACCGAAGGACGGCAGGGCACCAACCACCTCCAGCACACACTCGCGGGGCCTGCCTACCAGCTGTCGGCGCTCGTCAACAGCATCAACCCCTCGGCCATGGCTTCGGAGGCTCTCTACACCCCCACTGCCTCGGTATCGGACGCGGGCTCCTCTCCTGAGGTGTTCACGCGCTCTCTCCACTCTCCGATTGATCAAACGCACACCTCGTCATTGCCAATCCGCCGGCCCAGTTCGCTGAGCAGCCTCCGCATGCTGCACCACCCCTCGCTGGAGAGGCTCCGGGCGCGGCCGAGCGTCCCGCTTTTCCACTCGCCCCTCTCCAGCACGCTCTCCAGCGTCTCGTCCCCTAACTCGCCCTACACGGCCAGCGAGACCTCGGTCGGCTCCCTCTCTGCCTCCATGTCTCCCGGTTACCCGTACTCGATCGAGGGCTGCGGTACCCCTGGCTTGGTCGCGCTCGCGTCCGACCAGCTCGCCCAACTCCCGCTTGGGATGTCCAACCTCCCGCGGCTCAACTACGAGTACCAGCCGATGTCGCGCTCCGCGTCCCCCTACGACTGCGGCTCCGAGCCCGTCTCGGCCGCCTCAACCTCTGGCGGGTACTACGGGCAGCCCTGCGGGCCCTGGGGCGGCCCGCCCTCGAGCCTGCCGATGGGCGCCGGCATGAGCGTCGCGGACACAGACGCGCCCAGCCACGCCTACGTGCAAGCCCCGATGGCAGTCGAGGAGCGGCCGCAAGAGCCGTACTATCCGTACCCCAACGGGCTGCCCGGCCCCGTCCCCACTCCCGCCTACGCGTACGAGCACGGGGGCCCGGGCGTGTAAATGACCGTCCGTAATTATTGCGCTAACATCTATAGTCCCGGCTCCCGTCTCCCTCTCGCCTGCCCCGCTTTCCGGTACCCTACGTCGTCGTTGAACGCTCTCGTTTACACCGCCCCCCGCGCCCCTGCGCGCATTGGCTTCGCCGCGGGCGTGCTGCGCACCACCGGCCCCGCGTTCTTCCCCCCACCTCCTTCCACCCCTTCCTCTTCCCTTCCCACTGCTCTGCCCGCGCACACACCCGCCCTGGCCTGGCCTGGTCCGTCCGTCCGTCCATCCGTCTGTCTGCCTCTCCTCTCGCCTCGTCTCTGCTCTGCTCGCCGCCGTGCTTGTCGCGTGCGCCCACATTCTCTCTCTGCTCCGCTCGTTCTCTCCCCCCGCCCCCCGTCTCGTGTAGCATTAGAAGCGCCCGCGTCGCCGCGCGCCGTGCATAGTGTCGCAGTAATCGTCTTCGGTCCTTCGTGTGCATACTACATAATCGGTCGCTCCGCCCCGAGCCCGTTCCCCCCGCCCCCCGTCGCACCCACGCCCGCCTATCGCATAGCGCTCCTTACTAGTCTAAATACTGGCTTCGTGTACTTCCATCGCAGCGCATCGGGCGAGACTTTAGGATTAGGATATCTGAATGCAGTCCAAACCGCCCTCGCCGAATCGTTCCATCTTTCCCGCCCGTTTCGGGTGCGCGTGCGGTGTGCTGGTCCTTGCGCGAGTGATCGGGGCCCCAATGCCCGGGGTGGAACACGCTGATATCGCGTTTTGCGCAGTGCTATGAAGTTACAAGCGATCCGTTCCTCTACTGTCCGTGTCCCTCTCACCGCACCGTCATGGACCGTCCGCTGTGCACAAAAGAAAGCGTCAGAGGCAGGCTCCAATCACCAACGGAATGCCGATCCGATCCCGCAAGCACAACCGACTCACCTCACCGTCTTCCTGTCGACGACCGCCTGCTCGGTCTTTGCGCGGTTGAGCACCTTCTGGAACTCGCTCACGCGGTGGCGCATGCGCGAGTGCATGTACGCCTTCGAGCACTTGATGTGGTAGTGGAGGTAGTCGCGGAAGAGCTGGATGTGGGTGATCGTCGAGCCGGCGACGGCCGGGTGCGCAAAGTGGCGGGGGAAGAGGACGAAGGTGACGTAGCCGACGTCCTCCGAGTCCTGCAGCCCGGGCAGGTGCCGGATCTCGAGCGGCGGCGTGCGCGTCGTGTACAGCACCTGCGGCGCGGACTGGATTTGCGGCAGCCGCCGTGCGTCGACGAATTCCTGGCGGGCGGCAGGGGGGAAGGACGTCAGGCGGTCGGTCGGGGGACAGAGCGAGAGAGGGACCGGCGACGGCGACGGCGACGGCGACGGCGACAGAAGAGCGGACGCACCTGGAGGAAGACCTTGCCGAACACGCGGTCGGTCTCTTCCCGGAATATGGTCGAGAAGATGACGGTGACGCGGTCGGAGGAGGCCTGGACGTAGATGGCCTCCTCGTCGCGGTAGTTGAGTGACATGAGGTCGCCCTGGCCGTCGCCGGCGGCCTCGAGCTGCTTGCAGGCCTGGAAGCCGAGCTCGAACGGCGCGGCGAGCGCGTTGCGCTTGAGCAGGGCGAAGGACTTGATCAGGGCGTCGCGCTCCTCTGCTCGGGGGCCCTCGTCGGCACGGGCGCGCGGGATCGGGGGCGGAGAACGCACCTGGATCTGCTGGCAGTCGCTCGAGGTCGATTTCGAGGCTGAGGTTGTACTCGGGCTCGGGCTGGGCGATGTAGGGGCCGTACTCGCGGCTCATGATATCATTGACGCCGTAGCGGACTAGCTGATCCCAGCAGCGGATGTTCATGGAAAGGGTTATGGCCGTTTTGCGGTCGGGGGTGGACATGTGGAAGCGGACGCCATCGAAGTCGACGAACTGGACGTCGAGCGAGGAGGGCCTGGAGGGCGAGGCGGTGAGTGGATGCGCACGGGAGGAGATGAGGATAATAACTTGAGGGCCTTCTCGGCAAGTGTGGTCTGGATGATGTAGTTGTGCGACTGCAGACGCGAGTGAGTGAGCGCAGCCTCCGACAGAGCCGGCCATGCCTACCTCGAGCAAGATCATGGTGGCAGAGGCCGGGACGGCGATGGAGGCGATCCCGCGCAGCTCGCGCTCGAGGTGGGCGCGGGGCAGGTCCCGTGACGGGAGAAGGAGCGTGGGAAAGGAGAGGAGGCAGCGACGGAGCCTCGCAGCCCAGCATCCGATCCTCTCCACCGCGAAATATTCAGCGTCCGGCTACGCATCCACCCCCGCTGCCCCGTCTGCACCCCAACGCCCGCCAAAATGCGTACGTCTCCCGCCCTCTGTTCCTAGTACCCCTGTTGATCTGCCCCGCGTGCAGCTCCGAAGAAGAAAGCCGAAAAGATGTCCCTCAATGCGTTCCTGGAGGACTCCAGTGAGCCCCGCCTCCCCCACACCCGCACACACTCCTTTGACACAATGCATAGCTCTGGGATCCTGGGCGGACGAGATGGAGGACCTCCCCACTGCCCGTGAGTCTCGTCCACGCCAGGGAGTTATCGGTGCCCTCAGTCCTCTCCTCTCTAGCTTCGTTCAGGGCCGACGGCGACGATCGCCGCGGTGGTGACCGCCGTCGCGACGACTTCCTCTCTAACAGACGTGAGTGCTCTTCTTCTTTCTATGCCGTGCATCAATCTCAACCGTTTCCCGTAGTCGATCGCGGTCCTATGCGCGAAGATCTACCCCTTCCCACCGAACCCCCCTTTACTGCGTTCATCGGCAACTTGACCTTCGACATCACCGAGAGCGAGCTGGAGGAGTTCTTCGACGGAAAGGTACGCATGTCTCCCATGATCCCCACGCCCTCCTCCTCAACCCATCCCGCCAGACCAAGTCAGTCAAAATTATCAAGGATCGGGATGACAAGCCCAAAGGTTTTGGATATGTCGAGTTCATCGACCTGGACGCACTTAAGGGGGCTATCGCCAAATCCGGCTCGGTGAGTGCACTCACATTCCCCAGGCCACCATCCCTGACTAATGATGACCCGATTCAGAGCCTTGCCGGTCGGGCTATTCGCGTCAGTGTCGCTGAGCCTCGTAAGTCAATTCCTCAATACCGTCAAACAGTCGGCTGAGCAATCGTCACAGCGAAGGAGCGCTCTGGCTTCGGCGGAGGATTCGGCGACGACCCCAAGTTCGACAACAACTGGCGCAGAGAAGGCCCTCTCCCCGATCTCCCCTCTTCAGGTGATGCCCCCCGTCGTCGTTTTGACGGCCCTGGCCGCGAGCCTCCGCCGCCCTCCATGTCCGACAACGCCTCGGATTGGCGGTCTTCTCGCGCGCCTGCGCGCTCGTCCACCCTTTCCTCCCAAGATTCTCAAGATGGCTCACTTCGTCGTCGCGGTCCCGGGGGGCCCCCGCGCGAGTCTGCGCCTCCTGGACCTGCAGACACTGAGGACAACTGGCACATAGGCAGCAAGTTCCAACCCGCAGCGCCCGTTGGTGACAGACCGGCCGGTGGTAGCCGCTTCGGCGGCCCTCGTAGGGACATGGGCCCTCCTCCACCGGTGGTGGCAGAGGAAAGTGACTGGAGGCGGCCCCACGCTATCTCTCGGAACTCCACCTCCCGTGCGTCTTTCTTCTGACGCTGATTTCGCGCTGGACTGATATATGGCCCTCTCCTCTAGCCAACAGCTCCACGCCGCCCACGCCGCAGATGGGCCGGCGCAAACTCGAACTCCTCCCTCGCTCCTCCACTACCTCTGCCGCCCCTTCCCCCCTTGCCTCCCCGAACCCTGCAAACGCCGCCCCCCGGGCGAACCCCTTCGGTGCCGCAAGGTGAGTCACTTCCAGAAATAAATCCCATCACCCCGCTGAACGGCGCTCGCACCAGGCCCGTAGACGTGTCAGCACGCGAGGCCGAGGTACAGCAGCGGATCGAGAAGGAGCGCGAGGAGGTCCGGGACAAGTTCCAACAGCATGCGCCGATGTCCCGCACCTCTTCGCGGCAGGGCTCACAGCGGCCAACGCCTCCGGTCTCGCACCCGGCGTCCGCGCTGCAGAGCCCGACGAGCCCCGCGCACGGCTCGCCAAAGCTCGCGCCGGCGGCCCCGGCAGCGCCCGTGTCCAACGTCCGACCGTCGTTCAGCTTCGCAAGCGCTGCGGCAGGCAAAAAGGACGGCTCAAGCGAGGACGTCGCCGCACTCGCGGAGAAAATCGACGAGGTCGAGCTGGAGAGTGCGGAGAAGTGACCGTGCCCCGTCGCTGTCAGGCCCCCGGGAACGTACAGTACACTGCTCGGTTTCTTCCCCTCTCTGTCGGCGCCCCTACCCCGTTCGTCCTTCGCACAAGTACGTGTCTCAATGCTGTGATCTGTTCTCGTAATCCCATTGCACGCACGTCTCTATCTTATGTCTTTCAACTATGTCGTCGTGCCTTGTCTAGTAGTTCCCCCAATACCGGCCCCCGAGCCGTCCCGTAGTATGTAGATGTATGCTGGCGAAGCGTGCAGCGGCACCTGTAGATCGAATATCATATGTGCGATATCCTCCTCATACACTACGATGCTTAGGGACGCTCCGCCGTGTTCTTGAACTATAAACATATACAACCGAAATGTATCAGGCCGTGCGAAACCTCACACACGTACCCACGAGGGATCTGATATGCATAATAGCATGGCATGCGAGTGTATACCCTACAACATACAGGACAGTAATACAGATTATGCAGAGATGGTGACCTCGACCTCAACACCAGGCTCGAGAGAGATGCTCGTCTGCGTTGGAGCATGAGGAAAAAATGCGACGCATGAGGAGAGCAAGGATTGCTTACAATCTGCTTGACGATCTCGCTCGAGGAGTGGAGGTCGATCAGACGCTTGTGGACCTTGAGCTCGTAACGGTCCCAGGTCTTGGAACCCTCACCGCAAGGCTAACGAGAGAGCAAGAGAATGAGCGTCCAGAGTGCACGTAGAGAATCAAAAGGCTACGCACCGACTTGCGGGTGGTGACCTTAAGGACCTTGGTGGGGAGACGGACGGGGCCCTTGACACGGAGCTGCTTGTCCTTGGCACGGTTGATGAGGTCCGTGGAGACTGTGGGGCACAGCGAGCGCATGAGCCCGTCGTCCTCCAAAGTAGCGAGCGGTAAGAAAGGACCTACACTTCTCGAGGTTCTTGACGTTGCTGCTCGTGAGCGTGATGCGGATTTTGTGGATCTTCGCGGCGGCGACGGGCGCGCCGGTCGCGTCGTATTCCTTTTCACCCTTAGCGACGTAACTCATCCTGGAGCTTGCTGGAGAGTCAGAAGGTGACTGAAGGGCCGGTGGATGGTGAGTGGGAGGAGGAAAGCGGTGTGGGCGGGCGGCGCACTTGAGGACGAGTTCTGTTGATAGTACAGAAAATAAGGTTCGTCGGCCTGTTCGCAGGTCACCAGCCCTCGGCATCTGCCGGCTCTTGGCCGATTAGTTCTCCTATTATTTCTGCGGGATAAGTCGCCTCACGTCCTTCCACCATGCAGGGTGAGCGTCCTTTCTATCGTCTCTTGCACGCTGCGTGCTGAACACTGCTTCCAGGCTTCAACAAATACTACCCTCCCGATTACGATCCAGAGAAACACAGCAGTCTCAACTCATACAGAGGTTGGTACCGCCCGTGCGCTCGCGCCAAGTCTGCGTCAAGCTCACATCGACACCCGCAGGCAAACATGCATTGGGTGACCGTGCTCGGAAGCTAGATCAGGGCATCCTCATCACACGTTTTGAGTTGCCCTTCAATATCTGGTGGTAAGCCAACGCTACTCCACCACCCAAAGACGTCCTCTCACCGCCTGCAACAGCGGAACATGCAACAACCACATCGGCATGGGTGTGCGGTACAACGCTGAGAAGAAGAAGATCGGAAACTACTACTCCACTCCCATATTCTCCTTCCGGTGCAAGTGCCACCTCTGCAGCGGCTGGTTTGAGATTCAGACGGACCCCAAGGTCAGCCCGTTACACCAGCTCCGCGCGTCGGTAAGCTGACCGTTCGTCACAGAACACCCGCTACATCGTCGTGTCAGGAGCGCGCCAGAAGGATGAAGACTGGGACCCCGCAGAGAATGGAGGCTTCGCGGTCCACGGTACGTCTCCCGCCACAGATCCATTCCCGTTCGAAGCCAACCCGCCCCCGCAGAGACCGACCCGAACCAGGGGCCCGTCGACCCTCTTGCTGCGCTCGAGAAGTCGACGGAGGCGCAAAACCTCATGAACAACGTCGCGGTACCACGCATCGAAGCCCTGCAGGACCTCTCGGACCGATACAGCTCCGACCCGTACGCCCACTCGCAGCGCGCGCGGAAGCGCTTCCGAGAGCAGAAGAAGGTCGACAAGGCGTGTGAGGCGGCCGACGAGCGGCTCAAGAGCACATTTGGTCTGCCTGTGGAGCTCAAGCTTGCTCCGGAGGACGATGAGAGTCGAGCAAAGGCCAAGGCGGAGTGGGAGCAGGGTCGGCAGGCCCTGGAGGAGCGGGAGGCGACAAAGCGACGGAAGATTGGGGTAGAGATGAAGGTCATGCCGCGAATAGCGCGACCGTCATCGAGTGGGGGCTCGCGAGGCGGGCCGTCGAGCAGCAAGGCTGGCGGTGGAGATGCGGTCAGCGCGCTGCGAGCGAAGATACTCGGGAACACGGCCAAGCAGAGTGGGTTGACACGCCCAAAGTCTGGCGACTCGCGGGCGATACGAGGCAGCCTTGTCAAACGGACATGAGTCGCATATGGACACTGGCTCTCATGTATTCTAGATGCGATACCCCTCCTGTAGCATAACGAGTCTTCCTCAAACGCTCTGAGGCCGGATGCGCCCGGGCGGCCGCTTTGTCGGACCTGATTGGGCGCCAGCGGCTTTAGCCCATCTTGTTCTCGGATACCCACCATCTCCGAACATACTTGCACGATTCTCAGCAGCAGCTTCATTTGTGGCATCGTTCGCTGGCGTGTGTCATGAAGAATATCCCCATCACAGTCTTTACAGGCTTCCTCGGTGCAGGCAAGACGTCTATAATCCTTTCTCTTCTCCCACGACTGCCCAAAGACTACAAAGTCGTCCTACTCAAGAACGAGTTCGGGGATGTGGAGGGTAGGCGCCAGTATCATACAAATATGCGTAACTTATGCTCACCGATTGGTTACAGTTGACAGCCAGCTTGCGAAGCAGTCCAGTCTAACTGCCGTTAGCGAGATCCTGAACGGGTGTATGTAAGATGCATGTGTTTTCTGCACGACAACACGATTTGTTCTGAACACGTCGTTTCCGAACAGGTGTTGCGTGTTAGTCGGTCAGATGCAGACTGCGCTACTAGAGATCCGAGGTTCGTTGGCGGCATTTTCGACATCTTCTGAAGCTGACGAGATCTGCAATGTTCGTAGAGAAATTCCGCCCGGATCGGATATTCATCGAGTGCTCGTTCGTCCACTTCTTCACACTCTGCAGCCACTTTGCATGCTGACACCAGATCCCCGACACACAGAGGATCGGCATTTCCAGCAACACTCGCGTTTCAAATCCGGGAGCTAGAACGGGAAACGAACAACGACCTAAAGCTCGACGCGATCGTGACGGTGATAGATGCCGAGAACTTTTCCGGGTATGAAGACACATCCCCGACGGCGAAGATGCAGGCGAGCTACACGGACGTAATCCTCATCGTAAGTCGTTACGTCCCGAAGCGCGTCCCGGATCTCTCGATGGATCAAACTGACCCTGCGTGGCAGAACAAGTGGGAGCTCATCTCCGAGCAGGAGCTCGACATCTTGATCGATCACCTGAACACGCTAAACGACACGACGCCCAAGATTAAGTGTCAGGGCAAGGACGGCGTGGACCCGAACGTGGTCATGGGTTTGGACTCGAAGCTTTTTGAGCTGGGGAGCACCGAGGTCCCTAACGGCCAGCACCACGACGAGGTAGAGACGGTCACCGTTCTCAAAGGCACGACACCCATCTGCTCCCATCAGGGATGCGACCACTCCAAGGGTCACCACCACGAACCCAGAGAAGGACCGACGGTCGTGGGCGAAGGCGTGCAAGCACTGGAACCTATACCCGAGGCCGCCCTGGATGAGGCACTAGGGTCGCTCTCGAAGGAGACTGTTTGGAGAGTGAAAGGATTCGTCAAGCTAGAGCGCGGCTACGTCATCCTCAACTGGGCCTTTGGCCGCTACGAACTCACTGCGGTGGACGCAGTACCCTCCGGGACCGGAGCGGTGAAGCTGACGGTGATGGGCGAGCGCGGGGAGGTCAAGGGAGTTGCGTGCAAGCTGGCGACGAAGCTCGGGGCGACGGTGGCTGCTTGATATGCAACTCTTCCGGCGCCCGGGAGTGCTGGCAGAAGCGGTATTGACGGTCTGAATGGAGCCCCAACCCCACTTTCCTGCACAGACGCTGCGCCGCTTCTCCTCTCGACCCACCAACGACCTCAGCTTCCGTGGGCCCCGGTTTCTTCATGATCTATACACTCCAGCTTAGTTTAATATTGTCGACGCCGCATATGCTTTTGTCGTTCGTGGACTCGATGGTGGAGGGTCGCCCCCTCTACTGTGTGCAAAACGGCACTCCCACCTCAATAACCACCCCTCCTCTGCTTATTGAAGAAAGTACTTGTATCTAGCTCATCCACCTCTCCTGTATCGCGCGGTAAAGCCGCCAGCACCGGTAGAGGATAGGACTACGGGTGAAGGACTTGAATAGACAACTGTCTGTAGAACAAGCTAGTAGAGAATATACCCGAAGACAAGGACGCGGGCGCCGAGCGAGCGGAAGCGGCCGGCGCTCGTCCAACGCGAGATCGGCGTCGATAGGCGCCTGCCCAGAAGGCTTGGGCGGGGAATCACATGGGCCGCTGTGCTCGTTGTCGCGAACCATGTTCTCATATGTCTTCGGCTCAGGTGCGTCCTCACCACCGTCTCGACGCCTCACCTCACACCCCGCAGCCAGCACCTACTTCCATCTCCCCATCGAGGACGACGAGGGCCTCCTCGACGACGACTTCATCCCCCCCAGCACCCGCTACATCTCCTGGACCCCCTCGAACTCCCCCTCCTCCGACTCGTCCTCGTCTTCCAGACCTCCTTCTCCGCCCCTCAAGCCATCAATACCGCGACAGTCACCGCACGCCAAAGCCGTCATCACCGATATCCTCGCCGAGAACGACTGCTATGCTGTTCTTGGCATCCCCCGCTCCCCTCATCTCGACAAGCTCACCCTCCGACGCGCGTACCTCGCGAGAAGTAAAGCATGCCATCCAGAGTACGTCTTCACTCTCCCGTCGTCCACCACCTGTAGTCATCTTCCCGTCGCAGCAAATTTCCCGACAACCCCGAGGCTACCCGCGCTTTTCAGAAGGTCTCAGTCGCGTATGACATCCTCAGCACGCCCGCATCCAAGCGCATGTACGATTCCCGCTCCCAGCACGCTCCCTTCGATTTCTTCTCCTCAAGAACATTTCCCCAAGCAGAGGAGACCTTCCGCAGTGTCATCATAGGCGTCATAAACGACTTGCTCGACGGCGACCTCGAGATGGTCCGCACATTGCTTTGTAAGTTCTTTGCTCTTCCCTCTCCGTCCGTTCCCCGCCCCTCACCCTCTGCCCCAAGTCGCGGTGAACAACATGAATCCCTCATTACAGCTCGGAGAAGAAGGCATCAACTCCGTGCTCACCACCATCGAGTCCATTCGAACCCGCGCTCTCGGTGCGTCCCCTGTCCCGCCCCTCGGGCTCGCATCCCGCCTGACCCTCTCGCCCCGCCCCGCCCCCGCAGCGTGCCGGACGTGCGTCTTCGCGCTCCACCACGAGGTCTCGCGCCTGCTCGAGGTCCAGCGCGCGTTCCGGCAGCTCTCCTACTTCGACCTCCGCCGCCGCTCCCACCTCATGATCCAGTTCGCCCGGCTGACGATCAGCATGCCCATCGCGCTCGAGGAGGCCCTCCGTGCGCAGAAGGAGGAGGACGACTACGGCGAGGACCCGCCCGCGGACGAGACCGCGCTCGTCAACCGCCGCGTCTTCGTCCTCCTCCGCGGCGTCGTCTCCGTGCTCGAGCGCATGGAGAAGCTCGTCCAGAAGTGAAGTCCTCTGGGCCCGATGCGTGCCCCCGCCCCCTCCTCCTTGGTTCGTTCCCCTCGCCCTCGCTGCTCCCCATTCTCCCCCACCTCTCGTCTAGACCTGATCGCCCGCCTGGTCTATGCATTCCCACTCCCGCCCTCGCGCCTGCTCTGCTTTCGCCCGCCACACCATTTGACCTACATTATTGCTATTCTCCTTCGCGCCCCCGCGCGCATGCTGCGTTCGTCCGTTCACCGCATTCATCGGCCCCCCTTCCACCTGCATCATAGAACCGGCCCTGTTGACATTCCTCCCGCCGCTGGCGCACGTGTAGTTGTACAAGCGTGTCCCACTCTCTGTCTCTTGTATCCCCCACATGATTCCCACTCCCGCGATCTGCTGCAGAATCCAGATGCGTGCGTACTCCGCGCCCTCGGATCCCGATCTTCGTCGTTCCTTGCGTGCGTCAGAAGCATAGCCTCAACAGCTTTGAAGCGGCTCGCATGAATGCACGGCGGGACAGCGTGGAGGACGAATAAACGTAACGACGGGCTCGTGTGGCGGCCCCGAGCGTTTGAGATAACCGGACTACAGTATAAGACAAATGAACTAGAATACATGGAGGCGGTTTCGCACCAGCAGGGGCACAGGCAGCAGAAGCAGGAGGCGAAAGGAGAGAAACAAGGAAGCCGCAGGGACGCGCGGAGAGAGGTATGGTGCTAACATAGTGAGACAGAAGGTTCGAGAGGGGAGGGAAAGGACGAGAGGTGCGGGAGAGGGGAGAGGGGTGCGGTGCGGAAAGGGAAGGGGAAACTACGATATACATGGTCCGAACGTTGCTCTGGTGCGGCGGAGCCGCGCTCATGTCTGCTGGGGCGGCAGTGGGCCTGAGCCGAAGACCGCTGGCGGCGGTGGCGGACGAGGGCCCTGCACCGCGTCTACGATGAGCATCCACGCAGCGCGCAGAGGAGACAGCAACAAGACGTACCGGGCCATTCCAAGACTGCATGTGAGTCGATGGGGTCGGCTCCTTCTCCTCGAGCATGTAGTGCTCGCTGTTGTACGTGAACGGGAGGGCCGCGCCTGCCCCATGCGACTCCGAGTAGATTGCAGGGTAAAAGTACGCCGATGGGAGTTCTGGCATCGTCGCCTGCCCCGGCTTTTTGTCGCTGCCGTGCATGTGCATGCCCTTGATCGCAGGTGGGCCGAAGGCGCCGCCGTTCTGTCGCAGCGAGGAGCCGCCCTTGGGCGTCGTGGGCGACTGGCCCGAGTGCGACATAGAGCCGGGTTTGGGCGAGAGGATGTTCTCCCCATCCCAGTCTTGCTCTGGGAGGAGCACCGGCGGCCCCGTTGGCGCGACCTGGTGCAGATTCACGTCCAGCACCTTCTCGGCGAGCTTGGCGATGAGCGGGTGCCCGAGCTTGTTGTCTTTCCGCTCCCAGCGCCAGCGGAAGGACGGAAGCATGTCGAGCGCCATCCACACGTCTTCTAGCGCGGTCTGATGTGAGATACGGTCGCACTCCGACATGTGCCCGTACAGGATGACCATAGCAGCGATATGGAGTGGAATCGGCGAGACGTAGAAGGCGATGTCGGGGAACCGAATGAGCTGGTTGTGAACAACGATGATATTGTGAGACGTCACAATGGCTGCGTGCGGGACGTGAGCAAAGACCTGTCGATCATTCAGATGCAAGACGAACCGTCGATGAGTGCGCGATGCCGTTGGTGGTAGTCGAGCTCCTTCGAGCTGAACAACGCACGGAGCAATAACACCTTCGTGATGCCGATCTTCAACAGCGTCAGGCCTTGGTCTTCCGTGATCTGAGTGACCAATGCCGTGCGCTTCTCCACAGACCAGTCATCCGTGCCGCTGAAGAAGTACTTGTAGGCCTCGGGGAGCTGTTTGCGGAACACCACCATGCTCCTGATGATCCGGGTGGCGTGGCGCATAATCGCGTCTGCAGTCTGTCTGGTCGGGGCGTAGAGGGAATTGATAATATCCGCCTGGATCTCCGCAATGGGAGCACTGAGCACACAGTGCTCTGAGATCTCGGTGCCCTTGCCACGCGTAGGGCGCGGCGTGTCCGAGTCGGACGGCGCGATAGCGAGTGGCCGCCCGAGCAGGATGGACGTGCCGCGGTCGTGCACGAGAACGGTGGACCAGAGCCGAATCCGGAGCTGGCATTCCTCTTCGGTGAAGATCTCCGCCTGTGACGTCGGATCGTGGTGCAGCCCGAGCTCAATCGCAAGTCGGACTATGCTCCCGACGAGACGCCACATCGTCCGTCCCTGACGCTATGGTGCAACCCAAATGTCAAAAGAAGCGCAGTGAGATTCTGATGAGTCTTACCTCGGTATAGAGGTACCAAAGGAGCAGGATGAGCGCCTGCAAACTGGACACGGTGACCCGCAGATCCGGTTTGACCATGAGCGCCAGCTGGAAAAGTTCGTCGTGTTCGGGCCACTCGGCCGGAAGGAGCGACCTTGCGTTGGAAGCGACGCCCAATTGGGTGTTGTTGTCCATCTTGCTGACACGGTGGTTGAGCTCGCTGAGAGTCCCCAGCGCGAGTACAAGGTAGACGCAGCAGACAAACCCAGGGTCGTGGGGGATCACCTTGCCGTCGTAGAGCGCATCAAGCGTCTGCTCAAACTCCGAGCGGAGGAGCACAGGACGGTGGAAGTTGAGCCCCTTGAAGTACCTGTCGAGGACCTCCCTGACCGTGTCCCGGGACTTGGGTAAGTAGACCTGGATGATCGTCGTCGTCGCGGGAGTAACTGGAGCTGTCTCATCGTTGGGCTGCGACACGCTGTTGCGACGCATGGTGACTGTGATCCATTTTGACGAATCGCGAGGAACTTGCGTCTCTGTCGTGTCGCGGTCGCGGCCGGAGGTGAGGCCATTGGAGCCCACTGCGAGGTCCTCCCTGTCGGTCGGGGGGATTGTCACATCGTTCATGATAGCAGAGGCGACACCGAAAGCGTTCGCTAAGGCCTGGGTGAGGGAATGTCAGGATACTCTCTCAGGCGCGCAAACTCAGTTCAAGCGCGCAGTTTTTGAATCATTGGTCCCCATAGGACGGTGGAGGGCATGGAAAATTGTCGGCCAGACAGGGGGAAGGAACACGGGGCCCCGCGACGGCGCAAAAAATTGAACAGAGGCCGAGTGTATGCGTTGCTTACCTGCGTATTCGTCATGTCATACGAATAAGGATCCTGTCCACGGATCTCATGCGGCGACGGTGGACGCGGTGGACCAGAGCCCGGCGGAGGAGGCAATGGGTGCTGGAAAGGAGGCGGCGGCGGCATCACGCGCGGGTCGTAGCCTGGCGGAGGTGGACCATGCATGGGCATGTGGTGAGGAGGCGGGTACGGGGGATAGGGCATGGGCATGTGACCGCCATGATAAGGCGGCGGGTAGCTCATCGGCTGGCCAGGAGGAGGATATGGGTAGCCTCTGGGCGGAGAGCCATCCATCGGCCCTTCCGAGCGGAGAGGGAAGCCACGGGTGGTGGCTGATTGCGGGGAGTGGGGGGCGAACTGGAACGCACTGGAGCTCTCGCCAGTGTCGATTTCGATGCCCTCGCGGGCGAGGATGGCGTCGAGGTCATTGAGGTCGAAAGAGGGATTGTGGCGCTTGAGAAGGGCCTCACACTGCTGAAGCTGGCGTTCGATGCGCTCTGTGTGGCCGCGAGGGGTGAGAGTCTGGCGATGGCGATCCTCCTGCTGGCAGGGGGTGCCGGCGGTGGCACAGGCGGTGCAGCGGGGGTGCTTGGAGTCGCACTGGGGACGGGGGGAGGGAGAATGGAGGGGGACGGGGACGCCGGATGTTAGCGGAGTCGGGTGGTCAAACGGGGGATTTGCCGTCGGTGTCGCCCGACGGGACTTGCCTTGATTTTCTTGCTCCTGCAGCGCGCGCACGCCTCATGGGACCGCCTCAGACGGCGGGGCTCTGCCGGATGCACGGGCTCGTCGCTGCCGTCGTTGGCCTTTCTCCGCTTCCTCGACGAGGGCTGGGAGCCGGGCGTAGTGGGTGGGGGCGGTGAGTGCTGGGGCGTCGGGGGCGGCTGCTGGTTGGGGTCAATCTGGAGGGCGGTCTGGAGGGACGAGTGGGCGAGGTTGAGGTCCGGGTGGGGTGGTAGGAGGTGAGTCATGGCAGGCGGCGGTGGACGTCGAGGACGACGAAGGGAAGATTATCAACGATGTTGCCAGCGCCCGACCTACGCAAGACGCGCCCCAGCGTCTCCACATGCCTGCTATAGCCCCCGCGCCCCGCCCACCGCTCCCGCCCTCGCGCGCGTCGCACGCACAGACCCTGAAGCCTACGCCTGAAGGCCCGCCCCCCAGCGTGCGTGCAGCCCTCGTCGACGCTCGCCTGCCTTGCGCTAAGTGACGACAGAATGCACGGTTCCACGCCGTATTCGTGTGTGCCTGCCTCGCAGGGGCTGGGAGGACGATTAGCCTTCCTTTGATCCTACCTGGGACTGGTCCGTACGCAGACACTCGAGGACAAAGCAGGATGACTTCTGCCTCTCGTCCATATGTCCACGATCGCGCAGGAAACCATCTCGTCCATAGTCTGAGCCAAGTCTGAGCTCGGCCCCGCCTACTCGCCCCAGTCCGGGACGGAGAGCAGAGGACGCACGTGGAGCGGCTTACGCCGTTCGGCGCTCACCTAAGCCCCGCTCCGCTCTCTCATCTCCCCCTTCGGCTCTGTCCGTTCGTCTGCCCCGTCCCCCTAGTGCTCGCCATGAGCACCGTCCCCCCCACACATCCACAGCGCCCTGACGCTCCGTTCTCCGACTACCAGTCCCTTGTCCCAAGCAACCGCTCCTCCTATTCCCTGGCCACCGTCGCCGATACTTCCTCTCCAACCCCCGGCACATCTCTTCTTGCGCACTCTGAGCCTAGCTATGGCTCCATACAGCCCTCCCAGCCCTCCAACCGCAGGCTCATCTGGAACGCCGCGTTGAAGATGGCCGTCATTTTTTTCGTCAGCACAGCCCTTCTCGGCGGTACTCTCTGGCTTGCCCTTCCTACCCTTCAGGAGTATGTCTAAATAGTGCACTCTTTCTTCCGGCTGCTAACGACTCCTCTAGGCAAGATAGACCGATGCTGAAGATCCCCAAGAGCTTCGACGAGCTTAAGAATCTCAACGTATTGCTCAAGAAGTACCGTGACATCTACCCCTACCGCATTGTTGTCTGCTATGTGATCACATACTTTTTGTACGTCCCATCTCATCTTCAAATCCCATACCCCCGCGCCGCGCATCTTCCCGATTCTTCTCTCTCGAGCGCCGCTCTGGCCTAACCGTATGCGTTGGTGACCTTATGTCCGGCCCTTCTCATTCGATGGCCCCATGGCGCTAGGTGTCCTCTCATAACAATGCTTACCCACCGCCGTTCTCTAGCCTGCAAGCATTCTCCCTCCCTGGTTCGATGTATCTCTCCATCCTTGGAGGCGCCGTGTGGGGTGTGCCCCGCGCGCTACCCCTCGCCTGTGCGTGTGTAGCCACTGGCGCTACGCTTTGCTACCTGATCAGTGCAGCGCTCGGACCCGCATTGCTCACCATGCCGCGCTGGAAATCTAAACTGGACGTCTGGGCCGACAAGCTCCGCGCACACAGGGACGACATCATCTCCTTCCTCATCGTCCTCCGAATTGCGCCCCTGCCGCCGCACTGGGTCGTCAACGTTGTCTGCCCGCACGTTGGTATCGGCATCGTCCCGTTCTGGATCAGCACGTTCCTGGGCATTTTCGGCGTCACCGTCATCCACACCACCATTGGCGGCAGCCTGGACGAGATGACGTCCCCAGAGGACTTCCACCTGATCTCGTGGAGGAATTTCTTCGGTCTCTCCGCCGTCGTTGTCGGCGTGATGATCCCCGTCGGCCTGCGCTACTACCTCCGCCGACAAGTCGCCGCCGTGGCGGACGTCGAGGTGGACGCGGAGGCCGCGGACGACGGCGCCGGCCCGAGCGAGGACCGCATCCTCGAAGAGGGCCCGCGTGCGAACGTGGCCAAGGGCAAGGACGCACCGCTCATCCTCTTCTCAGACGACGATAGCGAGCTCGGGTCGGACGAGGACAGCGACGAGGACGTCATCCTCGAGGCGGGCCCCGCGCTGATCATCAAACCCGACGAGTCGCGCTCGCTGCCCGGGGAGCGAGCCCGGCGATGAACGCGCTATTCCGCCTGCGCGCCTCGCGCGCAAACCAACCCAACCAGCCCCGATCACGACCTATGCCCGCAGCGGGCCACGACCGCACTGTAGAATCCCACATCGCCCACCATCCTTGTATCATACTCCCCCACCCTCCGCTCGTTTCTCCCCTCCCGCATCCGACAACCCACCCCCGCCTTTTCCCCGTCCCCGCTGTGCGTGATTTAGATGCTTGTCGTCGCCCCCTTTCGTGTTCATGCTGGATTTTCTCCCTCTCTTTGGATTGGACCTGCTTGGTCTCTGCCGATCTGTTCCCCCGCTCAAGGCCATACCGCGCCGGGCCCAGCACGCGTTCCATCCGCGCTGGTCTCTGGCGTGACGGCGGAGGCGCGGATCACTGTGTATATACCAGCCTACCTGTACGTGTACGAATAGGTACTAATAGTGTGTCATGGACTGTACGAATGCACCCTCTACCGCAGCCCCCAACCTAGCAATCGTGACAAAGTGAGGTTTGCGTTTCCCCCAAGTACCTTCAACTATCCCTCGGCGCTTGGCGTTTTAGAGTGCTTGAAACGCGTCCTGCAGGCCCTGGAGCTTGATCGTGCGCGTCAGGAGATTCAACGATGCCGTTTGTCTGGGCGCGCCGATGAGCGCCTACCGATGCTGCTTTGCTTTTGATGGCGCGCGAGCACGAATGCGAGCGTGCGTGGGGCGTAGTGCCGTCGTCGATCGAAGCCAACGAGGTCGGCGTCATGCGCATGCAGCAGAACGAACGGGTTGCGACCGCGGGCACGGAAGCACGGAGGAGGAGGAGGAGGAGGCGGGTGATTATATCATGGAGACCAGAACCGGCGGGCCCTGCGGCGTCCGCGAAGGTTGGCGGTCGGGCGGTCGGACAGGAGGGAGCGCGCGCACGCCCAAACGCGCGCGAGTGGGAGGCGTCGAGGGGGTCGTTCTGGCGCGCTCGGGAAGAGTACATACGCAATGGAAGGCGCGCGCGCGTTGGCGGGCGAGTCCTAGGGCCCTATAGCTAGGGACTCGGTCTGGACGTGCGGTGTGCACTCTGGGCCTCGGGTCGTGAGTCGCCACTGAGGCGGGCGCAGATGATGACCGGAGTAGATGCCGGGGCCGCTCCGGCTCGCTCGCGCGGATATCTGCGAAGCGGTCACGTTCTTGAGAGCGGAAAGCGCGAGAGGTGGAAAGCGGTCGTGTTTGTGCGGCCAACGCGCGGGCGAGCCTCGTTGCGAGGACGGAGGACGGCGGGCGGCGGCGGCGGCGGAGGAACGGTTGGGAGGGCGGGGCCGCGACTTCACCGCGAGCCGCTGTGGCTTTCCAGCCCTTCGTCCGGCGACGAGCGCTGCGCGGGTGAGCTGCCTGCGCGCGTCGTCGTCGCGCGCCCGAGTGTCACAGGGCGTTCGCTCTCGTTGCCCCGCGACATCGCCGCTATCGACGTTCGTCGCAGCCACGGCCATCACTGCTTCCCGTTGCCCATCCCGAACCCCTCCCCGCCCGGTCCTCCGTCCGAGCGTGACACTGACTGCGCTCTGCAGCCATCCTCGGGATCGGTGCAGGGTGCGGGCGGGGTGATGGATGAGTGCGGTTCGCAGTACCGCTGCACTCTCCCGCGGTGGCGCGGCTCGGCCAACCTTGTACCAGACGGCGGCGGTGCCCGGCCAGTGCCGGCGGGCAGCGGAGTCGGGCCACGCGAAACGGCGCGGGCTGGCAGCTTCGACGCAGGGACGACATGCATCGACGCGCATCGACAGAGCCCTTAGGGTCCGGGGCGGCAGAGGCGGAGAAGGCCCGCGCCGGGCAGCCGTGAGCGGAAGGGCGTGCAGCGGGGGTGCAGACCAAGTGCAGGTCCGAGTCCGAGGCCGCATGTACCGCGCCGGACGCGGGCACGAAGCAGAGAGAACGACCGAGCGGGTCAGATGCCCCGCCCGATAGTCCGTCCTCCTATCGCGGCCAGACGTCCTGAGCAGCATGAGGCCAGCCAGAGCGCGAGCTGCCGTCGAGCGCAGGTCCGTGCGCACCGCTAGGGGGAGACGGACATCGCGAGCGCCGTCCACGGGCCCGTCCTCGCCGCCCGCGTCGGGACTCCGAGTCGCGATGGGCGTCCCCGGCGACGTCACACCCGGACAACACTTGCACGGAGCGCTGCCCAGTGGCCGGGCGGTTGCACCCCGTTGCAGGCCGCTGCGTCCGTCCCCCGCTGTGCTTGCCCAGGCAGCGCACGGACAAGTTGAAGCTCGGCTCCTCGGCACCGGCGCTTGCCCCTCCGTCCGGGCGTCTCCGTCGTCTGAGCTGCGTCACAAACTCGCGTCACCCCGCGTCACAGGCGGTCACAGCACCGCGCCTGCCCCGCCCCGCGCCCCGCGCCCCCACTGCGAGCGGGCGGGAGGCGAGGACAGCGGGCTCAGAGCATATGTCCGCGGGGTGCGCGCGGTGGCTGGCGGCGAGGCGAGGGCGTGCGCGGGCGTGCGCGGGGAAGAGGCGTCGAGAGAGAGGGGACGGGCGTCTGCCCAAGCTCCGCCACAGATTTGTGTTTGAGCGTGTATACCGTTATTCAGGGCTTCGCCGACCTCACGTTGCCCCCGTCCGCTCTTCCCTCCCACCACCATCCTCCTCGTCCGCCGCCCTTATCTCCCCTCCCGCCCTCGCCAGAAGAGCCCCCTGCGCGACTCTGCGCCCGACTCCTCCGAACTCCCTCCCGCTGAGGGCGGCCGCCCGGCCCCACCACCCGTCTCCGGCCTACTCTCTATCCGCCGCCGCCCACATCCCGCCCCTGTCCCCGCTCCCATCCACCATCCATCGCTCTTCCCTCCTCCCTCCCCTAGATGTTGCCCAACAACTTCGTCGTTTCCGGCCAGTCCGGCATGCCCCAGGGCCAGTCACAAGGCCAGCCGGGGATGAACAACATGCTGTGGCTACAGCAGCAGCAGCAGCGCCAGCAGCAGCTACAGCAACAGCAGAACCAGCTCGGTGCCTTCCACTCCCCCCAGGTCAATGGAAACGGAGGTCAGATGAACCAGCAGGTACGCCTCTCCCTCGCCCGTCATCGCTCGCGCGTGTCGCATCGCTCCCCCACATCTCCCACGAGACCCCCACGAACTCTCCATACGTCCTGGCCTGCACGCGTGTCTCTCGCCTTCCACGCGGACGAGGAGGTCGCCGTCCGAGGCCTCCATCTCTCCCTCCACCGCCTTAATCTCCCTGCACCAGCATTTACTCACGCCCGTCTGATTATGTCATCATCCCACCTGCATCCTGTCTGCCCTTCTTCCCGCCCGTACTGACCTTCTCTTCCTCTCGCTCATGTAGATGCTCCAGATGCTCCGTCAGCAGCAACCAGCCGCTCGACAGATGAACTTCAGTGGCATGCAGCATCTCGCCGGCAACAACGCCTCCCCGTTTCAGCATGACCCCTCTCAGGGTCTCCAGAACGTTCACGCCCAGGTCGGAAACGCCCCGACGCCGCAGAACATCAACCAGCTCCAGATGCAAGCTATGCGCGCAGGCCAGCCCAACGGCATGTTTTCAGCCCAAGGCGGATCGATGAACCGTCAGCTCGATATGCTCATGGCCCACAACCAAGAGAACCAGCGAGCTATGGGGAACAACGCCTCCATGGCCATGGTCCAGCGCGCGCTCCAGCAACAGAGCCAGCTTCAGTCGCAAGGCCCTCAACAATCGCACCACCAGATGAACGCGACACAGATACCCGGTCTTTTCCCCGGGGGTCCCAACATGAACGCCGCGTCGATGAACCCCAACCTCGCTAGCAGCATGCAGCTTGCGCAAATGCGTCAGCAACAGCTCCTGAACCAGTCCCAGCAGGGCCTGCAAGACTCCTCGTTGCAGTCACAACAGAACGGCGCCGGTCAAGGACAGGCCAGGCAACCAAGCATCCACGAGATGAATCAGCGGGCTACCGCGCTGCGGTCCGGTCTCAACGACAGCGAGGCTCGTCTCAAGAACCTTCAGAACCAGCCGGGGGTCCCGATGACTGACCAGCTCGCCATGGAGATCACGAAGGTTCAGAAGGAGGTCGAGATGCGGAGACAGGCCCTGAGTCGCGCGTTGATCATCATGCAGAACCTGCAGAACCGTGGTGTGGCAGGCTTTCCGAACGGGGCGAATGGCAATGCAGGCGCGGGTGGCTTCCCGAACGCAGCTATGTGAGTCGTTCGTGCATCTACTCTCCGACGCTCGCTAAGCTGGGGTATAGGAAACCGCCCATGGTGACCTCCCCAGTTCCTCCTCAGCGCATGGCTGCAGGGCCGCAAAACCCGGGCCAGCCGAATTGGATGTCGCAGACCGGCGCCTCCCCCTCGATGAACAACACTCCTCGACCGATGCCGCAGAACATGCGCATGCCCGGTGGACAAGCGCCCGGTATCAGCACGCCGCAGCTTCCCCCTCAGATGACTCCTCAGGCGGGTCAGCACCTTCAGCGCCCAGGGACCACAACTGGACTCAACCCCGGCGGTGCTCCTCTTGGCGCCGGCCAGCCGTCTCAGCCCGGAATGCCGAACGGTATGGGTGTCAACGGCATGAACAGGCAGCAGATGGTCGGCGCCCCGTTCCAGCCCCTTGCGCGCGAAACCTTCCAGAAGGCGTTCTATGATCAGTGGTTGCCCAAGCATGGCGCGAAGGACCACTCCATCCTCCACTTCGAAGGCCGGGACATCGACCTCTACCAGCTGCATTGCGAGGTCATCACTCAGGGCACGTTCCAGACCGTGAGTAACCTCCCTGGCCGCGCGCCGGGCTACATCCCTTACCCGTTCGAGCAGGTCAAACAGAAGGACCTGTGGCCCGTCATCGGCGCGCGGATGGGCTGGGTACATTTCCCCGGGACGGACACCGAGCCGGGCCGCGCGGGGCCCGCGCTCGCGTCCCACCTCGAGCACATCTACACCGAGTTCCTCAAGGAGTTCGACAACCAATACCTCCGCCAGCTCGTCCAACACCGGCGCACGCAAATGGCGAAGGCTGCGGCCGAGAGCGGCGGGGCCCCGCGCGCGCCTCCCGCGCTCGCGGAGATCGCCGCCAAGGACCCGAAGGTGATGGGCGAGATCGTCTCGTACTCGAACCTCTCCGTGCAGGAGATGCAGGCGCGCGGCTTGCCGCCGAACGTGATCGCAATCGTGGACCGCTACCGGGAGCAGCTGAAGCCGATGCTTGAGCAGCAGCAGAGCTTCGCCAAGAACATCCAAAACGCCCAGGGCCAGCGCAACGTCTCGAACCCGATGTTCAGTGGCATGCCCGGCCAGTCCAGCGCGAACACGCCGATGGCGAACGCTCAGCAGGCGTCGATGAACATGGCCGCGCAGATGCAGCACCTCCAGAATATGCAGCAGGCGCAACAGCAGGCCCAGGCGCAGCAGCAGGTGCTCCACCAGCAGCAGCAGCAACAGCAACAGCAACAACAGGAGCAAGCGCTTCAGCAGCAGCAACAGCAGCAGCAGCAGCAGCATCAGGCGCAGCAGCAGCAACAGCAGCAGCAGCAGGCAGGTCGGCAGCAGTCACCTCAGCAGGGCATGCAGGCGTCGGGGTCGATGATGCCCAATGGCCAGCAGGTTCAGCAGATGGCGATGAACGGACAACGAGGCCCGATGATCGCGGGCTTCAACCGCCCCACGCCCCAGCAGTCGCAGGCCGCGATGGAGATGGTGAAGCGAATCCGGGACGAGAACAAGAGTGAGTTGAACGGCCGGTAGCGCGGCGGGAATGCTCATGTGGTGTCTCTTGCAGCCCTCTATTCGAACGCCGCGCATCCGCTTCAGATTCCCGACTCGCAGCGGTTACAGTACGGCCACAGTTTCGACCAGCTCTATCATCTCGTGGTTGGGCTAGACCAGAACCTCCCGCATTTTGCGGTCTGCATGAAGGAGGACGTGATCAAGAAGCTCGTGATCATGGTGCGTCCCATCGTAACCGTTTCGTGAACGAACCTTTTTGAATGGTCAATCGTATAGATCAACGCCGTACATCAGCAGCGTGATCTGCTTTCCGGCCAAGGGCCTCCGAAGTACTTGATGCCTCTAGAATGGGTAAAGCAAATGATTGTCCAAGTGCAGCAGGCGAACTTTATGTTCAAGGGCTGGCTCAATGGCCGTCCAACTTTCCCCGGCCAGCAGCCCGGGATGGCTCCCCAGCCCCAACCGCCTCGTCAGAACGGGCAGGCTCCTCCTCTCAGTCAGCAATCTCCCTCCGCACCCACCCCCATCGCTTCATCTCCCCCCGCACCCGCTGCTCGCACCCCGTCCGCGACGTCGCCACCGTTCGTGGCTGGTACCCCTGTTCAAAAGATTCCCCAGAAGCCGACCCCCAAGTCGGAGTCCGCCTCCACCCCCACCCATACCGTCAACTCTCCCGCTGCCGCTCCCCAGACCCCCAAGGTCAAGGCAGCAGCGAAGCCGTCGAAGCCGAAGCCCGTCCCCCGCAAGTCGTCGAAAGCGATCGCCCCCAGTCCATCCGCCGGTCCGTCAGAAGTCAAGCCGCCATCAACGCCCGCGGCGGCTCCCGCGACTCCCGTGCAGAGCGCACCCACACCAGAACCCTCGTCAGGCATGAAGCGTCCGCGCGAGGACGAGACGGGGCTGGCATCGGGGCAGGCGGTCGCGCCGGCGGCGAAGAAGACTAAGTCGAACTTCGACGACCAGCCGAGCGACGTGCTAGTGAAGCGGGAGATGGAGGCGGAGAGCATCAAGACCGACGACGACGCGTCCAAGTTCTTCGATCAGATGACGAGCTGGCTGAGCCAGGTCTCGGGCGACGGCGACGACGGGCAGGGCAACCTGCTGACGATCGCGCGCACGCTCGAAGACATCCTCCAGCCGTACACGACGAACCCAGACGACAGCGGGCTCGCGCTCAGCTTGCTCGGGGGCGCGTCACCAAAGATGGGGGGCGCGACGGTGGACCCCGCCGACTTTTTCGACTTTGTGTCGTACGAGCTGCCCGAGGTGGACGCCGGGTCGAAGGCGGCGACACCAGACCTCGTACTAGGCTCGTCGTCAGTGGGACCGAGCCCGGGGTCCGCGTCGGAAACGGAGGCGCACCCGCCAGCGTCGGTGTCGGCGGCGGACACGGCGAAGATCGCGGAGCCCAAGACGGAGGAGTCGGACTCGATACCATCAGACCTCTGGCGGGCGATCGACGGCGGCGAGGCGGGTTTCTACAACTCGTCGCAGGACTGGAAGTGGGATCAGCCGATGGCGCCGGTGGACCAGCCGTGGGCGATCTACCCGTCATCATAGCCCGTGGGGAGGAAGGCCGGTGAGTATTGCGCTTGTGGACCGTTCTCGTGCTCTTATCTCGTAACGTATTTGCCTTGTGCTTGTAGTATGCCCCGTCCCTGCCGCTGCCTGCCCGCCTTGCTGCCTTCGCGTGTACATAGTGGAGTGGATGCCCCCTCGCTCGTCGCATCTCTCTGTTGTTGTTTCTTGGTTATATTAGTCGGCTCTTCTGTATTTCTATCATCGTCGCATGCTATCGATATTTCCCTGCTGCCGCTCAAACTGCCGGATGCCTTTGGCGACGCCTGGGGATGTGGTTTGGCCGAGTGCGGTGCAGCTTGGGCAAGACAGGTACGCAGAAGCCAGCGCGGGCCGCCTGCCGCCGCACGGTGTCTGCGCCTCCTCCACTTGCCCTCCACTCTCATGTCCCCGTCGCGCTCGCTGCACCATGGCGGCCCTCAACCTCAACGCGATCACCGAGAATGCGTCCAGGCTCGGCATGCGTCTGCAGGAGACCCTCTCTGAGCACACCAGAGACCTCAGCATCCGTGGCTCCGGCGCCGCCTACCTCGACAACACCGAGGACAAGGTAAAGAACATCGCCAAGCAGCTCGACTCGAACAGCGATCGCGAGAAGCTGGACGCCATGAAGCGGCTCATCGGCGTGCGTTCTTTCTGCTTATCTCTCTGCGACTCCCCCACTCCAACTGCCCTCGTGCAGCTGATCTCGAAGGGCCGGAACGTGTCCGAGTTCTTCGCCCAAGTCGTCAAGAACGTCGCGTCGCACAACCTCGAGATCCGCAAGCTGGTGTACATCTACCTCCTCCGCTACGCCGAGCAGGAGCCCGACCTCGCCCTGCTCTCGATCAACACCTTCCAAAAGGACCTCTCGGACGCAAATCCGCTCATCCGCGCCATGGCTCTTCGCGTGCTCTCGGGGATCAAGGTGCCCATGATAGCGAGCATCGTCATGCTCGCCATCAAGAAGTGCGCCGCAGACATCAGCCCGTACGTGCGCAAGGCCGCCGCGCTCGCCATCCCGAAACTCTACCAGTGAGTGTATGCCTCTCCTCGCACGCTTGCCCCATTCACCCCACCTCTTGCCCACCCCGCGCAGACTGGATTCCTCCCGCCAGGGCGAACTCATTCAGGTCATCTCCACCCTCCTCAAAGACCAGTCCCCGCTTTCCCTCGGAAGCGTCGCCATCGCCTTCGATGCCGTGTGTCCTACCCGCCTCGACCTCCTCCACCGACACTACCGCCGCCTCTGCCGCACGCTCGTAGACATGGATGAATGGGGCCAGGTCGACCTCATCAATCTCCTCGTTCGCTACGCGCGCGTCATGCTTCCACGCCCGGCCACCGATGGCCCCAGTGCAGAGCTCGACCCGGACCTGCGGCTTCTCGTCTCATCCACCGAGTCGCTTTTCCAGTCGAACAACCCCGCTGTATGTTCTTCCTCCTCCCCTTCCGTGCAATACATCTCGTGCCCCGATCCGATGACCATACTGGTGCGCTGCAGGTGGTGCTCGCCGTCGCGCGGGTCGTCTACTACCTCGCGCCCGCGGCGGAACTCCCGAAGACTGTCCCGCCCCTCCTGCGCCTGCTGCACGTCTCGACCGAGGTCGAGCGCGTCGTGCTCGCCAACCTCGCGATCACGTCCCTGTCGATATCGGTCAGTCGCTCGCGCTCGTGCCCCGTCCGCGCGCAGGCCCTGACCGGTCCAGGTGCGTGTCTCAGGAGGTCTTGTCCAAGTCGTACACCCGATTTCTGGTCAGGGCGGACGACCCGCAGCAAGTGAAGAAGGACAAGATCCGGCTGCTACGCGCCGTCGCGAACGCGGAGACGTATCCTGCGCTCCTGCGGGAGTTCATCGTCAGTGTCAACCCTCAGGTTGAGTGGTGCCGTGCTAACGCTGGCATGTCCTCAGTGCTATGCGGACGATCCGGATGACGAGCTTGTAGCGGACTCGATTCAAGCCATCGGCTACGTCGCCCGCGCTGTGCCGGAGTCGACACAACAATGTCTCACCGCGCTTATGTCCTTCATACAAAGCAAACATGGTGAGTATAGTGCTCTATGTCCAACTCTGCTGTTCGCCGACCGGCCATTCGGCAGACGTCATCGTTACGAACGCAGTCTTAGTCCTCAAGTCTCTGGTCCAGATCCGTCTGCAGCAGCAACAAGACGCAATCGCCTACGGCGCTTTCCCCTCCCAGAGCTTCTCTCCCCTTGAGATCATCGCCCGTCTCGCGCGCAGGTTAGACGAGATCCGCCACCCCAAAGCGCGCGCATGCGTCTTGTGGCTCGTCGGGCAGTACGCCGCCAGCCCCGAAAACGCCGCGAACGGCATCGCACATGCCGGCCCCGAAGGCCTCGTGCCATGGGCGCCCGACGTCCTCCGCAAAGCCGCCAAGTCGTTCGCGACCGAGGTCTGCTTCTGTTCTCTTGATTCCCCCGCAAACAGACTGATGGATTTCGCTCTCATCTTGCCCGCAGACCCCGCTCGTGAAGCTGCAGAGTGTGACACTCGCCGCAAAGCTTCTCGTGCTCAGCCCCGCCGCGCGTCCCGTCCTCCTCCTCGCCCGCTACGTCTTCTCGCTCGCGCGCTACGACACCGACTACGATGTGCGCGACCGCGGGCGCGCGCTCAGCGCGCTCCTCGCAGGGGTCGCGGGCGACCTGTACGCAACAGAGACGGGCGACGATTGGAGCCGGCACGAAGACGTCGCCGGCGTTGTCCTCCGCCGCGAGCAGGTCAAGATGGTGCTCTTCGCCGGCAAGACGAGTCCCGCTGAAGAGGCCCCCGTAGACGGTGCGCACTCTTTCTCCCTTCCTCCACACCCCCCGTGCGTCCGAATCCCGCTCAACTCTTTAACCGTCCGCGCACAGAGGACGACCGCGGCCGCTTCGGCTCGCTCGCCGCGATCACCGGCCGCTGGGCGGGCGGCGACAACTACCTGCCCGACTGGCTCGAGGAGGGCGTCGACCCTGCGCTGCGCGAGTCCGAGGCGGACCGGCTGCCGCCCGCGCCGTTCGCCGCGCCCCAGTCTGCGGCCGCCGCGGTGCGCTCGATGTCGTCGGCGTCGGGCCGGGCGTCGCCGGTGGTACTCACCCCGGGCGGCGTGTCGCCTGCGGGGTCGGTCACGAAGCAGGAGGGCAAGGCGGCGTACCTCGATTTGGACAAGTTCTATGAGGATGCGGGAGAGGAGAGCGAGGAAGAGGATGACGATGACGACGACGACGATGACGACGAAGAGGATGCTGAAGAGGACGGGGATGGGGATGGAGACGACGACAGCGGGGAGGAAGCGGAGTCAAGTGAGGAAGAGGACGATAGCGAGGATGGAGAGAACACAGCGCTCGTTCCTACAACCACAGGGTAGTCCAGGTAGCCTTCAACACATGGGACCACCTTTATGCAATCCAAGCGCCCGTTGACTTGACCGTGCTGTTCACCTCCGTCAATGCTGTTTGTGCTCAAACTGAGCAATATGAAATTTAGTGGCGTGCTCGAGCTTTTCCATGCACCTTTCAGAATAGCAAAATGTCATGGAAAGTGCGGATTTTTGCCTGCTCACCAAACAACGGCCAACGTGGGCCAACTGGGAACATCACTGCTACCGGATCCTCCCTCCCAAGCTCATCAAAGAGGCGAAGCACGCGCCCACGCCTGCAGCAATCCAGATAACTTAAGATGGGTGTCATATAAATTATACATTGTGCCAAGTACGTCGAGCGAGCCGTTTCGGTGCCCAGTGCTCATGTTATGTCCCAGCCCGCCCATGGTGAGACATTCCTAATGCGATTACATGTGTCATAAAGGTGGCTACCTCACATTGTCCAGCGAGCCTAAATCACCATTCGCGAGCTCCTTCGGGTACATTGTAATACAACGGCTGGAAAATCGGACGTCAGCATGGGATACTGCTAGAAGAACGGCCGGCTCACCGTATCGAAGACGTGGTACGCGTGGCCGTTGACCCCGCCGCGCTGGGGGTAGTACGCCATCGGGAACCGCTACGCGTGCGCCAGTAAGCACCAGTCGTCCGCAAAAACCCCAGGGTCGACACTCACATGGTCCTCGGGCAGGTTCTCCTTCCACGAGCGGAGGTACCGCGCCTCGCGGCCGTCGTCCACGACGCCCGCCCCGTGCCTCGGCACCACGAACTGCGCGACCTGCATCTCCGTGTCCGTGACCTTGCCGCGCGAGATGCGCGCGTACGCGGTGCGGTACAGCCCGCGGTAGAATATGTACTGGCACCTGCGCGCGCGCCCGTCCGTGAGCTACCCGCGCTTCGGCACCGAGAGGAGGGGGGGAGGGGGGAGGGAGGGCTCACCAGCGATCGAGGTCCTCGTCGTCGACGTCGTGCACCCGCCCGTCCTCGACCATGATCGGGTACGGGTCCGGCCGGCTCGCGTGCGGGTTCGTGACGAGGTAGCCGAGGAAGACGGCGGGGGCGGGGTGCGCGTCCGCGAGGATCCGCGCGATCTCCGTCGTCTGCAGCTCGCGGTCGACCGGGTCCTCCTCTGCGTGCGCGCGCGCGTCAGCACGCGCGGCGACGGAGAGACGGGGACGGGGACAGGGACGGGAACGGGGGCGCACCTTGGCCGTTGTGGGCGACGACGACCTTGACGGGCGTGCCGTACATGTCGAGGTATGCCTCGATCGCGGGCGCGAGCTCGCCGCGGGGGGACGGGAGGAGGTGGTGCGTCGAGTTGATGATCGGGAACTTGGAGAGGAGGACGGCGCCCCAGGTGTGCTGGTTCGGTCCGGGGCCGATGTCCACATACTGGGAGGGGGGAGATGTGAGCGTCGGGTTGTACGCTGCGCATCCGCAACATGACTCACGTAACCGAGGTCTTCCGCGATGAAGCGGGTGCTGCAATCATACGAAACCCCGTCAGCGACACCATGCATAGCAAGGGGATTCAGTCGAACGGTCCACTCACAGGTCACGGTTGCCGAACACGACGCGCTGCGCACAGTCCGCCGTCAATGCCGCCTCCTCGCGGTCGTACCAAGGGAAAACTCACATGGAGGTCCGTCTCGAGCAGCCCTACGACGTCTAGCTCCATATCCCTGGAACCCCGTCAGCACACGCTTCACGTCCACGCTCGGAGTGCGCACCTGATGAGATCGCGCATCGCTCTCTGGCTGTCCCTGCCCTCGTTGTCCAGTCCGAAATGCACCGTCCAGATCCCGGCACGCACGATGCGTGCGCCCGGGTGGGATGGCGTCGGAACAACGCCCGGTGCGCTCGAAACCGACACGTAAAGCGAGACGGCCACGAGCACCGCGAGAGCGAGCCTGAATGGGCTGCGGTGCTCCTTGGGGAGCTTCAAGGACCGGTAGAGGGCGTAGTCGGGAGCGTTGTTCGTCCCGGGCCAGTCGAAGGCGAGCGCCAGACAGGCGAACTGCGCGATGAGCACCCTGAATGTCAAAAACAATCACGAAAAGCGCGAAGTCAGCGACTCGACAAAGCAGCTCCCCCACGCGCACTCACATGTCCGTGCGCTCGCGGAAGTACTGCCCCCCGGGCACGAACGCGTACGCGACCGTGAAGGTGCTCGCGACGTCGAACAGGGCGTTCACGAGCCACGCGACCGCGGCGACCTTCGCGAGCCCCGCGCGCGCCGCCGCCTCGCGCGTCCGCGCCCACACGAGCGGGACGATGCTCATGAGGAAGAACGCGAGCACGAGCCCGCCCTCGTACCCCGCCCAGTCCCGGTGCGCGTACATCGCGTACGCGCCGCCCGCGCCCAGCGCGTAGTAGACCGGGTGCGCGAGCGCCCACCAGCCCTCGATGCCCCCCGTGAGCGCGGCGCCCCAGGCCAGGCCGAGGGCCTGCGCGATGTGCGTGATCGCGCCGTGCTGATTCGGGACCGGGCCGGTGACGGGGTACCCGGTCCACGACCACGCGATGAGCGTGCTCGCGTCCGAGAGGAGGGAATGGAGAGAGAAGATGAGCGCCCCGAGGGGGAGGGATGCGCGGAGCCAGTGGCGGGGAGGACCAGGGGAGGGGGGTTTTGTGTTCTTCCAGCGGGTCTCGTCATGCTTGTCGAATCGCTCTTCAGCCTGCCTCTGCCCCTCGTGAACGGGGACGCGTTTGAGCCAGCTGATCCATGCGAGCACGGTGAACGCAATTGCGGTCTTGTGCATCCCTCCTGATTGCGAGTCCACCAGAGGCCAGACTAGGGCGCTGTCAATATATACATGCGCGTGTACAAAAGATGATCACGTACTCGGGTTGTTGCCGTAGTTTGCATGCTTTGACACAGAGGCGAGCAAGAAGCCGACACCAGCCACTGTTCCCAGCCTTTGTCAGCGGACTTCAAGGCGACGGTCAGGTTCAACGTACGCATTGCCTGATATGCCACATTGGCGGGGGTCGCGCCAAACCACTCGACAGATGCGCTGAGAGCAGCCGCTCCGTTCGCGACAGTGACTAGCAGAAGCCGAGAGAGAGGCTGGCTCGCGACGTACGCAAGCACACCAAGGAAAGACGCCAAGCGCAGCCGCACACGACCCTGGTCGCTTAGTGCCCATTCTCTGAAAGACCGGATGCTGAGGAACGCAGGAGCGAGTGTGGAAAGCAGCGTAAGCTCTTGGCCCGATATGCCCAACTCCCATATAGAGAAGTAAAAGAGCGTCGGTGCGAGAGAGGTATAGATGGACCAGAAGACATAAGCTGCGCGGCCGTCCATGAGCAATTGAACAGCGCCTTGAAGCCGACGGGGACGTACAGAGATACACATCGCTAACGAAAGCAACTGCTGGCCAGAAGATGACGTGTTCGAACATAAAATCATCACTGTATACTGAGCGTGTAATGACACTCCATTTTGACGGTTCGCTGGACGCGTGCTTCTCCGCACCCTCGCTTGTGGCAGTCGATTTGACACTGTTGTACGTTCATGTCAACACGATAAAATCACGCAAGACGACGAAGTTGTTGGTACATTTGATCTGTGTCTGGGGCGCTGACCACTATCTACACGAATCAAGTGAGCAATCATTGATCGCACAGTCGCCGATTATATGCTCACCTTCATGTCGGTCGCGGCGAAGTCGAGCTCCGCTGCGGAATCATAGAGGACATCGAAGAAGATGAGACCCCACTCGAAGAACGCGTAGCGGGTATATGCTGCAAAGGCGGATGAGATGAGCAGCACTCGAGCAAACTGACCGCGGACGCTCACCTCCTGGTATGCGATGTACTTTGTGCTGGATGAAGAAATACACCATTGGAACGATGGTCGCAAAGAACCTGGAATGAAGTGCTCAGCCACGATCACAGCGCTCCACCTTCCGGAGACATGACGTACGCTACAAATGCTAAACGTCTGTTGCAACCTCGTCAGACTGGTGTGCAATCGGGAGCGAAATGCGACGATACCTTCTTTTCCGTGCTGCTGTGTGGGCAGCGGGCGTGCATGCGAGGGTGTAGTACATGTAGGGCAAGTTGAGGACGATATAGGAGATCATGAGGACGTCGTGGACATCGTGGTGATCGGAAGAGGTGACGAACACCCATCCTCCGCACGACAGCGTACGGAGAAGGCCGATTACGAAGACGAAGCCAGGGATACTTGAAATCGGGGTGCGGTGGAGGTACCACTGCAAGGCGCTGAGTGCGAATCTCGGACCTAGATGGAGGCAGACGACAGGGGCGCGCTCAGCAGCGGCCTACACATGCGTGAGGAGTTGGAGAGGACTGACCGGCATTGATTGCGATGAGGAGCTGGAAGATGTTGCGCTCCGGGTACCAGTCCCCGATCCTGCAAGCGACGCGTCGGAACTCCCCGGGCGGTCGACTAAGCGAGGACGATCACTCACGTGGCGGAAACGGAGGGAAACCACTCGTCCGGGTATCCGGCGACGTCGTTCTTCACGATGCGCTCGTAGTGGAGGGCGCAGGCGAGGGGGAGGGCGGAGAGAAAGGCGGCGCAAGAGAGGAAGGTGTGCGCACGGGCGACGGCGGACGCGTGCAGCACGAACGGGGGCTTGTGGCTCGAGGCGAGCGGGGACATGGCGGCTCCTGAAGCCCTGGCTGGAGAGCAGGGCGCGGTGGGCGACGGGGGAGGGCGGAGAAAGAGGGGGGAGTATGGAGGGGCCAGCCAGCGGTCCTAGGCGCACAAAAGGTGGGGCGATTCGCCCGCCTCTCTGGCGTATATATACATGGACGAGCGACTGACCAAGGACGGAGGGGGCCCAGCAAGTAAGAACGGCTTCACGAGACCGCGACGGTGCACGCGCAAGTGGCTGTTCACGAGGAGTGGTTGCTCGCGTGTGCTGCCGGCTCGGCTTGGCATCACCCAACTTGCAGTTGTATTGCTTTCGTCGCACACGGTCACACTGTCTTTCTGTCCGGTTGAACATACGCCTGGCAGCGTGTCACCGGTTTTATTGTTCACAGAATGATTGCGGCCTACGACGAGCGCAGAGGATGCGCAGGACTCTTCCGACGGTCTGTCCGCACCGCGCGCACGTGGTCCACACTCGCTGTCTATATATACCTCCCCGTTGTTTGTGGGGAGGCGGTCTGGGGCCGACTTGATCGTGATGGCGTGTTTTTAGCAGAGACCGTCTCAACCTCGTCCGCCGCGGCAGTGTTGCGGCGGTGCTCCCGTCGCTGCTGCGCTCGGCGGCTTGCACACCCGCGACTCGAGTCGGATAGCGATGTATATACTCAAGAGTTACAAACAGACAGCGACAGACAGCAAAACAGATCGAAAGCACACCGACGGATCAACCCGAATAGATCTCACCTCAAGGCCTCCTCGAGCCCCCGCTCGCAGTCCGTGCCCGGCCATTCACGCCCTGCACGTACCCCTCGCCCATGAACACCGGCGGCCCCGCCCCCCTCCTCGTGCCCAGAACCCGTCCTTGCCGCTCCGGGTCCCCATCCCCACCAGCTGCCCGCTCTCCACGTCCTCGTGCCCGCTCTCCACGTCCACCTCCTCCTCGTCTGACGACGGCTGCCACAGGCTGTCGCCCGCCCGCCGTAGCTCCTCGTCCAGCCTCAGCCGACGCCGCGCGTGGTTCGACAGCCACGACGCCGCCGCCGGCGACCCATCCAATAAGTCTGCCGGGGGTCCTCGTGCCTGCGATTCCAATCGAGCCTGCGCCTGAGACTGCGACTGCGACTGTGACCGCGACCTGCTGCGCGAAGGAGTGCCCGCGCTCTTGTCGCGCGACCGCCGCGGAGCGTGCTGCCCCTCGAGCTCGAGGCTCGACCGCACTCTCCGCACCTGAGGCATCAGCACCTCCTCCTCGCTCTCCTCCTCCTCCTCTCCTGCCCTCTCCTCTCGAGCGGGCTCCGCCGGGGCCGGGGGGACATAAGCCGGGTTCGGCACCCGCCTCGGGAGCCTAGACGCAGCCCCGCCAGACCCCGCCCTCGGCCTCGGCCTCGCGGGTGGCGCCGGCTTCAGAGGCGACTTGGACGGCAGCGGGCTCTCGGGCACCCTTCGCGCGAACGCGTCCCCGCCTTTGTCCGTGCCGGCCTTGCGCCCCCGTCGTGCTGGGGTCTCCAGTCCCAGAGCGTCGACGTCGATGATCGCGGGCTCGGGTGCTCTCCCCTTGCCCTTGTCCTTCGAAGCGGCCGTTGGGGGAGGGGCGTCGTCGAGAGCGAGCCCGTGCCCGCTGTCCGAGGGCGTCGACGGCACCTTGTCTTCGCTGTGCTCGTTGTCGTTGTCCGAGCACAGCGACGGCGTCGTGAGCTCCGTCTCCGTTGACCGCCAGATCCGGAGCTTGTTCGCGCTCCGCGGCCGCGACGGCTGTTTGTCGAACACGTTGGACCGCGCACTCGACTGAGACGCCGAGAACGCGGAGGTTGACGCCTGAGATGACTGCGAGCCGGAGGCGGACGACGACGATTGAGAACTAGCGGCTGACGCCGAACCTCCGGTCAAGTCCGACAGTACGAACGCAGTTTCTCGTCGTTTGGAGGGTCCAGCTGCAGAGCCGTCGTCAGTAAAAGACATGTCGAGCGACGGCTCACAAACTCACCAACAGGCTCTTCCGCCGCGTCCCGCTTCCGCTTCTCCCCGATGAACACCCTCGCAGCGACGCCCGTGTCGAACGAGGTGTCGCCCATGATCGCCGCCCGCCGCGCCTCGCTCACGCCCGCAGCTCGCGGTCGCTCGCCCGCGATGTCCCCCGCCGCAGAGGCGGGGAACACAGGAGGGCCCATCGTGCCCGCCGGGTCTCCCACTTTTCGCAGCCGGACCGTCTTCATCTCCCGCAGGAAAGCGGCCATCTTGTCAGACGGCACATTGACCGTCGGGTGCCCGGCTTTGCGTGTCCGCGAGAGACCATTGATCGGTGCTTCGACCGGGGGCGCTGTTTGTTTGAGGCTCGCGCGAGCAGTCGCGAAGAAGCTCGCTGCAGAGGCCGGAGAGGCGGCGACTGGGGCATTTATGCAGAACATCGGCGGAGGCGGCGGCGGTGGGGGCGGCGGCATCATACCGCTGTTGGACCGGACGGCGAGCTGAAGGTGGTTGAGCCCATGGCAGGAGTCGAGAGTGACGGAACGTACCTCTGCACGAAGCCGCGCGACCTCTTCCTCGAGCAGTCTGATGCGCCGCTTGTCCTTCTCGCGCTCTTCATCGTCCCGGTCGAGCGCATTGCGTTCGTGATCCTCCTGAGCTTCCCGCAACTCTCGCTCCTTGCCACGCACCCTGATCTCGCCCGAGGTATCCCAGGCTCTTTCCTTGCCCTTAGACTTCGCAGACATGAGGCGAGCAGTCGGCTGCGGGGACTCGGACGGTTCCTCAACTGAGCGCCTCGAACGACTTCTGCTGTTCCTGGATGCCTCTCGGTGGCGTGAATGTTCGACAGAGAGTGAAGGGCTTGGGTTCGCTTGTTCGTCCGTCGGCTTGCGGGCCTGAGATCGGCCACGATGGGGAGAGGGGACAGGTTGTGCGTCATCATCCTCTTCATCTTCAACTATAGGTTCCAGCTCGTGGACTTCAGGAGGGGGCGTGGGTGTGCGAACCCGAGGCACAGCGCGGCGAATGGTGGCAGGGGTCTCCGGCATGAGGGAGGTAGATCGGGGGAACAGCGACCCCGGCATCGTAACGAATGAAGGTTTCGCATGGGTGGTTGAGGGGACTGACGGCGGAGCCATGGGGGTAGAAGGGGAAGGCATTGATGTCGACGCATCTTCACGGCTCGTAAGCACCAGAGAAGACCAGAATAACGTGCAGCACACGCACCTGCGCTGTCGCTTCTCAACTTCGTCGGCGGTGGTTGAGGTTCAGGCTCGGCGGCCACCTCCTGCTCGCGCGCGGCGCGTCGCTTCTTCAACGACCTCGGGAGCGGCCTCACAGGCAGCGGAGACAGCTCGTCTGAACCCATGTCAGCCACCTCCCAACCATCGAACCCCACCAACCACTCACCGTCCTCATCATCAGCGTCATCGCGTACCAGCAGCCGCTCACGCTGCCGCACCTCCTCCTCCTCTTCCTCCTCATCCCACTGCGGCGCCGGCAGCCGCTTCCCCACGCCCGCCCGACCCCCGCGCTCCTCATCCACCTCCCCCTCCTCGCGCAGCCGCCTCCGCGCCCGCGCCCTATCGTCGCGCGTCCCGACCTCGCTGCGCTTCCTCGCGCGCTTCGTCCTCTTCTCCTCGCGCTCCCTCCTCCCGTCCAGCGTGACGCGACTGGAGCTCGCCTCCGGCCGCCCCTCTCTCCTCTTCTCTCTCCTCTCCCTCTTCTCCGTGATCTGCAAGACCGAGCGTCAACTTGCGCGCCCGCGCGCGATCGCGATTCCACGCACCTTCGCGGTGTGGTCCTCGACCTCCCCTCCGGTCGCGGCGGTGACGAACGAGCTGATCTCGCGCGACACGAAGTTGAACGCGGACGCGAACAGTCCGGACGACGGCGCGGGGGGCGCAGGGATGGGTGGGGCAGCGCGGCGCCGCGGGGCCATGCTTGGTTCGTTTGGCGGGCGGGGCGGGCGAGGAGGTGGGGGAAACGGAACAAGGCGTTGATCGCAAACAGGAGACAACAACGCCTCTGTGGCTGCTTCCCACGGCGCGAGCGGCCACTGCACCGGGCCGGCCGACGCGAGCCCAGTGGACACACTGAGAAGGCAGGCTGTAATGGTCGTGTAGATGGGAGCTACAGTAATACATGGGGATTCGAATTATATGCCAAGAGCAATCTCGTTGCGGTCATAACTTATCGCCGTGCGGGGGGCGTACGTATGCGTCTATCCACAAATGTCCTCCACGTAGACTGTCCGCGTCCTTCACAGCACAAGAGGGGAAGGTATAGACTACATACAGCAGATCAGGAGCTCGTGAGGTTATTGCAGTACACCGCTTCACCTGTACTCGCCGTAGGATGAGTAGCCAGGAGCGGGAGGGCCCGGCGGCGTCACGTTTCCGCCGTTCGACTGGCCGACAGAAATGGACGCGCGGACGGCGGCGTACGGGTCGGCGTACTGCATTGTACGGCTGACACGAGGGTTCGAGTCCGGAGGCGCGAAACCGCCAGCAAATCCTGAAGGGGCGGGGTCGGAGAACGCGCCGTAGGCGTCGATGCTCGGTCGGGGAGCGGGAGACGAGCTGCTGTAGCCAGGAGCGGAGGGCTGCTGGTATGAGTCGGATTGTGCGCCAGAGAGGCGGTTAGCGTCGCTGAATGGAGAATATGCGGTTTGTGTAGTGTCGGAGTATGGCTTGTTGTGGCTCTCTTCGTCGTCATCGTCGCGGTCATCAGCGCGCTCATAGATAGAGCCCTCAGAAACCTCCACCGGGTGGGCGAAAGGTGGGTCGCGCGCGCGTGAAGTTTTGCCGTTACGCCAGTCAAGGATGACAAGCGTCAACGACGCGGCCCAGAAGACTTGAGGCAAAAATGAGATGCATGCGAGAATATAGCGAAGAAAGCACTCACTAAAGACAAACCAGAAGAAGATCGCCGCAGCCTTCTTCGTGCTGCAGAAACCGTCGAGCCCGCTGCGGAATGATGCCCCCAGGCTAGCGTGGGGATCCTTGGTGGCATCTTTGCAGCCCGCCTCGGTCCAGGCAGAGATAGTGACGATGAAACTGGGGTGCATGAGCAAACGGAGGGCAACAAAAAGCAGTCGTGCAACTCACGCGATCAGAAGACTGATGGCCGTACCAGCACCAGCAAGGATGAAGCTGACACGAGTTTCCTTGAGAGCACGAGCAAGCCGAGCACCCTTGTCAAACTTCTCGTATATGACGGGAACGAGAAGAATGAAAAGCGAGTAGAAGATGCCGAAGACTGCGATGAATATGGCGAAACCGCTGAGGCCGGCTAAAGAACGCGTCAAATCACCGGCAGAGGACAGCCGAGGGTTCAACTCACAAGGACCGACTTTCCATTTGGCCTGGAAAGCAGCTGCACCGGCCATGGTGGCCATTGCGAGGAAGTTGAAGAACACCTGAGAGACATGGAAGATGATGGCAGGTTTCGAGACGATCATCTGTAGAGAAGTAGTTCAGCGCCTGGGGTGAAGGGGGTGGACGGAAAAATGGACCCATATCCAAAGAGTCCAGAGCGGGGGAAGGAAGAGGAGGAAGACGAGATAGCCAGCGGTTTGGATCGAGGTGTCCATGGACGGGGAAGGGAGGTGGAGAACATGAACCTTACGTAAGGCCAGGTCTCAAGGGAGATCAAGAAGGCGTGGCGGGTGGCATGGGCATGTGCTGCGGACGTCGCTCCGGCACAGGGCTCGGCCGGGAGCGGGGGAAATGAGGGAGGAGAGGGCACGAGGACGGGGAAGGGGCGGAGATGGGATGCGATAGACGACGGGAGCTGAGAAAAGCACTCACGTCGTCCTCGAAGGGGACATGGCCGCCGCTAGCGATGCCAGTGGAGGAGGAGTGCATGGGGAGGGATGATTTCTTCTCTGGCAGGACCCTCATCGCCGCGCTCTGGATGGAGTCGAGGAAGGTCATGGTGAGCGATGGGCGGGGGGATGGCCCAGGGTGGTCGTGAGGGTGGATGTACGGGATACGCAGTCCGTCGCGAGAGGGCAGAAGGGGGCGCGGAGGAGGACGGTTATGTAGGGGGCGGGTGTGGCGGGGATGATGACCGAAGAGGGCGAGGTGCGGCAGATGAGAGGATGGCGGCGATGTAGGTCGTGAACAGCCCTCGTGCGACGTGCGCAGGCGAGTGCATGCGCGTCTTCCATAAGCGGCCGCGGCCTGCTCTCTCCAGCGCCTCCGTCTCCATCCACGGGGGTGAAACCCGACAAGAGTGTAGATGTCGATTCAGACTCAGTGCTCAGTGCTCAGTGCCTGTAGCAGCCTGTGGAATACGCTGTCTTTTGGGCCTCAGCACAAGAACGAGCAGGGCCCGCGGGGTTACGGAGCAGCGCACCCGGGCGGTGCTGCGACGACCTAGAAGTGCTGCTGCGTGTGATGCCTATTGGTCAACGCAATTACAACCCAACATTCTTACGACGCATGCTTTCCAAGCGACCCAGATGCACCGGCTCGGCGGTCTTAAGCCCACTTTAGATGCGCGGACAAGGAGACAAGACACAGAAGGTGCATCGCCGACTCGGATGAGTTAGAATCGAAACTCAGCCGGCCCTAAATCCATAAAAGCGATCACATGATCAGTATGCGTAGCCTAGTACTCGACTACTTGGATTGATGCCGTAAGTATTCCAAACGGCTAACGAACGGTCCTCAACACTCCTAGTTGCTCGTAGCCCCCCCTCGTTAAGAGCAGCAAAGCCATTCACATTAAAACCACCCACCGACCGTCCCAGGCCCATATCACTGTTCTCGCGGAACCGCGTGCGTGCTTGTAGAGGACTACCGAGCGTGAGCAAAATTTCCAGTAAACTTGCACCCAGTTGCCTTGCAGTCCGAGAGCAGTTTCCTGTGAAACAAGCCGCACAACGTTCCATGGAGGAGACCCCACCCCGCGGACCGAAGTTAGATCGAGTCCTGACCCACGTCAGCCGCGCATGCTGTGCTTCGTTCTGCGCAGGGCCGACCGCGACCGCGGGGTCCACCGGGTCGCCGACGCGCGTTCCGTGCGAGGGCGATGAGCTCGCGCCGCACGGCATCGCGCACGTAGATGCGCTTCATGTCGAAGCACGTCTGCTCGGCGTTGTGCAGCACACCCTGTACGATCGTCCTGCGGCCGATCCAGTCCGAGTGACCAGGTTTGAGGTCAGCAGCGACACTCAATCACGAACGGACCGGGGGGACGCACTTTGCGATCGCGGCGGGGTCGACGTCGTCGTCGAGCACGATAGCGGCATCGTTTCCGCCGAGCTCGAGCGTGAGCATCTTGAACTCGGGACCATTGCGGCCTTCATCTACCGCTATCGACCCACATTCCGTTCATATTTTCCATGCGTGTCCCAATGTATCACGCATGGCCCTCGGCTGGTAGCTGCCCCGGATTTCTACAGAGAATGCGCATGCATAGCTCGCGACTCACCCATCCCGAGCATGATTTCAGACATGGCGTGCGAGAAATTTGTCGAGTTCATTCGGTCCGACAGGGAGTTGACATTCACGGCTTCATAAACTGACGAGCAGTATCGTACATCCTGGAAGGGCCGCAATATTTTCATAAGCTCCAACTTCGTATGACGTGCATCAGTGCCACGCGTTGCCACTGAAGAGTCCGCGAGGCGCCGCATTGACGTTCGTGGGCCAGAGTGGCTCGCCCTTGTTGTTTCCGCAGTGGCCGGGGTGGCTAAGAGTCGACAGATACTGAGGCGGTGAGCTTTCTGTCACCCAGGCTTTGTAGGTATCCAAAACCTCGGACATCCTCAAGGTGGTGTTGAGATCCACACCAGGGAAAACGGAATCGTCAACTTGTCCGTCGGGGAAAGGTTTGAACGGCTTCTTTCCCGTGTAGACGATACCACATTGATAGGGGGAGCGGGGGGGATAGGGCCACGGACCAACCGGATGTCTTGGGGTTCTGCCGTGCCCGGACACTGGACAGGTGACTCCTCAGGCTGGCGCGTCTGGGGGGGGGGGGGGGGGCGCGGGGAGGTCGTAATCAAACTTCATATCCACACGGTAGAGCTGAAACCAAGATTAGCACACGCAAGGAGTGTTGATTGTAGGGGAAACTAGCAACATTGCTGCCCTCGATAATTTAGTCATAGTCTGAACTGACGGCTAATGTTGCAAGAAAGCTGTCGCAGGAATGTTGGCTGCGGCGCCTGTGGCCCGCATCCAAACTAATTTGCCTGCATCGCGGATGATGTCCCACAGTAAGGGTATTCCAAGTTCAAGCATGAATCCCATACTTGGACGGTCTGGGGACGATGCAGAGGGTGTGAACGACATAATGAGGGCAAGCAGTATGAAGAGTGCTGGAGACTTGGTATGGACGAGGGCGCTTCTGGCAGTCTCAAGGACTCAGTCCCGGGTTAGGGTCACCGCCATAGGCGTTCGGAGTCTCTGGCGTACGCCACTCTAGTCTTACTACCACCACCGTCGCTACCCCTCGTGGTGCATCCCCCCTATAGGCGTTGGTGTAACTGCAGCGGGCTCAAGACTCACCCGAAGTCCACCACTCCCAGATCCTTACTACAGCCGGCCACTCCGCACACAAGTGCAAGCACGTGAGAGATATTCTCTCTCCATCCATCGTCCCAACCTGCGGCCCTGAGGTCTGAGGTCTGACACCTGAAACCTGGCACTGGTATGACGACCTAGAACAGCTGCTGCGTATGATACCTATTGACCGACGTATCTAGTACTTAGTAGGGCGTACTTGTTTAGATAGGCGCCCAGGTGAAGTGCCGGAAGTTGCCGGCCCGTCCGAGCCCCAAAGTGCTGCTTCATCCTCCTCCTTCTCCTTCTCCTTCTCCTCCTCCTCCTCCTCTCCCACAAAGTGCAAGCGCGGCTTTTGCTCGGCCTATCCTATAGAGCGCTTTCAGGTGACCTCTGTGTATCTGACCCAGCTCCCTGCACGTACGGAGTCAAGCGCGTAGCCTCAGGCGTGCGCCGTTCTAACTCCTCCGAGACGGTCATAACAGCGATCCCGGAGTGCGCTCCTTGGCCCGTGCTCTTGCCAAACCCCTGCACACGCGCATACATGTCGCTCCTTTTCAAAAACCTTAGGATCCACCAGGTCTTCGGGGCCAACACCGATGTCGGCAAGACCGTGCTCACCGCCGCTCTCGTCCGAGCTTCCGCGGCCAAGGGTCACGACGTCTACTACCTCAAACCGGTCAGCACAGGACCCATCTCCGATGCCGACGACGCGTATGTTTCCGCTTGTCGGCTCTGCCACTTTTATACTGACCTGAAGTTGTCCTACAGACGCGTGGTCGCTTTGGCTGGCCCACACCAAAGTCTCGTCCGAAGCACCTGCCTCTTTCGTTTTGACGATCCCGTCAGCCCGCATCTCGCCGCATTGCGCGCTAATGAAAATGCGTCTGAACAGGTGAGACTGTAGCACACCTTTGCCTACAGCATTTCCTGATGCTGTCCTCTGTAGAGAGTCGTCCCAACAGACGACGCCTTCGTCAACGCCGTCGCATCTAATGTCCGCAGTTGTGCAAGTGGTGTCTCCAGATTCAGCCATATGTACGTTGAGACGGCAGGAGGTGAGCCATTTACCACTGACCGTTGCTGTTTGATCCATGCCGCCCGCCACCTCTCAGACATTTGGATGCAGAGTACAAACTGACACAGTCGAACAGGCGTTCACAGCCCCACACTATCCGGCACCACTCAGTTGGATAGCTACCGGCCGCTCTTCTTCCCGACGGTGCTGATAGGCGACTCCCGGCTCGGTGGAATCTCCTCCACCATCGCGTCGTTCGAGTCCATGCTCATGCGCGGATACACGGTCGATGCCATCCTGCTCTTTCGGGACGAGTACTACCGCAACTGGGAGTACCTGACTCCCTACTTCGCAGAGCGTGGCATTCCCGTGATGTCCGTCGACGCCCCACCCGAGCGACACGCAGACGCAGCAAGAGACACGGACATCACGGAACGCTACTTCCAAAATCTTGTCCCACGGTCTGGAGACAGCGCCATTTACGACGTGCTGAAGCACCTGGACGACTGCCACGCGAAACGCATCGCTGAGCTGAAATCCATGCCCCGTCGCACCTTGGACACGATCTGGTGGCCCTTCGTTCAGCACGCGCACGTCAAGAGCGAATCCGAGGTCAACGTGATCGACAGCGCATGGGGAGACTTTTTCAGCATCTACAACGATCATCGCCGCGGCACCCCTGCGGCTCCCAATACCCCCACCTCGTCTCTCTTAGAGCCCCAGTTCGACGGCTCCGCCTCCTGGTGGACTCAAGCCGTCGGTCACGCACACCCAACCCTCGCCCTCGCCGCCGCGCACGCCGCGGGCCGCTACGGCCACGTCATGTTCCCCGAAGCGACGCATCTCCCCGCGTTGCAGCTCGCCGAGGACCTTGTCCACCGCGGCCCGGGCGCAGGCTGGGCCGCCCGCGCCTTCTTCTCCGACGACGGCTCCACTGGGATGGAGGTCGCGCTCAAGATGGCGCTGCGCGCGTACGCCGCGCGGCACCCCGGCACCAGCGGCGCGCGCCGGAAGGACCTGGGCGTGCTCGGGCTCGCGGGCAGCTACCACGGGGACACGATCGGCGCGATGGACGCCTGCGCGGACGCGGGCGTGTACACGTGCGAGTGGCACGACGCAAAGGGCTTCTGGTTCGCGCCGCCGACGGTCTCCGTCCGCGGCGGGCGGACCGTCGTCTCGCTCCCGCCCGCCCTCGCCGCCGCGAACGCGGGCGGCGCCGCGGACGTCGAGACCGTGTCGCTCGCGTGGACGTACGATGTCGGCGCGCGGCTTGACTCGCCACTCGCCGCGCTCTACCGCGCGTACATCACGCGCGCGCTGGCGGACCTGCGCGCTGCGGGGGGCCCGACGATCGCCGCGCTCGTGCTCGAGCCGCTTGTGATGGGCGCGGGCGGGATGGTGTTCGTCGACCCGCTCTTCCAGCGCGTGCTCGTCGACGTCGTCCGCGCCTCGTCGCCCGCGCCGGCCCCGGGGGCGTGGTCGGGCCTGCCCGTCATCTTCGACGAGGTCTTCGTAGGCCTCTACCGCCTCGGCCTTCCGAGCACCGCGCCGCTGCTCGGCGTCGCCCCCGACATCTCCGTGTACGCCAAGATCCTCACCGGGGGACTCGTCCCGCTCGCCGCGACGCTCGCCTCGGAGTCGATCTACGACGCCTTCCTCAGCGACAGCAAGGCCGACGCGCTCCTCCACGGGCACAGCTACAGCGCGTACCCGGTCGGGTGCGCCGTCGCGCGCGCGAGCCTGCAGCTCGTCGAGAAGATGGCGGCGAGCCCTGCTTGGGCGGACGCGCGGGCGCGGTGGCGGGTCCCGGAGCCGGAGTCGGCGCGGGCGAAGGAGGCGGCGGTCTGGAGCTTCTGGGACCCCGAGTTCGTGCACGTCGTGTCGAAGATGGAGCGCGTTGCGGAGGTCATGGCGCTCGGGACGGTGCTCAGCATCAAGATCCGGGACGACGCCGCAGGTGAGGCAGCCAGTCCTCGCCCTGTTGTGCGCCAGACGCTGACTCCACGAGCAGGATACCAATCCCATTCTGCGAGGGCGCTCTTCGAGTCACTCAGGCTCGCCGCGCAAGACGGCGGAGACAACCTGTCAGCTGCCCCGGGAGGTTCTCCGTTCGGGATCCACTACCGCACACTGGGCAACGTGGGCTACTTCATGCTGAGCCTCAACACGCCCTCTGAAGTCACGCGAACAGTCGAGGAAAGAATTTGGGCCGCACTTAGCAAGCAATGATACCAAAAGCCGCATATGCGCCGTCTAGAAGTGATATAGTACATAGATAGATCCAACCAGCACCGTCAAAAGCGCATCTAACTCCTCCAGTACTGCGCCCAGTCGTGCATCTTGTCCATCAGGCCTGAGAACGGCGAGATGTCGTTCAAGAGGCGCTCGAAGTGCTCGATGGCCTGCTCCTCGGTCATCTCGAGGCAGAACTTGCCGAGCAGCTGCTCGTGCACGTCGCGTTGCTTGATGTGCGGGATGTTCGCGTCGACCATGAGTGTCACCAGGTTGAGGATGAGGTTTGCGTTCTTGCGGAGGATGTTGAACGCCGTGAAGCAGAACGATTTGAAGCGTTGGTAGTGGGGCGACTGGACTCCACCCATGGCGTCGACCATCTCCTTGCATATCTTGACGGGGGGTGCGAGGGGTTTGGGGTCACGGCCCAGAATGTACCCAAAGTCGACTGAAGATGATGTTAGTCATGATGTTCGTGGAAGTACAGAAACTACACTGACCATGGAAAAAATGACCGTCCGGGGCGAGAAGCAAGTTGTCTAAGTGACGGTCACCAACACCAAGGAGATAGGTCATGACACAGTAGCCGGCTAGCCGACGTGTTAGCATTATAGTTTGCAACTCTGGAACGGGAAGCTCACCACAGCTCTTCACGAATGTGTCAATGACACTGGGCTCTACCATGAACGTCCCCACGCTCCCGTCATCTGGATAGTGTGCGCGCAGATAGTTCAACAATGTCCCGTTATCAGCAACGATGGCGGCGATAGTCTTGCTCGGGATGAACTGGGCCATGCCCTGGCTAGGACCCGTCGCAAGGACGTCGTATGGGCTGAGCTTGAGGTCTAGGTTCTCTTTGCGCAATAGTCGATCCATGAGTGTAAAAAGTTGGATGACCAACTGATCCTGCCGCATGTCGTCGCCGTCCTTGAAGATGACTGAGTATTCACCGTCCACACACTGCCAGTATAGCAACATGGGTAGCATATTCGATTTGAAGACGCTCGACTTCTCCGCGATGATGCCCGTAACCTGTATGCGTGCGTTCAAAGGTAAAGGGAGAGGCGGCATCGAAGCGAGGTTGTTCTTGGAGTCCGCGAGGAAAGCTCGGAGTTTCTCTATCTTCTTTGGACGCGGGTCTTTTGAGGTACGGAGATCTTTGGCTCGCTTCGATAATGTCTCTATCAGTTCGCCTTGTCGACGCATGAGGTCCCGCCGCTCGTCGCCTTTGTCCTGTGTGTCGGTGAGCATCGCTCAGAGTGCAAGTAAGACAAGTGCAAACCTCCAGAATCTTCATGAACTTGAATATCACCCGGCCGTACATCTTCGCCATGACCTTGTCTTCCATGGCAACTTCTACTATCAGATACCAGTAAAAGCGGTTCCCCAGTACGGGATTTCGTACGGCGCGACCGATGAGAAAATCTGCCAGCCCACTGTCGTCGTACGAAAGAGCACTCGTGATTGACCGCGAAGACCGCTGGTCGCTCGTCATGCTCTCGAACTTCAATGCTTGTACGAGCTGCAACAGGTACAGCAGTAGCTCCTGCTTCGTTGTCAACGACTACACTTTCGCGTCCCATATAACGACCTCACCTCGTCGTCCGCTCTGCTGAGTTGCTTGACGGCATACGCTCGGACGCGAGAGTCGACGGTGCTTGGACCCAGCAATTCCAGGGCGTCGTCTATGTCGATCTCCGTCCACTGGGGAAGCAGCTCTTCCACAGCCTGCTTGACCTCGGACGTGTCTCGCCAAGTGACCGACTTCAGGAACTTGGTGAGACCCCGTTTGTCTCTTGTGAGATAGAACCGGAACTTCCAGATGAGATCCTTCTCTTCCGAAGTGAGCGGCTGGGTGGGAGGATAATTGAGGATCACCTAGAAAGGCAGTGCCTGGGTCAGAATCCGGAGATGTCGTGTTGGCAACCACATACCGCAAGCTCGTCGCGGATCTTCGCGTTGGGTTTCAGTTCTCGGTCGTATGGGCTACTTCTGTGACTGCGCACAAGGCGGCGATGCTTATCCTCCACAGGGTTTTCTCGCGATATGTCCGGATCCACCACGGACCACAGAGGCCCGTCCGCTGCGAATCCTGAGACGGAAGGCGCAGGAGTGATGGTCATAGGTGTTAGGGAGGATGTAGATGGAACATTTGATGCATCCTAGGTCGGTAATGAAATTAGAATACAGAGAGATGCAATAGAGAGAGAGAGAGAGCGAACGTACAGGTTCGCTGAAGATGACTGGAAAATCGAACCGGGGAAGGTCGATATAGAGGAACAAGTTCTCGGACTTCTGCGACTCCGCCGCATGAATCTCTTCCATCTTGCGGAATGCCATGGTATCCAGCCAGTCCGACTTGGGCAGGTCTCCTCGCTCGTACTTTTTGACTAACTGCGCGGGTTTCAGGAACGATAGTACCGCAAGTGCGTATCGACGCACCTTCTCTAGTCTGCCCTTCTCATCTCGGGTTCCCATCTTACTTGGCGTCGTAGTCTCGTTTGCGCCGTCAGCCTCCCTGTCTGGCCAAAGTATCATGCGATGCTTCCCGCGCCGGAGGGTCCTACGCGCATATAACCGTCAGGGCGAGCCCCCGACATGACGGCGAGCGTGCTCACCATTTCTTCCCAAACAGCCTGAACGTCGTTCCGCCGACTGGCACAGCAGACCTGGGTCCAGCGATATCCCACACCGTAAACGTGATCTGGGAGTTTAAGGGCAGGTCACAATATCGGATAGGCAAGGTGATCCATTCGTTCCATCTGAAAGCCACGGTCAACGCATGTGCGGACACACTCTGATTAGAAGACTAACGTATAGTCCTTCTTGAAGGCCTTAAAGGCCGTCCGAAACGGTATCGTTAGTGGCTTGTTGTCCGCGATGAGCTGGCATGTCACGTAGATGTCCGAGAATTCCCTTCACTGCGGTCATTGAGAGAAACAGACGTGCGGGGAACGGGGCAAGTACTCACTGGGCTTGTTGTAAGCCGTGGAACCTTAGCTCTGGTTTCTCCAAGACCTCCGTAAAGGGATGCGGCTTCCGTACGCCCTCGAGTTGCGATCTGCAACAACGAAGCCCGTGAGTCCTAGTCGCTGGAGAGCGTGTGGCGAAGGGGGCTTACATTCGGAAGGTGACCGGCATCTTGAGGTCGCTCAGCTTGGCGAAGGTAAAGTCGTCGCGGTTGTCTTTGTCCATGGTGGTAGCCTCCAACCGCCGGGAGTCAAGGTGGTATTAAGACAGGTGGGATGTGCAGCAGAGAAGAGAGGCCGGCGCGACTAGACGCGACCGTGCCGCTTTCCGCTCATCTGGCGGAAGTGGAGGGCCCGAGTCTGCCGGAATCGCGATCGGCGCCTCGGGGGCCTAGTGGACGACCCTCATGTTCGCTCCTAGTCGGACGACTTCCAGAAACCCATATATGCACCCCCTGCCCGACTCGTGTGTTCCTCAGCCTCCTCCGCCATGTCGTCCATATACGCCGTTCCACCTGAAGTCCTAGAAGGTCTTGTTGAGAGAAACAAGACCGCCATTACCCGCCTCCGCGAGCACCAGCCCGAACAAGTCGATTAGTACGTCTCTTCCTCCTCAGAATCGTCACTTCGCGCACTCACCGGTCCTCCCGACAGCTCGTCATATCCAAGTACGAAGTGGGCAGGAGTACTGGTACTATTGTATGAGAAGGCAGGAGAGCTGCGCGTGCTCCTCACCACCCGAGACAAGAGGCTCCGCGCGCACCCGGGACAAGTCGCTCTCCCAGGGGGGAAGCGGGACCCCACAGATGCGGACTTCGTCGAGACAGCAGTGAGTAGCCATCTTGATCCCACCGAGCCCAAAGTAGATGTCCGAAACAGTTCCGCGAGGCGCACGAAGAGGTCGGCCTCCCCCGACACTTCCCCCATGCCCACACCATCTGCACCCTCCGCCAATTCGTCGCCTCCACCAAGCTCCTCGTCACGCCTGTAATCGCCCTCCTCTCCGACCTCTCTGTCTTGGAAACCCTCAAGCCTTCCCCTGGAGAGGTAGACCGAATCTTCGACCACCCTCTCGAAGCCATGCTCGACCCCACACTTGCGGCGAAGGAGAAGCTCGCTCCGATCGGCAGTGACGATTGGATATACCCGGAGGAACTCCACGTACGAATGCCTCCAGTGCAACATAAATCCTAGCTTATGCATTCCCCCCAGAACTTCTCAGACATCGACCTACCCTGGCTGGCTAACAGCACGTATCGTATGCACAGGTTCCGTTCGACGGCATTCGCGATCAAAGGATTGACTGCAGATGTCTTGGTACGTATGTCTCATCTTGGCACACTTTGATGCTGACGAGTGTCGTTTGCAGATTGCTACCGCTGAAATAGCATACAATAAGCAAACCACCTTCGAGCGGTGGGCGCCGAAGCAGATATCGACATTTGCCCCGATCCTCCATGTGTTCTTGGAGGAGCTCGCCGCGCAGGGCCATACCGGCGGCGCATCTACCACAACCCCGAACGCGAAAACAATTATGGGCGTTAATTCCGAACAAGCGACTGCAGAAGTAGAACCATGATGATGCCTAGCCATAGGCGTCGATGTGTGGGATTGGATACGCACAGAGAGATCTGCTGCCTATAGCAGATTATTACAGATGTGCAACCCTACACGTTTCGTCACAGATTATCAAAGAGAGCGCGTGGACGTGGCAGAAACTATCCGTATTGAAGTGATGTTAAGAGTCCAGGATCCTTCGACGGGGGGCTACGTCTTCAAAGAGCTGGATGCCAGATACTACGCCCATTGACGAGCGATCTCTCCGCGGTCTCCTTTGTGATCGGGTCTGGCGCAAACGCTTCGTTAAGGACGGCGAGCTTAGAGCGGTACTCGTCCATGCCGATATATGCTCCACACATCCGCCGTTTCCCATCGAAAGCGGAGCGACCGTGCAGCACTCGATGGTTGTCCACCACTGACGGCTCGTCATCAGCAGAGGAAGATACCTCTGAGAGACGAGCAGCTTACCTACAGCCGTACCGGGCGCAAGCTGTACCCAGTACTCCGAATCGGGACTCGTGAGCAGTTTGTTCCACGTCCGAATGGCGTCATACCTGTCCCTGATTAGCCAAGAGGAAAGTGCGAGAAACAAGCTGCGTACCAGGCTTCGACTTGTTCCGGATAGAGGTCGCGCATTACACTTCGGTCGTCGTTATTCCATCGGACCTGCACTAGCTCGTCCTCCTGGTACTTGAGAACCGGTGTGCTCCTGAGATTAGGGACGAAGAGGACACCGGCCTCGCCGGCGGCATGTGTGGGCACGGTAACCTTCGAGAGAAGTTCGTGCGCTTCAGGGTGCAGCTCTTTCAATATTGAAGCAGCATAAAATCCGTCGACGAGGAGAGTAGCGCCACCGGTGCCGCCGGTATGTTCCAGTAGATGGAACAGCTGAAGACCGCACGGATCCGTCTGCCAAAATATGAGCGAGGTGAGATGGGCTGGAGCACCCCAGTACGTACGAAGTAAGTGGTATCCGTGTGTGCTCCTAGAGCCATGGTAGTGTATGCCGTATCGCCTTTGGCGAGATCAGATGTGAAGTCCCAGAAGGTCCCGTCTACTCACATGGTCAGCGGATGAAGTGAGACTAGAAACGCCACGTACTGACATTGAGTTTCCCGAATGAATGCTATCCTCCGCGATAGCTCCTCAGTGGCCTCTGGCGTTATGGGCACTCCAGATACAAAGCAGAAACCGAACTTGTCAACATTTGTGAGCCATTTGAAAAGTCCGGTTTCATTTTCATTCATGACTTCCTCGTACGTGACCGTTGGAGGATCTTGTACGATTCTTGACCCCCATAGGATTTTTCTAACAGCATCTGTCAGCGATTGGAGAGTACAACAGATATTCACACAACGCACTCCGACTTTCCGGGCCGTGGCATGGGTGGATCGTAAGAATTATACTTCAGCCATGACCATGGGTAGAGAGACGTATGAGGGTGTGATGACGGCCCTGATAAGTTTGAAATCAGACAGGTCTTGAGTGTCGACCAGAGGACATGGCGCACAATGAACTTCCAATCCTTCGGGTTTCGAGACCACCTGTGTCGGCTTGATCTCCCGAGGAATCTTCGTGGTAAATTCAGCTTACAGCATGGACGAAGGAGCGATGCGGCTCACCTCAAATGTGTTGACGAGGCGCTGTTTGGTATGTGGGTGGAAGCATTCCGGACAACGGCAGTGATCACGAAGCCACATGTGGTGGCTCGTCAAGGTCAGCGACGGCATGAGGCAGTGGGTGTAGAAAAGGAGCTCACAATCTGGAGTACGTCGTTGTGTCCCATCCCAGCACCACTTTCTTCTCGTCTATCCTACTTGTAGGCACGTCTGGCGCGGGTTGCAGGGCACTGTCTGGAGCGTCCTTGGGGGGTGAAGATGTGGGGAAAGCTCTGACGCGAGACGTAGAAAAGCCAGCAGCAAGGCGGGGAGAGCGGGGATAGGAAAGCTGGAAAAACGCGCTTCAGAACTTCACAAACCCTTCTGCGCGGCATAGCCCGTACCTTCCTGCGAGGCACAGGATCCAAACGGAACAGACGCTGCATTGATGTCGCGTCGAACGTCGAATACAGGAGTGGTCAAAGGCGCGTTGAAGACGCGCCGGCCGGCTGGTGTGGTCCAGGGGAGTGTCGGGGTCGGAGGTGGAGAAGGCGAGGCCGAGAGCCTAGCTAGCGTCACCGTGGACGGCCTGCAGGAGGACGAGAATGGCGGCGGCGATCGAGACGACTCTCGCCCCGCGCCCCGGCCCGTTGAACCCGGCCAGCGGGGGACGAACCGCGACAGAGGCGCCCTCGATGGGAGTAGTCATTCTTGTCTCTCGGCCTCCTCGTGATATGCTTCCTCTCAACGCCGGTGAATAGTAAACGCATCACGCTCGCCCTTGCCCGACGTGTACGGATGCACCTGCCAGTTTGAAGGACAAGGATTCAAGACGGCGCCGCTCTGTCCGCCCTTCTATGACATCCACTATACAGCGGTAGAAGTCCTGTCCCTCTCGTTCCTCGTAGGACATGTTTCATACTCATCGTGCCCTCATCACAGGACCTCTTCCCACTGAGTTGGCTCGGGGTCATTCTTACAATTCACACGACGCCCGCCGAAAACCACGACCGCTGAAGTAAGTCGCTCCGAGAAGAGAGCCACCAAGGTTATGAGAGAGCTACTCATCGCTTCGACATCTGCTCCAGTGTGCTGAATGCATTTGCTGAAGCACATAATTTCTCAGCTAATGCCAGAGGTTCCTACTTTCGCCATTAAGATTGTTTCACTGCTTCAGTACCAGAGCTTACGTCAGATCTCAACTTGGCCAGCATGCGCAGAAATCATGGTCATCTCGAGATCGAGACGTTTCGGTGCGTCGTTTTTTGCTTCTCTTCTCGTAGTATGTAGAATTGGCCAAATCGTGCGAAAGCCGTCGTTTGTTTTTGACTGGAGGCGCCTGAGTGTTCAGTCCCTGTCAATGGCGCCGCTGCGTATAAAAGCTTCACCGCTGGTCGATGGAAAGTCGGGCCCCAACTCCTCGTCGCTCATCACTCCAATCCAGAATGAAGTTCTCCCTCACAGTCCTCCTCGCTTCGGTCCTCTCCACTCAGGTGGCAGCGGTCCCCACCCAGCTCGAGGTACCGTCCCTGCTTCCCACATTCTCAACCGTTACTTTGTCTCACTTCACTGCAGGCTCGGGGCCAGTCCACGGACTGCACCTCGCCCACCGTGCCCCTCCTGCGCGGCTACAACCCCTCCATTGTTGATCACTTCTATACCACCAACGCCGTCGAGCTCGAGATCGCGATCGTGAGCTCCGGCTACGTCGCTGAGGGTACCACCGGCCAGGTCTTCGGCCTCCAGGTCTCCGGCACCGTCCCGCTCTACCGCCTCTGGAACCAGTCCATCGGGGATCACTTCTACACCACCTCCGCCGCCGAGCGCGACAACGCAATCGCCCAGTTCGGGTACACCAGCGAGGGGATCGCCGCGTACGTCTACCCGAGCGGGGTCTGCGGCGGCTCCGTCCCGCTCTTCCGCACGTGGAACCCGAGCGTGTCCGACCACTTCTACACCACGAGCGCGGCGGAGGACGAGTACGCCATCAGCAACTACGGGTACACCGACGAGGGCATCGCGGCGTACGTGTTCCCCGCGTGAGTCCCTAAGGAACTTCTCAAGAGTAAGTTCTCCCCGTGCCGTCCGACGACCCATTCGCTCACATATCTTGTTGCCACTAGGACGCCAAGGGTTGTGGGTTCATGGTATGGATTATGCACTAGGCTCAAGTTATCGAAAGATCGTGGTGTAGAGGGTCGGGTGGATTATTTTCCGTAAAATACATCTCAACACGAGCCACCTTGTTGAGGCCTTGTGGACCTGCCTCCAACGCTGCCTCGTGGAGCATGAGCGCGCAGTCAAGTTGCCGGCCTGGGGCCAAGGCTCAGACGAGCGGTGTGCGCCTAACGCTTAAAGCTTAAACCATCTCTTTCCCCTCTCTATTTGTGTTCACCACGACCCGCTTATGGCCCTTTTCTCCGGGTATCTTCTGAAGCTGGCGCTGTCTGCTCGTCAAGCGAGCCCCAACACCGTGTGGCGGGCTTTAGGCCTTTAGGTTTAGAGTTGGGAGCCCACTCTCCGGCCCGTCGAGGGCACATCCGGGCCCCACAGCTGAGCAGAACGAGGTCATCTCGTCCTCCTCAACCATGCTCTCCTGGCTCGCGCTCCTCGGGGCCGCCGCTGCGCTTCCTCCCGTGCTCGCTGCACAGTACTCTCTCGCCGACTCCTACCAAGGCGCCGGCTTCCTCTCTGGCTTTTCACACGAGGACATCCCCGATCCCACCCACGGCCGAGTGTGCGTCCCAGCTTCGCCCGATCGCAGACGTGCTCATCAACAGGCCATCGATCCAGGAACTACCTGTCGCAAGAGGACGCAATCTCCAGGAGCCTCACCATCGCCCGCGATGACAGCCTGATCATTCGCGCCGACTCGGCCGCCGTTTTGCGTGCAGGTGGTCCCGGTCGCGACTCGGTACGCCTGCGGAGTAACAAGCAGTACACGACCCATGTCACGGTGTACGTACTATCCTGTATGTTTCGGCGACCGCTCCAAGTCCTCAACTCAGTCTCTGATCAGGTGGAACATCCGGCACATGCCACAGGGATGCGGGTACGTGCTCCCTCGAGGCAGCGGTCGACTCCTCGCCTGCTTAATCGCCCGTGCCCATGCTTAGCACTTGGCCGGCGGTGTGGGAGGTGGGGGCGAATTGGCCGGATCTCGGTGAGCTCTCTCTCCCTCACATCAACGCGTCCACGGAGACCAATGCGCCCTGCACGCAGGAGAGATCGACATCGTCGAAGGCGTGAACGACCAGGCCCCCAACCATTCCGCACTCCACACCGGATCAGGCGCGTCCCACTTCCAGCCCTGCACTCTCACTCTCGGCTCAACGCGCGCACAGGCTGCACCATGCCCCCCGTCCGCATGCAAACGGGGTATGTACCATAACTTATAAGCACGCCGCGCCTCTCGCCGCCGCGGCGCGCTCACCCTCCCGCTCGACAGCACGCAGACGGGCGGAAACAACTGCGACAGCCGCGCGACGGGCAACACCGGCTGCGGCGTCAAGGACCGCCGTCCGAACAGCTTCGGCCCCGCCTTCAACCGCGACGGCGGCGGGTTCTACGCCATGGAGCGCGCGCCGGACGGCGTCCGCGTCTGGTTCTGGGCGCGGCACGACCACGTCCCCGCCGACGTGCTGTCCGGCGCGGCCGAGGTGCACACCGGGAACTGGGTGCGTTCGTGCGCCCCGTGTGCCGCGTTTGTCCATGCGCTGATCGTGCACGATCTGGCCCAGGGAATCCCGGTTGCGTCCTGGCCGAGTGCGCGCTGCGACTTCTCCACGCACCTCGGTCCGCACTGGATAGTCATCAACCTGACCTTCTGTACGTGACCCCCCTCAGAGATTCGGCTGGCTGACCTTCGCCGACCCTCGTCTCCCGGACGCTGTAGGCGGAGACTGGGCGGGCCAGGAGGGCGTTTACCGTTCCAGCGGGTGCCCGGACACCTGCATCTGTACGTCTCCCCACACTCCCTACCGACTATATACACGGATCATATACAAGCCCCGCGCTGACGTCTCTCTAGCATATGTGGAGAACAACCCCGACGCGTTCGCCGACGCCTACTTCGACGTCGCGTGGCTGAAGGTGTACGAGTGCGTCCGTCGTCGTCAGCTAGGAATATCACTCCCCCTCACGCTGTGGTTGCAGGCCGCACGTCCGTCCTGGAAACGAGACCGTGGAAGAGGCGCCGAAGTCGAAGCACTCCATCCGGATGAAAATGAAGCACGCTCTCAAACGGGAGGTCCAGCAGCTGGTCTCGTTTGTTTCCTGAGCAGACGTGCATGGACTAGGTGGCGGTACGAACCATAAAGCTTGTACATTAGATCATCGCGCACGCAATGGACTGCACTGTGAGGTGCCGCGACTCCACCTCTGGGTTGACCAGTGTCGAGCCGAACGAGCAAGGATCACGATACGTCCCTCGATCTGCACCACGATCATTCGACGCTTTCAACAACCAAACTCTCCGGCAACGGACCGCCCCGCATACACGCACCCCAATCATAGTACGCTCACAATTCGTACACCCATCCATTGATGCAAGAGATGCTACAAATGTCTTCTCTCCCCATCCCCTCTGCCCGCCACCCTCCTCGAGTCCTCAAAGCCTCAAGCGCCCTACAGCGCGAACCCAAACTGCCCCAACGCCCTTACGAACGGCCCCGTCACGCCCGCGTCCGTCGCGCCCGCCCACGCCCGCACGCGCGGCTCCCCGCGCGCGAGCCCCGCGAGCGCCTGCCCCACGAACGCCGGCAGGCTCTCGACGTGCGCGACCGGGTCGAGCGGCGCCGCCTCCGCCGCCGCGAGGCGCGAGTACGCGGCCTGGTAGCCCGCGCTCTGCTCCTCGAAGTCGACCTGGGTGAGGCCCGCGTCCGGGTCCGTCTCGTCCTTCTTCGACAGCTGCTGCTCGGTCTGGAAGAGCTTCGCGAGCGCCTGGAACGTCTGCGGCCTGTGTCGCGGCAAGCGGGGGGCGGTGAGTGCAGGTGGCAAGTCGAGGAAGAAATACGCACCATGTCCGGACGAGCGGCTCCTGGACCATCGACGTGCTCTGGGTGAGGAGGCGCGTGAGGCCGACGATGACGACCTTGCGCTCCTTCGGCGGCGATTTTGGTGCTTGCGGGATCACGAACGTCGTGAGCAGGTTCGTCCAGAGCCTGTCGCGCAGATCGTCAGCTTCGCTGCGTGTGGCGTGTTCGGCGTACACTCACTGAGCCTGGATGGCCTCCACTTGGCTGACGACGTAGTCGGGCGTCATGCCGTTCACCTCGACGGCGAGGCAGAACGACAGGAAGTAGACGAAGTAGTAAACGAACGAGTCGGTCTTGCTTGTCTGCATCCGCTGCAGCATCATCAGGAAGATGCCGCGCAAATTCTGCTTGAGCTCCGCCCTATGGTCGTCCGGCGCGTCAGCCGTCTGCGCGACAGGTGGGTAAAGTTCGAGACACTTACTCTGGCGCATACATGACCACGGCCTGCAGCAGCTCGAAGCCCCACGCGTCGTTCGTCTTCGACGGGATCAACCGCGACTGAACGACGCCGAGGACCTGTGTGAGCTGCCCAGCGTCGCACATCGCCTTCGCGTCGCGCTTCAGGAACGCCTTGAGGAGCTTCACGAGACCCGGGATGCTGCCCTTCTGCTGCCACGACGTCGGGTTGAGGAGCATCGGGAGAAGCGCGCCATACGTCGACGGGACGCTTCCAGAATGGAACTCGAGCATCTGCGCGAGGACCTGGAAGGCGTAGGGAATGTACTCTGGAGGAGGATGTGAGATCGGGCGTGGGATGGAATGGACGCGAAAAACAGAACATACGGTCGATGTCCTGGGAGATGATGATCTCGAACGGCGGGAGCAGCGCTTGCTCGAAGGTCGGAAGCGCGGCGGGGTTGGCCTGGACGACGAATCTGCAACAGCACTCAGGATTATGTTCACGTTCAAGATGCTCGCCACAATACCTCATCAAGGCAGAAATGCTTTCAAAGATGTACTGGTCGAACTTGGGGTTGCTCGGGTTCTTCGAGATGACACCAAGGATCGCGACAAGGCGCGACAGGATCCTTTCGAACCCGGCCACAAGCGATGTCCGTGCGACAAGGATCACACGCATAGCGCCTGCCAGGGTCGTGAGCGACATGCCGCGACTTGCCGACGCCAAGACTCACACTTCATGAGGTAATCGTTTTCCGCCATCTTCTCGGGTGTTGGTGCCGTCTCGATCTTTGACAGTAGGGCGTCAAGCAGCTGCGGTGCGATGTCCTGGATGTCGGCAGATGTAAACCTATCCAATAGTCAGCGAAAAAAAACGGGGTGATAAGCAGCCATCGTACTAACATGAGCTGGGGCCCTTGTCTGATGAACAGGATCCGCTCAATGCTGATGGCAGCGTAAGTGCAGCACACGTAGTTGTCCGACAGCAGATGACGTGCGAGCGACGGGAGCACTGAAAGAAGCTGCGGCTTCACCAACTGCCGTCGCAAACGCCATCAGCAAGTCGCACGTCAGAGAATCCGCAGCCACGCTCGCCTGGTTACGGAACGTGTACAAGAACCGGATCGCGTCGACCTGCAGGACCGGGTGGATGCTTCCTGCGTCCGCCTCCAAGTCCTGGAACACGTGCTCCGAAAAGAATTGCACGACGTCGATGAGCGCGTTGGTCGAAGTCACACCGTGCTGCGACGTGCCTCCGCGCGTCGCGACGGCCGTGAGTAGGTAGATCGCCGTGTCCTTTGCGCGCCAGTTCTCGGCCTTATTCGCGTTGTACTCGCTTAGGCCCTGGGTGACCCACGCGCCCGTGACCTCGGTGGCCTCCGCCTCGTAGCCGGAAGAAACGAGTGCACGAAGCACATCGGCAGCGGCCTGACGACGCGTTACCGCGTCGCCAGACACGCCGGCGGCACCCATGGAAGGCAGCGCGAGGTCCAGGCGGATGTATTCAAGCGGGTCATCTTCAAACTGCTCCAGCTCGTGCTCTGATGATGAGATTGAGCTCATACACGGACATTACGCAAACAACGAATTACCTCGTAGTGAGACGTTGGGGACGACGACGCCCTGGACGAGACCCGAGATGGTCTCCTTCGAGCCGAATAGTTCCTTGTAGTGTTGTGACCGGATGGCCGAAGCGACGAAGCGCAAAGACTGAGAAACGAGCTGGATCCATTTGTAAGTCCCTGCACTGCTGCATGAATGAAAGAAGATCCCACCCCATCGTCTGCAACACCCGGCCGTTTACCTCCACCGACAAGATCCCAGATGGTGCGCACAAAGGCAGGTACGCAATTGGACGACTGCATGACGTCTGAGAAGATTTTGATGTAAAGCTAGATGGAGCGTTAATGGGCACGGTAAAAGACGCAGGACGGCGACTGCCATACCTCGACGATCTCTAAGATGCCGGTCTTTATTTGGGAGGATACGGACGGGTTGGTATCGTCGGGCTACGGAAAGAGGTGAGTGAGTTCAAGAATTCGGAGCGAAGGAAATATATGCATACGTCTGTGTGGAATTGTGGAGGATCCCATACGAGCAGCTTGATGAAAAGCCCATTTTCTGCCGCGAAGAACTGCGCATGCGAGTCCTCAAAATCCGGAGGGAGGTCCTGGCACACGAGGTCATAGTAGATATCGACGAGGAGGACCATCGCCTGGGACGCTTGAACGAAGTTTGGCGGCTTGGAGTCGGAGAGAATGAGGGAGGCGGTGTGGAAGAAGAGCTGGAGAAAGGGGCGGCTGAAACGGGAGAGGACGTAGTTGATCACGCTGAAGAGGGAATCCGACCTGGACGCCGCGCGCCAAGGACGGAAGATAGAGTGGGCGGTCTCGAGGATACTGATGTTGACCTCGAAGTTGGACTCGGATAGGGATGAGACGAGTCTCTGAGAGCAGATGGTGGTCAGTTGAGCGAGCGATAGAGAGATGTGCGGTAGGAGGGCACAGGGAGGAGACGAAAGGAAAACCCACGTCGACGAGGTCCGGCCAGTGCTCTGGGAAGTCGCTTTTTGCGACGAGAGCTATTGACTCGGCGATCTGAGCGCGAACGGCCTTGTCGGTGGGGCTGGAGAGGGCGATCATGGCGGGTACGAGGGCGTCGCGCAAGGCGGCGCGGTCGGGGTCGGAAATGGGTGGCTCATCCTGGAATGGAGTGAGATCCCAGGAGATCAGGGAACATCAGAGGAACACGCACGTCCTCCCATCGGGATTTGACGAGGTTCTTGAGGTAGACGCTAGCCGCAAGACGGACGGAGCGATCTGCAGAAGGTTGAAGGACGAGGGAGAGGAGTTGGGCGAGGAAGGCGGGCTGGAGGGAGAGCGCCTGGAGATTTTGCTCCGCCTGCTTCCTGGTGCTGGGGTTGAGAGAGGCGAGGAGGAGGGAGGGAAGGTCGGCCATGGGGGGACGAAAGGCGGACTGGACGGCGCAGCCACCAGGGATGAGGAGGATCGGCTCGCGACGCGTCTGGGCAGCGAGCGCGCCATGACGCGTGTTTTGACCGGGCACGTGGTCGTCCACAATGTTTTCGCCGCCCGGCGTCTACTGCACTCTCAACGTCGGTCAAGGACTCGATCGACGATGGCCAAGACTTCGCCTGCACTCCGCGTGGCGCACGACCCTCCCCAGACGCTTTCCTTTGACTCGTCTGCGTCTGACTAGCGTCCCGACAGACGCGCGGTCTTCACGTACGAACCAATTTTCACACAGTGACGCCCCGCTTACGGTCGCTTCCACAGTCGCCCCGTCCGCTCCACTCCCGAGGGGGGCCATTGGCGGCGTTCTCTGCTTCCTGTTCTCTGCGCTGACCGTTCTTGTCCCCCAGGTTGGTCTGCAATATTGCCAGATGCTGCACCCGTCTGCGGAAGAGATGTGCACCACGTCCGCGGCTTGCGTCCGCTGCCGCGGGCCCGGCTCGGCGCACATAGAATTACAGCGACGACGTAAACCAATCTAGAAGCGGCCGACCCGAACGCGAACCGTTCGCGGCGGGCGTTGGACACCGCGTCTCGCGGGACAGCGCGCGACCGGCCGTCTATAAATCTCCTTCGCCCTCTGTTGGCATCCCTCGCTTCCTGCCTCCGTCTATCTCCCCCTCTGTCTCTCGGCCTCGAGCCTCCCGTCGCTCTTTTCCCTCGTCGCTCCTTGCTCTCGAGCTCCTCCCTATCATCCCCCGCAGCCGCCTTCCAGCTCTCAGCCACCATGAAGTTCACCTACGCTCTCGCTGCTCTCGTCGCCACCGCCGCCTCTGTCCAGGCGAGCGAGACCAACGGTCAGCGGATGGCCCGTGGTCTCAACCCCCTCCCTCCTCGCAACCTCCGTCACCCCTCCCGCACGACCAGTATGTTCTTCCTGACAATGTCCACTCCGTGGTCTTTCGTCTTCTTACGCCCATTCCCGCCCGTTGCAGACGCCAAGCGCACTTCCCCCTCGGGCAGTCCCTCAAGCGGGAGCTGCAACACCGGCCCCGTCCAGTGCTGCAACTCGGTCCAGAAGGCCAACGACAGCGTAGTCAGCACCATCCTGGGTCTCCTCGGCCTCGTCGCGGATCCCGATGTGCTCGTCGGCCTTCAGTGCTCTCCTCTCAGCGTTGTCGGCGTCGGCGGCAGCTCCTGGTAAGCCCTCGGTATTGTCGAAGTTGAGCCGTCATTCATCTGTTGTCGACAGCTCGGCGCGGACCGTGTGCTGTGAGAACAACAGCCAGGGTGGTCTCATCTCGATCGGGTGCATCCCCAGTACGTGATCAACTTGTTCGACCCTCCGCTCGTATTCTAATCCCACTCTCGCAGTCTTCCTCTGAGAGCCGCCCAGTGTGATTCTCGTTCTCGTAGGGATTAGGATACTCGCGATATCTCACACATTAATCTCGCCAAACGAACGGACTCTAGTCTTGAGCATGTAGTCGCACGTTCTCCCTGTCCTCGCGCGTACTCTCGGACTGTTCTGTGACGCCTCCTCCGCTATACCCGAACATATTCCGTGGTCGTTGTGTACTCGTGTGCGCTGCCTTATGCCATAGGACCCACAGGCGACCTTCACGAATCGCGTGCGCGTCAATGCTGTGCTTCCATCCAAATCTTTGGTCTTCGGGCAAGACGGAGGCCGCGGCCAGATGCGGCCCACAGCGTGCAGCAGTGCCTTCGAGGAAGCGATTGCTGTCTCAGTCTCGTCCGAGGTGCAGCCAAGATCGTCAGATGCGGTCTGCCAACGCTTGTTTGCGGCGATTTCCGTGACTTGGCCCTATCAACCTTCAGTCAGGTGTCGTTCATCGTATCTTCATTAATGCCCACTGTGGCTGCCGGCCAGTGTGGACAGTCCAATCACCTCTCGCTCCGCTGCAGAATCAGACTCAGGTCTTCCTTGAAAGCGTTGACCTGCCTCGGAACTTTGGAGCGCGTGGGAGGCCTCGCGTTGACGTTGAGCATCCACCTCGGCAAAGTGGCGCGACCCGATATTTGAGCGCATATAACGTGCACTTGCCCTCCCCGTCGTCCCGTCCCCAGACGACTCCTCCCAGCCTGAAAACAAACGCAACTTACACCAACAGTTCGCCTGACGAAAAATGTCTGCGTTCACCGTCTCCGACAACTAGTACGCTCCCCGCCTTCCCTTCCTTCCCCAGTCCGTGCGCTCATCCCCGCCGTTCCCCAGCACGCACATCATCGGCGGCGCCAAGGCGACCTCCCCCACCTTCGTCCCCGTCATAAACCCCGCGACCGCGACCGCCTTCACCCACGCCCCGCTCGCCACGCGCGCGCAGCTCGACGTCGCCATCGCCGCCGCCGAGCTCGCCTTCCCCGCCTGGGCCGCGACGCCGTGGGCGGACCGCCAGCGCGCGCTGGCCGCGCTCGCGGACACGCTCGAGGCCCACCGCGACGCGTTCACCGCGCTCATCGTGCGGGAGATCGGGAAGGACCAGGCGAGCGCGTGAGCCGCCCCGCGCGTCCGCACCGGCCCCGTCGTCGCTCATGCATGCATGTCTCGGTCCCGCAGGGCTATCGAAGTCGCGATCTCGATCCCTTGGCTCCGCAAGGTCGCGGAGCAGACCCTTGAGGACGAGACCGTGTCGGGGCACGCGGGGAAGGTCGTCAAGAACCGGTTCCGGCCGTACGGCGTGGTGAGGACCAACAGTTCGTGGCCCGTCCCCCTCGCTGACCCCGAGCCTCCGTCCCCCAGTGCGCAGGTATCATCCCGTCCAAGTGCGTGCCCAACACCCGCGCACCCGACTGACCTCCGAGCGCCCTCGCACGCAGCTACCCCCTCACCGTCGCGGTCATCAAGCTCTCCCAGGCCGTCCTCGCCGGCAACTGCCTCATCCTCAAGGCCCCGCCGACCGCCCCGTGCGTACTCGCGAAGTTCATCGAGCTCGCCCAGTCCGTCTTCCCGCCCGGGGTCGCCTCCGTCCTCCTCGGGGGCAACGAGCTGTACGTCCGCCCGTCCGCGCCCGCCGCCCTGTCCTCACACCGCACACCGCACGCGCACCCAGGGGCCAGTGGATGGTCGAGCACCCGCGCATCCTCCGCGTGTCCCTCACGGGCTCGACGCGCGCCGGCAAGGCCGTGATGGCCGCCGCCGCGCCCGAGCTCAAGGTGCTCACGCTCGAGCTCGGCGGGAACGACGCCGCGATCGTGCTCGACGACGTCGACCCCGCCGCGGTCGCAAAGTGCGTCCCCCGTTCGTGGCCGAATACTGAGCATCGCCGCTGAGCACAAGATCGGCCGCAGGACGATCCTGCAGGGCGCGCTGCACAACGCCGGGCAGACGTGCTTCAACATGAAGCGCATCTACGTGCACGACGCCGCGTACGACGCCGTGCGGCGCGAGCTCGTCGCCCTCGCGCGGGACGCGCGCGTCGGCGACCCGGTGGACCCCGCCGTCGCGGTGGGCCCTGTGCAGAGCGAGGCGCAGCACGCGCGGCTGATGTGAGTCCCGCGCATTCTTTCATGGCCGTGCTTCATCAGCCGGAGCCGTCGGCGGTTTGCTGACCGGTTGACGGCGTCCGGACGCAACAGGAGCCTCCTTGCGGAGTCCAAGGCGAGCGGGCTCAAGGTCGCGTTCGAGAGCGAGGTGCCGGCGGGCAGCAAGGGCTTCTTCGTGCCCGTCGTCATCTTCGACGACCCGCCCGAAGGTTCGCGTGTCGTCCGTGAAGAACGTGAGTGCAATGCCGTACTCGAGGCTTCTCCGCAGTGCTAATAAACTCGTCTATTTTGTCGCCGGCGTGTGCAGAGTTCGGGCCCTTTGTCCCACTGCTTAGGTGGAGGGATGACGAGGAGGTGGTGCGGCGAGCGAGTATGTCGCCGCCTCCGCTCCTTCTAGTAGCGTCATTGACCGACCTATTTTGCGCGGCAGATGACACCGAGTACGGGTTCAGCGCGAGCGTGTGGGGGCGCGACATGGGCCGGTGCACGCGCATCGCCGATGGTCTCTACAACGGGATGGGTAAGCGTCGCGTTCCATTTCAACCTTGGTCTGCAGAAGCACGCCTGGCTTACACGCTTGTTCGGGGGTAGTGTGGATCAACGACTGGGGTACCATTGGCGGCGACCTGGTAAGTTCACCCGTTGTGAATACAGGACTTGCGAGTGTCGGAGAGATGTCTCCTCCGAGCCGCGGGTCCCTCGGCCAGATCTTGGACGCTGACATCAACTCTTTGTCCGTTGAAAGCCGTTGGTCGGCGTCAAGGTGAGTTTGAATGGCTCGACTGTCGGATGCAACGGCTGCTAAAGCGCGCCTATGTCAGCATTCTGGTCTCGGGGTGGAGAACTCCAAGCATGGCCTTACCTCGTGGACATACGTCCAGTCGTTCATCTGTGTTGACCCGGCGGCGGAGAAAGCATGATCGACGAAGCGTACGAGTTCATTAAGGCGATAAGTAAACCCGACATAAGCGTCAGGCGAGAAGTGATGGTTTTCAGTTCAGGGCAGGTTTATGTACACTAGGCTTCAGTGACTAGCCAAGAACCACCTTGTTCCATACTCATGTGCAGCATCCGTTATGCCCAATCGCATACTCTCTTCGCTTCTCCGCTCTGTAACCAGACATCTTCAGAACATTCAGCCTTGGGAAGGCCCCTCCTCGCTCGCACGGCACAAGACCCAGGGATCAAATCTCGCACTTTTGCAAGCCCGGGCTCGTCATCAATACCTTAACTTGAGAGCAATTGCAGCCGGTTCCAGAGTCGCACGTCCCCGCTGATGATGATGATGATGTATTCATGCCAGAACATTAAGTATCTTCGTAAAGCTAAGTACGAGCTAACTCAACGACGGCGGGTATCCCGCATTCGGTAGACTATAACGGGGCCACGGCCTAGGCTAGTGTGTGGCGGGTCGCACGTCCCCGCGACTAGGACAGTTGCCCTTCGCGTTAACCGAGAACGGGATGTCCCGCAGATTCCATCTTTCCACCGGAAGCAGTATGGCGTCGCTGCGCTCCTCTTCCCAGCCCGCGCTTGTCGCCTCCACGCATGCACTCTGCCGAAACCCCCGCTTGAAACGGTGAAGCGGAATAGAGAGGTTTGGAAAATTGCAATTGTGCGCGATTGCAATGAGTGATGGCGCGTTAATGGAGTCCCGTCTCCAATGTGACCGCCACCGTGACCGGGACAGGCGAGCGCCGGGGCGAGAGATGCGACAACACAGTCCCTTACCTCCAAACTGAGCATCCAGCGACTAGTTCAACTTGCAGCCAGGACAGCATGCAACTATGAAGGCAGCCACAGGAAGCAGACGAGTGACAACGAGATGAAAGCACAAGCGCGAACCTCTCGTGAGCCTGTCACGCTGCACATGGGTGACGGGCGTTTTCGAGCGGGCCGCGATGCCGTGGAGCGGTGGGTCCGTCCCAACGGATTACAATCGCGCGCAATTGCCGTTTTCCAAACCTCTCTAATGTCGTTGAAACCCTCTTCGAAGAACCGTTCGCGCTTGCTCATCATTCGCGCTACAGCTCCCATGTTTGCGAGCGGGCGTTCTCGGCGTTCGCTCCAGCCGCCCAGGGACGACGCCTCCAGCCTCTCATCAACCGCTGTCACCCTCTAGACAGGATTTGGTTGGGCGTCGCGCCTCAACTTACATACATAGGCGATGGGGTGTGAGCTTGTCCAAGGAGGGGCAGGTGCGACACCCATGGAGTCACAAGAACAGGGGCGCCCCAACTTAGGATTCACATAGGATATAACGTGGGCACCGGACCTCGAGGGGCTCTCGTCCACGTCAGACCGCGCCCTTCCCTTTCATCTCTGTTTTCCTAGAAGCAGACGTCAGCTACAAGCATATGAAGATGTCCAATTTCACTGTCGTCGACGACTTGTACGCCTTCCCTCTTCCTTCCCTGACTTTGTTTTTACTCCGCCCTCCCTCCCCTTGCTCACTTTGTCGTCCTCAGCACGCACATCATCGCCGGCGCCAAAGCGCGCTCGCCCACCACCGTGCCCGTTCTCAACCCCGCAACCGCCCAGCCCTTCACTCACGTCCCGCTCGCGACCCACGCCCAGCTCAACGCTGCCGTCGCCGCCGCCGAGGCCGCCTTCCCCGGCTGGGCCGCGACTCCCTGGAGCACGCGCCAGCAAGCGCTCCGCAGCCTCGCGGACGCGCTCGACTCGCACCGCGACGCGTTCGCCGCGCTCATCGCGAAGGAGATCGGAAAGGACCAAGGCAGCGCGTGAGTGGCGCGCGCATGCGCTCCGCGATCTGGCGCTGACTCGCCCCATCTTGGGCCCGCAGCGCGTTCGAGGTCGCAATCTCGGTGCCGTGGCTCCGGACGGTGGCAGAGCAGACCCTGGAGGACGAGACGGTGTCCAAGCAGCCCGGCAAGATCGCCACGAACCGGTTCCGGCCGTACGGAGTGGTGAGCTTCTCGTCGCGAGCTTCGGAGTCCCCGCCTCTGACCCTGACCTTCCGCTTCTCAGTGCGCGGGGATCGTCCCCTTCAAGTGCGTTCACCGCTCAAGTAGCGTCCGCGCCTGCTCTACTGACCTTGCGCGCGGGCAGCTTCCCTCTAACGCTCACCATCATCATCAAGTTCTCGCAAGCCATCCTCGCCGGCAACTGCCTGATCGTGAAGACCCCGCCGACGGCCCCGTGCGTGGTTGCGAAGTTCATCGAGCTTGCCCAGTCTGTCCTCCCACCTGGGGTCGCATCGGTCCTCCTGGGAGGCGACGAACTGTGCGTCCACACGCACACACGCGTCACGTCGCTTACGCCGCGTCCGCAGCGGCCGATGGGTGGTTCGGCACCCGCGCATCCTGCGCGTGTCGTTCACGGGTTCGACCCCCGCGGGCAAGGCCGTCATGGCGGAGGCCGCGACGGAGCTCAAGGCGCTCACGCTCGAGCTCGGTGGAAACGACCCCGCGATCGTGCTCGAAGACGTCGACCCCGCCGAGGTCGCGCAGTGCGTCCTTCCCTCACTAGCACTTTCGGGCGGTCGCTCACCTAGGTCCGCGGCAGGACGATCGCGCAAGGCGCGCTGCACAACGCCGGCCAGACGTGCTTCCAGATCAAGCGCGTGTACGTGCACGACGCCGTCTACGACGCCGTGAAGCGCGAGCTCGTCTCGCTCGTGCAAACCATGCTCGTGGGCGATCCGGCGGACCCACAGGTCGTGGTCGGACCGGTGCAGAACGAGGCACAGCATGCGCGACTGACGTGAGTCAAGATTTGATCTTACCTATCGCCTCGATATATACCGACCCACTGGAACGTCGTGCGGCTTTTTTCACAGGGATCTGCTCGCGGACTGCAAGGCACATGGGTACAAGATCGCCTTTAAGAGCGAAGTCCCGACCGACACCAAGGGCTATTTTATCCCGGTCGTCATCTTCGACGACCCACCCGAAGATTCAAGGATTGTCCGCGAAGAGCGTGAGCGAGAATTTGCGTTTTCACGATGTGCTCGAGAAGGAGGCTCATCGCCTGCTTTCGCTATCCGTCGTCTGCAGAGTTCGGGCCGTTCATTCCACTGATGCGATGGAAGGACGAGGAGGACGTACTCCGGCGAGCCAGTGGGTCTTCGCATCCTCGCTCACAGCCATCGACGTCGTTGGCTCATGGCGTTTGACAGACGGCACAGAGTACGGATTCGGCGCGAGTGTCTGGGGGCGCGACATGGCCCGGTGCAAGCGCATGGCGGACGGGCTTCTCAACGGGATGGGTAAGCGATCCGGCCTCGCACACTCGCTTTTGGTGACATATCACTGACCCACCCGACTCTGCAGTGTGGGTCAACACCTGGGGTGCGGTCGGAGGAGACATGGTGAGTGCGCGCAATGTGTTTACCGGAAGTGCTCGTGCTCGCTCCAAGCACGCATGCGGTTCCACGAGAAGCGCCATCGAATGCTGATATGCGCATCTTTGTCGTCTGGGACAGCCGATGGGTGGTGTCAAGGTGAGTCTGTGAATAGCTTCGCGGCTTTCAACAAGACCTGAACTGGGACTGGCAGCATTCCGGCATTGGCACAGAGAACTCGAAGCACGGACTCACGGCGTGGACGTATGTTCAGTCGTTTGTCTGCGTGGATCCGGTGGGGGCAAAATTGTGAGCAACTAGAACTGTTGGGGGCTGTTTGTTAGCTGTTTGGGAAAACGACAATTGAAGTCGAGCATTACGCACTGGGTGGCAGTGACAAGCTGAGCTTATGCAATCATCATGTGATCGCCATTGAGGATTTAGGGCCGGCTCAAGTTCCAATTCTCGTTGCCTTGATTGAACTCATCGTCGACGATGCACCTCCTGCGTCTTGTCTCCGTGTCCGCGCATCCGAAGACCGCTAAGCCAGTTAATCCGGGTCGCTCGGAAAGCACACGTCTCAAAAATAATGTCGGCTTATCGCAGCTTGCGGCTCGCTGACAGGTGCGTTTTAGGGGGCGGCCTTCGAACCCAACACCACCAGAGTGAAGTGCAAGATCATTGCTAGCGCTGTTACTGAATTCCGTGTGGTAGCTGGGATTCAGGAGGGCCCTAAAAGACACAATGTCGCAGAACCATCCGTGGCAAGGACTTCGCGTCGCAACCCGGAGACCTCTGCATTTCGCTCGCGACGATCATCCACCCAGATACATCTGGTTTCTCGAGCACGCGCTCCCTGACTGTTCGGCAGCCCAGGAGCCGTGGTCTTAGTACTTAACCTCTTCTCGCACGAAGCGGATCAACACCCGGGGCGCGTGTGTGTAATGAAACTTCGGAGAGCCTGCGCCGAGCGGCAGCGGAAGGTGACCAGAATGGTAATGAAACAGCCGTCATCGAGATGGGTATGACCGATCGAATCCACCCCGCAGTCTTGGTAAGTAAATACAGACTTTTACAGCGTTCTGGCTTAGGGTTGAGCAGGTCCAGTGGCGAATGATAGTCCCAATTCATCAACCGCCTGGCCATCTGTGATTGCATCGAAAGTAGACATCATGGATGCATCACGTGTACCTTTTCGGCCGACCGACGAGCGCTGAGCGCAACTCCCTTTCTTGTCTGGAATACTAAAGACAAGCCTCATGCCACAATTTTGCCAGGCTTTGTCAACCATCATGAATTAGGCTCGGGACATCTTCCACGACATCCTCGATGTGTGGTTTGCTGCGACATCACAGAATTCGGGGATTTTTGTGATGGACGGGGGATGGAACATGTCGGCTATATTCGGTGGTCGAGATCCACCGGCTGTGTGCCGGCCGAGGGATGTTGCCAGGCCCGCTGACTACTACTCTCTCCCAGGCTGCCGCGGGCCCGCTTCCCTCGGTGTCCATGCACATATATGATTCTCTCCTCGGTGGCCACTCCGTCGCTAGCCCCGCTCCTCTGTCCGACCATGGCTGACGTCCACCAGCACACTGCAACCAGCCCAGAGTCTGCCACGCCCACCGTCAACGACGAGTTTGCCACGCTCCGGCCCGTAGACCCGGAGACAGGCGTCGAAGGGCACGAAGACGATAAAAAGATGTCCAAGGAACGTGTGGAGGACTCCCAGGAGTCTGACCCCAGTGTACTGATCGTCAATTGGGATGGTCCTGACGACCCCCTCAATCCCAAGAAGTGGGTTGTTTGCTCCCATCTTCACGTCCCTACGTACTCAACTGGAAGCTAACGCGCCTCTTTAGCTGGTCATCGAGGAAGAAGTGGGCCGCGACCGCCGTCGTGTCCGCATTCACCTTCATCTCCCCGCTCTCATCCTCGATGATGGCCCCCGCCAGCGACCAGATTGCCAGCGAGTTCGGCGTCACGAACGACATTGTGATCGCGATGATGACTTCAATATTTGTCGCTGCATTCGGTGAGCGCCTCCACGTTGTCGTCAATTGCCTCCGACGCTGACCCACTCTGGCTCCAGCATTTGGCCCTCTACTTTTAGGCCCGCTTAGCGAGGTCTACGGCCGCGCCCGCGTCCTCCAGCTTGCGAACCTCTTCTACCTCGGTACGTCTTCTCGCTCGCACCCTGTCGCCAATCGCCACTCAACTCACTTTAACTTTGGACAGCTTGGAATCTTGGCTGCGGGTTCGCACAAAATACAGGGCAACTCATCGCATTCCGCTTCCTCGCAGGCCTTGGTGGAAGCGCCCCGCTCTCAGTAAGTTTAACTGACCACCCTCTCCGCCGTGAACCGCGTGCTTACACCGAGCGCAGATTGGTGGCGGTGTTTTGGGCGACCTTTTCAGGCCCGAGGAACGAGGGGCGGCAATTGCCATCTACTCTCTCGCCCCGCTCCTTGGCCCCGTCATCGGCCCAGCGTGCGGCGCCTGGGTTGCTCAGAAGTCGACCTGGCGTTGGGTGGTATGTGTCCCCTCTGCTTCGTTTGCACACCTCCCACTGACCACGGAGACGTAGTTCTGGTCAACGTCAATTGCATGTGCACTCATCCAGGGTCTCGGCCTCATCTACCTCCGTGAAAGTGCGTGCGATCGTGGCACTACCGCACGAATCATACTAACCAAATCCGTCATAGCGTTCCCCCCTGTGTTGCTCGAATGGCGAGCGCAGAAAATTCGCAAAGGCCTCGACCCAGAGAAGGGCCAATACCGTGAAGTCCGCACCGTGTTTGACGGCGCCGATCGACAGTGAGTATATCTTTGTCTTGCCTCACCTGATTTCAGTCAACCTGACCGCACTCTGCAGCTGGAGGCACATCATTGCGAAAGCCCTTGTCCGCCCCTTCGCGCTCTTCGTCCGCGAACCGATCGTGCAGCTCCTTGGTGTCTACATGGCGTTCCTCTACGGCACGCTCTACATCTTCCTTACCACCATGCCCTCCATCTTCGAGGGCACCTACCACCAGGACGTCGGCATCGCTGGTCTGCACTACTTCGCGCTCGGCGTCGGCCTCTCTGGCGCCTCGCAGATCAACGCGCGCACGCTCGACAAGGTCTACCGCTACCTCAAGGACCGCAACGGCGGCGTCGGCCGCCCCGAGTTCCGTCTCCGTGCGTCTCTCTCTCTCTCCCCACACCCTCCACCAGCGCCACTAACCTCCCCGCTCCCCTCACACAGCGCCGATGGTGCCCGGCTCGCTCCTGCTCCCCATCGGGCTGCTCATCACCGGCTGGACCGCGCGCGCGGACGTGCCCTGGATCGCGCCCGACATCGGCATCGCGCTCGTCGGCGCGGGCACGATCCTCAACTTCCAGTGCATCCAGACGTACGTCGTCGACGCCTTCACGCTCCACGCCGCCTCCGCGCTCGCCGCCGTCACCTTCCTGCGCTCGCTCGCCGGCTTCAGCTTCCCGCTCTTCGCGCCCGCGATGTACCAGGCGCTCGGGTTCGGCAAGGGCGACACCATCCTCGCCGCGTTCGCGATCGCCGTCGGGATCCCCTCGTGAGTTTTTCTTCCCCCCTTTTCGTGTCTTTGTCTTTGTCGGTACCGTGTGGACGACGCTGACGCGCTTGTCGCCCCAGGCCGTTCTTGCTGTGGAAGTACGGCGAGCGCGTCCGGAAGGCGAGCAGGTATGCGAAGTAGCTCGACCCCGGACCGCGCGTTTTCACGTCCCATCTCACGATACCACGACTGTTCTCGCATGCCATGCTCACGTCGCCCCTGTCGGACGCTTGAGCTCGCCATCCCCGCATTCACGCACCAGTAGACGCTTACCATACCCTAGACTAGTCGGTATCATGCCCACTTGTATCAATACTACCCCGCATATGATATGATCACAACATGTATCTGGAGGTCGACTAGCTGGACGCTCTGCCATCCATTTTCGTTAGTCAGAGCATGAGAAGGCGGACAAAGAAGACGACGCGCTCTCGGCGTGCAAGGCAAAGCTGAAGACGAAGGAGGGGGGGCACAACGTCGTTCAATTCATTTTGTACGTATTTCAGTACAACGAGGATGCCAACGGCACAATGGGTGAATATCGAAATCGCGGGGCAGCCGTCGGGCGCGCCAGAAAGGCTCTTTCCATGAAGTCGTCCACCTCAAGGGCCGGTGTGTCCTTGATCGCTCAAGTTGTGACTTATCGACGCGCACCGGCAAGAATCTTCAATGAAAACGCCGTCTAATGATTACAGTGACCTAGTCAACCACATAGCGACACGACATGACAAAACATACGAAAGGGGGCTCGGGGGATCGAAACCATTCATGCGCTTGCCACTCCAACAGCAATGGCTGCTGCTGCAACGACAGGTACAGTGGCCGGCGAGTCCACGACCTTCTCCACTACTTCCTTAGCCGCGGTCACAACAGACGGTCCATCCTTGGAGGAAGCAGACGCCTCAGCGGCGTTGTGAGCCGTCTTCGTCTTCTTCTTCTTCTTCTTGAGCATCGCTAGAAAAGAACGTGCGTCGGTACGACAACGCGATCGGGGACAAGAAACAGACGCACCAACGGAGACAGCGCTCTTCACATTGTCCACGATTTCCCTGCTCTGCTCAATGTACTCCGTGTCCTCCAGCCGGTGCTTCCTGCCCGCGAGCGGGTCCGACGGGCCCGCTTCGCCCGGGGTGATGCCCAGCTTCTTCTCGAGAGCCTCGAGTTTTGCGCGCTGCGCCTCCTGTTGCGCCTTCTTGCGCAGCGGCTCGCTCTCGATGTACTCGGCCAGCCTGCGATGGCTCGCGTCAGTCAGCATGAAGGTGCACGGCCCAAACCGAAGAAACGACGCACTTCTTCGCCTCCTTGATCGTGCTGAGCCGGCGCCCGCTGAGGTCGCGGCACGAGTCGTTGTTGCTCGTCTTCTGGCTGCTCATGCGCCCGCCCGCGGCGCGGAGCTGCGAGCCGAAACCGCCCTTGCCGCCGCGGAGGCGGGGGACGAGCCGCAGGGATACAAGGCTGTGCGACAAGTCGGCGTCGACCTCGAGGAGGCTTGAAAGGGGGGCTTGAGCGTCGGGAACGCGGCCGGAGGCGGGGGTGAGGACGAGGTCGGCGGCATCGGAGTGGAGAGGAAGGCTGGGGTAGCGGTCGGCGAGAGCCTGATAGAGATCGCCAAAAGACGTGTGAGAGGGCGCAGAGAATGCAAGGGTGGGGAAAGGCGCGAATGTGGAAACGAGGACGGAGACGGACATGACTGAAGTACTGAAGCTCGAGTGAGTGACGCCTCCAACCCACTGCAAGGGCGCCACTGGATGCAAACACAGCCAAGCACGACCACGTGCTGAAGAGCCATTCCCGACTTGCGAAACTGCACTTACGAAGCCTTGAATTCGGAGACAGTCCGACGTCGTACTGTGCCCAGTGTCATTATTTCATTCCTGGCTTCGTACGATACGATGCGATCTGTGGGTGACGGAGGATCGGAAGTGCTCTGAAGCATTGCGCGACTGACGTCAGAGGGCGTGACGCGCGTCTCACGCTCCGCGGGCTGCCTACACGTACTTCAGGCCGTCGCCAGCTCGCTCTCCCCAAGACAACCGGCCATGTCTCCTCTTCCGCTTTCCTACAGCGGCATCCCGCCCACCTTCCAATGGCCCGTCAACTTTTGCCTCGCCCTTTCCACCATCACCTGGATCCTCGGGGTCATAACCGGCAACGTCTCCCAAGTCGACAGGGTTTGGACGTTCCTACCGGCCATCTACGCCGCCTACTACGCGTTCATCCCCTTGTGGCCCACAACTTCTCCTGTCCCTCTCTACCCGTATGTGCCTGAAGTCGTCGACCCGGAGATCGTGGACAAGTTCAGCCCTCGTGCGCTCCTCATGTTTGGTCTCATCGTACGTCCCCTTCCTTGTACAAATCCACTCCGAATGCTGAGTGTCCTCAGTTCACATGGATGTGCCGGTATGTCCGAGTTCATATGCATACATCAAGAGGAACGCTCATGTTCGCGTAGTTTGACCTACAACACTTGGCGCCGCGGGCTGTTCAATCTGTGAGCTGAACTTCTCTCGTTTGGCACGTACACTATGACTGACAACGCGTGAAACAATACAGTAAGGACGAAGATTACCGCTGGGAAATCTTGCGCAAGCAGATGTCCCCCTTCGTCTTCCAGCTCTTCAACCTCACATTCATCGGTAAAGCAATCCGTCCATAATCCCGCTACCTCATTCTGATGTCTGTCTTGTTCTCAGCATTTACACAGAACGTGATGCTCTTCCTGTTCGCGCTCCCCGTCCAAATAGCCGCCGTCCAACAGCCTGCGGCGCTGAGCACGTCAGACTATGTCCTTGCCGCACTGGCCCTCATCGACCTGGCGTGCGAGTTCGTGTCAGACAACCAACAGTATTCGTACCAGACCTTCAAGCGCTCCGGCGTCCTCGACAAGAACGACTGGCCTGGGGCGCGCATCCAGTGGACCGCAGCGGACGCGAAACGTGGCTTCGCCACGCGTGGGTTGTGGGCGTGGTCTCGGCACCCCAACTTCCTCTGCGAGCAGAGCTTCTGGGTGAGCCGTCGTGCATGAGCCAGTGACTGTCGCGGCCATTGGACTGACTGGCTTGCCTACAGGTCATCATCAACCTCATTCCCCTCCTAGGCCCCGAGAACCCTCAGCTGCCTGAGTTGCCGTTGACCAGCGTCACGCCGCTGTGGCCGCTCTTGCCGACGCTCACCGTCTGCTCACTCTTCTTCTCGTCCACGTTGTTCACCGAGAGCATCACCGCGTCCAAGTATCCCAAAGGGTACGCGGCGTATCAGCAGAGGGTGTCGATGTTCGTCCCCTTTTTGACCCCAGTATGGGGACTTCTTCTGCAACTGCAGGGGAAGAAGGAGAAGGTGGACGCGCTCGTATTTGGGCAGCGGGATGAGATGAAGAAAACGAAGTGATCATATTTGGACTGCCGGGACGCTCTCTCGCTTCCGTGGGACTCTGTAGTGATAATTGTTCTTGCATACACGGTACGAGCCTCGCTGACCATCTGCCCAGAGCTTGACTGAAGGGATGTACTTGAATTAGATTCATTTCGATGTTCTTTGAATCCCTGGCGCTCATCCCTCGAATGTGGGATACATACCTGCACGAATGGTTTCCGTCACCACAGCACGTTCAAGCCGACCTGGGGGTCATCTGACCTAGCAAAGGTCGACAACGGGCAATGTCTGTGGTCACTGACCGCGTTGAGGCTTCGCGAGATGCTTGGCGTGAGAACAAATGGGAACAGCGATAGAATATACAGCTGCTGGCCGCAACCGCTGCCTCTCCTATCGCAGTGCCCTTCCACAATACGCACGATTCAATGGCCCCAGTGAGGAATGGGCGCGTCCTGTTCAACGAGGTTCCTACAGGCACGCTTCAGTATTCAGTCTCAACCGTCAAGTTACCTCTTCTGACATCCCCAAACCCAGGCTTCCCTGAACCAGATAAGACCGTTGTCTACGAAGAGTCACATACGATCGATCTCGACACCGTTCCGCTCAACGGCGGCGTTCTCGCTAAGCTCCTCGTGATCTCTGCAGATCCGTACATGCGCGGGCGGATGCGTCCTGTGGACGTTCCGGGCTACATTGTCGGTGCCTTCCTCGTTCCTGCACGCCCGTTCCTGCAGCTGATCGGCGCACTCCAATAGCCTGCATTCCCACTCGGCGAACCGTTCGTCTGACCGCAAAGTTCATCCGTTTCCGTGCTCACTGATATTCGATGCTGGCAGGATCGATAACTTCGCCGTGAGCGTTGTCTTGCGCTCAGAAGTTCCAGAGTACAGGCCCGGCGACTACGTGTATGGCATCTTCCGTCAGTAGCCGTCGCTTTCTAGGCTTTCACACTGCCCTGATGCGTCTATTCGCCATATTCCAGTTTTCCAGCACTACTCTGTCCTCAAGAAGGAGCAGATTGAGCGCAAGGTCGAGAACGCGGAGAAGCTTCCCCTCTCGCTCTACGTTGGGGTCCTCGGCATGCCCGGACTCTCTGCTTACGCCCCTTGGAAAAAGTACGCTCCCACCGCGAAGCATGTGTGTTTACCACCACGCGCCAAATCCTCGTGGTGCTGAATGCACACTTCAGGGCGATATCGCGTTCGTCAGCGCTGCCTCCGGCGCTGTCGGCGCGTAAGTCGTTCATACTTTTGCGCCGCTTAGCTCACCCGCTAACGTAAATCACAGTACGGTCGTGCAGCTCGCCAAGGCCGACGGGTACAAGGTCATCGCGTCCTCCGGCTCGGACGAGAAGGCGGCTTTCGTGAAGTCCCTCGGGGCTGACGTCTCCTTCAACTACAAGACGACCGACACCGCCGAGGTCCTCAGCAAAGAGGGCCCCATCGACCTGTGAGTCCCTCGCCGCGCTCAACACCTGCCGCGCTCTTACGCGCCATCCCAGTTACTTCGACAACGTCGGCGGCGCGACCCTCGAAGCCGCCCTGGCCAACGCCACGCCCGGAGGCCTCTTTATCGTGCGTCCCGTCTCCACGCACGCTGCTTCTGGCTGACACCCCCCTCCCCCTTGGGCACCGCAGGTCAGCGGGATGATCTCCGCCTACAACGCGCCGCCGTACCACGTCAAGAACCTGATGGAGATCTACCAGCGCCGCCTGCGCGTGCAGGGCTTCCAGGCGCCGCACCTCGCGCCCAAGTACCTCGACGAGTTCCTCCGGACGTTCCCCGCGCGCATCACCGCGGGCGACCTGCGGTGGAAGGAGCATATCGTGCGCGGGCTCGAGAACGCGGGGCAGGCGCTGTACGACGTCCAGGCAGGAGCCAACTTCGGCAAGTGCGTCGTGCGGGTTGCGGACGAGTGAAGGCGGGGGTGGTCGGGAAGCCGACAGAAGCACTCGTAGTACTTGCGGTGTTCAACAGTAGTTTGAATTTCAGTCTACTCGTTTGTGAAGCGAGCTCAAATGCAGCGTTAAGCTCTTCGATCAAACCTTCCGCATTTGATTCTGGCACGAACAAGAGGGAGCGTGTGCATGTGTCGTCTGGAGTCACTCGGAAAGAGGAAGGGAGGAGCCCGAGGTCGAAACCTTCAGTCCACAAATTCATATCATGGTCAGCTGCGAGATCCGCGTCTTTCTCACTTCAATTGCTCAGTCCTCCGTGCTTGCATGCCCGTCCGAGCCATACGCTCATCAACGCTCACCGATCCTAGGTTGTCACACTGCCGCTGCATCCTGGGGCTCAGATATGATTAGGAGACCTCCTAAGATTATATTCTGCTTAGAGTAGGGCAATAAGTTAAGAAACGAGAGTGGGGGTCAAAGTCGAAAGGAGGGTGGCCCTCGGGATGAAATTCCAAATCATTCTCTTGGCACCGGCATCATTCATCATCGTAAAGCACGGCGGGCACGATAGCTGGGCCGAAGGCCGAGGGAGAGGTGGGGCCGAGTCCGCTATCACTCGGAGATGCCTAGTACCCGTCCCACGCCGCGTCGCGGTTGAGGTGCGATTTGCGTGCGCGGAGGAGGTGCGAGCCGACGTTCACGCCAGCGCTCCTAGATGCACGGATCCCGGCGTCAGCTTCACCCTCTGTGGACCGAACAGAGTATCACTCACTTCCTGTTCTTCATCCGCTCGTGGTACTCCCGCAGGAGCTGCGGTCCAAACTTGCCGTCGCTCGAGCGAGAGCGGCGCGAAGGACGCGGCAACGCGCTGCTCGTGGTCGTGCTCGCCGGGATCGACGACGCGGTCGCGGTCGCGGGCGCAGTCGGGTTCAGTACCAGGGTGGGGACGACCGTCTGCTCGGGGCTCGGGTCCGGGATGCCATCCGTCCAGGAAGATGTCGTTCTGCGCGCCGTCAACGAAGTTGTACAGGTCGGTGTAGAATGGCGGGGCAAAGGTGCCCTCGAACATCTGCGTGCGCGAATAAACTGTTAGTACACGGCGACGGGGAAGGAGAGGGGGGGAGGGAATAATGTACGTTGTTGCGCTCCTTCTGGAACCAGTAGAAGGGCTGCTTCGCGCCGTACGTGCAGTTGCCGGGGACCGCCTCGGGCTTCCCGAAGTTGGGATCCGCGCCGCAGCGGCGGGGCACCTTAGGTTCTGCCAGAGCGACGTCCGACTTCGATCCGGTAACGTTACACTGGAAGACGTTCATGTAGTCTGGGTCGACCACAAAGCCATCAGCATACTACTCCCCCCAAGCCGAAGACCGAAACGCTCACTCTGCTCGCTGCCGCCGTCAGGCTAGAAGGGCGGAAACAAAAAATCAGTACCGACGTCTCGCTCGCCCACCGCCCACGGTACTGTTGCCCACTCACCGCATGGATCCAGAACCACGCGCAGTGGCATTTTCCATCCGGACATTCTGGCATCCGCTCCGGCACCTGAAACTCCGTGTGCGTCGTCCACACGCACGTGTGGTTCACGCTGAACACCGCAAAGTCCTCCGGCTGTATCTTCCGCACGTCGCTCTCGTACGCGATCGCGAGCGCGCACCCGGTCAGGTCGTCGAACCCGGTCGTGTGCAGCGCCCCGCTCGGGACCGTGTCGCCCGGGCACGGGTTCTCGCCCTCGCGGACGTCGGTCCGGCCCTCGGAGGAGGCGAAGAAGGAGGTGAGGCCCTTGTTGCACGTGAGCTGCGCTGTCGCCGCCCCGCCCGCAGGGAGCTCGAAGATGTCGTCCGGGTGCGGGGGGAAGTCGAGGTGTCCGTGCGCCCACCATTGGTCGAAAGTCATGTCTTGTAGCGGGGCAACGGGACGGTTGTCGTACGAGAAGGTTTCGGCGGTGACGTTGAAGCCGTACATGCTGAGGTCCCAGAAGGCTGAGGCGACGGTGTGGTTAGTGTTTGAACCGAGGGGAAGGGAGTCTATGCATACCAATGTGCGCAGATGCCAGAGGCACAGAAGCCGCAACTGCAGCAAAAAGAGCGTGCGTGAGGACCATAATGATGATAGGTAGTGCGTCGGGTATGCGTAGAGAAATGAGAGGGCGACTTTAGTTGCTTAAGGGAAGCGAAAAAAAGACAGTGGGATATATAGAAGAACCAACAAGTGCACTACAAGTGCGAAGGCGAACCCAGAAGAGACAAATAGAAGGGAAGAGAATGTGGAAGATTGCTACGGGGCCTCGAGCTTTATAGTTTGGCTTCACCCTCTTCGTCGCCGCCCACGATAAGGCGGTTCATCGCTCACCGCCCAAAACGAAGCATGCTTGAAGCGACAATAGCGCCGTCCTCGCAAGGATCGCGGCGCGTCGCACCGGAGGCATCCGATGCTATGACATATTGGATATCAGATGAGGTTGGATATGCAAATGAAACACGAACATCCTGGAGTTCAAGCGTCCGTCGTCGGGCTGATCTGCTGGACCGGAGCATGATCACGATGCGCTCACTTTTTGTGTGGCCATGGAACCACACGAGTATCCGGTAAAGGTATATGTCCAACAGCTCTGGCGGCCGAAGTTCGTCAAGCAACTGTGCTGGGCGGTCACCAGGATGATGCGCCCGAGAAGCGGGCAGTGCTTTAGAGGTGCTAAACAACAAAAACAAAATGAGCGGTCGATATTTCAAATCCTGCCGGCGTTCTACACGAAGGACGCACCCAGACGCACCCCCGAGAACGTCGAGAGCGTCGTTTGAGCGGTGATTCAGCACTCCCGCTCGAGTTGCGCCGCTGGGGAATCCACAAGGGTCTTTGATCGACCTGTTCTTCGACGATGTCGGGGAGATGTCCGAGTGGGATTTGTGTTTTCACGACCAGACGGCCAGGATACGAACGAACTGATGTAGTTGCTCTGGTGGACGAGCGTGGGCAAAGGCGAGACACTCCCTGCCTAGAAGATAGTTCAAGACAATATACCGCCTTTGAAAACGACTCTCCCACGTGTCGGCGAAACAACGAAAAGGAGTCGAGCGGCGAGTGATTATAATGAAGCAGGTGATAAGCTTCGTGAATTATAGTACAGGAGGTCGCTGCCACTGTGTGCCCTCAGTCGGTGCCTTCTCTATAACCCTCGTCAGCGAACGTCGTTGTCAAAGACCACACCACGAACCTAGCGCGGCGGCATCCGTGACGTCTTCAATGTTAACGGCGCGAATGGAATCAATACCCAACTCATAAGGGCCTTCCACACCGCTGTTTCCGCCGAGGATGGATATGCCAATGGAGCGTACACGTTCACGATACATCCGTATTTGCTCCGGCACAAGCTCACCGGCATTGGTTAGCACAAAATCTTTGAAGGGTATCTGCGTCGCGAGGAGATGCTTCAGCGAGGGCACATGATTGCAGACATGGCACTTACAAATACATCTTCCCAGCTCCCGTCATCCTTTCTGAAGAAGAGACGGTGTTGCCAGAGGTCAGTGGTGATGGGCCCGTCTGTTTGGAGATTGACAAAGTAGGAATTGCGTGTTCGAGGGTGGCCTCGCGCAGAGACCCGGAGAGCAAGGAACCCATGATGCGAGACGTCGTCTGACATCTCGCCGAACAGGGTGGGTCGAGGCTACTCTCATCAGGGCATTGGGGGGCAGACTCATTGGAAGCGACAGACCTTGTTTCGAAAACCAGCATAACCGCCTCTGATCCGCTGCTCCAAACCAGTCCTGACACCGAGCTTCATTTCGCCCCAGAACTTCCCTGTGGGCCGGTTGACGATGACTTCATGCGGCGAATGGGGCTTCTCAGACGTAGATGGCGTTGCTGTAGACTCGTCGAGAGCAAAATTGACGGTCGAAGTCCCGCCTACATCTGCATCACATCCTTTGGCATATTGAGAGATGTCTTCATGGGAATTGAATGTATACAGAGAGATGGGGAGACGGGAGGGCATGTCGGCACCCTCCATAAGGATCACTGTGAGGAGACATGAGCAAGGCAGGCTCCTCCCAGTATACGAGATGCTTACTGCGCCTGGCAGTGTCCGTGAACACCTTGGCGCTCCGGTTCATATATGCGCTCAGACGAGACATGGCGATGAGGAGGAGAGGAAGGGGCAGCGCGTAAACGCGTCGGGAGGACGCCCAGCCTCACGTCATCGCGCGTCGGGGCTGACACGGAAAGCGGGCGCCTGTGAAACAGTTTCGGTCGGGGCGGCGGGGCGTTCCTTGGCTCTGTTCTCGACCCTCATCGTCGAAAGACAACCCACCCACACTCGCTACTCCACGCCCGCACGGCATCCACAGACACTATGTTGCAGCATCGGTCTTTCCTTGGGTTTTCTCTTCTTGTCTTGTCTTGTGCGTCTCCTTCTCTCGCCGGCTCCCAACACGAACCCCCCTCTGCCCTCGACCCAACCACTCCGCCGCCAAGTCCCCGCATTGGATCATCACCCGATATGCGCCATACTGCGCTACACCTCCGGGATCCCTTCCAGGACACCAACCCCCCTGTACTGGTCCCCGCGGCAAGCAGTACACCTCGCATGCTTTCCGTCTCGCCCCTCCCAGTCGAAGCAGCGCAGGCCCGTCCCACGGAGTCTTTGCCCGCTCATCCGGAGTCCGCGCTTGACCCGCAGAGTACTCTTCGCGGCGATGACCCTGACAAACTCGCTCTGCGCATCGAGCACCACTCGGACGGATTGTCAGCCGCCTCAGCCAGCGAGGTCCCCAGTGCACCGTCCTCGACGACTCGTGCAGAGGCTGCGTCTCACAAGGAGGATCATACTCTCACAGCTGCCGCCATGAAGTCCAAGGCGTCCCATATCTCCCAGGCGCAGTGGGCCGTCAAAATGCACTCGGCCGTTGCGTCGCGGATGAGCGCACACTTCAAGTCTCAATCCGTTCTGACTGCCACCGCCGTATCGCTGCTTGCATTACCGACTTCTTCTGCTGGTACTCTAGGCATCAAGTCCTCGACTTCTCTGTCCTCCGAGCCATTCGTCACTGCGCCTCCTGCTCCCGCTTCTGAGCCACCTACACAGGGCGCCATCGTGGACACTCCTAACCCAAGCTCCGATGCATCCAAGCAGAAGGACGAGCGGTCCCGATTCTCATCGCTCTTGGCGGTCTTTATGATCCTCGGCGCGCTGGTCCTTCTCGGGATCTCCACCGTCTGTCTCCGCTGTGGCGTCCCAGGCTTCAAGCGCATCCTCACGCGTCGCAAGAGGAACACCATGACGGAGCGGACGATCGAAGAAGGCTTCCGCGACATCTCCAAGTTCATCCCTCCTCATGTTGTGCAGAAGAAGACTAGTTTCCTGGTGCCAAGTCACCCGCCTATCGTGACCGGCTCTTCACGCACTGGTGGTAGCGCTTCGTCTTCATTAAGACTGGCCCCGACACTTGCGTATTCAAGTCGACCCCCGGACTCGAGCTCGTTACAAGCCGTTCACGGGGGCGTATATGGCAGTGTCCCTTCCCGCACCACCTCGTGGATCACTGAAGAAGGCTTCGAAGACGTGACACATATACTTTCCGCTTCCACATTCGCAGCATCGCGTGTTTCCGACTCCTCGACATCCTCCGTACGGCTTTCCGTGGCTTCGGTAAACTCCACACGTCTCAGCAGGCACGTGTCTGCCGGCCGTCGATTTACGCCCTCTTCGTCGCGCGCAAGCCAAGGCGCGGTCAGCGTCTATGCCCAATCCTACACCACTTGTGAGAGCCGCTACTCTACGCCTAGCATCGGTGCTGCCAGCACGGTCTCAGCCGCGACCGCGCGTGCGACATCGCCCTCGTCAGCCTCGGGCTCGAACATGGACGCAGGTCCTTCCACCTCGCACTCAAGCGCCGACTCCTTCCACTCTCCCGAGTCGGGCTCAAGCTCCTCAAGACTCTCCTCTTGTTCTTCTGGCTCGGCTTCCCTCTCCGACCTGCCTATGACCCCGCCCCAGCCGGAGTATCAGCCCTTGCATCATGCGGCGCAGACACCTTCACCTTCCCGACTACCCGTATACGCGAAGCTGGCGCCGATCGCGGAGGAGGTCCTTCTCCCCCACCCTGTCTCCCGCCGCGGGGTTGGGCGCGGGGTCGCGCTTCCCGACTGGCGCACGCTCCCGAGCGCGCCCAGTACGCGTCCGTATGCGGCGCCGAAGATCCCGCTCCCGCCGCTCCCCGCTGCAGCGCCGGTGCGACGTGGGCGAGCGGACACGCTGCGCCCTGGGGCACCGCTCGCTATGGGAAGCCGGACGGTTGTCCTCATGCGAGGATCATAGCCAGGGATGGGCAAGGAGGGAGCTAATGAACGCGCGAGATGACTCGACACGCACTACCTTCGTAGATTCATACGCACATTCTTTTCTAATTTCTCCATTTTGGCTCCGACTGTCTGTTATCACCTACGTAGGCGGAATATATGGACGCTCTACCTCATCCTTCCTTGTGGGCTTCGAAGTGCGAACCAGTTCCCGCTCGTCATGCGCAGCCTCCCGCTCGTGCATACACCATTCGAAGGCTGCAATGACGACCTTGCGATCCTCATCGTAACGCATGGGCCCTCGAGCAAGTCCGCCAAGGCCCGTGTCCTTGGGGGGTCGTGTTTACGTTAGGATTGCTTCAGCGAAAGCGGCACTGCATATAAACAGCTCGGGAGGAAAGAAACATGGTATACAACGAGAGCAGATACACAGCGAAGTACAGAGTTCAAAGGGCGGGAGGTAAATGACCGAAGAGCCAACTCAACCAACATACCGCCTAGTGCATTCCAAACTCGTCCATGCTCATGCCTCTTGTCACCCGCCGACGCACCTCGGGAGACATAGCCCCGTCGGGCGGCATACCTCCCATCCCCATCCCGGGGTTCATCACCATGCCGCCTCCCAAGCCGGCCATCGCAGGGTTCATACCCATCCCCGGTCCGCGCGACATGGGAGAAGGGGGGACGTCTCCGCCGTAGAACTGCCCGGGCGGAATGCCAGTCATGCCGCCGTATGGACTCGCCATCACTTGGTTGCCGCCTGGGGGAAAGCCGTGTCGTGGAGAAGCCATGCCCTGGGGACCGCCGTACATTTGCGCTTGAGCAAGTTGGGGGTTCATGCCACCCTGCATGGAGCCGGTGCGCAGCATTCGGGAAGAGCTGACAGTGTCGGGGTGCTGCCGCTGTGGAGGGTGGGATGATGAGGATGGTGGCTCCTCGTCTTTCATGTGTTCCCGAAGAGGCGTGGGGTCGTAGTACAAGTTGGAATGCACGTCGACGTGGAACCTGCGCCATGGTTCAGTGCGTCAGCACACAGACAGTAAGCAGTGAACGAGTATGCGTACTGTTGGGTCCCAATATCCCACTGAGGACCCCGTTCGGCTCTGGCAGTTATGAGGAGGGAATTCCAGTCTGAGGCACTCTCCTGAGTAAAACGTGAGTGTATGCGGGATATAAAGAGTGAATTACTCACAATAGCTTGAGCGAGGGCACTTGTGGGCTCAAGGGCCGTCTGCTTGACTTCCACTCGAATGCGCTTCTCGCGAGCCACCGCCTCCACGTTTGCGGTCAGAACGGGTCCGATACGTTGTGAGTTATGTCTGGGTACGCGAACTTTGATGTCACGATGGGGCTTTGTTGACCGCGCCATTGGACAATTAATGCGGACAGCAAGAACGGGGGAGTGGGAGGAGACAAGAGACAACGGCCGCAGGCGTCAACTGTACGCCGAGACTAGGCGTCTAAGGACTGCTCTCTTCAACGTCTTCCACCGCCAGCTTCATCGCTCCCCTCTCCTCCCGACCCCCCCTCCGCCTTCAAAACCGACAGGCATATCAGCATGGCTGACCCAGGACCTTCCACAGTCCGAATGCACCAGCACATTGCCCCTGCGCCCCCCGAACCCACCCATGCTGGTATGCCTCGCGCTCCGCTCCTGTAAGTATTCCGGCTGCTAAACTCATCGCGCTCGTTTGTGCTGCATAGCATACTTCACCAACATTCGGCAATGGTCCAACTCCGTCACGCCACCGCCCACGAATGGCAGGAGCAACCCGGCGCGGAAGAGCACTCGTCCTGCACGCAGCTCAAATCTTGCGCCCTCCCAACCTCATACTCCCATCCCCCTCGCCCGCACCTCTTCCATCCCCCTTTCCCAGCAGGCGCGCCATTCCGTCCCCACCCACGCGCAGGCAATGGCCCCCCCTCCGCTGCACCCGTCCCACGGGCCCCTCCGCACAACACCCCAAGCCCTGCACTCCACCTACGCGTCGCGCCTCCGGACGGGCACGACGCTCCTCATGCAGCCCATCCTCGCGCCGTCCTCTGTGGCCGCCGTCTCGACGCGCACCTCGCGCCGCGGCGGCGTGATCAACTACACCGAGCCCGGCTCCGGCGACGAGTTCCCCGACGCAGGCGCGGTCGACTCTGACGACTCCGACTTTGTCGCGAGCGGCGGGACGCGCCAGGCGGTCCGGAATGCGCGCGTCTCCAGCCGCGCCCCCGCTGGGAGTGGGGTGTTCCATGCGGGAGCGGGGAGCGGGATGCAGACCCCGGTCGGTGGAGGGCAGCAGTCGCTCAACCAGAAGGCGGAGTTGGATCAGAGCTACCTGGGACAAGTGCCCCCAGCTAGGTTCATCACGGCGCGGCAGGTCACGTCACTAAAGCATGAGTACTAGTGAGTGCCAGTTTTCTTCTTTGAAAGGCGCAATGTGAACGCGTCCTCTTGCTCGATAGTCCCCAGGTGGCACTTGATGCACAAGCGGCGAAGCCGACAGCTCTTGTTCCGATACGCGTCGAGTTCGAAACCGACTCGCACCGGATACGAGACTGCTTCGTATGGAACCTCCATGAAGAGCTCACCTCGCCGGAGAGCTTCGCCCGCATGTTCTGCTCAGACCTCGATCTTCCTGTGGAGCCATATGCAGACATCATCAGCAACCAAATGCGTGCCCAGCTCGAAGAACACGAGGGCGCCGCCACGATGTATCTTGGTGCGGATGCCGCCATCCCTAAGGGAAAAGACGAAACACCTGGAGACGAAATCAGTGAATGCCGCGTTATTCTCAGTGTATGTGGACTCTCCACCTGCAGCGCAGCCAAGCTCATCCCCCCTCCAGATCGACGTGCAGATTGCGACGCATCATCTCGTGGACCACATTGAGTGGGACTTGCTGTCTCCTCTCACTCCGGAAGAGTTTGCCGTCAAGCTCTGTTGCGAGCTAGGGTTGGCAGGGGAGGCGGCGCCTCTCATTTCACATGCTATACACGAAGAGATCGTCAAGCACAAGCGCGATGCCATCGAATGGGGTGTTATCGGTGGAGATACTCGCGAGGACGAAGCCACTGCCGACCGACCTCGCGACAAAAGTGGCCTGAGTCTACTGAAGGACAAGACAGGTCTTGGTCTCGGCTGGGGCCGAGCTCCGAAGGATGGACGCGGTCCTAAACCTCTAAAGAGCGTATGGCGCGACTGGGCGGAGGTTGAAGAATTCCGTACACGGTTCGAGGTGCTCACCGCAGAAGAGGTCGAGCGCAAAGAGCTTGAAAGGGAACGTGCCAGCAGGTCAGTTGTCTGTTGCGTTCTCAGTGTGCCTGTTCTGATGCGTCACTTAGACGTTTACGTCGCGAAACATCGAAGTTCCAATCAACAGCGCGTTCCAGGCTTGCAGCGCGGAGGTGAACCTCGGAGTCGATCCTCGACGTGTTCTCGATGTACGCATTAGATACCGCGTAGACGACAGTACCATACTCTAGTAGTCGCCTGTGCGAACCTATTCATATTGTAACTTACCATGTTGTCTAACGTGTTGTTGCCCAATTTTGAAATGTCCGCCGTCAGGTCGACTACTCAAGTCGTCTCGATGATCACGTGACTGACGCGTTCAATGCGACAACCACGCGCCTGAACATCGGGTGGTTCATCTGGGCGCGACTTCGCCCTCCACGACGACCTCAAGACCTCCTTGCGCCTTCTTGCTTCTTCTCTGCATGGACCCGAAGCTATCCGCCAAGCTCTTCCGACAGCGCGAAAAGTACCGCGCCGATCTGGTCACCGCCCTCGTGGAGGACGCAGATCCACTCGCGGCCTACGACTCATTCATCAAGTGGACGGCGGAGAACTACGGCGAGCACCTCGCGGCATCGGGACTGCTGGAGCTTCTCGAGGAGGCGACGCGGTACTTCGTCGCCGACGATGCGTACAAGAGTGACTTGCGGTACCTGAAGCTCTGGCTGCTCTACGCGAGCCATGTAGAAGATCCCACGGTGATCTACGCGTTCGTGCTCTCGAAGGACATCGGCAAGATCTATGCGCAGACGTACTGGGAATACGCAGATGCGCTGGAACGCAAGGGAAAGTGAGTGATTCTGTTTTGTGTGGCGGGGGTTTATAGCCCGGGTGCGAGAGATGGCAAGGGTGCGAGAGACGACAAGGATGCAGATGGCAAGGATACCAGTGCGCTGGGGGGCGAGGCTGCTGGAAAGTATCGGAGCTCCGATGTAATGCGCAAGCAGCTTCCGGTCCTGCTACTGTCCGGAAAAGACGATGTGTCCACATCATATCTCCATTCGTCGACTTTGGGTCCATCTGCCCCCGATACTTCCTCTCAAACTCTTGTCAGACCGCATATATCGACTCATGTCCCATCTCAACAGGCGACCCGATGCAGATGCAGTGTATCAGAAAGGTCTAAAGCGTCGTGCAAGACCAGTCGATCCTCTCAAACGTCGCTACGAAGAGTTCAAGACCCGCACCTCGCCCCCACCACCCAAGTCCACCTCCACACTCTCATGGGAAGATGCTCCGCCAGAGGTCCGTGCCTTGCGTCGAGCTCCCCTCAAGAACCATGCGTCCTCCGCCGCCGCCGGCCCATCCTCTTCTGGCCCGTCCGATCCGTTGTACAACCCCTACGCCCTCATGCTCGCCCCACCTCCACCGGGCAAACGGAAAGAGAAGCTCCGCTTTGACTTCTCCCTCCTCTTCACGAAGGAAGGCCAGGAGTACAGCATGCAAGAGGCACGGGCGCGCTCCATGGGTCTCCTTGGCAAGAAGTGGGGGCCGCCGCCTGCCTCCGGCCGCGTCGCCTTCTCCGACGCGCCTGGCAAGGGCCAGAAGACGATGACGCGCAAGTTCGCGGGCGCGGAGCCGACGGTGACGCTCGCGACGAAGGAGGCCCTCGCGGACGTGTTTGGGATGTACAACTCGCCGGAGAAGTCGATGCGTTTTGGGCCCGCGGCGGGGAGCAAGCATGCGCCCGTGAGGAAGATCGAGCCGGTCACGCCCATTCCGATGCCCATGCTTCGCTCGATGAGCAACGAGAATGCCGACGGTGCCTCGAAGTCGCGTATGTTCTGCGACCGCTTTCGCCTTCATGTCGCCGGTCCTGATCGTTGTCGCAGCATTCCGGCCGTTTGTGGATGAAAATGCGCAGCGAGAGAACAAGACTCCGGGACCTGCAGCCACTCCAAAGGTGAGTTCTTCGTAAAGCGTGATCGAGCCTCGCTGACCTTGGCCTAGATCGTACCTTTTGTTGACCCGGAGAATGCGGATAGCCACGCTCGTCCAACACCATCCGGTCGTCCCGCGCTCTCTCTGAAAGATCCCGGTGGTCTTCCTTTAGGTGCTCGGAACGACGAGAACGCGGCGGGTGCGAGGGAGAAGATTACCGTTCACATCGACGGCGAAGCACACAGACCATCTCCCGTGTTCACTCCGGCCTCAGCAACCTTTCAAAGTCGACAAGACATCTTCGGAGAAGGAAACGTCTTCCGACCGCCGCAATCGGCTGGAGTGCCAAAGATCTTGCCCTTTTCCGACGAGAACGCGCCAAGGGTGTTTAGTTTGCCTCCTCTGAAGGGTGAAAACGCTCCACCACCAGTGTTCACTCCCTTCTTTGACAAGGCGGAGAACAGGAAGACGCCGCTTGGCCCGACCTCGTCCTCTAGAGCCGTCCTAGGAGAAAGGGTCCCTGTCTTTTCCCTGCCGACAGAGCCAGAGCCAGCCGTCTATGAAGATGAGCCTGAGCCAAGACAGGACCCGGAGCCTATCACGCCCTCCACGAGCGAATCCGACGCAGACGCTTTCTCACAATACGACCCCGAGCATGGCAACGACCGGGACGCTTTCACCAGCGAGAGCTCAGAAGACGTCGACGACGACGAGGGATTTGCAGTCTACGAGCAGCCAGACGAGGACCAGTTCGAGGAGCACATACCACCCCAAGGAGACGAATTCGACTTCGACGGCGACAACACCGACGGCTACCGCGCTGCCCCGCTGGGTGGGCGGTTCGGCCAGTTCAACGTCATGACTCCGATCGTCGAGCGCACCTACGAGTACACCATGAGCACTCGAAATCACGGTACGCCTGGCTTCACCATCCATCGTGACGCCGACGCGGTGGAAGCTGCGGAACAACTGGCCGCGGAGCTGCAGGAGGTAGAGGAAGAGGAAGAGGAAGAGGAAGAAGAGGTGGCGAATATCGAAGAGCGGACTGGCACGCTCAGTCTTGCCGATGCACTCGGAGTTGCCTCGTCATTCAAGCCACCGAATCCGTGCAATCCGTTCGACCCGACAATCCTATCGACGCTCCTCAGTATGATCCCCACCGAATCCGGATTCCACGACCTGCGCATCAATGACGCGAACCAGTTGGACGTATTGCAGAAGTTTGCAAAGAAGAAAACGCGACGCGCGAGCGGGAATTCGACTTCGAACATCGAACGCCTCGAGATCCAGATTCACGATCGTCGCTTCGCGGTTGTCGACAAACTTGGTGAAGGCGGCTTCGGTGCCGTTTTCGAGGCTGTTGACTTGGACCTCAAGAAGAAGCATTCTGAGGATGACGATGAGGATGACGAAGACGATGATGATGACGACGACGACGACGAATCGAATCGCGTCGCGCTCAAAGTCGTCAAGCCGCGCAACCTGTGGGAGTACCACGTTCTTCGCCGGATCCACAACGCGCTTCCCACAGAGCTCCGTCGATCCATTATCTCACCACAGGCGCTGTACGCGTTCCGCGATGAGTCCTTCCTTGTCCTCGCGCTCCGCAAGCAGGGCACGCTTCTCGAGATCGTCAACCGCGCCGCCTCCGCCGGAGTGTCGCAGCACGGCGGCTCCCTCGACGAGCTTCTCGTCGTCTTCTTCACCATCGAGCTCCTCCGCGCCCTCGACGGCCTCCACCGCGCCGGCCTCGTCCACGGCGACGTCAAGATCGACAACTGCCTCCTCCGCCTCGACGACGTCCCCGGCCCCGCCTCCGCCTGGACCGCCGTCTACGACCCCACCGGCGGCGGCGGCTGGTCGCACAAGGGCGTCGCGCTCATAGACTTCGGCCGCACGGTCGACACCCGCCTCTTCCCCGCCGGCCAGCGCTTCGTCGGCGACTGGCCCACCGACGCGCGCGACTGCCCCGAGCTGCGCGACGGCCGGCCGTGGACGTTCGAGCCGGACTACTTCGGCCTCGCCGGCGTCGTCTTCTGCATGCTCCACGGCAGGTACATCGACGACGCCGCGCTCGCCGCGGCGCCGGAGGACGGCGGGCGCCGCCTGAAGCTCGCGACGCCGTTCAAGCGGTACTGGCAGGGCGAGCTCTGGACGCGCCTCTTCGACGTGCTCCTGAACCCCGGCCTCGCCCGCCCGGACGGCCGCCTCCCCGTCGCAGACGAGCTCGCGGTGATCCGCGGCGAGCTCGAGGCGTGGCTCGTCGCGAACTGCAACCGGGCGAGCAACAGCCTCAAGGGCCTGCTCAAGAAGGTCTCTCTCGCCGTGCTCGGCGGCAAGGACGCCCGGTGATCGACTGCGACTCGTCCGCAGAAGCCCAGCGCCGCAGGCGGACGCTGATGTAGGTTCGACCGCACTTTGCCCTCCTTCCCTGTAGACTATACCTAGCTCGGACTCTGGGTTCCCCTTTTATGCCACCACGATGCATCCTTCCACGGCTATTTGACGCCGCCCCCTTCGTGTTTCGTCCTGTGTGCATGCATCCTGCTCTAAATATTCATTCATACCGTTGGGTTCGTACCCTTGCAGCTCGGCACACGGCACACGACGACGTCTGATCCACCCGCGAAGAAATGCCATGATTTTGCGGAGACAATGCATCACAACAGATTGCGACTGACAACACGTGACAAACCAAAACTACACTGCGGGTGGGATCAAGAAAGGCCCACGTCGTGGGTGGCTCGGTAGGCAGCGATTGGTGGCGGAGAAGGGGCGGCGGGTGCGGGGAAATGCGTATGGGCAGACGAGCGGGCGGGGAAGGGAGAGAGACGGCGGCACAAAAGCGGCAGGCAGCATGCGGTTCGAGTCCCGCTCACACCGAGGAGCGCGTAATAAAACGCACACATCCTCGACTCCAGAGCGTTGAGCACGTAGCACGCGCCGCTGCTCTCGCGTCTCGTCAGGGGGAATGCGGGTTCGAAGTGAAGATCACTAAGTGGACAGGGGGATGGTGGGAGAGGGATGCAGGACGAGGACGATGTGCACGTGTTGGGCGACTGCGGGATGCAAGTATGAGTGATGAGTATGTAGGTAGTAATAGGCTATCGACACAGAAGGGTCCGTTCACCACCACCTAACCTAAAAGCCGACCGCCGACCTAGGCGTGGCTGACGCCGCCCATGGGAACCGGAGGTGGCTGCTGGTTGGGGTCGTACCCATGTGGCGGGACGGACCCAGGAGGAGGCATCATCATCGGGTACGGCATGGCATGTTGCACTGCGACAAAGTAACCGTCAGTCATCATGGGCTGTCCGGCAGGCACCAAGTGAACCGAGACGGGCGTACGTTGAGGGCTTTGGTGGTGGTAGTAAGGGTGCGCATGCGCCGGGATCGGGGTAGGCGGCATGGAAGGACGAGGACCGCCGCCGTTGGGCTGGGGAGGAGGAGGATAGGCACCAGGCGGGGGCTGCATGTATGCTTGAGGAGCTGAGAAAACGCGAGTTAGCCACTCGTGAGACATGGTGATGCTTAAATGACATACGAGGCATCTGCCCATGCGGGTACATCCCTGAAGCAAACTTGTTAGCTAACGAACCCTGGTGTATGGAAAACATGTGCCTTACCATTTGGTGGAGGCATAGGGTAGTGCATAGGCTGCATATATGGACCAGGGATGTAAGCACCCGGGGGCGGCGGACCCATGCCAGGCATCATCTGGGGTACCATCTATTCCACATTAGTATACATGGGCAGGTTATAGAGAACGAATGACATACCTGTCCGGGGTATGCGTATGGCGGGTACGCGTACACGTAGCCCGCACGCGCCGCTTGTGCAGCGGGGTCTTCCTGCTGGTATTGCTCTTGAGGCATTGGCGGTGGCGGACCCGGAGGACCGGGGGGCGCCATCGGCGGCGATTGCTGCTGAGGCTGGGCTTGCATTGGAGGGAAGACGTGCATGTAGCGCTTGCCGTTGAAGGGCCACGACGGAGCTATAAGACCCAGATAACACGCGCCGCAGAGCTATCGGTCAGCATTCGCAGATCCGCTGCGGCAGCCGCTGTGGTACGCACCAACTTGGGCAGCTTCGATAACCTTGTGATGCTTGAACGGGTTGAAATCGTCCTTGACGTGAACGAGGGGCGTCTTCTTAAGCGACCGCGTGCCGAAGAAGGGATTCGGAGGGCCTTGCGGCGACGAATTCTCTGATTGCTGCTTGTTCGTGGGTGTCGACGATGACGTCGCACCATTTGCGCCCGAGCCTCCGCCCTGCAAACAAGGAAGCGAGTAGAAGGAAGGGAATAGTCCAAGTCAATGTCTAATCAGGCATGCGCAAGGAATGGAACGGATCAGGACGTACGGGAGAAAATGGTTTGATAGGCCGGAACGAAGAAGCGTTGACGTTCAACCTGTTCTGCGCCGCCGGCGACAGTGGGCTTGCCGGAGGCTTCGCACTGCCATTCGACGCGGGCGCGGGGGCAACGCCGGCGGCAACCTGGAGCGTGGGTGCAGCGGCAGTCGACGTGCGCTTGCCCTTGAACGGAGGGATGGTCTGGATGACCATTGGGATCTTCTTGGAGCCGTCGCCAGGCTTGCCCGGCGCTGTCGAGGTCTTCTGCATCGCGCTGGCGGTGCTGGACTGCTTCGACGGGACAGCGCGGCTGGTATCGCCTTTGCTGCCCGCAACCGGAACATTTCGCACACCAGGCGCGGCCGCAAGAGTCGATAAAACGCCGATGGAACGAGCACGGGAGTCTTCGGCATCCTTTGAGGACTTCTCCTTGATCTGCTTCTGCTTGTCCTCGTCCTTGGCGAGAATGGGAACGAGGTCATCGGGAATGGGCTTGTTCAACTTGAAAGACTTGGAGAAGCTGACAAGATCAGAGAGACGTCTGTCCATCTCGCTCTTCATGAGCGCTTGCTTCTTCTTGATGAGGCGGTCCTTCTCGTTGGAGACGAAACTTCTGAACGCGTCCACCGGCTTCGCAGTGCCCGTAGCACCGGGAGCGGGTGAAGGCACCTTGCTCGCGGAAGGAGTCGATGCCGTGGTTCCGCTGGGAGTGACACTCGTCCCGTCAGGGGCGTTAACCGCCACCTTGGGGACCTCCGACTTTGCGGGAGGCGTAGTGGCGGGGCCTTGCGACTTTCCACGAGCGCCCGGGGGAACGTAGGCGTTGGCACCGCGAACAACGGCACCGTACCTAATGCTCATTGAACATCGCGACGCGTGCAGCCAAATCAACGACTCACTTGTCTTCCTCGTTTGCACCGGAACCATCCCCAGTCAGATTCATGACCCGTTCCTCGGCGATGTGGACATTAGTGGTGGTGGACTATAGGAGACGCAGCACCACTGGTGAGATCGCAATCACGGTAGGGACACATCCGAAGCTCACGCTCATGATCTCATTCGCAACTTGCTGCGCCTTCCGCTCCCGCTCCTTGAAGTCAGGCGCACTCCTATCCAGTTTGGTGGTGTAAACCTCCTCGTCGAAGCGAAGTTTGACGCCGAAGCGTTCTTCGTTGACCGCGAACTGGTCCCACGAACCACCGGAGGCTCCGGGACCGAAAGTAACCTCGTCAAGGTTACGAGTACTGACAGCGCCGGCTGCGGCGGTGGCCGCGTCGCCCGAGTCTGGCTGCCAGGCTTGAAGCTGGCGCTCCTGACGAGGCCCGGTCTTGGAAATATCGGTGTCGGTTTTGAAGCCTACGACAATGCGCACGCGATCGCACACGGGCGCACAAGAATTTATGTCGGGTACAGAGTGGATATGAGATAACCGAGAGCACAGCCATTAGCTTCCCGGTCGGAAGAAAAGGAAGAGCACGCACTGTCGGCGCCGTTGGGAATCTTCGCATCAGCAGGGCCCGAGGACCACTCTTGGATGTTGGTCGCGGCGATGAAGAACGTCTCCTTGAGCGGGGCGCCTGGGTTGGTGACCTCCTTGGCGTCCTTGAGAGTGACACCGGTAGTGTCGCCCTCAGCCTGGGTCGAGAGCACGACGCCTTCGATGCGAGTGTTGGTCTTGGTCGAGATGGTGACCGTAGTACCCTGTATACCCGCCCCGAACGCAGTCGTCAGTTCCATCGTCGTCCGGCTCCCAATCCTCCCGCCCGCGCGTCACAACGGAAGAGCCTCTTGAGCGATCACGCACCGTTAGACCCGAGATCTGCGTCAGTATGCGAGTGTGGTTGGCGTCGACCGGGGCGGGGCGGGCGCCGCCGTTCGCAAGGGGCGGGAAGGCACTAGGCGGACCTTGCTGGTTGCCGTTGGGCAGACGGGCGTTGGCCGGGCCAGGAGAAAAGGTGGGCGACGAGCGCTGTCCGCTCCACGCGCCAGTCGGGGGACGACTGTGGGTCGGATGGACGTCAACGCGAGCTACGGGGGACGAGAAGGAGGTGGGCGTACCGGGCGTTGGGGTCAGGACCCTTGCGGGGGGGCTTCGCCTGTCTCGCGGTAGTGGCCATTTGAGGAGGAAGAGAGAGCGGGAACTAGAGAAGAAACAGAGAGCGGGACAGCAGAGAAGCAGAAAAGTGTTGCGAGGCTACACGGAATACGACAAGCGCAAACGGAGAAGAGAGAGGAAGTGCTGGGCGATAACAGTGGCAGCGAAAGGGCGAGGATGGCGAGGAAGGGCAGCCGGCGGATGGAAAGGAAGTGCTCGGCAGCGTGCTCAACGGCGCAGGGTCGTCGATCGAGGACGGCGACGGAGGGAGAGCGTGGGGGCGGAGGGAGACGGGGAGCACAGACAAGAGGAAGTCGTCCTCGTCGACTGTCCACAATTCTAGCACTCCGCGGCCAGGACCCCGGGACCCCTCCGTCCTCCTCCACCCCCGCTCCTCCATCAGCTCCTTCTCTGGCCTCGGTGTATGCGCTCTGTTCGCACTCAACGTGTAAACCTTCCCTGTCTCGCCGCAGCTGAACCTAGCCCGTGTTCGTGGCCGTGGCGGGGGCGACGGGGTGGTCCGTGCTCCGCCCAACGCCAGGCTGCCTCCGGGGTCCGCTCGGCGCGTGTTGCCATTCGAGAGTCGAGACTTTGCCTCTTCTTGTCTTCGAATGGCGACCCACCACCATGAGCATCCGCTCTGCCTCCAACTCTGCTCCGCCTCTCAGTCGCCGTTAATCCACGCCGTCTACCATGGCGGTGGTGGCCGTCAAGGGCAGCATGGGCCTCGCGCCGAAGCATCTGTTGTGGGGCTTTGTCCCGCTTGCCAACGGCGACGCGAATTCCGCCCGCCTTCGCGTCGGGTCCGTGTGTCCTCTGTCGCCCCGTTGCAGCGTCTTGACGTTCAGATTACATGCTGAGATCAAGAAGCCAGTAAGTAGTTGGCGACCACCTGCGGGAAGGATCATCACATAGTCTGTTTTCCTGCCATCGCCGCGGCCAAACTATGCAGAATCGGAAGCATTCCCCGAGAAACAAATTCATTTCGTCTCTGTATAGTACGACTCCCGAGTGCGCATGTCCGAGGAGGTCGTCCTGTTCTGTCGAGCGAGCTCGCTGCTCAACGACACAAGGACGCAAACCGAGCAACGACCGTCGATACCATTACCGTCCCGGTCAATAACAATTCGTCATGGTGGGATGAACTATACTCCCCATCACTACTCCAGTAGTCAAACAGCCAATCACCACCGCCAAGTGAACGTTTTTCTCAGCTCATGTCGATCGTCTCCGGTCACCTTGAGAACAACAGGTGCCTGCGGAGTTCGTACAGTGCCATGATGGATTTGTTTGTCAAGGTGCAACACAACAGACGGGCAGTGCTACTCCCGATACCATCGACGTGCCTACTGTCATCCTGTGTCGCTCGATCGTACATGAGAGCGCGTCGCCTGCACACACGAACCATTCGCCTCTCACCTCTCAGCGCCCAGCCCGGAACCCGACGCATGACCGCTCCCAACCTTCTCCAGCTCCTTGCCCATTCCAACCAGCACCCCTTGCTCGAGCGTCGTCTCCCACAACGCGACCTTGGCGCGCTCGACTTCAGCCTGCAATCTTGCCCGCATCGCCCGCGCGTTCTCCAACACCGCCTTCCTGCCCCGCCTTTCAGGCTGGATGCCCACCGCAAGCCCAGAACTCCCGCCAGAGAAGGTGGCTCCAGCGTTGATGACGGCTTTGCCCTTTCCCTCCGCCAGGGACGGATGGACGGCGTCCGGTACTGGACCAGGAAGAGTCGGGTCGAGTAGAGGCGCCTCGGTAGGCGGTGCGGTAAGGGGAAAGCTGGTTGTCCAATCCCAGCATGGAGTGGTTGGTCCTGCGTCTGCCGACTCGGCCAGAGACGTGATGGTGATGGAGGGGGAGTCGACGAGAGAAGGAGTAGCGGGATGACCATCCCGGGGCCGCTTCTCAAACACCGAATGGTTTGGGAGGCAGGTGGTGATGTTAGAGAGTGCAGAGGTGTTGATAATAGGGAGAGACGAGGAAGCTGGTGCTGCTGCAACGACATCCGTGGATATCCCGAGGAGGGCAGGGTCAATCATCCCGTCCGGTGTCGCAGCAATGACGCTGTCAGACAGGTCTATCGGAGAGCGCGAGGTGCTCGGCTGACCGGAAGCCATTGGGGTAACATCGGTGTTGAGGACGGCTTCTGGGTCACCAGGAGGGAAGGCAGTCAACATCTCCAACCACTGGTCGAAGAAAGCTTGTGTCCCTTCGTCGGTGAGATCTAAAGCCTCTACAGAAGTCGACTCCGCTGTAGGATCGAAGGTGAATTCTTCCGAAGCTCCCTGCTCTGGCTGCTGTTGTTGGAGGGCGAGAAGCGATTCAACGAGTTGATCGAATGAGCCAGCCGTAAAATCAGGGGGTTCATTGGCGGCGGACGCAGCGGGGGGAGGGGTAGGCGTTGGGGCATACGAAGGTGAAGAGTCGAAAGGTGATGCAGTGTCGATGCTCAGAGACGACGAATTTACTACTTCTGGCGGCGACACTGGAGGGGCCGGATTTGGACGAGTCCGAAGCCCTCGTATCCTGTTGAGACCATAGTACATAGTCGCAGGACGGTAATACTTGTTCACGGTAGGCGTGGAACCGTACCCCATTGTTACACCGGGTCGTCGTGCTTGTTGCTGTTGGAGCCAGTCTTTCGCTGCCGCCTTTTGGGCTGCGCTTTGAACGAGGTGAACGAGGTCCCCCAGAACCTGCTTGCCTCGTTCTCGTTCCCAATTGGTGCGGTAGTTGTCGGGACCTTGGCCCTCCTGGAACGGATAGGGGACATCCCAGTCTGTCGCCCCTGCGGGTACGTTGTTGAGCTTGCGTCGCTTGACAGGGGGGGCTTGAACGTTGGCTGGCGGATAATACCCTTGAAAGGGCGCAGAGCGAAAGAACGACCCCTGAGGCGGTGGACCCGGGGGAGTATAGGACGGTGTGGAAGAGGGTGGGGAAGGCGTACCCGCAAGAGCGCCAGGAGAGAGCAGGCGAAGCAGGGAGATGATGACGGGTAAGACATTCTTTTGTTGCAACAGAGAGCCAAGGATCTGCTCGCTGGTAGGGCGAGGAAGACTGGAGGGATCCAAGGACCCCGCCTTCGTGGGGTGCCTTCCTATGAATGGCTGCCGCATAGGCTCGTCCTCTACAACGATCGGATTCTGCGCGGTGGTCCCTCGGGTACGGCGAGCCTTGGAGAGATTTGCAGGATTGACACCGCTCACCATTCCGGCTAGCCCAAGCAACGCCTGCTGATTCCTCAAGAAGTTCGGCGGGGCGATTTCGTCCTCAGCGGGGAGAGGAATCGAGGGTGGCGCGGGGCGAGACGTGCTGGACTTCGCACGCTCTTTTCCTTTCCTTGCTCTTCGCGCTGTTTGTTCCGATCGAGGTTTTGACCTAACCGCCTCCGTGTTTTGTGGAAAAGGCGGGCGTGGCATCGGAGGAAGGCGGTGCGACACGGAAGTGAGAAGGGAAGAGGTGGAAAGGGATCCAGTCGGAGATGGAGCGAAGGCGGTGGAACTCAACGGCAGGGACGCTGACGGAGTGGCTGGTAGTTCAGCTACAAGGTGGGAACCAGGAAGTGCAAGAGTCCCCACATTTTGTGCTGTTGCGCTTGGGAGTGCTAGCGGTGATGGTGACCTACCTCCGGAGGGCGATGAGGGTGGGGAGCCAAAGAGGGAGTCATCATCGCCGTTGAGGATAGATGGATGCGACATAGCACTGGAAATGCCAGGCGCAACACGTCAGAGTGGTGGATGGTGTAGGACGAAGGCCTTGCAATACCTCGGCCGAGTGCTATCGATTCACGGTTGTCGCAAGGGTAAGGTGGGTTAGGGAGGCAATCCAGCTTGAGAATGCTACAAGCCGAAGTTTTCGTTAGAGCAAGAATAGACAGTATCGTTTGGATTGGTCGTACCTCAAATGCAGCAGGGTTTTGGTGACTTGCGCGAGCAAAGCAGGAGGCTTTGAGCAGGAGCAGGAAAGCAAAACTTGCCGCATTCACGACTTGCACGAGGCAGTCGGCCTTCAGACTCAGTTTGACGGTCCGGATTCTTTTTAAAAGCTCTGATTCAAAATCATTGGTTCGCATTGAATCTCCGACGGGCTCCGATAGAAACTCTGAACAGATGGGGTAGGCACTTGAATCTCGATCCCGCCTATGCTGAAGGTCAAGCGTTGGGTCATACATCTGTGCTGGAGCTTTGCAGCCTGACCTGAGCATAGCGACCTCCCCATGCTTATCTGCCCCCGACGTCTCGTCAAGCTTCAAGCCTCAAGTGCAGTGCGCGCACCGCTTATGGCCGTGCAAGTAGCGAGCGCCGCGTGACTCCGGCTTGTATGACTTTGAGGACAAGAGCGATGAAGGTATGTGCTGAACGTTGAACACCCCCTCCCCGCTTCGCAACAAGTATCCACCACGGACACGCTTGTAGCCGTCTCGAAGGAGGCAACGGAGAGACTGCTCTGCTCGTGCCTGGAGGCCAAGTCGGCCACCGGACCGCGATTTAGTATCAGGGCCGGTGCGTCATGGGTGGCTGCTGCGCTACCTGCACCCGACTCATTCCCTGCACCAACCGGCAGCTCGCGCGCACTGCGCTCTCTCTTCCGTCTGTGGCTGACCCATGGCCCACCGTCCTCGCCCCACCTCAGCATACCTCCTGGCGCCGCTCCCCCAACCAACCCCTCCCCCGCCGACTACGAACAGCCCGCCTCACCAATCAACGTCTGGGCAGATCGTCGCCACCCCATTTACACTCCCTACACGCCTTCCTCCTCTGCCGCCGTCCACCCCCTCGGATCAGTCTCGATGTCCCAGGCAGCAGCCGTCCTCCTAGCCGAGCCACAAGCGCGTACGAGGCCGAGTCCTCCCGCATTTCCATCCCCGATTCCCCCCTCCATCGTTCCTCTTCACAGAGGTCCATACACAGGTCGTACGCTCTAAAGACACACAGAAGCACCCACAGCGAGTCACTGTTGACTCCAGACAGCATCTTGACACCCACACAGCTCTCGTACTCTGATTCGACTTACAGTCGTTCAAGACCGCCTTCAATCGCCGACACTGCAGAGGTACGCCCCTTGTCCTGTCGTTGCAGATCCACCGCAAACGAATACAGCCCAGTCTGCCGCTAGTTATCTTTCGTCGGAATTGGCGGATCTCGCGTACGTCGGAGTGTTTTGCGTGTGAAGCATTGGTCGCTCATTGGTGCATAGTTTGCAGGGCGAAGAAGGCATCAGGAAGTTCCAAAGTGGTGAGCTTCCGGAACAAGACGCACAATGGTGGCGTTTAGTACCACAAGAGGCTCGGGACGTACTCTCGGAAAAGGAGGTCAAGCGTCAAAATGTGTTGTTCGAGCTGATACATTCGGAAATGGAGTATGTGTCGGATCTGCAGCTCGTGAAGGATGTACGTGTATTCCGTCCATTCCGCAAGCATGTCCCCCAGACACAACCCTTTCCCTCCGCTCCGACTTTGACCATGCATTTGGCTGCGCCGTACTTCGTTAACACACACTCACTTGCATACTCTGCAAGGTCTTCATAAACCCCATTATCGACACGGTGTCTATCCCTCAGAGTCGAGCCAGGACTTTTATCAACGAAGTTTTCTTCAATATGGAGAAGATTTTAGCTCATCACCAACGAATGCTTGATAGACTGTTCGAGAGACAGCTCGAGCAGTTCCCTTTGGTTCAAAGTGTCACAGACATCATCATGCACTGTACGTAGCCTCAGAACGCACTCCGTCGACAAGGACTGACAAGATCGCAGATAGTCTCGAGTTCAGCCAGGAATACGAGACCTACATTAAGCATTACCCAATTGCTGAGATGCGTCATCGCTCTGAGCTTAGACGGAATCAACGTTACCAGGACATGCTACAGCAGTGCGCACAAGACCCGCGGGTGCGCAAGCGCGACATCATCACCTTTCTCTCCCGGCCTGTTACCCGTCTACCGCGATTAGAGCTCTTGCTCAGGACGATACTCAAGCACACGGAGCCTGACCACCCCGATGCAGACGAAATCCCAGTAGCATTGACGGTTTATAGTCAAGTGATCAAGAGCACGCAACCTGGGATCCAAGCGGCCGAGGAGAAGGTCAAATGTTGGACTCTTTGTGAGAGTTTGGTGTACCAGAAAGGGGAGATTATCGTACGTTACCGTTCACTGCGCTTCTGGGCTCAACTAATCTTTCCTTGTCAGGATTTGGATCTTTACGATGCAACGCGGTCGTTGATCCATCAGGGTCCTCTCGCACGACGCTACAGCAAGGATCTGAATATGTACTGGGCAGACTTACATGTCGCATTACTGGATCACTATCGTATGTCTTCCGATTTCCACCTGATGTATGCTCACCATCATACTCCTAGTCCTACTGCTGAAGCCTGACATCCGACATTCTGAGCGTGTGTTCTCGATCGTCAAACATCATATGGTCTCACGAGTATGTCCTGGCACTACTCGTGTGGTCGTCACGATCTGAACGAATTCGAATAGCCCATACCCCTGGATTACCTCCGTCTCGGCATGTTCGACGGTTCTCCCGAACATCGAAAAGAAGTGACCCATGGAACCGGACTATTCCGCAAGTACGAGCATAGGACGGTTTATCCTCTCACGATCTACCATGCGTCGGCCAAGATGACGAGAAGATACACCCTTTATGCGTCTAGCGAAGGTGTACGACAACAGTGGCATAGTGAGATTTCGCATGCTCTGAACATGCGGAGGATTCGACAGGAGAATAATATGGTGTGTTGCCACACTCGATCTTCCTTTCGACCAGCTCTCACAAGAGAAGTAGCTTTTTGCCCCTTCTGTTCTCAGTGACAACTTCTTCAAGCGAGTTGCGAATACCGCTGTGAATCTGAGCACGAATGCCGTCATACCTAACTTCACTGGGTATGTCTCCGCCGTGACGAAGTTCTGTACGTTTGCTTTTCTGTCCTCATTTAAGCTGTACGCTAACTGGATGACGACATAGCTTCGGGCTCCCACAGGTTTCTGGCTGTCGCATGTTCAACAGGCGTGTATGTCTCGCAGATAGACAAGGAGCCGTGTATGTTTTTCTCGTGATCTATGGCGAGATGGCCCTCACCCCCCTTGCTAGCATTCCGCAAGGTTCTTACCACCTTAAATTCGTCATGTCTCATAGCGCTACCTGCCGTCAACAAGTTCTTGATCCTGTCAGATCAGGGGTTGTTTGCCTACTCGCTGGAACTAGTTGGGCGTGCCGCTCTCGGATCGGCCACTTCACAGACCCTAGAGGCATCCAGAGAACGTGTTGCGTCTGATGCCATCCTTGTTCGAGCTGGCAGAATAGGACACCGGCTGGTTGGTCAGTGTTCTCAGTGGAATATTGCTTCTTCTTTTGACGCATTCAACATAGTGCTATATACTGCCAAGAGCTTCCTGCAGACATGTCTGTACGCACTGGAAATCGTGAACACTGCAGAGGCAAGCCCCAGCTTGAGACGGAGGGGCAGCGGGCTCTTCTCTTTCCGGTCATTTGGAGAGGTCAGTCGAATTCATGCGGCACATTCTATCATAACGCCCTCACGACGATTTCAGCCAATCACGATTCCGAAAGACACTCACGGCATAGCCTTTCTCAACCGCCGAATAGTCGTGTGCTCGGACAAAAGCCTGCTGATTGCGGACCCTTCAAAGTGAGCACATAAGCCTCTGCGTGTTTGTGTAAACCCACCCTAACGACCCCGCATAGCCTGACACTCAGCGCTCGGCACACGGCCATCCCAGACTTCTCCGACGCCGACTCTGCCAACAACCTGCCGATGGGAACGCTCAAGACGCGCTGTGCCGCCGCCCGCCCGCTGGGCGTCGTCCGCTGCGACAAGTCCGACGAGCTCCTGATCGTCTACGACGGTGAGTCCGCGCCCTTCCCGCATCACTCTGCCGCGGCGCCTGGCAGACCCACTGCGCCCTTGATTCCCCTTGGCACTCGCGCCGTTGTCGTCCCCCCATCCGCATCACCGCCCGTGTGGGCGACGGCCCGCGCCCCTCAGAGATCCGCGCGCCGGACTGACCCCTTCCCGCGCAGAGATCGGCTGCTACACGGACAAGTTCGGCGTCCCGTCCCGCTCCTCCGGCTACCTCCGCTGGGAGTCCAAGGCGGCCGCGTACGCGCTCCGCGGCGAGCACCTCCTCCTCTTCTCGCCCGAGTTCGTCGAGGTCCGCACCGTGCGCACCGGCAAGCTCGTCCAGACGATCGCCGCGGAGGACGTGCGGCGGGTCGACGTCGGCCTGCTCAGCGCGGACCGCGAGCCGACGACGATCGTCGCCATGCGCGGCCAGGAGGAGCAGGGGCTCGTCGTCGACGACATCTGCGAGCTCGTCGAGACCGCGGACCTCAAGGCGACCGGCGCCGCGCAGCCGCCCGAGATGTGGGACGACTTCGACACGATGTAGTGATAGTATAGCAGGCAGGGAGGGAGGGACGTGGCGTATCTTACTTATTGCCCGCTACTTAGAGTAATGACCCTCACGAGCGATCCTGCATTGTAGCAACGAGAAAACCAATGTGACATGCCCACGGACAGGTATATAAGTAGTAATAAACAGACATCGAACGCCGCTTTGCCGAACTCCATAAGTTACTCTGTACGCGCACAGGGGTATAGTCGGGACGAGTCTTCATGCGAAGGTGGTCATGCCCTGGAGGTTGTTCGCGTCTGCGCAGTTCACGCACTCAGCTCGTGGCTCAAGGGAAGAAGGGAAAGAGACGACGCACTGATGGTGATGCCCGCGGCCTTGGTCGGGCCCTTGATGTCGAGCGAGTTGAGGCGCTGGACGAGCCCAGGGGAGTCGATGGAGAGCACGTCGACGCTCGTCGTGTTTGCAGCTAGGACGTAGAGGAAGCTGTAGCGCGCCAAGCCGAGGGGCGGGGGCGGGGAGGGGAGAAGACGAGCATCATCAGCGACGTGCGGCGCGGTGTCGGGTCCTCGCGTGCGCGGCACCGACAACAGGAAACTAACGACGGCACTCACTCTCGTCCGTTCACCGTCGCGATGTCGAGATCGATCGTGGCCGAGCCGGGTCCGAGTGGGTGTTGCTGTGAGGCGGAAGCAAAGCGTCAGGGTGCTGTGCGTGGCGCGGGGTCTGCGTACGCACCGCCACGATCGAGCCCTTGAGGTTCTTGTCGACGTTGACCTCCGTGACGGTCGAGGTGCCGATGTCGGTGAGGTAGAAGTTCCCGGTGGCCTTCGAGAACGTCGACCAGCACGTCGCGACCTGGCCGCCGATCTTGTTCGCCGTGTTCTTGCTCTTGTCGTTCAGGTTCAGGTTGAGGACGTCGAAGCCGATGCCCGCGTCCGTCGCGAGGATCGCGTTCTTGCCGGGGATTACTGTCATCGAGAACGGCAGGAGGCCGCCCTTGCCGGGCGCGACCTTCTGGAAGTCGGCGGTGAGCGAGCCGTCGCCGTTGACGCCCCAGACGGCGAAGAAGCCGGGGTCGTTCGGGGGCGTGCCCTTGACGGAGACGATGAGCTGCTTGCCGTCCTCGCTGAACACGACCTGGCTCGCGGTGTTCGCCGGGCCGGCAGGCGGCGTCGTCTGCTTGATCTGGTCGGTGAGCAGGCGAAGGCCGTTGACGATGGCGAACGGGCCGAGCTTCTTGTCGATCTTGTAGCAGTTCACGCCGTTGACGAGGCCGCCGTTCAGAACACAGAACTTGGTCCCGTCGGGGTGGAAGGCGAGCGAGATCGGGAACTCTCCCTCTGATGACACAGGGTCGCCGAGGGGCGTCAGGTTGGTGGGCTCCTTGGGATCGATGTTGAAGAGAGAGACGGTGTTGGAACCGGCCTTGAAGAGAGTAACGTGTTACTAAAGTATCTTGCATGGAACATACGGGTCAAACTCACGTTGACAACCCCAAGAACCTGCCCCTTCTTGGACGCCTTGATGGAGCCTTGAGAGAAGAGAGGATCGGGCCCGTCAGCCTTGCCATGCGAACCACGACCACCAGCAGCCACAGCACGGTCCATGTTCTGGGAAGTCGTTGAAATATAGCTCCTAAAAATGCCAAGGATTTGACGCACCAGTGTACCGTCAGCGTTGATAGAAGCAGCAATGATCTGGTTCTCGTCGGGCTCGTTCGTGAGGACTATCTTGGATGTCAAAGAGTGAATGAAAGATGGTGAGCACTCGGAAACTCACAGTAGACGGCGCCAGAGGAATCGAGACGGGTGGTCCCCATCTTCTTGGTCACGCCAGTGCCGGCGCGACGTTGTGGGGTGAGCCGGGCGGATGCGACCATCGCGCAAACGAGGACAGTGGACATAAGGGCAGAGAACTTCATCTTGACTAATAGAGTGTTGTCGTAGAGATTAACGTGAATGAAGCGAGTGACGGAGGTTGGCGTAGAAAGAAGTCGTGAAAGAAGGAGCGGAGGTACGAAGATGAAGGAAGCTCAGCTCCTAGGTCGAGAAAACACGAACACAACAAAAACAGCGCCGCGCACCCAGGCGTGAAAGAAAGAGGAAGAAGAAAGCGAGGGCGAACAAGACTAGAGACGGTCGAGTCCGAGAGGGACGCACTTTATACACCCGCCGGATCTGATGAAATGGACACGGCAGCATCACTGACGGATCCCTGGCGGCGACTGCAAGCGTCAAAGGTAGAACACCTGCAGCCCGAGGTGTCAACTCCGGAGGGCAGTGTGGTGCCGCGGTCCAGGAACGGCCGCCCGGATGCAGACCGAGGAGAGCAGAATGACAGGACCATGTCAAGAGCTGTGTAGAGGCGGACCATGAGTTGCAAGAGCACGCGCTCAGCGCTCAATCACGATGATGTCGAAATGGGCGTACCGCCAGGGCCCTGCACACCGCATGCAGTTGGTAGAACGTTGCAAATAAAGCAGGAATTACTGCAAGTAAAAATGCATGACGGTGTTGCCCCCGAGCGACGAGTTTCACGCGTCGAACCAGTGGGCGGCGACTCCCAGGTGATGACTGGTCCACGGGAGTCGAATGCTAGAGTCTGATTTTCGCCGGTATGAATGGTCCCAAATATGTGTCGATACCTCAACCGGAAGAGCCATGGACGTTGAACTGCGACCTTCGTTGGCAAGTGAACGTTTGAACGCTGATCGCGATAATGCTGCCATTGGAACTTCAGCTTGCTTGAAGGGTCGGTCCCCACCTTGAATCTTCGAGGAAAGCTCAACGCTCGATCTGGATTGCACATAACCACGGTCGTTTGAAACCAGCATATAGTCACCTTGAAGTTGCGCAGGTGCTCGAGATCAGAGTTGGGTGCCTTGACCAAGAGCGAGTTGCGACGCGGACTGAAGAGCTCGAGGTTGTAGCGCCTCACACGATCACGTGAATACTTTGACCAACTTTCAAACATCATCGCAGCGACTGCCTCGCCAAAGCCCAGATATCACCATCACGCGTACTCTCTCAATCCACAGGATTAAATGGTAGGCCATGCGGCATCTGAACATGCGCTGGCTTTCCGTCGCCCGCAGACGCCATACACACCTCGCCGCCCGCCCCATCAATCACGAAAGTGCACGGTATGACCCCCTCCCATCAACGCCGCCCGATTTTTACGGCGCAACATATCCCGGCGCTGAGCGCGCACTCTTCGGCACGCTAGCAACAGAATGGCATGTCGATGGATGCATTAAGTATGCGCCATCATGACGACGAGCCCATCGCCGCTCAAAGGTGTGTTATCGGGGCATTTTCACAGTGGGACCATCAGCTGATATGATCCATCCTAGAATATGTACCGTGTCATCTAATAGTGCTTCTGCCTCATGGACGTCTGTGTACGCTTTCAAGCACACTTCGTTGCAGAGCAATAAATCCAGCATTTGGCCTTGCTTCATCCTCGAATACAACGCCCAGCTCCCGCATGCTCCCGCAGACGGCTTGCCACGACATCAGTCCCGCGCTTTCAGCCTCAAACAGCATGCCCGCCCTCGCCACCCATCAAACCAGCACAGCACGTCCACCGGTGGCCAACGTCTCGGACCCCGCCCTTGTGGGAGTGGCAGGCCCAGTTGCACCGGCCACACAGCCCGACTCTGGACTTCAAATCCTCGCCTGCCCGCCTGCACCTTTCCGCAAACCCCTCTCGCCCACCAGTGGGACAACTCGACTTTCGCCTTCGTCTCCTTCGGTTCTTGCGTCCTAACGAACCGGACCCGGCCCCCACAGCGCACCCCAGGCCGTCTCCTGTCTGCTGGCTAGAGACTTTTGCCGAATCTGCGCGGTTTCTCGGGAGCACCTCCGGCCAGACGTCGACGTCGACCACGCGCCGAAGAGTCTACATACCGCCGCTCAAACAGGGTGGGATCATACGATCAAGCATTTTCGGTTTTCCGCCGCCGCCTCCTACATCGGCCCCACCCGGTGCTCTGCGCTCCACCCCACGATCGCCGCGGACGGGGCCTGCGTTCCACACGCGAGCCGTTCCGTGGAGCACGCGACCCGCGATCCCGCCGCTGACTGCGAATCCCGTCGTGACTTACGCATCGCACCTCCACCCTTTCTGGCGCCATCGCGGAAACACAGAAAACCGAAAGCCGATGAGCGGGTGCGAGGGTGCGATGCCGAATGGCTGCGTGCTGTGAAGACCATGCTTCCTCAATCGAAGGGGCCGTGTCGTGCTACGTGGCATTTTCAACGCTCAAGGGTGTCCTCCCACACCGTCGGCGAGGAAGGACAGGCCAAGATTTCGCGAGACGAATGTTCATCCGCGCGGGTTCTGCCGCCTTCTGCGCCCTCCATGGGACTCCGTGGTTCCCTGCGAGTGGTCTCGCCCCCAACCGCTCCGTACCGCACCGCACCACGCTCGTGGACGGGACGAGACCGCTTGCGACCACTAGTGACAGTTTCATTGCGCGTGGTCGGACGCACGAGTCGCGCGGCCGCAACCCCCTGGTCGCCTTCGACCGCCCGAGACGCGTTGACACTCCAACCAGTACTCCTTGAGTGCCGTGCGGAGTCCAGACGGCGTTTCCCCGACCGCAGTCATGGGGAGGGCCGAAACAGAGGAGCATGCGAGCTCAAGCCACGCTAGGGTCGGGACCCGAGTGGAGCCTGTCTTGGCACGCCATGTGCAATCTCATGCGGCCACTCCAATGTGCGATCGGCGGCGTGTCTGAGATCTTGAGTAAGTACTTGAGTGCCCCGCTGAGCTCGAGCACTCCCGATCGAAGACAGAGAGCCTGGTCGACGTTACTGGGTAGCTTACTGCGAGCAGCCGAGAGAGAATGGAGTTGGGAAAGACGAGCGAAGACGGCTGGCATGAGCTTACAATGGTGATCTGGAGGGCATACTCTTCTCCACAAAACAACATGGTGCCTGCGCAAACATAGCGCGACTTATCATCCGCGTCACGAGGACTGGCGGAACGAACGAATCGGCCGCGAAACCCCCCGCCAAAGTTCAAACGGTACTCTCCTCCTCCCAGCGGAGTACTTACACGATCACGCGGCGGTTACCTGTTCAAGCGATGAACGCGCACCTTGGTGCCATGCGCCCACCATTCCGTTCCAACGTGTCACATCCGCAGAGGCGCCAGATAAACACCCTGCGGCGTAAAAATGCACAACCCATACACAGAAGTACGTGCACACGCGGGGCGGAAGAGGCAGGGTTACGGATCATCATAAGCGTAGCGTTCACTGCAGGTATACGGTATGACGCTACAAGGGAACTGTTCCGGGTATGATCCATGCCAGGACGCGGGGCACGAGGGGACATGGAAAGCAAAGAGAGTATGGGTGACACAGAAGGAGCAACGTCCAACACTACGGCATTAAAACAACAATTTAAACGCGGATGAGGTGCAGGTGAGAGTGTGGGATCAGTACCGAGCGGCGGGGAGGGAGAGTGGGCGCCATCGGGAGGGGGTGGCCGGAAAAGTGTCTCTGAGGCAAACGTTCGAAGCGCCCGAGTCGCGAACAAAGTCCCCATTTTCGCGCGGCTTGTTGGCAGCTTAGGCGAGGAGGGCAGCGGCGACAGCGCCAAGGACACCGACGAGGCCGACGGACGCGCTGTTGGCGAAAGCGGCGCTGTTGTTGCTAGCGCCAGTAGCCGATGAGGAGGAGCTCGATGACGAACTGGCCATAGCCTTTAGGACGAAGACGACATTCTTGAGAAACAGCCACACTCACGAGGATTTGGTGCTGGTCTGGGAGCCGCCGGAAGTGGTGCTAGTAGTGCCGCTGCCGGGGGTACCAGTGGTGGTCCCGGCAGTGGTCCCGGTCGTGCCGGTCGCCGCCTGGGAGGTATCAGTCGAGGCAGCTTGGCCGTTCAGGCAGCTGCTGTCGGCTGCGTAACGCTATTCAGCACGACATCTATGAAGGAGGGACGTTTCACTCACGACCGCTGGCAATCTGGAAGGTCCCCGACTGGACGGTCGCGCCGCTGTGGTCGGTGAGGGAGAGGCCAAGGGAGGTACCTACGAAACATCGGTCATCTAGAGCCTTGCGGACAGGCAAGGTAACGGGAATATACCTGCCGAGATGTTGGTTGTCCAGGTGAAGGGGCTCGCTTGGAGGTTAGAGTACTGCTGGAGAGCAGCGGCGCCCGGGATACCGCCAGGAACAATTCTAGGAGGAATGGATGAGCGCAGGGAGCGGGGACAACGCCGTGTCACTTACTGCTAGATAGAATGAACGAGGAATGGGGCAATGTCATCAAACTCGCAATGACGCAGTAGGGGCACGGCTTACGAGGAAGAAGGGCGCTGAGGACAGAAAGGCATGAGAACGTGGCTGGAGTATGCATGAATACGACGAAATAACATACCTTCGCCGCCAGTCCAGGAGAGCTGGCTGGTGACACACTGGACGGGGGGTGGAACACTACCGAGCATAGACGGGGTGAGGGCGGAAGAGATCGGAAAGGAGGAGGATACGCACGGGGTGTTGATCAGGAAGGACTGGGCGGAGGCACCGGCAACGCAGAGCGCGAGGGCGACGAGGGGGGCAGAGAAGGACTTCATGGCGGCGAGAGCGGGTGGGGGCGACGAACGTGCCGGAGGGGGGAGCGTGGGCGAGACGGGTGGGCGGGGCAACGAGGAGGGAAGGGAAGGCGGGAATATATACCGGCGGCTGTATCGCGCTGTTTGTTTGGCCCGCAGGCACTCGATCGAATTCTCGCGCGAGCCTGACTTGGCCTCCATCAGCCACGCGCGCCGACTTGCCGCCTGCCCCGGCCGCGTTTGTTGCCAGCAACGCACGTCCCCGCCCAGTCGCGGTCGCGAGTCGCAGTCAGCTACTCCCGTACTGGGCGTGCAGGCCGCAGCTTGGCTCGGCGACCGCAGCGTGAGGATACTCACCGGGGAGCGGTCGGGGGAGGGACAGGCCGGCATGTGATGGGAGGTCATCCATGTTGACCGTGCGTCTAGGCTGATGATCACTTTGGCGCGGCATCCGTTCTGTTCGAGTCCACCGTCCGCGGGCCAGTCGACCTAACCTCGCGCACCTTGCGACGGCCCCGGTCGTGTGCCTAGGCGCAGGCTGGTGCAGGGCTCTCTCGACGCTAAGTTATCGCGTCCGACACCCTGTCCTCCGTCCTTCTCTCGCCGCACGTCATTGACTGCGGCCTGCTCCCCCACGCACGCAGAGCCTTCCCGCGCTCTTCTCGCCCCCCGCTCGTCGCCTGGGCTGCGTCATCTCCGCGATACGCTATGACGTCAGCACGCTCGCCACGCACAGCCCACGCTCAGTCCAGAACGAAGCTCGGCCTGAGCATGGCAACGCCTTCTTTCTCTGTCAGTGTTCCAACAGTGCGCGCTCCGCGAACTGGAGTCCAATGATAGCTTATGTTACCATCCGCGAAGGTACACACAAGTAAAGAGCGAGAACATGTGCGCGTTCATCCTTGTTATCCTACATAGTATACAACAGCCGACCGTCAGCAGCGCTCAATCCAACAGAAACAAGTCTCGAAGCCCATTTGCCGCCTGCCAACCAGACCATCAAACGATGTCCGCGTCCGGCCCGTCCACGGAAAACTCCTCAGGCTCGTCCGCCGCCGCCGTCTCCTCGTCCTCGCGCGACACCCCCACCTCCTTCCCGTCCATCCTCTCCAGCTCCTCCACCATCTCGCACACCACCCCCAGCCCGATCAGCCCAAAGCTGCGCGCCCCAAACGTCTCCCGGTACCTCAGTCCAAAGTCCCAAGCCGCCCACCCCCGCCTCAGCGCCGTGACCACCTCCTCCCGCGTCGGGCCCTCCTCCGCCCCGCCGCCCTTGCCCTTGCCCTTCCCGCGCACGAACCGCGGCGCGGCGAGCCCCCGCGCCCGCTGCCGCACGTCCCGCACCAGCTGCCCCGCGTGCTCCCGCATCCGGTACGCCCGGCTCTTGCGCCACCGCGGGTCCGGGCACCGCCCCAGGATCACCCCGAGCACGACCTCCTCCTCCGAGAGCCGCACGTCCGCGCCCTCCCCGGGCGCGTGCGCGAGGCAGACGTACGCGAGCTCCCGCGCGAAGTGCCGGAAGAGCGGCTCCAGCGCCGCGAGGTCGTCCGCGTCGTGCCGCGCCGCGCGGTGCTGCAGGTGCGGGATCAGCGCCGGTCGCAGCGCGCGCGAGACGTTGTCGTCCAGCGGCTTCGTCCTCGCGTACGACGGGTGCGGGCGGAGGGGCTCCGTGTGCGACCTCGGCGGCGGCGCGGACGCGCGGAGGTCCTTGATCTCGATCGAGCGGAAGAGCGCGCCGAGCGCGCGCGAGGACTCGTAGAAGTCCCCTGGGCGGCCCGCGTCGTCTTCCGGCTGGGGTCCCGGGAAGGGCGCACGATGAGTTTCGCGACAGACTCCAGGTATGTCACCCGCGTACCTTGTTCCAGTCTGGCTTGATCTTTGTGTATGCCTGTGGCATCGCATCGGTGTCGACGGGAATGCCTTGCTTGGGATAGTCCACAGCTTGGCTGCAGAGGTTTGCCAATTCCAAGCAACGTTCGTCAAACACGCCTTCCTGTTGAGTAGATGGTGAGCTCCATGTCGGTACTGCAAAACGGATCGTCCTACTACCTTCGACTGATCTATAGACACATGTGCGAAGCAGGTGAGTCGATTGGAAGATGCAATTGATGACACCGCGAAGCCTTACCGGCAATCTTCAGATGCTGGGAGGCCACCAGACCCTTGAGAATCGGTTTGTTAGAGTAAAACTACACAGGGTGGATATTCTAACAGCTTACCACCACGTCGAACTGCATGTACTTCATGAAAAAATCACATATGTCGTCCACAGTACTGGGGCGATCACGAGGCTCTGGCTTGACGGCTTCGTAGTTGTTCGGCTCCGACATGATTGTGGGAAGGAGGGTAGGATCCTGGATGATTAAAAACTCGTCTCTGAGGTAACCACGTCGGTCAATATGCATCCCATGCGAGCTTGTGATCTCACCCGTCGACATCCCCGCCAGCCAGACAGGACGCCAAGGAGCGTTCTCCTGCCCACAGTGAACTAGTCAGTCTACGTGCGTGCTTCGACGAAGGGCAACTTGCCTGTGGAGGGCATGACCACGACGTTCTTGATGTTCCGAAAGAAACACTTCTTTCCTGCAGGTGGCTTCCCGATCGCTCGAACTCGCTGGACTGTCCGTATGAAAGTTAGCATTACCACAGCCATATGCATTTCATAAACGCACCGTCCCCAGGGTGGATGTGTGGAGACCGCGAGATAGAAACGTTGCCTGTTCCGTGTAAGACGAGGTTTATAAACTTGCAAGAGTCACTTGCCTTCGAGATAATGCATCTCTTCCTTGTCCGGACTCTGCACGCAAGCTGTATTGCACCCCAAAAGAGTCAGTGTTCCCAAACACGAACAACACGGATGGGAGCACACCAAATATTTCTCCCTCTGGCAGGCAGTAGACGTTCTCACACCCCGCCGCGACCCACGCCGGTCCTTCGTCGACGACACCAACGAGCTGATAAGCTTTCTCCAGCGGGATACGCGTCTCGTACTTGAACTCGCGCAGGGCGTACGTCTGCGCGTACTTGACGATCCCCCTGATGAAATCGTTGTCCAGGAGGAACTGGCCGGCCGAATCGTTGGCCCACATGACCACACCAGAGCGGGCGAGATGCTCGAGCGTCCAGCGCAGCCCAAATGCATCGCCCAGGCCGTACTTCTGGATCAGCTTCTTCGCGACGTTGAAGAGCGTGTCGTGGGCTCCCACTACGTCCGCTTTCGCGTGGTTCTGGATGTCAAGGAAGGCCTGCTGCTCCACGCCGAGGTCTTCTAGCACGGCGACGAGTGGGCTGCAAGCGCGCCGGCAAACAAGTCAAGGTCAATCAGTTCCGAGATGGCCTCATGACGGCTCACCGACACAGCCTGGCAGTCCCGGGCTTGATGAACGGCTTGGCGATCTCAATCTCGGCTTCCTCGTACTCATTTGCTTTATACTTGCACATGGATGGCCTCAGGCGCATTGCAACGCCTTCCAAAGTCTCGTCCACCACCACCATACCCTTGTAGCCTGAAAATACCGAGTTAACGGCCGTCCATGACAACACATGTGACATACCAAGGAACCGAATCTGGTACTGTATCGAGGACGTGTCAGCTCGGGTCATTGCTGCACGTCACGTAGGCACCCACCGCAGACGGCTTCAGCAGCAATCTCCCTCGGGCGGGGCGCTCTTCGATCATAGCCCCCCAAATCAAGTCGGCCAGCGCGGGTGAGATCGTGCCCTGGCCGTCCGTGTGCTGGTACGGCTCCTTGCCCAGATCCGGGATCCCCTTGAATTGATCGCACCGAATTCGAACGGAGGGACTGGTGCTGCTGAACGCTTGCGCGAGGCGAGCGGCGTACTTCGAAGGGACGTACTGGCAGTCCTCGAAGTCACCGAGGCCCCGGCGGATCCCTTCGGCGGTGACGCGCCCCTCGGTCGGGTGGTCGAACTCGGCCATGAACCACGTCGTGTGTTCGCCGAGACCCGACATGGACCATCCCAGGAAGTAGAAGCGCCGCCCTGCGACGTCCAGGCCGTTCTTGAGGATGTCGCCGAACCGTCCTTCGATGAGCGACGCGGCATTCACCTGCGCCCAAACGTGAGGGAAAAGCCGGCACGGACGCCCCGACGTCACGCACCTCCTTCGGCCACCTGAGAGTCATCTTGTTCTCTTCGCGGAACTCGACCCGGATGAAGTACTCCCTGTACTCGTAGTATCGGCGCACGATGCGGTTCGACTGTGTGTCGTAGGGGCCCGTGAGGAGAACCCGCGAGGGCGTGACGACGGCGTGCGCGCTCTTGACGGATCCGAGGAACTCGGGCTCCTTGCCGCCGTCGAGCGCCGTCGAGTCCGCGGCCTCGGTCTCGAGCGCGAGGCGGAAGCAGTCGACCACTGTCTCCGAGCTCCCGCGCGTGAGCAAGCGCGTGGACAGCCGGCGGAGGAAGTCGACGGCGAGCGCGGGCCGCTCGTCGACGAGGTCCTCGATGTGCGCGCTGAGGTGGTACAGGTCGCGAGTGGTGACGAGGCTGTTGGAGAGGAGCGCCTCCAGCTGGAAGCGGATCGGCCACGCGAAGCGGCTCATCCACTCGCGCGCGGTCGCGAGCCGGTCGGGGTGGAAGAAGTCGCGTTGTTCGACCTCGATCCGGCTGCGGTGTGGCCCGAGTTCGGCCGCTTCGCAGAGAAGCTTGAGCTTTTTGAGCTCATCGCGGCGTTCGTCGTGGGACTGCGGTGCGAGGAGCAACAGGCGAAGTTGGTATGCATATGGGGTGACGAACTCGTGCAGACCGCCAAGATGTGGAAGACGTTGTCGGAAATGCTTCTTGTCCTTTTTTCTGTCGTGAGTATAGGCGCGGAATCGGGTCTGCTGTTCGAACCGAGGGGGGTGCCAAAGTTCCATGCAAACGTCTATAGGGAGATCAGGCGATGTCTCAAGGGGAAGACACTTGACCCACAATACTGTCCGTTGTCGTCTTTACCATACGCAGTCTTCTTGATGTTGCGAATGTCTATGATGATGAGATTGGTGTTGTCATCTGTGACGGGATTGCCACTCTTCACATAAGTGTACCGTCAGCGATGTGCTCTGATAATTCTCAGAGGAAAGCACGCACTTCGACAACAAACTCCTTCTTGTTGTAGTTATATATAAGCTCCCCCGAGACGGTATCTTCGCGGCTGATCTCGTGCTCGGCGGAAAAGGTCCGATTGGCGGTGTTAGGATCGCCGTCCCTGCGGAAGTAAACACCGAACTGGATGGCGTCGAGCCTGACGGCTACGGCAGAGATCTCATCTAGTCTCTGCAGCCGTTTTTCCTCTTCCAGAGGCTGCACGTACGGCGTTTTTAGAAGCTCTTGTGTTTTGGCTTTGTTGGACTTCGAGAGACCGCCCTCTTTCATCTTGAGAAATAGACGCCGTCCACCTATGCGAACGCCAGTGCTGCCTCGCTTCGTCGCCCATCGGAAGAAATCTTGCCCGAGAGCGCGATTGGACAGGATGACACTCCCTTTCCCGTTGCTGGGGAGGCAGTTCGTGCTTTCTTCGAGGTACACATGGATGTTTCTGGTGGGTATATGTGGGTGAGAAGACGGCGGCGCGATCGCGTATCTCAGCCTCTGAGTACTTACTCTGGTCGATTCGGCGACCCTGGATCGTGAAACGGCGGGTTGTGTAGGATCTCACCAAATGCATGCTTCACCTCCCATCTTGTTGCAGTGAACGGAAGGTCTTCGATTAAGATCTCCATCGTTGGGTTCGAGGAGTGAATGGAGGAGACTCCGAGAGCGTTGGGTGGCGGCTCTGAGACAGACGCGCGGTACTTGTAGACAGACACGACCGCAGCTCAGAGGGACAGGAGAAATGCCGCAGGATGTCCTGCAGTGCCGCAGGATAGCTGTTACGGCGAGCGGCACGAGAACACTGTGTTCAAGAGCGTTCCCACTCTCGGGTAACCTTGTTGCTGCGGTAGCGTGCTTAAAGTTTGCGCATACAGGAACTGTGCTCACCGATGTACTGTGACATGACGCATCCTCAAAAGCATATGGTTTCATTCATGAAGGAGGCACATCCAGGAGTAGCACGAAGGTGTTGCAATGCAAGTACATAAGTAGATGGGGCTCGGAGGCTGGTGCGTCGTAGTGGGCGCTTCTGCGTATCCGCTGTGGCGTGGAGCCGCCCGGCAGTTTCCGGTGGCGAATACAAGTAACATTGAGAGTAAGAGTTGGACGAAAAAATGACGATAGGGCTACAAGCTGGAGTAGGTAAGAGTAACGCTACGCGAGAAACTATGGTGATACACGGTATCAGAGCGAAGTCACAAGAAAGCAGCATAGCAGCACGACAAAGCAAAACGTTTCATTGTCCAACGTGACGGCACTCGTCGCAGCTCGACTCGTCATAGGCCCTGAGCGTAACCAACACCGCCAGACCACGATGGTCACTCGCCCACGCCCCACGGCCCGTCTTGAGGCCTTTTCCGATCACCTTCACCCTTCCCGTGTCGAGCGTCCCAGGCAGGGTGTACACCCTGTCCAACCGCCCGGGCGGGTATTGTGTCGGTGGCTGGTGTCCCCATGTGAACGCCTTCGGGGACGTGTCGCGGCACGCGTCCGCAAGCCCTGCGATGGACCCGATCGGTTCGTCCGCAGGAGAGATGATGTTCATGTCCCCGCCGACGAGCCCCGCCGTGATCCCCGGAGCGCGGAGTACGCGCGCTATAGCGGAGAGCTGCACCGATCGCTGCCGCTGCCCCTCCGGCAGGCTCTCGAGATGGGTGTTCGCGATCCGGAGCACGCCCCGGTGTCCATCGCCCCCGGGGATGCACATCTCGACGTCTACGAAGAGCGCGCCGCGGCCCATGCAGCTCCCCGTATACGTGAGCATCGACGAGGAGAGGATGCGCGCGTGGCGCGAGACCAGGGTGGCGACACCGTAGGAGGACCCGCGCGGCCAGTACTTGGGGTCGCTGGGTGTGATGGCGTAGTGCTCGCGCACCCAAGGATCGCTGAGCAGCGTGGCGAAGCTGTCCTTGTTGAGCTCCTGCAAGAGGATGCACGAAGGCTGGGGTTTTTCGGTGAGAGTCCGGCGACGGAGATGTTCGAGGATGCACTCCATCCGCGGGGCGGCGCCGGGGGCCATGAAATCGACGTTCCAAGTGACGACCCGGAGGCTGTGGACGGGGGTTCGCGCCGACTTGTACCGCGAGGACCAAGTCTGTTTTTCGGGGGAGTAGGCCTTGACAGGGATCTTGTAGAGCGGGTCGCCAAACATGTCGGTAGGCTCGGAATCGGAAGGTTCGGAGACGGTGGGGGTGGGCGGAGGGGAGGAGGCGTGGGTTATACCCTGGGAGGTGGGAGGCTGTAGGGGGACCCCCGATGCGCTGGGCTCTGTGTTTGGTGGTGGCGAAGGCGGCTGGAAGAGCGGTGACTATATATGAACCGGGCGGTTAGAGTGTGCCCACGCATCAGAGATACGGAAGAGAAGTCCGCACGTCAGGTCTATCACCGTCATCTACGCCGCCAGGAGGCAGGGTTTGGGGCACATCATCCGGGTCTCGGGACGACATCGACGGAGGGGCGTCGCTCATCGGCGAACTCTGATCAGCAGATTGGTCCATGCCCGGGCTGGGCTTCTCAACTGAATCGTCTGGGGGACAGGCGAAGATAGTTAGCGTCTGGCCAGGGGTAGGAAACCGAAGCGTAGATCCACACCAGTAGAAGCTGTTGGACGCTGTTCGGTGGATCGTATACGGGTAAAAGGCGGGGCCGGGGTGACGAAAAATACACCCACAAACTTCCTGAGGCGTTTCATCGGCACAGTCGCACCTCGAGGCCGCCTCCAGGTCTCAGCCGTGGGCGCCCGCCACCACTGTGCCACCAACGGTCCCACGCCCCAGGCACGTGCTGCGGCCCGGCGGTCCCGGAGAGATCTGACCGATCCGTCCCGTCTTGACTCGCAAAAAATATGGCGGGAGCGAGCGCGAGTGCTTTGGCATCGAAGAACCATCACAAAGCGTCCTCGCTCGCCTGACTCAGCACTCGCTCTCTGTTCAATCGCGGCGCATATAAGCATCTGTGCGCGTGAACATCAACGTCTCAGGCTCGCCCACCGCTTTCTTCTATCCCGATACCCCACTCCCGCATACCATGGTCACCGAGCGCGTAGAGGACGACCACATTGAAGATTTAGAAGAGGACCAGTTCATCGACCCCAATGATGTCCTCGGCGAGGTGGAGATGGACGGAGACCTGCCGATGGACGAGGACGAGGAGGACGGCGCAGCGGGTGAGCACCCGCCAGACGAGGAGATCGTGTGGGAGGACAACTCCATGCAACACTTTCCCAATCACAATGGATCTGTGTTCGCCATAAGCACACATCCTGCAGCCCCAATCGCCGCATCTGGGGGTGAAGACGACTTGGGTTACATCTGGGACATCACCACTGGAGACGAGCTCGTCAAGCTCACCGGCCACACGGACAGCGTCACTTCGACTGCATTCAGTGCTGACGGAGAGCTCGTTGCGACTGGTGGGATGGACGGCAAGGTGCGCGTGTGGAGGAGAGTAGGAAAGGACAGCTACAAGAGCTGGGAGTTTCTGACGGAGTTGACGGGCCCGGACGAGGTCATGGTGCGTGTTGTGTCTGTGGTGGGCTTTGCGCGGCTGCTGATCACCATCGGCACTCCGCGCAGTGGCTAAAATGGCATCCCAAGGGCACGGTTCTGCTCGCGGGGTCGAACGACACGACCGTTTGGCTATGGCAACGTACGTCATCCGATGACTGATGCTGCGCTCACATGCTGAACGCTTTTGTAGTGCCTTCGGGTAACACTATGCAGGTCTTTGCCGGACACATGGGGCCCGTCGCATGCGGAGACTTCACACCAGACGGAAAGCGCATTATCACCGCGGACGCGGAGGGCACCCTCATTTTCTGGGATCCGCGCTCCCCCACTCCCGTCTTCAAACTCTCCCCCTCGAACGGCCGATTCGCCTTAGACGGAATCACCTCTCTAGCCGTGAACCCCGCGTCGACTCTCGCGGTCGTTGGCGGTGCGAATGGAGGAGTACGCGTCATCAGTCTCAGCAAAGGGGAAATCGTCGGTGCACTCGCAGGTCACCAAGAGGGAGAGAGCGTGGAGGCTGTCCAGTTCGTCGAGCTTGCGGCGCCCGCGCCGTTGTCGGGGGCGGCGCCGTCTGCGGGCGGCGTCGTCGTAACTGGTGCAACGGACGGCAAAGCGTGTGTGTGGGACTTGAGCACTATGCGGCTGCGCGCCACGCTCGAGCATGGGGTGTGTGTTTTGGTGTATCTTTGCGGACGACTTGGATCTGATACGTCTTGCACACAGGATGCGGTCACTTCTTTGCACCGTCTTCCGCCACCGAAGGCCCATCTTATCGTGTCTGCTTCCGCAGACAAGATACTTCGCACATGGGATGCGCGCACGGGGACGCTGGTGCGGGAACACAAGGGCCACAGCGCTCCTGTATTGGGCGCCGCGCTCGGGATGGGCGGCGATGTGGTTGTAAGTGCAGGAGACGAGGGTGTATGCTTAGTGTTCCCCACCGAGTGAATGCCAAGTTTAGTGCACCATGATGTATCGCTACTATTTTATGCAGTGTATTCAGACAGTCCGTACTTGGACAGTATCATTACATAATCTCACTCTGTCTTGTTTGTGTTCATGCATATGTGGTCTTGCTCGAGGTTTCAATCCCATGTCTCACTAGCCCGTTGGGATCGCCGTTTGGCGGAAAGATGCGGGCCGTAGCCGACCGCCACGGGCGCTCACCCGGCCTGCCAACTTCCTGCTCTCTTCCTGCTCCCGCTCTCCTGAGTTCGCTTTCCTGGCAGCTCCTACGCGATCACTTGGCTTCTTGGGCAGTGTCATCGTAATGAATCGCTGGATACTCATACCGCAGGCGAAGGAGGACTAGAACACCGCGAAAGGGTCCGAAGACGTCAACTTAGCAACACGTCGCAGCAATGCCGACCAGCATCCTCCGAGGGGGCATGGATGCCAATTCGGGTCAAGCGTATATCCGACGGGTCCGCTGCTGTTCTTCCGAGCAAAAACGTGATCAGCTCTCGCGTGATCATAGAGCAAGACGGTCGCTTCGCCTTACAGCGCAAAAGCCCCGCTAGACCAAAATGTGGCCACCGCCATTGGAATCGCAGGCGACTCTCATGTCATGCACTCAATCATGGGATCTGACGGTTCGTAGTTTTTGCATAGCCCTGCCAGCAATCTTTAACGACTTGTTGACATCAGTCCATATATGGCTCTCAGGGTTACGCGCCACACGCGAGGTATTCCCGACGGTCTCGAGGTTCGTTAGTCCAGCCCCACCGCTCGCCTATCAGATGCGCTCTCTCGTGGACTGCGGCCAGCCGGCCTTTTTCCGCGTCTTGCACGCCCGTGATCCCCCGCATTACCCCAGACATCATCCCGATCTCTGCGCCGGTGCGGGGCTAACCTAGAAGCGGAATCCCAGCAGGCTTCGCGGTCGCACCTCTGAGCTTGTTTCGAAGGGTCGTAAAGCGGGCGATCGTCCGCGCGTTTGGTATATAGTCGATGCGCCTCCGCGCACCGCGGGAGATGGTCGTCTCCCCCTCTTCCCGTCCCGCCCCGCCGACATCAAGACCCCCGCCCTGCCGTCTGCCCCTCTTTGACCCGCGAGGATGACTGCATCTGACGATCCACCGGCATGGACTGTCGTCGACTTCATCCACCGGGGGCCATGGTGGAAGAACAGCAGTGCGTGCGCCACCTTCTAAATCATATACCTGGCGTTGAATTTGCTGCCCCGTCGCTTTGCTGCGCCTGCAAGGCATCCGCACCCTCAACCTTCTTCTTATCATCCCTCTCCTCACCGCCTCGATAAACGGGTTGGACTCATCTTTAGTGAACGGTACGTCTGCATATGCCAGGGTGACGGTCGCGTGCTCACGCAGCAAGGAAAGGTCTCCAAATATTGCCCGCATGGACTGATTACTTCAACCATCCCAACGGCAAGACACTGGGTACGTCCCGCGGCATCCCACGACGCAGAGTCCGAATCTCCGCAATCCTAACCCTCTGTCCACAGGACTCATTAGTGCGGCGCAGGTTATTGGCTCTATTCTCGTGAGTACGCGCAGTACCTCCGCGAGGTACTCCGTGTGACGTACGGCCTGAATGTAATGGCGTCACCAGGGCCTCCCGTTCACACCTTTCTCGGCGGATATCTTCGGACGGAGACCAACACTGTTCATAGGAGCCGTGATCATGCTCCTGGGCGTTGCTCTCCAAAGCGCGGCGTTCAGGATCGAGATGTTCATAGGCGCTCGGGTTCTAAGTGCGTTCCATTCCGCCCTCTATCTCCCGGTTCCTGAACCTCATGACCTGTCGTCGTCTGCACAGTCGGCTTCGGACTGACGTTCGCGCTCAACGCCGCGCCGCTGCTCATCACTGAACTCGCCTACCCCACCCAGGTGCGCTTCATCCCCGCGCCCGCCTCTGGCAGAGCCGCGATTGACGCGCACGAACACAGCGGGGCAAGCTCACCTCGATGTACAACGCTTCCTGGTACTTCGGCAGCATCGTCTGTGAGCGGCACCCCCAGCCCGTCAGCTGACCGCGCCAACTCACCGCCGCTTCCCATGCGCAGCCGCCTGGACGTGCTTCGGCGCGTACGAGGGCGCGGGCACGTCCCCGTGGTCGTGGCGCGTCCCGACGCTCGTCCAGGCCCTCGGCCCGGTCCTGCAGGTGTTCGTCGTCTGGTGCGTCGCCCACCCGTTCCCCGGTGCCCCTCGCGCTCACGGTGGCCGGCAGGATGGTGCCGGAATCCCCGCGCTTCCTCGTCGCGCGCGGACGGGAGAGCAAGGCGGCGGCGGTCCTCGCGCGCTACCACTCGCTCACCGGCGACGAGCGCGACCCGCTCATCCAGTTCGAAATGGCGCAGATCCGGCACGCGCTCAAGGTCGAGAAGGACGCGGCGCACAGCACGAGCTTCACCACGCTCTTCGCCACCCCGGGCAACCGGAAGCGGATGATGATCGTCGTCGCGCTCGCGGTGTTCTCGCAGTGGAGGTGCGTGGGCGAATGTTGGCGGTCTGATGGAGCTGTGCTAAGGAGGGGTCGTGCGCTTTTAGCGGCAACGGGCTAGTGTCGTATTACATCAACTTGGTGCTCGAAGGTGTGGGCATCACCGACGCGGGCACCAAGGCGGCGATCAACGGAGGGCTCCAGGTGAGTGCAACCTAATATGCGAAGTCTCTCAACTAACTGTGTCTACTCAAAAAGGTGTGGAATCTGATGGCTGCAATGTCAGGCGCCTTGTTGGTAGACAAACTTGGCCGAAGAACACTCTTTATCATCTCAAATGTTGGCATGTTGATTGGTACGCTCACTTTATCCCTGGTATCGACACATTCGTTCATGAACGGCGCAGATTTCGGATGTTGGACGCTCACCACCGCTCTTTTCAACTCTTTGGAGATCAAGGCTGCCGCCAAAGGTATGTAACGGGCTGAGACTTCGGTTCCATGATACTCATCTTATGCGCTCCTACAGCTACCATTCCTTTCATCTTTATCTTCTACTTCTTCTACGACATCGCCTACACACCTATGCTTGTTGCATATACCCTTGAGATCTTGCCATTCAGTATCCGCGCAAAAGGCTTTGCCGTCATGGTGAGTAAGTACCACGCTCGTGGTGTTTAAATTGACCAACCCTCCGTAGAACCTCGTTGTCTCTCTCACCCTCGCCTTCAACCAATTTGTTAACCCATGGGCGCTCGACGCGCTCGGATGGTACTACGTGAGTGCTCGCCCTCATGCTTCGTCCCTTCCCGTGCGTTGACCTCGCGGCTCCCTCCAGTACCTCGTCTACTGCGGCTGGCTCATCGTCGAGCTCGTCTTCATCGTCTGCTACATCATCGAAACAAAAGGTGCGCGCCCCCTCCCCCTTTGTCCCTTCACATGCACTGACCTCTCCCTCCTCCCCTCCTCAGGCCGCACGCTCGAAGAGACCGCCGCGCTCTTCGACGGCGAGCAGCAGCCGCACGAGCTCATGCAGACCGGTGGGGAGGCCGCGCACCTCTCGCGCGCCGCCGCCGCCGCCTCGCGCGGGCCCGGGATCTGGATCGAGCAAGAGAAGACGTCCGCGACGGACCCACACGACCTGCACGCCGCGTCCGCGCCCGCGGCGGGGCGGCGGCGCCTCGCGAGCATCAGCGTGAGCCGGTACTCCGCGGGCGGCGCGGACGAGGAGCCGCACACGCCGACGGTGTACGGGTACGGGTACGGGGACGTCGACGCGGGCGAGCTCGGGGACGCGGGCTCGCGGTCGGAGCACTCGCGGAGCAGGATCTGCGAGGCGATATGATGGATGCGCCGTGCGCTGGGCGGCGCCCACGCGTGGTGTGGCCCTGCTTGTTTTTATTGTTCGGTCTCGTAGTGTAGTGCTCCCCACCCACAGTCCTTAGCCGGTGTTATTTCTCCCTGTTGTCATCGCCCTCTGTCCGTCGATATTCGTAGCCTCCATTAGGATGTATCATTAGAAAACGTCTGGTATATGATCAGCACATCTACGCGCTCTCCGGCTCCTCCGGCAAGTCCTCTTCCCTGACCCACACCCGCAACCCGCCATGAGGACAGGTGAACGCGCCCCAGCCGTCGCCGTCGACCCGCACCATCTCGTCGTGCGAGGAGACAGGTGCATACGCTCGATACGTCGCGCCGGCGTTCGCCTGCTCTCGCCAGAGTCAGCTCTCGTCCACTCCAAACCTGCCGCCCACAAACCACTCACCGAGCCCACAGACACGCGTATCGTGTGCTTCTGCTCCCCTTCCGCTGCGGCCCTGTCCACAACGACGACGACGCACGCTGTGAGCGCGACGCTTCTCGTCACCAAGGAGCGAGCACACGTACCCGCTAGTCGCTCCTGCCGCTTCTGGCACCGCGGGCGCGTCGGCGTTGCTGATGAGCACGACGCAGCCCGGCCTGGCGCGCTTCCCCTGCCCGTCCGCGGGCGCGGGCGCGCCCGCGCGGACGAAGCCGACGCAGTTGCGCTCCGCGCGCAGGCAGTCGGTGCGCGCGCCGTAGGCGAAGAGCCGGCGCGCGGCGATGAGGCGCTTGACGCCTGCGGCGGTGTCCGGGTCGTAGCACTCGGGCTCCTTGTTCGGGTAGAGGTCGCCGTAGAAGACGCAGCTGTGCGTTTAGAAATGGAGTATACGGCCGTCGGCGGTCGCGGAGACGTGTCGGCACAGAAGGGTGGGTGGTTGCGTGCGGGCCGGTGGTGGTGGGAAGCGAGGTGGTCGCGTGGGCAGTTTGGGGAATAGAGGTGTGAGAGAGGCGGGTGCGGGACCGGAGAGGGTACTCACGGCTGGCCGGAGCCGTAGAGAAGAATGACTGCGTACGCCTGGAGCTTGAAATTGGGTCCGACCTGGGAAGCGTCAGATGATCCGGGGGGCTTTGGAGTGGATGCATGCCCCGGGGGAACCACGCACCCAGCTTTCCAGCGTTTGTCCGACTTGCTGCGGGGCAATTGAGTGTGAGCAGAGCATTCGGCGAAGCAGTGGAAGGAGTCGGAATTTACCGTGCTAGAATCACATGTGGTCAGCAGAGGGTAAACAGGTAAAGAGAGCGGCTTACTCGTGGTTGTCGACAAAGGTCACGGCGTCGTCTGGACGGAACTGGAGGACGCTGCCGTCAAGGAGGCGCCTTAGGTCGTACGCAGAGCCGGCCTTGCTGGCGTTGTGGAAGTTGTAGTGCAGCGGGACGTCGAAGAACGTGACCTGCACGCCCATCAGTGGGTTGCGGACGGGGGGATGACATCGTCATCGCTCACCAGCCCTTCGAAGACGCGGATGTACGGCTTGATCAACTCGAGGCTGCTCTCTGTCAGCGCAAATCAAGGGGACTCGTCGGACACTCACTCGCTTGACCAATATTCCGCGACTGAGAATAGGTCGTCGCGCCCGAGAGTTTGCCGGACATGCTTGATCTGCGGGGGGTCAGCACGGAAAGCGGACACAGGAATGACGTACAAAGCTAAGCAAGAATCGCCTGTCCATATGCTTTATGGCATCAAACCGGAAGCCTGCACCGCCAGTAGTCTGTCGCGTTCATCAGTTGAGTCGCTATCCCTCCGCTGCTTCTGTGGCCGATTACCTTGAGAACCCAGCTGCCCCACTCGAGAAGATCTTGACGTACGTCAGGATGCCTGTGGTCTATCTAAAATACTCGTGGTCAGTGTTACGTCGCCATTACCGACAGAGACGGCTTACGTCTATGCCTAGGAGATAGTCGTAGTTGCCGTTCTCGGAGTCAACCCATTTGGACCATCCCTTGTGTTTGTCGCTTGTGATACGGTAAACACCCTTCGTGCGTGTCCTGTGGTCCCAGTCGAGTCCCGTAAAATGCTCGTGCGTCCACTTCATGCTGCTGTACTGCGACTGTGTCAGGCGTACGAGAGTTGCATCGTGAGAAACTGCCCACCTTCTCTGCTCTACCGTCGAAGTCGAACGCGGTCCAGCCCTAGTATTAAATTAGCATGTGAATGCGATTCGTAGCAGCACGCGCGACTCGCCTCTATCTCCTTGGGCGGACCCAGGTCTACGAGGCGATTGTCAGGGTCAACCATGGTGGCCATGAACTTCTCCGGTCTATCCGCGCCAAGCTTGTGCTATGCAGGTGGAGAAGTCAGTACGTTTGTGCGTTTGTTCGTGTGATGGCTTACGTTGAGCACAGCGTCTACAAGGACATCGATCCCGTGAGCGCGCGCGGCAGCAACTGCGCGGACGAGTTCCTCCTTGGTGCCCCACCTGGTCGGGATTGTACTCTTCTGGTAGAACTCGCCGAGATCCCACTGAGATGTGCATGAGCACCTCAAGGGGTCATAATGGTCGAAAGAAGACTGCGCACCAGATCGTACGCGTCATAGCCCTGTCCTTGCTGTGATATTCCGTGAGCAACCCGCGTTGAGATGAAGAGCGTGACATGCCTTCCTCATCGCCTTGTTTGGAGGGGGCAGCCAGACCTGGGTGATGCCCATGGCCGCAAGAGTAGGCACTTCGGTCTCGAAATGCCTCCACCAGCTCATCTCTGGGTGGGTAGCCTCCCATGTAAAGAACTGCATCTGCTCAGACCGAACGTGTGTCAGCCCCGTGCGTCGTCATGCCGCCCACTCCCAAGTGCGCACCATCAGTGCATTGTCGCCATCGTCGCCCGCAGGCTTAAGACGCATGGTCGGTATCGCCGGAGGAGGGTATCGCCAGAAGGTGAGGAGCTCCCAGAGACGGACGAGGAAATCGGGAACTTGGCTGTCGACGGGCATGATGGGGCCGACGGGAGGGCGCCGTGGGCCGCTCGCGCTAAGTCGGGACGAGGTGACGATCCGTAGAAGCTCCAACCGGGATCTGTGCCTGTGCCAGCTCGTCGAGGGGGGTCGCCACCACCGCTGCGTTGCACTTGGCGACTCCTTCGTGTCGCGCGTAGGCGGAGCTGCTCCGGTCCGGTCATGTGCCGTCTCTTGCCGTGGCATCGGAGACCAAACTTTTCACACTCCGCGAACCCATATACTCTACGCGCCGTGGCAGTTTTTCTTCATCTATGGCCACCACGCTCCTCTGCCGTCCATGTCTGCGTTCCGCACGACGCTGGGCGGTGGTCCGGGGGCGCTCTTGAAGCTTTGTGGTAGGTTTCGACTGAAATGGCCTTCTTAATCACTCCGTTCACTTTGCATCCACGTCGAATGGAGTTTCATGCCTGGGCGACATCACCTCATGTATGTAGTACTGCCGATACCCTCTCGTAATGAAATCGCTGGCGAGAGTCAGGAGCACAAGAAGCGTGATGTCTATTATTGCCCTCGATGAACATGCTCTGTTGTGTTCCATCTGAACCACGACGTGTGGGTGGCACTGGGTGCACGTTGTGGTTGTGGCGGACTGGGGATGGTGTGCGAGATGGTGGAGCGGCCGGAGAAGATGAACGGGAAGCTTGAGGCCTCAAGGAGATAGAGGTGTCGCCCGAGGACGAGGAGGCGGCGGACGAGCCTGAGGAGTTTTGTGTGGGCGGGCCGCACGGGGACCTGGTCTGGCCAGCAGGCGGCAAACGGGCTTCGAGATTCGTCGTTGAAAATTTTGTCGAGCCCGCCTGCCACTTCACGCAAAATTACTAACTTTCTCTTAGAGATTGGTAGGTACAGAACCGGCTACATCTCCTAATCGTACAGATAGTGTACATTTCCTTCGATCTCATTTGCAGTCCCGTATCCGTGATCCAGGTAACACTATGTGTGCGGCATGGCGCAAAGAGCTAAGCATGTGGTAATGTGGGGGTTAGCAGGCAGGACGAACGAACGAACACAAACAACTGTGACACGTATGTACAGGGGATCCAGCGATACCGATATCATAGTGACAGCAATCTGAAGTCAAGAGCAGCGAGCGCACAGCACATGGACACACCATAAGAATACGCGTAACAGATCGTCGTCGGCATCTACTCAGAAGTTGGGAAGGGAGATCGTCCGGACCCTGACGCCCCCGGGCCTGGCGTTCGCGGCGGGGCGGTCCGTCTTCTTCGCCCTCAAGGGGTATTTGCGCGTGTCCGGTATACTCCGGCCGATGTCGGGCAGCCAATCGTCCACTCGGTCCGCGCCTGGGCTGCGACCAGAGTGGACGGCCGCGAGTCACCCACGCTCTATCACGTCCATCGCGGAGTCGAGGAAGACCTTCGGGAGGAGCAGCGTCCTGTTGTCGAAGGGATCCGCCTCCGCGCTGTTCTCCGCGTACAGGCTGTTCCTGGCGTCCCTCCGGGTGACACAGCGCAGCCCGAGCTCGGTCGTGCACAACACGTGTCCAACGTCGGGCGTCGCAGCTCCCCCGTGGCCGAGGTGGTGGTTGCTGGAGAACCCGACGTCCGCGATGACGGAGCCGTGGTCCTCGTCGTGCTCGCCTTCGCGCATCTTGTTGAGCATGCGTCCAGGCTCGAACGTCTGGCCGGCGTCGATGAGGAAGACTTCGAAGGTAGTGGACAAGATTTCTTCACGTGTGACGCGTGCGAGCTTGTACACCGCCTCTGCGATCCGGCGGAGCTGGGGCTGAAGCGCGGCGGAGGTGGTGATGGAGGCGCCGCTTGAGCCGCATATACTGAAGACAGCATTCGACCAGCGTTGCATCGTAGTGACTAGTTCTGAGATGGCATAGTCTTCCAGGCCCGGATACAGTGTACGGATCGCACGGTGGGTGAGGGCGCGCCAGCGCGAAGACGTTGCTTGCGGCTCTAGATCAAGAGAGGTGGCTCAATAAGGGGCAGCAGGGAGACGAAGCAAGACGACGCACCTGATGATTGCATGTGAGTTAGTACACGGGAGAGGAGAGCGTCCAGCTTGGAAGGGAAACCGATACAGAATAATGTTAGAGACCGAGCGCAGCAGGTCACGATGCTGGCTTGGAGAGCGAGTTGAACCAAAACGGGGTCTTGGGTATGATCGCGGAGGGCGAGGATGCGAGAAAATGCAGGGCCGAGCCAAGGGGTTGTGTTCTCTTGTTCGGAAGACATCGCCAAAGGAGCCTTACCGGCCGATCTTCTGACAAACGAACACGAGTCGGTCACGGCAGCGGCGAATTGGTTGATCTCGGCGTTGAGGTCGTCCACAGCCTGAATGATTTGCGCACCCGACCAGTTGTCCGTCTTTGTGAGGAAGACGTCCATGCTCCTCGCCCTCGCAAAATGCTCCGCCTCCACAGTCATCGATGAAACCAAGGGGATGGGGGGCAGGTCGTCCGACCGTCTTGACCTGCGCTTGCTCCTGCTCCGGTCGCGAGTTCTGTGGTGGCGGTCGCGATCGTCCGTAGTAGTCACGTACGATGACCTGTCCCTGCTCGTACTCCTGCTCTTCAAGCGGGCCTCCTCCCGCTCTGCAACGAGGTGATCGCGCTCGGCACGAAGAGCGTCAATCTCCCGGTCCTTCATCCGAAGGGTGTCCTGCATGTCGCGGAGAGTGCGCTCGAGCGCCTTGTAGCGCTCCGCGAGCTTCAGCATCTCCGCGTGGACATGTGTCCGAGCAGCCTCGCGTTGAGCCAGCACGGTATCGAGTGTGTGGGCGAGAGTGGAAGTGGTGGAGGGAGGGGTGCGAGCCGAAGGTGGCGGCGGCGCGGGAGGTTGGAGGCCCTGGCGGGAGGCGGAGTTGCGGCCGCGACGTTCGGCGGTGGCCAGCTTCAGGCGGAGGGCACTGCACTCGCGAGTAAGCTTGACGATGGGATCCGCAGGCGGGCCAAGCTCTGCAGGGTCTATGCGGATGCGAGGGCGGGTGGGATTGGCGATGTAGTCGTCCCGGAGGGAGTAGAACTCAACGGTGGTGTCTGAACGGGACTGGAGACGAATCATCGGGAGTAAGTGAGTGGAGGATGGGCCAGAAGCCGGGGAACTGGGACTTACGGGCGGGGCGCACGGTGAGAGGCTGGCTATATGCACAAGGATCGTGGTAGGCAGCAAACACGTTGGGTCGCGGCGGCCCCAGTTCGGACACGGAGTCACGGAGTCACGGATGCGTGCCGCGAGCGCCTCTCTGCTTCCCCGCATTCAATGATTCCGCAACCGTCTTCCTCTGCAGCTCAAGCCATGCGTATGCTCATGGCGGATGTGCTCTACCCTGCGGCCTTTGGTGCGGCACTTGCAGTCCTCAGGAACAAAGCAGGACCGATAGCTTGACGTCCAAGTCAACTTACATCACTTCGCGCAGTGCGTCCCATGAGGCAATTTGAGAGACGCACCAAACAGCGTCTTCTGAAGCAACGAGGAAGCTCTTACTCTGCCAGAAACCTGCACAGATTCGAACCAAGCGTATCCTATTCGTCCTAGATGTGCTGCGGCATAAGGAGTCGCCGAGTCCCGACTCGTGCTTCTTCGGAGGGCTCATCCCTGGCGGTTCTGCAGATAACAATAAAAGCGACGCGTCTTTTTAATTATCGCGAGAGTGCTGAAGCGGTGCTTGAAGCTTTGAAAAGGCGGTTGCGCAGGGTCACACTTACACCCGCCCACACTTCGTGGCCACCACCTCCCGTTTTCCATCCATACATCTACTGCAGTGCCCCTGGCATGTGGCTGGGCATCGTAGGGTGAATCATCGACATCGGACATCGATTGTCCTATTGGTGAGACAGGCTTGGGAACGTGCAAACCGAGGACGCGTGCTGCAGCACATGGAAAGACTGGGCACTAATTCTGCGTTCTCGAACCCGCGGCAGTGCTGCGGCAGCCATTCCGCAGGGCTTTCTTCGGAATCCGGATACGAGGACAGGTCCACTTCTCAATCCCCTGCTCAGCCTTCAGAATCGTGTGGAGCCCTGACGACCACAGAAAGCTCTCTTCTCACCTGGCGTGCGTGTTACGTGAACGTCCACCGGGATTCTTGCCGACCGCATGCACGCCCACAGTACAGGCTGGGCGAGCGCAGACCTACGCGAGATTGTCCCGATGACTCACAGCAGAGCGATCTTCATCTCCTGACGGAGCAGGGTACCCGTCTGAGCAGGTGGACGAGCCACAGTGACAAGGGCCGGAGTCGACGATGCATGCCACGAACAGCGTGTTGCTTATGTAAGGAGTATCGCACCATTGTCCGGGCACCTCCTGCCACTTTGGGATGCCGTATGCACGTTGCGGACGAAGATTCAGAACATGTGCTGCTTCTCCTCCCCTCCTCCGCAGGAGCGGCCATATAAGCTCCCACACGTCCCCGAGCCACCCTCTCTTTTATCTCCCCGCTTATATCCCTAATCCCTCACTGGCACGACCCCCCACGACCCCATGAAGTCGGCCACTGGCACCCGGAAGCCGTACATCGGCAACACTCGCTCCCTCGTTATCGCCCTCGACGTCGGCACGACATTCAGCGGTGTCTCGTATGCCATCCTCGAGCCTGGCGATGTTCCCAAGATCCACGGTGTAACCCGGTGAGCGCTCTTCACTCTCCCGGCCTTCACGCTCGTGGCTGAACACAATCAAGGTTCCCCGGTCAAGAACATGTCGCAGGCAACTCCAAGATTCCTTCTATAATGTATTATGACTCTAATGGCGAGATGCGAGCGGCCGGCGCGGAGGCGGAGGGTGCCTCGGCCATCGCACAGGCCGAGGACGAAGGCTGGAGCAAGGCCGAACTGTACGTCCCACTATCTGCACGCCGACGCGCTCACCAACGCTCGCGAAAGTTTTAAGCTCCGGCTGCGGCCCAAGACGATGAAGCTGAAGATGAACGGCATGCGCCTAGCACCTCTGCCCCATGGGAAGACCGCCGTCGATGTCTTCGGCGACTTCTTGTCCTATCTCTTCCGGTGTACGCGTTCCTTCATCATCGACACCCACGCGAACGGCGCCGGCCTCTGGCGTGCTGTTGAACCCGACATCCAGCTCGTCCTTTCTCACCCCAACGGCTGGGAGGGCGCGCAACAAGCGAAGATGCGCCGCGCCGCGGTCTACGGAGGACTCATCACCGACACGGATGAGGGTCGTGCGCGGATACGTTTCGTGACGGAGGGCGAGGCGAGTTTGCACGCCTGTGTACTCAATGGGCTCGCCGCGGACGTACTGTCGGTGAGCTCGATCACGATCGCTGCGGTGACGTTGTCGCTAACGTCGCGTTAGAACTCGTCCGGTCACGGGTTTATCGTCGCCGACGCTGGTGGAGGAACACTCGACATCAGCTCGTATGCTATCCGCGCAACTGCACCCCTTGTCATCGAGGAGATTGCCCCTCCAGACTGTGAGCGTTTGCGTTCATGGGCCCAGCAGTGTTCTAACCGACTATCCAGGTGTATTCGCTGGCTCCGTGTTTGTCAGTCGACGAGCGCGTGCGTTCTTTGAAGGTGAGCTCGTTATATGCGTGCTTGGAAGGACCCTCGTTGACTTGCCCTGCAGAAAAACTTCGGAACTCGAAGTACGGGACACCCGACTCTCTGGAGCACATCACCAAGCGATTCGACGAGACCACCAAACGCCTCTTCCGCGAGCAGAACACGCTACAATTCGTCCCTTTCGGCTCTCCTCTCGACAAGGATTTGAGCGCGGGCATTCGTAGCGGGCAGCTCAAGTTGACCGGGTGCGTACTTCGTCTTGCGCAGCTCAGGTACATATTAAAGCTTCGCCCCATGATAGTGCCGAGGTCGCCGCACTCTTCGAGCCTTCAATCGAGTCGGCGGTACTGTCGATAAAGTCTCAGATCGAAGCGTCGGGTGGAGCCGTCAAGTCTGTGTGGCTCGTGGGTGGTTTCGCCGCGAGCCCCTGGCTTTTCGCGCAGCTGCAAGAGCGTCTAACCCCTCAGCAAGTCACTGTGAGCCGACCTGACACTCAAACGTAGGTACTGCAACCAAATCTTTTGGCGCATACGTTGACCCAAAACGTAGGTCGAAAGCAGTCGCCGACGGGGCAATCGGCTTCTACTGTGATCATCATGTCAATGCCCGGATCTCGAAGTTCGTGTACGGTGTCGAGTTCTTGCGGGAGTACGACTCGAAAGACGAAGAGCATGTCTCTCGCAAGCACCGTCTCTTCGAAATGCCCTCCGGCCCGCGCTTGCTCCCCGACGCCTTCGATTGCATCCTCGCTCGTGGGGTCAAGGTTAAGGAGTCCAACGTCTTCAGCCGCAAGTACTGCACGGAGGTCACCAGTCTCAACACACTCTCCGTCTTCGAAGTCGAGATTTGGTGCTACCGTGGCAACGACGACATCCCCAAATGGATCCATCGGTCCTCCGACGACTTCTCCACGCTGTGCTACGTCCGCGCAGACCTGTCCCCGTTGTCGGGAAGTGCGCAGGCGAAGCAGAGCCGTAGCGGGAAGCAGTACTGGACGATTGTGTTCAGCATCGAGATCCACTTCGGTCTAACAGAGTTCAAGGCACGCATCAAGTGGGTCGACAACGGCAAGACGAAGTAGTAAGTGCAAGTTGGTCCTTACTCACAGTTTACGCTAATCGGCTTTTGCAGTGGTCCTGCCTCTATCGTGTACAATGAGGGTGGCCACCGTGCAGAAGAGGACGAGCCCGACAGCTCTCCGGAAGACAACGCCTCTGTTCTCTCCACGCCATCGGACCGTGTTGGACCGTCGCGCTCCGTCTCTCAGCCGCAGACACGCGACAACAGCAGGCGCCCCTCTGCCTACGCCTCCCCCCGAGTTGCGCCCCCACCTCTCGAGTCCCCCGTCGCTTCTCGTGGCTTGGAAGCGGAGCGTTCACGGACGGGCTCTGCTTCGTCGTCGAGTCACTCAAAGTCCCGTTCGCGCGACCTCCAGATGTCCGGTGGACCGACACCCCGTTCAGGCCCGCCTGTTCCCGAGCCCATGCGCTCCGGAGACCGCTCCGTCAACATCTCTGGCCGCTCCGCCGAGTCTGGTCGTAGCGGCACCACACATCTCGGGGAGCAGCTTAACGCTATCTGGGGATCAGCGCCCAGCGTGTCGTCCCCGCTCGCGGAGCAGCCGCCTTTCAATGCGTTCTCGGCTCATCCGTCCCACGCACCGTCGCAATCCTACTCGCACGCGCCGTCGCACCGCGAGACGAAGCCCCACACACCCAAGATGCCATCTCCGCCTCAGCAACTATCCGTCCCGCAGACACCGGGGATCTATGGAATTCCCCCAACGGCTTCGAGCATGCAGACTCCCATCATCACTCCTCCACCTCTTGCCCCTCATGAGCCGCCGGTGCCCCGTCCGCCATCAGTTGTCTCGTATGCGACGGTGACTCCGTCGGGGCCTCCCGCTCCTCTCCCCGCCCTCGTCGAGTCCGCTCCGGAGCCAGAACTGGAGCCAGAGCCAGAACCGGCCCCGGTTCCTGTGACGCCCTCTCGTGCGGCGTCGACGGCCTCCAAGATCCCTACAGCTTCCAAGCCCCCAACGCCAGCCCGGGGCTCCAAGGCCGCGACTCCCGCCTGGGGCTCTAAGGCTGCTTCAAAGGTTGGCACCGCCGCAGGGTCCAAGCTCCCGACGCCTGCGACGTCCAAAGCCGCCACCCCGAAGGGACGTTCGAAGGCTGCGACTCCGCGCGCCATGACGCCTCCACTCGAGCCCGAGGAGGCTCCCGTCGAAGAGCCCCCGGCCGCGGTGTTCGAACACGAGCACGCGGCCCCGCCGCCGCCTGCTTCCGCTCTCTTCGGCGACTTCGGTGCTGTAAGTACATTCTCATTGTGAGATGCCTTTGAAGACTAACACTCTTCTCGCGCCCTCCGCAGGGCGGTCCTCCTGGCGGCTTCAACGAAGACCCCATGCCGGGCGAGTTGCCTGCCTTCGGCGAAACCCCTGCAGCCCCCGTCGGCGCCATGTCACCCATGGCAGACCTTTGGCAAACCCCCGTCCTCGAGACCGAGAACGCGGCCCAAACAAGTCAGGGTCTCTTTTCCGACTTCCTCTCCGGGCCGACGTGGCAGAACCCCGCGGCTGCGAACAGCACGGCCAGCTTCGGGTTCAGCAACGCGGCCGCGCCCCCTGCCGCGGCCCCCACGCCCTCTCCGGGGGCTCCCGCTGCGCCCGCACAAAACGGGACGGGTGGCAGCCGCTGGGGCAGACTCGGTTGGGGTGGTTGGAGCGGAGGCGGAGGCGGCAACGACGCCGCAGGCGAGGAGGAGCAGCGCAGGCAGGAAGAGGAACAGCGCAGGCAAGAGGAGGAACAGCGCAGGCAGGAGGAGCAGCAGCACAGGCAGGAGGAGGCCGCGGAGCAGGACCGCCAGCGCATCATAGCCGAGGAAGCTGAGAAGAAGCGCCAGGACGACGAGGCCGCCGCTGCTACCGCTGCCGCCGCCCATCAGGCCGCCGAGCTGGTCGAGGAGGATGACGCTTGGGGAGTGTCAGCGAGGAAGAAAGGGCCAGCGAAGAAGTTGACGAAGAAGCAGCAACGCGAGGAGGACGCGCGCAAGGCTCAAGAGGAGGCGGACCGCGCTGCCCAAGAGGTGGTCGACGCTGACCACGCCGCTGCGCAGGCAGGCCTCGCGGACGCTGCGGCGCCGGCCGATTGGGCCAACGGCGAGGTTGCGGACGCGAACGCGCATGCTGCGAATGCTTTGTTCGGCGGCGGCTTCAGCTTCGGCGGCGGTTTCGATGGCGGCCCGCTCGGTGGTGGTACAACGCAACATCAGTTCGGTGAGGGCGAAGCGTATGGGACCGATGCCGAGGACAAATTTGAGGAAGCCAGGGACCAGCAGACTGACAATGAGGAGGGCAAGAACGCGAACGAGGATCCGGACGCGGCCGATGCTGTGAAGAAGGCGGCTGAGGTGTCGATGGAGGAGGAGTGGGGTCTTCCGGTCAAGACCAAGAAGAAGAAGGGCACTGCCGCTTCCGCCGCCATGTCGGGTGCTGCGTCTGAGGCCGACACCGGTGCTGGCGGCAAGGGCAAGAAGGGCGGCAAGAAGGGCGGCAAGAAGTAAACCCGCAGGCGGACACGCATTCGGTTAGTGATATGTTCTGTGTCTTGTTGTACGACGATGGGGCCGTCGAGCGCGCGATCTACGATCTTCTACGATTAGTTGCTGTATCTCTTGGGAGGCCGGATCTTTCTTGCATTTTGTATACCTAGAATGTATGCTTTCGTTGGTGCTGTGCTATCGTTATGCGCTCATGTCATAGATATCAGGTTGATTCTGTGGTTGCTGCTAGATGCACTGTCTTGAATGCATTCTGTGTACCATGTTCTGCTTGATTCCCTTGTGCCGCGCACAATCCTGGAATATTTGCATGCACCCAGTCTACCGCAGCGCTTGTGGGCGTATAAGTCACATGACTTCGACGCGTTGAGTGACCCGACTGGCGCCTTTCCTCCTTGCATCTCATCCTCATGTACTCGTGAGTGCATAATCCTGCGTCCCCTTTGTCCCCCGCCCCTCTATCTTCCGGCGGCACCCTCTCTCTTGGTTTACACCTGTGCACGGGCCCCACCTCACAATCCTCCTTTTTGCAACTCTCACCTGCCTGCCACCATGTTAGGCGTCTTCCGCTCCTCCTCCAACGCCGACCCAAACGAGGCCATGGTCGCCTCGCAGCAGAAGCACATCACAGAGCTCGTCGCCAAAACCAAGACGCTCGAGCACACGATCGAACGCCTGCGCGGCGAAGTGACTGCGGCGGAGACGCGCGGGGCCACCGCCGCCGCCGCCGCGCGGGACCGCTGGGCGGCGGAGCGCGACGAGTGGCGCGCGGGCTGCGAGGAGCTCCAGGCGGCGCACCGCGTCGCGCACCTGCGCACCGCCGGGCTGCTCGACCGCGAGCGCGCGGCGGGGCTCGCGGCGCGGGGGGTGCTCCGGCGGGAGAGGGAGGCGCGGCTGCTGCGCGACTACAAGCTCGTGATGTTCCAGGCGAAGGAGCTCGAGCTCGAGGGCAGGATCGCGGCGCTCCAGCGGGAGCGGGCGAGGGAGGTGGAGGAGCGGGCGGCGGAGGAGGAGGAGAGGAGGGAGGCGGCGAGCGAGACGGCGGCGGTGTTGGAGGCGCGGTGTCAGGAGCTGGCGGCGAGGCTGAAGGAAGGGGCGGCCGCGCAGGTGAGGACGGTGAAAGAGAAAGAGCAAGCAGAGGTGAGTGGCTCTGTCGCCGGGGCGAGTGACTGCATCTGAGGTGGTTGGACGATCTAGGATGCACTCGCTGTTTTGCGTGCGGAGCATGCGACGCTGACGACGGCGTCGGACCGGACGACGCAAAGCCTGGAAAGGGCGTCGTTGCAGCTCGAGGCTCTGAAGACCACCAATGCCGATCTAGAGAAGAAGTACATCGAATCGGAGGCCAAGGTCACCGGTCTTAACCGCCAGATCCAGCAGTGGGTGAACCTCGAGAACCGCGAGAACTCCGAGGTCGAAGCGCTGCGCAAGAGTCGTATGGAGCTGGAGCTGAAGACGCGGCAGCTGGAGGGAGACAAGACGGAGGCTGAGAAGCAGCTGGCAAGCGAGACGGCCAGAGCAGACAAGGGACAGCGCAAGATCGAGAAGTATAAAGAAGCTTGGGATGCGCATGTGGTAAGTTCATGTTACACTTTCTGCGTCGTTACTAATACTAATTGGCAACTTCAGGCTGAGACCGAGCAGGCTCAGAGCGACGCTGATAAAGCGACCAACGATCTCCGGGAGATAGAGGAGGCTAACAAGAAACTCAAATCGCAACTAAAGGTACTCAAGGAACGCATAGAGGGGCTTGAGGAACGAGCCGGCAATGTCCACGAGGCCTCGGGCTCTAAACCACGAAAGCAGGTACGTATACATCTGTTTACCTTATTCAATCGGAGTACAAATTGCGTCGACAGACAAAGAGCCCGTCAAAGCGTGCGCCTCCAGTATCTGACGAAGAGGAGGAGGAGTCCGCATTAGCTCCGAAGAAACGATCCAAGGTCAAGGCCGCACCCCCGCCCACCGAAGAGGACGATGACGACGACGACATTCAAGTAATCCAGCCGCCGCCGAAGTCGAAGAGCAAAGACAAGGGGGCTGCGAGAACAAAAGACAAGGCGCGGGCACAGCAGTCTGACGACGATGTCGAGGAAGTGGCTCTAAAGCCAAAACCGAAGCCGAAGACGGCCAAAGACAAAGACAAGAGCAACGGGAAGGAGGACGGGAAGGAGAAGAAGGCGCGCAAGAAGTCCACCACCGTTGACGACGCCAATGACAGCGACGTGCAGGTCATCGAGTCGAGTTCGATGGCTACTGGCAAGGGGGCCAAGAAGGGCAAGACCAAGGCGGATTCAGTCTCGGCCTCGGACGCACCTGCGACCAAAAGAGGCGGGAAGAAGCCAGCTGCCGTTGATGACGATGAAGAGCGCCCCCTGCCGAAGAAGCGGGGACGACCACCCAAGGCTAAGGGGAAGCAGGCAGTGTCCGAGGACGAGGACGATGGTTCGACGGCGCCGAAGAAGAAACGGAAGCTTAACCTCTTCTCGACCTCACAAGCAACTACCTTCCAGTGGAACGGCACTCTCAACGTGAGCAATTCATGACGATGGCTCGTCGTTGGATATCGGATACTGATCTATTGATTGCCCTCTAGGGAGAAGGTGGACTGAATATCCCAACCGAACTCTCGCCCGTCAAGGTGAGCGAGGCCGCGCAGCAACCTCGAACAAGTTTCGCATCAATGATGGGTAGCCTCGGACGCCGTCGTTGATCTACTGTTCGGCCTTGGGTCGTCATGTCCTCGCTGTGCACAAGTTTCTTACAACTTCTCCATAGACATGGTGATGTACGACTATAGGGAGAGATCCAGAAGCAAGGCATATCTATATCATCATCACGCAAGTTTTGCGCAGGCTTCTGACCGCGAAGAGCTGCAGGTATCTTCATTGGGCGTGGCGAAAAAACCGCGGCCGTAGAGGAAACGCGCCTCCGCTCCCGTGATCCTTCTGCATTGTTACATGGTATGTTCGTCGTCGAGGGCCGCCGGATAGTCGGTGTTTGCGAAAGGCCGCAGCTATACTCAACCAAAGACGCACGTGGCTGTAATGCACGTGGGGCCTAGGCTCGCAATTGACTACGACGAGTCTGCCCATAGGAACGTACGCAGCACCCAGGCCGCATTCGAACCGCCCGCAGTTCGGGTTCGGATGCAGCCTGAGGACTGCGGATTGAAGGTGCCGCCAGGAGAGCCGACACGGCCACGGTTGCAATCTCGACCAAAGACTGGTGAGTGTCTCCGCGCCCCCACATCCGAAGTCCCTAAGGAGCCCGGAGCGGATAGAACGCAGAACACGCCGTATTCTTCAACCCGCTCCGACCTCCTTAGAGGCTCAACGTACAGGAGCTCGATAGGTCCCCAGAGCAGTATAAAGGTAGGGACATATCGCCCCCAACCTACATTCTCCACAGCCTTCATCTTTCACACATTATCTCTTCTACACTTGCTTCTCTACTTCCACATCTATCTCTCCCTTCGCTTCTTCCAAACCCTCCTCCAAATTCTCAGCGCAGTGTGCTATCGGTCCATCAACTTAACTACGTCTCTCTCCGCTCATTCAGGTATGTTACTCCAGGCTGCTTCTCCAACATGCGCATTTACTGACGACCTGCTTGCTCTTCCAGTACAAACATGTCGTCCACTCCTGCAACTTGCTCTTCGTCCGCCCCCGCCGGCCCCGTCGTCACTCGAGCCCACGCCATTGCCTCCCTCGCCTCCAACCCGAGCCACCGCCCAAACAAGCACCAGCTCCTCGCAATCCTCAGCAGCGCCGGGTCCCGCATCCACCACCGCCACATCCGCCAGGGCGTCGCGCACGGCGGCCGACAGATCCCCATGCCCCGCCCTATCGTGCGGCGGATGCCCGTCCACGAACCGCGCTCCATGCCCGCGCTCCCCCCGCGCTCTCCCACGCTGGGGGTCGAAGAGAACCCCGCTCCTGCGGACGTGGAGGACCAGGAAGCGGTCGCCGAGAGCCCGCAGTCGGTATGGGCGGACGACGAGGCGGGCAATGATGCCGACATCGAGTCCAACTGTGGTGACGACTCGGAGGACCACAGCGACAGCGACAACGAAAACGGCGGCGACGACGACAAACACGACGACGCCGTCGTCTGCAGCGCCAGCGACGAGGACGTGCCCATCCACCGCGACGCGGCCCGCGAGATCCTCCGGGAGGCCCTCGAGGTCCTCATGAACTTCATCTCCACCCACCTGGAAGATTCAGAGGCGACGGAGTCGACGGAGTCGAAGGCGTCGGCTTGGACGTGGGACGGCCCGTCGGAGGAGGACGAGGTGGTGGACCGGGCCCGCACCCGCCCCGCGCCGTTCCGCCGCACGCCTGGCGCACCCGCGGCCGACACGAGCCCGCACTTCTTCCTGCCCTCGGGCGTGCTCTCGCCCATTTCCCCCAAGATCCACACGCCGTTTTTGGTCCCCGCGTGGGCGAGCCTTGCTGCCGCAGCTGCCCGTGAGGCCGAGGCCGAGGAGGACCGCGAGATCATTGGGCTAGGGTTCTCGGGTTTCGACTATACGTCTGAGGAACCCTCGAGCATTTCCGAGGAGCCCTCGAGCGTTTCTGAGGATCCCTCGACCAATTCCGAGGATGTATTTGGTGATTCAGATTGATATGATTTCCGCCACACATACAAAACGGATGTTGTACTTTACTGTGTTGCTTAGCTTGTTTTACTGTACGAACCATAAATAGATGCCGCATGCTTTCCACAACTATAGACCTATAACGAGCTATATTGCTGTCTTCCAAGTGTGATACCGGCGTGAAATCCATCCCGACGATGGGAGGATGAGCCGCCCGTTCGGACGTCGCGAGGCGCCGAGCGCTGTGCTCGTGGCTCGGCGTCTGCTGTGCGAAGTGACGTCAGGCGAGGTCAGCGCCCAAGCCCCAGTCTCAAAAGCACCTGCGAAGCCCGACCAGCACCCACACCACACCTCTGCCCACCTCCTTCTGCCAAGCCTTGCTCCCTCTCTTCTCTTTCTTGGCCGCCTCCCATGTCCAACCTCGCGATCACCGCCGGCCGCAAGGTCTTTGAGCGCAACTTGAAGAACTATACCCCCACAGACCCGCTATACGAGACCTACACAGACAAGAAGGGTCGCCAGAAGCGGCGCACCGTACGTGTTTTTTACCCTCTCGTGATCCCCGTATGTCTATAATCCAACCGTCCGACCAGCGCGCTACACCTCCCGGTTTGTCCAAGCGCGATGCGAAGATCCTGCGCTCCGTCCAGCGGCGTGCGCACTACCTGGACAAAGGGTTCAATATATGCGGCATGCGGTTCGGGTGGACGTTCATCATCGGTGCGTGCTTTTCCTCCCCCGCATCTGGCGAAGGCCTTACCGTCTCATGAAGGCATCATTCCCGGCGCGGGCGACATCGCGGACGCGTCGCTCAACTACTTCCTCGTCGTTCGCAAGGCGCGACAAGCAGAGTGCGTCCCGCTCCTCCCTTTCTCTCCCGCGCCTCGTTTCTCACTGACGCCACCCATCGCCCGCGCCCTCTTTCCTAAATGCCTCTTCCTAAATATATACAACGCTACGCCCACGCGCAGGATCCCGAGCTGGCTCCTCCGCCAGATGCTGCTCAACAACGCCGTCTCCGCCGCGGTCGGTCTCATCCCCTTCGTCGGCGATATCGTCCTCGCCACCTACAAGGCCAACTCGCGCAACGCCGCCCTCCTCGAGGAGTTCCTCCGTATCCGCGGCGACGAGTTCCTCAGGTCGACTCCGCCCGGGCCGAGGACCCAGGCACGGTCCGTCCTGGCGCCGGCCGCGAGGCCGACGAGGTCGTGCCGGGCAAGAAGCCCGAGCGCGGGCTCACCAACTGGTTGCGGCGCGGCAGTAAGGGCGGGAGCAAGAAGGAGAAGGGTGCGGCGGCGGACCCACCACCGACTAAACCTTCGGCTGACCGGGGACGGTTCGTGGAGGACGTCCCTGCGAGCAGTGCCTCGGAGCCGGCGAGCAAGACCAAGTAGGCGAGGAGTGAGAAGAGACAAAGCACTGACCGCACCATGTGGGTGCGGCGCTGAGGGGCTTTGGAAGATACGATTGTGTTCTGTTAGTGCGTATACCCTGTTTGCTCCCACTCTTTTGATTACCCATTTGCCATGTATTCTGCTCTTCACGCTTGAGATGATGTCGCGTATATAGTACACTGGACGATGGCTCTCTAGCGGATTGATTGGCTGAAACTGTAGAATTATATTCGTAGACAATATCCGGGATCTATGTGTGTTTCATACAGTACAATGAACAAAGCAATATAGCACAGCACATTACAACGTCCGTGTCGTAACAGTCCAGTTGCGTGTCCAAGATGGGCTCAGGCCTCGCTGAAGAAACCCCCAGCCACAAAGCAGAACGCCGGGAACCCGAGCCCAATGACCTCGCGCTCCACCACCTCCTCGACCTCGGCCTCAAGCTCGGCGATCACGCTGGGAGGCCGCGCCCACGCAGGGACCGGGATCGGCGCGTAGATCTTCGGGGACACGAGCGAGAGCAGGAACGAGTGCGAGCCCCTGGGGGCACCAGGCGTGCGGCGGAACGACGCGGGCAGCGTCCGCGCCGCCCGGCCCAGCACCTCGTCGTCCTTCGATGGGCCGTCCCAAATCGGTGGGGTGCGGATGGCCGCGGTCGTGGTCGTGGTGGCGGCGTGGTTCGTCCTCGGCTCGATCTCCTCCGTCTCCTCCTCCTCCAGGGTGGAGATGAAGTGGGTCATGGCCTCGAGGGTCTGCTGGAAGATCTCGCGGGCCGCGTAGCGGTGGATGGGCACGTCCTCGTCCTCGCCGACGCCGCAGACGATGGTGTCGTCGTGTTCGTCATCGGTGTCGTCGTTGTCGTTGTCGTGTTCGACGTCCTTGCCGACGCTGTAGACGATGATATCGTTGTACTCGTCGCTGGCGGCAGCTGCGGCGGCCTCGCTGTCGTCGCTATCGTCGAGGTCCTCTTCCTCAGGCTCGTCGTCGTCAAAGTCGGACTCCGTGTCCGCATCGTTCCCCGCCTCCTCGTCCTCGTCGTCCGCCCAGACCGACTGCGGGCTCTCGGCGACCCACCCCTGTTCCTCCACTTGGGGGGACGCGGAGGACCGGGGGAGACTGGAGGTGATCCGCCGGGCGTTGGTGGGGCGGAGGAGGGAGGGCCGCTGACCGGCGTGGTCGGCGATCCCGCGGAGGAGGCGGAGGCGCGCGCGGACGTCGGCGCACTGGAAGAGCGCGCGGAGCGCATTCTTGTTCAGGCCGCGGTTCGGGGAGGCGGAGGCGGAGGAGTTGGTAGAGGACTCGGAGACGAGTAGGCCAACCAGGGTGGGGGAAGGGGAGGGGGACGAGAAGGAGGGAGTGGACGACATGGCGGTCGGCTGGAAGAGTACGCAGGGTGTCAGCATATGCGCATGCCGAGATGAGCACAGCGAAACATACCTGAAAGGGTCAAGAGATGTGCTTGAAGGTGATTAAGTAGTGGCGTCCTGCGCTATAAATGATGGAAGAAGTTGAAGATAGAAGTAGGTTTTGAAGAAAGAAGTATGTGTAGAAGAGCGAACGTGTAGAAGATAAAAGTTGTGAGGATGGAGATTGAGGGCGAAATGTCCCTGCCTTTATACTGCTCCGGGGACATTTCGAACCCCTGTACGCCGGACGCTAAGGAGGTCGGAACGGGGTCAAAAGACGGCATGTTTCGCGCTGTACCCGCGCCCCGCGCCCTAGGGACTTCGGATGTGAGGGAGAGGGGGTGGCACTCACCACCTTCGGCCAGCATTGGAATCGCCTCCTCGCTGAATGCGCACCCCTCAGGCTACATCCGAACCGTCCGCAGTCGCGGTTCGGACACGGGCTGGAAACTGCGGACCATCTGTATCTGTTCCCAGATGCTTGCCGCACCCTATTCTGTCTGGAGCGCACATTGCGGGATGTCATGCTAGCGACATACTCCGCCCGCTATCACAAGAATTATAACCCAATTCATTTCCAATCACCACGGACGACGTAAGTACACACCTTGAAACCCGGCATTCACATCGTTGAGGACCATGAGTCTTCGATATGTTTCGGGATCGCGAATATCGCGTGTCCACTGCTCGAGTGTTTTTGCCTCGAATCCAGAATATCGGAACTTCATACTCCTGTTCATTAAATTCAAGATGAGAATGAGTCCAATGGCTTGCCATTCCGCTCACCTTGCGGTCTGTAGTACGTGAGCGCAACAGCGCTAGGCATAGGCCCGAGGTGCTGCAGAAAAAGTTACGTCGGAAACAACCAACGGCGGCCTGGGCGAATGTTATGGATCGATAGAAATTTGCGACGCAGGCCCCGGCGCGGCGAGGGGAAAAGAGGAAGTCTAATTGTGATGCTCAGACTATCATACAACGACCCACAACAAACCACCCGCCTACCCCAGGTTATAGAGTAGAAGCACATAATAGATCCAAAGCGTCTTTACGACGCCTGGGGACTCTCGATCTACGCAGCCCTCGCATCCGCGTCGACGCCCTTCTCGACGTGGGAAGAGCTCTCGCTCACCGCGTCCGCGTCCTCGCTCGTGATCGCCTCCTCGATGAACGTCTCCTCCGCCGGCCACACCAACGAGAGAACCGAGTACACGACCAGCGAGACGAAGAACTAGCGCACCACGTGAGCATGCCACCCGAGGAAGAACGCGTCGCACACGTACCCCAAACAGCCACGCGAAGCTGAAGACCTTCGTCGCCCCGCCCACCGCGATCTTCGGGTTGATCGAGTTGATGAGCCCGGGCAGGTTCGGCGGGACGGAGACGAGGATCGTGACGACCGCCCGCCAGTTGAAGCCGCCCGTGTACCGGTACCGGCCGTGGGGGCGGTACATCGACGGCACGTCCACCTTGCCCTTGTGCACGATCCAGTACTGTGTGCGGGACCGTCAGCGAAGCCGGGCGCACGAGGGGACCGCGCGCGCGCTCACGTCCGCCACCATGATCCCCGCGAAGGGCCCGAGGAAGACCTTGTAGCCGCTCATGAACGACAGGAAGCCGGACGCGCTCGCGAGGATCTCCCAGGGCGCGAGGGCCCAGCCGCCGAGGATCGCGCAGAGGACCTGGCCGCGCCGGATGTCGATGTAGCGCGGGAAGAGGACGGTCATGTCGTTCGCGGCCGAGAGCGAGTTCGCGGAGATGTTCGTGCCGAGGGTGGCGAGGAGGAAGGAGGACGCGGCGAAGAAGGCCGCCGCGCGGTTGTCCCATTCGTTGATCAGCGTGAGCGGGTCCCAGAGCACCTTCCCGTAGAGCACCATGCCGGCGGAGGTGACCGCGATGCCGGTGAACCCGATGAGCGTGAACATGACGGGGATGATGATGAGCTGGACGTATTGCCTGCGACACGTGTTCAGAACATCGCATCGCCGTTCGCAGAACTACGATCACTTACGCTTTCTCGTTCTTCGCGTAACGCGTAAAGTCGGGGATGTTGACCGCGAGCGTCGAGTAGATTCCGAGGGCGCTGTTGAGCGCATTCAGCCATGCGTACGACAGCGCGCTGCCCGACAGCGACGAGTGCTGGTCGAACAGGCCCTTGTTCGCCGGGACTTTGACAAACGCCCAGATAAGCATGGCGAGCCATGCGGGGGGGACGATGAAGACCTTCACAACGAAGAGCCATCGAATCTTCTGCGGCGAGATGAGCATGAAAGGAAATTGGATGAGCCAGTACAAGAAGTAGCACATCATTCCTGTTCGCTGCGTTAACTCCGCGTAGTATGACATCAGTATAGAGCTCGACTCACCTGCAGTCGTGATGTTCGCATTCTCAGGTAAGTGGTTCGGCAACCGAGCGAGAGACGGCCAGATCGCCTTCAACATCTATCGCAGCTCGTCGTTAATACAACATAGCCATACTTTCAACTGGACACTGCACGCACCTGGTACACACACTCCGAGCCGGTGTAGGTTTGGATGCCGAACCAGAACATGGACAGGATGACACGCGAGATGACGCTGAAGTAGCTGAACCAGAACCCGAACGAGGACCGATTGAGGACCGGAAAACCGACGTGCAACCGTGCTCCGATAGTGCCGTTGAGGACCATCACCACCGAGATGATTATGTGCCCGACCGCAATCGCGGGCAGCGCCTGACGCCTGCGCAGACATCTAAGTCAGCACTCCTGATGCAGCTAGCTCGTGACCACGCAGAGTCTCCCCAGGAAAGAGGTGAGGAAAGGGGGGGCCAGTATTCTTGGCACGGGAGACGGAACGGAACGGGCACGCACCATGACAGCCCGATAGCGAGCATGCTCGACGCGAGCTCCCACACCGCCGAGTTCGTGGCGTCCGAGACCCAGTACGCGACGTAGTTGAAGGTGGACCACGTCCGCTGCGATCCGCGCACGGCCAGTCAACCCCTCGCGCGAGAAACGGAACACGCACGGACGCACCTTCTGGGGCGGAACGGGGTCCATGTCCTTGTTCGACCACTTCGAGCTTGGCGCGAACGTCGAGGACTCTGGCTCGAGTGCCCACGCCGACGGGCGCGCGTACGCGGACAGTTTCTCGATCGCGGAGGTCATCCTGTGCTTCCCTCGCAGGCGTTCACGGGCGGACCGGGGAGGGCGAGCGGGTAGGAGGAGGGTCGGAAGACGCTCTGTCACGGTTGAAGCATTTCGTCTGATTTATAGGAGCCGGTAACGTTATCGGGGCGCGACGAAGATGGAGCGTGGTGGGAGGGAGCAAAGCGGCATTTGCTGGAGATTGCAGGCGCGCGAGGCCCTCAGCTAGCGATAAGCTTCGGCCTGATAGCAGCTCTGAGACCGTGTTGAAACCGTTGGGTCCGTACTCCCTATCTCGACATGTACACGCTAGTACTGCTACTACCTTCTACCGGCTCCTGGCTGAATGTTCACTCAATATCCAAGTACGATGCTTAGACGCATCCCGATAAATGGCGTCGGAATCGCAAAGCCGAAACGAAGAAACAAGACTCGGATTTTAAAATACAACATACACATCTATTGAACAGTACAGATTCTGAGAGAGAGCGCCAAGTTCCGCTAGTACACCATCCATGAATTCAACAACCCACCAGTGAAACTCGGCGCAGTCAATCGCTGGACGCAGGCCGGCGGCCTCGCCCCTAGATCCCCGGAGTCCAGATATGTAGCCTCATTGCTCAACCCACAGACGATATACCATGCGCCACACCATCATCTACAGCGACGCGCCGCCGCAAGTCTTGATCGTCTGGCCGGTGATGTACTCGCCCTCCTCCGAGACGAGGAAGGAGACGAGCTTCGCGACGTCCTCGGGCTCCTGGATGCGCCCAAGCTTGATCTCCTTCTTCACGCGCTGCGCCTTGGCCTCTCCAACCGAGATGCCCTCCTGTGGACGGATACATGCACCTGAGCGTCAGGATCATGCACACAAGCGGGCGACTCACGATGCGCGCCAGCTCGCGGTCGATGTGGTCCCACATCGGGGTGTCGACGATCCCAGGGCCGTACGCTGGCCGACGATGAGCACCCAAGCGAACGCGAGCACGCACGGCCACGCACCGTTCACGCGGATGTCGTACTGCGCCCACTCCTTCGCCGCGGCCTCGGTGAACCCGCGCACGGCGAACTTGGTGCCGCCGTACGGCCCGAGGTTCTCCGCGGTGCGGTACGACGCGATCGAGCCCGCGCCGAGGATGCGCCCGCCGGTGCCCTGCTTGACCATCTGCTTCGCGGCGAAGATGTGCGTGTTCATGAGCCCGAGCAGGTTGATCCGAACCTCGTTCTCGATCCACCTGCGCAGCAGCGTCACGTCAGCTCCCCTACGCGACGCCCGGCGGGGGGGGGGGGGGGGGACGTACTCCGGCGTGCACTCGAGCAGCGGCTTGACCTGGGTGACCCCCGCGTTCGCGACGCTCACGTACAGCCGCGGCCCGAGCTTCTCCACCGTCTCCGCGATGGCCGCCTCGATCTGCTTCGGCTCGCGCACGTCTGGAGGGGTCGCGCGCGCGCGCAGTCAGGCCAAGTCCAGCACCAGCGAGGCAGAGGGCAGCGTGCTCACCCGCCTGCACGCTGATCGCGTCGCGCCCGAGCGCCTTGATCTCCGCGACGACCTCGTCCACCTTCTGCTGCGCGGGGGGATGTCCGCGATCGCGACGTCGTACCCGTCGCGCGCGAGGCGCGTCGCGATCGCGCGGCCGATGCCCTGGCCGGCGCCGGTGACGAACGCGATGCGGTTCAGCGAGGCCTTGATGGGGGCGACGACCGACATTCTTTTTGCAGAGCGGGTTCGGCGGGAGAGCTGGGAGGAGAGTCGGGAGGTGGAGGCCGGGGGTGGGGAGGCTGGTGTTGGATACGACCCCCCGGCCAAGCCTCGGACCCGTCTTTTAACGGCGTGGGGGCGACGGACGTGCGCGGGCCGCCATCATACGGAAGAGGGTAGCGAGGGACGATCTGCGCAGGCGGACCGGGAGGCAGGGACACGGTGCGGTCATGGGATGGACGACTCGCATGCGGGAAACCTCGCTCTCGGCGCAACGGTGCGGGCACCGGTAACGCGTCGCGTCGTGTCACTGTCATGTGATGAGAGGACTGGGGACTTCTCCGGAGTCACAAGCATATCGTCCAGAGCTCGATTGGGAACAGAAGCGGATCAGATATCTGGCATAGCAAAATGGGCGTGCCACTCACCATGTTTCCTCATCCTATACTTGTCAGACAGTATATCGTCAAAGCCACGCAAGGGCACTCAAGTCTCACATGCACAGACACCGAACGTGCTCGAGCACGCACCTGATTCGCCTGCGACAACGCGCTGCCCGGGTCAACGTTCACACCTGCACGCGCCCATTAGTCAACAGTATGCTTTCGATTGTGTTCACAGAAACAACAACGGCCCGCACGCGCCAGCGCACGGGGGTCCTCTTCACTACAGCACAGTGAAGAAAACGCTAAACATCAAGCGGCAGGTTCAGAGTCGAGAGAGACAGAGAGGGCGGAAGTGTATCTACACTATCTTGCGAGCTGACAGCGCTCTCGCGCCCACGACGCGCACCCTGGCGCGTCGGTCCCATGGCGGGCGCGCGCTGCAGCCGGTAACATGTCGCAGAGGCGGCATCGGGGGACCAGCATGGGAGCAAACGGGGTGGGGGGCGAAGGGAAAGCGGGAGGGGAACAACGAGCGGGAGATCTAAAGAGCGAAATTCCGAGCCGGGGGGATTTACGTGTAAGAGCATGTACGGCGATAACGAAGGCGTACGGGACCCGGCCGCGCACGTGGGTATGGTCATGCAGAGCGCATTGCGCGCGACTGCCAGGGCTACAGGCGATGCGCGCGGCTTAGTGGTGGCCAGCGAAGTGGCGCGCGTGCTTCTTCGCGAGGTCACGCTTCCGGGCGTCGGACGAGCGGCGGCGGCTGTGCGAGAGACAGTTAGCTGAATGAAGACAGGAGGCCTGGACTAGGACGAACCAGCTCGCCGTCGCGGACGTGGATGCGGCCTCGGAGGAGGTAGATGCCACTTTCACATCGCCGGCTTGCGTAGAAGCAGCTTCAGTAGTGGTAGTAGCCTTCGTAGAAGCAGCCTCAGCCGTGGTGGTAGCCTTCGTAGAAGTAGCCTCAGCCGTGGTGGCAGCCTTGGTAGTCGTCGCAGCTTCGGTGGTGGTAGCAGCCTTAGCTGTTGTCGCAGCCGTCGAGGTAGCAGCGTTAGTCGAAGAAGCAGTCTTCGAGACGCCGAACGAGGCAAGAGAGGCAATCACGCCATTCTCGAAGATGTCAGTCTGAGGGCCATCAGAGAAACCGTAGAGGTCGTTGTAGTAGGGCGCGTGGTAGGTGTCCTCGAACATCTAAATGGATGCAATGTCAATGGCGAACGAGAACTAGTATGTGCGGCGCGACTAACGTTGTTGCCATCCTTCTGGTACCAGTACATGGCAGTCTTCGCACCGACGGTACAGTTGCCTGGGTTGGCTGTGGCTAGGGTCTCGCTGGGATCGCTACCGCAGCGACGGGGAACAGCGGGGGTGCCAAGAGCCTTGGTGCCAACATCGCCGGTCACCTTGCACCTGAAGGCGTTCTGGTAGACTAAGATAAGTTTGCGTTAGTACCGTACCAACGAAGTAGGCGGTTTAAAAACCAACTCTGCTCAGAACCGCTGTCGATCTGTAGTCACACCAGTCAGGACATACAGAGATCAGGATTTTGAATCAGACTGACCGAGTGAATCCAGTTGAAGGTGCAGAGACAGCCACCATCCGGGCAGGCAGGCAGCTGGGGGACTTCGAACTCGGTGTTGAGCGTCCAAACACATTTGTGGTTGACGGAGAAGACGACGAGATCGTCAGGCTTGAGGTCGTTTACATCGGACTTGTACGCGATGGCGAGGGCACAGCCCTTGACGTCGTCCTCGCCGGTGGTGTGGAAAGCAGATGTTTGGGCACCGGGGCAGGGAGAATTGCTCCCGTACCCAACGTTGCCGCTATTGTGTACGGTTTCAGAGTGGGCTGGGCAATTGGACGATGGAAGCAACTCACCCCTGAGAGGAGGCATACCAGCTAGTAGCACCCTTATCACAGGAGAGCTCGGTGTTGACACGACCGTTGGCGGGGAGCTCGAAGAAAGCGCCTGCATCAGGAGGGTAATCCTTGTGGCCGTGCTAAAGGTTCTGAGGTGGGCAACTGCGCAGGAGGAAGGGAAGAACGGGCGCTTACAAGCCACCACTGGTCGTAGGTCATGCTGTACAACGGAACCTGGGGACGATTGTCATAGCTGAAGGTGTTGTCGGTGACATTGAACCCGAACATAGAGTTGTGCCAGAACGCTAAGGAAGAGACTGAGACGGGTGATGCGGGCTCGGAGGGTGCGGAGGGACGAACCGACGTGGGCGTTCGCGACCGGGGCAAGGGTGGCGAGAGCGGCGAGGACGGGGATGGCAGACAACATGGCGGGCTCGGAGGAAGGAGCGTCGGTTGACTAAGGAGTGTGGTGGGCCGCGAGGTAGCGGGGGAAGCGAGGGGGAGGAGGGGAGGACGAGGGAGGGGGCGCCGAAGGGCGGAGACGGGATGGTTGTGCGCGCAATGGTGGAGTGGAGAAATATAAAGCGTCAGCGCGATCCGTGATGGAGTGCGCCACCACCAAACTCGAAGGCGGCATCCTTCGCCGAGACTCGAGATCTGGCTGCCGCCATGGGAACAACCGCGCCTCGATTTCTTCTCCGAGGCTCCGACTCCGTCCCGGGCTATCGCTCGCTGCACTTTCCACGCCTTCTTTGATGCGAGCACCTCCACTCGCACGACGGCCACCGCTTGCGACCATGCGCGCGTGGAGGCAGGTGGAGGCGTGCCGCGGCCATCGTAGCCGGGCGCACGTCGGGATTCGCGTACAGACCCCGCCAATAGCTGTCGGATGATTGGGCTCGACGCCTCCAAACCGCATAAAACTTCCCGGTGTGTCCTTCCATCCGCTACGAGACTCACGGAGTCCGCTCTCAGCCCGCCTCGACCCCGCTTCGCTGCATGAGAAGAAATCTGGCCCTATGGGCGCGGGCCTTCTGCGACGAACCCGCGGTAATTGTGCACGATTTCAGAAGTCATGATGCATGAAGGTGAAGCTTTGAAGCGATGAAGTCGGCTCCATTGGCACGCGTTCCTGAGCGCTGAGCCCCGTCATAGGCACCCTCGTTTCCGCTTGACGTGTCCCTCGCTCCGCCTTCACGACAGCAGTCGTTGCTGCTCATTTCGGCGGGTCCGAGAGTGAAGGAGAATAAGTCTCAGGAACCCGGCCACATTAATGCGATCATCACACGCTCGGCAACGGAGAATTAATCGCTCGAGAATCGCTCCGCTTGTCAACCGACCTCCGACCTCCAAGCCTTTCCTCTTGACGTGGGCCCGCGTAACTGGTCGCTGTAGGTTACCCGTCAGTACTTCAGTACTTCAGCCCTGAGGTCAGAGGTTGTGGTCTGGCCAGGCCCCAGGGGTTCCAGATTCAGTCAGGATCGTCACCAACCTGATGAGATGCAACCCCGGCTTTTGATACATACTTAGGCCTCGGTGTTGTAAATGGAGGTCTCAAGAATTGAGCTTTCTGGGGATGGACGGTCTATTCAAGGCGAACGCATTCGAAAGGGAGCGAGCAATAACCCTAATAAAGGGTTTCTGCCGTGATCCGGGCCGAAATGGTTTCCTTTTACAAATACGAGGAGAGGGCGAATGGGGGCGAATCCAACCCTTCCTCCATCAACGCTCTCCTTCAATATTTTACATACGTTCAAATTCGGTCCCCCTCCCCAAATCCAAACTTCGGTGCGCTAAATCCACAATTCTGCCACTCCCGCCGCGTCCTCTTCCTCTTTCTCCTCGCCTGCTCCCCGTCGCTCACCACACACGATGCCACGCAGACCTCCTTCGCTGGCAACGCCCCCACCATGGCCGACGCGAGCTCAATGCACAGTCTCTCCAGCACCCTTGGTACTCAGCCTATGAGTAGTCCACCGAACGGCGACCCACAGCAGCATGCCCAGCACCCGCATATAGCCAACCCGGCCGACCTCAATCACCACGGCATGCCTCTGATGGGTCCCCCGCAGCCTCCCCAACAGCCTGGCGTCGAGGGTGCCCCTCCGGGAGTCCCCGAACAACCCGTCAAGCGAAAGCCCGGTCGTCCAAAAGGTAGCGGCAAAAAACCGGTCGACCCGAACGCGCCGCCAAAGATCAAGAGGCCCGTAGGACGCCCACGTAAAGACGGTCTGCCCGCAGGTTCAGTTGGTCCTCGCCGTCCCAGCCGTCCCCGGAAGCGTCCTCCGGGGTCATTTGCCAGCGGTCCTCAGACGTCGCCAACGGGCACGTACCCATATGCCGTGAGTACCTTCTTCAACGTCTTTGTCTTGCGATTCCCAACCCGGTCCCCCGCCCACCAGACTCCATTCGCGGTCGCAGACCCCGCGTGGGGCTCGGCTTCAGCCCCCCCTATGGCCGTGCGTCCTGGCCGCCCAGCCGTCTTCCCAATCGACCCATCTCTACACGTGGACGACTGGGGCGAGATGTCGCGGACGCGACCCGACCGGTTTTTGCACGCGCTCGTGCAGGCTCTCGAGGCCCCTAACCCCGTCTCAGGGGCCGGCCCAAGCGTCGAGGAGGCGTTCAAGTCTCACCTGATCTCGCTCGCGCCGAACAGCAAGAACGCCGCGCCGTCGATCCCGTCGCTCTACTCCATCCTCAAGACGTTCTGGCTTCCGTCGTCGCCCGTCTACTTCTCCCTCACCGCCTCCGCGTCGACCGCGCGGATCCCCTCCGAGCACCGCTTCGTCTACTGGGACCCGCAGCCGCTGGTGTTCAACGGGATCGGGTGCCCAGTGTGCGCGTTGCCGCTGGCCAACCGCGGTCGCATCTCGTCGGGGCCGATCAAGGTGTACGACCTCGGCAAGCCGTTCTTTGTGATTGGCTGCGAGTACGTGTGCACGAGCCCGGCATGCATGGCGCAGACGGGGAACCAAGGCCGCAAGTACGCTAGCACGGACGCGACGGTCCTGCGCGCGCTGCCCATCAAGCTGAAGGACGAGTTCCCGGCGTTGCTGCTGCAGGGGAACCCCGACCTGGGCAGCGGCCCGGAGATCTGGAACTGGCAGGGGATGGGCGTGTCGACGTCGCTGTGGAACATGGTGCGCGCGAGCGTCCGCGCGGGGCTGCGGAAGGAGGCCATCCTCGACATTGTGCGCGCGATCCAGGTCGGGGTGCCCGACTTTGACTACACTTCGATGTCGTTCAAGCACGAGGAGGAGGAGCCGGACCAGGGGATGGACGACGAGGACGATGAGCAACATGACTCTCAGCAGGTGGAAGGAGATTTGAACGCAGACAAGGATGTGAGCATCTAGTCTCCTCGTCGCAATATCCCCTCTGACCCTCGTCTCCCGTTGAAGCAATCTACCGAGGAGTTCCAGGACGCGTGGAACGCGAACAGTGGAGTTCCGGACGGCGACGGCGCGGGACCGTCGCAGATGCCTGAAGCAGGCCCCAGCGACTCGCAGGAACACCACTCCCCCAACGGACACCACAGCGCCAGCGCCGGTCCCCCGCCCCCGCCCCAGTCCCAGCCACCTCCGTCACAACCGCCGCCGGTCGCTCCGCCTCCGCAGTCCCAGCCGCAGCCGCACCCTCCTCCCCACTACGCCTTTGCGCCCCCACCCCCTCAGGCGCCGTACCCGGCGTACCCGTACCCGTACCCGTACCCGCAGTGGTCGCAGCCCCCGGAGCCGCAGGCCCCCGCGACGCTGAAGCGCACGTTCTCCATCGTCGACGGCACGCCGGACCCCGGGCTGTCGGAGCCGCTGCACAAGCGCGTGCGTCACTGCTGCAAGTGCGGCAGCAACGAGTGCAAGGGCAAGGGCGGCCGGGCGTTCTGCAACAACCCGTGCCAGGACTGCGGCAAGATGGAGTGCAAGGGCCGGAACAGCAAGCGGCCGGACAGGACGTGCTCGGACGCGTGGCCGTAAGGGTCGGACGCCTTGTCCCGCTCGCCTCTGCTTAAATAGTTTCGGAAGGGTTTCTGGAACTGGGCTTCAGGCTTGAAACTACGAACGTTGGAATCTTGAGAACGGGCGGGGGGACCGTCACCGCCCGAGCGACACCTACTTCCTTTGTACATTCCCTTTTACCTAAGAGCTTACTGTTGTTGTGTAATCGGCGCAGAATGAATATTTGGTGCATCCGTCCGCAGCTGCAGTTATCCGACTTATCGCGGTGTAAGCGTCATCATTCGAACGCTGACAACTTTATCAGCCCGAAGTTAGCTCAGGCCTGCTCGGGCGCGCTCGGATGACGTGGGCGCTTCGAGCCTGGGTTGCGAACCTGGCACACGGAGGTACGCAGATCGATGCACGAACTCCTCCCCATGTTGACAACTACTTCGTTTGAACACGAAGCTCATTCCAGGTGATGTGGCCGTCATCGAGGCAGGCCGCCGACTCACCACTCCACCGTCCGCTATCACTTTTTAGCATCCTTCCAGCTACATCTTTTTTTTTGGGTCAAGCATTTATATCCCGCGCACTGAGTGCAGGTGCGGTACATGGGACTACATGGGTACTAAGCTGGTTGCCGCATCCAAGGGCTCTTCAAGACGCGTCGTCGCGCCACACAGTGGTATGGTCTCCGAGGTCTCATTTCTCCGGTTTGTTCGTCTCATTGTGGGGCATCCGCGAATGTCAACGTACTCCCCTCCCAGCTACATCCACAATATCATGATGACGAGCTTCAACTTACAACTCGACCGTGGAGACTAGTACCATATATAGACGCTCGAGATCGCCCCCGCGTCTGCAGCTCCAAACAGACCTCTTTCCCATGCTACTCACCTCCACTTGCTGTGTCAAATTCCTAGAAGTATGGTGATCAACACGTGTGGCCGGCAATCATATAGGGCCGTTCAATGGTATGTCGTGACCTTCCAACATAGTTTCGACTGCGCTGATGGTGCTTGATACAGGATAAAATGGCGCAGAGCCCATCCCAGCGTCCTCACGTCACCCGCCGCCCAGGGGAGGCCGTACGAGATCACGGCCAGAAGGTGTAGGTGGGTACCACTGTCACCGGTTGTGCCAACTGAATGGCGGTGTTCTTTCAAATGGTTAGAAAACCACTCTTCTCGGTCTCATCGGGCCTCGCCGCAGTCAAAGCGCAGTAGCTGCCACGCGGAAATGGATGTAGCCCGTGAGTGTTTTGCTCACTCAGTAGAATGGACCCATTCCTTATGGAGATCGAGAAAGGCGATAGACCACACATCACACGAGGCACAAGTCGTGGACGATACTTTCGACGACTTCTTGCAGGTCTATTTGAGCTTTTCGAACCCGTATAAAACGAGGCACTCGCTGCTCAGTCTCGGTGCCCCAACCTGCACAGCTCAAGTCTTAGATGCTCTTCAAACCTGCTTTCACCACCATCTGCCTCGCCCTCCTCGCGTCAGCCAGCCCCGCGCCCCAGGGCTGGTCCATCCTACGCCGCGCCGACCCGAACACGCTCGTGCCCCTGCGGTTCTCCCTCGCGCAGCGCAACCTCGACCGGCTCGACGCCTTTCTCCTCGACGTCGCCGACCCCGCGTCGCCGAACTATGGCAAGCACTGGTCCCCCGAGAAGGTCGCCTCGACGTTCCGCCCGTCCCAGCACGCCGTCGACGCCGTCCGCACCTGGCTCGCCGTCGAGAACGGCATCGCTCGCGACAGGGTGGCCGTCACCAGGCACGGCGGGACCGTCGCGCTCCTCGCCACGGTCGCGGAGGCGGAGCGGCTCCTCGGTGCGGACTTCCACGTCTACCGCCGCGCCGCGGGCGGGGCGGAACGCGTGGGCTGCCACGACGCGCACCGGCTCCCCAGACACGTCGCGGAGCACATCGACTTCGTGCACCCTACGGTTCCCACTATGGCTGGGACCGGGGGCTTGTCTTCCTCGGCTCGCTCCAAGAGGGCTCCCGATTCCGCTTCCGGGCACCTTGGCACACAGCTGGTAAGTTACGGCTGCGAATCATGCGCGGTGCACGGTGCCTTCCCGTGGCGATGCTGAGTCGGGATCCGCGCAGACGACGGCCGCGGACACCAACACCACGGCCGAATGCGACGAGAGCGTGAGTCCCGACTGCATCCGCGAGCTCTACGACTTCAACTACACGCTCGTCGCGAGCGACAAGAACAGCGCTGCGGTTTGTGCGTAGGCCTCAGTTTGGTCGGGAAACCGTTCGGTGCTGACGTCTCACATTGCGCATCCCGACTCAGTCGGACGCCAGATGGAGTTCTTCATCGACAGCGACCTCGACGAGTGGTTCGCGCTGTGGGCGCCGGAGGAGGTCGGGGCGCGGCCAAACGTGATCAGCGTCCAGGGCGGTGAGTCGACGAGGAGGCGCGTCGCGGTGCGAAGACTGAGTACCGACTCTCCGTCGCACAGGCGACAACTCCCCGGGCGATTTCGGGACCGCAGAGGCGGAGACCGACCTTGAAATGATGATGAGCCTCCTCGATACTTCGCTCACCGTGGGCATCTACCAAGTCAAACAGACCAACGACGTGCAGGATCCAAGTGAGCGCCGTCATCTACCGGTCAGATCTGCGCTGACGGGCCGCTTGAAGTCGATGTCTTCCTGGCCGCCCTCGACGGCTCCTTCTGCGACGTGGAGGGTGTGAAGGAGACAAACATCACCGACTGCGGAGGCGCGCCGCGTTCCAACGTCGTTTCCATCTCGTACTCCCTCAACCCCGACATCCAACACCCGCTGATCACTCCCGTGCTTGAGCGACAGTGCGCAGAATTCGGCAAGGTGCGGACTCGCGCGTCTCTCCCAATGTGCACCGCAGTATCTGAACCATCGTCGGACACACAGCTGAGCCTGACAGGCATGACGTTCCTCGCCTCCTCCGGGGACTCAGGCGTGGCGTGGGGCGGCGCGAGCCTCAACCTCGGCGTGTTCGAGCAAGGCTGCCTTGCGTCCAACGGCACGCTCGTCGACGACGACCCCCCGGACTCGTCCTTCGTCGGCACCTTCCCCGCGTCGTGTCCGTACATCACCGCCGTCGGCGGCACCGCGATTCCCTTCGGAAGCTCCGTACGTAGAGTCCCCCGCCAGCCCGGTGACCCTTCGCCCGTTCCGAACGCTCACGCTCACGCTCGCGCTCGCGCGCAGACGCAGGACCCCGAAGTCGCGTCGCTGTTGTTTCCCTCCGGGGGCGGCTTCTCGAACACGTTCGCGCGTCCGGCGTGGCAGGACGGCGCGGTCGCCGCCTACCTCGACGGCCGCGCCGCGCCCGCGTACCCCCCGGGCACGTTCAACCGCTCCGGGCGCGCGTTCCCGGACGTCTCCGCCAACGCGTGCGTCCCCTCCTCGTCGAGCTCTCCCGAGGCCTGACCGTCGTCTCTCTCCACCTCTCTTGCCCGCGCGCGGACAGCGGACCGACTCCGAGTCGGGACCCCAGCTCAGTCGGCCAGTTCATCGGCACCTCCGTCTCCGCGCCGCTCGTCGCCGCGCTCGTCGTCGCCGCGAACGACGCGCGGCTCGCGCTCGACAAGGGCCCCGTCGGGTTCATCAACCCCGCCGTTCGTCCCCATCCCCCCGCGCACTGTCCGTCCGTCGCTGACCCCCAATCTCGGTCTTGCAGCTCTACTCGCCCGCCTTCGCCCGCGCGTTCCACGATGTCGTCTCGGGCGCGAACTCTGGCTGCGGCACCGATGGCTTCGCGGCCGCACCCGGCTGGGACCCGGTCACCGGCCTGGGCACGCCCGACTTCCCGACGCTGCTCGCCGCGTTCGTAGCCCTCCCGTGAGTGGCGCACGGAACGATGTGCGAACTGCTGCGGAAAGCGTCGAGAGGTCTGCACACGAGTCGCCCATATATAGCCCACATACGTATGTACCCTATGGCAGTAGCTGCAGAGGCTACCAATGACGGAGCGCCCAGACGCGTGACGTCATGGCACGTGCCCGCGTTCGAACTCTCCGCCACGCACGTCGCACGCGCCGCGCATTACTTAGCTCTACGAAGATACTTACAGCACTGGCATGAATACATCATCATCATCATCATCAGCACGCGCCGCGCACCCACTGCACGCAGCCTAAACCAGCTTCCGCCCGCCCGTCTTGTCAGCCTCACCGCGCCCGTTCGCACACGCCTGCGCGCACGCACGCGCGTTCGCGCTTCCGCCGTAAGCACTACGTACTACGTAGCATCAAGCGCACTGCTCTCACGCCCGACGCCCAACACGTACACGTCACGCCCAACATCGCCGACGTCGCATCTGGCACTTCGCCGCGCGTCGATTTTCCGTCGCTGGCCGCGGTCCGTCCACACGTACGCAAGCACTGTAGGCCTCGTCGCGGAAGGGCAGCACATGCAATCGCGTTCACCGCGGTGCGCGCGCGTGTGATGTTCCTCAGTCGCCGTCGCCCAGCGGGGATATGCACGTACAGAGTTACGTCGACTTTAGGCTTCGCGGACGGTCTTCCCCACCCGGATCTTGGCCTCGTGGCCCACTCGTGGCGGGAAAATATGCATTGACGCCGCGGCGCGAGGCGCGGAGATGTATTCGCTGCAGCAACGTGTGCTCTGCGAACCACCGACGTACCGGCGTGTATGGGTACGTGCGGAAGCGTGCGCGATGCTGTCAAGAGGAGCGGGCATGAACGGGTCGTGATGGAAGTAAAACGGGCCGGAACTTGGGTCGCGTGGTGGAGGGATACACAGGAAGGATCAAACGGATGTGCACAGCAGAGATGCGTTGGAGAGCGAGTGTGAGGTATGTAACCGGCAGTGGGAACACGAAAAGATGGAGTGTAAGATGGAAACATGAGGTGAGGATGCGCAGTGAGCACTTGGGAATCCGGGATGTGTTATCACAGAGCGTGGGGAAAGAGCCAAAGAGATACCTATGTGTGATGAGCCTATGCGCGACTAACCGAGTCAAAGTATGGTAGGTGACACAAAATGTTCGTTCGTATCACGACGAACGCGAGTCGGAGGAGAAAAAAGATGGTGATACACAAACGCACATACGCCAACCCCGTGGGCGCGTCTACGCGTCACGTATGCGTCGACCTTGCGTGCAGATATGTACAGAGGGGTGGAGGCGGCGGCGGCGGAGGGAGAGCGGATGATCGACAGACCGTTCGTCGAAAAGTCTTCTAACAGCTATTACCTGAGCGGGTTGAGCGTGTGTATGTCCCACGTGCAGACGAGCGAGTAACTGGGAGCGCGTCGAAAGGAGGGAATGAGGTCGGTGCGGGCGAATGGGGTCGGTCTGGCGCGGTAGGATAGATATGTCGTGTCGAAAGTCCTCGCCCTGAGGATATTTATCGTGGGTGGAGTGGGGGTCGCCGGGCCCAAACCGTCAAAGCCGTGTCCCTCGACAAACTACGGGTTGACGGTCTGCGACGACTTCATCTTGACGAGCTGCTCGTAGCTGCCCAGCCCCTGCGGAAGCTGTCCCAGTGCGAGCGTATTCCGCTTCCACCTGTCCGCGCGCAACGGCTCCCTGGACGCCTTCTCCAACGAGTCCGTCAAGACGGTAAGGGTCACCCCTCGCCCCCGAGCCTGTGCGTCCTCCTGCTCCGCCGCGACTGCATCTGGGTCTGTACGGTTCATCTGCCGCCTCTTGGCGAGCCCCGGGGGCATGGGCGGGTCCTTCGCGGGGTACTTGGGCGAGAAGCTGCGCTTGTGGGCCTTGGCCTTTGGCGGCACGGGTGGGTCAGACGACGCGAGGGGCAGCGGGGGCGGGAGTGGGTGCGTGAACGCAGACAGCGCGGAGGCGTATGCAGGAGGCCTGGGTGGGGAGCCCTTGTCTATAACCAGTGCGGGATGGGCGCGCGCGGAGAGGGCGGCCTCGAGGACGGCGGGCGGGAACGGGTACTCGAAGCGGGGGGAGAGGTCAAAGGGGGTGCCGATGATAGATGAGGGCGAGTGGAGGACGAGCGAGGCGAGCTCGAGGCGCGGCTTGCAAAGCGCGGGCCCCTGGGCGGACGTGGAGGGCACCTGGGCGAGGACGTACTGGCGCGATGGGTAAGTACTCACCGGGACACGAGTGGACGGGGACATACCTGGGAGACGGCGGCTCCATCGGAGGTCGGGAGAAGAAAGAGGTCGTCCGAGTCGGGGTCGGGAGTGGGGCCGTCGTAGGGGGAGGAGTCGGGGAGGTAGGAGAGGTCGACGAAGGCGTTGAGGGGTACGGCGGAGGAGGGGACGGCGGGCATCGTTGCTCTGACTCCGCACGGACTCGGCCAAGGGGACGCAGGTGGCTGGGGGAGGAGGCGGGAGAAGGCGGGGAGGCGCGGTGGACGACGGCGGAGGAAGAGAGGGTGGGAGAGTGTGGACGAAAAAGAGGGAGAAGGTTAAGAGACGCAGGGTCGGCGGCGCGGGCCAATTAGTCCACCGCTTTCTGCGCATTATCGTCGGTGGCCATCGCAGCACCGACGCGGGCTTCAGTTCGCTCGAGCGCACGACGTCATCGATCGCCTCCCCCAGCGCACCCTCGCCCGCCGGGTCCTCCCACTCGAACTCGCAGATCCCGCCCCGCGCCCACCGCGCTCGATCCCGCACTGTCCAAGGCCCGGGCTGTGACCTTCAAAGCTTCATTTTCGCCATCACCCGCGCCCACCGCGTCGATCTCTGCCCACCGAGTCCGAACCGCATCGCGCCACCTCCAAACGTCCACAACAAGCCAGCTCGGTCCGCTCGAAGTTGAAATCGCGCGCCCTCCGCGCGCCCAGTGCCATCCCGTAGCCTTGAAGCGTGCACCGGGCCCCACCACGGCCCGGCAGTCGACCGTCCCGCAGTCGAACGCACTGCGGCATGTACGTAGCACGAGCGGACTCGGAGGATCCGTCGCCCACGTCTGCTCGCCCTGGACGGCCTCGACCCCCGACCGGCCACCGGCCGTCCCTGTCGCGCATATTCCCGTCCATGGCGGATCCAGTCAGCCTCCGCTCTCCGCAGCGGTGCTCGAGACGGAGACGGGCTCTGCCGGTCGCCCGCGCCAGCTCGGGGCCCGTGCCAATACTATGACCAAGCAGTGAGGGCCGCCGCGGACGCGGATCCGAGCCGCGCAGCGATCGCGCTCGCAGGTCGCGGGGGGAGAGTGCGCCGGCCCCGCGAACGGTGTGCGTCACGATCACCCTGGGCGTGGTGACGTTGAGCGGGAGAATATGCCGAGAGCGCGACGAGTCTTGCGCGATGGCATCGACGAAAGAAATCAGGCAGAGGGGCCGCGATGGTGAGGAGGACACTTGCCGCGTGCTGGAAGCCGACGAGGAGTGCACGCGGGGCGGTGATAGGGAGTGCGTTTCGATTCAAGTGGGCCAGACGAGCTCAAGCGTACAAAGGTTCGATCTTTCCGAGCCTACCCAAGAAATCCTCTCGAAGACGAAGACAACCAACTGGTCCGTAGCGTGCGTCACATCTGTACATCCTCTCCGTCGACCTCGGCCCGGGTCCCGGCTTACTTCGGCCCGACGACGGTCGCCTTCGTCTTGAACTGGTCGAGGCTCGCGAGCGTGTCGTCGTCGAGCTGGAGGTGCGCCCTGACCATGTCCGGCGGCGTGAGCGCGAGCCACTGCGAGAGCGAGATGTCCTGGAAGCGCGCCGTGTTGAAGATCTCGAGGTAGTGCAGCGTCTCGTTCCCCGTGTTCTCCACGTAGTGCCCGAACGACGCGGGCACGAAGCCGACGTCGCCCGCCTGCGTTGGACCCGTCAGCACTTCGTTCCGCACACACGAGCACGGGCGCGGCGCACCTGGTAGTTGAACGTGCGCGCGTTGCCCTCGGACGCGAAGAGCGTCACGCGGCCCGAGCCCCCGAGGAAGTACGTCCACTCGTCCTGCGTCGGGTGCCACTGCGCGCGCGGGGGGGAAGGTGGGGGTCAGTCAGCGGGCGGACGGGCGGGCTGGAGGAAAAGCAAAAAGCGGGACGCACGTGCAGCTCGCGCATCGCGCCGGGCTCGACGGTGACCTCCGCGACGGCGATCGCCTCGGAGACGGTGAAGGTGGTCGAGTCCACGACCTTGACCGAGCCGCCGTCGAGCGCGGTCGCGTTCACCTGCGAGAGGTGGAAGACGAACGGGTTCGGGACCTGCCCCGCGGGGTCCGCCACCGGCGCGCCGTTCGTCGGCGGGGGCGCTGTGCGTGCGCCGCAGGGGTCAGCGCGTGCAGGAGGGGGCAGGACAGGAGCGAATGACACGTGCCGCTGGGGAAGATGTAGAGCTGCTCGGCGGGGATGTGGTCGAACGCGGACATGCTCGCCTTGAAGTTCTTCGCGAGCACTTCCTTCGGCACATGCGCCAGCCATTCCGTCAGCTGCCCGCACGCACCGCAGCGTTGCATCGTACACGGGGGCCGAGCACGGCAGACGCGAGCGGCACAGGTACCGAGCCGGCGATCGGGAGGCGACCACGCGGAGGGAAGCGGGGGCGTCGCAGCGGAAGCCCGAGAAGCAGAGTGGGTGGGAGGCGAAGAAAACGTGACGTCAGCGTGCGGCCGCGGGGTGCAAATAGAGCTGGTTCGCACCAGGAACGTCGCGTCTTCGCTGAAGGCGCCGTCGTTGAAAACCTGCAGGCCAGAGTGGGGGAAGCAGATCCGGTCAGCGCTGGGCCGGGAACAAACGGAAGAAAGGCGGGGAGGAGGGGTGGGGGACGTAAGACGTACGAGCAGGAACTCCGCACCGTCGGGGTCGTCGTCCGTCGCCTGCAGTGAGTGCGGGACACCAGGCGGGAAGTACCAAAGATCGCCCGCAGACTACACGACGCGGCATGAGCGCACGATAGTCGGCATGGATAGAAGTAGAAGAGCGTACCGCCGTGCCGAGATAATTCTGCCCGTCGCTGTTGATGGACGTCACCTGGACGCTGCCCTGAAGCCCCGCATGAGCCTAACCTACCCTAGCGTGCAGAATAACTTCTAGTCCTCGGACAAACCTTCAGTACGTACGACCACTGGCGCGCGCACGGACCGTCAGCTGAGGCGCAGGCCAATGTTAGCAGACGATCTCACCTCTGCCGTCTTGTGCCAGTGGAGCTCGCTGGGGGAGGTCGCGCCGTCAGCTGGCACTCACGTGCGTGCGAAGCGTCGATATGAATACCCACCGAATCGCGCCCGCCTCGAGGCGCATGTTGACACCGGCCATCGCTACCGCGGACCCGTCAGCACGCACGAAACCCACCTCCTTCGCATAGCAGGGCCCACTCACATGTGGCGAGGGGCATCACTCCGACTGGAGGGCGACGTTCACGGGTGAGCGTCCGAACTTTGACATCAGCGCACGACCGGAAACTCACCGTTCTGCTGGCGAGCCCAGCCACCAGTCTGCAGGCGGTTGTGGCTCATGGCGAACGGCCACTTCGCGTTGTTGCTGTTGCGGGACGAGACGCCGTCAGAACCGTTCCAGAAAGGGACAGATTAAGACGGGTACGTACACGCTCCCCGAGTCCGTCGTGGGTGGAGCGAGAAGGTCGGGGTTCTGGAGGGCGACGGGGACGTTCTGAGGCCCGAGGATGGAGGCACCGAGGGATCCGTGCACGGCCTCGGGGTCCGTCGTCGACGTCTCGTTCCACGCGGGGTAGTTGGGGTCGTCACTGGCGTACGGCACGGTCTCCGTCGACCCGATCGCGGTCGAGGTCGCAGAACCGGTGCTCGAGGCGGGGGCGCTCGAGGCAAGGCTGCTCGAAATCGCGGAGCTGGAGACCGCGGAAGTCGAGATAGCGGAGCTCGTGACGGCAGAGCTGGGGATCGCAGAGCTCTCCGCCACCACCGTGGAGGACACGGTGGAGGCTGCAGAGGACACCACGCTGGACGGGGGAGCGGGCGCAGCGGCCGTGCAAGTCGCCAGGAGGACAGAACAGAGGATCGCTGTGGCGAAGCGGAGCATGGCGATGTCGGGGGGCTTGTGAAGCTGAGCGGTGCGTTGGAGCGGCTGAGCTGACGTTCTGAGGTGCAGATGTGGTCCCCTTTATAGCCGGACGAGAGAGCAATGACCTCCAGAGCCGTACCGTCACGCTGGCTCTGATCCTTGACAGACTCGAGGAGAATGAATGGAGGAAACGACGGAGGAACGCGGGCTGGTCGGCCATCGGGGATGTCCCTTGTGGCTTCGCCGGCGGAAGGAGGATCGCGTCTGTGGGGTGTCACAAATGAGCGCACTCGACTCGTCTTTGCACATCGAAGCGCGTACCATCACGCTCGAGAAGAAAGTGCGGGGACGGGGATCTGGCTGGCGCCCTGTAAATGACGACACCTGTAACTATGGTTTCTCCTCTGAATGCCCACCGTAGGGCGAGCAGCCATAAAACGCTTGCGGGGAACAAAGGGTCTTCTGTGCGTTGCTCGATTTCTCGCGCGCGTGCCCACCCGAACAGGCAGCTTTGGAGACTCGAGACAGGACTACCTATCCTGATAGTTGCGGTCCAGGAAAGCTTTGTGTTGCACTTAGCACAACAAGAGTTTGGTTGAGGCGACCACGTACCTCGTTTCCCTACTAAATTTAACCCGAGACCTCGCCGATGCCGAATTCGACGCGAAAGCCGCCCGTTACGATATTCCGCGCTTAGCGTTCGATTCTTCGGCCTCCTGAGTGGAGCCCTCTACTGCAATTTTCACGCACACCCCCAAAAACCTCGTGAGTCGAGAAGAGGCGGAGAGGGAAAGGGTCGATATTGCAAGACCATTAGACGAGGACAAGGTAGAGCACGACGACGGAGATGGCCTCATTCCCGCCGACGTCCTTGTGGTAGACAATCTGAAAGTCTCGTCAGAGTTCGATGCGCATAATGATCACGTGGATGACGCACAGGGCTCCGGAAAAACCTAATATTATCGCATACCTTTCAACCAAAACTTTCAGCAGTTTGGAAACACGTCATAATCGAAGCCTCTTGGGACACGTCGTGTGTACCTGAAACTGAAACTTGGCTCGTTCACGTGGACGTAAGCTTGGGTACATACCCAGACAGGTGCTAGGTGATCCAATCCCCTTGCTTGTTATTTCGATCCATGAGAGGCTCGAAGACGGACCCGTGCGCTGCAATCGTGACACAGTGACTGCCAAACCCGAACAACACCTTGCTTATGTTCCACGCGGTCCGTGGCGTCCGCAGCGTTCAGCGGCGCACGAGACCGGCCAGAGCACGTCAACGGATCGAAGATCGTTCGGGGCCGGAGGGCCACGGGTGGTGGAGGAAGCGTTGTCGACGAGCCCGGGCCTTCTGGCGTCGGAACAAGTCGCCCGCGGGATGAACTGCAGGCGCGCCTCGGGGTCGAGATGCTCGACGGCGCCCAAGATGGATGTGCTTGGTACTTTGGGGGGCGTTCCTCGGGTGGGCGGGCTCCGGGTCTCCCCTGCAGGCAGCAGGACGGCGATGCTCGACCGCGTAGGCAAGGCCCGGGAGCGTGCGGGCGCACTTGCCATTGGCTGCGCGCTTGGAAGGGAGCACGGAGACCTAGTTGGTGAGCGGATTCGGCCTCAGAGCGCTCGAAGAGGAAGGCGACTCACGGTTATCGTTGATCGTTCCTACACATGCCGCATATACGAGCGACGTCGGGGCAGCAGGCGGAGATGCGCTGGAAGCAGGGGCTGGTAGTAGGATGACGGCGGGAAGGCAGGAAAGCGACGCAGTCCGTTGCACTTTTGAAGCGAAATTTGTCGACGACGTCCTTTCCTTCCACAAAGCGCCAAGCTCGCTTGGCAGAGGGACTGGGCGCAAGAAGTGGCGGGAGAAGAGTGCGCTGGACAGGTCGAGCCCGACGGCGGGGAGACAAGCGCCTACCAAGCGCCCGCCCCGGACGCCGCACTCAACCCACGCCCGAGCCGAGCCCGTGGTAAGGTGATGTTTGGGACATTCAGAGCCATCATGAGGCTTGTAGTCGGAGCGGCGCTGTCATCGTCGTTGCAGTTCAAACGTTCAAGCCTCATTTCGGCGCCGAATGCGTGGACGAACTCAGAACTGGTCGCGACCACAGTGGCATACACGGCGGAGACGTTGAGTACACCACATTCCGCTTTCGACCAGGCTAATACGGACCCATCGGTCGCAAGATGAACTTTTGAAGGGCTAGAGAGTACTCAGTGCGGGCCTTCCGTCTGCCTCCGAGCTCTCCCCCAGTCCCAGACGGCCCACCCGGCTCCCGGCACGACCGTTTGGTATCCTTACCGCATGCCTCTGGCACTCGCACCCGACCCGACCCTTTGGACGATGACCCGTCCGTCTGGCAACTTACCGGGTGGCGCGAGCGACGGAAAGAGTCGGGGAGCGGTGACGATGCGCGGCGTCCGCGAGCTGCCTCCTCCCTCGCTCCGACAACACGCCGCACCCGCACGAACCCGAGGCTCCCGACGCCCACATGGCGCGAAGCCTTCGAGGCGTCTTCGCGCCTTCTCTCCGCGACCCAGGTGACTGACAGCACGAACGGGAACCGTGGCGGCGCACCGCGTCCCCCACCGAGATCGTCAAAAGCGGTATAGTGCGGGGAATGCGGGGGTGGAGTACAGGCGTCGGCACTTCTTCGGTAGCATCGATATCTCCCGCGCGCGTGCACGTGCGGGCACAGATCAAGAGGTGTACGATACAAGCAGTGCGAGATCCAAGAGTGTCCAGACGGACGCGTCGCGCCCTACGCGAGAGGCGGCCGCAGAGTGTCATCGGTCATGAGGGGTCGTCGAAAGCGTCTACACGAGCGGGGCATGCGGGGTCAGGACGCGGCGGCGCACGGAAAGTGGTAATCACACGTACAGAGAAGTTCGTCAAGAATCCTCCTCCTCGGCGTCGCCCGCGTCGGACTGCCAGTTGCGCCGGGGGAGGGGCGCGCCGACGAGCATGCAGAGGACGGAGAGGGAGGTGAAGATCGCGTACACGCCGTGTCCGCCGAGCCAATCGCGTTCGGCGGAGAGCGCAAAGAGCGAGGTCGCGCCCGCGGGCGCGATCGCGCGCACGACCGACGCGGCGAGCTGGCCGACGCCGTTGGTCGCGCCGAGGGAGCTCTTGTTGGGCGCGGCGCCGGTCATGAAAATGAAGACGCAGCCTGGGTGGAACCGGGATCAGCCTCGAGAAGGAGCAACGGGGAGGTTGGAGCATACCGTAGGCCATGTCCATGATAACGGAGAGCGCAAGCTGGAGGATGACGAGGGCCCATACAGTATTTGACATGCCCTCGATCCGGGCGGTGACGTTGATGAGAGTGAATAGAGGGAAGAGGAAGATGAACATCGCCATGCCTGCCTGGAAGACGCGTTTGGCACCCCAGCGGTCGACCAATTTTGCGAAGAACATCGCTTGGAAGACTCCATCCATGACGCCGAAGGAGCCCAGGATGATGCCGATGGTTGATGGAGGGAGCCCAAGACCGCCAAACTCAACAGGGGTGGAGAAGAAGAGGGGTTGGATAGCACGGTAAGCCATCTCGAGGAGGGCTAGGCACGCGTAGTTGCAGACGGTCCAAACAACGGGAGCGGTGAGCAGAGCACGGAGAGGGACGTCGCTGGGAGCTGAAGAGGATGGTTCGGCATTGACAACTGTGGCGTCACTGGCGAACCTGACGATTTTGGGGCGGCGAGGCTGAGGTTTGACGGTCTGTTGAATAGACGATTGTCTCAATACCAGGCGGCACAGCGAGTTGGTCGTTCTTACCTCGCGTAAGAATGCAGCAGTGACACAAAAGATCACCGCAGAGAAGAGCGCCGCAACGGCGCAAGGAAGGAAATAAGGATAATACTGCCAAAACGGATTGGTGAAAACCTCAGGCCACCGGTCATGCGGCTTCGCAAGCTGTCCTCCAATAAGAGGGCTGTCGAACAGGTCACAGGACTATCGCGAGCGAAAGTAGTCTTAGACGCACCCAATCGTCCCTCCTATGGACCACATGACGGGCATCATGGCAAAGCCCTGAGCCATATTCGTCGAGTCGGTGAGATCTGCACTCAACGTCAGCGCCCGCCATCACTTAAAGGCGGAGGGCTCAAAACCTACCTGCCACCATACTCTTGATAACCCCAATGTTTCCATTCAACATACCCACGAGACACCGGCTGCGGCGACAGCCAGTTAGCGCGCGCCCCGTTCCCGCCCGCACAGATCGGAGCGTACCTGACGACCAGCCCAGTGAAGGTTTTCGAAAGCCCGAAGCACAACATGGATATGCACAGACCGCCCACGCCGGTGAGCAGCACCGGCTTGCGGCCGATGCGGTCCGATATCCGGGCCCACTGCATTATAAACATCGCCTCTGTCGCGAAGAAGAGGGATTCCTAGGGATCCCGGTGAGCACGCGGGTTCACTGTGTGCGCCTCAGAGACAACTTACGATCAGACCGGCATAGTACCCAACTTTCTTTTCGTCGCCCCCGGTGATATCGAGCTCACTGACGAGCTGCGGGAACGAGAGATGAGCTCGCGGCCATGGTCAAGGCGGAGATCACGGACGCACCTGGTTGATGAACGGATATATACAATTGGCGGTGATGGGCTCCGCGAGCTGCATGAGCAGCAGAATGAAAATCTGCATGCGCGGCAGCGGCGTCGGCGCCTTCAACCCCTTGCGCTCCGGCGAGAGCAGCGGCGTCTCCTCGTCGGACGCGTCGTGGCGGCCATCGCGAGCGCAGTGCATTCCAGGGAGAGTGCGGGGGTGAGGGTGCGGGGGGTACGTGCGGGGTGGAAGGAGGAGGGGGTGGAAGGCACTGCGCGGGGCTGGGAGCACTCCGCTCGCCCCCGGGCTCGGTGTACTTAATGACGCGCGCAAAACGCCAGCCACCGGTCGGACAGGCGGTGGAATGTCGTGCGAGCGGGCCTCAAATTTACGCCACCTTCGACGCCAGCGCGCCAGGATCCCAGGGGGAAAAACGTCAAAGGCGGAGGCGCGCACGGCCGCTATCACCTGGAAGTGAGAACAGAACGGTCAGACGGAAGACGGCGGGGCACTCACCGTTTCCTTGCGATGGGCGGGCGAACGTTCTCGGCTGCCTTTGACACAGGACGGGGAGGCGAGACGTAAAGTTCGTATCATGCGGCTCGGCCACATCAGAGCGCGCGTACGCAGTGTTTATTCCGACGATCCGAGAACATGGACGCCGGTAGTCTCGTTCCCACGACCCTCTGTTCCAGAGGGTCTGGTGCATTTCGTCTCGCTTAGGGGGGTCCGTGACGCGGGTCACCAGTTGATGGATTGGTCAGCTTAGTCATTTGAAGGATCTCGATCGTTTTGTAACGCTGCTGCAAGAGGACTGCTGGACACCTCCCCCCAGACCCCGGGGCTCTGGACTTTGCGATGCTGAGCACTTTTTGTCTTGAGGATATAATGACAGCTATGCTCAGTGTCATTGTCCCTTCCAAGAGCAAACATGATACTCATATATTATATGTAGATGTCTACTACAAAGCCAAGTTGGCACAGTGGCATGGATGCCTAGCATGGGTTTTTATTTGGTTGGGTGCAGGGTTCTATTCCCTGTGTAGCCATTTTTGCACTTTAAGTTTTACCTCCCACAACATCCCATTGTGGTGTTGTGAGGAGCACCCGCTAAATCTAATTACTATTTGCAGTAGAATAAAATGCTTGTAGAACAAACACCCAGGTTGGGCACGGCTTCGTAGATGTGGGGTGCAAAAATGGGATAGTGACGGGATTGAACCCTGGCACCAAAAAAGCGCACACCAATGTCAATACCACTGTGCCACCCAGCCTTTGCTTGGTATCTCCCTCTGTAATATATAACTACAGTGTTCACTCTGGAAGGGATGACCCCCGCCAGAAGTTAGTGCTGGTGGACAATGCAAGTGGGGAAGTTGTCGGGGAGCTGCTGAACTGGGTGAGCATCAAGGAGGACCGCTCCACGTGAGTGCACCTATCATTGACGAGGACAGCCAGCCTGCGCGGGTGATGCTAGGGCTGCCCGAGAACGTCTATGACACGTACACAGGCCTCGCCGACTTCGGCGAGTTGACCTTGTGCCCTCCCATTCAAAGCCCTCCAATCTCACGCTCAACGGCCACAACACGCAGCCAAAACTCTTGAAGGCCGCCATTCTTGGCGGAATCTGACCACACTTCGCGCGCGTGCGCCTCCCCAAGTCCACGATTAAGTTCGACAGCGTTCAGGCCGCGGGCACAGTGCGCGCGCATGGACCGCGTGGAGGGGACGGACGCGCGAGAGCTCAGATAGACGCGCAGAGCTCTCGCTCTGGCGCTGCGTCACAGCTGGTCACCCTCATGCCGGATCCGGACGTCGGGGGAAATCGGAGTGACGCTAAAAGTCACGGACCGACATCCCGAGCCCGAAGTGCACCAGACGTTCTACAAGCACTCCCAACGCGCGCCTGCCCCGTCCCCGTGAGAAATTTCAACTTTTGCATGGTTCTCATTCAGTCCCGATTCAGTATTCCCTCCATCCTCCATCACAATCCCATTCCCAATTCGGTATCCCCTCCCATTCCTATTATATAATCACTGCGTAGGGGCAGGCGCGCGTTGGGTGTGCTTGTAGAGCGTCTGGAGCCGAGACTAGGACGCCGGGCGATCGATGTGCATCGATGCGGCTCGCGGTTCAGATAGGAGACCGTCTCGTGCTGGTTGGCGCCACACGATTCTGGCACGGCTCCCGCAGCGAGGCTAGATGAAAAGCCTCTCCATCGGCCTACACAATCGGCTAAGAGCAATGGTGCTGCGGAGCCCATCACCCAAACTCACTGGCGCGATACATGGAACCGCAGCCACGAGGCTGGGGAGGCTGTTAAAGAGAAGGTACGGTGGGAGGCGTTCGACGCGGGAGACATCGTGACTAGAACATGTTCGCAATCGGTCTAGACTGCTTTGAGCGTGGGCGCTTACCCACCAAATGGCCGGTTCAAAATCTCGACCGGGTTGCGCAAATGGTCTGCTCCGAACAGACTAGAACTCCTCCTGCTTTGCAATAAACGCATCCCCAGCAAGAAGGAACCTCCCAGCCCGCGCCTGCGACGAGGGATGAAAGCCTATCGCAAGCGCGCGCCCAAAGGGCGCCTACCGCCCGGTCTCCTAAGGAGGCCACCCGGGGCATCCGGCTTCTTTGACATATTCGCCTAGCGCCTCGCTGCTGGCGCCAACCCAAAATCTTCACCTTGCCCTGTCCAGCAACATCTCCCCTGGCCGCCTCGACAGAGAACGAGGTTAGTACGTACAACCCGTTCCCCACACACCGCCCGATGCTAGTGCAAGAGCCGCTCTATATGCCCACTATTGTACAGACTTACGTGTGAATGCTACTAATCAATCGACGCCTTCCCCACACGCCGCGCTCAGCTGGATAGCTTTGTCTCGAAATGCTTACGCGCGGCCTCGAGGGCCTCGGAGATCTTCGAGGTTTCCGTGCCCACGCCCTGCGCACCGTCGGGCTTGCCGCCCGCCTGTGAAAGGTTCTGGTGAGCACGTCGGACCGGACCGAGGCAGATGTAGCACACGTACCTTGCCCCCAAGGATCTCGACGACGACGTTCGCCCACTCGCGGCCATCGACGCCCTTCGCCTTTGCGGCGTCCGAGACGGCGTTGACGTGCGCGACCTTGCCCCCGGCGGTGTCCGCACTGAAGATGTAGATCGACTTGGACAGCTTCTTCGCCTGGAGCACGACGGCCTGCATCACTTTCGCGTTCGCGTTCACGTCCAGCTGCGCATAGTACACCGGGGCGTCGGGGTTCTCCTTGAAGTAGTCTTGGAGCGCCTCGCCCGCCGCCTTGTTCGCGGCAGCTTCCTTGTCCTTGAGGTACTTGTCGAACGCCTTGCGCACCGTCGTCAGGCGATCACGGAGCTCGTTCTTCTTGAGCAGCGAGATATCCGCCTGGTTGATCGTCTGGTTGATCCTGTTAGCCGAGAGCGGGTATGTTTGGCAGAATGCCGGGGCGTACCACCGTGTACGTCTTGAGCGTGGCATCCTTCTCGGCGTCTGCCATGCTCTCGATCCGGTTGAGCTGCGCCTCGAGCTGCTCCCCGAGTCTGCGCGCCTCTGCGGCCTCGTGCCCGGTGACGGCAACGAGTCGGCGAATGCCTTTCGCGATGCCGGACTCTTCCGTGACGATGAAGTCCTTGATCTCGCCTGTTCGTGCAACGTGCCTGTGATAAAAGTTAGGCTAAATACATGCATGAGCGGCGTGAAGGGTGAAAGATACTTACGTCCCACCGCAGAGCTCGATGCTCGTTTTCCTCCACTTCGGGTTCTCGAGGTCCTTCTCGATCTCCTCGACGTCGTGCTCTAGCGCAACAACACGGACAGGATCGGGGTAAGACTCGCCGAACACGGCGCGTAGGGAGTAGATCTTCTGCGCGACGGGGAGGGATACCTCCTTCGCGAACACGCGCACATTGCGCTTCACCCAGTCTTGGCTCATGTTCTCAATCTTCGTGAGCTCAGGAGTAGACACCTGCGCCTTGTGCGAGAAATCAAAGCGGAGCTTCGTAGTTGCGACAAGAGACCCCTTCTGGTCGATATGGTCGCCGAGCACATCGCGCAGGCAGTAGTTGAGGATATGTGTTGCCGTGTGGTTGTTGCGCAGAGGCCATCGGCGGAGCTATCAAATGCGTTCAGCGATAGAGTCGGGCCTCGTGCAGGGCGGGTCTACCTCATCGTAGCAAGAAACAATCTCGTCCCCAACACTGAGTTTCCCGTACTTCATGTTGCCGATGTGGAGCACGTAGCCGTTGAAAACTTGCACGTTCGTGACCTCGAACTCCGCGACACCGTCGATAATGATGCTGCCAGTGTCGTACTCTTGACCACCGGACTCCGCATAGAAGCTCGTGCGATCGAGCAGAATGCCGAATGAGGAGTCTTCGGGAGTCTCCTCTGTCGACTGCAGGAAAGTCTTCTTGGAGTAGATTGCGACAACTTTCGCGGAGATGTTGCCCTGCTCTGGAAATAGACGTGTCATGGGAACGGTCCAATAAAGTGAACAAACCACTTACGGAACTTTGCGGAGTCATTCGTCTTGGGAACCCCAGAGTTCTTCTCAAGTGCAGCGAGGTCATGGACATCGAGGGCAACCGCCTCTCCGGTACCCTTCTTGACGCCTGCCTTACTCGCCTCTTTCGAGGCGGCCTGGGCAGCCTCGAATTCAGCTTCGTTGACTCCCAACCCGAGCTCTTCCGCCATGAGTCGCGTGAGATCAACGGGGAAGCCGTACGTGTCGTAGAGTCGCCAGACGTCCTTGCCACTAAGCTCCTTCTGGCCGGCATCGAGAGCTTTCTTCGCGTACTGCTCGAACAACTTCTCGCCGCGGTCAAGCGTGCGCGAGAATGATTCCTCTTCTTCGTCGAGAATCTCCTTAATCTCATCGTATTTCTGAGTGATCTCAGGGAACACCGAGCCCTAGACAAGTAGGATGAGTGGACGAGCACAGGCATCTGAGAGAGGAGCTTACCATTTGCTCGATGAGAACAGGAGCCAGGGACGAGAAGAACGATCCTATTTGGACGCCCATCTTTCTCCTCGCGAACCGGCATCCGCGGCGGAGGATTCGCCTGAGGACATAGCCACGTCCGACATTGTTGGGGACCCCGCCGTCGCTGAGGGCGAACGTAAGGGTGCGGACGTGGTCCGCGATGACACGATACGCAGTGTCGATGCCGTTCTCGTCCTCCTCACCGAACTTGCCGGCGTATGGGCGCACGCCCGTCACCGCCTGGATCTTCTCAAAGAGAGGGGTGAACACGTCCGTGTCATAATTGGAGCGCTTATTCTGAATGGCAGAGACGAGACGTTCGAAACCCATGCCCGTGTCGACGTGTTTTGAGGGGAGAGACTTGAGCGAGCCGTCGTCTTCGCGGTTGAACTGGATAAAGACGTTGTTCCAGATCTCAAGTACGTCGGGGTCGTCCTGGTTGACGAGGTGCGCGGCGTTGCGACCACCTATCCGGTCGAAGTGTATTTCACTGTACATGTGCAACATGTCAGGACCAATTTAATATGATGACGTCCGGAGGGTAGAGGGACGGTCTCCCTTCTAGGCAAGCCCCTGTGCTCTCAACGCGACCGTGCTACACAGGCATCCGCGAGAACATATAGAGAACATCCCAGTGCCAGAAGCCTGAAGCCAGCACTACGACTGTCCATGTCTCGGGGAATTTGGCCTCAAAGTCGTGACCGCGCCAGGAAACCTAATACGACGTTTCCTGGCGCGCCCATGGTCTTTGTATCATGTGGGGTGGTAACCTGACTTCACGTGTGGAAGGAAGGGCGGACTGAGACTTACCTGCAGGGACCGCAAGGACCGGTGGCACCCATTTCTACGCCACCTCCGTAAATGCCGCGAACATACACTGCAGACGGATCCGAACATACCCCAGAAGTTGTCCTTCGCATTTCCAGGAATGATGTGATCTTCCGCTACACCAACGTCCAGCCAGAACTGTTTGGCCTCCAGATCGGGTTCCAGACCGTTCTTGACGTCGCCCTCGAAGTAGGTGACGTAGAGACAGTCCTTGGGCAGCTTGTACACATCCGTCAATAGCTCCCAGGAGTAGTCGATGGCTTCTTTCTGTGCACGATGAGCGGGGTGCGATGAGAAAGGCGAGCCAAGACGTCACGCGCACCTTGAAGTAGTCACCAAAAGACCAATTGCCTAGCATCTCGAAGAACGTGTGGTGATAGGAGTCCTTCCCGACATCCTCCAAATCTACAACGTGTTGGGTGCCCGCACATATACACCACGAGATACAGACGTACCGTTGTGCTTTCCACCCGCGCGAATACACTTCTGGCTGTTGTATGCGCGTTTGAGTCGCGCGAGCTCCGACTGGGGATCAACTGTCCCGAGGAAGATCCCCTTGTACTGCACCGCGCGCGTGAGTAGACTGGGATCTCATCGATCGCGCACGAGACAGACCTGGTTCATGCCCGCATTGGCGAACAGCAACGTGGGGTCTTCATAGGGGATAGTGGATGAAGAAGGGACGAAGGGGTGCTGTTTCGACTTGAAGAAGTCGAAGAACTGCTGGCGGACCTGGGGCGCGGTGAGCGGGGGCACCGAGGAGGACGCCATGCGTACGAAGCGGCTGAGGGGAGATGAGAGTCGATAGAGAGGGCGGGCGTGCAGAAGCATGCGCCCTGTTGGGCCCATTCCCGCTGACTCGAGAACTGATAAAAGTCGCGATCTCACGTGCGCTCTCGGAATGCACTCTTCCGCGTCAAGCCCGAGTCGCCCAGCGTGTTTTTGCCGACGTCGTTCTCGCGCTCACCTCTCTCGACGGAGAGGGGGAGAGGGTTGTGACTGCATCTTCGCTCTCGCCCACAACCACGAACATCACTTATATCCCAGACGGCTGGTAATGGTCAGGTTCTCCGCGATTCGCTCATCCATCGCGCTAGGGCGCCCTCTGAGGCTCGAGCGTGATTACGTTTCGCTACTGTTTCCTCGCACATATCTGTCCACCAGTCGTATCATTGGAAGCGAGCAGCGTCGAGTGTGGGTCCGCAAATTCACTTGCATTATATTGGTTTATTCCTTCTCGACCACTCAAGCGCCCACTGACCCAGACCTTCAGTTTTAGGCGTGCCATGGTACTTGCCCGTGAAGCCCACGAGCTCGTGCGCTATTTTTGCGTACAAGTTGTCCGCCAGACGTCATCACGGCTGAGCGCCAAGCGATTCAGGTATTGATGGTTTCGCCCTTCATTCAAGCCGACAAATGAAGAATGTGCGAGTTCCAAGAACGCCCTTCTGTCCTGCATGCTCAGTAGCGTACATCCAAGTAAGTGATACATCATAAAAGTCGTAGTGCCATCACATCGTCCCTCTGCACAGAACCAGCCACGTGGGCCACGGTTAGTGCCCGAACGTCGCACAGATTATGGCAGTATGCTCACCAATCCATTGGATCATGACTGCTCAATCATGCGGGGCATGGGCATGCTATCGGGCATTTCAGTGACGACGGGCGCGTACTCCGTCATCGTCTTGACCCCCACGAAGGTGGTCGGGAACGTCGTGGTGTAGACGTAGGGCGGGACGGTGTCCCAGACCTCCTCAACGCGCGTGGCCACGTACGTCTGGGTGGTGACCGCGGTCGCGGTGGGCACCCACACCGTGGTGGCGTGCTGAAGAAGAACCGTAGTGAGTCTCCCGTCACCGTCGATGGCCGCACAGTTGGCGACATACCATGTCACCCACGGGGCGGCCACAGCACCGAGCACGGCTGAGAAAGCAACACCGGCGAGAGCGAGGATAGAGGTGAACTGCATCGTTACAGGTGAGGAGACGGACAGAGCAAGTTCAGGAAGCGGCGAAGTGCGGGGGGCTGCTGAAGCTTGGTGGAGCGAGCTTACCAGAGCCTGACCTCCACTTTTAAAGCGAGGAGCTGAACATTTGCGCCGCCCGATTCGAATCTGTGGAAGGCCGCAGGCGCGCAAACCTGGGCAAATATGTCTCACCGCCGCCGGATGTTCGTCGCTGTCCCCACCGCACTTGCGATCGGCGAGAGCTCAATCACAGGCACTGTGATCCAACAGAGTCCGCCCTGCCGCTCTCGTTTACCGACATGGAGTCGTAGTGCATGTGGACGCCGTTCGCGCGAGTAATTGCCGAGACATTGGCACGCGGGTGCCCAGAGGGTCTAGCGCACTTGCGCAGCAGCGTGGCGCTCGCGAGGAATCACGGCTTCCGTAAATTCGTGTCTTCTGTTCAATACCTTTGCAGGCTGGCGTTCCGAGGTTGAGGAGCGATTCCTGCGTCGGCACCCGCACTGATGCGCTCGTCTCCGCTCGCAAGGTTGGGATTTCTAATGTCCGCGTAAAGTCTCTGACTCTCTGACTCATCTTCTTTCCAATCTCGGCGCAGATGCACTCTACATGCCCATGATCATAAGCGTTGTCAATCTCCGGTCTTACTATGTGAACGAACGCGGCTGACCTGAATGAGCGCTGTCTATCTGATAAGATGCCCATCTAATCAGCGCACGGAAGTCTAATCAGGTTTCTGCAACCCTTCCTATCTTCATACGGAACTCCAGAAGGCTGACCGACGCCTCATTCTGCTTGGCACACAAACCGCGCTCCTGGACGCCTGCCGACGCCTCCGACTCGGGTCTCAGGCGGACGCTGACCCAATCCCGCGCGTCGACACTGGACGAAGCCGCAAAGGAGTCAACTCCAGCTCGTGGGGCGGACGTTTGGCCCAGGAGCTGCCCTCCTACAGGTCTAGCCCCAGGGACTTGAATCCGGGCCGCGTGCCATAACGAAGCTACAACGAGGGCACACGGTCAAAATCTCCCTCTCCCTCTTACTCTATCACGTTCATCCCACGTTGCAGTGGCGGTGAACGCAGCATGCACATCCCCCAGTCTAGCTGGCAACGTCCTATCTCCTTGGTCTTGACCAGTTCCTGTGCACACTGTCACTGCAGCGCGGCGCGTGGCCTCACCGGTGACCTCGCTTGCGCGGCGCGGAGGCCCTTTTGCTCTGCGGATCCGACGACGCGGGCCCGACGCATCGCCGTTTCGATTTCGAACCGAGCCAAAGACCTTCGCTCATGATAGATCAAACGATGCCCTGTGTGAGCCCGTCCCCCGCATGCGTGTATCGTACGTCATCCCCCCCCTGCGCTGGTAACCCTCTGTGCTGCTATGACACCCCCAGGCTAGCAGCGCGGAGAAACGTCGAGACAGTCCTCCGCCGCGGAGGCCCCGCACGCCTCAGAAACGACCTCTCCCCACCGGCGGAATGCATTATCCTCTCCGAGTCGCAGTCGCGTGCTGGCGGCAGCCCAAGGACGGACATTATCAAGGACGCGTCAGGCCAGTAGTCCCGGCTTGCTGCGTGGACATGCGGCTTTTTCCTACCTAGACTCTGCTGTTCTTGGGACCACACACGCAGGCGGCACCAGTCTCGTCGGACTTGTGAGATTCTTAACGGTGCAGTATCTACTACTTGCACTCTCAACGGCGTCCACGTTCAGTCGCGTCCCTGGTCGGAAACTTTCACTACCTCCTTGCGGAGTCCAGTGACGCACCACCCGCCGCCCTGCTTCGACTCTAAAGATCCGGAAGTTTCATCTATTGGCGCAGAGTTCACGCGGGTCCCGCACGGTTGCCACATGGGGCATAACCATCGACAAGTGACTGGCTCCCCGGACCATGTCATTTCGTGGCGAACGATCACCGCATCCTGATGTACAACACCATGACCCCGGTTAGCGTTCCAACTCGCACGTTGCGCTCCAAATATCCAGCTCGCCAGAAGACGACGGCACAATAGCAACGGAAAAGCGTGACCTCCCTCAGCCGGTATCTGCGACATCCACCTGGCCCAACCCGGTGCCCCTCGGAGTCCATCCCGATGCCCCATCAGCCAGGCTCCCGGCCGCCTCGATCGCGATGATCACGCGAAACCACCCACCCGGCCACTTCCAGCAGTGTGTAGTAGTACAGCGTCGATCGCGCCATTGGACCTCCGCCTTTCGTCGCCCCCATGCCTGCCCACATCCATCTCTCCACCCTCTCCTCGCGGCGGAGTTCGACTTCCATTCCAAACGAGCCTGAGAACTCGTCAGTACTTACAGCAATTGGCTTGCCACCCAAGCGGGCCCGAGTCACATCGTCCGAACAGGCACGGCGCACCCTCCCAGTCTGTTCCTGGAGCACGGCGCGGTCGCTGCCCTCGAGCTCGGTGCGCGCCGCCCAAAACCTTCGCCCTCCCAGAACCCAGACCCGTCTGCCACACGCACGCACGACGCAGCCGACTGGCCCGAAGTCCGTAGACGCGTGTCGGACCCCGACGCCGACCGCCTTGCACGGTTTCCTGTCCGAACCTTGTTCACGATCAGGTGTCCACCACATGCATGCATACGCATTTCCGCAAGCCAGCTGGGGACCAAAGGATCGTCGCTCTACGCCCAGACGATCGATCGCAGGCTCTTCCGCTTTCCAGAAGCCGCCGTCCGTCCCGGCGCCCGGGCGACTCTGGAGACGGAGCGGAACGACGAAGCGGACGGATCCAGACCCCAGTCTCGTGCGGAGATTCTGCGCTCGGGGCTCGCACGCGGGCCCGCGCAGGGGACGGGAGAAGGCGGTCATGCATGAGATCCGTTATGTACGTGCGGGGGCGCGCGGAGCGCCATTATGCGGGAGGGGGAGGGGTAGGTACGTGTACGTGTGTGCGGCTTTGGTGGTGACGAGGCGCGAAAGGGAGAAGAAGAAAGCATATTCACAAAGCGCGTGGTGTGCGTACTACAGAGGAGGAGCAGAGCATTACGAGACAGCGCTACGCATAGGGCCCCGCTGGGGCCAGAGGGCGCGGAGAAGCGGCGGGCCGCGTACGGTAGCAGAGGCCGAGACATTAAACCCCTTCGTGCTGCGCCGGAGATCGGAGGAGGGAAGGGGCGCCCAACTATAAGGTGGAGAGAAGCAACACAGCCCGGGTGGTGCAGAGACGTGAGGACATTAGCTACAGAGCGGGTCCGGGACTAGCAACGGACACAACAGCGGCCACGGATAACAGCATTTGTACAGTAACATAACCACAGACACTGTCAGGGTCGTGATGGGTCGTGGAGGGGCATGGCGGGAAGGGTATGAGGCATGAGGGCATATGTGCATGGTATCGTGGTATCACTGGATCGGGAGAGTCGTCTATCTGGTCGCGTGGGGAGAAAGAGGACGTCCTGACGCCCGCCGGGGCGAGACCCCAGAGAAAAAGAACGCAGAACACGAGGTGCAAAGCGGGGGGTGAAAGAGAGCGCATAGGGGAGATCTGCAGCTCGCGTGAGAGCCGGGAACGTTGACGGAGGTCAGGCTCGAGCTGTGGGGGCTGTGCGGAAATACGCCTACGGCCCACAGGTCCTCACCAGAGACACCCGCAGCGGGACAACCAGAGCTCTAGACGCCTCCGCGCGACGCTCAGCGCCCCAACGGAGACATCGACAGCCCTCACATGACTGCCCGCAGGAGTCCTTTGATGGCCTTCTTCAGGCCCTTCACTTTCCTCTTCACCAGTCCCTTGCCGCTGCTCATTGGCTTGACCTCGCGGAACGTGAAGTCGCCCGGGACGCCCTCCGCGCTCCGACTCCTGGCCAGATTCATCCTCAGCTCCGTAGCGCCGCTGACGGAGCATCCGGTCCCGGCTCCGGCTCCGGCGGAGGGGAACAGCGGGAGAGCGTGCGCGGCACGGGAGAGGGAACCGAAGCGCGCTTGCGGGGCGAGTGCGGGGCGCGGGTCGATATCGAGGGACCGCGTGCCGCGCTCGTGGGCCAGCGCGTTGTGCAGAGACTTGGTGACGGGCGGAGACGACGCGGAGGGCGGTGGAAACGAGGAAAAGGGGGCGGGCGAAGGGGCAGGGGAGTGGAAGGCGAAGCCCCCGGACGTCGCGGACGGCGCGGGGCTCGAGGGACGCGACATGTTCTTGCGGATCGCGGTGTACAGCGGTCGCTGGGGGTGCCCGAGAGGGATGCCATCGAAGGGGAGGTCGTCGCGGCTGGGGCTCAGGCTTCTTCGCGGGGCGGCCTCCGCCACAGCCGCGGGGGGAGGGGCGCTGAACCGAACGCTCGACGAGTTCTTTGTGCGCGTCGAGGGCGAGGCGACTGAGAGCGTGAAGCTGTTGGGCAGGGAGGCCGGGAGGCCGGGCGCGATCTTGGGGCGCGGGGACGGGGAGGGCGACACAGACGCGGCGCTGTCACGGCGGAATGAGGTCACACTTGAGTTTGTGGTGGCTCGGCGGCGGAGGGAGCACGAGGAGCGCTGGCGGATGACAGACATACGCCTCTTGTGGCGGAGCCCGGGAGAGGACGAGCATGGGGAAGGGGGTTCGGGGGAGGTGCGTGGCTCACTGGAGGGGATGCACGTCAACTCGACATCGTGGTGGACCATGCGTGTTCGTGTCCGGCGAGATGGCGTTCGGGGATTTTGAGGACTGGAAAGCGGCTGCTTGCGAGAGGCGCGTTTCGTGGGATGGCGTGAGGGTCGTGAAGTCGCGAGTGGTGCCGCGACGCGTTCGTGGCTCTCCAGATCGCAGTGGACAACGAGCTGGGCAAAGATGGGCTGCAAGAGCTTTTCCGCGTCGCAGTCCTATGGAACCGGACGGGCACGTGCGCGGGGATATCGTGAGGAAGGAAGAAAGGAAAGCAACGAAGGGTCGCACGCACCACGGTCGGGGTAGCAACAACGGTGGTCGCGGGGAGGAGGACGGCGTTGCGATGCCTGCGGCGGACGACGGCGGTGTCGCCTGGCCGGCTGGCGAAGGCAGAAGCGGGCGCGCGGTCGGAGGCGCTCAGGGGGCGGGGGGCGAGGGATGATGCGGGGATGATGACATGGGGAGAGGGTGGAGGACCGGCCTGACCGAGCTGAAACTTCTGGGCGTCGTTGAGGAGAGTCGGAGAGCTGACCCGGCGACGGACGGCAGCGATGAGCATGGCGAGCTCGCAGGCGCTCGAGCACCAGGGACAAAGGTCGGAGAAAGGGTTGGGGAACTGGCATTTTGGGCAGACATAAAGAGGACGGTTGGGGGGAGAGAGCTGAAGGGATGGGAGCGACTCCCACCGCTTGGGCTAATGCGCCCGTAAGAAAAAACCGTACGCGGAGATAAAGGGGGTCACACGCACTTGCTTGCGCCTTCTGAACTCGCGGAAAAGGATCCGGGGACGGTCTTCGGCTGTGACGGGATGCATGAAATGGGATATATGCGGGGTCTACGGGCGTTGTACTGGATCGTGAGGGTCGTGAGGTGGGGCAGAGGGAATGATTAACGGAGACAGCGGAACGATGACATGCGATGGGGGCAAGAAATGGGAGCTGGAGGTAATGGGCAGAAAGGAGGGACTGAAACGTCGCAGCGATATCCAGATATCCAGGGGGCGCAGGCGGTGGCAACCGTGGTCGCTGCGTTTGCTGCTGGGGGGGGGAGCAAAGGAAAAAAATCACGCTGGGTATATAACGGGGCGAGCGCAGTTTATAGGGACGGACACGAGCTGAGCACGATGTCCAGACGCAAGGCAGACGTCGGACGGCCACGGACGCCACCATCGCACCGGCTGGGTCGGTCCGACCACGCATCCTCTTCTCCTGGCGCGCGCTTTGTCGTCTACTCACGCCGGGGCCATTTACGAGATTCAACGCCGCAAGTGACACTGAGCCACGCTCGACCTCACGGCCTTTTCCAGAGCCCGCGCGCTCCCCCCTACCTGCCAATCGATATCAGGCGCTTGCCGCGCTGGGAACTGTGAGTGACAACCCACTGACTCAGTGTTGCACATACTTCCCTAGCTTACACTCCCCATGGTCGACCAGATTGGCCAGTTCGAACAGCAATGGGTGCTGCCCAGTCCACCGTTGACGCAAAATCCACTGCTACTTCATCTCCGTCTCCTCAAACTACACAATCTACTACGGCATACGATCCTCATCGGCCTCCTGAGCGAAGTTCCCACGTTTGGTTTGAGGACGGAAACATCCTCATCTTGGCCCAGAACACGGAGTTCCGAGTCCATAGGGGCGTTCTCTCCCGCTGGTCACCGCATCAGTACTTCTTGCGAATGTCTAAAGTGTCTAAAACATCTAAAATTTAGACGAAATTTAGTTAGACGTTTTAGACATTATAGACGTGTTAGACATGTTAGACGCATAGACAGTGCTACAGGCCTGCAAGGTTCCACAAAGCCCCTCATTGCAGGTGAGAGCTTAATACCACTAAGGGGACTATTTTATTGATAAACCACAACAATATAGACACTCGAGGACATAATATATTGGCATCTAGCTACACTCAGCACAGGAGCATCTATGGCTACATCCTTGACACTCGTCCTCCATAAAGAGCTCTCACAGGAAGTGGGCACCGACACAGGCCGTGCAGACGACGTGGGAGATGCAAGCAACATGCTGATGTGGAGGCGAGACGGGCAAGACAGATGGTGCAGACACGACACGAGAGTGAAGCGGGCAATGCAGGGGAGGGCGGGGTGGACGATACGGACGTTGACGCAGGGGATATGCAGTGGCAATGTGGGCGACGCGGACGTTGACGTCGCACCTGCCTCGCCCTCGCCCACCTTGCCCGCGCCCGCATCACCTGGATATGGGCGTGGGCGATGCAGGCAAGGTGAGGTGGGCGAGGGCGGTGACACGGGTGGGTCGGACAGACGACGTGGGTGAGGACGACGTGGGTGCGGACGACGTGGACGGACGACGTGGACACCGGCAGGCGAAGTGGGCAACATGGATGGGTGATACGGGCGACGTGGATGTGGATGAGGCCGGCGACGCGGTGACATGGGCGAGGCTGGTGACACGGTGACACGGGCGAGGTCAGCAACGCGGGCATTGGCGCGGGAACGACGCAGATGCGGGACGACGCAGATGCGAGCGATATGCGCGGACGATGTGGGCGACACGGTCATGAAGGCTCACTGACGCCGTTTGCACGACCATGGGCATCTGGGGTGGGTTGCGGGACAGCGGCGCGGTGGGAGGCGGCACCCGGTGATACCGGGGCCTTGCCTTACGCGTATGCCGCTTCTTTTCCAAAGCCAGCGAGGGAATAGACGAATTCATGTCAGCGAATGCTAGATCCCGAGGCCGACGACCAAAGCTTACATGGGGCACTGCGGGTGCGCGCTGGTCGTCCACAAGCGGGCGAAAGAAATGACGTGGACTGGGCGACAGGTTGGTGACGTGGGCGGGGAAAGTGGGCGATGTTGACGCGGGCGCGAGACAGGAGAGGCGGGCGAGGTAGGCGACGCGGACGAGGCGGGCGGCACGGACACATGCGACGCGAGGGCGAGGTCGGTGAGAGGGGCGAAGTGGAGCCCTATTAAGGAGCCAGGGTCATTCCGGACAACGATCCTGCCCCAGCCACGACCATGCGTGAGGGGAAGCAGTGGGTGGGCGTCGTGGCAATGGCCGCGCAACACAGTCGCCCCGGTGGGATGAGCATCCCGTGAACGTCCGTTGGGACGTACCCGTCTTGGGGACGGGTCGGTGATGCGGCCGGAGTCTGGGAGGGGGTGTGCGAGGCGGGGAGCGCAGGAGGGCATGACAGGAGACTCACCAAGACCTGTGGGGCCACATCAGCCCGTCGAGGAAGCGGCAGGCGAGGAGCGCGTTCGCATGCTCGTCAAGGATGTTGCGCCAGGAGGGAAAGACGGAGAGGATGGGGAGCATGGGAAGGACGAGAGGGTCGGGACGGGGTGCCCACTGCCAGCAGACACTGGCGACCAGACGAAGAGAAAGACGCGCTGGCAGGTGCTGGCGCCCAGCCCCAGACACGTGGGAATCGACACGCTTTGCGTGGACTCCAGCGCTTGGCACTGCCAGCACTCTGTCGTCGTCGTCGTCGTCGTCCTCTGGCCTCCCCTCGCCGGTCTCGCCCTCCCCCGTTCTGCTCTCGCCCTCCCTGCCACCTTGCCCGTGTCAACCCGCGTCATCCACATCGCCACGTCGCTCACTTCACCCGTCTCGCCCACCTGCCCCGTCTCAACCCCCTCATCCGTCTGACCTGTGTCGCCCACCTCGCTCGCGTCACCCCGGATCTCGCCCAGCTTCCAACGTCTTACACACGCTCGTTTCACCGGCCTCGCCCACCTCGCCCACCTCTCTCTCGCCCGTCTTGCCCTCGCCCATGTCAATAATGTCGCGCCCGCGCCATCCACGTCGCTACGTTGTCCACTTCACCCGCCTCGCTCTCATGTCCCACGTCGCCCGCCTCGCTCACCGTCTCTCCTGTGGCCAAGGACGGTCGCCGCTTCCCCCATCTCGTGCGCGTCTCGTGAACGTAGGTGTGGCCCTGACCTGCCCCACCAATATAACAACAGTAAGTGCCCCGTCCATCCATCTGCTCTGCCGCGCACTCCTGACGCCTCCTCCCACGCACGCGCAACACTGACGTTCCATATCGCCACCTTGCCCACGCCCTGCGTGTCACCTGCCTCCCTCGCATTGCCCCCACGTCACACTCTTGTCCTCATCACCTCGTCCGTGGCGCTCACCTTGCCCACGACACCCACCTTGTCTGTCTCGCCCCCGCGTCACCTACCGTCCATGTCTGCATCTCCCGCATTGCTCGCCCATGTCACCGCACCGCGGGCCAGCATTCGCGTCATCCCCGCGCCAACATCCGTGTCGCCCGCACCCACATCGTCCGCACCACCCCACCCACCCGTGTCTCCCACTGCGCCCTCGTCAGCCACCTCGGCCATGTCCACGTCGTCTACGTCCGCATCGCCTACCCATGTCACCTACATCACCGGCCCGAGTACGTGTCGTCCCCGCGCCAATGTCCACATCGCCCGCACCCGCGTCGCCCACGCCCACGTCGCCCGCACCCACGTCGTCCGCGTCGCCCGCACCCACATTGTCTGCGTCGCCCGCACTCGCGTCGCTCACACTCAGGTCATCCACACCCACGTTGTCCGTCCCACCCAACCATGTCGCCCACTTCGCCCACGTCCACGTCATTTCCCCTGCCTGCTCACCTGCGTTGTCACCTAGCCAGTGTCACTACCTCACCCACGTGTGCCTAGCTTACGTCTGCGTCGCCCATCCATATTGCCCACACCACCCGCCTGTGCCCAGTTTATCCCCGCGCCAATGTTCATGTAGTCCGTCCCACCCACTTGTGGCACTCACCTTGCCCTCAATGACTGTGCCCACGTTGCTACCGTCCTGCCCCTGCGTCGCTCACATTGCCAGAGTTACCACCCCGCTTATATACTTTGCTCATTTTCCCGCCCCTTGTGTTGTACCCTTGTTAGCAATCAATATATATTGTTTCAAGCCTTCCTCTTCGGTGTGAGTGTACAGATCTCAAAAATCGCCTATGTCTAGTATGTATGCAGGAGATGTCTAAAACTGTCTAAACGTCTAAAATGCTCTAAAAATGACATCTAAGTGATCTAAGTGTCTAAGATGTCTAAAATGTCTAACACTCTAAAGTTAGACACTTTAGACGCTTTAGACGTTCGCAAGAAGTACTGATGCCGGTATTAGCCGACGCTTTTACACTCCCCCAACATCAGCAAAACGGGGGATTCGAAGATAATGCATCGCAGTGCGTGATCAACGGCCGTATTGCATGGTAAGTAATCGCAAGACAGATCACGTATGACAGGGTGGTAGCCGTAGACGGCCATCGGTCGTCTGGCATGGCAATCTACCGCCTTCTAGACGCCGGTTGGTCAGACAATTGTCTTCTCCCGCCGCACAATGTAATACATGAGGGGGCCGATGGCAATACACGAGGGAGACAATGGCAATACCTGGCTGCACGCATTGTAGTTGTCCGACCATACACAAGGGGCGACATGGTAATCTGACACAATGATTTTAGACCCTTGTCATATGTTGGGATGTAAGACCGCATTTTGTAGCACACAGGTTGCCGCTGGTTGGATAGTGGTCGATTAAAACACGCATTAATCATTCAGAAGAACCTATCGGATCATGGAAAATATAATACGAGACTACTGGAGATGTGGAGACACAAGAACGAAAGTGAATCACGAGCTTTCCGCACTTTGAACATACATGATTACATCTGTAAAATGAGACGGTGAGCGAGTGCTGCCGTAGACAAGTGCATACCATACATACCTGTCAATCGTCGCCTGACGCGTCGCCGACAGGCTCCTCGGTGTCCCAGGTCTCCTCTTTGCTGTCACTCTCTTCGAGCATCTGATCGCCTGTGGTCGGGGGACAGTCTGCATCGGAAGCGAACCTGCAAAATACGTCAGAAGACGCCCGAAGACGTGACCGAGGAGCTCACCAAAGCAGCAGTAGCGACGACGGAGTACAGCCTGAAGCTGTTGGCGTCCATGGCCGTCCCCTCCGCAACGGACTTCTGGCCCGGCTGCTTCCAAGTTCCGAGTGAGTAACCCACCCGCATCGCCGCAGATCGCAGCCGCCGGGTTGCCGTACAAGGCCTTGTAAGCCTGCTAACAATATGCAACTGTCAATTAAGATGTATGGTAAAAAACCGACGCTTACCTTGAGTATCAACTGGCCCGGGGCAGGTGGGCGGGCGCCGTTGAGGAGCCCTTTACGAGCTCGTGGCTTGGTCGGGTCGACCTCACTCAAACTCTCGCTGTTCTACATTCAGAGAATGCACGACGAGGGGGCGACGAGGACCATCGGCACGAGGACCTGGTGCATTGGCTGAGCGGCAGGGGCGGGATGTGGCTCTCCTTCGAGAGGCTCGACCGGAGCAGGGTGCTTGCCGTGAGTCCGACCGGAGGCACCAAGGGCAGCCTGATCGCACGATTGGACCTCAGCTAGACACATTTGAATGAATGGGCTACGTACCGATGTGCGCCTGATCCCATTCTCTGAACCACCTGCCACCCGGGGACCGGGTGTGGTGGAACCCGGTCGCCGTGTCCGACTCGCCCCAGGCGTTGCATACACGTGCAGTCTGTGAGAGGCTGGGGAACTTGACCATGATCAGATGAGAGGAGGAGAGGGAGAGGGAGATATCGCACCAGGTATGTGCTCTTCATATACCTGACTGTGAGGCGAGTGGCATCGGGAGCGACGATGGCGGTTGCGGGAGACGTTCAGTAGACGCGCAGCTCGCGCCGAAGCGTCTTGTTTGCCCTATTGTCTGCGCGGGCGCTGATCGCGCGCAATGGCCCCCACTTCCATCTATCATGAGTGCAATCAGATCATGGTAAGTCTTGGACTCGGACTATTCTCCGTTTCCGACCGCCCCCGCCCCGACTCGACCGCCGCCTCCGCGCACACCGACGGCACGCCCCGCCCCCGCCCCCGCCGCGCTTCGACCGCTGGGCGCTCCCGCGCCTCGCCGCGCTCGTCCTCCTGCTCGTCACGCGCGTCCAGCCGGGCGTGCTCCGCGCGCACCGTGCCGCGCTCACCTACCTCGAGTTCCGCAACCACACGGAGATGGGCCCCCGCGACGACGAGCACGAGGACGGCGCGTCCGGCTCCGCCTCCCCCGTGTCCGCCACCTCGTTTTCGAGGGCCGCGAGAACGACGTCTCGACTCTCGGACGCGGACCACCTCCCGCCCCACCCGAACCTCGCCTTCGTCGACGTCTGGGTCTCCACCCCGCGCCGCGCACTCGCCTATCGCCCCCACGCCCGCCTGTGCGCATGCTCGAGCCCCGTGTCGAGGATGTGCACGGAATGTACAACACCGTGCCTCAGGGATGTGCAATATATATAATGTGCCTACCAGTATTCCCACCCCACCATACGTTACCATACATGTCAAACCCTCGTCTTGCAGACGTTGGTCCATCTCCCATATGCCATGATCTGCAAGCAATAGTAGAGCAGATAATTGATTGTCATGTATTACCATCAGCCGTCCAGCAGACAAAAGACGGCAAGTCCTTATCAGGAAGCGCCAAGCGCGGTCAGACGCCCCGATGCGTGGCAAGAAGATACGCCCTTTGCTGATGAACCTCCCACAAGTGCGGATTCTCCGTCTGAAGAGCTTCCGATCTGCCGCATTCAAGACAATGCGCACGATGTGGAGATACTACTGCAGCTGCCGTATGGGGACATCAGGTACGCCTCCTCGTGTCGCGATGGGAGAACATCGTCTTGACTAGTTTCGGCCATTTTAGCCTCTCCAACTCGAGCCTATCATTCTCCACTTTAGCCAGCATCGCCCGCTTGAGCCACAAGTACGACATGACGAGGGTTCTGGACCAGTGCAAGACACTCCTTCGTGGCCGTATCCCTACTTCTTTCCTCAAAGTCACAATATATAAGGACACCTTCGTCCCGCCTAGTCAATGGATGCAAGCTGTGAACCTTGTCCACGTCCTCGGAGAAACTCCCTTGTTTCCGTACTCTCTCTACAGGTGCTGCATAGAGTACTCGGCCACTCAACTGCTCAAGGGGATCCCACTATTGGATGGCACACTTGAAGAGCTCGATCCCCAGACGGTCATTGTTTGTCTAGATGCGCAGAAGTGGCTCGCAGGCCGATCTACCCTCCGATTGCTACAAGCACCACTATATGCAGGAAGAGCGACGGCTTGCATCAGCAAAAAAGCAAAATCATGCGATACATTGGAAAAGCTTCAAATGACCCACGGAAATTCGAAGCCTTTCAAATTTATCGTAGATCTTTGCAAGTCATTCCAATGTATTGCATATCTTTGCAAGTCATTACAACGAAACCCGGTAGGTCGACGAAACGGGAGTGGTGTTAGTATGTCATGCTCATGAGCATACATCGCTTGTAAGGCTATAGACTCACAGAACAATAGGTGAAAGCGACGTGAGCAGGGGCCGGATAGTTCTCGGAAGTATGCGCGCCGGGCGCCCTGAGTTGAAACCCGCGAGCGCGGCAACCACGTGATCAGGCGGCTATGGCAAACTTCGCAAGTCCGACCAGGCTGTCCTCGCCTCTTCCTCTCTTCCTCCCTCCTCCGTTGTCTTACCGCCCTCGCCATTTCTCTTTCTCTGAGACTTCAACCTTTTATGCCCTGCTCTTTCCGCGCTTGTGTTTTTTCTACAACCGGACAGCAAGTCCGATGCAGGTCTGAGGCGGCAAGTACGTTCACGGCCTCACACTGATGGTATACACTTCTCACCCTCCACATCCCAGATGATAGCATCCCCACTTCCAGTATATCGAATCTTCGTCACCTTCTCACCGCGTTCTGCACGCATATATTCACTTGCACACTGCGCAACGCTCTGCTATCAGCGAGATTGGGTGCGTGCGGGCCTAGTGCGAGCCCGGGTCTCTGACGCTTGATATTGAGGACAAGGGGAAAGATCGGGGAAGATTTAGACGGGATTATAGGCCATGATACGGTGAGAATCTGGTCCATCTTTGTGTACGTGTTTCCTAATGGAATCCTGCTGACGATCCTCCGCATACACCTCGTGTTTGCTCACCTCTCCTGTGTGGTCACTGGTGAGCAATTCGTCGACCGTCTAGAGCTCGTGTTCAAGTAAACCGGCCCTCCCTCGGTTTGAAGGTGGCTCAGTCAAAGATCGGCCTGGTGGACAACTTGTTTAGTGAGTTCCCACTCCGTCCTTGCATTGAATTCTCCCAAGACCCCACGGATCTTCACGGAGATCCTTGCCGCTGCACGCGCCCACCATGTCGTGTTTACGTTCACGGACCGGTGCGCCCCTCTCCGCTCTTTCACCTCGTGCTCACCATTGAGACAGTTACCTCGCGCCTCTCCAATCCGCCTGCGCGTGGCGCGCCGCCTCGCGTCCCCACGCTTGCGCGGGATCCCCGCCGTCGTCCGGCTCGAGCATGTCGCGTGGACGGTCCGATGGATGTCCTGCGATGAGTGTGCGAGGGAGGCGCTCCTCGCGGACTTCCCCGGGCGTGGATGTGTCGGGAGCGTCGCGCTCTTCAGGCGACTGGGCGGCGCCTCCGCGGCTCGAGCGAGCGCGTCTCGCCGTTCCTACGCGCGTGCACGAGGGGCGTGAACGGGAAGGTGAAGGTCTTCATTGTCGTCGTGTGCGTGCGGGTACGTGCCGCCGCCGCGGTAGGCAGCGTGGGCGTTGACGCTTACGAGGACGGGTGAGTGCGCCGACTGTGCGGTGCCATCGAAGTTATGCATGGTGCCACGCAGCTGCCTCCATTCCTGCACATTCTCAGGCCGACTCCCAGGTGTAGCATGTCGCACAACGAGGTCTTGATCGCCAGGATCACAGATCTCCGCAGAGCGGCCTTGTGTGATTATCCTACGCTCCATGTATACATGTCTGTATGTAATAGTCCCTTTGACCAATACAAATTTTCTTCCTGTTGTATTTGATGTGTGAACGAAGGTCGGACGGCCGACGCCGGACAGTGCCAGGAAACCTCGGAGCACTGGACATTGGAATGGCTTCCAATGACTCCGAAGACATTGCAATGACTTGCAACCATCCAACACAGCTATCTATTGAAAGTACGAAGATTTTGTAACATTCCAGACATTTTATTCACTTCCAAGCCATTCCAATTAAAACGCTTTTTTGCTGATGTTGCGCGGGGACCACGAGAGATTGTGGTTGGTTTTGTCGCGATTTGTTACGTCCAGAAATATTGGATTCGTATAGTCGGTACCCCAGACCATTGGAGCCTTTCGCTACCCGAGATTTCATGCCGAAAACTATTATATTGTGTTCGCAGTGCAATGACATCGTAAGTGGAAAAATGGAGGCTCTTCAACAGGACGTCTGGGCATCTTTACCAGCCATACTGAAATTGTAGCACTCATGTCCTTCACGTACACACCATGAGCATATATATGAAGCCTTCGGCCTCTAGTATGACTGTGGCGAATCATTGTCTCATGTACTGCCGGAGATAGCCTGGTTGCGACGTAGAAGCGCAGTATTCTACCCATCCTCCCGCAGCTCCCCGCCACCACGAGGCCTTTCCTGGCGGACGTCGGTCACATTCGCCCGCGCGAGCGAAAGTCGGGCTTGATGACCTCGATATACGCAGCGCGGGCGGACGAGACGAGTGGGCGGACACGCGAGTGCGTGCCGTCGGCGCCGACAAAGATAGCGGTCTTGTCGTTGGCGAACGTTGGCCTGTGGATACCATCGCCGATGGGCGTGGCTCTAAACGCACGTCATTCAGGGGCTTGGGCACTGCTGGCCGACTCGATCATCGTACAAGCTGATGGCGTGCCAAAGGGCATAAAAACTGATATTGATTGTTGTACCAATGAGAACAGTGGGAAAGCATATAGTGAGGTTTGCGCTGTACACAGACATCACGGGAAAATACTACAACTCAAGTTTCGTTCTTCACGACGTGCCGTCATCTATGTGCTTACAAGGATCCCTCTGATAGGGGTGTATATCAGCTCGAAAAGCGTATCATCGCAAAAGCGACATCGACGAACCGTAGTCGTAGACGAGGCGGCCCTCGATGACCTGGCCCTGAGGAGTCACGACGTGGACGCGGCGTGTGTGCCTCTTCTCGCCCTTGATGTTCTCAAAGCCCCAGGTCTGCCACGTATGTGAGCCATCGTTGCGTCGACACCCGGCACAGATCCTCACCTGCGCCATGCGCCACTCGGCACCGTCCTTGGTGCCCACCGCGGTGGTGTAAAGGATCTTGCCGTCGACGAACGACTCGTCGAGCCAGCCCGCGGCGCCGAGGTTCGGGAACTCAAGGTCGCCGACCACGACGCGCCTGGTGGCGAGCATCACCTCGCGGCCGTAGACGACGGCCGGCAGGGGCGGCGCGGCCGCGTCGACGAGTCGGTGCTCGTTGATGAGCTGGCCGTCGGGGCCGGGGCGGGAGATGTCGACGATCTCCTCGGCGCCGAAGCGGTGGCGGATGGTGAGGTGCGGGACGTAGTTGGCGAGCGCGTTGCGCATGTGCTCGGCGACATTGTGCTCGTCGAGGATGTCCTTGTTGCGCTTAGAGAGTTCCTTGTTCTATGTGGAAGGGCATATGAGTGGAGCGATGAGGGCCGAAGAGCTATAAATGACGTACGAGGATGAACTTGCCACTGAGGTCGCGAGAGGTCATGGAGGTAGGAGCGGCCATTGTGATAGGGTGTGGTTCGAGTGAGCGGGCCAGATATCAAGGGTTGTGAGGTTGGTGAGGACCAGTAGGCTTAACTGTGGACCTCATATATGTCCTGGACGATGTAGAGCTCGGTGTACGACCTCCGAGCAGATGGAAAAGTCAGGCCATCCGGGGTCACGACTGTGTGGAGGGAAATGTACATTGACCCCACATTCCGTTAGTGCACTGCCCGCGCAGTGGGAACTGGTGTAGAGTCAGCGCGCGCAGCTACGAGGTTAACGTGAGCTTCGTGCGTCTGCTCAGGCAGTCGTAACCATGGCCAATATTAGGGTCGAAAGCACCCACCGAACGGGGATGTTAAGAAGGCGGCTTCCATTTAGAAATATGAGCACATGTTTGATTGCTTTGTGTAGGACGACGCGAATGACCTACCGAGTAGATATCATAGTATGGAACCATGATGCCAGTAATGGCGGTGGTTCGACATTGGCTGGTGTAAAAATTGATTACTAGGCAAGTGAGAAGGACAGCAAGATATGGGAATATCACGCCCCGAGCAACCGAGACAAATGCGGATGGAGGATACTCAACAATAGTAGACGAGATCAGGCAGTGACAAAACGTCCGACGTGGACCGTGGGAGCCGGCGCAAAGCTGGGTCGAGAGGTCACGTGTGCTTGTCCCCATTTTGGATATCTCCCTGCATGACTCAGCAACCGCCACTCTGAGGCCGAGCGGAGACTCCTCTCGTCCTCGCTCCTCGTTTTCTCCCAACCACTTCCTCCCATCGACACCTTCCATCGTCTCCCAACACCCGTCGGCGACTATGGAGGCATCGGTGGCCACCCTTTCTGCATCTAACGCTCTCTCGGATATTATCGATGTCGACGCGCTCGACGACTCTATCTTCACCATCACAGGCTTCCGCTCGCGGCATCCTCGCGGCCTCTCCGATTCTCTGGCAACAGATGGACTTGCATACCTTGGCTTTAGGAGAGCTCCCAACCCTCGGCGCTCGCAAACCACCAGTGGCGCTCGTGCGGGCCCCTCTACACGTCTAAGGGATGAGGACGTTATCGTCCTGAATAGTGACGACGACGACGCAGCACCTAGTACCTCACGAGCTGGCCGAGGGCATACAGGTGAGTTGTCACGAGTGTCGACTATGCTGCGTGTATGCTCAACGCGTCTCGGTACTCGGCAAGGTTCCCATGCGCGACTACGGTCGCCACCTCCCCCACGGCCAGTAAGAGGCTACACTCCAGATGTTCCGACCATCCCTTCAGACCGAGAACTGTCTCGCCGCCGCCGCCGCCACCTACATTCACCTATTGCCGTTCCTCCCAGCATTCGCCCCAGTGAACAACCCATGCCTTTTGAGAACCGTATAGGTTCTCTCCCACGGTTGCCTCCCCGAGGCGCGGCGCCCGCTTTCGCACCCGCAGCACGCTCGCATCACCAACCCGCTATGGGATTCGGCGGTGCAATGATCGCGCTCAATCGCCAACACGCGGCCGAGGAAGCTCAGCGCCGAGAGCATGAAGAAACGCAAGGCTTCTTCACCTCCTTCTCCGATATCTTCAGGCGCCTCCAGAACTACAGATCGAGGCTCGCCACTCCTGACGGTCCTCAGGGCTGGGGACGTTACATGCCATGGGCGTACGACACCGCCGAGCCCACACTCGACCCCGAGTTCGACATGAACGACGATTGGCTCCGCGGCTTCCCTGCGCCACCTTCGTTGGGCAACCACCACCAACAGGAGAAAGCCCACTACCGACCGGAGTACACACACCCTATGAAAGCCGCACCCGGTTTCACACACGATTTCGCGCCCGTGGACGACTCCCCCGCTGCCGCCTCGCCTGGTACGATCGTGATCGACGACAACGAAGCGGGACCAAGCAACGCCGGGAGTTCGTCGTCCTCCGTGACCGCGGTGGAGACGACGCTCGTCTGCGCGCGATGCCTCGATCCCCTGGTCCTCGCGCCGCCCACCAGCGCGAGCGAAGACGTCCGGAAACGGACACGGGTCTGGGCGCTCCGGTGCGGACACATGTTCGACGGGAAGTGCATGGAGGCGATAATGGCGCCTCCTCAAGCCCCCGAGGATGACGCGCTTCTCAGCTCGGCGTCGGCGTCGGCGTCGGGCAGCGCGAAGGGCAAGGGCAAAGCTCAGGACGACTGGTCGAGCTCGGACGAGACTGGGTCGACGTCGGACGCGAAGGGCAAGCGCAAGGCTGCCGGACCCCCGGCGGGCGACGCGCCGCCGCGCAAGCGTCACGAGGCGTCGTACGTGCCAGAGGACTCGAGCCTGGTTCCCTCCGTGCCGGAGGAGGGCGGCATGCGCTCGCGGCTGCGGTCACACAGGCGGCCCGGCGTGGGGGACGCCGCGACTTCGGCTTCGCGAAGCGGTCCTGCTCCGGTGGCGGAGTCGGCAGCAACGCCTACGCAGACCGCGCGGGGTCCACGGAAGGCACGCGGGTCAAGGGGGAAGGGCAAGGGGCGCGCGAAGGCGCCAGCAGGCCCGGTATACGAGGCGGAGCACGAGTGGAGGTGCCCGGTGGCTGGTTGCAACCACGCGCATATCTCTGTGCTCATGGAGGGCGAATGGCTGAACGACGCGACCCGGGGTGGGATCGCGTTGTTCGTGTAATGGACTAGGGTAGGCCGAGGTCGGGAAACGGACGAGGACTCCGCTGGCGAGTAGGAGAAGAGGCGATTTACGACACTTGTGATGAGGGCTCTGAACGCCCGCTTTGGATTTGGCCACACTATATCTTACAATGGCATCGCACATCGCGTTTTTGCTCTCACCCCACGGGGTCTCCCGCCACCAGCAACCGTGTGGTGCTTTGGAACGGCCCTCTCGCCACTCGCGTCGTACGAAGAGAGCATTTACGAGTATGCCGTGAGCGTTGTGGGCATCCGTTGGAGTGATATTTCAAACCCAGGTGTTCATGGTGCGTGTCCTACTTGGCGTTCGTAGTATTGATCGTTGCTAGCAGTACTGTAGCTGACGTCACTTCGGCGTGGTTCGGCCACACGAGTAATGGGCGTACGTGGCCAATGGAACAGCCTTCGGCGACCACCTTTCCGGACATGCAGCTCGACTGGCTCCGCCACAGTCATATCAGATGATATGCAGTCAGCCTCCCCACCCAGGTCGTGCCGACTAGCCAAGTTGCTTGCTCCACGGTCCGCATGTGTTGGGAACGAGTTTCTGACCTTCGCCTCTACGGCAACTCTCCGCCAGGCGTCCTCCGAGCCGTCTAGAGACACTCCTGTCGAGCTCTCGGTGGACTGCTGGCAGGTCAAGCAGATGACCTCTTTCTTCAATTGCCTCTCCGCCCCTAACAGCATGCAAATACACTCGGCACCCGCCAACGCGTCCGCACTGACAAATGCGCGTGCAGAGCAAGGCGTCCGGCGCAGCACTCCCGCCGGACTGCTGCGTCTCCATCCAGGGGATACGCTGCAGTGATATCCGCAGTGGGGTGAAGGCCTGTTCGGCGTATACGGACCTCGGACGTACTTGCGTACTAAGTGGAGGCCAGTCGCGCAGTGCTTGACACAGTGGCAGTGGGCGTCAACGTGCGACTTCGAGGCGCCACGTGAGAACAGCAGGAGGTTCGCTCCTTCGAACAACCTCCTTCGAGCTCATCGACTTCCTCCGAAAGCTTGATCGGAATGGCGCGAGAATGGATGCCCATAAGCGGGCTCGTCGCTGAGCCTGACCCCGTCGACGCCTCTCCTCCCCGGCTTGCATCTTTCGCTGCTCATTACATGCTTTGTAATCCCCAGTTTACCCGAAATGCTCGGCATCCGCCCTCTCACGCTGCGCCCGCCTCCCCGTCTTGCTTTCGCTCCTCGTAGATCCGTCGTACCTCAGCACGCCCGTATGTCGTTCACGAAGGACACGAGGACGAGGGTGAGTGCGATCTTGACCGATCATGATAAAGATTTGTCGCTGATGCGTATGGTCCCTTTGCCAGCTCCGCGATGGACACGAGATCCCTATAATAGGCTTTGGTACGGCTAGAACTCGGTCTCATGCAGTAGATGGACTTAGATCAACGGATGTACAACAGGAACCTACCAGATCACCGGCCGTGACGCATACAACGCCACCAAATGGGCTCTTGAGGTCTGTTCCCGGCACCTCGTTTTGCGTCCAACCCTAGGCTCTGACCGTACGCTCCCATCCACAGGCCGGCTATCGCCACGTCGTACGTCGCGCCTCTCCCCTCGATTATCCATCCCGGCCCACGTCCTCATGTCGCTGCCCATCCAGGACTCCGCGGAATGGTACTCCAACGAGCCCGAGGTCGGCCGCGCGATCCAGGACTTCTGCACCGCCTCTGGGACCCCGCGCGCGGAGGTGTACTACACCACGAAGCTGCAGACGAACCGTTCGCGCGCGGACGCCCTCGAGCATGCCCACGGTTGCCTTGACGCGTGCGGGCTCGGCCACATCGACCTCTTCCTCCTGCACTCGCCCATCGGCGGCCCCGCCGCGCGTCTCGACGCGTGGCGCGGCGCGCTCGACGCCCGCGACGCGGGGATCGTGAAGAGCGTCGGCGTGAGCAACTTCTCCGTGCGCCATCTGCAGGAGATGATCGATGCGGGGGTGGAGCTGCCGGCGGTGAACCAGGTGGGGGCCGGGAGCGTGGTTCCGCGGCTGGGGCTTCGAGCCTGACGCACCGTCATCCAGATCGACCTGCACCCGTTCATGACGCGGACCGACGTCGTCGGGTTCTGCAAGCAGCACGACATCGCCTTGGAGGTGCGTCCCTCCCGCTCAAATCGCAATCTCGAACGCAGTCTGAGATGTGGTCGTCCAGGCGTGGGCACCCCTCGTTGAGGGTATGCGCTTCCGCCATCCGACAATCGTGAAGTTGGCCAAGAAGCACGGCAAGGAGCCCGCGCAGATCCTCCTGCGCTACTCGCTCCAGAAGGGCTTCATCGCGCTCCCCAAGTCCTCGAAGAAGGCGCGCATCCAGTCCAACTTGAACGTCTACGACTTCGAAATCGCAGAGGCCGAAATGGCGGAGCTCGACGCCCTGGACGAGTGTAACTCGCTGCGTGTTCTGGGGCTTTCTATGTGCTGATGCTTTTTGTTTCTCAGATCTCATTACCGACTGGGACCCGACGGATACGCCGTGAAGTACCATGGACACTCGCATGGCCTTACGTCAACACTCCGGGGATCACCCAGTCTGGCACCTGGCGCGAGGGAGCAGTGGGGATATCACATCCGGGACCTCGAAGGGTACCAGAGATTCATAACCGTAGCCCAAGATATCAAGAGGGAATGTCATGCCTTCAGGTCTGTCTTCACGCCGTCCGATGCTCGAGTGGTGTTATAGGGGTCGATGACGCTGCAACCGGTACATGCGAGTGCGACTTTCTCGGCTATCGTACACTCCATCACCTCAGACTCGAGATGCAGACTCGGCACCGTCGTAGAGACCTATTTGGGAGCGTGCCCGAGGATGTTGAATCCCATGGCGAGACAGCGCCGAGTCCCTCCGCCACATCACGGATGTTGAATCCAGCGCGTGCCTACACGGAAGCTTATGGAAGCGGGGGGCGGCCTCAGACGGGGACCGCGGTGATGTAGCACCAGAGACCGACCGCGTTGCGGTGCACCCGGGCGATCTTCCAGCCCGACGCGCGGGTCAACGCCGCGAACTCGCGCGCGGTGCGCTCGCGTCCGTTGAACACGGTGAGCATCTGCCCGGTGCCCACAGCGTCAGCCAAAGCCAGAACGAAACGGGGGGAAGACGAGACGGACGCACGTGGAGGTCGGCGTGGTACGCGCCGGCATACGCGGTGCCGAGGTTGGGGAGCAGCGGGCTGTTCGCGGGCGCGCGCTGGAGGGCGGCGATCGAATTCACGATCTCGGCGTCGTCAGCGGGCACATTGCCGTCCGCGCAGGCATACGGCAGGATGTGCTCGGAGATGAGGAGCGAGGTCGCCGGGGTTGCGGCGGCACGGAGGTGCTTGAGGATCCTGTCGTGTGTTGTTAGATGAGGTGCAGATGATAGAGATGCGTTTGGACGCACTTGAGGCAGTTCTCGTCGTCATAGTCGTGCATGATGCGCGACAGAAGGAAGACGCTTGCCGGCTTTCCGTCGTCGCGAGAGGGCTGAGACGCGAAGAAGTCGGCCGCCTCGAACGCCAGGCGGCCCGACTCGAGGAGCGCCGGAACGCCTGGCTGCTGCCCCAGGATGCGCGGTGCGATCATGACCGTCTTCGGCGTGTCTTGCACAAGGACGCGAAGGTGCGGATGGGCGGCAGCGATCCTGGCGGCCACACCGCCGATGCCCCCGCCAACATCGATGACCAGGGAAGAAGACGGGAGGGTGTCCCACGGGAATGCTATGAAGAGGAATGAGGCACGGTGAGAAATAAGAGGTCGCATGCTACTCACCAGAGGTGTCCGCGATGTTCCCGCCCTCCACCGCCCCGCCAGCCGCCATGGCACGAGAGGCGATCGCAAGGTTATGCCCGTTCTCTGGACGCTGCAGCCAAGCGTAGAATAGTTCCTCCGTTTCGTACGCATAGTTGAACGGAGACTTATACTTCCACGTATCCGCACTCGGGGAGAGAAGCCACTCAACGATTGAGGTGATTGACTTGTGATCTTCCGTACTACTCGCGATAGCATGTGTGATCAGAGACCTGTTTAGTATGGATGCCGGAAGAGACGACATACATCATGGGAATGAGTGCGGCAAACCCATTGGTATCTTCGTACTTCTTCTCCCGTCTGCAACGATACGTCAGGTCGTTGCATGGGATGAGAGAATCAGAGGTGAGCTTACGCATCATGTAGTTGCTCGACGGTCTTGCCGGTGTCCAACAGGCTCGAGAAGCGGTTGTTGGCGAACACGTCAGGGCGAACTTCGCGTATCCCATGGTGCACTGCGAGCATGCGTAGCAGGTGGGCTGCGAAATGCCTCAGACCAGCTGTCGAGCCACGCAGATACTACAATGATCACTCACCGACCCACGTCGTGTCAATTGGCTTGATCTCAGCCCCCTTGGCCGCACCAGCACGGATGTAGTCGATCTTGGAGGCGATGTCATTGACGTGCAGCCCATTTGGTCCAGCTTCGCGCAAAATCTCAACAACGTTGCTCCCCTCGAGGAACTTCATAACGAAGGTGTTATGGATCTGCGGAGCCCCGGAAGTTCAGAATACGGCTCCCGAGCGAAGCGAGTAAACGTACCCCCATAGCCTCCTCAAAGGCGCACATGAACGGGTTGCGCACGTACGCGTTCAGGTGGCCGCATGCCGCCGAAATGACGCTCAGAGCCACCGCGACCTTGGGGTCCTTGCGCAACTCCTCAGCGGGGGAGGAAACAACGGGGTTGTTGGCGGTGGGGTGCGTCGAGGGAAGGGAAGTCAGGGACACCGTTCGCGGCGTAGACGGATTCAACCTCGTCGAGGGCAGCCCCCAGGGTGGCATGGAGGGCGCGGAGGGTAGCGAAGGTGCTCATTGTTGGAGGAAGCGAGGAAGTGGGGTTATTCTCCCATGGTTCATGAAGGAGACCTTATATGCGCGTGCGGCGAGGGGAGCTGCGGTCTGCGGAGGTCGCGTGATCATGTAGTGTTGCAAGGGAAAGTGAATTCGGCTGGAGAAGACGTCAGTCGAGATGATCGCCGGCACCCAGCCGCCCCCTGACGCGTCCTCATGCCGTCCGTCAGCCAGCACCTCCTCAGTCTAGCGTCCAGGTATCTTGACAGATGGCAGCGTCATGGACGAAGCCAATAAGCGCGGGGAATGACAGCATCCAGGTGACTCCGACCCAAATGTCCGACGCAGACGGACTTCAGAACTGAAGGATTCTCGGGCGAGGTCGGAACAATCGTCCCAGGGGACCTACAGGTGGGATATGGAGACTGCCGGGGTTGTGAGCTGTGTGGAACAATCCACATGGCTTTCGACGAAGGTGGCAGGCAAGGGATTTTGGACATGAACCTGTGAATTGAGTAGCTGTAGAGGTACACCATAGGGCCCTGACATATAGTACTCGAGGCGACACTTACAGAAATCCAATATATGGCGAGGCATCCATCTCAATCCTCCGGAGCATCGTACTGCGGCGAAAGGTAGGAACACGGCTTCGGGCCCTGCGCGAACGAGGTCACAATCCCAACCTCTTCCTCCACCAGCGCCTTCTTCCTGGGAGTGCTGGGCACGAAGCCAACCGCGTCGGGCGGATAAAGCGCAACATGATACTGCGGGAGTGTGTGTGCTCTGTCACGCACAGGTTTCGGGTAACGCGAACAGCGGACGTACCTTATGCGAATAATGCAGGATCTCGCACGCGGGCGCCAAGCCTCCCGGCACCTGCATTTCGCCCATGAATGACCGCGTGTTCCGGGCGTCGACCTCTGAAAATGCGGGAGGTTGCTGCGCCGATACGGAAGAGGCTACCGTGAGCGTGGTGGCTGACATTTTGAGCGTATCGTGCCACCACGTCGCTCGCGCGCGCTCGTACGGCTTAACAAAATGCTGTGGAGCGAGGCGCTGGGAGAACCGCGGCCAAAACGCGACGTTGTCTCCAAAATGCAGCTCCTGTACGAGGGCAACGTGGAGCGAGTCCAGTGAGAGCAGGTCGAGGAACTGCTCGTTAGCAGAACAGACGGTGAGGTGGATGTGGAGCGGCGCGCCGCGTGTGTACATGAGCTGCGCAATTGTGAAAGCATGAGGTTCGAGTTATGGAATGGAAGAAGGGGGCAAATGGACGTACTGGTTTAGTGAGAGAAAGAGTGAAACACGCGGAGACGGCAATCGTCTTGAAGAGGGTACCCTCGAGCGTTACAGGGTCAAGTGTCCTCCACGCATCTGGGTCGCCGGAAGGTCCGACGAGGGGCACGTTCTGTTGGTAAGCGAGCTGTTGCAGGATTGAGGCTGGACCAGGTCTCGCGAGAGGCACGTAATTGAAAGGAACCACCAATCTAGACGTCTATGAGCAAACTACTTCTTGACAAAAGACGCGCACTCACTTGCTGCTCGGTTTGAAGCCTCCCCGGTTTGCACGGAAGCTGAGCATGTACTCAATATTCACTCCTGCGTCTTCGTCCGAAAATGTCGGAGGAAGGCGATAGCGCTCCTTCTCCCCATCCACGCCCAGGACTGCGGATGACATGAGGATGTTGACGCCCTTCGGCAGGTGAAAAGAAAACGGCCATTTGTATGTCCCCCGCAGGCGCCCACGCTTAATTGAAGGAACGGTGGTGTCTTCGACGGCGGAGTAGAGCTTGCGAGTCATGAAGAGGAAATTAGATGGCATCGTCGCTGTGCGCGTGTAGACAGTCAGTCTTCCGTACAGCTGTGTGCGTTGTAAGTACATGTATAAGACCACGGGTCGAAGCGAGAGTATTCGAGCCGCCAATGAACCACCGGCTGCAGTCCTGCCCAGTGCGGAGCGCCTGTAGCATGGACCCGACCCCTGCTGCGCATATAAGGAGGTTTCGCGCTAGTCGAGACGCACGGAGCGACGACGTCTCGCCTAATGCCGCATGCCGCTGGAGACAAGCCCAAAGGTCGAACAGAGCGAACAGCTGACCCTAGCCACGACAGCAATGAGTTCGTCGTGCGAGGGCGCATACAGTCAACTCTCTCGCACGACGAACTCGCCGCGACGATGGTCGAGCGAGGAACGCGCACCACAGATCAAAAGGAAATGCGAACTCACAGAGAGCGTAACATCATCCATGAGCTCCTCCTTGTCCAGCTCCATTGTCACAGTCCCCTTAATCTCTCCGGTCTGGTAGAAGACAGGCGTGTTATCTGCGCTCGTCGCGCGGCTTTGCAAGCTCAGCGTGAGCCACCGCACGCCGGTCTTCTTGAGGGTGAGGAAGAACTGGTGCTCCTGTGTCGGGTCGGGCACGTCCCAGTCGTTCTCGGTGGTACGAGTGTATGTTGGGAGCGCGTTGGAGACATCGAGCTGCGAGGCCGCCGCTGAAGGGAGAAGACTTGGTGGAGGGAGGAATAGTGTCGTCATAGGTCCTTTTCCGCCAGAGGGGACCTGGCCAGGCCACCGAGGATGAGGTGGTGGTGGTGGTGGTGGGAGTGGCGAAAGAGCACAGGGTCCTGGTGGAAGGAGCCATGAAAGGTACAGCTGATAGGACTGGCCGAGAATGTTCCCATCGGCGTTGGAAATAGGGTATATTGAGACATGACAGCTGCCTGCGCGAGCGATAAGAGGGATGTGGGGAAACGTTGGAGGTGGTTGGAGGGAGGTGTGCGGAAGGATCTCGCATAATTGACCTGCTCAGAGATCTCGATCACTAGTCACTGTTCTGCGAATGTGCTCCAGCTCGCCAAGATGTCGATGACGGAAGGGCCGCCTTGGCGTCTATCTCGGGCCGGGACCTCGAAAGCGTTGGTATGGCAGAGCTTGCCACTTAGCTCACTGGTAGACTCGCTGGAGTAAATATTTGACGGAAAGTGTGAGCAATTTGGTTGCTGGCAGCGAATATAACATAACCCGTGAGGAAACAGAGGGGTGCAGAACCGGAGCGCCCACTACAACAAGTCGTCCTAGTCGGAAGCGCTAGTATATGTCACAGCAAGGATGGGGTAGATTCAACCAAGACTGAGAAGGCACTACTGTAGAGGACTTATTGACTAGCGAAGGCTATACTGCGGACTGGGTAGATAGGATAACGGTCGCGGACCCGGGGCAAAATCCGGCGCCAATGCGATCCGCTCAGTTACCCGGGCCTGAGACGCCTCCTTGCTCGGCGCGAAGCCAGCTACACTGAAGGGGAAGAGCGCCAGTTGATACTGGGGTGGGTGGTGAGCGTCGGGGTGGGCACGGCTTGCTGGGGAGCCACTCACGTCATGGGAGTAGTGGAGGATCCGGCATGCGGGAGCCAGATTCTCGGGAACAGTGATCTCGCCCGCAAACGTCTTCGCCCAGCAGCTGCCTGAGAGAGTCGACGCGTTCGCCTCAATGGGCCACCACGCCGCCGTCGCACGCTCGTGTGTCTTCATAAGTCCATCCAGCGGCGGACGTTGCGGATTAAATGCTGTTTCTCGGTTTGTCGTTCGCTGAACGAGATGCAGCCGCAAGGACTCTGGGGAGACGAGGCCGTGTAGCTGGTGGTTATCGCCCTCCACAACCAGCCGCAAGTGTATTGGGCCGCCTAGGGTGTAAGCCAGCTATAAAGCATCAGTCAAAATGGCAACAGAGCGTCCAATGACAAACAAACGAACTGGGCGCGAAATGGACAACTGTGGCAGTGTCGAGCCAAGCGTCAGACACAGAACGATCATGGGCACCGCGTGCAACCACGTACAGTGCAGATTGCTCGCACGGAGCTTTTGGGGTCCGATAACAGTATGCCGCCGATAACCATCGGAGTGAGGGTCTTCCACCCGTCAGGATCCGCATCCGGACCTACCAACGGCGTGGCACGCTGGTAGGAGAGCTGGCGAAGAGGCGAGGGGGGTGCGGGCCTTGTTAGGGGCATGTATTTGAGGGAAGTGGTGAGCCTAAAAGTCGACGATCGAGGCTCTCAGGCGCGGGAGAAGAGGCGACTCGTACTATGGCGAAAGGACACTCACTTGCTCTGCGACCGAAACCCGGGTCTTTCAATCCGCACGACGAGCTGGTATTCTATTTTGACCCCCACGAGGTTGTCGACGTAACTTGGAGGGAGGCGGAATTTGTCTTGGTGCTCGGCGCCGGTCTCGGTGAGGGTGGCAGTGGGTATGCTGACACCTTTAGGGAGGCGAAAGGCGTACGACCACTCGTAACGGCCTTGAAGTCTGCCACGCTTCCCGGATGACGAGGAGGTATCAGAGGAGGAGCGGTATACCTCTTTCGATAGAGCGATAAATTGAGCGGGCTGCGCGTTCGTGCGTGTACGGCTGATGAGTCGCCCATATAGCTTAGGGCACATGAGCGACGAGTCTCATGACAATGGAAAGAGACTCACTGCGATGGTAACGGTTTCAATCCTGTCCTCCTTCTCGAGGTCCAGTGATAAGGACCCTGCTACCTCGTCACCACTGTAGAAGAGTGGTGTCTCGCGGCCGGTGCATGCCCGACTGATTAGCGTGAGGGTTAGCCAGGGTAAGATGGACTTCTTGGCGTCGAGGTGGAACACATGTTTCTGCTCCGCTCTTTGAACGTTCCAAGCAGCGACCGACGTGCTGTCGAGATAACTAGGGAGAGATTCTAAGGACAAAATGGAGTGAACTGTGAGAGACAGGGGACGAAAAGGCGACAGTAAGTTTACCGTCGCTTTCAGTGAAGGAAGACATGTGAGCATGAGGGGTAAAAAAGAGCAGGACAAGAGTGTTGAACGTACAGAGGTCACCCAGGTTTATGTCTGCTGTCTTGTACATTCCGAATCAAAGAAGTCGCCCACAAGGCGCCTCCTGTCCGAGTCATCTTGACGATTCCCCGCAGCCGCGCCACCTTATTTCAGGAGAACTTAGGGCCTGTTCGGAGACCTGACACCGGTCGCATGCGAACGCTATTTACCTGCGGGAACAAACACCGCTCTCAGCGATTGCTACCACTCCGATGCTTGCGGACTGACGCTAGTACCGGTGTCAAGTTGCCGAACAGGCCCTTAGTCTCCATGGATGCACTAGTTTGAGTATGACGATCGTCCGATCGTCAGACAACGTAAGGGACATGCGTGCACCACGCGTCAATCCTGGTCCACGCAGAGAAGCGGGGGCCGGGGGATCTGGTGCATAAAGAAGTCGGTGATTATGCTGTGTATATGGTTATAAGCGTACATTCACAAACAGACATGTCGCAGTAATATCGGCCGAGAGATGGGACGTACGTTTGATTGACTGCTGCGCCGCTGCGTAGCGGCTGAGGAGTAACGACCACAGCGCACTTGTGCACTCCGAGTTCATCGGAGAACGACCAATAGTCCGCGGTAGATGGACTCGGACTCGGTTGAACCAACTTCCGGCGCTCGCTAGTAGGGGGCGTGCGGAGTTTTAACACATGTGATACTCCGTGGCCCCAGCTTTTAATTACCGCCACTCCGCTCTGAAAATATAAGTCCGATCAATAGTTGTGAACAAAGACAGGACAATTTCGGTATTGCCGCAAGAACAATCACAAGGCCACTCGGACCTTCAGTCACACTCCGGACCCTATCATCTGTCGTGTGGCATGTTCTCCAGACTCAATGATTCGAACCCCAAGTGAGCCGAACGCAGTGCATATGTACTGAAGTTGCTTTTCACCCCTCGAGAACACTGATTCGTCAGCGACAGCGTACTTGCACTCCAGGATCGCAGAAGTGAGAGTCAAATACTTCTTCAGAATTACACGGACCGCGCGCGACTCGGAGGACCATGTCTCCGCACCCGACAACTCTACGCCATCGTATGGCAACCTCGACGAAGTCTAGTAGCTATGTCTGACGTGGTGGGAATTGTATGCCCCACGCCGAATCCTCATTATCGCCCGTCCATCATGTTCTCCACGACGTGGTCAGTGGCGCGCCGCTGGGTCCGTTGGCAACTTACTGAAGAGAAACTACAGTTTGTCAATTTGCCAGACCTCATTTCCTTTCGTCCTCGAATTCCCAGGAATCAACGTGGCATCCACGCTTTTCACGCATGTTCATGCTTCAATGTTCAAGCTAACGAGGCCGCACCCCAGTTCCTAAAGGTCATATCTTTTTCCCAGGTTGCCTTCAGGAACCAATCTTCCTCGAAGTTCGTCCAGTGATATTCACCACCGTCGCGCGCAATGTGCGTCCCTCCTTTGCACACGCGTATTCACACCGCGCTGTGAGGAAGCGAGCACCATAGGGGTACCCGTGGGGGCGGGCCGGTCTGGATGTCGGGGGACACATGCAAGCGACCGGCGCAGACTCTCAGCGAGCTTCCTGAGCTTCACAGTAACACCGACCTGCCCTTCTCCAACACAACCTCCACTTGACACCGCCTGCTTCGGACGGTCCACCCCCCGCACACGCGCCGGCCTCGCATTTCCCGTTTTCCCAGCCCGCCGTCCAACACGTACAGCACAACGCACGGCGAGTTCGTGCCCCGTGCAGGAGTATAAGTCAACAGCCGCGGGCAACAGACTCCCAACGGCCGCCCACCCGCGCAGCCCTTCCCCCGGCCGCCTCAGTCCCCCCGCGCTACCCTCCCTCGTCCAAACTCAATGCCGCACCGCGCCCCGACGCCGCCGCGTACCTTCACCCTCCCCGACCTCGAAGGGCACTGCCCGTACGCCCTCGCCCTAAACCCGCACACCTCCCCCGTCGCGCGCGCGTCCGAAGCCTGGCTCCTCGCGCACGCGCACGCCTCGGGCCCGAAGCGCGCCCGCGCCGCGATCCGCCGCCTGCGCGCGGGCGAGCTCGCGGGCGCGTGCTACCCCGGCGCGTGCGCGCAGGCGCTGCGCGACGGCGCGGACTTCCTCGGCTTCCTCTTCACGCTCGACGACTGGTCGGACGAGTTCCGGGGCGGGCGCGACGCGGGGGGGCTCGCGGCGTGCGTCATGGGCGCGCTCGCAGACCCGAACGGGTGCCGGAGCACGAAGGCTGCGGGGCGGCTCGCGCAGAGGTGCGTGCGCACCCGCTTTGGCTTAGTTCTTGCTAGCGGATGCTGTCGTTGGTGACTCGGTCTCTGAGGAGGATCTAGCGCGAGCACGACGCTATCCAGACGAGGCGGAAATGAGCTGGGATTGCACCCTGGGCGCCGGGTGTGGGGCTGCGTGCGTGCGTGCTGTACTGACGCCATGTTCTGGTTTCGCAGCATCGGAGCGCGACTGCACGAGAACGCGGGACCGCGGTGTGGACGGCGGTTCATGGAGACGATGGACCTGTTTTTCCGCGCGGTGGCGCAACAAGCGAAAGACAGGACGCGCGGCGACGTCCCGTCCTTCGAGGAGTACGTCGCGCTGCGCTGGGACACGAGCGGCTGCAAGCCGTGCTTCGCGCTCATCGAGTACGCGGCGGGGATCGACCTCCCGGACGAGGTCGCGAGCCATCCGACCGTGCGCGCGCTCGAGGAGGCCGCGAACTCGTACATCTCGTGGTCGAATGTGAGCATGGGCCCGCCCGGAGTCGTTGTCGGCTTCTCGATCTGATTGCTCTTATCGTATCTTTGACGCAGGACATATTCTCCTACAACGTGGAGCAGGCCCGCGGAGACTCGCACAACATGCTCGTAGTGGTCATGCAGCGCCATGCGATCAGCCTGCAAGAGGCCGTCGACTTCGTGGGGGGACTCTGCGATGCGTCTATCGCGCGCTTCGAGCATGACCGGCGCACGCTCCCTTCGTGGGGGCCCGAAGTGGACCGCGCAGTCGCGGCGTACGTCCAAGGGCTGCAGGACTGGATGGTCGGCACGCTACACTGGAGCTTCGAGTCTGGACGGTACTTCGGGGATGAGGGTGGACACATCAAGAAAAGTCGTATCGTGACACTTCTGCCAAGGCAGAAGAGAGGAATGGGCGCGCTGTGGCAAAGCTCCGCCACAGAGAACAAGGGTGGTGCACAAACGCCTAGGCCATCTCTCAGACATAGGCTGACCTGCACCGGGGATGATGCATTCTTCTGTCATGACGATGTACTTCATGGTGGATATCCATAGTATTGCTTGAGGGGCCAGGGTATTCACATGTTCTTCCTGGACGCTTTAGTCAATTATTTGTCATGTATTAGACACTGTACAGTCTGGCACGCACTGCAGTAGTCATAGTAGTCAACTCATCTCACGACTGAGCCTCTTCCTCACCAACATGAAGTAATGACCGCAGACGGACTGGCAGAATTATTGCTAATCGAAGAGCGGGCCGCGCCCATCAATCACACCATTAAATCATACAGATACAGACTTCTCTTTGGCCTGCAGCAACAGGAAAGCTGAGATCGTTATCGCTTGCCACACCGGTCGATGACGTAATTCCTCGCCCGTCGCTGTTCTTGGCCACCTACCCCTTCCAGATCCTCAGGCATCTCGTCGTCGAGATTTGTCTGTGTGGAAATGAGGACCACGAGAGGTGGAGAATAATGATGACCTACACGCTCGCGATCTGCTCCGGCTTCGATCAAGAGACAGGCGGCTTCCGCGTGCGCGGATTCCATGGCGAGATGAAGAGGCGTGTTGCCTGTGGAGAGGCGCGATGTCATGAAGCATTTATTTTAAGATATAGGCTGAGAGGATACACACCAATGCGGTCGGCGGTATTGAGACGAGTCTTGGCGGCGCCCTCAGGCGGTTTGAGCAGAATATTGATGAATCCTGTGGACCCAGTTGTTGCTGCTCTGTGCCTGCAAATTGGAGTGAGTAAGACGTCATAAGCTTGTTCCGATAAGAGAGACACACAGCGCCGTCTGATTAGCTCGGTCCTTGGCGTTGATCTGTGGGGCTGCTATGAGTCCACCGAGGATGCCCCGAGATGGGCAGGATCAAACCGAGATACTTGCATCTGCCCCGCGCGAGATCAATAGTTTACCGATCTAGTGATCGAGAGTTGTTATGTGTTTGTACGTGTGTAACTCGGAGTGCGTACCTCGACCCTAGACTTGGAAGCCGCATAGTGTCTGGATCCGAAGTCAACGGGAGATATAACGCGAAGGGCGAGATTCTCACAGCGGGGTGAGGCCCTTCTCGTTCACAGCGTTGACCTCGGCGCCGGCCCCCAGGAGTTCTCGGACTACGTCCTCGAAGCCGCCGCTGGCTAGGTTACGCCAGGGCGGTTAACGCGGGCATGAGGCAAGTACACACGCAACGCTGTGACGGACCAGCGATGTGTAGAGGCGTCCATCCGCCACTATCGCCGCGGTTGACGGCAACTTTCTGATCAATGAGGTAGCGGACAGTGTCGACGGAGCCCGACGAGGCGGCCCAGTGTATGGGTGTTCTCCCGTCCTGGTCATATGTTCAGTGCCGGCACGAGAAGGCGGCGGCTGCAGACCGACCTCGTCCACGGCCTCCGCAAGTTTCGGGTCCTGCGAGACGAGCGAGCGCACGAGGCCGAACTGTCCTGCGCGGGGTTAACATGAGGCCCGCGGGCGTGCGGGGTTCACTTACGGTTCAGGGCGGCGTTGTGTATGGTGTTCGCAGCCATAGGTGCGGGCGAGTGGGGGGGCTGAGGGAGGAGTGCGCGTCGGGCGAGGCCATGACGCGTCGCGTGCACGGTCCTTCCCACGGTGTTACGCGAAGCCGTCACGGGCCACGTACGGGCGTCTGTCAGACGCCGGGCTTGTCGCAGTCCACGACGTCGTGAGTGCCTCGCCAACGGCATGTCTCCCTATGTACTGACCACCGTCCAGCTCTCAACGGAGATAGCTGCTGGATTATTCCTCCGCACATCTATAGTCATATTCCGCCCGCCCGTCCTCATGGCCGCGCCCTTGATTCGCATTAAGCCCGCCACTGAACCCGCCAAGGCGCCCGCTGCGGTGGATGAGCACGACAACTCCCATCGCTTGGTGTCATTTCTGCAGTCCCAGTCCCAGACCACATTGACGAGACTGTACCAGAAGCCGTCGTCATGTCTCTCAATATTCCGGTCATTCCTTCCGCCTACCTACGCTCTGTCTCCGTCTGACGTACAGGTCTCCCCAGGCTCCTTCGCCCTCTCGAACGCCAGCTGGTAATGAGCCTCCTATGGCTCGAGTCCCCCATTCCTGCATCCACCATCGCCGCCTGGGTCACCCGAGAAGGGCGCACGTAAGCGCCCATTTTATTGCTCTTCCTGATGTCCGTTGCCTCACATGCCGTAGGCCGTACCATGGGGCACTAGCCACTCTTGCCCGATTGCATATACTGCCTCAATCCACCGCAAAGCTCGCCCTGAACCCTACGTTCAAAGCGAGCTTCCGCCATGCCATTACTGGAGGGTATGTTTCCTCATCTCTCTCCACACACCCTCTCATTCTCGGGACAGCGGAGCAAGTGGCAGTTTCGGTGTTCTCGCCGACAGCGAGAAGCACCCGCCTCCAGACATTGATTCTCTAGACGCTTACGCGCTTGAACGGTGGGAGGTGCCCCCGATTATCTCCCTAGCGCGACAAGCCTCTCACACGCCATACGTAGACCATTTTGTACTACATGGTCTCCTCAGGGACTGGACAGTTCCCGGCCAAGCCATCAGGCGGCGTTCTGTACCTTCTCCAGCGAAGTGGGCTCATGGCGAGCGAGCGGTGAGTGCCTTCTATCCGCATCGCAGGTGGACCAGCAGTGTCACACCCGACAGCGGGAGTGCCCAGAAAATCACCTCCGCGGGGTTCCAATTTCTCCTTCACCCACCACATGAACAGCTCTGGGAGCTACTTCTGCAGTACCTCCAAATGGCAGAGGTATAGCTCAACCTGTGGGTGTCTACGGCATTCTGAACACGCGCGCCGCTTCCAGGAGCGACGGATGGATTTGGTCGAGGTCCTCAGTTTTCTTCTCATGATGTCCACTATGGAGCTCGGCAAGGTGCGATAATCCGGCTCGCTTTGTGGGCTCCGTTGATCGCTCACGTGCTCACATGTGTACAGGATTACTCAACCGAGCATCTCAGTGCGACGCAGAAGGCGATGCTCGAGGACCTCAGGGACTACGGCCTCATCAAACAGCGGTCCGTAAGTACCTTTGACGTCTTCTCGGATTGCTCGCCCACAACGTGGCCCCTCTTTTTTTCCGAAGGCGACATCGAGGAGATTCAGTCCGACCCGCCTAGCCACCACTCTGACGTCCTCAGCCCCTCCTCTCCCCACATCAACCAGCACTGGAGACGGTTCACAGGCACAGGGTTTCATTGTTCTCGAAACAAACTATCGGCTGTATGCGTACACCGGTACGTGTTTCAACCTATGGGATCTTCCATCGGGCGCTAACTCTCCGAAGACAACCCACTACAAATTGCTGTCTTGAACCTGTTCGTTACGCTCAAATCTCGGTTCCCTAATCTCGTCATTGGAGCGATTACCCGCGAGAGTGTGAAGAAGGCGCTTACTAACGGGATCACCGCGGACCAGGTATGGCGGCTTGCCAGCCTCGTGTGCCCGATACGTTAACGTGGCGTCGGAGTAGATCATCAGCTACCTGGTGACTCATGCGCACTCACAGATGCGCAAAAACGTAGGTCGCCGCGACCAGAATATTGCCGACTCCACTTGTCTGATTTCCCGGTATTCGCAGAAACCACTCCTGCCAGTCACCGTACAGGACCAGATCCGCCTCTGGGAGCTTGAGAAAAACCGCCTTAAATCACAAGAAGGTCGGGACCTCTCAGTTAAGCTCAACTACGTCATAGCATTGACCGAACCGTCCCCAACAGGCTACCTCTACACCGGCTTTGCGTCCGTGGCGGACTACGAGTACGTGCTCAACTATGCGAAGCAGCTCGACGTCGTCCTCTGGGAAAACACGGCGAAACGTTCCTTCTTCGGCAGCGTCGAGGGGCACGCCAACATTCGGGGGTTCATCGAGCGTCGAGCCGCAGCCGGGAATACATAGAGGCCCCTTGTTCCACCCCGCCGTGGGGCAGCCTCATGTCCTCTCCACGCCGCGCACGCACCCGTGTCATCACATGTTTGCATCATCGAACCCGGCTCGATTCGAACGGCCGCTCGGAGCTTCCGAGGGCCTGTGCGCGGTGTCTGCCTGCCCCGCCCGTGTCGCCCGCACACGGACGGCCGAGCGAGAAACGCCCGAATACAGCGTACAGTAACGGTGGTGTGGTGCGTGTCCCGTCCAAGGTCCGCTTACGTTGTCTGTCCTTCCAGTCCCGGCGCCGTCCCGTCCTCCGTTGATCTGTCGATGGAACCTCTCCGCCCCGCGGTCGAAGCCATGCGGGAACGGCGGGCACGGCTGCTGAGGTTGCCGTGGCTGCTGCTGCTACTACCGCCGCCGCCGCTCTGGTGCGGCAAATGTGTTTGCTGTGGCCGGCGGGGTGCTCGCTCGTGCTTCTGTTGCTTCTGCTCCTGCCCCGAAGCCGCCGCGCCGCGATCCCTCCCTACGCCCACTGCGCCGCGGGCGGGTACGACCGCGCGCGGAGGTGCTCCCGCGCGTGGGGCGCCGCCGGGAAGCTCGCCGCGGCGGAGAACGGCACTGGGGGCGCGGACGCCATCGCGGGCGACCACGGGCTCAGCGGCGACGCCGGCCCCGCGCCCCCGATGCTGCCGCTCCCGCTGCCGTCCCCGCCCGCGTGCGCCCACTGCCCGCCCCGCCGGGCGTCGTACGCGGACTGGTAGGGCGCGGCGGCGCCCGCGTGCGCGTATGCCCCCGTCGGGCTCCCGGGGTGGTGGTGCGCGTGGCGGTGTTGATGTTGGTGCTGGTGCTGGTGGTGAGGGTGTTGGTGCTGGTGCATCCCCGCCGACCCGGACCCGGACCCTGACGGCGACGGCGGAGCGAGCGGGGAGAGCGGGAGCGGGTCGTACACCGCCTGCTGGAGCTGCTGCTGCTGTTGCTGCCACGGGGACGGCGGCGGGGTGCCGTGGACGCTGACGTTGACGGCGTGCTCCCTCTGCTGCGTGCGCACCGCGCGGGGGACCGGGACGGGGGCGCCCGCGAAGGGCGGGCCGTGTGCGCCGGCAAACCCGGACGCGGCGGCAGCGGACTCCATGAGCGCGCCGTACGGGTCGTGCGGGAAGTACGGCGGCGGCACGGCGGCCCCGGCCGCGCGCTGGAAGCGCACGGGTCCCGCCGCCGCCATGCCCGAGGGCCCGGCGAGCTCGCCCGTGCCCGTCCGCGACGGGGCGAGCACGGGCGACGGCGTCGTGCGCTGGTGTGGGTGGTGCTGTGGGTGGTGGTGGTGGTGCGACCCCCGCCGGGGTTCCGGCGCGTCTCTGCAGCGGGAGCTCGGTCAGCTCGTCGTCGCGGCGCGCGAGGGGGCGGGGGCCGCCGCGGCCGCTCTCACCTGCGCGGGGCCGTCGCCGCCTCCTGCGGCCGCTCGAGCTCGGGCGGGTAGCGGAAGTTGGTCGAGCGCGTGAGCTCCGGGGGGACGTCGAGCGCCATCAGCTCCGGGACGGCGGTCGGGCGTCGCAGCGCGCCGCTCTGCACGTCCTCGGGGGTGTAGTACGCGATGAGGTGGTAGTCCGCGCCGTCGACCCGGACCGTGATCGTCTGCGGGGCGGCGGGGTGAGCATCGCGTGCGTGCGCGCGCGCCGGGGGGCCGCGGACGGACGGACGGACCTTCTTGACCAGCCCGCGCGGCTTGTACGCGAGCTGCGGCTCGGGCGGGCGGGCGGTGTGGAGGGGGGCGAGGTCGGCGTGCTGGAGGATGGGCCGCGCGCGATCTGCGACCTCCCGATAGAGCTGCGTGGAGGGGGTGTGGGGAGGCGGGGCAGTTAGGACGGGGCCGTGTAGTGCGCGGGTGCCGGCAGGAGAGCAGCTGGCGTCGACACGCACGAGGAAGTTCCCGGAGATGCGGGACTGGGACCAGGCGAGGCCCTCGGTCCACCGCTTGATGCCGCTCTCGTCGACGCTGAAGATGAAGACGGCGCCGCTCTTGACCATGTTCCGCCGCTCGAAGTCGTTCAGTCTCCGGGTTATTCGGGGTATCATCCCCCGCCGGGCTGCCTGGGATGGGTCAAAGATGACCCGGCGCGGGGCGCGTCAGCCGGGACGCCGGGGAGAAGGAGAGAGAGAGATAGAGCAGGGCGGGACGAACCTCGATGAGGCGGAGGGCGTCCATGGTGGTGTCGACGAAGCCCTCGAAGAGAGGGCGGGCTGGGGTCATGGTCATGTAGTATGTGCTCGCGGCGGCGGTGTGTGTGTGTGGGCGTTGACGGGCGGCGGCAGGACAGGGGAGCTGGAAGAGGCTGCGGCGGCGGGCCGTTGTTTTTATGGAGGACGAGTTCCCGACCATCAGCTTCGTTCCCTCGGAAATGAGACTGAGAAGAAGTGAGTGCGTCCCCGATCAGGTCGTCATGCGTCGAACGCTTTCAGGCCCAGTCGGACTGCATGTATCGCACGGCCTGCTCGTTCGAGCTGGGGCCGTGGTGCCGGCGGTGCCACGCGGGAGAGCTGTGTCCCCCGCCGGCGCCTGAGGCTCTCTCCCCCCGGCCTGTGTGCAGTCTCGGGCCCATCAATCGCGACGAGGGCCGAGCCTGGGCAGCTCGCACTGTGCATCAATTTGCGCGAGCCCGCCGCTCGCGCTGCACGCGCCGCCGTTGTCAGCCAGCGTCGCACGCGGAGGACCCTGGGAGGACCCTGTGGACGGTCGCCGCTGGTCGACGGTGGGCCTCCAGCGATGGCAGCGCCCCCGTGGCAGGGCCAAGAGCCGGGTGGGGCGGCGACAGCTCGTCTGTCCCGCTATGGGCCTCATAATGCCCTTCCCGGGCTGGGTCGCAGACAGGTGCCGTAAGCTCGCGTGGCGGGGGAGCACGCACACCCGCGCGGGGAACGCCGGGGACGGTGTTCACTGTCTGATGCAATGTACACATTACGAGCCATACGGCGGCCTCCAGCTCCCCGCGCGCGCTGGCCCGGCGACGGCGCGAGGCGGGCCCCCCGCGCGCGCCGTTTGGTTCGGCGAGGACGCGGTGCGATCGATGCGCGATCGCGGCCAAACCTTGTATTGGTCCCGAGCTCGAGGCAGCTGCTCGCGGTCGGCGGGCGCGGTCCCGGGTGTGCCCGACGCCCTCAACTCTCGATCGACGTAATCGGTCATTCACCCTCCCGCCTCCCGCCCAGCCAGCGTCCACCACGCGCTGCCGGCCCAGCCTCTCTCCCGTCCTGCATCTCGTCGCGATCCGCACGCCACACACCCTCGCGCGCGCACGCTGCGTTCGAAGTCAGAGGAGCGCGACGGGCCGTGTGTCAGCTGGGCAGTACTAGCGCAGGGGGGCGTCGACAGCGCTGCCCGCGCCCCAGCCTCGCCCACAGGGACAGCGAGGCTCGCGACGTCGGAAGGAGGGGGGGCTGGCGTGCGATAGAGCAGCATAAGATGAGTGCACGGCCGGCGATTGGCCGGGCCCGCGGAGGCCCCAGGGACGGGTCCTGCGCGAGCTGTCAGGCGTCGTGCGCACGTCGGACGAGACGTCGGCATCAGCGCCTCGGCCGCTAACGTACTTATGCCTCCAGCCCGGCTTCGGGCCCTCGGAGCTCAGATCTTCTCGAGAGCGTTCGTTCGTCGTCTGACGGCGTGCGGCCGCTTTGGCTAACGCCTTTTCGCCGATCGCGCGCGCAATCGATCCATCGCGCGCGCGACATTGGTCCCACCCCGCGAGCAGCTTGTTGTCTCGAGCGCCTGCAGCAGGGTCCTCGCACGCAAAGTTTCCGGCTAAGGGGCACCGCGCGGGGCGTCGACGGGCGAAGGGTTCGCGGCGGAGGGCCCGCCTCACCGATGCTTCCGCAGCCCGACGCGAGTTCGCACCAAGCCTAAACGAGGAGCTACTTTGGCAGCGCCCTCCCCCCCGAAACGGCACGTGAGCGACGACGGGGCGGGGGCAGAGGCAGCCGGCAAGGCTCGGGGCGGGGCGAGGCGAGGCGGTCTGGCCATTCGGGCGGGGGCGATTCGCGAACCTTTACGCTTAGCGTTTGATCCGCCTCCCCGCTAGCCCCGGATTGTGCACGTCTATTCCCCCAGCTCGCCGTCGCCCGAACGGGCGATCCCAGGTGCACGGCGGCGCGGGCGGACAACATAGCGTGCGCGCGCGAAGGGGGGGTGGGCTCAAGTGGGCCCTGCTCTGACGACATCGAGCCGCGCGGAATGCCAGGGCGGACAGCTCCCCTCGCACTTCCTGCACCCCCCTCGTTCCCGAGACAGCTGCGACGCATTTACTCAGTCAACATCAGGCGCCCGTCTTCAGCACGTCCTCCTCCTTCCTCTCTCGTGGTCGCCACAGAAGGTCAGAGCGGTCCGCGGAATCGGTCGACGTCGATCGGCGATACAGAGCAAGCATGGCGACCCGCTCCCCCCGCCACACGCCCGGGGCTGCGCGAGCACCTGCCCGCGCGGGCCATTCGCGACTGCGGCCAGGTGCGTACGTACCCTGCGCAGATCCCTCTCAGATCACTTGCCCGCCGCTTACTGCATCCACTCTCACCCCATCACGGCACCGTTCGCAGTCCAGCCCTCCGCGCGCCCGTGCACGATGCTTGAACGCACGTCTCTCCTCGTGGACCCAGTCCGTCCCCGCCAGTCCGCGGATTGTGGAGCACAGGGCCACCGAGCGGGACGCCGTCCCGTCGCCCGTCCACCAAGAGCCCCTCGCGGGGGTCCCGCGCACCTCCAGCCGAGGCCAGCAGCGGCGCGAGGAGATCTCTGAGCGGCCCTCGTGTCTCGTGCGGGGTCTGTCGGACCGACCCCCTCCTGAGTCCTCGCAACAAGCGGGTTGGGGGGGCCTGGGCCACCCCCACCGCCCCGAATTTGAGGGCCTCTACGGGGCACGGTGCACAGATCGGAAGGCCGAGTTTCTATCCACCGAGCGGGCGGGCGAGCGGACGACCGAACGGCCGCCGGATGCATTGCACATCGAGAAGGCGAGCACGATTGCGTTCGTGCTCTGATCACGGGCGCGTGCGTGCGCGTATCCACGGAGGCCCCCGCCGAGCCCCGCGCTTCGTCGGCGCACGGCGGGAAGTGAGTGGGTCCGCGGGCGGGCGCCACGGAGGAGGAGGGCACATGGAGGAGGAGGGCGCCACGAAGGAGCTGGCGGCCCTCAGGCCTCAGGGCCGCCTCTGCGAATTCATGTCGCCCAGCCAGTCGCCACGCAGGGCAGAGTTCAGACAGCCAGTGCACTGCGAGATCCTGATCCTGTGTGAGCGCACGGAATCTCGGGTCGCCTGTGTGGCACTCACCGCGTCGATCTTGCGGACGGGGACGCAAACATACCCGCCTATCCCCGCCGGGGTCCTACCGTCGACGCATCATCATCGCCAGGCCACCACGAGGCGTATCCACCGAGGAAGGGCGAGCGAGCGGGCGCGGACTGGCAACGGTGCGCCCGCGGCCGAAAGCGGGGTGCGGACAGCGACCGACTCAGACGACGACGTGCACCGACCCGCGCGACCCTGGCTCTCTCGGGGGGAAAGGACCCTCGGTGGACGGATGGGCCGGGTATGTTCGGGTATGCCTGGCAAGGTGTCAGCTTCGTCATCGACGTGTGCGTTCGAGGACGGGCCCGGGAGAAGCGTTCACCTCCCCCTCTTCGCTGCCACCGGCGAGAGAAGAACAAGAGGGGCCCGGGACGCCGGAGTGAGCTCGTCGCCATCGCCCACGGCAGGGCGCTCGCCGCTGCGCACGCGCGTCCAGCGCAAGCTTGAAGCAAACATACTACACCGTCCGGGTGCGCCCGAGCGCCGGGCGGACAAGGCGGAGCGCCCGCCCCGCGCGCGCCGGGCCGCGGATCAACGCGAGCCCCGCCGCTGCGGCCCGCGGGCGCAGAAACGAGGGAAGAGGCTCGCGATCGCGCTCGACGGGGCTCCTCGAGCCTGAGCGCTGAGCCCGAGCCCGGCCGCGCGCCAGCGACGACGGTTCCGAACCGCTCGTCCGAACGCGCAGCGAAGGTCTCCCCCCCGCACCCGCCCGCTGCGGCTCGGGCAGTTGCTATAGATATGGCGCTTCGCGCGGCGCGAGCACATGGCGCGCGCGTACCGCCCCGCAGGGCGTGGCAGGGCGTGGCCCGCCGGCAATGCAGCACGGGTGACGGCAGCCAGCTTCGACGCGGACGGTTGCAGAGTAGAGCGGCGGAAGCGGCAGGACGCGGCAAAGGAAGGAAGGAAGGGAGGGGAGGGGGAGGGGGAGGGGGCGCGCGAGCAACGTGGATCAGCGCGGACAGTGCGCGCAGGGGCGGGAGGCACGAGGCGGCGCTGTTAGATTGCGCGCGGAAGCACGGCGTGCGTGTCCCCGTCGAGGCCGAAGCGGGGACGCGGCAGGACGCAGAACACGTTTTGCGGTGCGGGGGTGGCAGATGCGGGTACATTCGGAACCCGAGCACGAGCACCTTCCGCCCGCCGCGAGAGTCGGTGACGTCACCGGCGTGTGGTCCCCGCGCGATTTCGCGCGGCTTTTCCGCGATGTCGACAAAGCCGCCCGCACGGCATGAAGGGCGGAGAGCGACTGATGAAATCATGAAATCAGCGGGCTGAGACGAGAGAGGGACTGAACGCGTTGCCCCATCTGGTTGGCTTGGGCGTCCGGCGAGTCAAACAAAAGCGTTTAAAGCATCACATACCAGCCCCGTCGCCAGCGCAATTATCGCACAATTTACGCCTGGTCGTGGTCTCGAGCGCGGAGGACGCCGCGCAGTACTCTTGGTGTACAATTTGTAGTTGACGGCGCTGCGGAGCCAGAAGTTTGACAAACCTGCCTGGTTAAATTGCGGGCTTAAGTCGTCCACGAAGAAGCAGAAGGCATAGAAACGCGAACGCTGACATGTTTAAAAACGCCGACGATCTGAAAGCGCCAGAATGAGTACCAGGCCAGCCAACAATGCGACGAGTGTAGACACATACCACGAGACTCCTCAGACCGCCCCATCCACCGACACGCACGCGCACACAAAAGGAGGTCAATGAAAGCATACTAATCGCGCATGCTACACGCGTGGCATAGGAGAGCTTGCTAGTGGTAGATCTAAATACAGCGGGGGTGTGTGGTGCTACATCCTGAGACACAGACTAAACGAAGGCGTATGTGTATTCTCCAGTAGGGTGTAGGTAATAACGTAAGGGATCGCGCGCGCAGGCTTGCACGCGCGGCGGGGGGACGGGGACGGGGGTCACGGAACGGAGGGCCAGAACAAGGAGCGAAGGTAATAAGTATGCACGAACGAAGAGGAAAGGTCAACGAATGAAAGGGGCGCGGGGCTATGTCATAGGCATACGGTGGTGGAAAGCGCGAAGCCCGGCCAGTCGAAACGGAGCGATGTACATTTTCAGCGCACATCAAGCAAAGTGCACGGGAGGATGGGTGGTATGGCACAGGGCGCAGAGCGAAGGGAGTAAAGTGCGAATAGGAGTGTGGAGTTAGCCCCCCGCCGCGAGGCAGGAAGGAGGGAAGTAGAGTTCTAGGTCGATTACAGCGCGTGCGCCGCAGATACTAGGATAGTGCGGCGCAAGGCCCACGCGCTGGCTGCGTGGCCCCCAACGCCTGGCCATCGCGATCGGATGCGAATGTCGCCAAGGAGAGCAGGAATACAAAGGGCGGTGGATGGCGGGCGTAGGACATGTCGAGGATACCTGTGGACGAGCGGACATAGTCAGCACCGCATGTCAACCATGATCAAACCATCCCGCCGGCGCACGGGAGACGAACGGAACGGGGTAGGGAAGTAGGACGGCACCCATGACAGGAGCGGAAAGTTGCAAGGCACGAAACAGATACACACCTTCCAGGACCGCCACGCCGTGTGGGGACAACTGCGCCCCTTAATCCTACTGGCGGAGGGGGAGCAGCTCGACCTCGAGGGTCTGCTTGACCTTGGCCGCGTCATCCCCGAAATAGCGCTTCGTCTCGAACGACCACTCGGCGTTGGCGATGATCCAGTCCTCGAGGCCCTGCACGTACAAGCCGACGGCGCGGTCGATCTCCTCGCCCCAGGACGGGATCTCCTGGCGCGTCTTGAAGAAGTACTGCAGCGTCTGGTTCCACAGCTCGTACGCGAGCTGGATAGCCTCCTGGCGATCGCAGTTGTTGGCGGCCATGAGGACAACGACAAGGTTGTGCGTCTGCGCATGGGACCGCGCGTCAGTGCTCCGGTGCAATGCGATACGGGGATGATTACTCACGTCACCGCGCGACTGTTCAACATTGTACGAGAGCACGTCCTGAGAGGCGGAGCGTTCGTCAGCCGGAGGTGAATGGACGGATCACGAGATGAAACGCGAAGAGCCGTGCGAATTGTGGTACTTACGTTCGCCCAGGAGACAAGGTCGTTTGTCGCGTTCGCGAGGCCATCGATGACGGGGTGCTCGACGACGTCCACCGGCAGATCGATGCCCGCGGCGTACTCGATGAACGCGAAACCAGTCTTGCAGCCCGAGGTGTCACGGCGGAGAAGGATGTACTCCTCGAGATCGGGGACGTTGCCGGAGCCACGGTCGGAGGCCTGCTGCATGATCGCCTGGAAATACACGTCGAGGGTGTACATGAGACGCTGCTGGCACCCAGGGCCCGCCGTCTCCCGCATGCGCGTCCAGAACCTGAGGAGAGACAAAAGGCGTGCGCCACGTGATCAGCCTCATTGTACTGGAAGGGGCGCCACCGTTCCCACATCCAGTGCGGACATGAGATGCGCGCGGCGCAGAGCGGGTGGGACTCACGAGTGCGTCAGGCGGTAGGCAGCGGTGTCGGACTTGAAGGTGTCGGGGTGGTAGAGCGTGTTCATGATGCACTCGCCGAGGCCGCGCGTGCCGGTGGTGTCGAACTCGTCGGTCCAGTCGTCGAGGGTGAAGAGGAAGTTCATGAAGTCGGTGCAGACGCGGAGCTCGTCGAAGGAGCAGTCGATGTAGCACATGCCGGAGAGGAGGCCCGCGTTGAGCCGGAGGAACTTGCCCGTCTGCTTCTCGGTGAAGTTGGCCATGCTGAGCAGCCACTGCTCGGACTCGCGCGAGACCTGGTACTCCTGCGCGTGGCAGCGGAGCTTGTAGGGGATGGGCGCGATGAAGTCGGGGAACTTGAGCATGATCGGCGCGGGACGGGAAACCATGGCGGCAGGAGGAGAGGAGGTGGAGGAAGTGGAGGAAGTGGGGGGGACGGAGGAAGAAGACGTGGCGGACGCGGGCTTCTCATACTTCCCAGAGCCGAGGCGGGGGACAAGCGATGTGAAGGGGGCGTAAGCGAATGACATGACGTCGAAAATACAGAACGAAAAGAGGCGGCGGAGGAAGTACAGGATCTGGGAGAAGCCCATCGGGAAAGTAGAGGACACGCTGGGAAGACGAGGGTCCGCGCCAGGGACTTTATAGCTTGCCGAGTGATGCGGACGGCGCGGAGGAAGGGTAGACTGCCGTATTGTTTCTTGACGAATCTGTCAGACGGGCACGCACCCAAAATGTAACGCCTGCGGGGCGATCTCCGGACGGGAAAGGCAAATTGCTGCTTGCCGTCAAGCTCGGCCTCGCGCCGCCCTGCGCCGCCCGGCCGCCCACCACGCTTCTTGGTCGGCCCACCCACGGTGTTCGAGGGCGTCGTCGGGCAGGACGTCGACAAGACGCGCGGAGACGTCCGCAGGCGGACAAGGAGAGCAGCCGGCAGGGCCAAGAAGCCTATGCCACGCTGGGGATAGGAGCAGAGCCCGTTGGCGGGGAGACCACAGAGGTCGTCGAGCGCGCTGTCCCGCCGGAGCCCGAGCCGGAGCGTCTGAGGCGGGGAACACAATAAGTGTCAATGTCGGCGACCCTTGATGGTGAGACAGCGGCTTGTGTCTCCCGGATGGAGGCCATGGCCAGATTCGGGACGGACGGCGGGAGCTGGGAGCGATCTGTTGGCCGATTCGCAGGGCCCAGCACGATGGCGGGTTTGGACGATGGGCGGCAGCAGGGAAGAGGTAATGGAGAGGGGAGGACCTCTACGCGGTCGAGTTTCAAGCTTTCCGGGCGGTGCGCGGTCTTCCCAGGCGCCATACGGGCACCCCGCGCGGGCGTGCCAGACGGAGGCGAAGACGCGAGCACGTAACCCGCACATGACTGGATCCAGGACTGGCGAGCCAAACGTGGCCGTCCCGCCTCCCTGCGACGCGCGAGGCGGCCTGAAAACAGTCCGCACTGCCTCGCCACGAGCCCAGGACGGGTGTAAGTGTCTTCGTCATCTGCAGTGTTCGCTTTCTCCGATGCTGCGGTCTGGGCTGTCGTGGCATCATCCCCGCAGAAGATGCACGAGCATACCAGCTGGTGTCTCGGTGCTTCCCCGTTTACCACTCACCGAGTCATCGTCGTCCAGACGGCCAGGACCACCGCCAGCCCTGGTCTCGCTTCTGCTCAAGGTTGAATCCGCTTCCGGGCGTCTGTGTGCCGTACATCGCAGTCAGCAAGGCAAATCGAGATCGAAGCCAAGTCCAGGGCAAGAACGTCGTTGGCACGCGGCGAGCGCACGACAATAACGCGAGGCGGAGCACGGCGCGGCCAAGACGACCGCTCGATCAATTCATGCACAATCTCCGATGGCGGCACAAGCCATAATTTTCGTACCCCGCTCCCGTCTGCTGTCAAAATTAAATCGCCGCTTTCTCCGTCCCACGCACTCCGCGAACCGTCTGCCTCCGAGCGTCTGTCCTCGGCCACAGCGCTTGTCAGTCCTCCGCTCGACGCCTTCCCCCTCACTCTCCATCGGCCGGATCGTGCACCACATACGCTTGTTCGCTCATCGATCCTCGCTCCTCTTATCGCTCATTGTGCTCGCTTTTGTTGTCCACCCTCACATGCCGCCTCCCACCAACTCCGCCCTCCCGCTCAATGTCGCTCCCGGCTCCCGGCCACAGACGGCACAGTCCAATCTATCCACCGCCACTTCGACCACAGCCGGAGCTCCAAAGCCCGCCAGCGCCCCCGACATCTCCAGCCCCCATGAGCTCACGGCGTTTGTACGCAGCCGGTAATTCCTTCGTCCTCTCCGAACTGATGTCCTCCCCGCTCCCGCTACGCGTTTGGTGTACCCCGCTCCGTGCTTCACTCCGTGCCATCCATTGCCATTAGGTGGAGTCCCTACTGGAACAGCTGGACCAGAAGTTCGACGACATGTCCAACCAGATCCTCGATCGCAGTGCGTGCTCTCTCCATCCTGATGCCCACAGCCCTCCGCTGACCCGACCCATCGCGGCGCCGGACTCGCGCCATCCCTCCCTCCATCCATCCATCCGCGCACACGAACAGTGACGCAGATGTCGAGCCGCGTCGACGCCCTCGAGGCTTCCATCCAAGACATCATCAACAGCGACACCCCTGGCCAGCCGCCGTCCAGCCTCCCGCAGTCTCCGTTGGTGCCGTCGATGAGCCAGCGCAAGAGCGGTGCGAGCGGCTGAGCGCGGCACTCTCCTCGTTCCTGCCCGCGTTTCGGACCCTCGCTCGCGTCCGGCCTTGTGCCCTTGCACTTGCCGGCCCCCGTGTTCCTGTGCATGTATGTATCAACTTCGCTCTATACCCACTTGCCGCGCCACGCCATTGCACCATCCTCTGCGTCTATCGCTCGGTCCCCGCGTCGCTCCGCGGAGCTCGAGACGTCTGTCCTGTCTATCCTATGGCTGGTGGCGAGGGCTTTAGTGAGGTGGTGCGGATGGGAAGGTGCAATAGCACGCATTACCGGAACCACACGCGTCCCGTCGCGCCCACAGAAGATCGGTCATGCGCCTGTGACGAGAAGCCAGAAAGCCACACTGGACGCCGCGGCCTCGCTAGTCCCCAGCCCTTCGCACATCGCTTCCCGATGTGACGGAGGCTGCGGGGCCCGCGTCCTTATTTCCGTCTCCGCGCCGACGCTCGTCCAAGCGAGGCAGCGACTACACACGCGCGGTTCCTCCAGCTTCGACGCTCGTGGTCTCTCGCCCGAAGCCCATCGGCCCATCGGGGCGATGAGATCCTGTCGGGCGAAGTCGAAGGCTTGCGCGAGCAAAGGCTCGCGAGTCGGCGCGCATCCAGGTCAGCACTCTCGCCGGATCGCAGAGCTTTATGCGCATCTGTGCACATAGCCTGAGCCACGGCGGCCGCACCTCGCCTAGAGCCCTGCGAAAAAATACCCCCGCGCCCCGCGCCGCGTTCATGAACGGACCAGGCGTTCATGCCCGCACCTCCCGCCCCCACGTGCCCCCATCCCAATTGTCCATCGCGCGCGGGGCAGCGGCCGTGCCGGCAGGCCCAGTCACCAGCCACACAATTAGGTCGCACGCACCCGGTTCGGAAGGGGCAAAGCCAGTCCCTCCGCCGGCGTCGCCGCACGGCGGTCTCTCGTGATTCGACTTCGTATTCGTAGCGTCTCCGGAGGCGACAAAAATAAAACTCCACCGCGCTCAGCCCGGACGCCGACCGCGCGAGAGTGGGGCTGGAGGGCGGGGGAGGGATGCTCGTACGGAACGACCGTGCGCGACGGAGGAAAAGTTGCGGCGAGGGCGCGTCGGACATTAGGCAGGACGAACGGCACTGACACGGTGGCGCGACGGAGACCGCGGACTTGCGCTTGGCGCCAGCTGTTTACAACGCACTGCAGAACGACTGTGGTCACTGTTATCGCGTGCGATGTGCTCTACGTCTCGATGTGCGTTTCGTACGCTGGAGGCCGCGCTCGATTCTTTTGTCACTGTCTCCGTGCACGCTCTTCTGCTCATTTAACGAGGATCTGCAGCCAGCAAACGACCGAGACGCGAGACGTTCGTGCTCCATCATATACCCCAACATCGTATCCCAAATCTATCCAGATCCCGAGGACCCACAGCGCCATCGACGGGGCCGTGCTCGCAGGACAGATTTCGGTCCCGCACGCAGGTCCGTGCCTTGGCCCCCACGCGAGGTACCGTACGTATCGCTCAGTCCAGCTATCGATGCCTGGGCCCCGCACAGCGTATGTACTGCATGGCAGCACACCAGCTCGTGATCGAGTGCGACCGCAATCCCCGCACAGCGCGGAAGCGCTCCCGCGCTACGTCAGTGGCGTTAGAGTGAGTTCCGCACCGTGGCCGCGGGGCGCACGTCGACCCGCGCGGGTATGTAGCCCGGCGGTGACGCTCTGTACGTTGAAATTAAATCACAGTGCGAGCCTGCTTTGACTTGATTCATTTCGTCCGCCCTCCAATCTTCCACGCAGGCACGGGGCCGTCATGATTCATCGACGGTATCCCCACCCACCCGCCTCGCCTGGCGGTTGGCGACCAGGACAGACCGTGCGCACGGCCCCGCAGCGCGCGGAGACGCGCAACGGCGGGAGCGGCGCGTGTTTGTGGTCCTCTCGGTTCCGCGCTCCGCGCTCGCCTCCCTGTGGCGGGTGCGCGCAGGGCTGGGCGCCGCGCCCACAGGCCACTGGGACGGCGGGATGCCAATCGCCTACCAGTATCGGAATGGAAGTCCGCGCGGGGATTGGCCCCCCCCCCGCGGGCGCGTTTGGCCCTGAGCGCCGCGCACTCGTTTCGCGAACCGCGACCCCCTCGCTCGAAGCGGCCTCGACGGCGCACGACGATCGCAACGCGGAGGTTTGCGGACGACGGCGTGAAACGCGTACTGTACCATTTCGACCCAAAGTTCATCGATTTTGGGCGTGACCATGAACTTTTCCAGCCGAAAAAGTTCATGGCCCTGCGTGACCGCGGACATCAAAGTTCGCCCTGTTCATGGGCCCCTGTGACACCATGAATGTTCATAGCGCCGGTCGACCTTCTAGCCGCCCGCGACTATATGATGATGACAAACGCGCAATATTGTGAATATCAGCGGCTTGTCTAGCGGTGTCATTGCTCTCGCTGAAATGATTATAATGTGTAGGCTATAATGGTAGTGCAATTCAATCGCCAGAGACGCAGACAGCAGCCTGCATCTGTCGCATCGCCTTCGCCCGGACCTTTTGCACCTGATACCCGCGCCAGGCATCCCTCCATCTGCAAGGATCCTGTCACGGGCGACCTCGAAACGCATGATCCGACCAATAGTCTCGCCATCGACGAGGGCAGCCGTCGCAAGTCGACGAGGAAGAGCACAAGAGGATGGTCGATGTCAACAGGTTGGGATATCCGCTGGGAGCGTGCTGGCACGGATCTAAGCGCCTTGTGAGCACCTAATCCGGAAGGCGACCTCTTCCCACGCAGCCCAGAGAAGAGGATGAAGCTAGAGTGGGTATCCATCATTATATTTCCAGTCTGACTATCTCAATATACATGTAATGCTTCCCCTGTGCATAATCCGTCGTTTTTTCGTCGCTCAGACCGCTGGAACGGCGGCAATTTAGACGCTGTGACCTTCCGTGGGCGGAAAGTTCATGGCCCTCCGTGACACTTTGATCGGAAGTTCATGAGCCTGCGTGACGCGTGACATGAACTTTGGGTCGAAATGGTACAGTACGTCAGGCTTTCGGGCTGCCAGCAGGACAGCCGACGGCCCGTGGGGGCCAAGTCCGGCAGCGAGCGCGCGCGTAAGCGTAAGCGCACTGACGGGGCCGCCGCTGAGTTCGAGGTGCCGCACCGCGACGTCGCGACATATCCTGACATATCATACTGATCCCGGGTGCTCAGATCTCAGAAAGACAGCACCAATTGGCGGCCGATGCGTGCATCAAGCACGCTACACGCGCGCCAGACACGGGGGGATGCGGAATGCCACATACGGAACGCCACGTACGATGAGCTCCGAATCTGGGTGCGGCCTCCAGCTGCCAGTGCTAGTGCGTCCATCACTCGGTCCGATGCATTTCGACGCTCTTTGCTCGTGCCCGTCGCCAATGCTCCCTCCCGCGCGCACTCAAGAGCACACAAGCCGTGGCAGAACATACCCCGACGCGACCGCGTTCGCGCCCGCGTTTGACGGCCTTCACGCTACCGGACCCGCGCGGTTCGCACTTCGGGAGATCGTCCTCCCAGAGTTGCGTCGTCGACGCGAGCGGCACTTACGGCCTCTCCGCGGAGCCGCCGGGGCATCCTCAAGGCCTCAATGCTCATCCCACGGCCTCTCCATCTCCATCAAGCTGCCGCGCCCTGACACAGGCCGCGTTTGAGGCCTCTGCGGACGTGCGGACGTGCGGACGCGTCGTGCCTGGTCCATCCAAACCAGGGCCGTCCACAGCACCCCGGGCAGCCGACTCCCGAGTCGACAGAGGAACCGCGCGCGCTGCGTGGTTGGCTTGGGAGTCGAACTCACCATCGTGCCCGCCCGTGCGTCTTCAATGTGGCCGTTTCGAGGCCCTGAAGCGCCTCCAGCTGCTCAGCAGGGCCGCCAACTGTGCCCGACGTCGCACACGGACCCGCGACGTCCATTATGCTCCGTTCACGGGCATGGCCCGCCGGGCTGCAAAAGGCTGATCAATGCGCCTCCAGAGGAGCCCTCGCGCTCGGGCGGGCTGATCCGCTCGACGCAGAGAACGCGAGGAGACGCGAGGGCGGCCGCGATCATGGTCCACGGCCTTGCCTCCTCGACGCGCTCGATGGACCGCGATAATTGCACACCGCCACCGGGCCCACGCCCACGCTAAAGTTACGTATCGGTAATTGAACGTAGTCTTTCAGACGGAGAGAGAGCAGACACTGCCAACGCCGACGGATACTCGCACACGCACGTCACCTCCGCAAGCTCATACGCCTCCTCCTTTCGATGCTTCGATGCTCCTCGGCCCCTTCCTTCCTTCCCGCGCCGGCCATCTTGGGCCTATGGTAAGCGGCTCGCACCACCTCCGCACGCTCCACTGCACGCCGTCGACGTCTGGCCGGTGTTCAGTCGAGCCCGGGTGTCGATGTCGGCGCCGCGGGCGCAAGGACCCGTCGTGTGGGGGCGGAACCGGGGCCGCCCCCGCCACCGAACATTGCCGAGATCATGTCGCCCAACGGGTTTTGCTGGGCGCCGCGGGGCGGCGGGATGGCGAAGTAGAGCTCGGCGAGGTCGATAAGCGCCTGTCGAACGCCCGAAAAGGGTGTCAGAGTCAGAAGCAGTCTACACCACGTGGAGAAAACTTGGAAAGGGGAGCGAGAAAAGGGACGACGAAGATTTGGAGGCGAAATCTGACAGGGGCGGCGCAGCGAGGGGGCCCGAAATGTTTGCGAGATGAAGTGCGCGTGCGCAGCATCTTTGGAGGCCCGTGCCACCCGCGATCCCTGGCGCTGAAAACACGCAAGATCCGGAAAACTGGCCAAAGACCCAATTGCGGGGTGCGGTGCAAAGCAATATGCAGCAACCCTGCGGGCAGGCGGCAATCCGCCCTGCGGCGGATGGGAGATGCTCTATCAAATTGGGCGCAAGACGGGAAAGGGCGCAGGGCATGAGAGTGGCCCGGATGACAAACGTCCCTGGGATAGGTCGCTGCCCGTCCGTGCGATATGCACAGACATATCGCATAACGACATGGTTGCGCTGCGGAGCGTAGAACCGGAACGAGAGCTGACCAATCCAAGTGGGAATAACAGGCACGGACGCACCTTTCGGACTTCGCGCTCGGCGATGACGCCACCCTTGCTCTGGTACGTTCCGCACAAGCGGACCCAGGCTTCGCGCATCTGCTTGTTCTTCTCGCCCTGGGCGCGCTGACATGCGCGAACGGCGAGCTGGGAGAAGTTGAGCGCCGAATCCTTTGTGAAGATGATCTCGTCCTGTTCGCCGCCGTCGGATGGCTTGCCGATCGGGATGGGACCCGGTTGAAGCCTCGACAGTAAGTCTGGACGCTTGGAAGTGGATTGCGAGACGAGGTGGCAGATGAACGTCCGTGCCGCGAGGATGTGTCCGTTCTGCAGATACCTGTGGGCGTTTGGAGCGGGGTCGAGGTGCAAGAAACGAAATGAAGGGGTCGATTAGTGAGCGCTACATGAGGTCGCCAAGACGGATACATACGGGAGAGTACCGCGCAACGCAAATGGGCCGATCGGACCCTCTGCTCCTGCCCATTCGACAAACATCTCCGCGAGCGAACGCGCGCTGTCGCGCTTTCCAGCGTTGAGGAAATGCGACTCTGCCGCATCGAACGATCCCTCTGTTGCATGTCAAATTATAGTGTGAAACACAATCAACCGGGGATACTCACCCTTGTATAGCAGCTCGCCAACATAATGGTGAAGGTCGGGATCACCAGCTGGGTGCGGTCCGGCTTTGGCTGACCACCTATGCCCGATTACGCTGAGTACTCAGGATAGGAGGAGATGACTTACGCGATTGACTTGTCAATGATGGTTTTACGCCATGCACCATCCGGGCCCGCGAGGGCAATCAGCTGCGTTAGGCGGCCTGGTGAGTGAAGACGGTGAAGACGAGGAGGGTAAGCGCATATGACGGACGGAAATGATCTCACACTCACTCCGGCTCTCATCTGTCACCGCTTCGCCCTTCGCCTCGTAGACATCCACCAGGAAACCCGAGAGATCGGTCCCACTTCCCTGCTGCCGGATCTTGAGGAGCTCGCGCGCAGATTGGAAGAGAACGTCAATGGCAGTATCGTACTGTGCCGACTTGCTGTATCGCGAGGCAAATGTTCGAGCCTTCTGGTGGGCCTCGTAAGGCTGGCCTGCCGCGATCAGAGGTAGGATTGCTTCAAGTGCCCGTGCAGAGGACGCTGCTTTTGGTGGCATTGCAGGAGACGGATGCGGCGGAGGTTGTGCAGCTCAGGAGATCTACCGTACTGAAATAGATGGGTATCCTGGAGAGTGCGAGGTAGCGGGAGAGAGCGTGTGCTGGAGAGCGAGGAACAGTACTTGTTGCGTTTGCTGTGCAGGACTACTCGTCCAGGCTTCGCATGTCGGATGGCGTATGTGTCCGGCGGCCCGGGCAGGAGCCACCGCGTACAGCCAGGATTTAGACGCGGGCGGACTTGAACTGGACTCCGACCATCTGCTCCTCCAGCATCTGTCACGGGCCAAAGCCTTGTGTAAAATCTGCTAATCAATCTGATACATAGCAGCTCGCCAGAACACCTTTAGTGAGTTCCTTCGCGACGCCTGGCGCTGGAAAACAATACTGAACGCCTCCCGACAGAGGAGACGTTCCAGTCTAGAACATCTAGAAGTTTCTGGCCTCCGGACATCACTGACGGCGACATTCATTTCGTGCGGGGTCGGTGCCGCCAGTTTCTGCAGGCCACCATGCCCATTTGCACGTCCTGCGCCACGCCGACGGAATACCTCTACACCGTTTACGACTCCGCGTACAACTTTCGTCTTGAACAGTGCGTCAGTATCACCGGTCTTCCCAGCCTGACCTTCGTCTAAGTGACTTCATCTCGCCATGCCAACCGCGTTCATCCCCGCCCGACGGCAGACGTCTTGTCATGCATTCGCAGATCCATACGTGGAGCACGACACACTCACACTGCTCCTGGACCTGATTCTGCTCAAGCGAGATGTCTATCGCCACCTCTTGTACAATCGCGGTCTCGGTGCCCGCAGGGCTGGTGACAGAGCTAGTCCGAAGTCCGAGGAGCTGGCGAACAAGACGCGCCAGCAATACCACGACCAATCGGTTCGTCAGGACGCAGGCGGTCTCGGTCGAATACACTCCTCACCCCATCCTCTCGCAGGCTCGCAGGTGGCTCATTGCAAGGCTCGGGCTTGCCTTAGTTTGCCTCGACGCATGTGCGTGTCCACCATCCTCTTGCCCGTTATACGCAGGTCTCCTCACCTCACCTCATTTGCAGTCATCCGATGGACACACATCAGTATGTTCCACACGGTCCCGACGGCAGATTCCACGTTGTTGACTATTTCGACCCCAACACCCCTACCCCGCAGGCACCAATCAGCCCCGAAACGCCTCGCAGATCGCGTCCTGGAACCAAGCGGCCCTAGAAGGCTTCGCTCGCATCCTCGTGGGCTGCATTTTTGGTACGCCGTCTTTCTGTCACGCCGCCCCCCGCCCCCCGTTCCCCGTGCATATGCCCGTTGAGTCTGACGGCCTCGTGCAGAGACAGCCGCCTTCCATGCCGGCGTCGTATTCGCATGCTACCTCGTGCTGCACGCTCTACCAGCGCCGCCCCCAGGCGCGCCGGTGTCAGGCATACGCGAGCAGTTCAGGTCAGTCATCCCTGTAATTCCAGTCGGAAATTGGAAACAAGGACGTACGCATGCAGTCGGCTGTGCGTGAAACTAGACTAGAACACGCATTTCGAGTGTTTGGTAAAACAGCGCCTCCGCGTAACGAGGTCCACCTCAAATGCGTCAATGGCCTGTCGTCCTGTTACCGAGTTTCGTCCACTGGCACTCATTCGCGTGTTCCACAGGTACTCGCACATCCCACTGACGCTCCTCTACTCCTCCCTCACCAAACTCTTCCTCCTCTTCTGCCTCTCCATCTGGCGCCCCAACGTCCACTCCGACCACCCTGCCTCCGGCACGGCATCGACCACGCCGCTGCACCCGGACGCGACCGTCTTCGCACACCCGCTCTTCCTGCAGGCGCTCGCGCTCCTCGACGAGGACACGCTCGACCGCGAGTGGGTCGTCCGGAACGTGCTCGGGGGCATGGCCGCCGGGTTCGGGCTCCGCGTCGTGCTCGACTGCCACCCGGTCTTCACCACGGCGGTCATCCTCGCCGGGTGGGCGGTCAAGAACGCCGTCGCGCACTTCGTCTCCGGCTGGGTCGAGATCGGGCTCGGCATGGGCGGGGCGGTGGGGGAGATGTGGCTCGCGTACAGCATCCCCTAACGGTCGCACTGTGTCATCATCCGGGAAGGTGGCTATTACAGGTCGTGCTATGCGTGGGAGGTGAAAGCTTGCACGGACCGCCGCTCAGAAGACGAAGGGGAACATCGCCTTCCTCCCGCGGGGGTACTTGTCGCCGAACTGCTTCTTGTAGTTGCGGTGCTTGTCTTTGGCCCAGACGGCCATCTGGCCGGTGCCCACGACCCAGAACAAAGCAGCTAGCGACGCGGTCAGCATGGCAGTCGGTTTCTCGGTGCCCTGACTCACCGGCCCAGCTTCCAGTCATCACGGTGATGGCCGTCCACGCGATGGTCTCGAACAAGTAGTTGGGGCAGGAGACGAGACTGAAGCCGTAGCCCATGGGGATGGCGCGCGTGGTCGTGCCCGCAGGGCGCAGGTTACGGAGAGTGAGATGGGTACTCAAGTTGGAAAGCTCGGCGAACTGTGGAGGGCTTGTCGGCGACTGCTCTCAGCTTGATTGTGATGTGAGACGTACCAGGAAGGCCCCCATGCATGACATGAGGAAGGTGGGGTTCTCGCGAATCGTGCCACGGATCCAAGGCGAGTTCGCTGAGTACGTAGGACTGTAGATGGCGTACGCAAGGAGGAGACCCGACAGTAGGTGGTAGTGCGCGGAGCTGCAATGTCACCGTGAGTAGGATGTATGTGCGAGAGAAGGTAAGAAGTACCCACTTCTTGAAGACATTCCGGAAAGGCATCGTGCCGTGTGAGAACCGGTGAATGAACAAGGTCTCAAGTTCGCGCTTGATGAAGTGGAACATCACACCAGCATACACATATCTGCCCCCGAGTGCGAGGGTAAGAGACGCAAGATGATGCAAAGGGACGTGAACTCACGTCTGAAGTGTGCTGTGCTGTACGGGGCCACCATAAAAGAGTTGCGGAAGGTAGTAGATGAGAGGGTGAATGACGAGGGGGCCTGCCTGTAATCACATATTAGTAAGGTGAAGACGCGTCGAAGGTGTTGGCACGCACGTATTCAATCACAAAGACAGTTTTCCATCCTATTTGAGGTCCCAGATCCTTCACAGAAAGCTCTGCGTTTCCCGTTACGCCAACCTCCTTCAGAGTCTTGCCATCCGGGAGGGCTTTGTTGTCACCCTTGAGAGACAACTTCTGGCGTGAAGTGTAGAACTGCCCACGACAGACAAGTTAGAAAAATACGGTATTAGACAAGCATGTATGTACTCACTTTGGGATTTTTAGCCGCAATGGCCTTTTTCACGTCAAGGATGGTCACCGCATCCAGAGGCTTGTCAAACGTCACCGCTTCTGGGAGCTTGCGGGTGAGAGACCCGGGTTTGGACGCGGATATCGCAACGGTGACCATTGGAGAGACAACTGGGCCAATAGAATCAGCAGCAGAATGAGGAAGTGCTCGGGGGCAGTGGGCTGAAGCAAGGACGAGCGGAACGCCAGCGGGACTCGCCTCTCACAGCACTCCGAGGTTCTCGGCTTCTGAGACGCGGTCACGTACCTGCCGCCGCGTCTACAGCGCCGCTCTCGTGTCCTCCTCGATCTCCTTCTCGCACCTCTAGCAACATGTCGACAGCTCTCCACCGCACTGTCCTTTCCTCAAATACGTATAGAACCGCTAGACACCAGTCAGTACCCATGGGTCAAGCCATTCGAAGATTGCACGACGGGCGCGACATCCTGCCCACTCCCCCTGCCCTGCCCACTCTTCGAGACGGGGCGGACAGCGCGAAGGCGAGCGAGTGGATAGACGCATTCAAGCACAAGGACATTCCCAAGGGCGTCGTCGAGTTTACATATTCACGGAGTTCTGGTCCAGGAGGACAGGTATGCACCGCTCCACTCGATCTCCTAGCTCCAGCCTATTAAGCCACGGCCGCTCCGCCAGAATGTCAACAAAGTGAATACAAAGGCAACTCTGCGCGTGCCCCTGTCATCCCCGTGGATTCCTATGTGGGCACGCGATCATATCAAAGCAACCGTACGCCAAGCGGTCGTCGACCATCTGCTTCAGAGGGCTCATCGTCTCCTTGCAGCCCGCATATGTCTCGTCCTCGCAGTCAATACTGATAACTTCGACTGTCTTTCGATCCCAAGCTCAAAACGTGGAGGACTGTCTCCTCAAGGTTCGCCCTCCTATACGTCTTGTCGAATGATGTCATGACCGGCCCCTCCCGCTAGCTGCGATCTCTGGTTTTACGCGCGGCGGCGGCCGGGCTGGTCCATGAGGCCTCGGAAGAGCAGAAAGAGCATGTCCGGAGGCTGGAAAAGGCAGAAAAGACACGCCGAAGAGCGGACAAGGAGAAGCGAAGCATGACGAAACGCACTCGGTCCAACCAAACCTGGGATTAGCCGCGTTGAAAGCCGCTGCGGGTACACGGAGTATGTATCACTTGCGTCACCTCCGTTAGGAGTGAGCCTGAAATCGTTGGTACCGATGCGGGTTGCCTATCGTGGCTCCAAATCCGCTCAGGGTGTCTTGACCCGTCCTCAATCGGACCGCCATTGGCGCGGCGCGGGACGGTTTGTCTGCTTGATCATTCCCTCGATGCGGCCCAGGGTCTCGTTCGTGTACCCGCATATAAAGCCCATGCGCAAAGCACCGTTTCCTACAGTCGCATCCACTTTCCACCATGTCCTTTTCCAGCCACCGCCAGACCCTCGTCGCCCAAGACCAATCTCCGGACGTCGATCACTCCCACAAATTCCAGACGAAGCCTCCGGGCTACTTCGATTCCTTCAGAGATGACCTCACCGCTGCCGCCCTCGAGTTCGTCGGCACCACCGTCTTCCTCCTCCTTGCGTTCGGCGGCGTCCAAGCCGCTGCGTTTGAGGCCGGTCCTAATCCCGCGCAATCCTCCGAGATCCAGCGTGTGATGTACGTCTCCCTCTGCTTCGGCATGAGCCTCCTCGTCTCCGCCTGGCTTTTCTTCCGTGTCACCGGCGGCCTCTTCAACCCCGACGTCAGCCTCGCGCTGCTCATCACCGGATGCATCGGGCCCGTGCGGTTCGTGCTCTACTGCATCGCGCAATTGCTGGGAGGCATCGCGGCGGCGGCGATTGTCCTCGCGCTGACCCCGGGCCCCCTCGCGTCCAAGTGAGTCGTCATCTTCTGTTGTCACGATTGGCGGCTGACATCACCCCCTGTAGCACCTTCCCCGCTCCTGGCATCAATAAAGCCCAAGCTGTATTCATCGAGATGTTCACGACCAGCGTGTTGGTGTTGTCCGTGCTCATGCTTGCCGCCGAAAAGCACAACTCGACGCCTTTTGCTCCCGTGAGTAGCCTCGCCCCACCGCTTCTCGCGCATGCACCCACACCCCGTCACAGATCGGCATCGGTCTCACTCTCTTCATGGGTCACATGTGGTCCGTCGCCTACACCGGCGCAGGCATCAACACCGCCCGCTCCTTCGGTCCTGCCGTGGTGACCGGCTTCCCATACAACACGCAGTGGATCGTAAGTCCTTCGATTACTGGTCCCACTTCGGGACATTACGATACTCAATGTGTGCCTTTGTCCGCAGTACTGGGTCGGCCCTTTCCTTGGCTCCCTTCTTGGGTCTGGGTTTTACACCCTTCTCAAGCAGTACGTCCTTCGGCCCGCTCTATCCCCGCTCCCTCCGCTCACCCGCCCCACCACAGCATCAACTATTGGCACCTGAACCCGAACCAGGACGCCGTCGACTACCAGCAATCTCCGGACAAGTCCGCCAACCTCCTTCACTCCGTTCTATCGTCGCACGACGGGCGGGGGCATAGCGTCGAATCGAGATGCATCAGCGACTTGGAGAAGGCGCGCTCAGCACCGACCACTGAAAACGGCCAGGCTGTCTCGACCTCCGGAACGGCGGCTGTTCGCCCGAACGACAGTGCCGTGTAACTAATTCCGCTCTCGAACGTTATCATGCCCATCTTCCTGTCTATCGTACTGTTCTATCATAATATACATGCTTCCTTGCTTTGATTGATTCATATCCCCAACGTGCACGTGTGTGGTGTGATCCAAGTATCGTAAGTGACATGCCAAGAACCTCATCAGCGAATTAGATACAGTCGAAGCTGGCAGCATTGTTCGGATCTCCTCCGTTGAATCGGGGGTTTAGTGGATACTGCATGCTCCACTCAGTATTGATACGTCAACGAGGGTTGGGTACGTACTCTGCACAGCGTTCTCGTAAACTCCACACCGTTAGCGGCATCGTTGCCCACGTAGTGCGCCGCTGTCAACGTATCCGGCGCTATCCCCTCCTCGACCCACTGCACCATCGCCGCGACGATGTTGTGCTGCGGGTCGAACGAAAGGGGCGGGTTGTTGTTGGACGCCTGCTCCACCGAGCCGAAGGCGTTGGCCCCCGGGCCCCCGTGGCTGGGAAGGAGTCGAGCCTAGTCAAACCCATGGCACGCTTCGGTCAAGATGCCGCTCACCAGTGCTGCATCCCGGGGGCCATGAACAAGCGGTAGACGTCGTCGATGTTGATGTTGGTGGAGCCCCGGAGGACTTCGTGCACGGTCTCGTAGTAGCGGATCGGGTTTTCTGGGCTGATCAGCTGGTCCGCCCAGCCGACGTAGTGGAGGAGCTTCCCGTTGTGCTGAGGTCCCAGGAATGCGGTGATGTTCGGGTCGTTGGCCTGTGCGGGGATTAGACGCACGTCTGCGCAGGACGTTGGATGGGGCGGGTCCTTACGTTCGCTTGCCCTGGGTTGATCGTGTCTGAAAGCGCCAGGAGCGTAGCGTTGTAGTCGTGGATAGTCCAACGCGTGTCGCTGAAGTGGTGTCAGGCAATCGCACACGATAGCAGCTCATAGGAGAACGTGCGCACTTCGTGACCATGAACTGATACCAAGCTACCCCGATCTTGAATTGCGTCTTCCCGACCAAGCCATTATAGAAGTCTGCCTCTCCGCCCGGATAATAGCCCCCAAACACGAGGGTCTGATCCGCCTCGTAGTATGGCGCATAGATGCGTTGCAGTGCGCTGATTTGGTCGGTTGTCAGACATTGAGATGTGCTTTGACCTGGGCCACAGGTGAGGGTCTCGGGACGGAAGCTGGAAGTGCGGGCTCAGCAACTGCCGGTGCTCACTGAATCTAAATTTGACCACTCACTGGCAATTTCTTGGAAGGCTGATGACACCGTCAACGAGCTATAAACGCAACTGAGTCAGAAAGTCATCTGACCGCTCTGATCGGTGTACTCACTCCATCTGCTGCGTCACATTGCCTGAGAACCTCGGGTCCTATGAGGTTCTGCCACATATCTTCCGTCATAAAGTGCTTGGAGGTCGAGGGCTGCGTGTTGAGGTTCATGTGAATCGACCACGCCTGCACGTGCGTCCACCAATCTGCCGGGGACCCAACAATCTATTCGCCCAGGCGGATCGTCAGCCTCCGCCGCAGTCCGCTGGGAGCCTAGGCGGAAAACGCACCACACCATCAAATTCCTGCGGGAACGTCTGGACCTCCTTCAACCTGGATGGGCGGGGGAGTCAGTCTTGGCTTGGGGAAAACGCGAGGACTGCGCAGCAACGCACCCTTGCCTCCCGCCTATAATCGTCGAGAGCGGTGGGTCAGCGGGGGCGATAAGGACGCAGGTGCGGCGATCGGCGCTCCCACACCCACGCACCTGCAGAGCACCCGAGGTAGTACGACCGCGTCGGGGCGGCCTGGTAGTATTGCTCCACGACCGCCTTTCCCGCCTGCACACTCAGGTGCAGCGCGCGCCAACCCCAGTCAACGATGGCATTCTATTCCCGTCCCGGAAGGGGAGGCAGTGCGGCGGCGCATGAGAGGCGCGTCAAATAGGACGGGGGCGTGATCAGCTGCAAGGCGGAGGACGGAGGAACATGATAGGGAGCCCCTCACGTCGTTGTGCGGCCCGGCCCAGGCGCCGTCGTTGGTGTCGCCGTCGTGCCCGGTGTTCGTAGAAATGCCCGCGACTGCGCGTGGCGGACAGGTGAGCGCGCTTCGGGACGAATGCCGTGCATACTCCGCACTCACATCCTTGTGGGATGGCAACGTGCCCCAGCTCGGCCACGGTGACTGGTAGGCGCGCCGCTCAGCTTCCTCCGTGCTCCGACGTCCGCGGGGACGAGGTAGGGGGATGGGGCAGACGTACCTCCACCAGCGAGCCCGCCGTTCCCCAAGGTGAGCATGCGGTTGTTCCACACGTCCGGGAGCCAGACCTCGGTGAGCGCAAACGAGCCGGCGGTGGTGTTCGTCGTGATGGTGAGCTCGAGACGACAGAAAGCGGGGAGGCTGGAGACATTGATGCTGGAGTAGACGTTGGAGATATTGACGAGGGCGTTGGCGGTGAAGTAGGTGGTGCCTGTGAGGGCGACGTTGACGAGGTCGGGGGACGAGGACATGCCGAAGCCCTCGCAGGTTGACTGCAGAGAGGCATGGACTGATCCTGACACCAGCAAGATTGTTGAGAGCAGAAGAGGGTGAGATCGCATGGCAGAGAAAGTGCAGCAGAGGAGGGTCGTGCTCTCCAGCGTACCTCTGCATGGTATTTATACTGCGCAACGGGGTGGAGGAGGGAGCCCAGCCTGTGAAGTCCGACGCCGCATTATCCGTATGGAAGCCGAGGAGAATGGCATGGGAGAGCGGGCCATGGTCGAGGATTGTGCGCCTGGAAAACCCCCGGGAAATTCCAAGTGGGCCGGTGCTGTCCATCGCTGGCGTGTGATCCACCCCGTCCAGACAGGAACACGTGCAGCGGAGAACGCCGCCTGTCCGCAAAGTCAGATGCTGCTCCAAAGTCGGGTCCGCGTACAGTGCATTCTAAGAAGCGTTCGTGTGCCTGGACGTTCCTGGCAGCTGATTGGCCCCTGTAGCAAGCACGAGCGTTTCAGCGTTCACTAGCACAACGACACAACTCGGGAGGGAACTGCGGAAATATATTCATTTGCGGTCATGCGACATCGACGAGAAACGGTCGATAGGGATAGAAATACAGCATGGGAACACTACATATTTAAAGATACTGACTCACCATATCCTCACGTCGCCCGTCTTCATATCCATCCTCACGTCGCCCGTCGAACGTGCCAAAAACGTAAAGCCCTATAAACACGTCAGCCAATGATCACGAGCAATGTGATGTCAAGAGGATCAGAATGTGGTAAAAAGGAATAATCTACGCCGCAGCTCAGCAACAGCTTCTAGTTGATGATTTTTGGTACTCATCGTAAGGGATATGAAAGGATAGCTGATGGTACTCACGTTGATGACTTGATCGTCCCGAACGGCTACATGCATGTTCAGGCGACTCCTGCGAAGAAATCAATCAGCATCGCATCCGATAGGTACTGGTTATGGATCAGAAGGGGTTGCCCGAGAAAATTGAGCTGTGGCGGGCAGTTTCGGCAGAGGTAGTACGAAGACCGTCGTGATAAAACATCATAGAGAGCTGCAAGGAGATAATACTCACGATTACGCGGAAGCTCGTCCCGGCGTATGGTGAGAATAGATTATGGTAGACCTGTAAGAGCTGGTAAGGATGTCAGCGGGACGTTCAACGCGTGGATTGAGGAGATCAGAGTTTTAAAAAAACAGCCGTGGAATTGTCGTCACAAGTCCAAATGCTCGTAAGCAAATGGTCAGGCGGTAACTCCATTGATGACATCATAGCAAACAAGAAGGGAGGCGATACTCACTCAGTCCTAAAGCAAGAAATGGTCCACGGAGTTGGGGAACGTCTGCGGGAAGGTGGTGTCAATACGACGATGACAGCAAAAGACGAAACCGTCAGATAGAAAAAGATCAGTAGATTGACAGATATAGATAAAGCATCGAGCCTTGGCTCTCAGATACTCTAGTTTGAATGGTTTGATTTCATCGCGTCGCGATGCGAGAAGAACATGAACAAGACTCACCTCAGGTCCTCAGTGATCCCCATCTGACAGGCATGACCTCCTCACAAACGCGTCCCAATATTGAGGACATGATCTATGTGAAGGGGAAAGTCAGCAATGCGCAATGACTCCAAAACAGAACCGATCAGTGTAACTATGACAAAAAATTCAAGCATTGTGAAAGCCGCTTGGTAGAGCCGCTCCACCTCGAGGTAAACGTATGATATCATCGCGTCGAAAGTTCTGGGGAAAGGGTAGACTCACCAAGACAACATATGGGGACGGGGAGGGCAAGCAGAACGTGCCGAGAGACGAAGAACCGCAAGCAAAACCAAAGGCGCGTTTTCTGCAGGTGGGTTTAGGGCAGGCTGAGTCAAAATTTCCTCGTGACGCGGTTAGATTGGCGCTTCAGTGTTATCTTATCTGGGTAACACCAAATAGTATTGCCAGCGTCATCTGAAGTTTGAACTCCTCCCGCTTGCTTGGGCCTCCGCCATGCTCCTCCGGCAGTTTACTGCTGCCAGTCCGTCTGTTAGGACCGCGTTTCGCCGCAACGCTACTGCCACATGGCAACAACTACGCCCAAAGTCCTCCGCTGTCACCCCAGTCGAGCTGCACTTCGACAAGGTTGTTGCACCAGATGGAAATGAAAAAGGGAAACCACTAGTGATTATCCATGGACTTTTGTGAGGTCAGCTTGTTCAGCTTTTGGTGCATCCAACACTCACGGCGCGTCTGTCCTAGCGGGACGAAGCGGAATTGGGGATCACTGTCCAAGGCGTTTGCGAAGGACCTGGGGAGGCCGGTGTATGCGCTGGTACGTGAAGCTCTACGCCATGCGCGACCTGCATTTCAAAGTGTGTACCACGTAGGACATGCGCAACCATGGAACCTCTCCACATGCCGAGCCACATTCATACCTCGCTATGGCCGCCGACGTCCTCCATTTCCTTGACCGCCACAAGCTGACCAACATCTCGCTCATGGGACATTCTATGTAAGTAGTTACGACTCGTTCCCCCAATCAGTCGCGCAGTTTTCATCCTGGTTTGCTCTCCAGGGGAGGAAAGGTCGCTATGGCCGTTGCACTCGACCCCAGCCTCCCTTCCGACCTACTCTCAAACCTCGTGGTGGTTGACATCGCACCCTCGGTTGGATCGCTCTCTCCAGAGTTCCAGGGCTACATCCAAGCCATGCAGGAGATTGAGGACCACGACGTCATGTCTCGGAAAGAAGCGGCGAGCTTGCTCGAGCCGTACGAGCAGGTGCGGTATCTTCTGCGCTGCTTTGGCGTTCCCGGCACTGACGCCGCACCCAGGATCCCATGACATGTGCATTCCTCCTCATGAACTTAGAGCATGCGGGCCCGCACCATCCGAAGCCGCTCAAGTTCAAGATTCCCATAGGTCTGCTTGGCCGCTCAATCCCGGAACTTGGCGGCTTCCCGTACACTCCAGGCGAGCGTACATTTGAGAAGCCCACACTGTTTATCAAGGGTTCGCGGAGCAAGTACGTGGAGCCTCGCATGTTGTCTCTCGCCCCCCCCCCCCCCGATCTGACCGCTTGTGTAGATATATCAACCGACATAACGTCGGTCTGGCGGAGGAGCTCTTCCCGAACATGACGATGAAAGAACTACCCACAGGACATTGGGTACACTCAGAGAAGTGAGCTGGGATCTGACCTCTTTCTTCTTATCATACTGATCCACCGTTACAGGCCGAACGAGTTCAAAGCTATGGTCACCGAGTTCTTAAAGGACAACTGATACACTTGATAGAGATATAGAAAACATGCTACGTAGACAACACACTAATGCTAGACTCCCGATGCGCATGAACGATACACGAAAACAACAGATGTGGTGAACGCAAAACGAGATCTAACCAACAGAAGCGCTCGTTTCAGCAACGACCGCGCCTTCAATCACCCCAGTGCAAGTCAACAGCTGCAGCAGATCCTCCATGTTCTGTGACAGCTCCTCCGACTCCTCCGACCCCTCCTGGCCTACCGTAGCACCGGGTGCGCTCGACTCTGAGCACCGTTCGGGCCGCATCAGCGTTCCGTCCAACGTAAACCCGGCACGCGACCCTTCCCCCGCCAACGCAGCCTTCAGCACACCCGACGCCCCGAGGAGCGTCAGAAGCCCGTCCAGCTTCTGCGGCGACTGCTCGTCCGCGCCCGCACTCACATCCCCACCACCTGACCCGCCTCCAGCCCCGAGTGGCTGCCCCATGCCCAGCGCGGCTGCGGACACTGGCAGGCCATCTGCGCCCCTCTCCCCCGGGTCCCTTTCAGTCCGGACCCGGGTCTCGGCCTCAGCACACGGCCCTTCCGCTTCCGCGCCCACACTGCGCCCGAGGCCGACGTCAAACGCAGACGCAGAAGCAGACGGGACGCCCGCGAGGCTCGTGTGCCCCCTCCCGGTCCCCGTTCCGGCCTCTAGACCCGCTGCGGCAGCACCGGCGGGCGAGCCGAACGGGAACGTCGTCGCGCGCGGAGCGCGCCCGGGCGTCCTCTGCGCGCGGCGGGCGAAGAACCGCTCGGGCGGCGCGTGGGCGTGGGCGTGCACTCGCTGCGGCAGGACGAGCGGGCGGAGGCCTGGCGCGAGCGGAGGAGACGGCGGTGGAGGTGGGGACGCGGCGCGCACGTCGACTTCGGTCTCGGCGGACTCGCGCGCGGCGGCGCGCTCTATGAGGAGGAGCGGGCGCAGGTGTGGGTTCTGGTGCGCCACAGGGGAGGTAGACCCGCCGCCGCCGATGAAGAAGTTGAGGTAGACGTTGGAGGTGGGCGTTGGTGGGCGCGCGGGGCGGAGCGGATCCTGTAGAGGGGGAGAAGGGACGTGGTGGGTGAAGAGGACGCTCGTAGGAGGAGTTGGTGGGCGGCGTGGGGGCGGGCTCACAGATGCTGCACGGATGGTGGGAGTAGGCAAAGACGTGGAAAGAGGCGGGTCGACGTCGACCTGGACAGCGGCCTGAAGGATAGGGAGACTAGTCTTACGTGGAGGTGGAGGGCGATGAGAGGGGGAAGATGCACTCTTTGAGCGGTTGCCAGAGGGCACGGGTGGTGTTGCTAGAGGCGGTGAACGAGACGCAAAAGCGGACGACGCCAGAGGAGGAGGTAAGGCGTTGGAGACCCCAATGTAAAGTCGCGCCTTGCCATGTTTCGGGCATGTCTCCGGTCGGAAATGAGCGCCATCCGGAAGTTGAGAGAGATGCTGGTATACAGAAAGGTCGTTGAGATCCGGCAGATATCGAGCCTTGAACGGTGTGTCGTCGGAATAGCCGTCGTCGATGAATGGACCAGCAACACGGCCAAACGGGTCTTCTTCGTACTCCCGCGCGACCGGAGAGGGCGATGCGGTCGTCGATTCAGGGCGAGCCGAAAAGCGGATGAATCCGACGAAGCGTTGTGCGAATCCCGATGCGATATCTGAAGGGGAAAGGGGGGACCGCGGCGAGAGTAGCCTAGAGGTAGTGTTGACCTTCGTCTGGATGTTGATGGGACGCAGAGCGGGCAAATCCCTCACACCTCGGCGTTGAGCGATTGTGTTGGTGTCTGCCTTCAGCTCCGGGAGAGGCAGGAGGCAGGTCCCGCACGACAAAGCGATGCCGCTGGAAGAGCTAGACGGATCGTCATGGCGGTCGGAAAGAGGCGGGGATGTGGGGGAATACAAGATTTTGGGGCTAGAAAACGTTGGTGAAGAGTTTGTAGATGAGTAGATGAGGCTTGGGGTGGAGCAGTTGAAATGGCTGCAGTTCCCAGGACAGCAGAAAGCATCGTCTTCGAGAGTGTCGAGATCAACAAGAAGCGAGACATCGTCGAGCCGCGTCGCGTGACAGTTCGCCGAAGGCCGGGACTCTACGGTGCGCGTTCAGTGACATGATAGTAGCGCTGAAGTTGCACATACCCAGCGGAGTGAGTGGGCGCGACGTAGAACGGCGTGCCACGGCAGAGGGCTCAAAAGGCGACCCGAAGCCAGAATGAGCAGGGGATGCGTCGCCGCTCTTGAACTTAGAAGCGCGACGATATGGCGTGGTTGGTCGATCCCTGTGCAGCAACTGCGCTACGGCGGCGATGACAGTAGCCATCGGCAGCTGGCCTGGCACTTGGCGAAACGGCGAAGGCAACAAACATGTTCGCCAACCGTTGCTCAACAGTGGAGGAGGCTAACATTGTATGCAAGCCTGAGAGCGAAGCGTCAGCCCAGCCAGTGGCGGGGGTGCGACAACAGAGATGCTCACAACAACTGTGCGATCACAGACCTCGTGGTAAGTGGCATCCATGAGGCTGGCGATACGATAAAACGTCATCGTCGCGGGGCGTGTTGGGCGCATGGCAGGGAGGAAATGGGCGTTTCTCACTGCCGCCGTCGGAGCTCGGAGACCTCTTGTGCTTGGATGCTAGCACGGAGAATGGGTTGGTTTGATGGCATGAGAAGGCTGCAGACTGGGTGTGTTTGAGAAGCATACGTTTAGAAACTGAGGAGGAGGATGCGGGGGAGTCTAGATGATGCAGGAGACTGGATGGACTGATCAGCCACCGCGCATGATATCGAGTCGGACTGTCGGAGACTGGGCTCGGAGATCTTCACGCTTTCACCTGCGCGCACGTCGCCCGACTGTCGGCTCTCCTTCCTCTCTCCATCCTTTCCTCTTCCCCGGGATCGGCGGACTCTACGGTCCCATCCAACGTCCACTGCCGCTGTGTTTCATTTTGGGTAGGATCTAGCCCATGGCGGCTTCTCGACGCCTACATATCGCGATTTTCACAGGGACGTCTGCGGCCCGAACCCCTGTCCACCGCCTTTGTGTCCCATCCCTGGCAGCTCCACCCCCAATCAGCGCTCACATGGCCCATACGACGGAACTGGACACTGCAGGAGACGACGAGACAGGACGAAGAAGGATAATTTGCGAGACACGGGCGGTGAGATAGAGTTCATGGGACCGGGCGGCGAGGTGAGATGAATGCCTCTTCTCGCCCAGAACTCGGGGCCCTCATCCTTCCGACTTTGGCAGCGCGACGTTCCCAAGCATCGTGCCCCTAGTATGCGTGGCCCCCACCTGCTTTCGCCACCGCCCGGGCTGCGGTAGCGTGCGCGAGCAATGGTCCTCAAAAGCCTCGCCCTCGCGGACTTTCGGTTATCTGCCCTCTCCCTCTCCATAGCCGACACCTCTTCCACCTTCACGCCATCCCTCGGTGTGTTGATTCCTTTCACGTGCCCGCATTGGGTCACTAACTTTGTTTCTGGCCAGATAATGACCACACTCCTGTTCTCCCCGCGATCCCCTCTGTACTCCCCGACCCCCTCGCCCAGCGAGTTCAATTCCCCGCGCTTTCCAGGCAGTTTCACAAGGTGAGCGGCGAGCGCCTGCTGTTATCAACCTGTGCTTGACTTCCAACTAACGCCTCCCCCTCAGGTCTGTTTGGCCCCCGCCGATGCAGCGTGCCCCACGAATTGAGACTGCGTATAGAGGGAGAGACCGGGATCTTCCTGTGAGTCCGTCTGCGTTTCCATTTCGCATTCTGGGCCAACGAGCCTCTCAGCGTGACCCTTCAAACTGGGTCGACCGTGATCTCTCTACATACGTTCGCAGACACCACACTGGACCCGACGGCCAGACCCTCCTGGAGATAATTGAGAGCCATCGCCTCACTCCACGCGCGTTATGGTATCTTCAGACAGATGCCGAATACCTGAATGTGTACGTGCGCCATTTAACGCCACTCGGTGCTCATCTCAATATCTATGTTGACTCGCTCATATAGCCTGGCACGCGATGAGTCCCTGCAAGAGCTCATGGTCCAGCTCGCTCTGAATGTACAACCTGCAGTCTCTCCGACGACTCCTCGTGTGAAGCATGTCCGTCGACTTTCGGAAGATCTTGCACGACCACCACCCCCGCGGCCCCCATCACCCTTGTCACCCCCAGTCGTGGAAGAGCCCGAGTTGGAGGCCGAAGACGACTCTGCAGAGAGTGTCGTAAGCGACTGGGCGTTGGAAGACGACTTCGGAGAGCCTTTGGATGATGTAGTTGCACAGCCAGGCACTCATGACATCATACAAGCGCTGAGTAGTCTCTCGGATCATGGCCTCGGACTGGATTTCAACGCGGGCAATTCGGAGGTTGTGCAAGCAGCCCAGTCTGCGGTGGAATTCTCGGCTGCACAAGACGGAGACCTGATTTCACTGGATGACTCCTCACCGGCTTTTTCAACAACTCAGCCCGAAGTCGGTTCCACGCACGCTACCACTCCGCCGGCAGGCGACATTCTCCCCAATGATATGTCCTCGGTGAAAGCCTCTTCGTCGTCTTCGGATTCCGATTACGCATCCCCACTCGTCGATATTTCCTCGCTCGCTGCAGATCCAACCGGCGATTCGTCGACAAGACTAGGTAGCCACCAAGCCGAAGCTCCTGCGGATCCCACCGACTCTCATCTAAACGTCGCCGACCCTATCACGAAGGACGATCATGGGGCGGTCATAGTGGACGCTTCTACCACGGCAGCCTCGGTCGTCCCTGAGGCCAGCAATGCACACCACGATGCGGATCGTCGTCCACACGATGACGACGTGGTCGACAGCGAGGCGCTTGGATTTGTAACGGAGAAGGTCAACGAACATTCTGCCTATCAAGACACAAGCGCCGCGCCAGTCACTTCGGCAACTTCGCCTGATGAGGACGACAAAACTGCCGAAGACGAGTTGGTCGATGCTGCCGGCAACGCTTGGGGCCTCGGGGACGGCACCTCCGAGCCCGAGACCACGCTTTCGAAGGCACCAGAAGCCGACGGCGTCTCTGCGTCGGGCTCTATCCCTCCAGAACGGTCCGGTTCTTCTACTGTCGATAATGTTTCTACTATCCCACCTGCTTCCGAAGACATGCATCAGCAAGATCCTACCGACACGGCTCAACACATGGATGGTACGGGAGGGCCGGAGGAGTTGCAGGCGCAGGAGCCCCCGGCAAAGAAGGCATCCGCACCAGTCACCACGGACTCTACACGCGGGAGCGAAGATACTCCTCGTGCTCCAGCCCCCCAGCTCCCCCCTGACGTCTTGACCCCACGGCCGCCTCCAGTTGTCCTTACTTCCGAGTCGTCGTCAACGCCTCCCGTTTCGGGGGCACGCACGCAAGGCTCACAGCTGTCCGAGGCTGATGGGGTCGAAGTCGACACCACGGAGCCTATCAGCGCTGTTGAGAACTTGGGGATTGAAGAAATCGCCAAGATTGCTCAGGACGTGACGGCTGAAACCGCTGTTACCGAGAAATCCCGCGAATCCTCCTCTCTGTCTACCATCGATGAGACTACAGCTCAGGAAGTTCAACCTGACTCAACAGAGTCCTCGGCTCCCGCTTCCGCAACGGATGCTCAGTCGGTGCGCGAGAAGAAGACATTGCCCCCAACCACGGATCACCAGCCATCCACCTCCGACGCATCTTCCCAACTCTCCGAGTCGAACCCATCCGACCGCTCCACTGAGTCGCCTGTGTCGCCAACTGTCACGTTGGATGGAGGACGGGAGATGATGTTGAGGGGATTGGACGCAGACCGCTCAGATCGCAGCGAGTCCGTCGGATCCGCGACGCCTCCCGTCCCCGACAAATCCGATCCCAGCCCGCATCTTCCGCGAGAGCTGCTGCGAGCGTCATCGCGTAATAGTCGCTCCACGTCCGACCGACCACGCAGCTGGGCTAGTCGTCCGTCTGTTTATGGGGAGGCATCGACTTTCGTCCCCAGGTCCTCCTCCTTCGGCGCATCTCAGTCTCAGGAACCCGCCCTCAGTCTGACAACGGCGCTCCCACCTCTACTATCCGACACTCCCCGGAGTGCCAGCGTTCCCTGTGACCCTCGCGGCACTCTTCACCCCGGAGCTCGTCAGTTGTCGCTCCCGAGTCCAGGTGGCGGATGGTTCGGGAGGTTTTTCGGAGGATCCCCGTCGAGCTCTTCCCCCGCAACTCGTCCCAAGAGCACATTGAGACTCACGGCGGCCCGACCTCTCCCCAGCCCGGGGCTGCGTGGGGCCAGCCCCGACTGAATAGTGTTGCTCAGTCCCAACCACGCTCGTCTTACAAGATGCAGCACTCACCTCCCATCCCCCTTCACATGGAGCGTTCCCAGTCGCGCGAACCGCCATCCAGGCAGACGCACGAAGAGCCCACTTCGCGTTCTCAGTCCTCACCGCAGGTCGCGGCAGAGGACTCCCGCACATCGACCTCGCTGATCATCGAGACGTCGAAGGGGCCTCAAGTGCAGGAAGGGGTCAAGCAGGCGATGAGCGAAAGCGTCTTGGACAAGAAGACGTCGGAGGAGAAGGTTGAGTCGGAGGGCCCCGCTCTGACCACCAAGTCAAACTCCGCTACAGCGTCCGAGGCCCAGGCGGAGGCTTCTCTTCACTCCGCGCAGAAGTCTGTCAGCCCCTCCCAGGATGTCGACGCTCCCTCGCAAGAGCCCGAAGTCTCGTCCACGACGTCCGATAAGCCCTCCCCGGACACGAAAGACACCTCAGTCATCGCTCAGGAGATCGACGATGATCCGGTCATAATCACCAAGGAAGATGCGACCGACGTTCCGAGCCAGACAGGAAAACCGGGCGAAGAATCCTCCACCACTCGTGACAACGACGACGAAGACGACAACACGCCGCTTGTTTACCTGAAGAAGCCACCTGAGCCGAAAGATCCCGCTGATTCGTCAAAGCCACCGACTCCGAAGGACGAGAAGAAGAAGGGGCAAGACAGCTTGAGGATCCAGACACTCCGTTCTACTGCCGGCGAAGGAGGTAGCGCTGAACAGAGTACGGTGTCCTCGCCAATCGTGGAGACGCCAGTGACACCCAGTGGTACCGAGACTGAGATGACGGAGGTACGTGAAGCATGTATTCTCTGTTTGTGTTCAGTCACTGATTGAGGATTCAAAGGGTGAAAGCAGGCCGAATTCTCCTGGAACTCAGAAGAAGAAGAAGAAGGGATCTAAGAAGAAGAGGTATCCGTGATCGTACTCTCTACCTCCTCTTGCTTGTACAGTCGTTGCACCTCTAAAGTAGCCTCGGATTTTCTCTGTACATATCTATACCCATAATCGTCGTTATCCCTGCCATACCTCCTCATCGCTTGCTTGTTCTTCTATGATGCATGGCACGTTGCATTGGAGAGTGCATTCAGTACATTCTAAACGGCAACCTCTTCTTTAAACGCCGTTCCTACTAGCTCCCTAACAGTGCATGTTACAAGCCGGAACGATCACGGCTCGAAAAAGCGCCGTGAGCCGAGCGTCGAAAGCCTCCTGCGCTTTCTTCAGCGAGAACTTCTGGATCACAGTCCCGACACTGTTGAAGTAAATTTGTGACCTCGCCTTTCGTGTCAGCTACCCAACTCTTGATATCTCCAACCGCTTCGACACCATTATGACTGCCCAAAAATACGTCCAGCAAAAGCCCCGCCAGGCAAAGGTCGGAGGGTTCACTCGGAGAAACCGGGAACGGCTTCGGCCCGAGCGAAAGTAGCAGCAGCATCGCGTCGAGCCCAAGCCCGCGCGTCGATGTGCTCCTTGTGCCGGGCTCGCGCGCGAGCGCCGCCTTGCCCGACCCTGAAGAAAGCGTGACGACGCTGGGGCCCATCGCCCGCGCCATCTGGACCGCGATGTGCCCGAGACCTAGGTGCACTCACCATTGTCAGCGATGTCTGATCTTGGTCTGGTCGAGGGAAGCGAAAGTCGGAGCGGCGAACCCGATACCCGGACAGCGACTCGCGCAGGCGGACGGCCGTCCTGGTGACGGAGCGCGTCTGCGACTGTAGATGGTGAGCCCGCCGCGCATGTACATGAGCGGCGCGACTTCTGCAGGGTCGAATTCGGCGTAACCGCCGTCCCTAAAGATCGGTGAGATATCATCATCTATGTAGGAGTCTAGCAGAAACATCATACCGTTGACTGTCGAGAATAGTCGCCCATGCGACAGCGTGCACAGTGGCGGTAGCAACCCCCATGGTAGGAACTGCCTACACGTTGACCGAGTGTCCACCCCTTCTCAGTCTCTGGGATGGCAACGCCGTCGCCAATTCGATCTCGTGTCCGGACGGGGGCACTGGATGGGAAGCATCACGCTCCTGACATGGTCATCACTGCGGCTCACGTCAGATGCTACGCTGCGCACCAGATACACATTGACAGAAATACGCACGTCCCGCATGCGCCGCATGCGAGGACTTTCGCCACGAATTCGCCCGTCGTCCTTCCACGGCACCGTTATCTTCTTTGGATTGGTGTGATTCCCGCTCTCGAAGAGAGCGTAGGCCGTGTAGGAATCTGGGCGAAGGAGTGGGCTGGCCATCTCGATAGGTAGCAGGCTTGAGAGTGTCGGAGTTTACGTGCTGAAAAGGAGCAATCAAGGAGGGGGCCCTCTTAGTATATGCCAATCCTTGGGCGAAGCGCGAGCTCCTCCTTGAAACGTCGTAGTGGGATTTGAGAACCGCTTGTTGCAACCCCTCTCCGGCACACACGGCCACATCGCACATCCGAACAGAAGAAAAGACCTGCTCGTTCATAGTCCTCGGGCTTGCTAATTAGCGCTTTGACGACGAGGAGCCCGGACCTACCAAAAATGCTTAGGTTCAGCGACTGTTGAAATTTAAAAAAATTTGCGCAAGTTTGATGAGCGTGTCGTGAATTGTAAGAGAAGTCGTGTTACTGTTACATTAACCCTGTCAACACCCTTAGATAGATACCTCAGGTGCAATCCATCACTGCGAGCCGCTCCCCACAATCACGGGCTTCGTCTTGCTCAAGTGGGCGATCGTCTCGTCAGACAGGTCCAAGTGCGCTTTGACGAGCTCGGGCGGCGTCAGGGCGAGCCACTACAAGAGGGTGTAGAGTCAGTAACGACCTTTGTATGTACAGGTGACGAGCTACGCACCTGGCTCAAGCTAATGTCTTGCACGCGTCCTGACGACAAATCACGTTAGAGTGGGCATTGCAGGGAGAACAGGAGCCAACCTACCAGAGTTGAATATCTCCAAGAAGTGAAGAGTGGTGTTGCCAATGTTCTCGACATAGTGACCTATCGACACTGCTGAACACAAGTTTGCAGCAACATAAGTGAGGGGCGCTTACCGAAGGAAGCAGGTACAAAGCCAACGTCACCCGCCTGAATAACGACGAACCAGATCCGCGCTCAGCACCGGTAGATCGGTGAGATCGAGGAGCGAGAAGGGCGACGCACCTGGAAGTCGAACGTTCGCGCGTTCCCACTCGAGCCAAAGAGCGTGACACGAGCGGAGCCGCCGCTGCAGGCACGTAGAAGACTTGGTCAGCGGCGAGATTGTCTCAGCGATGGCGGAAGACTTACAGATAGAAGGTCCATTCATCCTGAGTCGGGTGCCACTGTTGGAAAGCCGTGAGTCTCCTGTCGGGATAGAAGCCACGCGGATCCCCGTCCGACTTACATGGAGTTCCCTGGGGGCGGCGGTAGAGCGGCGTTAGATAAAAGTGCGCATATAAACACTGACAGTATGGGACACACCTCATCGCTCCGGGCTCAACCGACACCTCCGCGGCCGAAATCGCTGTAGATGCAGTGAACGTCGACTCGTCGACGACCTTGAAGGTGCCTCCAGAGAATTGAGTCGCATTGACCTGGGAGAGCGGGAAGATGAAGGGGTTCGAAACGGTGCCCTGCGGGCTGACAGGTGCCTGAAGGTTGTCCGCAGGTGGGGCTGCACCGCACAAACGCGAGATGCAGATGTAGATGTATATGCGAACAAAGATTGGGACTGGTCAGTCCGCGAAGGTGTTTCGGGACGGAAACCCACGCACCGCTTGGGAATATGTATAGCTGCTGGGCGGGAATGTGATTGAACGCAGAGGGACTGGTCTGGAAGTTCTTAGCAATCACGTCCTTGGGAACATGCGAGAGCCAATCGGTCAGCTGTGTCAATCGGGGGGTCAGTGAATGCGGACATAAACATAAACACGGCAGTTCCCATATTGGGACGCACCAAGAATGTCGAGTCTTCGCTGAATGCTCCGTCATCAAAGACCTGCCAACCACCCACTCAATGAGCTTCGGTTTATAAGGAAATGGCGGCGGCACCGACCAAGAGGAACTCCGCACCGTCCGGAAGGTCGGCCGTCGCCTGCAAACTATGCGGGATACCAGGAGGGAAGTACCACAAGTCGCCCGGGCCCTACAAATGTTCGATAAGGAGTAGAGATGACAATTGTCAGGTAAGACTTACCACGTTGCCAAGGAAGTTCTGTCCTTTGTCGGTGACAGCTGTGACCTGGACAGTCCCCTGCAGCGCACGTGAGCTTCATTCAAATGGCGAAGGAGACTGCAAGCTGGCCTTCATGACATAAGCCCACTATGACGCAAGTTCCGACGTCAGCAAATTGGTCAGTGACTCAAAATAGCGCGGAACGCACCTCTGCCGTACTGTGCCAGTGAAGCTCTCTATGAAATGCCGTTAGTCGAGGCGTTCACGGGAAAGCAGAGTGCCGACGGGAGCTGATAGAACGAACACTTACCGGATGGCACCGGCGTCGAGCCGCATATTCACCCCGGCCATGGCTGTGGGTTCAATCGGGTGAGACGGGCTTCTATGCTTGATCAAACTCAAGACTCCTCACATCCGGCAATGGGCATGACGTCCTCTGAGAAACAAAGTCAGCTTCGCGTTACGACATGGCTTCGCAGGCGCAGCAGGCGGACAGAGTTCACCAACGCGGTGAGCCCCTCGTCCCGATACGTCGGCAATGAAACGATGTGGACGACGTACGGTTCTGTTGGCGTGCCCAGCCACCGGTCTGCAGGCGGTTGTGGCTCAAACTGAATGGCCACTTGGCGTTTTTGCTGCGGAGAAGAGGTCAGCGGGGACTAGGGAGGAGGTTCGGGCACGTACATGCTTCCGGCATCGGTGCTTGGGGGAGCGAGGAAGTCGGCGTTCTGCTGGTCAATGGGGATGTTGGCAGGGCCGAGTACCGTGGCACCGAGCGACCCGCGGATGGCCTGAGGGTCAGGGTTGTTCGGGGTGTCGGCGAACCACAGGATGTCGTTCGCATCGTCGCTTGCGAGGGCCACTGTCTCGAACGCGGGTGCGGCGGAGCTCAAACCAGAGGCCACGATGCTCGAAGAGACAGCCGCAGATGAGGGTGCACTGAGCGTGGACTTGACGAGCAGTGACGATGCCGCGAGGGAGAGGAGGAAGTGGGCCATTTCGAGGACGAGGACGAGGACGAGGGTGGGCTCGCTGCAGTTTCAGTGATCGAGTGCGTAGTTTTATACCGCCTGTATCAGAAGGTTCATCGCTCGCAAAAAAGATGAGTAAGGCCACTGGTGACCTACATGTGCCGCACCTGCCGCTCGGCTTCAGTGACCGGAAGGTGGTCTTGCACTGTGGATACTAGGGTGCCAGGTCCGGTTGCATGTCCAGCGTTCCATTCTTGGCGAAGTCTATGCGGCCCGTAAAAGAAGGATCTGAGAAGGATCTTCAGGCAACTTCTTCAGCATAATCCGAGTGTTGTGATAGGGCAGACAGCCCGTCGACCGAGTCGTGTATACGAAGCCTCCAGATGCATGTCCGCGCGGAGTCGAAAATGGGGATGAGAAAGTCGTGCCGTCCTCTGCCGTACTTGGACGAACCCGGCCGGGTAGGCGGGATCAGAGCCGACCGGACGGCATTGGTGATACCGATTGGCCGACAAGTGGAGCTTCAATCAGCTGGGGCCTGTGTGCGTGAATGGTATGAATTCCGTGAAAACATCCTTCAGCAGAATGGTTGTTGAGGCTCACCATTGCTGCCGAGACTTGCCGAAACGTGTAGCCAGCAACACCGCGAGATGACAACGAATGCATGAAACGGGGGCCGCGATCCTCAGTCCTCGGCTCTGAAAATCTCGGTCTGTGTGTGTTGAAATCCGCACAAATAGATACATCGCAAGCCGGACGCCGATCGCTTCCGGGATGGCTGTTACCTTCGCGTGACCGCTCAAGGGAACCGGAGCTTCGGTAAACACTGGTCAACGATTTCACGACCACTCGCCAGAGTTGTAGATTGAGGGCTCCGACGGTGAGTGAACCCCCCTACTAACATCTTAGCAACGGATGTCGCCGATCATTTCACCGAACGCACCACGCTGGAACAAAGTTGACGCAAACTATTCGACCCGAATTCTGGTGCACGATGTCGACTGCAACACCTCGAGGTCTTGGGAAAAACGGCGTCCTTCTTCGGTGAGCTGCCATTTGGGTTCACGTGAACAATCGTTCCGACGGCTTCCCATATACCTGGGTGGGCATTCGTCATCGGAAGGGTCATAGTGCGAGGCACAACCATTCTCACCAAAGCGGTATTGATAGCGCAGGTGCCGATATCTTTGGTAGACAGGAATTGCTTCTCTTCGCTGGCGGCTTGGACACGGTCAGACACACCGGACCTATGTTAGGAGTGTTATCTCCTACGAAGGCGGAGATGCATGGGAATCGAATTACCGACATCGACACGGAGAAATTCGCCATTAAGGTGATAGACCTGCCCATCGTCAACGAGCAACCTAACGAAGAGCTATGTGCCGTGGCGTTTCGGGGAACGAAAGGGAATCATGCTTACGCGGATCGGGGTTGAGGTACACTTGTGACCACGCAGTCGACGAGAGTTGCGTCAAGTGCAAGATGCGAGCATTAGGCGGGGTTATATTAACGGTGTAAATTACGTCTTGGACAAAACAGGACCAAGGGAGCTTCAACAGGGAAGTATGCGGACCTGAGATCCTTTCTCCAAAATCCGTACCGCTTGCTCGGCATCAACAAACCAGCTAACGCCTTTCTCGCGACCACTCCATCCTGCCACCACGGGATACTTGAGCTTGCGGAAGATCGAACGATACGGCAGGGCCTGTATATGCATATGGAGGTGAGGTACGGAGATGTACGGGGGAATATGGAAGCCGATGCTACGAGGTAACGGCATTAGCAGTAGCACATGCTGCAGCGATAGTACTCACCGTCTAAGGTGAGGCGGAACGGCAAGCCCATCAAGTATATTGTGTGCAATCTCTACCATATCTCGCACTGTTTCCGGTGGCGAAATACGTCAGGGTGGGCCACCGACTCATAGAGAAGGGTCTTACCCATTGATACATGACATTTTCTCAACGCTTTCACATCAGCTGCTGCAGAGATCAGCGAACATACCATGACCAACGCGGAGAAAGCTTGCCTATGTGGTGCTTGGGAACGAGTTGTAAATGATGTTCCGAAGCGGGATCAATATCCGTAAAGACAGCAAAAACCTCGTTCTATTCGTTGCTTTGAGCTTGCGCGAAAGAATGACACACAGGCAGATACTCACCTCCCACACAACACTAAAACCTCGCTCCTTTGACACTCCACAGAAGAGACAAGAGGGATGAGGTGATGAGCAGGAGTTCAGAACAGACTCCTCGTCCGGTTCAATGGTGTCACTTTTAGTGACAAGCTTGCGGGGTCGATGAAAAAAAGCTCTGATGAATTGCAGGAAATAGGTGTGAGGGGTTGACATTGAAAAGTCGTGAGTGCTGGACGTCGAAGTTCTAGATACCAGAGTGGGCAGGCGAGGCGAGGAAATCGAGACGTGTGATGAACGTTAGTAGCGCATAAAAGTCGTCAAAAGATAAAGCAATGAAGGAGAAGCCGCAGTGAGGGCCTCAACCAAGGGCTCGGGAACTACACGGCGGCAGCCAGCTCAGCCCACGGGCGCTTGCATTATGTGCACGTGCCGCACACGGAATGCCGCATTTGGACAACTCGTCATCTTCTGCCTCCGGCGGTCTTGTCTTCCTGAGCCACCACCCTGCCTCCATCTCTGCCTCTAGTCAAGGACTTCAGAGCCCATCTGCGCATATTTTTTGGGGATGTCTATGCAAAGGGAAGAGTCCATCGGTTGCCCGCATCTCGTAGCCGTTTTCGCCGATAACAACAGAAGGACAAGTTTCCTGGACAGATACTGCACTGTTGTCCGATGGAACGTCAACAGATACCAAGAAGTGTCTTACTCTATCAAACGCCGAAAGGTGAGCTGGACATACATCTTGGTCTTACGAAGTCAGCGAGCATCTTAACCGTTGAAACCTGGCATCACTTTCAGATATCTCCGCCCCAATGCAGTATTTGCAATATCGCCTTATCCAGAGTGTATGCATGCCTTCATTGCCCCGTCTCATGCTGCTGGGATGGTGGGCATATCAAAGACCACCTTCAAGACACTGGCCATGACTTTTGTGAGTTTTATAACACCGAGCACTGTTGTCGACGAAATCCGACGCTCCACGACCTCGGCGCCTAAAGTCGCATAAAACTGAGTAATTCATATGCAGGCGCAGACGTGAAGACAGGGAACGTTTACTGCGTTGAATGCGACGACTTCATCTACGACCGTACCATAAATCGACAATATGCGTCAGTCACGTTATCAGCCGAAGAGAAGGCTTCACAATTCCAGGGTGCGCCATTTCATAGGGCCACGGGCGTTGAACACGCCTTGCGCTGTGTTAACTCTCTCACGCAGATAAGTCGAAACGTGGACGAGAACCATTCACCACGTGGTATGCTAGTGCTCAAGAACTCACTTTATTGAGGAACACAACACCGTCTCCTTGTCATGGTAAGTTCAGCCTCACCGTTGATTCATACCATAACTCACAATTCTCGTTGACTGCACAAGGCCGGAGAGGCTTGATCAATCTTGGGCAAACCTGTTTCATGAATGTCATTCTACAATCACTAATTGCGAATCCCCTGTTGCGCAATTACTACCTGAGCGATAAGCATAACAGCAAGCTCTGCAAGCTCAAAGATTGTACTTCCTGTGAGATGGACAAGCTATTCTCAGAAGTAAGTCGCATATAGTACTATTGGTACCCATCGCTAATCTGGTCGCTGCTAGGTTCATTCGGATAACAGTTCGCCCTATGGACCTATCGACTTGCTAGCGAAGACCTGGAGGATCTCCTCGGAGCTTTGCGGGTACGCCCAACAGGACGCCCACGAGTTCTTCATTGCAGCACTGAACCAAATTCATGCGACATGCCGAGGATCGACATCTCTCCAGTGCATCTGCGTTATTCATTCGACTTTCGCCGGCCTCCTTCAAAGCGATGTCAAATGCGAACGATGCGGCAAAGTGGCAGACAAGACAGATCCGATGCTCGATATAAGCCTTGAACTCAAAGGGGAGAACGGCACCGAGCAGAATCTTACTCTCGCCTCGTGTCTTCGCAGGTCAGTCCCATCCGCTTCTCTTGCTGCGGCCAATGTGCTCATCCTGGTGCCTGCCTTTCGACTGTGACGTCACGGACTAGGTATACTCATCCTGAGAAGCTCGGGCCGAACGAGTATAGCTGCGAGAAATGTGGCAAGGCCTCTCACGTACGTGCACTTCGCAGAGCTGGGAATCGAGCACGTCCATTGGCGGCTAACAATGTCTACTCTGCCACGCAGGCGAGCAAGCGTTTGAGCATCCGAAAACTGCCTCCTGTTCTCAGCTTTCAGTTCAAGGTGAGAACGTCTCTCCGATCGTGGGCAGTCGCTCACATCTACTCTGCTCATGCGCGTTTACCGTTGTCCGTGCCTAATTCTGCGACTCATCCCCTCGCTATGCACATGCACGCCCGCTCGTCCGTCACCCGTCTGCTGCTCCCCGTCCCTTCCGCATCTTCTCCCGCTCCCGTCTCCGTCTCCGTCTCCAATTCTGGCGTCATTGGCATGTGATCCCTATTCTTACCCTGCCCTTCTTGGTTCGTCGTCTTCACCTCCCCGATGCTCACTTTTGCCCGAACACTGGCTCTGGCGCGATACGTAATGTGCACTCCCCCCTTCCCTCGGCAGCGGTTCGAGCACAAGACGGCAGACAAATCCGCGGCTCGTAAAATAGAGGCGCCGGTCCGTTTCCCCGCATCGCTAAATATGGCGCCGTTCACAACTTTGGTCATGCACAAGCAAGAGCAGATCAAGGACAACGTCGGTCCCGGAGGTGCAAGCCTTGTCCCGTGCGTACTTGCTTTTCGTGGCGTTCGGCATCGCTCGGCAAGCCCTCAGTGTCCCCAGCCCGTCGTCTCGCCTCTCCCCCGCCCCTCATCATGCGACAGGCATTGTTGCTCCCTCTCTTCACCCCACCGCCTCACTGCCGGCTCCATTTCCAGATGCTGACAACGATCTCGTTTGCTTACACCTTCGCTGTACAGTGACAAGTCGCTCGGTCCTGAGACGACGTACGAGTACGACCTCTTCGCCGTCGTCTGCCATGAGGGCCAGATCGACAACGGCCACTATACGTGCTACGCACGCTCGAAAGACGAGGTCTGTCCACTCTCCCATTCCCATCTGATCGTCGCTGACATCGTTCCGCGCCCCTCTCGTACCGTCTCCCATCTCGTGTCACCCGCCCATCCTCCCTCCGCCTGGACTTCTCACATCCGCTCGTCCCCGCCTAACCCGTGCCCGCACGCTTCAATTCCGTGTCCCCGCCTCTCACCCACTCGCGCGCACCCTCCTGCCCGGCGGCCTCGCGCTCACACCCGTGTCCGCCCATTCGCCCCGCCGCGCGCTCGCATCCTGTCCACGTGCGCGTACGCGGCGTCAGTGGTACCGGTACGACGACGACAAGTGAGTCCCCGCTTCCCACATCATCGCCGTGGCCGCGGCCTCTCCCCCGCGGCTCGGTGTGCGAGCCGGGCACCGGGGCAGCGCACGAGGAGCGTCCCGCCATCCGCGCCGCTGCCGCCGCCGCTCCGATCACCCACCGCGACCCACGCTCACGCGCCCGCACGCAGGGTCTCGCATGCGACGCTCGCCGCCTGCCTCGCCGCGCAGGCCTACATGTGCTTCTACGTCAAGCGCCACCTCGACTACAGGCCGTACGTCACGCCCTCCTACGTCGTCACGCGCGAGCAGGAGGCCGTCAAGGAGCGCGAGCGCGAACGCGAGAAGGCTGCCGCGCTCGCGCGCGAGGTCGACGACGAGCTCCTCGCCGCTATCTAGATCCAGGCGCCCTGTGTGGTCCTGTCTCTGGACGCGGACGTGCAGCCATGTGTAGGCCGGGGCCCGGCACGACGACGTGGCGCACCGCGATCGTGGGTGGCCACCGGGGGTTGGCGGGCCACGCGGAAATTTTGGAGTTTGGGCTTCGGCACTTCAGCTTCAGGGACTCGAGCTAGGAATGGATGTGAGAGCTTATGTTCGATGTTTATTGTAATTCATAGTTGGGATGCTGATGAATATGGAGTGTCCTAAACGATTCCAAGGCCGAGATATACAGAGCGTAGCGAGTATTTGAACTATGCGAAGGGTGACGAAGGTGTGGTGGTGGTCAGTACAGGGGAGCAGGTATCTGGAGAGAGCGCGAGGGAGTAGGAGGCGTCTAGCACCAAACGATACAGCGAAGTGGAGGGAGACAAATGCTACAGTATTCCGATATGCTCGACCTTCAGGGGATGATATCGTTCAGCTCACCCTCCCGCACGCGGATCTCTACGACTTCGACCTCGTACTCCATCATGGAAGATGCGGTGGACGATACGGACGACGACACGAACCCGCGAGCGTTCGAGGGGGAAGTCGACGCAACATCTGGATCAAGCATCCACGCGAGTACGAAGCTCCACGTGAGAAAAAAAAGGGTCATTTTAAAGCAAAGCACGCACATCGGTCCTTGATGTAGGGAGGCACAAACAGATCCTGCGATGCAGCGACCGGCCGGGGTCAGCATGGTCTGCTTGGCCGCGCGCAGCACGGACTCGGGGTACACACCTGGTTCCACACAAAGCCCTGGCTCTTCTGGATGGTGAGGATGGGGCGGAGGGTGAAAACGGGCTGGCGGGGCTTCTTGCGGTGCTCGCGCTTGGGGGGCGGACTGTCGAAGTGCTCGACGGCGCGCTGCTTGCCCTTGACGTCTTTCTTGAACGCCTCGGCGACGCGGTCGGCAGACATGGGCTCGTCGCCCTCGTCGATCTCCATGTCGCCGTCCGCGCGGTCGGCAGCGGGCGCAGAGGCCGGCGACGGGCGCTCGGCGTCGGCAGCGGAGGCGTGGTGGTACTCCTCCTCGTCCTCGGAGCACGAGTCGACGTCGGAGCCCGAGTCCGAGTAGTCGTCCGCGTACGGGATCTGCTCGTAGCACGCCCACGTGGGTGGCGACGGTGCGCGGCCCATGGTGCGACGGCGGAAGAAGTCAGAGTACGAGTCGGAGGTGTTGCTGGACATGGCTGCGGTGGCAAGGGCGGGTGCTCGGGGGAGGTAGTGGTGTGCTTGTGCGAAGTCTTGAAGACGGAGAGGCGGTGGTGGGCGTCGGCGAAGCGGTCGGGCGGTGGTGGGATGGTGATGGGCTGGGGTCAAGAGCAGAGTGACTCGGGGGCTCGAGGGCAGTGATGCACCGTGACGGGGCTGAGGGCTGGCGAGGCGTCCGAGTCACAGAAGGCCCGATAAGGAGACCCTCCCTGTCGCCACACCTCGACCAGGCGTTGATTGGCCTCTGCTTCCAACACCCGCACGCACGCGTGTGCGGATAATCTGCACTGCCCAAGGCGTGTCCTGAGCATGGCGGGCACCAAATATGCGTATGTCAGGAACTTCGAGCTCCCTGACCCGCTGCTCCCGGACACCTTCATCGTCCTCCGAATCGACGGACATGCCTTCCACCGGTGGGTGCAGCTCCCCGCATCCTCATCGCCTGCTGCTAACCGACGTCAGGCTCTCCGAGGAGCACCAGTTCATTAAGCCGAATGATGAACGGGCGCTCCAGCTCATGGATCACGCTGCCCGTGATATCATGGACGAATTCAAGGACATCGTGCTCGCCTTTGGCGAATCGGATGAATACAGGCAGGCGATCATGCATCTAGGACATGTTTTCACTACTGATCGCCACTCCAGCTTCCTTTTCCGCAGGTCCGCCTCGGTGTACAACCGACGCGAAGCCAAGATTTTGACCACGGTCGTATCCCTGTTCACATCGTCATACGTCTTCCATTGGCCGAAGTACCTTCCGGCTCAGCCACTGAAGTACTGTCCGTCTTTCGACGGCCGCATCACCCTCTATCCTTCTCCGCAGTCAGTCCGAGACTACTTCTCCTGGAGGCAGGCAGATGGTGAGTGCATATACGTAGCCGCCTGGGACACAGAAACTGATAGGTTTCCAGCGCATATCAACAACCTCTACAACACCATCTTTTGGGCGTTAATTCTACAAGGTGGTCAGACTACTACAGAAGCTCATGTTACCTTGAGAGTGAGATGTCACGACTTCGAGCATCTCGTTGACTGTGTTTGACTTGATATGCTAGGGCACTGTATCCAGTCAGAAGCACGAGATGCTGTTCAGTCGGTTTGGCATCAACTACAACGAGATCTCCGCGAGGTTCAGGAAAGGAAGCGTCCTCGTACGAGAGCCTGTATGTCCCCTCAGTCTACGGGCTTCGTGTCAAATTCAGATCGCTTTTGGCAGGTCCCTAAAACGGCGACAGAGAATGCAGATCCACCAGCGGCTGAGGGTGACAAACAGGAGGGTAAAGGGGCATCCAAAAAGAAGACACGTATTAGGACTACAGTCGAGCTTTACCATTGCGATATCATTGGCGACGAATTCTGGGACGCGAGACCCATGCTACTCACAGAGTAGCAGCCTATAGTTTGTGTGCTCGTGAGAAGAATCCCACCGGAACGCACAGTCGTGACTTGAATTAGTCCGGCTGCCGACAGCGGTGATTTGCGGTTGGAGGGCGACGTCGCAATCTTCCTCACCAAGAACACGTGTGCGAAATGCGGGCGAGAGAGGGTAGGAATGGATGGCAGAGGAGTCTCGTGGATTGACGACGACATATATGCATACACGAGGATAACAGGCGGTGACAGGCGGGGACCATGACCGGGGAGGGGACAACAGACGCAGAAGTGAGGCAGAAGATGCGGCGGATGGCGAAACATACCGGTGGTGTCCAGGGGCGGGTGTGTATGCGATGGTATTGTACAGATCTGGATGGGCAATATCAATCCCGCGCGATGTTCTGCCCCGGCATATCGTCCGTGAGTTGTCCGGGCTTGGGCTTGCCCGAATATCCTACGAGCCACGGGGTGGCGACCATGACGCGTATGAATCAAGACAATCGCACGTCATGCCCGCTGACATCTTGAGCCGTGAGAGCGTGTTGACATGGGGTAGTCGAGATAGGGAGAGGCAGAGTACTGGAGACAGGGGAGGTGAGGGGCACAGTGGACAGAGTATGAGCGGGCGAGAGAACCGCGGAGCAAGCACGGCGGGAGGGCTGAGGAGGTGACGGAGCTGGCCGGAGAGGTTAAGAAGAAGACTGGACGCGATCTTGAGATTGGCCCGACCGCCACCACGTCGCCGTCCCAAAAGGGGTGGTGGTCTCTTGATCCTTGTTCTCCTTCCACCTGTGCCACTCGATGGCCCCTCGTCCAAGGTGTCCTCTGTCTCTTCGTTCCACGTTGCTAAATAATTGCATCCGCAGACACACCAGGAGAGGAAGCTAGAGATGGACGCGCGAAGCAAGACGGACGCGCCTCCACGTCCCGCCCTCTGGCGCTAGTCCAGGGCTGTTTGCCGACCTCGTCTACCAATCGCGGGGAAAGTCCACAACTGCATGAAGCTTTCGACCAAGGTGCATACAGTAACATATACACAGTGGTCGAAGTTCGCTGTATGCACTAGAGTATAAGCTACCCTTGTCCACTTAGGACATCATCTCATTGTTCTCGCCAAGTGAGTAATTTCGACGTATAGGTGATACCTCTCGCATCCCCTTGACGGAAACATATCGCAATATGTCTGGTATCACGATATGTTTTCGCCACGGGCTCGAGAACCTTGGAGGCGCAAACGCACCCTCATTCCGATATGTTTTGATGCAATTGCCTATTTCGGACTCTGGCCAGACCGGGCAAGTCCGAGAAGGTGGCTTCAGCGCAGACCGTTACCATCTGCTAGCCGCGCTAGGGAACCCTCTCGGGCGCGTTCTGTGCTGCTGTGAGGGGTTCTACGAGATAAATGACCTTCCTCACCCTGCAGGAACGCCGCTATTTGAGCGGGGAGCACAATGGAGTCCGGGCAACACCGAGTGGCACGAAACAGGCGCACAATAGCTTGCGAAAGGCGGGACAATGATGACCTGAGATAGCCACGTTGCTTTGTGCTCGCTGCCCACCAGATGCGACCTGCAGGGACGCTTCGGGCAGGGTGATCCGGCACGGTTCTCGAGGGGAGGCACATAAGGTTGACAGTGAGCTGGCGAGACGGCCGCCCACTCACGCCCACTCAACCGCGCCCCGTCCCACGCCCGTCCATATCCTCCGCCGAAAACAGCAATCCCCCCAGCCTCGCCCAGCGCCAACGCGTTGTTTCTCGCTCTCACGTCGACCACGACCAACCTCGGTTTTCTTGCCGCATATGGCCCATCCAGCGCCCCGGAAGCGACTCTACGCGTCGCCTTCACCGCCGCGCATAACGCGTTCCCCCGTCCCAAGCTCACCGCCGACACTTTCTCGACATACCACCGTTGAACCCAACTCTGAGACCGACGAAGATGGTACCGCGTCCCGGCAATCCCCTCACCTCCCTGCCTCCCACGAGCCATCCGAACGGTCCAGGAGTCGCCACTCGTCCCCTCGCTCCCGGAGCGTGTCCTTCACCACCCCTCCTTCCCCGCAGACGGTGTTTGTTGACGACGTGCCCTTCAATCCTCCTATCAACCGCTTCACCCGTCCCGAAGCCCCGACCTGGCACTTCAGCCAATTTGTGGCGAGTGTAGCGGGTACAACGACACGTCCTTCACAAGTATGTAACCTCCCTCCTCTCCTCATCCAACGACCCTCAACCCGGTGGCCACGTAGTCCTACGTTCGCCACACTTGTGCAAATAGCCCGGTAAGCTCTCCCGGGGCAAGTGGAAGCGAGCCCAACGGCACAGAAACCGAAGACAGTGTCTCCAACGCCACCCCCAGCAACGCGTCTCCTGCCATCGACCCCATCCTCCTCGAGGACAGCGCATACATCCCTCCCCCAGGCTCGACGCCGGCCGCTCCCCACTCCAATCTACAGTACTACCCTGCATACAACGACCGGCACGTACGCGTCGGGGTTTTGGAGGACCTCATTTACGAACCCACCCACTACCGCCCCCAGACGCACAACTACCCTGAGGTGGAATCGCCCCCAGACTTCACCTCCATCCAGATGGACTCGATGGGAACTTTCAACACGCTGCGTTTCCCCCGCAACGGTGTCATGGTCGCCGGGGACGACGCCTGTATCACCGACGACCGCATCCGCGAGATCCTTCGCGTCCCTCCCGACACGGAGCTCAGCCTGAACGCACTCCCCGAATCAGAACCTGGGGCTCGCCCAGGCCAGTCATTGACGGCGCTCGCCCAGTTTGCGATCCTGGGGAGCGAAGACCGCAGGCTAACTTTGTCGGAGATCTACGAGCGGCTCGAGGAGAGGTTCGAGTGGTTCGGGAGGGACAAGAACAAGTCGTGGAAGGTGAGCACGCTCGCGGACCCGCTGTCTACATCTTGTTCGCGACTTGACGCGTCCCCTACGTCCAGCGTTCTCTGCGCCATGCGCTATCCCTCCACAAAGTGTTCGAGCATGTCCCGCGTCCCCTGACGGACCCCGGGAAGGGTGGCTACTGGACGCTCAACTTCAACTTCGCGGGCATGACACGGCCGCGGAAGCGGAGAAAGCGTCCGACGAAGGCGGAACAGACGGCACGGAAGCTCGCAGCGGAGCAGGCGGGAGAGGATGTCGATCTGGACGAGGACGACGAGGACGAGTGGTTGAACGAGGATCCCGACGACGCGGATCCTGTCTACGAAGACACTCGCAGTGGACAGAAGCGTCGACGCGGGACGTCCGCTTCTGCATCCTCTGCGCACACCCGGTCAGCCAGAAGCACTTTGTCTCCGACGGCGTCTTCCTCCTCTCTCCCCGCTCCCCGGAAATCGAAGTCGAAGCCCGCACCCAAGCCCAAACCGAAGTCTTCAGCTCGCGCCAGGAATACACGCCGAACCACTCGGAAGTCCCCTTCCATTTCCAGGGACTCGACATGTCCCCCCAGCCCAGTCCTGCCGGCCTCCCAGCCGAGTGGTGTGTATTTCGACCGCGTCCCGCGCACTGTCTCCTGTTCCTCCTTCGGCCAGCCTTCCTTCGGCCGCCCCTCCATGGTATTAGGCCAATCCTCTTCACTGGGCTTCTCCAGCTTCACTTCCTCAACCTCCCTTCCGCCCCCTCACCCCCGCGCAGTCAGCTCCTCAGCCTCGGGACCCGCCTTCGGTGCCCCTTCGACCTCCCTATTGCACTTCGGAACCTCAGAAACACAGCACCGCTCCTTCACACTGCCCAACATCGCCACGGGCGTGCGCGACACGCTCTCCTCACCCCCGCACATCCACAGCCTCGGATCTTTCGGGCTGGACCCGAACATCGACCCGGCACTACTCGCCGAGGACGCGATGGTCGCCGGCCTGCAGCTCCGCGGCGTCGGGATCAGCAAGAGTGCGAGCACAGTCGCGCCGCACCTGCAGGGCCTGTTTGACAGGCCGCCGCCGCCGAGCCTCGCACCCGTGCTCGAGTCGGAGCGAACACAGGGTCTCAGCGGGCGGCACTGGACGTCGGAGATGGATGTCTAACTTCGAAGGCCGTGACACCGGGGGAGGGGCTCGTGCAGCGCGTATTGCTGTTGCTGAGTCCCGCTTCTGGCGTCGGCGCTACTGTCCTTCCAGCATCGCGCTCGCTCTAAGGAGGCAGCTGACGACGCTAGGGAGGCGGGGGCTTGACCGTCTTTGCGCGCGTTTTGGTTTAGCGCGGTCGTTAGACCCGTTCATAGTTTATTTCCCCTCTTTCGGTTTCAGGCTCGTGCTTCCTCCGCTTCGGGGCCTCATGCTAGAGCAGGGAAGTCTCGCGCAGCGAAACACCATACCGACGACGCTCGTGTTTCGTTCCCACACCTGGCCATACCTTACATATCTCCTCCGCATTTGTGGCTGTTTTCGTCCTTCTGTACTTACCCCAGGCATATCTATCGCTCCTTCTTGTTTCCATAGCATACAATATCGCTTCACTTAGTGCTTGTTCATCTGTATCGCTTCTCTGCCGACGCTCTGCTCCTAGTTGTACGATGATCTGTCGTCTTCTTGTACAACTGCGTGGTTATCGAGCTCCGTTGACGATGTCGAGTCCGTAGCTGCTTCCGAAATCGATGATAACATCGTGTCCTATCGCACACATTGTCTGAACCGCTTCGCTTTTCACCCTTCAGGTTCAGCTCCCGTCCAGCAACGCGGCATGCGTCGCAGAGCGGAACCGTATCTCGCACGGAAACTCCTTAGGTTCCCTGCAACCGAGCCCGTCAGCATGTCCGGCGACGCTCGAAGCGAGAGAGAGGACGCACACCACGAAGCCGCTGACGAACTCCGCACGCACGTCCTCGATCCGGACGCCTGGGGCGGGCCGGACGTCGAGGCACGCGACGACCGTCGCGACCGTGACCCACAGCGCGTCGAGCGCCATGTGCTGCCCCGGGCACACGCGGCGCCCGAACCCGAACACGATGAACGGGTCCGGGACGCACGGGTCGACCGCGCCCGACGGGGCGAGGAAGCGCGAGGGGTCGAACGCGTCCGGGTGCGGGTAGGTCTTCGCGTCGTGGAGGATCGCCCTGTTGCGCAAGCGGGCAACCGCGTCGGGCACGGCCGTCCCGGGAGTCAGGGAACGAGGGTCGTGGACGCAGCGGGCCAAACGCACCAGACGTTGACGGTGACGACGGAGCCCTTCTCGAGGTGGTAGCCCTTGTAGGTGTCGTCGGCGCACAGCTTGTGCGGGATGACTGGCGAGCGGGGTCGGGTCGCGCGTGTCAGCCCCGGGGTGCGACTTGGCGGAAGAGAGGACAAGGAAAGAGAGAACAAGGGCGGGTGATGATGTGCTTGGCTCACCCATAGGGACGGCCGGTTGCCAGCGTATGACCTCCATCACGACCGCGTCGAGGTACGGGACCGCGTCGATGTCGTCGAAGCTCGGGAGCCTGGTCGTCCCGATGGCGGCTTCTAGCTCCTGACGGGCGCGGGCGAGCACCTCGGGGTGGAGCAGCATCGCGAGGAAGAACGTGTGCAGCGTGGCAGCGACCTATTTCCCTTAGAGTTATAGCTGTTTTCGGTTAGTGACTAGACACTAGCTACTCACAGTCTCCGAGCCTGCTATAGGGCCAAATGGATTGCGATAAACATACGAACAAGGTCATAGTTGGCGGCAAAACGTACCGATGTACATCGAGGCGGCCGTCATCCGGGCACAACGCTCCGTTTCGGTGTCTTCGCCGAATTTCTCGCGGATGGCCTTGACTGTGCATTCCCCTGAGAATCCTTCATTCTGCCAGTATGTGATTTATGGGAGTTCATCTGTACCTGCCATGAGTAAAGACTCACTGCGCGGCGCAAGTAGTCGTCAAATGTAACGTTTAGCTGCTTCTCGGCCGCTTGCCGCCATATCGCCGCGTCGCGTTGGAATTGGGCGCCCGGAAACCATGCAGGCACATATCGGACTGAAGATCGAAGACGACGTGAGTACGGCTCGTTCCCGCGACCAAGGCGAGGTACACGTACGCAAGGGCATGAGATCCACCAGGTAGGTCCCCGCAACCGCACGGGAGATGCACTCCTGTGCAGCCTCGGCGAGCTTGATGAAAGGATCGTTCTCCGGAAGGACGTCGATGGCGTACACGATCTGCATGATGTTCGCGCCGACCATGCTGTGCGTCGCAGAAGTGAGAACAGCGGCCACACTGTGAATGGCAGATGCTCACTGCCTCAGATGCATTTGTAAACGTTTCCCGCGCTCTGCATCGAGCCGATGAACGAGGTTGTGGGCATGCTTCGTCAAGACGTGGCGGTACTTCTTGACGGGCGTCGCATGGAAGTCGGTGTGCGCCATCTTCCTGCATACTCGCCAATCTTCGTTGGCGTCGATGGACCCAAACGTCCAGCCAAACCCGGAGCTTGTTCCATTAATAAGTACGGAGTGGCAAGGCATAGGAAGAGATCGTGAACATACAGTTCATTCACCATGATCATGCGTGGCCTGATTGCATCAGATGACGAGACGACGAGGATGAGAAGGACAAAATACCTGTCTGAATATATGGAAGAGCGTTTGTCTAGTAGCTCCGTCGCGGCTTCCAACGAGCTGAGGACAATGAGGTTCCTGCCGAATGCGCTCAAGCGCAGCACATCGGTGTCTGCATGCTGTTCAGAAACACACAAGGAGACAAAAAATAATGCGCAATACCCACCGTAGTTGCGTGAAAGCATGTCATACTTCAGCCACGGGAACTGATCAAATGCGGGGATGTCGCTGACATTGCCCACAAGAGGCAGCCCATGGGGTCCTGGAGGAGAGCGTCGCGGTTGTCTGGAAAGGACATAAGATGCGACGAGAGGGACTGCAAACAGGGCAGTCAGGAAGACGTAAGAAGACATCGCGTGAACAGGACCTGGAGGAGGGTGGAGATTTTATATGGAGACAACACCTGCTTCGGACGATGAACAATTCCAAATATCCGACCGCCTAGGACTTACTGCGGCTCTGGTGAGCGCAGACAGGGCTTATGGCACCAAATGGCATGGCTTCTGGCCCCTCTGGCCACAGCCGGACTGGGCGTAGCCAGAGATAAGCCGGGCTGTGTCGTTCCGTCTGAGGCTGCTGCTGCATGCACTGTATAAGTGAGGGGGCGAGGACGCCAGTGCTGAGTCTATGTCATGGCGTGTGTCCCGCAAGTACTGGGTGGCGGAAGCAGACGTATGTGAGAGCAGGCGGGGTAAAATATTTGGGGTAGAAGCACTAGTGCCCGCTTAGCGCTAGGCTCGGTCACAATTGGGCGCGCTCAGCGCTCAGTACTCAGTTGCCACGTGCTGCAACGGGCGCGGTCCTCCGGGCCGCAGTTGCGTCACGGTCATCTCATCGCTCTGCCGCTGCTCGCGATCGCCGCCAACAACGACGGCACCGTTTGTATGAGTATGATGGGCACCCACATGCGCTCTAAGCATCGACCCATCTCTTTCCTCACCACTCCTTGCCACCGCGACACCTCATGGCCCCTCTCAAAGAGTCCCCCGATCCTGCGTCTCCTACATGGGCGACCAGCGTCGACACCGACTATCTCGTCTTCTTTGCCTCGCGTGATCAGGAGGGAAAGATGTGGTGTCCAGTACGTCCATATGGCACATTTCCCTCCGGCCACGTCAACGGAGACCCTCCCGTCAGGATTGCAGGGCGGTGGAAGACCTCGTAAAATCTACGTTCGAGCCTCCTGGGACACCTTCCGCCACGATCGTGTGGGTCGGCCAACGGTCAGAGTGAGTCCTTGTTATCATGTTTGTGCTAGTATGAGCGAGGGCACACATCGCACCTCTCCAGCTGGAAAACACCTGCTGCTCCGTTCAGAGCGGAACCTTGGAACGTGCGGTCCGTGCCTACCATTATCAGGCGGCGAGACGTAAGCACTGCCATCCACCGTTACGGCAGATTTCTCCCCATTGACACGTATGTATCAGGGCGCAAGACTCGTGGATGACGAGATCGTGGAACGGTTGCAAGAGTGGCTGAGCGAGTAGGGTGTTCCCCTATGGCCACGACCTTCCTTTTGCAACCCATTATTACTCGAAACATCTATACCGAACCACGGTTTGGCCAAACCGACAAACCATAGCCAGCGGCGCTCTCAGCCGGCTTTAAGACGCGTTGTCGTGTGTTCATTAATGTGCGCCCGATGGCACGTCCAACATTCCGGGCACGGGCCGCCCGTGAGCGTGAGCAGCGCCTGCCAATGTATTCAGTACGAGACTCGGACAAGGCTCGGAGGTGCGTGTTCTCCGCGTTGAGACCAAGTGTGTTGATTAGATACCTCACGAGGCAGACAACAGGCCCATCGTGCCTCGTCTCACCACTTCCCTCTTGCCATGTTCAGTACCTGAGACTGTCCAATAGTAAACTCAACTACAACCAGCAGCGTCCGGCTCCTTCGGACGGATGCTAGCGCTCATAGACGGGGGCGTGCCCAGTGTCGCCGGTGACTGGGCATGCCCGGACGACGCTCACCGTGCCTGACTCTACCCTTCTTTTCCTATCGTCTAGACGCGATCGCGTCTATGTGGTCCCGGCTCCGGGTGGCTTGCATCGGAGTTTGGGCATGCGCTATCTCACCCAATAAGTGATCGTGCACGACTGCGTTCTTGCTCCCTTGTCAGTGCACTCGCCCCTGCGACCATGGCATCGGTAGTCGATCCCGCGTACGTCGCCCTTGCTACAGAATACTATTCTGAAGGGTGGGTGGCATGCTCGTCAGATCCCCTTTTAAACCAAAGTACTGATTTTCAGTTAGGATGGTATCAGCATACTGCACAGTCGCTGGATGCGGTACGTCGGTACCATGAGATTGCATTCGGATCTAACATGAAGCCATAGTGTTCTTTCTGTGGGAGGCCGTCCTTAACTTGGGCCGAGAAGTGGACCTGTTCTGGCAGCGACCAACCTCGGGTGCAAGCGTCCTCTACTTCGCAAACAAGTATATCTTTTTGCTTTACAGCATTCTCAATCTCGTTACATTTGATACGTCACTGACCAACAACGTAAGCTGTACTTAAGATCTACTCTCTCGCTTTCTAACATGGCCAACAGTTGTATGTAATTTCATGTACTGAACATTCTTAACCTAAGTCTGCAACGTCTCGCATTAAGGTGCGGCAACCTGATCCGTACGGGGCTGACTGCAGATCTTGTAGCGTACATGGTTTGGGGAAGTAAGTTTCTTGTTCGATTGCCTGCTCCGTCGCAAAACCGCTCATGATATTTTGATCCAACACAGCTTTTTCCTCCCTCCGCGCCCTCGCGTTGACTCGAAGTCTGATACTTGCCGTTGGCATCTTACTCCTCGCCCTTGTCCCTGTTGGGATCAACGCAGTAGGGTCTCTTCGAGATGCTACTGCATATGTCTAACGATCAATCCTAGGTTCGTTATGGGTTTGATTTCAATGCGGCCAACGATCCGATATTGGGATGCGTGTTCGGGAACACCCTTCCGTCAAATCTGCCTCCGATGTAGGTGTAGCGACTTCTTACATGCGTGTATTACTGCTCAATGTGAATTTCCCTCTCAGCCGTACGTTGTTATCACCCCTGGATGTCTTGAGACTGAAGTGCCCTTGTTGTGCACAGTCGTATCACTTTCCAGATCTTCGTTGATCACCGTGGACTTCACCTTGATTGGGGTAACTTGGTGGAAGATATATGCCCAAGCTCGTTGGTCGAAGGTTATCTTGGCTCGCCCGACGCTTTCGACCGTCCTCCTCCGTGACGGTACATATAGCATTTGTTTCAACGTTCGACTCGCCCTTACTGATTCACTATGAGTGTAGGCACGATATACTTCATGTACGCAAATTACCAGAAACGGATCCAGCAACAAGCGCGACTCACGCATACCACAGAATTTTGTTGATTATGAACGCCCTCCATATGACTTTCACGCTCACTACCGTAAGTCCACGCAACGGAACCATAGCCGAGTTGACTTGAACGACGATGCTCGCCTCCAGCTCTCCCAAGAGGGGACCAACATCGTCAGCAACCTCGGCATCTTCACCGACCCGTGCGCGCTTCTTTTTGTTCTGACACTGTAACTTCTATACTGACATCGCAGCGGCCACTAACAGCGTCACGGCCGTGCTCGTCTCTCGCTTCCTCCTCAACCTGCAGGAGGTGAACCAGCGGTCCGCACACATTTGCACCGACAGCCGTTTGCACGACGAACTCGAAGGAACGGACCCCCACGCACCAGGGAGCACGCTCAACTTTGTGCGCGTGGTGGGCTCGCTTTCCTCATCTCTGGAACCTGATGACGTCATCGGGTTCGGCTCTGCCTCGTACGACGACACGGACACGGACGTCTCACGTGGTTTGAAGGAGGATTGGAAGTGGAAGGAGCAGGGCTTAGCTACTTTGGCGGACATCCAGTCGCCGACCGAGTCGGCCCTCCGTCCTGTGAGCGGTCTCGGGGTGGAGGAAGTGGAGAGAGAAGTTCGGCCATGACAGCAGCATGCGCATTAGTTGCCACCCTGTACTGGGACTCTTCCTCCGATAAATATCACTCGCTGGCACAGGCATCGTGTGGGCTGATGCCTTCGAATGCAAGTTGAAGGTAATGGGCTAAGCTGGGTTGTAGTGAGCTTTGAATCCCGAACATTCCCACGAATACCTGATTCTGACGTAGCACTCCTTCCCGCATCAGCAAATGTTCGCAACTTGAACTCCAGCCACGATGAACCAAGGGATGCTGGCCCTCCCTTTCCGCGTCGCGCGCGCAACACTGACACGGCCGAATAGCGCCTTTGCGCCAGTGGCAAGGCGTGTTGGTGGTGCACGTCTATCCGCGATCACAACGGCGAGCCTGCCGTCAAGATGTTGGCACACAAGTGCCCCGCCCCGAACGCGTCTCATGAGCACCAGCACCAGCACCAGCACCCCAGATTCTGCCGCACACAGTACGTTCCAACCCCACAAGTGCCATACGACTAATGAAAAACTGACCGTCGTCCCTCAGCACCCTCAGAGGACACCCTCGTCGCGAGCCTCCTGCCCACCCTCCTCTCGCTCGGCCTCCCAGACTCCCTCCCGCGCCCGCCGAAGTGGCCGGCCCCGCTGCTCCAGCCCGGCGAGACGGCCAAGTACATCCACCCGCTCCGCGCGCGCGGCTGGGCGACCGACGTGCGCCTGCTCGTCGGGAAGACCGACAGCGCGGGGCGGCCCGCGTCCGCGCCCGCGCTCACGAAGCGCTTCCGCTTCGCGGACCGCACGCAGCTGCGCGCGTTCGTCGACGCGCTCGGCAGGCTCGAGGCCGAGGAGAACGTGAGTGCCTCTCGCTGTGCCCCCCGGCGATCGGGTCCGGGCTTCGTGTGCTCGCAGCTGACGTTGGCGGGCGGGGACAGCACCACGTCGAGCGGGACGGCGCGGGGCCGCGGGGGGACCAGGACCACTTCGACGTCACGGTGTGCACGCACTATGCGCGGCGGCCGCCGGCGTTTCGTGGGGAGCCGGCCAAGGACCGCATGACCGCGGGGCTTACGATGCGCGACGCGCGGTTTGCGATCCTCTTGGAGGCTATCGAGGCGCGGATACTCGCGGGGTAGCACGTGTAGAGGGGACAATTGCACGACGATTCGTGTTTACCACATAATACATTCGCATCGTCCGACGTACATACATACAAGCAGGGGCCGCGCCGCAGTTGCTTCCAGGAAGTTATGAAACAGTCAATCCGACTTGGGCGCGCTCCCATCCAGAGGCACGTGTTCCTCCAGGAACGAGACCATCGCCTCCATCGACCCTTTCTCGTTGTACAGCTCGAAATGGCCTGTAGCCCGAGCGGTCACTCAGCACCGATACGAGGCGCGAAAAAGGATAGATACGCACCTAACGGGAAGGAGACGAGTTGCACTTTGGGTGACAAACCCTTGAGCTCGTGGAAGAATCCAAGTGGGCACAGGTTGTCTTGCTCTGCTGCAACGAGGAGCACCGGGCAGGTGATGCGCGCGCCTGAGGCACGAGGGTTGTAAAAGGGGAGCTCGAAGAGGCTGGACGCGGAGACCTGTGCAAAGAAGGCGTCAGTTCCGGGAGAAGTACGATGGCATAGCGGAAGTGCAAACCTCATTGGGATATACGCTGTCCAACAGGGATTTTAGTCTTGGGTGAAGCCAAAAGCAGAGGACAGACGCACCCTTCTTCCGCTGGCAGGATCAGATTCATGCCTTCGACCGAACCAGGAGCAGTAAGCAACCCGACCTGACCCGGTTGGGCGACGGCGGGCATGTATCGCGGAGTCATTCCGAACGTTTGTCGGAGGATGTCATGGATGCCGGCGAGAACCGTCTTCAACAGGGCTTTGGTGAGGCGAGAGCTGCCTGAGCCCAGACCTAGGAACGGACACTGCGCGATGACCGCAGTCAGATTCAGGTTCTTCTGGAACCAGAGTGGGCTTTTAGCTTCCTAAAGAAGAGCGTGGGGGTCAAAGGGCTTACCTCGCTCGACAAGGCAGTTACGTGGCCGCCCGAGAAGCTCGTCCCCCAGAGAACGACCTTCTGGGGATCGAACTCGGCCTGCTGGCGGACGTACTTGACCACAGTTCGATAGTCGTCGAGTTGCTCGGACACGAAGACGATGTGTCGAGGGGTTCCCGCTGTATGCGCGTAGAGTTGCTCGTGAGCATGGCTCCTGACGAGGACATGGGAGATGCAGCTGACCCGACGTTCCCCAACGCCTGTAATCAAAGACCACGACTGCATAACCCAGAGACGCAAATCTCTCAGCAAACAGGGACAATCCCATGCGCTTGTTCGCCGAGATCCCATGCGCCCTGTCAGATATATCAGCGCTCTAGAGACAGCAGCTTGGGACGGAAGAGAAAGTTGCTTGCATAACGATGACTGGCAACGGACGACTGGAGGATCCGCTGGCGGTCATGGGCAGGAACTTCCAGGCGTCCAGATCCCACCCAGGAGTTTTAGACGGTATCTTGACCTCACTCTTCACAAACTGTGGATCCTCCATGGTAGAATAACGTCGCAGAGATGTCGTTCAAGTCGCCAGCGGCACTCCGTGGTGGTAGTACTGCGGTCTCAGCGGTGACGCATCTGATCCTGCGAGAGGGCCGACCGTGTCTGAGAGAGAGAGGGTCGCAGGGTGAGTGCAGTCGCGGACGAGGCCTACCGGCGTTCGTCTTCGATTTCCCACAACCCTTCCCTATTTTTCTCGCCCAGAAAGGCATCTCGTCCGTCGAAAGCCGCGGTTTAGGTTGCCGCGCCCGTGCCGGCGGGCGCCAAACCCGCTTCCCACCTGATTTTGACAGGCGCTCCCACAATCCCCGAAATGGACTTCGGCTCGGCCTCCCGGCGCTTCCCCACCCTCTCCTCGACCTCGACCTCCACTCAGGCCGTCCCAGCCGTCCCCTACGACCCCCGGTACGCCTATCATGCAATCCACCCGAACTCTAGCTCTGCTCGCGTCGGTGGTGCTGGGTCCATATCACAGCCTATCGGACCCCCTCAGCGGACCCAGCTAGGCCAGAACGCCCTCCATGGTCCACTTGGGAGCCCCGATGGATCCCTCTACACCCACAACAACACGGCCATTGCGCCCACCCCCATCTACGTGGCAAACCAGAATGCCGTCCAGCACCCGTTGCTGAACGCAGCCCAGCATTCAGGGCTGGCTTCATATGATCCCGGCGTCGTCTCCAACCCAACCTTCCACCATGTCGGTGGAGGTTACTCCCGGTCGAACGTCTCCTCGACGGTGCCCTCGGTGAGCTCCCTGGCCCTCTTATCCGATGCTGGGGCGCTTGTTCATCGGATGGGTCTTTGCAGGGCTCGCCGTACCGTACTCATCCCCGAGGGAGTTCAACGGGCTCTTACAGTAGCGGAAGCGAGCATGGCGCTGAGGGTTTCACTGGCGATATTCAGGCTGTGCCCGAGGGGACGTTCATTCCGTCCGAACATATCTACGCGGCTCGCCTTCAAGAGTATACGGACCACGCTTTCCAGAGGTTCAGTGGATATCCTCCCAACCTGTACAACGCACCCGGGAACCTCCCCAGCAGCACTCAAATCAATATGACCCCTTATACGTACAACTGCCCCTCCATTCAGCAAGACATGCCGCTGTACACCATGTACGATACCCCTCATTCCATGGAGGCTCATATTCCTCCAGGGGCACATCATCTCATCCTCCCGACTTGTGAGTGCATTAAACTGCTCCCTTGTATGCGTGCTCATATGTTTGTTATCTAGATACCCCTACCGATTCTTCGGTACCTTCGTTGGATGATGCATATATCCGAAAGATGCTCGGTTTCTCTGCCAATCAAGAGCTCAGCCTCGAGGCCCTGCCTGACCCTCCGGCCGGTGTGCGCCCTGGATACACCATCCCAGTTCTCATCCAACTTGCCATCCTTGGCAGTCCGAAGAAGCGGATGACGCTGGGCGGAATTATTGAGGCACTGGAGAACAGGTTCGAGTGGTACAGGGAGCGTAAGGAGGAAAAGGATACCGCGTGGAAGGTATGTGCACTTTCCTCATTCGCGACGAGCCAGCTTCTCAAGGTACATACTGCAGGGCTCTGTTCGTCATTCCCTCTCCCTCGAGAGATGCTTCCGAAAGGTGCAGCGGCCGGTCACGGAAATTGGCAAAGGGCATTACTGGACGGTGGACTACTCCGACGGCATGGGCACCAAACGCGAGCGCAAGCGCAGGCCGCGCGCCAGCCAGGCTCGTGGCTCTGGTATTGCTGCATCATTGGAGGGGACCCCAGAACTAGTGCTCACAGATGGGCCGTCTTCATCAGATATGGGCCTCTCCTCGCCTGGTCGCTCCTCGCTTCCACTCATCCACCCGTACGAGACGACCTCATACACCACGCCGGACGTGCCTTACTTCCATTCCGGCCAGTCTTCTGGTGCGGCCTCTTACCATCCCGCCCCGATGGAGACCCTTCATACCTCCACCCACGCCTACGCCCACCCGATGCTTTCGCATGGCGTTCAAAACTCGAACGGCAGCTCTCGCACTCAGCCGTACGGTACTCAAGGTTCTTCCTTCTGAGGTCGACTCTGGATCTGGATCCACACAGTCCCTCATGTAGACACCACCGTCTTCACGACAGTATGGCTTGTTCCATGCGAAAAGCATCTCACGATCATAGACGATCTCCTGCCCCAACGGACATGTCGTGGTCAATCCTGCCATTCTCCCCCATTTTCCCTTGTCGTCTATTCCCCAGTAAAACCACCGCTCGCCCCCATGCCGCCCTATCATCATTTTTCCTACTCGCAACCCCATAATTTATGTTCGTAGCCACCGACTCTGATCGTCTCGTCCTTGGCTCGAATCCAAGCGCTGTATTCCTGTTCCACGCAACTGTTGTATCGCTGACCAATGACACATCTAATATCTATACACACCCCGTCCTCGAGCCACCAATCTTCCCGGTCGCTCCCGTCGGGCGCAGTCTCACACGTCCGTGACCTCGACGCCCAGCTCCCCGTCCTCCGCGACGATCGCCGTCCGGAGCGTGCGCCCGCCCATCTCGCGCCGGTGGTCGACCTCGGCGTAGTTCTCCCGGTCTGCGCCGCGCCCGACCCACTTCCACGCGTTCTCGCGCACGAACGCGTCGTACGACCACAGCTCCGGGCTCAGGTCGCGCGCCGCCGGGCCCGCGTAGACGTACGTCTCCGCCCGGACCGCGGGCGCGAGCGCGGACCGCGCGGGCAGGGGCGCGGTCGTGGGTGGGACGACGTACGCGTCCGTCGACGGGTCCTCCGCTGTTGGGGGAGGAGGAGGAGCACTTGGGCTCGAGGTCGAAGAAGGGGTGGAGGATGGGGGACAGGGGCGGAGGCGAGTGGGACGAGGGGACCGAGGGGGTGGACGTGGACGGCTTCGCGGGTGTATTCCTGCGTGCGCAACGGACGGAGCAGAGGAGGGGTAGGCGGGTGAAAGGGAGCAGAGGAAAGGGACGTACGTTGCCTTCGAACAGGTCGAGCAGGGAGATGTCCTGGTCATTCAGGCCTGTCACGAACGTGCCGCGCACAGTGCGGTCTTCGAGCGAAGGCTCTGGAATCCCGGCTGACATGAAGAGGTTGCGGCTCTGGGTGTACGGGATGACGGCCGGGTAGTCGGCGTGCTAGAGAGGCAGCGGTCTGAGCCCAGTGCACGCGGGAAGGAATCAGGCAGGGCGAGAGACATACGTGGATTTTGTGACGAGTATAGTCCTGGACATACTAGACGGTGAGCGTAGTGGGACAGTGTCAATCGCAGTCTCGTACCAGGAGGATGGCAGGACATAGTTGCAAATCGGCACCTGGGTGACCTATGACCCTACGCAGAATGGAGGGATGCATCAAAGTACCATAGAAGAAAGCCGAGTAAGACATCTCGTGGTACCCCGGATGGTGGGTGGTAAGTTCAAAGCTCTGCAGACCACCATCCTCGAGGGCGGGAGTCCTAGTTTCAGAGAACCCCTTGAGGGATTGGTGATAAGATAAGGGGCAGTTTGGGCTTGATGCATGATATACGCGAAAGCAAGAAACCGAGACTCAAATTGTGCAACGGACGCGTGCATTGAGGTCGCGTAGAGGGACTGGATTAGATGAGCTGATCCAAATGAGCGTCGCGCCGTTACACCAGAGTCCTCCTCTGTTGGATGTCCGACGCGTTATTTGCGTGTGTTTGGATCGAGTCAGGCGTCGGCTAGATTTATATGGATCTCTCGCGCGATCGCGCTGCTCTCACAAGTTCTGGACGATCCGCTGCTCACTCTCTCTTCTTCTCCGCCTCCTCTCCCCTGCGCACTTATATCCTAGAAGATAATTAGACTATGGCGCGGAAGATCCGCGAAGCCGACGGGCTTCTGCGCGTGCTACCGAAGCCCGGGGAGACTATGTACGTGCGCCTGTCCTCTAGATCTCCTTGTCCCTAACGTTCCGGTAGCCTGCCCGTGGATGGCGAGAGCAACGTCCTCATCACCTCTGCGCTCCCCTACTGCAACAACGTCCCCCACCTTGGTGCGTTCTCTGTTTCTCCCAGGTGATCGAACGCCGAATTCGAACTGGATGCAGGAAACATCATCGGGAGTACGCTCAGCGCAGATGTGTTTGCTCGGTGCGTCGCTTTACTTCTCCGGCCCGAACATTCTGCTAACGCGTCTCTGTAGCTATAACCGTGAGTCCTGTTAGCATGGCCGCGGAGTCCGCCTCACACGACCGACCAGGCACTCGCAATCGGAGAACACTCTACATCTGTGGGACGGACGAGTACGGCACTGCGACGGAGACCCAGGCACTGAAGGAGAAGCTCACCCCGAGGGAGCTTTGCGACAAGTACAACGCTATGCACGCGGAGACGTACAAGTGGTTCGAGCTGAGGTGCGTCGGTCATTCCAAGGAATGTTTCTCTGGCCTCATGTTGCGTGCAGCTTTGATCACTTCGGCCGCACATCGACACCCCTACACACCGAGTAAGCAGTACGAGCCCGGTTGTATGCGCCACAGAAGCCAACCATGACTTAGGATCTCCCAGGGAATGTACCTGAACCTCGCGAAAAACAACTACCTGGAACGGCTCGAGAAGGAACAGACCTACTGCGAGGGGTGCAACAAGTACGTCCAACATCCCGCCCGGCCCGCTTTCCCGCTGACTCTGTGCAGGTTCCTCGCCGATCGTTTCGTTGAGGGAACGTGCCCGCACTGTAACTCCGACGTACGTCTGTCTCGCTCCTCCAGCTGTGCGGCCCGCTGACCTCTCTCAGGACGCGCGTGGAGACCAATGCGATGTCTGCGGGCGGACGCTTGACGCGGTTGAGCTCATCAACCCGCGCTGCCTGATCGACAAGACGCACAACGTCGTGGCGAAGACGACGGCGCACATGTACGTGCGCCTGAACGAGCTCCAGGCAACGACGGAGGAGTGGATCAAGAAGTCGTGGAAGGAGGGCAAGTGGTCGCCAAACGCGGTCATCAACGGCGACGGGGAGCTCGTCGACGACCGTCTCCGTGGCGGACTGCGCCCGAGCCCGGTTACGCGCGACCTAACGTGGGGTGTGCCAGTCCCGCATGTGGAGGGCAAAGATCATGAAGGGATGGAGTCGAAGGTGCTCTGTATGTGCTTCGTTTTGAATGTGCTTGGTTTTGGCACTCACTCGTATTGTCAGATGTCTGGGTAAGCTATGCTGCTGCGCTGGGAAGCTTCATCCGCTGAACGCAAGTGCAGTTCGAGGCGTGCATTGGATACCCTAGTATCACCGCCAACTACACATCGGATTGGGAGAAGTGGTGGTTCGACCACAAGAACGTCCGCCTGTTCCAGTTCATGGGCAAGGACAACGTCTACTTCCATGTCATCTACTTCCCATCCATCCAGCTCGGTGACGGCCGGCCTTGGACCATGCTCCATCATTTGTCTACAACAGGTGCGCATGTAAACAGAGCGGTTCTGATTCCGGGCTCATATGGGTCGATAGAGTATCTGAACTACGAGGGTGGCAAGTTCTCGAAGAGTCATCAACGGGGTGTTTTCGGGCCGGCAGCGAAAGAGACGGGCATTCCCCCTTCGGTGTGGAGGTATTACCTCATCTCGACACGACCAGAGACGGCGGATGCCATGTTCTCATGGGGAGACTGCGTGAGTACACCTCCCGTGCGCGGTTGCACTCTTACCGACTCCGCGTAGATTGCTGCGAACAACAACATACTGCTAAACAAGTACGTCTGTTTATCTCTCGAAACATGATGTTGCGTGCTGACGCTGTCTCTGAAGCTTCGGCAACTTCGTCAACCGGGCAATCAAATTCGTCGTCGCGCAATACGAGGGTGTCATCCCGGACAGTGGCGACGCGCCCGGACCCTACTCGCCCAACGACGAGGTTGATGGCCAGTTCATCACCGAGGTGAACGCGCTCCTGAAAGAGTACACCGACGCAATGGACGCCGTCAAGCTCCGGCTCGGTCTGCAGACGGTCATGGCCATCTCCGCCCGCGGCAACCTCTACCTGCAGTCCTCCGGGCTCAACAAGCAGCTGATGACCGACAGCCCGCAGCGGTGCGCGCAGGTCGTGGCGCGCGCGCTCAACCTGATCTACGTGCTCACCGTGCTCGTGCACCCGTTCATGCCGTCGACGGAGGCTTCGATGCTCGCGCAGCTCAACGCGCCGCCGCGCGGGGTCCCGCTCGCGCTCGCGAACGACCTGCTCCCTGGGCACGCGCTCGGCGCGCCCGAGCACCTGTTCAAGAAGATCGAGGACAAGATGGCGGAGCTGTGGCGCGACAAGTTCGGCGGGCTCAAGCCCAAGGCGGACGAGGCTCCCGCGGCGCCCGCTCCCTCGAAGCGTAAGGCGGCCGCGGAGAAGAAGGCGGCGGACAAGGCGAAGGCTGAGGCTGCAGCAGCAGCGAACGCTGGCCTGAAGTCTGCGGCGGTGCTTGCGGCGGAGGAGAAGGTCGCGGCGCAGGGTGTGGTGGTGCGGGAGTTGAAGGGCAAGCCGAAGACGGAGGAGGGGGACAAGGAGGTCGCGAAGGCTGTGGATGAGCTGAAGCGGCTCAAGGTCGAGCTCGCGGAGGCGATCAAGGCTCAGGCGTGATGCGTTGAGGTTTTGATTGTTGCATGACATCCGCTAATTTGGTGATAGGTCTGTCATCATCTATGTCGGGCAGACGATGATGGTGAGTGTGTACATACGTGCTGCATCAAGGATAGATAGTGAAAGCCTGAAGGACGCTGGAGTCTGGAAACCGGCACGTGCCTGAGTCCGTGCTTTTCGGCCAATCAGATTAGAAGTTGGACGCGCCAGGGCCTGGGGCTCCGTAGATTCCCATCTGCTCGGGCATCTCCCCTCGCAATTCTTCTCAAAAGGAGCTTTTTAAAAACTCCGAATTGCCTCGCCACTTCGCTGTACTACGAGTCGCCCTACACACCGCGCGACAGGATCACATGTGCCCGGTGGACACCCCGGGCTCTGCCATGACACCCCCAAGACCTGCATTTCCGACCCCGGGCTCGTGTCGTCGCCACGGTCGGCCACGAGCTCGCCCGAGCTTTGCGCACCCCCGGACGCCGTCGCGCGCGCCGCGCTCAAGGACAAGGAGCTCGCGGCGTAGGCCGTCGCCTTTGCCCACCTCGTCCTAGTCCGTGCAGCACCTCTATGGGGACGCGAGCCGCCAAGTGCCCCGCGCGGCGGACGCGCAGGACTACACGACCGCGTTGTTCAGCCTGCGACAGATCGCTCATGCCAAGGGTCCATGCAGGTGAGGGAGGACGAGAGAAACGGCGGTGGCGGTGGCGGGATTGTCCCAAGTGCGCATATCGCGCGCGCGCAGCAGAATTGTAGACTCAGCACAGAGACGACCGGATGGCCTTCGAGTGTAAGCAGGCCCGGTCGAGCGGTGGCGCAGCCAAGGCTCACCCATCTCCCATGCGGTGGATGTTTTCTTTGCAGGAAGTCTGCACGGCTGCTGCCCACCTGGGCCGTTCTGGCAACGGGACGCGAGATCTGCATCGCGCTAGACCAGGTGCGCGTCCTGTAGGCTCCGACGCTCTGGGTCGCACTCACCGTTTTGATGGGCGCGAGTGATGGTTCTGCGGTGACGTCGGTCGGCGGACGGGCCCGGCCGGGGGCCCGCGAGCCTCGTCGCGCGCTGTGCGCCCCGGTGTCGAGCGCAGGAGCGGGGGAGGGCTGAGGATCGCTCGATCGGCTATGTTCGCCTGCGCTGCGCAGTGCCATACACCCCAGCGGCCAGCCGGAGCGTCCATCACGCCTAGCACCTGACTCGCGCAGAAACCGTCCGGCGCCACCATCGCGTCCGCCCGGTTCACCTATATATCCTTACCTGCCCTCACCAGCAGCCGGCGCGTGGACTCCCCCCATATCATCCTAACTCCCTTCCTCGCCCGCTGCCCTTCCTCCCCCTTCCCGCCGCCCGCCGCCTTCCACCCCCGCCCCGGCTGTCCACGAACTCCTCCCCCGATCCCGGCTGTCCGGTCACAACCCATCCGCCCCACGCGGGCCCCGCCGCTCTTCCCCTGCATGCATTGATAACTTCCACCTCTCCTACACTATGGCCGTATCGATGTGAATACCACACAACCCCGATTCGGCCCGCCATCTGCTGACCACATTCGCGCAGTACGGGCGTGCTGGTAATCACCATAGCCTTCGCAGGCATGTGAGTGTCCCCCAGTTCTCCATGCTCAGCCCACCCATGCTCACCGTCGTAAATCTTCACATCACTTCGGCTGTCCAGGCTGTGGGGATGTAAGCTCTTCCCATCTCTTTCAATAGGAACCTGTCCCTCATCCACCCCGCCGGGTATGTAGTCAGCTCGGCCACGGCAGGGTTCTACTGTGTGCACTGTTGGCGTAACGACAAGAAATTCCTCCGCGTGGCAGTGAGTGTCGAGACGATCGATTGCGTTCACTCACCCGCGGATCCTAACGCGCCTCATGACAGGTCGTGCTCGTGTGGGTCGTGGACACTTTCCATTTTCTGTCCTTTGTTTATACAAGTCCGCGCCTTTCTCTCCCACCCGTCATGATGCTCACGGAGGCTGCTGTAGCATGGGTTGAAGTGGTTCCTAAACATGCTTACCTCCAGTTTGACATCAACGAGCCCAGGACAATGTACGTGGGTCCATCCGGTGCACGGAAGACGAACTGACATCGCCGTTTCGGTGCGCAGAATAAGCAACGTGAGCTTCTGATCACTCAATCAAAGTGCTCAATCACTGATTAGGCGACGTTGGGATGCGAGGCCAGACCTTGACGCTATCTTCCGTGCGTCCTCTCTCTCCCCACTCCTTGAAAGTCCTTGGTTCAAACCCTCATACTAGAGTGCCTTGATTCTCCTTGTCCAGATGTAGGTCACACCGTACGTCATGTTCAGCGCACGCGTGACATATTTCTAGGTTCTATCTTCAACGAATATATGCTTGTGAGCATTGTCGACCTCAAATGTGGTGAGTTGCTCATCCGTACGCAGTCGGTCGGAACATATGGACGGCCATTTTATTGGTATGTCATTCCTTGTTGAACATTCTCCCCCCAACCAATCACGCTCGCAGGGCTTACTGGTCGCGGCAAATTTTGGTCAGTTTGCCGGTCTTCCAGCTTATCGCGAACGCTGAAACTGATCGCTCACCTATGTGGTGACAGCAATGTCTATCGGTGAGTCCCCTCCGTACCATGTCGCCTCTTCTGTCGCTCACCGTCTTGAAGTGATCACCTACAAAGCGTCAGTATCAACTAATTAAGTCGTGACCGCTCTTAACACCTCATACCCCAGGATCCTCGGCAAGACATTACTGGCATATCTCCGACTTCAGGTGAGTCCCACCTTTTACCGTCCAGATCCTGGCTCCGACATCGCAGCAGCTTCTCGCAGGCATCTTGGCGGCATTGACGGCGGCGTCCGACATCGCGCTCACTGGCTGGATGATTTATCTCTTGATGAAATCAAGAGGTCATGGTCCAAGGTAGGTGTACATCCTGCAGCACGCTATTTGGAACGTTGGTTGAATTGGCCCCGACAGGTCTCGAAGGTTGATCAATCGGCTGGTGGGTCCAACGCCGGATGTGACGCCTGGTCCTGTATTCATACGTCGTCTAGCTGTTATACTCGTTGAACTCCGGATTCGTGACGACTGTGCTCGCGTTGCTCGCTCTCCTGACGGTGCGTTGCCTCTGCACACGGCGTCTGTCCCGCTAATCGCCGTCCCCATGCGCAGCTCTTCCTCTCCCCCACCACCGGGATCTTTTCCTTCTTCTTCAACGTCGGCGCGCGCAGTCCGTGTCCTCTCACATTATCCGTGCAGCCCCCCGCTTACCTCCGTCCCCCACAGCGTACCCGCTCTCGATGTACAGCAGCCTCAACGCGCGCGAGGGCCTCCGACACACCATGGCCCGCGGGGAGCCCATCGCCACCGTGCCCATCACCGTCACCGTCACCCGCCGCACGGACTCGGGCTCGGACTCGGGCTCGGGCCCCGCCGCCGGCACCTCGAGCTCGGGCAGCCACAGCATGTCGGTGCGCATGTCGGTGCCCCGCCCGCCTCCTCCCGTTTCGCTGACTGACGTCCTCCCTCGTTCCCCCCTCCGCGTCGCCCTTCCGCCTTCCGTCTCGTCCGCCCGCAGACCGACGCTCGATCTCGGTTCTCCCTCCCCTCTCCTAAGTCCCTCGGCTTTCCACCACTCCCGGGACGGCTGGGTCTGAGGGGGAAGACGGTCTCGGGCCCGTAGCCCCGCACGTGCGTGCGCGAGCGGGCCAAGGACCCGGGCCCGTGCGCGGCGTGACGGCGTCCCGTCGCGCATCGGAAGGCCGAGGAGGCCGTCGGGGGGAGCCATGTGTTGGGGCGCGCGTCCCCGCTGGAAGTCCCGCAGCGTGGTGTGTGTACTAGTGGCGCTCTCTGATGCAACCTTCCGCGCCGCCGCCGCCGCCGCCTTTCCCTTTCCCTTTCAGGGCCAAGTTCGTTCCCGCGCCGCGCGTGTTCTAGACTCCGGCGAGGACCGACGGTGCGGTATCCCGCAGCGGCCGGGAAGGCGACACCTATGGCAACGCGCGCGGCCGGCGGGGGGAGCGCCGGGGGTGGTTTATGCATTGTGCTCGCGAGACTGTGCGCGTGATTTGTACGTACGGACAGGTTGTATGCATTATCGGTCGACCTGTATGTACCGCGCGGGTTCGAGCGACGCGCAGCCGTCGAGCTCGCCCGTCCATGTTTGCCTAAAGGTGCCCTCTGGCGACAAGCTTTAGTTATATTCGGCCGGGTGCACGGAATATCCCTCGGCCTGGGATCATTGGCAATGGGGGTACATGACGTGGCGCCCACATGCTTGCCCACACATGGCAAGTGGGACCGCCGGGGCGGGTGCCGCGGCTCGCGGGAAGGGTAGGTGCTTATGGAGCAGCACCAGCGGCGCCGAGTGTCTGGACTCTAGTGGCGACGCTCGGAGATCTATTGGTGGAGGACGGGACGGGGACGGCCTTTTGAGTGCATAGCGTACGACGACCCGCCCGGACCACCGCGTGCGCAAGACCGCGCGGTGGGCGTTCCCCGACACTCGGCAGATCCGGAGGCCGCAGGACGCGCGCGCGCGAGAACCAGTAGATGGAGACCCACTCGAGTACCGGTCGCAGCGAGCTTTGGATCGGCTACAGGCGAGGGCCTAGCATGGGCTCACCTTCGTCGTCCTCGCTCCAGCTAACGAGCTTCTCGTATGTTCATGCGAGGAGCTCGACGATTTGATGTGTACGGTGTAATCAAGGTGCGTGCGGTAGAGCAGAGGTGATTTGGACAAAGTCGGAGGCGTCCCTCCCCAATGCTGTTCAGTACGGCTGTCGCTCAAATGGCTATAGCCTATGGCTTGCATGGGGAAGTTGGAGAGCCACGCCTTACATAAGATGTTTGTGAGCGTAGTAGAACATGGAGCAATAAGCTGAAATATGCACGCGGTGTCAGAGGGACGGATGATACGCACGAGACTTGAGTACGCACCGAGTGTCCCCAGTCCCCTCCTTGAACGACTGCGGCAATCTTGAGGAACGCTGGTGGCCAATGGGACCGAATCACGCACCATAATGATCATATCCCAGGCTGACTATCGGCTTGTTCGCCACTTCCACCCCGTGAACCCTTTTTCCTTCGGGACCAAGAATTCGAAACCGGGAAGACTTGAGTGGGCCGCCCAACGCGACGACGGGGAAGCCAAGGTACTCCGCCGACTTCATGCGGCATCTTACACACCTCCAGAAAGTGGCCGGGCCATGTGACGTCGCATTTCAGCTGGCGTGGCCAAGCTTTGCATGTAGAGCTTGAACCGGGGGGCACTCACAACCACGGACGAATGAGAGCGTGGCACCGCGCCTTCCTCCTCGCTCTTCTGGTGCACGTAGTGTCGGACGTCCAGCGTCCCAAACCCGTCCACGTCTATGTCGCGCGGTTGGCGTTGATCGAAGCCTCCGACTTGCACCAGTCGAAGCCGTCCTACCAGGGCGCGACGAGCCGCTTGATGGCCGCGAGGGGTGCGCCATATTCCGAACCTGCTTCGTAGAGTACATCGGGATTGAAGCGGAATGGCTTTTGCTTGTGCTTGAGGGGGTCGAGAGCGAGTGCGTCGTCGGAGACATTCGAGGTGAACACCTCTTTATACATGGTGGACGGAAAGAACGAAAACGAGGGACCGAAGGCGCAGGGTACACCATTAAAGCACAATCATAATGTGCGCGCACGTTGAACGTTGAACGGTGACCGCACCCGGCTCCGGGCTTGCGCCCGCGCGCATGCCCGTGCCCCGCGTCTCCACCGGTGTTCCCGCTGTCGCTGCTGGTAGTGCTCCCCCGCGCCCCCTCGAGCGCAGACTCACCCTGGTTATCTCCGTTGCCATTTCTCCTCCCCGATCGGCGAAAGAGGTGCCGACAATGGCAGCCAGTGGGCATGAGTCAATAAATGTCGTGCGGCCTTTCTGTGACACAACCCCAGAATCGTTAACCGCATGGGCGCTGTTGCGAACAGTGAGGAACAGAGCGAGGCCACAAACGCGCTCGGCCGCGCTAGTCAGGACAATGGCGTTGAAGTCACGTGGTAGAATGAGGCCGTGTGAACACCGGGACGACGTGCTCCCGTCATCCAAGACTGCGACTTGATCCCCATCTTGCTCTTTCAATCATGTCCTCCGCACATTCTCCGGCAAACGCAACGCACTGTCCAATGCGATGGCGTGAAGATTGAAATCACAAAGGACTGTCTGGTAACATCGTGCAACGCCCACTGTGCTCCTGTACTAATAGTAGCAGCCAGCCACAAGATCACTGTAAGATTGGGTGCGCCGCCACCTACCACAGTGCTGGGCTGCCATGGCTGGTTCGACAACGCATTAGTGCTCCCAACTATCGCGACTATTTGTAGCCGATACGAGCAGATGTTCGCAGCCCGCGCGCTTCATGCTTGCAGAGACGAGCAGATCCGCCTGCGCGCCAAGGCGACCATTACCCTGTCTCCCTTGGGGTGCTGACGAACGTGGGTACGACCAGAATTCTCTCACCGCCCCCTTCCTCCTCGCCACGGAGCCAAGACCTTTGCCGCAGGTCGCCTTCTGTCCCCGCGCTACAGTGGGCGGGCCTCTTGCGCCCTTCATCGACATCCCCGCCCATCCCCTACGTGTCCACCACCGATTCCTCCCCCGCTCGCCATAGCCCCCCCTAGTATCCATCTTGTCGAATTCTACATCGGTTAGTAGAGACTGTCTCCCCTCCAGGGCAGCGCTCGATCTGGGATCTCCCCCTCTCTTGGACACATCCAACTCTACGAAAGCCAGCTCGTATCCACGAACCCGATGAGCTGGCTCCATCCGCAATCCATAGTTTCGCACTCGCGGCTCCGTATGCGCGCGGACCCGGTTCCAGGACCAAACACAAATTCCGCGCGCTGACTCTGGAAAAATCGCGCTGGACGACCATGGTCTGTGGGCGACCTCGAGAGCCGTGGGGCTCCGAGGAGACGGAGGCACCGCAGCGCGTGCGCTCTGATGCCAGCCCTGCGCGAGGTCCGCGGTCCTTTCGCGCCCCGCGCCCGCGACGGTGGGTGGCGAGGTCACGGTCTCTCCAGCGGCCCGCGGCGGGCGCTCCTCAGCCAAGTCGGAAGTCGGCGACTTCGGGAAGCGTCATGCTTGTTGTACTGCTGTACGTATCGTGCGCCAGAATCTGATCTGTCTCTCTCGCTTATACTGATTTTGGCTGGAAGATTTGAAACGTGAGGTCGAGGCTCCGAGCCCGCCGGCGGCGCGCCTCTTGTGTCCTGTTTGCGAACATGGGTGCTCACCCCATCAGCGGAAGCCCGTCGCGCCAATGCAAGCGTCGCGTTTCGGAGCGCCCCACTACGCGCCCGCCCGTCCGCCTGCCCGAATACGGTGTGCCACTGCGCGTCCGCCCCCAGCGCTGCGCGGCGCCCCGCTCGCCACCGCTGCCCATACACAACCTCTACACAGTTCTTACACAATTCTTTTGGCCTCGAGCACGCGCGCCCCCCGGCGTCAGCGCCCCGGTCCGAGACCAGTGACCGGGCGTCTGGCGCGACTTGTTTCTCGACCACCTCCTCCCCTGCGCCCGCCCTCCGAGACCGCGAGCCTGAGCCCGCGCCCGCTCCCGCCTGTATGTGTGTGCGCACCGTGCACGGAGTGCCACCGTTCTCGCTCGCCCGACGGGCGAGATGTGGTCTCGGGCGTGGGCGCAGGGGGATGGGTCGTCGCCCACCCTCATCTACGGGTGCAGCCTGTAAGTGGAGAGGTGAGCCGCTTGATGCACCTTTTAACGGGGGGATGGAGGGCGGAGAGTGAGTGTCCAGAACACCGCGACCCGCCGCCTCTCGTGCACCCTCGTGCACACTCGCACTCGCACTCGAAAGCTGAAACCGACGATCTTTCAATTGTAACGCTAGTAGCCATGCACAGCGTGAGTGTTCGCGGCGTGACGCGATCCGTTGCGAGTGGCTCGAGGCCGAACTCACTGTCTCCGTCGTCGGTGTTCTTTGTTTGCAGGGATACAGTAGGCACATCCATCTTCTCTACCATCCCTTTCATTCACACCGCACTTCTCTGGCACAGCCGGTGTATCTAACCCCGAGCTCTTTCGGACGCTCGGCCTCCCGCCCTACTCGCCGCTCAGTCTGGACGCCATCCGCGACACCGGCAAGCAACCGCCGTACACCCTCTCCGTCCTCTGCCAGCTCGCGATCCTCGGCAGCCCCACCCAGCGGCTGCTCGTCCAGGACATCTTCAACGCGCTCATGCACAAGTTCACATACTACCGCAACCTCCAAGACGCCGGGGTCTGGAAGGTGCGCGCCGCCTTTGTCTCCCCCATGCGCCTCCGACGCCCCTCGCTCACCGCCCGTACGCGCAGAACTCTGTCCGGAGCGTGCTCACCAACGAGCGGTGCTTCGTCCAAGTCTCACGGAGCCAGGCCGAGCCCGGGCGGGGCGACTACTGGACCCTCAGCTACCTGAACGGCCCGCGGCGCCCGTGAGCGCGGAGCGCGAGGTGCGCGCGCGGACGGGGCAGCGCAACCCGACTGCTGCCCACCCGCGCGCGCACGTACGAGGTGGGGGGCCTGCTTGCGTGCGTGCGCGCTTGCACGGTCGTTGCAACGCAGCGCACTGCACGGCGCCGCAGGACCCCCGCGCGCGCGCGTCCACCGGCACTGCGCTCTTTGTGCACGCCGATGGGACGCGGCGCGCCGCCGACGACGACACCTGCGCTGCCAGATCTCGCAGACGGTCGGCGGGAGAGTGTGCGTCGTGTGCAGCTGACCGGGCACGATGAGCTGATGCCCGGGCACGCATGCGGTGCGCCTCTCGCTTTGTGTGTGTGTATCTCTCTTCTCTTTCTCTTTCTCTCTGTCTTCCTGTCTGTCTTCCTCTCTCTGTCTCCCTCTCTTCCTAGTCTTCTTGTCATCGTCATCGGACACGCGTTGTCTCGGGAGGCGCATCTGGATCTGCTTTGTACTGGTACCGGCCAAAACTACGCTCCGTGCTTTAGTTAGCGGCGCTCTCTCGCGCTCTCTGATCGTGATCATACTATACCGCACCTGTAATACCACGACGCATCTTGCATCTGTGTCCTGACAAATCGAAAGCTCCCTTCATCTTTCCAACCGCGTGCACCATCACGAAGACATAGATTGCGGCCCGGAGCTCCGGCACTTGGCGCCCCCAAGTCCGCACACTGTTGATAACAGCCTCAGGTTAGTGTTGCGATGGCTCGGCTTGGCTCGGCTCGGCTCGGCTCAGGACGGCTCCGAGAAAGCCAAAACTCGAGCCACGGCTGCGATTTCGGCTGTTATTACCAAAGCCGAGGCCAAGCCGCCCAAGCCATCCATGAGCCGCCTTTTTCAATTGGCGCTGGCCGCACAACAAATATTCATGCTTTGTAGTGGAACAGAGCAACAGGAGGACGATAGGACTGCATTTTATATGTGCCCACGATGCACAGAATGTTTTAAGATTGTCAGGAGGACGATTGGACAAAGTCGACCAAACACCCATATTGCAGGCAAAACTCGAGTCGAGTCTCAGATCTCAGATCTGACGTCGAGTCCGATCAAGCGGGGTGCTTGATAACTACAAGTTACTTACACAAGCTACGACTTATAACACCACAACTATTAACAATTTAATGGTTAGCTCAATGTCACTCCCCTCCGCCTCCGTCCTCGACCTCGACCTTGATGCCGTCCTTCACGGTTCACCGGCCGCATCCACATTGTATGAGGACTTCCATATGGAAATTCGGGTATGGAGGCCGCGGCGATGTACCGCGGCCCTTGTTATGGTGAGTCCCCTCCTGCACTCCCTCCTGCTTCACCCATCCACGCTGCCCCCGCCCTCGACCCTCTCATTCGCGTCGCCTTCCTTCGCGCGCGTCGTTCGCCTGTGCGTATCCCACCTCCTGCGCGTTGCTCACCTGCGTGTCGCCCACCTACGCCTGCGTGTCGCCCACCTGCGCCTGCACGTCGCCCACCTGCGCGCTGCCCGCATCCTCCCTCCTTCGCCTCCGCGTCGTCCGCCTCTGCACACCTCTGTGTTACCCTCCATCTGTATCGCCTACCTTCGCGTGGCCCGCCTTCGCCTCACCCACCATCTTGTCCGCCTCATTCCGGCCCTCTGGGTCCTCTCGCGAGCCCTCCCTGTTGCCGTCCTCCGCATCCGCATCCCCGGCCTCTGGGTCCCCCGCGTTTACGTTGCCCACATACCCTCCTCCTCCTCTGGGTCCTCCATCTCGTGTCGCCCACCTCTGCCTCCGCGTCGCCCTCCTCCGCCACGTTGCGGCCCTCGGCATCACACTCCGCCTCCTCCACCTCGTCGCGGCCCTCCGGAGTATGTGCCGCCCTCTACCTCGCCCTCCTCTGCTCTGGCGCACGTCCTGCTCTGCGCGCACATCCAACTCGCGCGGGCTCGGCACGGCGTCCTCTCCTCACCCTCTGCCTCCACCCCGCTCTCCTTCGTCTTGCCCTCCTCCGCTCTTGCGCGCGTCCCGCTCATTTGCGCGAGCACATGCTACCCGCGCGGGCGGAGCACCGCGTCCCACTGCCCCGCTGCCCCATCCCGGCCCTCTGCCTCGCCCCCTCTACGTCGCCCTCCTCCGATCTTGTGCGCGCTGCGCGCCATCGGGCAAGCACATTGTGCTCTACCTGCTGTGGTCAGCTGCCTTGCCTCCTATTTTGTCTTGGCCCTCCGCTTCCACCTGCCCCGCTGTTGCCACTATGTAGTAGTGTACTAATAAATATATTTTCGTTGCCAATCCTACGCTTGCGTCATGCAGGAACATATAAGAGAGTTCGCATAAATCCCCTTCTCTGGGCGCCCAGCGAGCGAGCTGGAAATATTCTGGAAGAGCCGGTCCTCCGTCTTGGGAGGAGGCGCCCAAGACCGGCTCTTCCAGCGGCTCAGCCATCAGTCCATTCTGGCTGCTGGCGTCAAGCTCTCCCCTCGTGGGAGGCTCGTTCTGAGCCGATTTTCCCAGCCCGGCTGACAGCCAAATGACCCGGCTGGCGCAGCCAGCCGAGCCGAGCCGAGCTATCGCAACACTACCTCAGGTCATTTGTGACGCAACTTGCACTCGGCAAGACTTGCCTGCTTTTTCATTATGAAGACTCCAGCTCTGATGTCTTCGCACTGGAGTGGGTCGCGCAGTCCTGCGGACTAGGCTGAGCACCACAAATACACTGAACGAGCAGTCACAACGCTGTCGAGTCACACATGACAATTCGCAGCTATCTTTTCAGAGCACGATCTACAGGAAGTCTAACAGCCGGCGTGGCAACCGTGCCATATAATCGAACAGCATCCGAAGATGAAAGGGATCCAAAAATTGAGAACAAGACAAGGAAGAACTTCATTTATCTGAGGCACCGAGCAAGCGGCCAACTGGCCGTGCGCAAGGAGCCCCAGAGAAAGAGAAGGAGATCCCCCGACGACGCAAGCCTGTAGTGCAGCGGCAAGGTCATCGCGCCCCCGCGTTGCAAGCAGAGCGCGAGGGACAAGGGCGGCAAAAATTAGATAACCAAGAATGGGGGCGGTGCCCCCATAATAGTGGTTAAACTATTAAGAACAGATACTACACTTGATCTAAGCCAAAAGGCCAGAGTGGTGAGGAGACACGACGTCTGGGCGTGGCTTATAAGTCGCGCGGGCGGGGGACGCACGGACCAAGGACTCGCTTGCGGACACGGCGGGTGGGCGCTCGGGTGGGTGGCGGCAGGCGGAGGCACGTGTCAAAATTCAATGTCGCGCTTGATCCGCGCGCTGCAGAGCTTCTCTGGAGTCTGGTTCTACACCACATACTTATATGAGTCAGAGATCCCGCACGCCCATCCTGCCAACGTGGAGTACCACATTTTCGCAAGCTCGTGCGCCCCAGAGGTCGCGCTGGACAACGTAAGTAAGTACTTCCAGCATTTTCATTTGTGCAATGTCCCCCTGTCAGTGTCACGACAATCCGCATGGCGACATGGCACAGTGCCACGACCGCAGGAAGCCCTAGCAAGCCCCGACGCAGTGGACACTTTGTTCTGATGCATGTCTTCAGATACTGACCTATCGGTTCCCTGGAGGACCCCATGATCTCCATCTCCTCCACCCCAAATCGCTCAACGCCGGTGCGGTGAGGCAATCTATGGGCGCCGCACATCACCGCCGGAGGTCCGAAGTGAGCGAAGTTATCGACGCACGAGTACTCACGTATACATGGGTCCGGCATTCACCCTTTTGACCTCCGAGGGTTCGATACCTGGCCACAATCGGTCGCACCAGCAGCGGTGCCCACTGCCAGCTTCCGCGCGGCACCTAGACGTCGCGACCCTAGGAGGCGGGCCGCATGAATCGCGGCGAGGTCATCTGTTCCACCACCCGACGACGTCGCCGCGCGCATCGGGCTGCGATAGCGCACGCCTCTTCGAAGTTCGGAAGAGAAGTGCGCGAGAAGCCCCGCACACGCGACCCCGGCGGGATCCCGCGGCCACGCCGCCAGGAACCGTGGACGGGCTGGTGGTATGCTTTGCCCGCCCCACACCGTCCGCCGTGACCGCGAGGCTGATATCAGTCCGACGCTGCAGTCAGCCTTGCGTCAGCTATCGCGCTGTCGGTGCGCTTGGCGTTTGTGGCTCGTTTGGAGGTAAGTGGGTCATGCGCGCTATCAGGTTCAACCAGCTGATCTCGGACGCTAGGTTTGTTGTCAGTAGCTCAGACCGTATGGTACTTTGTCCACTACCCGTGGATCGTCAAGTTGGTAAGCATCACATATCTTCTGGGAGTGGGAAGCGCCCGTATTGAATGACTGCAGTGTGGACGTCGGGCCTTGTGCACCTCTTCTGAACAGTTTCACCAGTAAGCCCAAAGCCCCTTGATACCAACCAGTGGCTTTTGTACATTGCGTCGGAACACCTTACGACGTAGGTCGCCGACTCGAGACTCTCCATACATATCGCTAATCATTCAATGATCCAGTATCTCGGCACCTATTGCGCTTATAACCGTGAGCTGTAGCGTAACATTATGTTCGGTTCTGCTGAGCCCCATTACAGGTTCTTCTCCCGAGCGACTCCTTCTACGTCATAGCTTACTATTTCGGCGTCCGACGTGCGCGTGAGTCCTCGCTGCTTTTGTTTCGGACTCAATTTTTGATCGCTGACGAGCGCTGGGCACTCTCACAGTGCTCTCGCTTTTCGCCACCCTCAACGCCCGGTTCGATCTACGGGTGCAAACGGAGGAGCGCACCTTCCCCAAAGTCTTCGTCAGTCGCAGTCGGTCGTGCGCAAGCCGTCGTTCCGTGCCTCCGTGGTAAGCGCGCTACGCCCTTCTCTCGTCGCGGATGTGTCCTGAGCGACTGCCGTTATAGTCATCCACACAGCTCTCGGCGTCGACGTCCGGGCCGCAGCCCACGCCATCGTCCTTGATGGTGATCGGTTCCGACGATACGAGCTACATGACGCCTGCTCCCACAACTGCGACGTCGACGTACTGCGACGGGATGCGATGTTACGTCTGGCCACAGCCTGAAGACTTGGGCGAGGAGGTGTCCTCGCCTGTGTCAGAAGATAGCGGGGAGCATGAGAGGGTAGAGGGCGCGTCGTTGATGGGCCGGTCGGACTCGATCGAAGAGGTGGAAAGGTAGCATCTACCGTGATGCCGCACGAGGGCTCGGTTTTCTGTGGATGCCGGATTCTGTAAAAAGAGCTTAACGTTCGCTAGCACTTCTTTCGGGCTTCTGTTGCACAAAATGTGTGTGCTTGGGAACGGAAGTTCAGTAGAATGGGTTCCAGGGACATGTTACACTGAGCGCCCTCCCACGACTGCGCGATCCCTTGTCGCCAATGCCCCGACCGGGCCGGTCGCTGGCTCTCTGTTCTTCCCCCACCATATTGCGCCAGTCTGCACGTATCCAGCTCCACACAACTCTCAAGAAACTGCTATGTCTCAGACTTTCGCTCCCGACTTTCATGTGAGTTCCCCGCTGGGTCGTCGCGTTAGCTAGGATTTACGGACTGCAAGATCCGGAAGAAACGGCGACGCTCTCATCGCACAAACGAATCACTCAACGGAGGATCGGAGGACTTAAGTGCTGTGACATTGAGCGAGGTGCGTATTAAGCTTGTCGCAATGGTTCTGCGCGCCGAATTTCCGGTCAGAACGTACCGCATACACCCAGAACACACCCAAGCACCGAACTCCCCGTGGAAATGCAAAACTCGACGGATGGCTTCGACACATCTGAAAGTCTCCCTCAGTGGACACCGCTTGTTACTGAGGATGATGCTCATCACAGTGGGAGAAGGCATGAAAGGAGGGCACTCCCGATGGCTCGCGACCGTTCCACCGATTCAGCAAGCATATCTTCGGACGAGCTCATCGATGAATTGAACGATAGTCAAAGCGACTGCTCGCCCCCAAAGCTCCCCTCCCCCACCACGCGCAAGCGTCGCAGGAAGACACTGTCACAACCCCTCGCCTCACGCCTTCAGAGGGCCGCAGCCTTGACTGGGGTCGACATCGCCAACAAGTTTCGCCCCGGAGGCCGATCCGGTGCGCATATAGACACTCGACCGCCTCTACCCTTCGTCCCTGCAAACCGAAAGCCCTCGGCCGAGGATCTTGGAGATGACAAGGTTGCGCGCAAGCGTGCCAGACGTTCTCGGAGCATCATTGCAAGCCTCTCGGACGAAGTATCGAAGAAGCATAGGCCTATTTCTTGCTGGCAGCCTCGTCTTGATATGACTACAGGATCCACTTGCAAGCCGTCATCTCAGCCGGCGGTCCAAACGCCCAGATCAACTGTAACATCCTTGAATATGGTCACCACGTCGGCGACTCGCGTCTCTGATACCGGGTGAGAGACATTCAGTACGATATATGCTCGGTTTCAGACTGATGAAGGCGCACCAGAACTAGAAAAGGACGTCCTCAGTCTGCAAGCCCGCAATCTTCGGTCAAGACCAGTTCTCTGCCACATGTCACGCCTCGTCGTCCAGCTTGGGTCTCATCATTCGATATTTCCAGCCCCCCTGCAGTGCAAACGTCCAGCTCTATTCAAGCCTTTTCCAGTTCGCCATACTGTCTTACCGACCAGCAACAAAATGCTGCTTCTTTGGCCGTCCAGCCCTCTAGAGATCCACCCCGACATCGCAAGGGCGCTGCTACAGTCTACGTCGAGAACTCCTCTCCTCCTGACGTCGCCATTGTACCTTCAGGCGACTCTGTGAAACCTCTGGGCTCCTTGCTAGGCAGTTTTTGGCAAATCGCCCGCTCTGCCCAGTTTCCACCATAGTTCCTCGTGTCTGCGATGACTCACGCATGCGCTACCTGCTCATCATTCTGCCGCTAGCACGTATCATAGATTATCTTGTAGCACGACGAATGCCAGGGTTTTTGCCCAGACCACAACCGTCACCGCGAGGCTTCCCCATCGCCACGCTCACACTCGACGTCACCTGCCGGCTCCAGAGTAAGTCCTACGGGCACTCACACACGGACTCAAACCTGCACATGCCAAACCGGCGCACTACGCCGTGGTTCAACATGCGCTCAAGAGGCAGCGCGGCCGTACCGCGCTTCGAGAGCGACTCGCGCCACTGCCGCGGGAAGTACAGCCCCACGAACGAACGTGAACCGGGGTCATAATGATCGTAATTGGAGGGCATAGTGATGGATTCAGCCGCCAAAGGCCACCCGTCAGGAACGTATCTACGAAATGCCTACTCTTTACATCCGAGGCAGGTCAAAAATCCCGTACAGCGGGTGAGGCCTATTCGAACCTTTTTCTACATCGACCTCGTCTCCTGATCGCCCACGTAAAACGTGGAACGCGACCCATTCGTTGTGCACAAACGTATTCGCACCCAACGCCGGACTCCACAACCATATCGTCCCCAGCCCCGACCCTGTGCCAGCGAAGGCCCGTGCAAGAAGCCGTGCCAGATTGCGCAGGGTACCGTCCTGGAACTCCAACACTCGGGACGCCCATTTAACCCTCCAATCATATAGGCAGTACTCCCGACCCGGATTGGTGTAGGTGTACGTCTCCTTGAGGTCCAGGTGAGCACGAAAAACTCGCAGGTGCGAGAGGGGCTGGAGGGCATTTGCGACAATGGTCTGGCGACAAGTCACGGGAATACACGTGAGGTTGAAATACAGCAAGGTGCATAGTTAAAGACGTACTACATTGCTCTCCACCCACTCTGGAGGATCGGGTTTCCACAGAGACAGCCTTTCATCTCCGGTCTCCGGAGCAGGCAGAGGAGGCTGACGGCGAAACAGCTCGAGCTCGACCAGCTGCGGAAACGTCTGCGCCACGAACTGTAGCGTCTCGCTTGATCCTGGAGAGGCGATGACGTACTCGATAGCCAGTCGAGTGAGCGACATGCCGGAGCATCTTGACAGAATACGGAGCATATTGGCCTCTGTGAGCGGGACGCAATTGAAGCCGTCGAAGTATGGATGGCAGAACGGGTTGAGAACCCATGACGGAGTGTAATGTGGATGCGACACGAGCTCCAGCGAGGATAGGTAGCAGGGGAGGCGATCGTAGATATCGTCCTCCGGAAGGGGATTTGGTATCCGGATGTGGTCGAGCTCCGGCCAAGGAAGCACAAAGGATGTACATGTACCGGAAGCCGCCCGCCGCACATTGATGCTGTGGTCTTCGGTGTCTTGGGTTGTAAGTCCGATGTCCAGGGACAAGGAGCGCATCCGGGGGAAGGTGGGGTAGGATGAGGCTCGCAAAACCTCCGGGGCATCCGCGTAACGGCCGTACATCCTAAGATGCCTCAGAAATGGCCATTCGTGCAGACACATCTCGGCAAAGAGCCCAGTTTTGGCAGGGAGTGTCAAGGATTCCAGTGCGATGTTAACTCTGCCTAGAATTCTCCCAAGGCACTCGCGCTCGACAAGAGGATGATATCTGACTGGACTGTTGCTGAACAGGTAGTGGAATGATGTGAGAGGAGGGATGTGGGTGACCGGGAAGCCGTTAGGGTACCGAAGTCGATCTTGTAAGGAGGGAGCGAGTATGAGGTCCTTCATGGTGAGCTCGCGCAAGGCGGGCACAGAAAGGATGGCTCTGAGACCGGATATGGATATTCCATGCGAGAACGCGATCTGCCGTGATTGTAGAGTAACGGAGCGAAGTTGAGGCATCTTGGGGAGGACTTCGTCGAAGGAAGGGCAAGGGATAACTTTGCACACCAAAACGATGTCATTAGATACGCCTACCAGGGCCAAGGCACGCGCATTTGCTGCAGAACGGTAGCATTTATCGGTCATCGTGAGGTTGCTAGCAGCTCCGCCACATGAGACAAAGGCCAAATACCCTGCACAAGTGCTCACCGAACATGCACCAGTAATGAGGGAAGTCCTGCAAGCACAGAGGTTGCGCCGGCATCCGCGTGCAGCGTCATCTCGCCGAAAAGGATGGGATGGCAGATGTCGCGCATCTTCTGGCAGGTAAAGGAAAGTTGAAGCAGGTCGGCGACGGAGGAGTCCTTGAGGCACTCTGCTAATGCGAGGACTACATCAAATGGAAGTTTTTGAATCCTGCAAGACGGTTGAGCGCAGAAATACCAGAGAGGAGGGCAACAAACATGTGGCAGCAGAGATGGTGGGTGGCGTGCAGGCAAGATGTGCCAACTGTTTGAATGGCTGAGCGTGGTAGTATGTAGTAGGCTCAGTGCAGACTCCTATGTATCTCGGCGCTTTTCTTCTCTTCCTGTGCGCAGCGCACTCGGCTGTGGCCTTCGTCTCTTCCTGTTGAACCCTCATCTCCTGCTCTCCCCTCGTCCCCACCAAACTCGCTGAACGATATGTGGAACAACTACCCAGGCAATCACGGCCATCAGCAGGGCTACCCCCAGCCCAACGGCCCGCCGCCTTCAGGAGGTCCTCCGTGAGTACAGGCACCGCCGATCACCCCTCCCAGAGTCTCACACAGTGCGGGATGGCACGAAGGATGGGATTCCCTAGCCCGTGAGTGCTCCAAACTCTTTGATATGCGTTATCATCTATGAACGTCGTCGCTCGAAGGAACATGCCTTCCCCAAACGTACCGGGTTATAATCCCGGTTATGCTCCGTCTTACGGCCCTCCTCCCGGCGGGTACGTGAGTGCAGTCGTATGCAACTTTCCCTTTTCTCAGCAGGCGAATATACTCTAGATTCGCCCCCCCTCCGGGTGCGCCGCCCCCGCAACACCATCAGCACCATCAACAGGGGGGATACCCTCCTCCCTCTGGGCTGCCCCCAGGCTACGGCGGCGGCCCTCCTCCCATCCCCGCGAACCGTCCAGGCGGTATGGACAGGAACTATGCTCCGCCTTCCGGTCCTCCGCCTTCCAGTTACGGTGGTTACCAGCCTCCGTGTACGTCCTTTCTTTCATGCTTGTGTGCGTTGACTCAGACGAGTGTACAGCCGGTCCCCCGCCCCATCCCCCGTCGCAGATGCAAAACTATGGTCCGTCGTACCAGGGCGCCGACAACAGACAGCACCAGATGGCCTTCCAGTACTCGCAGTGCAATGGGAAGAAGAAGGCGCTTTGCGTAGGTGTTACGTGTTTCGGAAAACTGCGCATGCTCATGAGCCACGCGCCCCAGATTGGTATCAATTACTTCGGCCAGTCTGGTGAGCTCAAGGGATGCATCAACGACGCCCACAACGTGCAGCGATTCCTCATCGGTGATCTACTGTCCGTTTGGCTCACCTTGAGTAGTCTACTGAGAACGCGCCTTTTTCGTAGAGGTCTGGGGCTACAAGTCGGACGACGTCGTTATGCTCACAGACGACTCTGGTAACCCGCGCTCGATCCCCACCCGTGACAACATCGTGGGTCGTCTTGGCACGCGTATCTGATGTAGCGCTGACCTCCTCCGTAGATTGCCGCCATGCAATGGCTTGTGCGGGGCGCCCAGCCCAACGACTCTCTGTTCTTCCACTGTGAGTGCATTATGTTGCTATGACACAGTTCAACGCTCATATGTCGCAGACTCGGGACACGGTGGACAGACGAAGGACCTAGATGGCGACGAGGGTGACGGATATGACGAAGTCGTTTATCCTGTCGACTACAACCAGGCCGGACATCTGGTTGATGATGTAAGCCCCTAATTTGAGCCGTATGCGCATAGATGCTGATAGTTCCGAATAGCTCATGCACGACATTATGGTCAAGCCCCTGCCACCTGGCTGCCGTTTGACAGCGATCTTCGATGTGAATTTGTCGGCGTGTTACATGTCGTCCCGAAGCTTGACTGACCGCCTCCTCCACAGTCATGCCATTCTGGTTCCGCACTCGGTAGGCTTGCTGCATATTTTCCTTTCGGCCTGACTGATTCTCTTCTAGACCTACCGTACATCTACTCGACAGAAGGGAAGGTCAAAGAACCCAACCTTGCCGCAGAAGCTGGTCAAGGGGTTATGTCTGCGGTGACTTCGTATGCTCGTGGTGACATGGTAACTCAGTCGATGGCATGTAAGATCTTAGTTTGCTGACAAGGTGTTCATCTCTCCAGAAAGGTGTATTCTCCTCGGTCACTGGGCTGGTCAAGACTGCAACGGGAAGCAACCAACGCGCGGATAAGTTGTCGAAAGCGACGAAGACATCGCCTGCTGACGTGGTAGGTTTCTACTGTTGAGCCTGAGGTGGGAAGCATGCTTACATTAAATCAGATCTCCTGGAGTGGTTGCAAGGACTCCCAGACTAGTGCTGACACTGTCGAGGCTGGGCAGTCTACTGGTGCTATGAGCTTCGTGAGTGCATGTGACGAAAATTTCATGAATTTCGTGGCTCACCCTCCTTTGAAGGCTTTCATCTCGTGCCTGCGTAAGTGGGAATTCTTGATGGCAAATTTGATGACAGACGCTCATTTTATCAATAGGTCAGAACAAGCAGCAGAGTTACCAACAGCTCCTCGTTGGGATTCGGTGAGATGCTCGTCTTACCAACGCACCTGATCCGCGACTGAATTGCTTCGGTAGCTCCATTTTGAAGGCGAAATACAGCCAGAAGCCTCAGTTGTCGAGTTCGCATCCCATGGTTTGTTCCTCCGTCCTGCTCACCGTTATCCCCGCTCATATCCTCCCAGGACGTCAACCTGTTGTTCATGTGCTGAAGAGTAACAATCATTGTTGTATCATGTATGGATCGGATTACGTGTATCCCAATAGGCGAGTTTCGAATTCTTGGACAATTGACAGTGTGTTCGCGGCGCCTATTCAATCTGCATGTAGCATGGCTCAAAAGTACCATTTGTGTTGTGCCACCCCAAGCGCTGTTGCGGGCTTCCGCCCGCTGCGTATTGCTCCCCTCATGGGTCGGCTTGATCGTTGTACGGCATTTCACCATATCTGCTGCTCTGCGACGGATCGTCGCATTCGAATGCTCCATTCGCTATTTCTGTGCAGAGACTCGAGCAACGGCGTTTCTCGTCTTAGGCAGTCTTCACGCAGGAACCCGATGAAAAATGGTGTAGGTATGGTGGATTGAAACGGTGATGATGCCGTCAAAGGGCACGACCTCGGCCAGTTGCATGTACGTACATCGAATTTGATCACTCCGTGCGATTTATCCCGAAATCATGAGGTTCGTGTCCGAGAACCTGTCTATGTGTTGCTCGCACCTACTCACTGCCTCTTCTCGACAGGCCATCTCTTACCGTGTTTTGTGCGCATGAGTTTGAAACACACCGGTGGCAACGGGGTCCGGCGAAAGCGGGCCGCCATCCACAACTCACCGAGGCAAATTTGTTTTACCTCGCTTGTTCCGGCGCGTGCTGCCCCCACGGCACCAAATCCAGGTGGGATGTTGTGATTGCATTCGCAGGTGAGCAGTGCTCTCTGACCCCATGACCTTTCGGTTCTCATGTCAAGGCGGGTCCGCGGAAGTCCCACAGGCCGCCCTCCAGCCGCTCGCCAGCCGCCCCTCGTTAAATACTCGGGAGGTAAAGCCGTCCGCCTCCCGTCTCTGTGCACGACCTCGACCTCTGCCCCTTGCGCAGCGCTTTCCCTGTCCGATACAGCCATCCCACTCCAGCGCAGCTTCCAAGTAGCGGCATCCACGACACCATGGCTGGCGGAGGTGCGAACATAATCGCGTCGAACAGACGCAAGACTCTGGCAGGCCCTTCTGGCTGGGTATGTCTTCAGTTCTTCCGACTCCCTTCTCACTCACAGTCTGTTGGTCTTCTCGATTTCGGTTATACCCACGCCAGGCGGGCCTTCTTGCCAACGCCAGGATCTTCTTCATCGCGGTCTTTGCATCCCTGGGTGGTCTGTGAGTGCTCCGTCTTTCTGTGTTGCCCACCAAAGCGACTCACTCGCTATCCGCAGGCTCTATGGTAAGCTTATCGCGCCGTTACGTACCCTGCCGCCCTGCGCTGACCGTGAACGTTCGCGTACTCAATTACTCAGGGTACAACCAGGTAAGCGCGGATCACGGATCTCCGCTATAGGGTGGCTCGCTGAATCCTCGGCACCTCCAGGGCGTTTTTTCCGGCGTACTCAACATGACGTCTTTTATCAACCGGATGGGGAGCGCCGCTACAGACCCGGGAACCAAGGGATGGCTCACCGCCATCCTCGAGCTCGGCGCGTGGGTTGGCGTGCTCTTCAGTGGTTACCTTGCCGACAAGCTTTCTCGCAAGTACACCATCGTTCTCGGTGCGTAGGCGCAGCTGTGACTGTAAGCCGGACTGGTTCTGACCGCTTCTCGTCGAAAATTGGTACCCGCAGCTGTGATTGTATTCTGCATCGGCGTCATCGTGCAGACGTGCGCGTTCAAAGCCGACTCGATATTCGCAGGCAAGTGACTCGTCGTTAGTATGCTGTCATGAGCTGCGCTTATGTTTGACGAAAATAGGTCGGTTCATCACCGGTCTCGGCGTCGGTTCGCTCAGTATGGCTGTTCCTCTGTACAAGTGCGTCTCCCCTGTGGTACTCGTGCGACACGATACTGATGCGATGGATCCAGCGCGGAGCTCGCTCCACCAGAAGTCCGTGGTAGTCTTGTCGCGCTCCAGCAGCTTGCGATTACCTTCGGAATCATGGTCTCCTTCTGGATTGACTACGGCACAAATTTCATAGGCGGGACCGGCGAGACCCAGAGCGAAGCTTCGTGGCGCATTCCTCTTGCGTTGCAGCTCGTACCTGCCCTCATCCTCGGAGTAGGGATCCTTTTCATGCCATTCTCCCCTCGGTGTGTACCTGGACGATCGGTCTTATCCACAAGCTGACTTCTGTTGTATAGATGGCTGATCAACAAGGGACGCGACGATGAAGCGCTCCAGATCCTCAGCCGCGCACGCCGTCAGCCTCCTGACTCAGACCTCGTCCAGATCGAGTTCTTGTATGTCGCTCTCTGTCTTCCTCCGATATTTATGTTGATCATGCGTTCAGGGAGATTAAGGCGCAGCACATCTTTGAGCAGGAGTTGGCTCAGACCAAGTATCCCCAGCTTCAAGACGGGTCCTTCACGTCAAACTTCAAGCTCGGAATGTACGAGTACCTGAGTCTCCTGACAACTCGCTGTACGTCCTCTGTTCCCTCGATTAGTGCGTTCTGGGACGCTGAACATCGACCACAGCGCTCTTCGTTCGTGTCGTCATCGGTTCTTTGACAATGTTCTTCCAGCAATGGACGGGTGTAAACGCGATCCTTTACTACGCCCCATTCATCTTCAAGGACCTCGGCCTGGCAGACAACAGCACGTCGCTCCTTGCCACAGGTGTCGTTGGGATTGTGTAAGTGCTTTGCTAAATTTTGACACGCCATACATTGTCTGACGGAGATCCAGTATGTTCCTGGCGACCATCCCTGCTGTCATCTGGGTCGACCAGTCCGGCCGCAAGCCGATCCTCATCTCGGGCGCCTTTCTCATGGCCGCTTGTCACATCATCGTCGCCATCTTAACGGCTCTCTTCCAAGATAACTGGGAAGCACACAGCGCTGCGGGTTGGGCAGCTTGCGCCCTCGTGTGGGTGTTCGCGATTGCCTTTGGCTACTCCTGGGGACCTTGCGCTTGGATCCTTGTTGCCGAGATCTGGCCGCTCTCGGTTCGTGGCAAGGGTGTTTCCATCGCTGCGTCGTCGAACTGGATGAACAACTTCATTGGTGAGTAGGATAATCGAGTGACAAAGGGTGTGACTCACTCGTCCCATGTAGTCGGTCAAGTCACGCCCACCATGCTTACTAACATCACCTTCGGGACGTTCATCTTCTTCGGGGTACGTCTCCCGGAAACACGCTCCTTAGACGAAAAGAGACTGACTGGGTATCGCACACTCAGGCGTTTTCGTTTGCCGGCGGCATTTTCGTCTGGCTTTTCGTGCCCGAAACCAAGGGTCTCACTCTTGAGGAGATGGACGAGATCTTCGGCTCCGTCGGAATGGCGGCAAGTGAAATGCAGCGACTTGAGGAGATTGAGCGACGGATTGGTCTCGACGCTTACAACGATGGTGGAAGTCCCACTGAGAAGCGGTCGCACGAGGATCATCTGGAGAAGGCATGAGCCTATCTGTCTAGTTTTACGTCGGATTCAACGCCTGCATGTGTTTCTATGTCACTTGTGTATTAGTAGCTTCACGGCACTCAGCCCATCTTCTATATGTGAAGTATCTGAGTAGCACGTCCCATCTTCTGCTCAGACTTGGCTTGCCGGGCGTGCCCTTTCAAAAGCCGCGTTTATCGGAGTCTACACATCGAGTCACGTGATCGCGACTCAACGCGTCGTGGTCAACGCGTAGCGCGTTGATCATATTGTCTTCCCCTCAACCGCCCCGTCAAACATACCTCCCTATATGCCCACTCCGACGTGTCAATCTACAGAATGGCCAACCTTGATGAGCTCATGAAGGAGCTGAACCCGGCACAGCTGCAAGGTACTCCTGCTGTTCTTGAGGATTTCCCAGAAGTTCCGCATCCTGACCATCCCACAGCCGTGCGGCACCCACCACAAATACCCTTACAGATTCTAGCAGGACCTGGAAGCGGAAAGACGAAAGTACTCACGATGCGAATTGCCTACCTTATCTCACGCTGCTACCTTCCTGCAAACACGATATGTGCCGTGACCTTCACGAACAAGGCGGCGAACGAGATGCGCGAGCGACTCATTAGGCTCCTCGGCAAGGACACGACTATGCAGATCAAGATGGGGACGTTTCATGCGCTCTGTGCAGCATTCCTACGGAGGTACGCGAGGCGGGTTGGACTCGAGGGGAACTTCACGGTGTGCGATGCGGACGAGAGGTGCGTGGCGTGCCATCCTGTCCTCTTCACAATCCTAAAACATTTCTTTCGCAGCAAGAAGATCATTCGCAAGCTGATGAAGCTACATGAAGAGGAGATCAAAGAGAGCGAATTCTCGATGAAGGAGGGTGCAGTCCAGTCCATCATTTCTAACCTCAAGGCCAAGGCGATCTCCCCCGAAGGCGCAAGAGCTCAGCTGCAGGAGATGGATAGTATGACGCAAGCCCAATGGCAAGAGAGGATCCTGACCGGACAGAAGTTTGACCTACCCTACAGTGGTCAAGTGGGCGCGATCCTCGTCAAGCTCTACAAGGAATACAACGAAAACTTACGAGCAGTAAACAGTCTGGATTTTGACGACCTGTTGCTTTTCGGCGTGGAGCTGTTCAAGACTCACAAGAAAGCGTCAAGCTTCTGCAAACACATTTTGGTCGACGAATAGTGAGTTCTCACATGTCTTCGTGAAGATCTCCGGGGTAACGTGTAGTTCAGCCAAGATACGAACACGTTGCAATACCAGCTTATGAGTTACATTGCTCAGACATGCAGATGCGTCTCTATCGTTGGAGACCCCGACCAGTCAAGTATGTCGCCTCATTGACCACTAACCATACATTGCTGATGCCTATTCAGTATACGGCTGGCGTGCAGCAGAGATTGCGAATCTGGCTCACATGCAACGAGGTTAGTCGCAACGTTCTTGCTGTAGGTTCGCTCTAACATAACGCGTTGTGACGCAGATTTCCCTTCCACACAGCAGATCCTCCTTGAACACAATTACCGATCGACAGCGTCAATATTGGAGATTAGTATGGCTGTAATCTCCCAAGGTTCGTTCCCACACTTCATGTCGAGACGCTTTATTCAGGTACATGCAGACAACGACCGCATAAAGAAGACGCTGGTTACATCTCACGCCAAAGGGTCACTGCCCGTTCTTCGCGCCTTTCCGACCGAACACACCGAGGCAGGTTTTATCGCAGCGGAGATCAAACGTCTTGTCGCGTTCACGGGAGGCTTGCTGGACTGGAGCGACTTCGTCGTACTGCTGCGTTACAATGCCATGTCTCGCGTAATCGAAAGTGCTCTACAGAAACAAGGTATCCCGAACCGGGTGCTTGCGGGCCACAAGTTCTTCGAACGCATGGAGGTGAGCTCTCCGATCTCTTTCGACAATATTCAAGCTCATCGCTCTCAGGTAAAAGACATCCTAGCGTACCTCCAGCTCGTCGACAACCCAGCCTTCCTGCCGGCATTCAACCGCGTAGTCAACGTTCCGCCTCGTGGCGTCGGCGATAAGGTGAGCATCGTCTTCGTGGGCTGTCACGGTGACACTGACTCTTGGCTACCCTGCAGACTGTTGCTGTCCTGCTACATCAAGCCGAACAGCTCAACACGACCCCGTTGGATGTCGTTCAACGCATCATCGACGGCAAGATCCCTGATATCAAGCCCCCGGTGAAGAGGAAGCTTGGGGAGTTCATCGGCATCATCAGGGACCTGCGCACGTATGCGAATCAGGTCCGTTACTGGTCGAATCCACAGTGACTGATTTCACAACGGTGACCCCGCAGGGAATGGCTCCGTCGAAACTCATCCAGGCGCTTCTCGACTTCATCAAGTACAAGGACCACCTCCGCAAGACGCAGCCCGAGTGGGAGAGTCGCTGGGAGAACGTCGAAGAGCTCATCAATTTCGCGACCGAAGTCCAGAACAGCATGGTGGGCGCAACTGCTCGCATGATGGCGGACGCCGAAGAGGACGCTCATGAGGAGCTTCATGGCGGTGGACCATACCCGCTCGGCGATGCGCACGCCCCGAACAGGCCGCAACTTCCCAACGTCACTCCGGGGTACGTTAAATGTGCCCCGATATGTCTTTTACCTCATGCTATTTCCAGTGAAACACCATTACGCTTGTTCCTGCAGGCGTCGATGCTCTCGACTGATACTGAAGGTTCGGACGACGAGGAAAGTAGGAATGTGGGTTATCTTCCTTCGCAAATGATTTGATTGTCGATGGGTGACGATGCATACAGAAAGTGACGATTGGCACCTGCCACGCCGCCAAGGGTCTTGAATGGGCGGTGGTCTTCATCCCGGCTGGTATGTCGGCGTTTAGATGTTCGGCTGTCGCTTGCTCATGTCCTTTCAGTGGAAGGTGGAGTATTCCCCGCGGCTAGAGCGGAAGACGATATGGAAGAGCTGTGAGCTCCACCCATCTAATTCCATACACTCCTTCGATTGACGTTTCGTCTTTCACAGGCGACTACTCTATGTTGCGTGCACGCGCGCTCAGTCCGTGCTCTACATCACTCACGCTCAGACTCGAATGCACGCTGGAGTGACCATGGAGTCCAGCCTTTCGCCGTTCATTACCCAGATCCGCGGCGAGCCCAAGGTACGCATGTTCTCCCATTTGCCGCCGGGTGCTCACACAACATTTTTAGACGGCCGGTCTACTCTCCGGCAATCTCCCCGCTCTCCCATCGGAGGACCGCGCCACCATGGCCAAGATTCTGAATCGCACTCCTCCCGAAGAAGCCGAGGTCACGCAGCGTGTCGCCGAGTTGTACGTTTCTTGCGAACGGCGCTCTCTCTTGATAGTGATTAGTATGCAGCGAGCAGCTCAACATACACCCCGTCTGGGGCCCGAACGCTCCCTTCCGTGACGACGCCGGTCAGAATTTGAACGGCTACGGCATGCCTGGAGCCCGCTACCAGCTTCCAGGGCAGGAAGGACGGCTAGAAGAGCCATTGAACAGGCTTGCCCAACCAAGAACGCCGGCGGCGCAGCAAAGGGGCCACGGACAAGCTGCTGCTGGTCCTAGTCGAGTAAAGGTTGAAGAGGGGGGTGAGGATCAACGGTCATTGGATCATTCCGTCCTGCTTCCTGATCTTGGTCACCCTACAGAGCCTCCTGCTTTCGTTGCGAGCAGTCTGGTCCACTTCAACAACACTCACAAAGCCCACAAGACGCTCACTCCATATCAGCCTGCAGGCGTAAGCAAGCCGTCGACATCTCGGGACATCAAACCACCCCTGAAGACTTCCGCTGGCCGTGCGGTCAACGTGCCTCTCCCTGCTCGATTCGCCCAAGCAACCCCCGCCCCGAGCTCTGCAACGACGTCGAAAAGCAAAGGCAAAGCAGTCGCGCGACCGCCTGTCACTCAGGCACCCGTCTCTTCGGCCGTGAAGATGGAAGAAGACAGCGACTCCGATGTTGAAATCGTCGCCTTCTGCTCTGCACCCATTGGCAACGGCAAGGGAAACGCTCCGGATCTAAAGCCGGATCTTTTGAAGCTCAAAGCGGATCCTGACGCCATGGACGTATCACTATCTTCTGCGTCTGCTAAGATCCGAGATCCTGCACCTCACCCCGCTGCAGGCCGGACCGCATTCAAGGAGGAACCCTCTATCGAAGAGATAATGTGCTTGGACGGACCTCCGCGGCCTGCGACCACGAGACCGCCACAATCGCCTGTTAGGTCCTCCGCCGCAGCGCAACGTGCAAAGCAACGCACAACCGTACCCACGAAGGGCACCCTTGCACGACCGCGTTTGAGCGCAGAAACGCCACGACGGGCGGGTCAAGCGAACTCTGCGGCTCCCGTTGTTTCAAGCCCAGTGCACACGTCGCCGCAGGGATATTCTCTCACCTCGTTCGTCAAGGCAGAGCCGCCTGCGTCGTGCGCGAGCCCAGTCACGAAGCGAGAGTCGTCAGTCTCACACAACACTCCACGTGCGAAGCGAGAGCCTCCCCCCATGCCCGCGAGCCCACATGTGAAGCGGGAGGCGTTGTCGTCGTCCAGGCCCCCGCTACCGTCATCGTACGCCTCATCCTTAAGTCATTCCAGTCCTCCTGGCCCAGGCATCGGCGCGACGCCGTCCACGCACCAAACGACAGGCGCGAAGCGGCGGCTGGGCATGGGCCGAGCGACCACGGGCTACGCCAACAAGAAGTTCAAGCCGCTCGTGCCGAACAGCTGAGGTTGGCGGTGTTGTTCCTTCTTAGCGGACTGGAGATACTGGACGGATCTTGGTTTTATTATGCCGGCTATCGAGTTGCTCTGTACTGCATGCGCTGTCGTAGTCCTGTTGTGTCACATATGTAGTTGTAGTCCGGTACATGGGGTCGTTCCACGTTTCTTGGTGTTATCGCCTCGCGACCTTCTCCCCGCATTGTCCCCTAGAGTCGTTCTCGATGATCGCGCACGACACCTCCATCGCCTCGTGGCCTCCGCGAGGCAGCGCCGGACGTTGCCCTCTGCATCCACAGCGAGCGGATTCCTCCTTTCCCTCCCACGTCCCGCTTCCTGCGACGGCGCTGCGCCGTCCCCACTGCAACCCACTCCACCAGACGGACCATGGAAAGCGCCGCCCCTACACTCGCGCGCGCCTCCTCGCCTACACCCACCGCGCCGTCACCTGCTCGAGCAGTCGCTGCAGGCAGGCTATCGCGCGGCCGCGGGCTGGCGATACTGTCGACGCGCACCGTCACGGCGGCTGATCGGCGCTGAGCTCGGCGACGAGGTAGGCGTGGCACGCGGTGAGCACGGGCCCACGCGCGGGCGCGGGGAGTTGCTCGAATATATTGCCGCCCAGGCCTCTCCCCACGCTGCTGCCTCCACCCCCCCGCCCCGTGCGCTCCCTTCCACAGACTTGACTTTGCTTTCGCCTTCCACCTGCACCTACACCGTTCACCCTCCCAGTCCCCGGATCGCACACCCGCCCCCCCGCACGTCCATCTCGCCCCCATTCCGCGCAGACGCGATCCGGACGTACCGCACTTGAGCTTGATCTGCACCTCCATCTCCGAGATCTCCATCTGCCTGAGCACCTCCAGCGCAGCTCCGAGCCCACCGCCCTCGCCGTGCCCGCGTTGCACGCCTCCGACTCTCCGTCCACTTCCCCCCTCCCCCCGCAGGCTCCCCTGCAATGCCACCCCCAACGACAACAACAACAGCGACGGCCACCATGCCCCGCAAGCCCCGGCACTCGCTCGAAGTCTTCGACCGCCTCCTCGACCGCGCCTTCGCCCCGCGCCCCGGTCCAGGCCCAGGCCCCGGTCCACTCCCAAACGCGCTCTCGCTCGCGGGCGAGTCCGCGTCCGCGCGCGCGCAGGCGGAGCTCCCGCCCTCGCCCACGACCGCCTTCTTCTCGCCCGTGGACCCGGGGAGCCCGGTCCCGGTCCAGGACGACGCCGCGCTCGAGCTCGAGGCGGTCTGGGAGGAGGTGCGCCGGCACAAGGCGCGCGCGCTCGCCGGCGCGCCGTCCAAGGTCAAGTCGCTCGGCGGCGGCGGCGGCGGCGGCTGGACGGCGGGCCCAGGGCAGGGCGAAGACGCGCACTCGCCGACGAACACGCTCGTGCCGTCGCCGACGGGGGAGGAGAAGATGCACGTGCACGTGGGGCTCGGGCTCGGGCTTGGGCCCGCGGCGGGCGAGAAGGGGCGGAAACGGCTCGCGAACCGGCGGTCGAGGTGAGTGGCTTTGGCTTTGGCGTCGCCGGGCACACGCACGTCGCTGCCCGCGCTGGGGGTGCCGTCCTGTGCGCGCGTGCGTGAGATCTCAGTGCTCAGCGCCGACCGCGTCCCCGGCCTCTGCAGCGTCAACTTCCGGGAGTCCACAGACGGCAGGAATGTGAGCCCCCTCCCACTCGCTCGCTCGCGCGGGGACCTCCTCCGGACGTCCCTCCCTGACCTCCGATCCCTGCGCAGATGGCGATCACCTTCGACCTGACGGGCGTGAAGAAGCAAGACATGCACGTCAGCTACCGCGCGAACCGGCTCATCGTCAGCTGGCGGCTCGACAAGCTCGCGGAGCGGCACGAGGCCGGCGTGCTCGTCCGCGAGCGCGAGGTCCGCAAGTACAGCCACACCATCCCCCTCCCCGACGGCACCAAGGTGCGTCTTCCTCTGCTTCGCCGCCCCGCCGCATGGCCATGCGCGCGCTCACCCCCGCGCGCAGTTCGACGAGGTCCGCGCGTCGAGGGACGGCCCCCGGCTCACGCTCACGGTCCCGAACATGAGGTGCACGCGCGCGGACGCGGAGGAGAGCGAGCGGCCGCCGAGCACGCAGAATATGCCCGACATCGACGTGCGTGTCCTTCTGTCCTGCCCTGCCCTCTTCGGGGACGGGTCGTCTTTCCCCGCTGACGCCCACGTCGCCCTTCACCCAGGCCGCATTGTCCGCAGTGACAGAGTTTCACTCCTGCTAGCGAGCGGGGGTGCGAGAATACAGGCGTCGACGCATCGCAGCAGTACTTATTACCTGTAAACCACGACCCACGATTTGATACGATAGACACGGATGCATCCTTTATTTTTTCTGGTAGAACTGAGGCGGAGAACGTGGACAACACGCTCGCGAGGACAACTTGCCCCATCAGGGCGATTCTCAGTGCTCTGAACACATGCATATGAAGTGCGGTTGGTCAGACGGATCCATAACAGCTCGGCGGCACGTCTTCCGTCAATTGATTATGTATTGATACACCGCAGGTACAATCCGTTGAGCACTTCTTTTGCACTGTATCTTACAAACGCAGTCCGACCATGCTCTATTGCGCGAGTTCGATAATCTTTTTCATGATCGCTGAGAATTCCCGACAACAGTCAGCACATGCCGTCCCTCGAGCGAATAACGGGACGTACACTCGGGGTCGAGGCCCTGGTGGGGGATCTGCTCGCTGAGACCACCGCAGCCCTCCTTGTGGGTGCCGATGTGGTCGTAGCGGGGGATGAGACCGCGCTTAAGGAGCCAGGTCCCGAACTTGGAGCCCAGCTGCGAAAGTGGTGAGATCGCGGGTAAGCCACCTGACGTCATCGAGATCGAGCACGTACCCCGGTATTCTGGTTGAGCGACTCCGCGACAAGAACGAACTTGCTGGCGCCGACCTTGCGGATCGCGTCCTCGTCGATGATGTTGAGCGTCGGCTTGTTCACCAGCCCGACGTCGATGCCTTTCTCGCGACAGCGGAGCACGGCGTCGTAGGAGCGGTAGAGCATGTCGCCGTAGGAGACCACGTAGCCGGCACTGCCCTCGACGATCACTTCGTCCTTGCCGGGCACGAACTTGTAGCTCTCGTGCTCGAAGTAGCGCGAGCCGTCCGTGTTCAGGATCCAGGGGACTTTCGAGCGCGTCGAGAACACGAAGCGCATGCCCTTCTCGAAGAAGACACTCTTGATGATCGCGACCATCTGCGCCGGGTCCGCGGGGAAGTACATCCACGTTTGCGTGTCCGCGAGACCGTTGTCGGCGAAAAACGAGTTGATGCCGAAGTGGCACGTGTTGTCCGCCATCTCGTCCACGCCCGAGTGCGAGAAGTGGCACAGGACGTTGCAGGAGTTGAGGCGAGCCATGGTGATCTCGGAGATGACCATCTCGAGGAACGCGGAGAAGGTCGAGAAGACACCGAACTTGTCCTTGTCAAAACCGAAACCCGCGGCCGCGCTGAAGTTTCCGCGCTCCATAATACCAGAGGGGACGAAGACTTCAGGGTGCTTCTGGTGAATGACCTTGAGACCGGTCGAACCCTCGAGATCGCCTACAGCACAATGAGACACCGATATTCAAAATTACCCCTGATTACTCACTGTCAATGACCATGACCTTTTTCGCGGCCTCCTCCTTGGAAATGGTATCAAGGACCACGTTCACCGCCTCACCGAACACGACGCGGTTCGCACCGACCTCCTTCGAGGAACCCATGTAGGTGTAAGAGACCGAGTTAGGCTTGATGTTGTTGAGAATGTTCGCCGCCATCTCGTCGGGGTAGCCGCGGGACTGGAAGTACTTCAAGGCGCCCTTCACAGGGATAACATCGTGACCGTGGGTGCTGCCCTCGATGTCCGGGACCTGAGAAACCAGCCATCAACATCCCAAAAATGACCCGTGGAAATGCGGGTACTCACGCCTGGCGCCATCTTACGCTTGCAAATAACTGCCAGACATGTTAAGCACTGGCGACTTTCCCACAGATCGACTCGCAACTCACCGGCAGCAGGACCCTTGTGGGAGATAATCTCGCAGAGGCCGCTCCAGAGCTCATCGAAGCTCTCGCCGTTAACGGTGACGACCTTGAGGCCATGTCCAGCAAGCGTCTTGCTGATGTCATATCCCTTCAGATATTCCGAGGGGTGGCCAGCGATGGTCACGTCATTGTCATCGATGATGAGTTTGACGTTGAGACCCTGAGCGACAGCCAGACGGGCGGCCTCGGCATCATTACCCTCCTACAGTAGCGTGGAATCCTGTGAGAAATCGAGCGCGAGGATGAGTGAGGGCTGGCGTACTTGTTGAGAGCCGTCGGAGCCGAGCATGAACACGGTCTTGTCCTTATTGGCCAACGCGACACCGTTGACAAACGGCCAGACATGACCAAGACGGCCAGAAGAAAACTTCACACCCGGTGTGAGGCCGAGCTCAGGGTGGCCCGGGAGTTTCGAGTTTGCGGCGCGGTACTGGAAGAGGTGCTCCCAGGGAAGGTGGCCCTCGAGGGCGGAGACAAGGTACTGGGTAGCGACGCGGTGGCCTGCAGTGTAAATGCGTGTCAGCAAAGCAGTGCTACGACACAATACGCGTATATATGCTACGCGCGACATTTAGGGCATTTACGTCAACGGATGATATCACCACCCTGCGCATGGAGTCAACGCGCGCGGAAGGTGGGGAGAGCTTCTCCAGCTTGTGCGTTTGCGGAAAAGGATCACTTACCGGCCTCATCAAAGAGAATGGGGACATAGGTGTCCGAGTGGTTGAAGAGGGATAGGAGCATGGTCACCTCGGGAATGGTGTCGTAGGCACCGCCTAGAGAAGGCGGGTGAGCGATGCGTAAGCTTCAGAAGTGGTGGGCCCATACCAGTGTGCCCACTAACGCCGCGCGCGGCACCAGTAGCAGTAAACAAGACAATAGCATCGCGCAGGATCTGGACGTTGTTCTTCAACGTGGCGCGCTGCTCCGTCGTGAGCTGGGGCTTAGAAGGGTCAAGCTCCAGCCTGGACGAAGTAAACGATGAGGATCGCGTCAGGAGCGCGCGTGCAGAACGGGAGCTTGCACGCACTTCTGGAGCTTGCTCATGTCAATAGGAAACTTCGCGTCTGCGCCCGCCATTACGATGAGCTGTGTATGGAAGGGTGTATGCGGTGGTGGGGAAAAGAGAGAGGAGGGCTGCGTGAGCTGATCGTAGAGGAGATAAACTGGGGGCGCCCGGCATCCCACGCCCGCGGGCCGGGAAGCCGGGCTCTCACTCGCGAGCCCGTCCTTCGCGCGGTCGCCGCTCTTGGCTACCTAGATCTGACGCTTTCCCATTGGCCTCCATCCTGCTCGACAGCCATTGGCTGGTGTGGATACACCAGGACACTATCCTCTTGGATCGAGAAGACTGGCGCAATGAGGAGCACTGGGGTACGACGACGATGACGGAGTCGTGAGAGGCCATGCCGGACTTGCACTGGAGAGGACGAAAGCGGGGATGTACGATCTCCGGGCTGCTTCGGGGCACTTCGGAGACGGGTTGAGGGCGCAGCACCGGATGCGGAGCGAGTGGCCGAGCTGGAGCCTGGAGGAGTGACGCCATCGCGTTTTAGGCGGCCGCTCGATCGGGCAGAGTGGATCGCCCAGTCTGTCCCGCCAACGACTCGTTGGCCTGCGTCGACCACCTGCATCCATCCTCGGTCCTTCCTCCGGCTGCCTCTCCCTACATATGCCCCCCTCTGTCCACTAATGGCTCTCGTTTTCTTCCCTACCCCCGCATCCTCCTCCCATCTGTCCCTAGAGGCTCGTACACACGTAAATTTGCTTAGGGTCCGTCGTTCAACATGCCAGCACTCTACAGAGCTCGTCGCCCTCGACATTCCGACCCCATGGTTCTCACTCTCTTCCTTGTCGCCGTCTTTGTGCTCGCCATCGTCGAGGAGCCGATCCTCGTCTCTGGAGTACGGCATGTATCCATCTCGTCCTTCACCACTCTCAAGAAGAAGAAACACGAGTTTCGTAAGTGGCCTCTCATCTATACCTCGCTCTACAGCCCTGACCGGTAGCTCTGATCCGCCCCCAGCGTTCCCAGACTTTGACAAGTACATCCATTCCCAGACCCTTTCTCCAGAGGATTTCGGACTGGGTGAGTCCCGCCGCTCAGGCACCGCCCAATTCTCGCCCCTCATCGCCCTTCCCTTCTCGTCCACTCAGGTGCTCACGGCCAGCGGGCGATCGTCGTCGGGGATACTCATGGAATGAACCACTCCCTCCAGTAAGTCCCGTACTCTGAGCTGCTGCACGTTCGTCGGAGTCCACCTGTCGGCGCTCCGGACTCCGTTCCGTGATTGGCTGCGAAGCGCTCCCAGGGTACCTCCCCGGTTATGGGCTCCCCTCGCCCGAAGTGCACGCCTCCACGCAGCAGCTCACCCGGTTTCTTGCAGCAACCTCTTGGACACGGTCCGATACGACCCCCACAAGGATACCCTCTTTCTCGTTGGCGACATCCTCGCCAAGTCCACCGAGGCCGGGTCTCTCGCCATCCTCGACTTCTTCGCACAGCAAAAACTTGCATGCACCAAGCATCGCCTCGATGCAGCGGGCCGGTCGACCAGGCACTCCTCATGCAAGCCCGTCTACGCTGTTCGAGGCAACCACGACCAGATGATCGTCCAATGGCGCGCCTGGCGGGATTGGTTTGAGCCTCTGCAGCTCGCACCGCCCTCACCTTCGCTGTTCTCGCGCTGTTTCTCCGCTCCCTCCCCATCAACGGCATCATACGATATTGGGAAGCCCGTGGGCACAGGGTCTGAGTTCCTCGCCCTCATCGAGGATGAATGGCTTCAGGACCGGACTACCGACCCCACTGGCGCGGGTTCGGACGTGGAAGAGTGGATTGAGGTCGCTCGGAAACGGGCCCATGGTACATGGCGTGCGGACTGGTGGAAGCGCATTCCGCGGCCTGGCAAGGGACGCACCTCGAAGGACTGGATCATGTTCGGCGACCATTACTGGATTGCTCGGTGAGTTCTTTCACCCTTCTTTTGCGCGCTCCGTTTCGAAGGAAGCTCATGCGGTTCGGGCATGTAGGGACATGAAGGCGGACCACGCACAGTTCCTCTTCTCTTTGCCGCTCGTCATCCACGTTCCTTCGGAACACTTCTTCCTCGTGCACGCCGGGCTCCTCCCATTCGACCCGAGACGCCCGTCCACCGACAAGCACCAGCCCCTCGCTCACCTCCCCATCTCCGGCGACGATGACGAAGACTACTCCGACATGCCCAAAGAGGCTTACGACTATCCCCTTCTCGACATCTCCTCCCAGCGCGATCCCCCACCCGTACGGCTCGACGACGAAACAGAAGAGCTGCGCGTCGTGCAGGAACGCTCCATTCTCCACGACGTGCCCCAGAACCGCGACCCGTGGACGCTTCTGAACCTGCGTGGCGTCCGGAAGAACGGCAAGGTGACCCGCGAAAGCGACCAGGGCACGCCGTGGGCCAAGATCTGGAACACGCAGATGAAGCGCTGCGGCGGCTTCTCAAACGCGTCCGGCGGCGCCGACGCCGGGGCCGCGCTCCGGCGGAAAGGCCGCTCGGGGGACCGCGATGAGTGGGAAGAGGACGCGGGCGCGGGCCACGACCCGCTGCCGTGCTACCCCTCGACCGCCGTCTACGGACACGCGGCGTCGCGCGACCTCGACGTCCGGCGGTGGACCGTCGGGCTCGACACGGGCTGCCTGTACGGGCGCCGCCTCACCGCGCTCGTCCTCTCGCGAGAAGGAGACGAGGCGCGACGCCCCTTCTCTCCCTTCGACGACGAGCTCTACGACGACGAAGGGCCTGACGGTGACGGCGACGAAGACGGGGCGGACGGCGACGACGAGGACGACTGGAACACGGAGGGCCCCTTCGGCGACGTCAACGCGCGGCACGCCCGCGTGGGCCGCGGTGCCGTCGCGTCCGGGTCACGACGTCCGCCCACGACGTGGACGCGGCGTATCAAGTTCGGGGACCGCGACGCAGACATCGGCGCGAAGCTCGTGAGCGTCAAGTGCCCGAAGGTTGCGGACCTCTCGTAGGGGATTCTCCGGGCACCCGTTCGAGCCCCGAGAATCAGGCCTGTGGTGCTTCGCGCCCGGGGCTTCGACGCGCAGGGTCCGCCGTGGCGCTTGGTGTTGATCGCCTTCTTGCCTAGACTCGAGGACGTAGCGGGTGCGGGCCTCACACGCCGCGCCTTCTCTCATGCACTTGGATTCGGCGCACGCGTATCGTACGTTTCGGGCATCTACAACACAGTAATTTATACACAACACGACACCTCCTGTAGCATTTACATCCACGTTAGATACCTCTTTTGCACATACCGTGACTGCGCACCTGTAGCTACATAGCACACTTCCAATTCAACTCCCCTCTAGAGGGCTGCCAATACAGTACTTATCTTCATCCACACCGGCCGATGTTAATCGAGAGAGACGTTCTAGTGCGAGCTACGCTTGTACATGCAAAACCTAGAATGGAAAAAACGAACACTAGTCCATGGCTTCCCTGCACGAAGGCGGGTGGTCTCGAAGGCCACGAAGAGGCCTGCACAGTCAAACGAATGCGGGATACCCGCCGTCTCCAAGCAGGCTCGTACCTAGCACTACGAAGATACTTAGGGCCTGGTCGGCTGCCCGTGGGATGGGCTGTGGGATGGGCTCCCGCGCCTACCGAGACGGGCGCGAACCCATCCCGAGCCCACAGCCCATCCCACGGACAGCCGACCAGGGTCTTGGGCAGATCTGGCACGAATACATCATCATCAACGAAGAGGCCTACGCCGTAGTACTACCTCGGGGGCTTTTGTGCCACTCATCAAGCAGTGAGTGGCGCCCGTGCAATGATATGGCACAGCTAATAAATATAGAGCGAAGAGAAAGAGAGAACAGTCGAATGTGGGCCCGCATAGAAACGCATAGGGAGGTGTGGGCGCGGTTGTGTGAGCGCGGAGGAGCGCGGAAGAGGGGAAATGCTATGACGTGGCTTATGAACGTTTTGGCAGATCTTCAGATCGAATTTGGCGCTGGGGCCTTTACGCAAGAGTTCGAATCCTGCCTCTGTCCACTTCACTACTACTTTCGAGATCATCGTGAGGGTGCTCGCGTGGGCCGTGTACGGCAGGTGCGCTTTATCACTTAGAGACTTTAGTTTCTTGCGCCTGACCCGACGCCGTAGTATACGGCAACGAGCACTTCCAGCGGGGCACCTTCCGCACCCCGCACCCTCGTGTTCCGGGGTATGAAATAGTCGTCGAGGTCGTCACCATCCCGGAGGGCCACGCCATCGGGTGGAAGCTCGGCCAACGTGTCGGAGATGTACACAGTATATATGCAACCTCTGCCGCAGTCTTTCAACACCGGCGGTGCACGTCGATGATGTGCTCGATCAGCGACATAACCACACTGTTACAGATATGAGGCTATCACATCACGTTACCCCATACGGCGTCGTGCGGGTAGCAAGTGAATCTCAGAGGATGTGGTTCTGGCGCCCCTCGTGAGACCGGATTGTCGGGGAACCACGCCCCAGCAAGAAGGGGGTTGTCTATGCGGCCCGTGAGCCAGTCAGATGACGCCCTGAATTTCAACACAGATAGCAGCCCAAGTCCCCATTCGCCGAGGCGGGAGAATGCACGAGGCCGAGGCTAAGCAAGCTTTCCGTTCGGCTTCTTGGTCAGTATTACCGTTGAGACCGGGGTTTTCCATGGACTGGCCGATGACTTCATACACGAACTCCGCGTGGGGCCGATAAAGATTGTCGCATGTTGTGACTCTGTGCGGCTGTCGACATCGACGATAGTGCGGCCACGAAGATTGGCTGCAGAAGCTGTAGGGCAGGACCACGTCAATCGCGTTCTCGGCCCACCAATGAGCACGCCTCTACCAGTGCATGACGCGCCCGAGAACGCGCATGGAGGACCGGGAATAAAAGCTGGTAGTAACGACCTCTTCACGATATCGAGCCTTCCCTACAGTCCCCCGCAAAGAAACGACAGTTGCACCAATCCACAAAATGACGCAATACCTGGAGGCGCCTCCTGAATCCTACACCGCCTGGGCGTTTCTCGAGAAGAACGGCGACCTCACAAAGATCACCGTTCCCTGGAAGGACCCCCTGGCGCACGAAATCGTCGTCAAGGTCCTCGCTTGCGGCGTGTGCGGCAGGTGGGTGCTCGCCATCGCTCTGCACGCTGTCGCTGCGTCTGACATCGCTGCCACTCCGATGCAGCGACACACACGTGTGCCAGGGCACCTGGCCCATCAGCTACCCGCGCGTCCCTGGGCACGAGATCGTCGGCGAGGTCGCCGCAATCCCGGCCTCTGAGCACCACTGGAAGCTCGGGCAGCGCGTCGGCGGCGCGTGGCATGGTGGCCACTGTCACGAGTGCGAGCGGTGCCGCGAAGGCGACTTCGTGACGTGCGAGAAGGAGGACATCAACGGTGGGCGAGGCCCTACTCGCCTTGGTGCTTTGGCGGCACGCACTGACATGCCCGCGACAGGCGTCTTGCGCGACGGCGGGTACTCGCAATACGTGACCCTAAGGACCGAGGCGGTCGTCGCCGTTCCGCCAGAGATGGACCCGGCCGAGGCAGCGCCCTTGGTCTGTGCTGGTATCACGGTATTCAGTGAGTCTTCGCAAATGAACACGACGAGTGTGGATGCTCACCGTGTACACCAGACTCTCTTCGCCACATGGACATCAGGCCACCCGACTACGTTGCAGTCCTCGGAATTGGGTGAGAACGTGCTTTTCGTTCGCTCTTGCCACGTATTCATTTCACCCCTGCGCGACTCAGCGGTCTCGGACACATCGCCATCCAGGTCGCGAAAGCGATGGGATGCCGTGTCGTCGCTCTGGGGCGAGGGCATGCCAAGGAGGACCTCTCGCACCAGTTGGGCGCTCACGAGTACTTTGACGGCTCCGAAGTGAACCTGGCGGCCGAGCTGAAGAAGCTCGGTGGTATGAAGGTCATCATGGCCACCGCGCAAGACAACAGGGCGATCGAGAACCTCATCCCGGGGCTGGCCATCAACGGGACGCTGCTGCTCCTTGCACTGGAGGCGAGGCCTATTACAATCAACCCTCGTGAGTGGATATTGATGTTGTTGTTGTTGTGCGGGGGAGATGCAGCGCTTACCGGGCCCTGCGGTATGTTGTAGTTCACATCATCAACCAACGTCTGTCCATCCGTGGATGGGCGGTGGGCACTGCGAAGGACTGCGAAGAGACGCTTGCCTTTGCGCTCGCCAACGACATCAAGCCGATGATTGAGAAGTTCCCGATGGAAAAGGCAAAGGAGGCGTACGACCGCCATGGGAACGTTCGGTTCCGTGCGGTGATTATGCCTTGGGTGTGAAGTCCGAAACCGACTTCGCCGTCGGTCGATTCACGGTAGAAAGCAGGGCAACCAATGTATGAGGAATGGCGATTGTCAGTGCTAGTGAGTTTGGACGTGGGAGGAGAGCGGAAAGCAGACGTGCAGATTCACAGGGCCGGACTTTGTTCGGATAATGCCTAATCGGAGTCTGAATATGAGGCGTACCATGTGCGGCGTCACAGTTGCCGGCGTTGTACCGGCCCTTCTAAGGCGTCCTCTTTCTGCCCCCAACAACTCTTCAGCATGCGTTGGTGACAACACTTCATTCGTCCGCAATCGTTCTCACGACGCCAGCTTCAGGAACTCTGATTGCGCTGTGAGAAACTTCGTCCGATACGGTACTGGTCATTCAGCTGACGGCCCCCTGTAGTATATAGCATGCGCCTCCATCCTGTCCCATGTCATATTCGTCAGATGAAACCCGCCTCTGGTTGTGCCACGGAGACGCTTAGCGCAGGCCAGGTGGTCACGCGGCGAGCGGACCTTGCACGCAAGGAGTGCGGCCAGTGTTAACTGAGGTGCAGCGGCCCGCCGGTCTCTGAACTGTGTGCATCCGACATCCAGGCGCGATAGTCGGCGGCCGGGACAGGAGACCACCGCCCACGGGATGTGCTTTTGGGCGAGGTCGGTGGGTCCGGTATGAGAAAATACGGCCCAGTGAAGACCCAGTGCGCCGCCCGCGTAACTCTCTTTGTCATGTCGCTCCAACTGCAGGTCCCTTCCGCCGTCAGGAAGTTCACTTTAGCATAAAATACTGAAGCAGGCGCGGTGCGTGCATATATACCGCCATCCATTCATGACAAGGCCGCCATTCCCTTCAGTTCTTCACCTCCTTATCATACTCCTCTGCCCACCTGTTCTACGAATACAAAGATGGTGGGTTCTGCAGTATGTTCGGAAGTTAGATCAACGATCGATGTCGTTGTAATGGATGTTTTCGTTGCAGGCAAGTGCCCAAAGCACATTCTCTGTCCCGCAAGACGTGAAGGATCCATATCGGTATCAAGTCGGATTTGGCAACCGCTTTGCATCGGAGGCCATGTACGTAATTCCCATGCCATAAAATGTGTCTTTCGTAACTTGTTGTCAGTCCTGGTACTCTTCCCTACGCTCAGAACAACCCCCAGAAAGTGAAATACGACTTGTACGCCGAATCGGTAAGTCTCTTGTTCCTGAGACGCGCATACACTGAACCTATGGTCCATACTCGCAGCTCAATGGTACTCCCTTCGTGACACCGCGCCGCGATAATCAATCTGCGTACGTGATAGGCGGGCATGCTCCTGAAATTTCACTCTCCAACCCCTCGTTACAGATGGATATACCGCATCCGCCCGTCTGTCGCCCACCAAGGCTTCACTGAGCTTCCTGACAATCCTGATGTATGCGCCCGCAAACTTTCATCACCACTGAGCCGGCTAATGAATAACCACAGCTGGAGTCCTGCTTCCTTCCTCTGAACCCGAAAGTCCACTTCAGCCCGACCCAGCTCGCATGGTACCCCCTCGACATCCCCGCTGATAGCACCAAGGTTGACTTCGTCGCGGGTCTGAAGACGCTGGGTGGAAATGGCGATCCGACGCTCCGGGAGGGTCTCGCGGTGCACATCTACGCTGCGAACGAATCGATGGACAAGAAGGCGTTCGTCAACAGTGATGGCGATTTCCTGATCTTGCCGCAGCAAGGGCGCCTTGATATTCAGACTGAGTTCGGGAAGTGAGTAGCCCTCCAACGCGTCTCTCGACATGCGCTGATGAAGGTCCACAGGCTGATGGTGCGGCCCGGAGAGTTGGTCGTCGTTCAGCGCGGCATCAAATTCAAGGTATTGCTGGCGGCCGAGCCTTGCTTCCAAGCGTCTGCTGACAACTGCATAGGTTGGACTTCCAGATGGGCCAGTGCGCGGATGTAGGCGTTCTTGCACCTCCCCAAGGTCTATCAGCGACGCTGACTATATGCGTAGACATCCTCGAGGTATTCGGGTCTCACTTCGAGCTTCCCGACCTTGGCCCCCTGGGCACGCACGGCCTCGCCAACCCAAGGGACTTTGAGAGCCCCGTCGCAAGTTTCGACATCGATCAGTCCGCGTGGGAGGGTGCGTTCTGCGTGCCGCATTCAACTGCGCCCGCGTGCTGAGACTCCTCGCCCACAGTCGTTTACAAGGTCGGCGGCAAGCTCTTCATCTGCAAGCAAGAGCACACCCCCTTCGACGTCGTCGCCTGGCACGGCAAGCGAGTCCACGCCTCCGCCTCGCCCTCGTTCCGACGCGCTGACCCGATCCCCACACAGCTACGTCCCGTACAAGTACGCGATGGAGAAGTTCATCCACGTCGGCAGCATCCAGCGCGACCACATCGACCCCTCGATCTTCTGCGTGCTCACCGCGCGCTCCAAGACGCCCGGCGCGCCCCTCGCCGACTTCCTCATCTTCTCCGGCCGCTGGGACATCGCGTCCGGCACGTTCCGGCCCCCGTACTACCACCGCAACTGCGCGACGGAGATGATGGGCCTCATCTACGGCGACTACGGCGGGCGCTCGGACCAGTTCGCGCCGGGCGGGTTCAGCTTCGAGAACGGGTTCTGCCCGCACGGAGGTGCGTGCCCCCTCGCGACCGCGTCACGGTTGAATTCGAAGCGGGTGCTCACGCGCGGTTCGGACGCCCAGTGTCGTACGACGAGTTCAAGAAGGCGACCGAGGCGGAGCTGGGGCCGATGCGGGTGCACGAGGGCACGCTCGGTGAGTGCGTTAGCTGTGAACGCGCAACGGTGTCGTGACGCGGATGGACGACGGCGCGCAGCGTTCATGTTCGAGTCGAGCATGCAGGTGACGATCACGGACTTCGGCATGAAGCGCACCGGGAAGCTGCACGGTACGTGTGCCCCTCGGGACGAACTTCATCTTTCGCGCGGGCGTAGCGGCTGACGCGGTCCTCGACAGAACACGAGCCGAAGATGTGGGACGACCTCAAGGGCCAGTTCATGAACCACATCGACCAGGTCAACGCGGACCTCAAGGCCGCGGGCCTTCCCCCTCTCGAGACGCAGTGAGAGGTCTCGTGGCTTCGAGATTGAAAGTATGGCAGGAAGACGTTAAACGTATGTATCACCATTTGCACAATGCCATCCGAGATTCTTCATCACGTCGACGACTCGGAGCGAAGTTCCCGCCGTTGCTCAACGCTTGCGCCGCATTCCACGGGACTGGACGAGTGTGCATCCGGCTCGCTTTATCGGGATGCCTCGGCGTGGCAGCGAAATGCTGCATCGGGGAGACCGACAACCAGCGATATGATGGGGACAGGGCACGTCCGCTCCCAGTGTGTGTTCGAGCTTGCCAGTCGAGGGACCGGTCGAGTTCGCGACCTGGATGAGGTGGGCGGCGTATCTTTTCTCACAACATCTGCTACAGGATGCCGAAACTAAGCGTACATTGGGGGAGCACCATCACTGCATAAAGTGGAAAAACGGCGAGCTCGGCATCTCCGATCCACGACGCTTACTATGCAGCATCCCGCGAAGGGCGAAACACGCCACCAGCTTCTTCTTGTGTTCGTCCCACTTCCCGGTCCGTACGAATCTCCCGCCCCCGCACGGCGTTACGCGCCTTTCATCCGCGCCCTTCGTCTTCACGGCGTACAACCCACTGTGCTCCATGTTCTCTCGCCACACGCGCGCCGCCTGGCTCGCGAGCGCCCAGATCCACCGCCGCGTCCTGGCCATCGGCGGATGCTTGTACACCTTGCACAGGTACAGCATCCAGTCGCCGTCATGCGGAGACAGCTCCTTTTCGGCCATCTCCAAGTTCCTTCGCCACTCTCTAACCGGTGTTGCACCGGGGCCTGGGGGCAGCCTCGATGCCACAAACGCTTTGTACTCGGCGCCGGTGGGGAGCGGCCATCCAAGAGCGATGACGCGCGCGCGAGCATGCGGCTGGAGTGTGGTGAGCGCGAAGCGGCGGAGGGTGCGGCAGGTGGAGACGAGCTTGACGAAGGATGCGTCCGACAAGAAGGGGAACAGCGCATACAGGATGTCGTACGGTTGGCGGCAGATGATGTCGGTGGCTGGCGTGAACGGTTCTTCCGGAATACGCGCGGGGTCGACGGTGGGGTTGAATTTTGGGAACCTGGAGGGGAAGCACGAATGTCAGAACACGAGATACCGGAAGAGCAAAGGAGAGGCGCGCCTGTCAGAACGGTCGGCCGTCCACTGGAGTCCGAGCTCTTTCCACCGAGCCCAGTCGAAGGCGAGCATTCCAGGGCCGGAGCCTGGAGACCACAGGGACTCGAGATCGACACGGTCACCATCCAAGCCGAGAGCGCCTTCGTAATCTATGCTAGGCAGTCGGCCGGCACGAGCCCCACCTGCAGGCGGGCCTAAGAACTCATCGACAAGAGCTAGGTCAGTGATCTCGTCATCGTCGTCATCGTCGAGGAGGTCGAGATGGTGGCGGAGGAGGCCAAAACAGCGATTGTGCATGACGGTCATCTATAGGCGCGGGCACGAGAGAAATGAGATGAGGTAAAGCGATTACCAGGAGGGTAGTGGCATACCGTCCGGTGGGTGGCCTCATCCTCCCACTGGCAGTTGAGAATGATAGGCAAAGGGACATTTACTCCGCCGAAAGTGTTACTATCTTCGAAGGGATGAGGGGGTGCGGACGAAGGGATGCACTGAGAGACCTACCGCAGAATTGAAGGGGGACGACGAGACCTGGAGTGGTCCCAAAGCTGGTGGCGAACTTGAGGTAGTCGAGCTGGGCGGGAGTGAGAGTGCCGTTGGGAGGCCAGCGAGGACTGATTGAGACAGGGCTGGGGGTGAAAGGCAGACGACAGAGTGAGCACGACATGGGGGCAGGGAGGAGCGTGCGGGGGCGCAGGGAGCGGGGGCCTGGTTTATATTTCGAGGGCTCACCTACGGCTGGCCGAGTTGGGGCACAATGGAAGGCGGAGAAGATAATCGTTGGTTGCAGGCCTGTCCGTCCAGCCGCGCCCACCGTCGACGATCTAGCCGCGACGCGTGACGTCACGCGTTCCTTTGCGCGTCGGGTGACGGTCATGCCCATCGGGGTCACGCCGACGGCTTCGACTGGAGCGCACAGCCCCGGATGCGTCCTTGCCCGCTCCCCATGCCCTCCCTCTCGACCGCCTCGCGCTCGCCGCTTGCGTCGCCCATCCGCTCCCTTCTCTCGTCGTTCTCTACCTCCGCCCGCTCCCCAGGTGCGTCCGCTCATTGGTGGCATCTGCATATCCGCAGCCGAGCTCATCCGCTTCTCTCCAGCCCGGCGGCCCATGCCCATACTCCCTCCGGAGCTCCAAGACTACATCCTCGACTTCCTTGCAGCAGACAAGCCCACTCTCCGCCAGTGCGCTCTCACCTCCAGGAACTGGCTTCCACGGGTCCAGCATCTTCTTTTCCGCTCTATCTACATCGACTGGTCCAACTGCAATACTTTCACCCGCCTCCTCGACGCTCATCCCGACCTCGCCATCCACATCGCCACGCTCGAGATTGAGGGTGCGTTTGGCATATTCTCCAATGACCGCCTTCATAATGCCACCCTCGATGCTTGGTTCCGCGCATTGCCTCCATCCTTCCCAACTCAGCTCAGCAACCTCACAAAACTCGAGCTCGCCCTCGTTTCCCTCGACGCTGAGCTCATACACGGCGTCCTCAGCCGCTTCCCCAATGTATCCCACCTCAGCCTTTGGGCCTGCAAGCTCTCCGGCTTCGCCTTATTCATCGACCTCTTCATCTCCTTGGCCCGCCTCACCTGTCTCAGTATTTCCTTCACCCACGAATGGGAAACAGGGGCGCGCCCTCTCCCTCTCATTCCGCTCGTCGCCGCGGACTCCACACCGCTCCCTGCGCTCACCACCGTAGAGCTCTCCAGCGATTGCGACAATTTTTTCGTCCTTCGCTGGCTCATTGCTCGCCGCCTCCACCACTCAATCGTCCACCTTTCGTGCGCCGGCGTGCCGTGGCCCTCCCTCTACAGCCTCGCTGAAGTTCTCGCCGTGCTCGCGCCAACCCTCCGCACCCTCCGCATCGGCTTCCGCGACCATCACGGCCCCGCTGCGAACCTCGCCGTGGAACCCGCGCCCGCCCCTGTGGCACCCGCCGGCGGAGGCGTGGGCGGCGCAACCCGCTCCGATGGCCCTGGCGGCCGTAGCAGCGGGGACAGCCGCGGCGCCTTCATCCCGCTCACCGCGCTCGAGTCCTTCACGCTCGACGTGCACACGACGCGGCTCGCCGCGGTTCCCTACACCCTCTTCCTCCTTGCGCGCCTGCCCGCGCCCGCGCTCCGCACGCTCGCCTTCGCCGTCTACTGCGGCGAGGCGAACACCGCCGCGCTCGTGCCGTGGCCGCGGCTCGCGGAGGCCGCCGCCGGCGTTGCGCGCGCACGCGCCCCGCTCGAGCGCGTCGTCGTCCGCGTGCTCGAGCGGGAGCGCGAAGGCGGCGCGCTCTTCGAGTCCACGTTCCCCCCGCGCGCCCAGCCCGCGGTGGACCTCGCGGAGATGGAAGGCGCGGCCCGGGCGGCGTTCGGCGCGCAGGGGCTCGACGGGCTCGTCGCGTTCGAGCAGGGGAAGTACAGCGACATCGGCCAGCAGTGGTGTTAATCTGGCTGCGGGCCAGGCGGAGTGGGATAATCGACCGGTGAGTCGTTCTGTCACTTAATTGGCGCTTCCTCGTGGCGCGTCTGTCTTTCGTTGTCGTGGTCCGTGCTTACCTTGTAATCGCATCGATGACCGTCTTTACTGGATGGATTGGTTTCGTGTTCGCCGTTCATTTCGGTCTGCATATGTATCGCTAGTATCTATACATCCCCCTGTTGTTGTTGTCTTCGATTTCAAAGTCGTCTGATAGATTGTAGTACCGCGTACAAAGAATAACGCCTGCCTGTGTAGAGGAATATATAGTCCGTCCACGCATCTACTGTCTCGCCGTCCGTCTCAATCCGTTCACTCAGGGAATCGCCTCCGCCTTCGGAGCCAAGATCGTCTCCTTGATCTCGTCGCAGATCGCGATGAACGCCTTCGCGACGTGCTCGAAGTCGGACATCTGCTCGAGTCCCACACCGCGCCGCCGGACGGGTGGTCTCCGGTCAGCGAGCGGTACGGCCGAGGTCGGAGCGCGACACGCACCTCGTTGTACACCTGCGCGCTCGTTCGCGCCCAGAAGCCGCCGGCGTGGTACCAGTGCCCGGCGTACGTCTTGTGGTCGAAGAGGAGCCGCCGGCGGAAGAGCGCGTCGATCTGCGCGAACGCCGCGGGCGTGTAGACCGCGCCCGGCGCGGGCTCGACGGGGAGCGGGAGGAGGACGTTGCTCTGCGTCGAGCGTTGTGCCGAGCGAGGGACCCGCGCGCAGGGGTGAGCGGAACGAACGAGGCGACGGAGACGAGGACGTACGAGGTTGAGGGTGAGCTCCCCGGAGGTGTCCATGACGTGGGTGCCGAGCAGCGTGGCGAGGCGGGCGGCGCCGTCGCGCGCGAGCTTGTTGCAGTACGCGTGGATCGCGGATTCGCCGCCGAGCCAGTTGCGGAACGCGAGGGCTGTCGGGTCTCAGTGACGGGCGAGGGGAGGGGAGGAGGGCTCACCGTCGGGGATCGTGATGTGTGGGATGGGATCGTGCGCGCCGAGCCCTAGGAATATGAGCGACGGTTAGGACGCGGAGATGATGGATGAAGGAAACGCACATTCGTGCTGGTTGACGAAGTTGGTGCCGACGGCCGCGAACCGCGCGTTGGAGGGCGAGACGTAGTAGAGCGAGGTAGGGAGGGAAGACTTCATAATACTCTGGTTCCTGTCCCAGCCGATTGTAAGGGATACGCACGACATGGCGAGAGGGGGTGAAATGAGATTGAGTACAGACCGCTTCGGCACGTAAAGCACAGCGACCGCCCTCTTCGTGTACAGCCACTTGTAGCCGTTGGAGATCCAGAAGTCAGGTTTTGCCTCGCTCAGGTTGATGTTAGGCTGCAGCGTCAAGCGGTAAGCATTCGTGTCGAGCGTGCATATGCGTTCCCTCACCTCCTGCCCGATGCTGTGCGCACCGTCGATGACGCTCCACACGCCCTCGTCGCGGCATATCGCAACCATCTCCTTCCACGGCATGAGGACACCCGGAATAGACGCGATGCTGTCAATGACAGCGACGATCTTGTTCCCCTTCTCCGTCCCAGACGCTGCCGCGTACCCAAAAGAGAGCGGTGGCACGTCCGTGAAGGTGGTGCCCGCGGCGGCCTGCTTGAGCTCCCTGAGCTTCGCGCGGAAGGCATCGAGCACTTCCGCGTGCGTCCTCGGGAAGTTGAGCTCCACGATGTGAAGTGCGGGGCGCGCGTGCACGGGGCCGTCCGCGAGGAACTGCATCGTCTGCGTGACGGCAGAGAAGGTCGTCGATGCTGCGAGGGGCACGGACCGAGTCGGTCTACAAGTAAGGCCGCGAGGTGAGCTGGGACGGACCTCCGAGGAGCACGTCGCCCGCGTGCCATTCGAAGTTGCGGAGGACGCTGTTGATCCCATGCGTGGCGTTAGAGACGAAGACCACTTCGTCGGTCTCTGCGCCAATAAACTTCGCTACGGCTTCCCTGTTTGACGCCCGAGATCAGCCTGCGCCGGTAGGGGGAAGGGAGGCGTGGTCCTATACCTAGATTTGTCGAGGAGGGGCTTTGCGTCGAAGCGCATGAACCGGTCGGGGTTGGCCTCGATGACGCTTCCCAGCTCGATGGCAGCATAGGTCACAGGAAGCGGTACCGAGCCGTAGGAACCTGCGACATGTAGGTATCAGCTCTGCAATCTGAGTGAGTGAGATGGCAGAAGTCGGTCACCGTGGTTCAAATTAACATAGTCATCTTCGAGTGGAAAGTATTGCTTAAGCTCATGACCAAAGGGCGGGGGCTTCGCAGTCGCATCGTAGCTTTCTCCAGGTGCGGGAGTGCGTTTGATGACAGGCATATCAGGGCAATATCAGGGCGTGGTCAAGCTGAGTGAGATGGACGTTAGGAGGACGAATGGCCAGTATTATCTAGTACGTACGATCGACCAATAGGAAGTGTCGGAACTCGGAGACTTGATTTGAGTTCACTGACGAGTCACGACGAGTCGCCGCTCTTTGAGAGGAGACTGGAATACACCTATTGATAAACGTCGCAGTGCGCACATGCTGTGGCAGGTGTCTTGTATGCCAGCAGACTCTTCATGAGCCGATGCTCAGCGCTTCAGACGAGGTAGTGGACTGCTCTCGGCCAGCCTTACTCAGAAGTTCATATTGATTCGGCTTGAAGCCTGATCACGATTTGGTCCCGTGTTGGAGGGTGTTCCGTTCATGTGATGATGCAGAAAGCTTCACGGAATGATCAAGCGGAAGTTGTCATAAGAGAAGGTTGAAGCAGATCGCAAGTCAAAATGGAGTTCGGGTTGGGCCCTGTTGGGCCTCACAAACGATCACGTGCGCCGACGCGTCGCGTTTCTTGAACACCTGCCGCTGCAGTGCAGCCCGCCGTCAGCCTAGTCCCTCCCCCGCCTCTGTCCTCAGCTTGGAAAACAACTCATCTGGCTAGTGTATTTTAACAACAATGACGAACGTTCTCCGCGTTCCCAAACTTGACTTGCCGGCTATTCTCGTCCAGCAAAACCCTCAGATAGACCTCCGGCTCGACGCGTACGAGACCTCCACCCGCAACTTCCTTGCCGCGGTCTCCAACTACACCCAGCATGCAGTAACAGAGATAACTAAGCGAAAGAACAAGTTTCACGCGGACAAAAAGGCGGCTGCTGAGAAGGCCCAGAACATCGAGACGGAGACGACCCAATGCAAGGTCAAGGAGATTGAGCTCATTTCAGGTCCGTTTGCCGCTGAAAATACATGTGTTGTGTCATTCCAACATTGCCCACTTCCCCAGTTCTGGACAGGGAGGCTGAGGAGAAGAAGGAGGCTGAGGCCAGCGTTGCCCAGTTTCGGAGACAGCTCGCCAGCATCAAGGAGAAGTGCGCGTCGCTGGATGTCGAGATCGAGCAGCACCGGATAGTGGCCGCAAATCTCATGCGAGGTATGTTTGTGCCGCATACGATGTGAGGTCTCTTCTGAGGTGTTTCCCCCCTCCTCCGAAATAGAGCGGAGACGCGAGCATGGCATCCTCAATGTGCACGCAGCAAATATCATGCCAGAGATGCTCGCATGCGAGGATCGGCTGAAGTGCTGGATAGAGGGCATTGGTCCGGACCTCACCCTCGTTCGATTTACGCATATCGACCCCGCGGACATTTCCAGGGAGTTCAGTCTGGTGCTCGACGTATCTGAGCCTGTAATTCGAGGTGAGTCCAATGCCTCCTCCCGTCCGTGCCATCAGTCTCATGCAGAGGTCTGTAGTGCCAACAACAACACCGGGTCTCCCCACACTTCCCATCATCCTCAACGAGTCGAGCGACTCCAACGTCATCATTCGGCGTGTCAGAGCAGCATTCGTTGAATTGGTTGCGCAAGGGAAATGACCGCGTATCTTGTCTTGACTTGGAGGACCCTGGATATCTGCGCCCACTGTATTCGCACACCCATCTGTATGTCTAGCTTCCTTTCTGTTTCGTCTCTTGCGTGCATATTCATCACAGCACGCTGTTGCGTTCAGTGCGCAAGTCCCTGTCTTCACCTACGCACTCATGACAATCAAGCATGACCCCAACATAGCGGGCAAGGTCACCCTGGAACCCGCCGTTGTAGAATGAGTAGAGAACTCCGGTCTGGCCATTCAAACGCAGGGCCTTCCCTGGCCTCGAATGCCTTTTAACCCGCTCACAGGGTTAAGTGAGTCTCCTGGAGGAGCGCGCGTTGGTCGCAATCGGACAAGTTCCCGAAGATGGACGTCGGGAAAAGGAAGGACAGTATGTTGTGGTATTTGTACACATGCGATTCTCATACCACGAAATATCGCGTCACTGAAACCTTCCGTGGCAGCATCTTCTCCTTCACTTCCTGACAAAGCTCTGTACACGCCTTCGCGAGGTACTCAAAGTCGGCCATCTGCAAGACAAGCGCATACGCCGTCAGCATCTCTGCCCCCAGCACGACAAACTGGACGTCTTACCTCGGTGAACACCTGGGCACTGCATCGACACCACCACCCACCCGTATAGAAGTGCAGGCTTGCATAAACTTTCCACTCCAAAAGGAGCTTCTCCATGAGGAACTCCATGATCTTGTTCTTCACTTCTGGCTTGTAGATTTCGCCTGGTTCGGACTCGACCGGAAGGGGAAGCTGGACGTTGCTCTGGGAGTACCGCACTACGGTCAGAACGCTCATTCGGGTTCAGCGCAAGCAACACACCATGCTTAGGGTAAGTTCGCCGCTTTGGTCCATCACACTTGTGCCCATAAGCTCAGCGAGCCTTTTGGCGCCATCGATAGCGAGCTGTCGGCAGTACGTGTTGATCGCGGTTTCACCGCCAATCCATGTACGAAAAGCAATCGCTGGGCAACCTTTGTTCGGCTCCCCTCGAGATGACCGGTTGACAGGAACGGGCTTACCGTCGTGAACCGACAGGTAAGGCGTGAAGTCGGAGGTTCCAGTCCCTGCACCGCGCTCATCAGCTTCCAGAGAAGAAGGTCTCGATGACGAAGAGCCAGACATTGGAATTGCTCTACGAAGTTCGTGCCGACCTCTTTGAAGCGCGGATCTTCGGGCGAGACGTACCCATGCGATGTCGGCAAGGAGGACTTCATCATGTACTGGTTTCTGCCGCCCGAGTTAATTGCATGCCGTCCACGCAGACCATCTCACCTCTTCGGCACGTAAAGCATTGCGCACGCCCGCTTCGCAAACAACCACTTGTGGCAGTTCGACAACCAGTAGTCCGGCTTCGACTCGCTCAAGTTGATGTCGAGCTGCCAAGCCCCATCAGTCGCCTGCAGCCCTTCCAGCGTCCCCACATCTTCCACCCACCTCCTGCCCGATACTGTGCGCCGCGTCGATGACGCTCCAGACGCCCTCCTCTCGGCACACCGCTGCCATCTCCTTCCACGGCAAATACACGCCCGGCTGGGACACGATGCTATCGATGACCGCGACTATCTTGTTCTGCCGCTTCGCCGGCTCCGGCGAGTGCCCAGGCGAGATCGGCGGGACGTCCGTGAAGCGAATGTTGGGGTGTTCGGCCTTGAGCGCTTGGATCTTGGTGTGGAACGCGGCGACGATGTCCGTGTGGGCCATTGGGAAGATGAGCTCGACGGCGGCGACGGTGGGGCGTGGTGGGTCGGCGCGGTCGGCGAGGTATTGCATCGTCTTCGAGACCGCTTCATAGGTCGTCGACGCTGGGGTGAATCAACACATATGGTGCGGATATATGCGGCGTGTAGGGACGGGGACGTACCTCCGACGATGATGTCGCCGTCGCGCCATTCGAAGTTGCGGAGGACGGCGTTGAGCGCGACGGTCGCGTTGGGCACGAACACGACGTCGTCAACGTCCGCGTTGACTATCTTGGCCACGGCCTCGCTGCATAGCGTTTGTGAGAAGAGGTCTGGCCGTATGTTTGAGCCTCGATTCATACCGAGCCTTATTCAGAAGAGGCGCGCCCTCGAGTCGCATGAATCTATCCGGATTGCGCTCGATCCCAAGTGCGTTTTCTCCAGCAGCAAAGAGGACGGGCAATGGAATCGATCCATACGAGCCTGTGATCGGGTCGAATTCGGTGTGCACACGTTCGCTACTTGTAGGCATCGTGCGCACTCACCATGGTTCAGATTCACATACTCTTCATCGAGGCCGAAGTAAGCCTTGAGCTCATGCCCAAACGGTGGGGGCTCTGAGCGTGGGTCGTAGCTTTCCCCGGGACCTGGCTTGTGTGCTGGAGTGGGCATGTCGAAGAGATTATGAGGTCACGATGGAGATGCAGCGTCCTACTAATATACTTGGACGTGAGAATGACTGCACTGCTTAGTCCGGACGGGTACGTGGCCGGTCAGAGTCAACTGATAAGCCTGTGTGTATACATTTAGACTCCTGCAGAGGCGAAAGCCTCGTGAAGTAGCAGACCCCCTGCAAGCCGGGCCCTGGCTCAGTTCGTGGACTTCCTCCCTCACATGGTGTACATTAGACAAATGCAGCCCACAATGACGTCGTAAACAAGACATTCAACCAGTTACAAGTAGTATCGATCACCTGAGAAGCGCGATCAGAACGGTCAGAACCACGGTACAGTCGAGCTCGCTGCTCACCTATATGTCCCATACCCGGCTCGACTACCCACACCTTCCTGCCTCCTTCCTCTGCTGGACTCGTCAACGTGTTCTCCGAATCCACGGTCTCCAGAGTGTCCCACGTCGCCCATGCGTCCCTCAACACCGGGTCGATGGCTCCGCACACGACGCGCACCTCAGGGAAAGCGCGCTGTAGGGCCCTGATACCACCTGGGGACGCGACAATGAAAGCGACGAAGATAATGTTCTTCTCAGGGACACCGTGGTCGAGGAGGACACGGATGGCCATGAAAGCAGCAGCCCCAGTGCCGATTTGAGCGTCGAGGAGGAATACGAAAGACGACTGGGCGAGGTGGCGTTGGCGGATGCAGTACGGAAGCATGAGGTGGAGGAGAAGGGGTTCGCCGGTGCTGTTCTCTGACTGGATGAGGAGGGAACCCATGTTAATGTCCTGAATGACTCGACGTAGGCCGTGTTCTAATGGACCGCCTCTGTGAAAGATGTCAGTCATTCTGTACGAGTGAAAGTGGTTTGCTACGTACGAACGAAGGATGGACACCCCGCATATATGCTAATAATACATATGTAAACAAGATGATCATGCTATGAGATGTAGACACCTACACTCGCGGCCAATTGCTGCCCATGATAAGTGGCTGAGATCGGAGTCACAATGTCCTTGAGCTTGAAAGGAAGGTATTCCATGGCTGCTTCCGATAGTAGAGTCGCCAGTCGGTCAGAGAAGAAGATGAAGTCTTCACGAGAGGTGTCTCGGTCACGTAGAAGAGTGAAAATCCCCTTGGTGCCATGGACATCAAAATTATATCTACCGTTTACATCCGAAGACATTCTCACCTGCATCTGAGGTGTTGAGGGGAGCAGTCTAACGTTAGGGAAATATTGGTCTGGATTGACACCGGGAGTCAAGCATTTAGGGACCGCCCTCGCAAGACTCTTGCGTAGATAGTTGGTTCGCTCTGCTATTTTGCGATGTATGTGCGTCGCGATTAGCTCTATGGCGATAGTGTTGTCCGATCCTGGAACAATCTGGAGAGAGAATAAGACATGCACACGCCACGTGGGTGAGGAAGCTTACTATGTTGGCGTAGCGAGAGGTCGGCTGTACGAAGTTGTCATATGCTGGTTTCACAAAGCGGAGATACCTACATGAGGTGAGATTCGTCAAGCACAACGGAGAAGAAGACATACTGCTCCAAAACCCCTTCGACACTCCGTCCGCGCTCCTTGATGTCCCTTCGGATTCGTCGAGACAACATGAGGTCGGAATCACATTGAACGAAGATCTGTGACGCGTGGTCTAGGGGTGGTTGAGACCAAAGTGCGGTGCACACACCTTCATGTCGTAAAGTGATCTTAACGCTGGGTCATGCAAAGCAAGAATACCCTCGACTATTCCAGCATCTAAGCATATGCATTCATTTCAATTACGATGAACTGACCGATGATGATGGAAGCGCCATAGAGATATTTGGTTTCAGGTAAACGTTGGTGTTCCGTGAATGAGTAGATCGGGATGTTTGTTTGATTTCCAGCCTTGAGATCTGCTAGGCACTATATTGCTTCAATGCTTAGAGCGACAACGACAAACAAGTGGAGCATACTGCAGCAAAAAGTGGCATGTCGATAGCATCTATGTATATGTACAGACCCTGTCAGCATGGGCATACTAAGCACCAAGGATCCAGCGCACCAGGGTGATCGAAATCATAACGGTTGGCAAATGCCAAAGCTAGATCCGCAGGTGAATGCTCCTTGTAGAAGCTATCCTGTAAGTCTGGTGTCAGCGTGGTGAGTCTCGAACGCAAACATAGATGTTTACCTGGGACAGGATCACAACAGTCGGGATAGATCCCAATGCCTGGACAATTTGACGGGCGACATGGGTCTGACGGCAATGCGAGGGTGTAAACCAGCGAACGGGATGGACTCGAGAAGCGAGTGACGACCTTGCCACTGGCCGAGCCACCTGAAAGACGGGGTTTGACACATGTACCAATCTCAATGACGATTAGCTTACCTGCGATCCCAATTACGAACGCGTCGCTGGTAGCGTGACCATCCTCGTCGTACCTACGCCCCCTCAGCATCGGGATTCCGAACCATGCAAGCAAGCGCACCATGGAGGACGTCCGTGAGACTTTAGGATCGTGTTCTTCTTCGCCTGAAGCGTTGTTTCGTTATGAGGACTTGGTCCCCTTGTCGGGATGCCCGTTCTATATAGAGGCGGAGAAGCACTGGGAGTGGGGAGGACGAGCGGCGAAAGCTGTTTGGTGGCTGCGGGTCCGTCCATCGTCGAGAATAGTCCAATGTCCGTCCTGCGCGGTATAAGGGAAGGCTGTCGGACTGTCGATGAGATAGATGGGTATCGAGAGCAGGCCGTTTAAACGGCTGCCTCACGCAAGGGGCTGGTGGTGGCTGGGACCGACGTGCCTTGCGGCTCTTCCGCTCGGCCCGCGACGAGCCGCAAGTGCTCCTTCCTTCCTTCCTTCGTCTCCATGTCTTGCGGCAATCCCTCCACGGAGGCTGATGCATTGATGCAACGTGAGTATGTGTCCCATGGTTCTCCGTCTCCGCTCCAACGTCACCCACAGGCCGCAAGAAATACGATAAAACCAAAGCTTGTGTCAGATGTAAAACCTCTGAGGGCAATCTCGTCGTCCGGCATGCTGTATACTGCAAGTTTGTCGCGAGCATTCGTCGATCGTGCATACATGCTGACCCTTGTGATAGGGACTGCTTCTTTCCCTATGTTACGCACAGGTTCCGCCGTGCACTTGAGCCGACGGTTAATCCCATCCCAGATGGCCCTCGCAAGACTACCTTGAAGCCGGCAGGCAATCTGCTCATCGGCTTATCTGGAGGTCTCGGTTCTTCAACACTTCTCGATCTCGCACACCGATGCTACATCGCCCTCGACAAATCCACAATGCCGACGAACGGTGGGCGAGATCATCCCAGACACGGGCAGGTGTGGAAGAAGATTGTTGCATGCTATGTTGAAGTCTGCGACGCCTTCCCCGGGGTGAGTCCGATAATTCTGATATTGAATTACCCATGCTTATCTGGGAGAAGTAGATGAAAGATCGCACCGAAGACGTTTCCCAATTCGTTGGGAAATACAACGAAATCGACCTCATTTCTCTTCGAATACAAGACGCATTCGATTCCTCATGGTGGGAGACAGTCGGCGGAAAGACTGCGCGCTCTGCTCTGGGTGCATCTTTGACGGATGAAGGTACGCCCACCCCCTCGTGTATCGGTCCCCAGTCCGTTCATCTCGTCCAGGACTCCCAATCGAGGCCCTCTCCGAAGCAACTCAAGACCCCCTTCCATCCCTTCGGGCATACCTCTCCACCCTCCCTACTCCAACCGCCGTCCACGCTTCCGTCCAAACCCTCACACGACTGTTGCTCCTCCACACCGCACTCCATGAAGGCGCATCCCACCTCGTCCTCGGAACCTCTCTGACCTCCCTCGCGGTGTCCCTCATCTCCGGAGTCGCGCAAGGCTCTGGTTTCAACGTTCGTGAGGAGATGTACGAGGAGTGGGTCCCGAATCCCATCGTTGCAGACGTTCCGCCTTTTCCTGCCCCCGCTACACCTTCACTCACCAGCGCCAAGGATGGGATGAGTAACCAGCAGAGGCCAAGGAAACGCCATAAGCAGAAGGAGGAGAAGGAGAAGGCATCGCTCCCCGTGGAGCACACCATCCGCGTCGTCCGCCCCCTTCGCGATCTCGGGATGAAAGAATGTGCGGCATGGGCACATTGGTCCGGCGTCCCCGTCGTCGGGAAAGAGAAGTGGGAATGGGCTGGCGCGAAGCCCGGCATCAGCGCGCTCACGAAAGGTGCGCAGTCCTTCTCAATCTCCGTATGAATATCGTCTGAGCACCTTCGTCAGACTTCATCCTCGGTCTCGAGCAAGACTACCCCTCAACCGTGTCGACGATTGTCCGGACCTGCGCCAAGCTCGCGCCCAAAGGCGCTGTCGCCTGCGCGTGCGCCCTATGTGGTCGGTCAGTCCCCCGCTTTCTCGCCCTTCGCAAACCTCTTGGCGCTCACGCCCACCACACCGCACACAGCCCCGTGCAGGAAGGCGTGCAAGAGTGGACGGCCCGCATATCCATCCGCGCGCACCCCGGTCCACCCTCAAATCCACCCTCCACCTCGCCAGCACCACCCACACCTCCGGCCGACTACGCCCCCAACATGTCTCTCACCCCGCTCCTCTGCTACCCGTGTCGGACGATGATCACGAGCCGCAGCGCGCGCCCCATGCCGTCGCCGTGGCCGCGCGCCGTTGGCGAGTCCAGGTCTGGAGGTGCCATCGCGCTCCCAGTTTGGACCGCCGCTCGCTTGTCGGCCGCCGCAGCCGCGGCGGTGGATGCAGATACGCGTGGAGGAGGCACCGACGAGGAAGACGGGGAGGTGCGGCAGAGCAAGAAGATGAGTCTGGACGAGATGCGTGGCGTCGTCGACACGTTCTTGCTGGCGGATTAGGCTGGCAAGACAACTCATACGTCTCAAGTTAGTCAAGAAGCAATGATTAGATTCGAGGTCCATTGTACATGTATGGTCATATAGTATGTACGGTGTACGGTCGCAACTTTGTGCAAGCCGTCTGATGAGGGTGACATTGTCCGAGTCGTCGTGAGTTCCGGAGTATATGGGTAGAGGCGGAGGGCGAGTACTGATACATCATTGCTACAATGGACGCGCGGCGTCGCGGACGTATGTAAACGAGAGGAAGCGATAGAAATATATGCTACGAGGAAGTCCGCGGCCGGGCTTATGGTCTTATATTCTACTCGTGAATGAGAAATGTCCTAAAAGGAAGGCTGTAGTGGGTGTGTGCATCGGGAGACCGGGGCTGGATAGGCTTGTAGACAGAGGCATGGAACTAGTTATGCAGGTACGTAGAGACGAAAAAGGTGTGTGCCGTTTGAGGGTAGAGATGTGTGTAGATATGCGCATGCTCAAAGATCGATGGGGGGCGAGATGTTGCAGACAGCGAGGTTGGTAGAGAAGTTCGAGCCGGGGTAGAACCAGAACGAGACGGCGATGACGACGTACAGACCTAAAAGCGTGGAGAGCGTCAGCTACGGCTTTCGAGGGATTTGGGGTGTAGTACGCACAGATGAGGATGACGCCTTCAAGCCAGTTTGACTTGCCGTCCGCGACGACTGAGGACATTGTCGTCACTGAACAGAAACCGCGTCAGAAAATGGTCACCAAGAGTGTTGGGTAACCTAGCCACGCACCTGAGATGTACAATACAACAGACTGGAACGGATCGAACAACAACGCAAGTGGCTTGTCGAGAATCCACCCGAGGATCACCATGACTGGAATCACGAACAGAGCCGTTTGCTGCGGGTGCACCCACTATGAGCACCTATTGTCACCACTTGCGACGGAACGCACTTACAATAGTTGACCCAACGGCGACGCTAATGCTGAGCGTGAGCTGGTCGCGGACCGACACGTTGACGGCAGTTACACACTCCGCGATGGCGCTGACGGTGGGTAGCAGCACCAGACCAATCCATTCCTTGTCGAGCGAGGGTGAGACATTGTCCATGGCGTCTACCATCCACTCCGCGTTGACCGCGACGAGCTGTAAGCCATGCTGATTAGTCAAAGCTACCCACCACGAAAATCACAAAGAACATACAATGGTCACGATGGTTAGCATGACGATGGTCATCGTCCAACTGAGCTCCACCTGCTCCGGCTGGGCTTTGGGAGATACATCCGGAGAGGGAGATCCATGCATGGGCACCGGGCTGGAGCACATGGGCGAACTCTGCCATGGTTCCCCGATTGTCGCGTCCGAGAGCGTGCTGAGCCTGGTGTCGCGGTAGTGTGTTTGGGCTCGTTCGTGCATCTCCACGGGTTCTCCGCCATAGTAGTACGCCGATAAAACGTCGCTGATGGGCGTACGTGACCTGCTCCTGGGGCGCTTCCCTATGCCCGGCTTCCGCCTTTCCGCCTCTGACTCAGAACTAGACCCGTTCCCCAGGCCCGAGACGGGGGAGTACCGGTCAGGACTGCTAGGTTCAGAGCCCGAGCCCGAGTCCAAGTTGCTCGTCGTGATCCGGAATGCCTGCGCGTCGGTGACAAGCCGGACGCTTTGTTGGGGCTTTGCGATGGGGTTCGCAAGCGTGAGTTGAGAGGTGGTTCCGAGCGGAGAGGAGAGGAGTGCGGTCCGGCTGTTGAAGTTGCTGCCTGTCGCTGCGGCGCTGGAGTGCAGGTACGGCGAGGATCCAGGGCGGGGCGTTTCCGAGTTCTGTGACATCTCAGGCTCCTCGACCAGCGTATCGATTCTGGATTGGGAGCGACACGGCGGGTAAGACTTCTGACTGGTACCCTTGCCTGTCAGCGGGCGAAAGGTTGCGCGTGAGCCGGAGTTGCTCCGCAGGCGCTCCAGCGATGGGGATACAGCACGATCGTAGAGATCACTGCCCTTCTCGCGGACGCGCTGCGTGGCAGTGCGCACCGTTTCGGCCGCCTGCAATTTGTCGCTGGGTTGGTGGTGGCGGTCTGTGTAGAGGTGATTATGGGACCAGAGCTGGAAGACTAAGTACGAGGCGTAGACTGGTCGGAGTAGGTCAGTGATTTGCCGACATCGCACGATATCACCACTACTCACTGAAAAGCAAGACAATTGCGACCTAAATCACGCGGAATAATCAGTACGGGCGAAGCGTCGGGAAGTGGTCACAACGTACGCCATGACTCATGCGTAAAATGTCATCCTTCTGCTGCTGTAAGGTGATACTATCTCCATCCCCGGATTTGCCATATGTGAGGGCGAAGTGAAAAGCGGCAGGCAGCAGCACCGCTCCAACACTGATGTTCAACAGAGACGAGTGGATCTGGGTCGTTGCTAACGGACGTTACACCTCGACTCGCACGCGTGAGGGAGGACGCACTCACTGGAATCGAAGCCTTGCTCCGAGAACTTCAACCCTCCGGCGAAGAAGCACATTCCGAGAATGAGCACTATAGAATAACGGCATGAGCTCTGATATGCGAACAATCATCCAGCACACTCACGGAGCTTGCTGAGCATTGCTCCGACCACTGTGAAGAGGTAAGGGAGCTGGTCTGCATAAAAACTACACGCGCTCACTCACGCATGGACTGCACGACTCGTAACTCGCATTTCCATAAAGCTATCACCTATCTCTGCGGTTAGAGGAGGCAATGACCGAGATTGAATGTAAACGTACCGCAACGACTAGCTCGACGCTGGATATAACAAACGGATCAGTAGAAGCGGATGGAACGCTGCGGAGTTTGTACGTACATGTTACTCTGAAACGCGGGCGGATCAGTTCGCTCTCCAAAACCATTGTTCGGGCACCGGACTCACAAGACTGGCGTTTAGTAGACCAGTTTTAGAGCCGCCTATCCGACGGGAAAGAACGCCGGTGGCGAGATCATGGAGCTAAGTTTGGATGAATCAGAGCCGAAACTCGGACACGAGCGATGGAACCCTGACCTTGACCAAGGGAATCATGGCAAGTAGGCATGCTGCGGCCAGAGGTATTAATATCACGGGCAGTCGCTGAAGGGAACCGTTTCCTACCTGAGAAAATGAGCGTCCCAGAGTCGGGTGAGGCAAGCTTGAGGATGCCCTAGAGTCTGTGTGAGCTACACAACAAGATGAGAACGAATTTGACCCTACCGCTACTGGCAGGAAGAGCAGAAGAAGGTTGAACCCTAGAGCTCCGAGATGAGACTGCAGAATATGCAAAGGAAAAGCGCATACGCACATGAATCGAACACGATGGCGCGCCATCCATGCGTGATTCCGACAGAGGGCTTGGGGGCGTTCGGAAATTTGTGGACCGAGGATCGATTTGAATGCTGTTGAGGGAAAAGACCGGCTGGAGAATGCTGGGTCGAGCGGTTTCTCCACCCGTTGAAGAGACTCTGCATGATCGATCGCCTTGGCGGATCGGGGGTGGGAAGCTGGATGAAGGGACTGGAGGACGCGTAGGAGACTGCCGAGTTTCTGGTGGAGGAGCGCGACATGCTGACTGGAGGTGGAAGTGGTCTCGGGGGTGTGTCGGCGGACGAATGCGATGAGCTGCTTGGGCTGGATGTGGGGATTGGATGGCGGTCGGCTGAGCCGGGAGTGGGCATAGTCTGGTTGGGAGAGACGGGGCGAGGGCGTGAGGGAAAAGAGAGTGGGGGTGGCCGCTAGATGGCGGCTGGGTTGAAATCCTGCGTGGTCCATGGCGCAGCGGCTGGACGGAACCGCTCGCCTCGTCGCGTCCGAGAAAGAAGGCGAGCTAGACGTCCGCTTACCTTGCGGCTTCCCTGCCTATTTGGGCGACGCGACGCGCCAACACGCGTGGCGTCATCGTCCTCGCGCGTGCCGGGAGCTGCCGGGCGATCGTCACGCCTACGCGTCCGTGACGTGACTATGCCCCGTGACCCGGGCCGTCACGGGGCAGCGGCGAAGAGCGGGAGAGGTCGCGTTGGCGTTGCGTCCGTCCAGCTCGTTCCCCAAAAACCATGTTCGCCGCCGCCCTCCGCTCCGCCGCCCGCCCTGCCTCTGCGGCTCGTGCGGCCTTCAAGCCCACCCGTCTCGCCGCCGTTCGCTCCATCTCTGCGACCGCTACCCGCCGTTCTGGCCACGCCCCGCCCCCGGAGCTCTACGGTGAGGGCGCGAAGCCCGGAGAGGTCCCCACCGACCTCCAGCAGGCCACCGGTCTCGAGCGTCTTCAGCTCTTGGGTGCTGTCGAGGGCGCCGAGGTTTTCGACACCGAGCCTCTTGACGCTTCGCGCGTCGGTACTCTCGCCGACCCCATCAAGGTCATTTCTTTCGTGAGCCATTTCTGCCCCTCCCTGAGCCTACCACCTCCCTAAACCTCCTCCTTGCGCGACTCTCAAGGATGCCGAGCGTATCATCGGCTGCACTGGCTGCCCCGCCGACTCCCACGATCTCGTCTGGATGCCCCTCCGCAAGGATGAGATTCGCCGCTGCCCCGAGTGCGGCTCTGGTGCGTGCCCTCCTTACTTCCTCTTCCCGCGTCACCTTACAGTCTTTCGCTCTCCCTACCAGCCTACGCCATGGACTTCCAGGGCGAGGAGCACGGCCACGACCACGGCCACCACTAAACGCGCGGAACGGATGTTGCCCTCCAATGTACGACGAGCATGCTCCACGCAATCCACTCCGTTTTCTCCCTAGACATATCGTAGCCGGCCGTAACACTGCGTAAGCTATGTCGAATGCATTGGTCTTCCGAAGCCTCCGCCCATCGAGACGGTCCAGACCGGGCCTGGATCCGACCCTCCCTTCACGTGCATGCCTGGATGCCTCCCGACCAGGTCGAGCGATACCTCGAAGCATCCACATCATGAAGGCAAGCGCGATGGTCGGGGGCCTCGTTCGGTCTGTTTCCGAGAAGCGAGAGCGTGTGCGCCGGCAGGCGACTTTACAGTTGTCAGGACAGCTGTCTTGTGCGCTGCCAGCTGCTTTCGAGGGAACTCTTTGCAAAGAAACGTACTTCGTTAACCATGCTTTTGTCGGTCTGGGCATATGGTCTGGAAATTGTACAGCCTTTAAAGTAATATTTAATTCAGTCACTGCCTTTCCACGCGCTTGGTCCGAGAACGACGCCTGAGGTACGCAGTCGACCTCTCTGATTCAAGGGGCTTGTGCCAACTCACCACCACGTTCGTGTCCACTCAGCAAGAGTTCCGCAAGCACGACTTCGGTGAGTGCTGCTCAGGACGCAAAACGTCTTATATAATCTACTCTTAGCCTAGAGAACGGGCACAACTTAGTGCCACCCATACCTCCGCGTGTTCCTCCGGAGATTGAGCTCGCCGTCCTGGAGTCATCCGGCTGTGCCAAAAGTCAACCTGTGTTGAAAACCTGGCGTTTTGTGGACATGCCATCACTGGTGCGAGACCTGGCAGTCGTTCCTCTGGCGTTCCGTTACCCTCCATCTCTCACGTCGCGAACCCCACTCTCGGACACTATGTACGCGAACTTGGGGTCAATGGAAGCAGCTACTGGCCGGGCCCTGAGGAAGACATGGACTCCTACCTCTTGCGCGTCTTTCCCCACTCCGCAATTTCCTCGTCTCCCGCTACACACTTCTCCACTCCCCTACGTTGACACCTTTCCAGCGCAAAATTCACGCCCCTCGATCGAGTCGTTCACTATGGAATATAACTGTGAGACGAACGACGGCCTTGACATACTCTACGCTATCTCTGTGTCTCAAAAATTCACCGTCTCACGCTTCACCTCAGGACGTGCCATTGGCGGGACCCATATACCATCAACGAAAATATACATTCAACCACGGTCCACGTTTTACACCTCAGTGTATCCGAAGATCCGATACTTGAAGCTTGAAGCTGGCCTTTATGAAATCCTCCGTCGCTTAGGAACTTTGAACGGACCCCTCAAAACCAAGGACCTCGGTTTCCCGGGGAGTGTGGCGGGCCTCTTCGCCCTTTGCTCGCGCCTCGAGCGTGACTGCTCTGACCCCGTCAGTGTTCGCCTATTTGCACCGGAACCACGGCCGGTACGCCCCGTCTGCCTCTCCACGAACTAGCCATTCACGTGACCGACTCCAGATCTTCGTCCAGGGTATCCAAGAAGGGTCCGTCTGTCACTAGCGGACCCTGCGCTGCTTCTCGGACGCCGCTCCTGGTCAGGGTCGGGTGATCGTTCCGCACGAATCGCCGTATCTAGAGGATGTCAGATCGCTTATCCTCGGACGCTCTAGTACGTGGCCCCCGAAGAGACAATTCAAAACTCACGCGGGAGACGAAGGTAGACAGGTAGTGGTGGGAAAACCTTCTCATTTACTGGCCACGCGACATGGTAGTAACGGCGTTACGTAACTGCAGCGTCGGAACTCTGCGAAGCCCGCGTCCAAGGCTTCGGTCGGTTTTGCGATAAGCACTGTACTAGGGGTTTACCGGTAGTGCAAAACGTGACAGAAGTGCAAAATCGCGATCGTGCCCGTCCCTCTTGTACAATAAATATTGGAAATTCTAGAGTACTCTTTTAAGACACATTGAAGAACATGTGCCAAATTTCAGAGGGAGGGGATGAGAAAGCGTCAAGGAACGGAGAAAGTGTGCACTTCTGCCCGCCTCAAAACCCGTGTGGATGCACGCGTTCATCCACATCTTGGGCGATCCTCATGGAACTGTGGGATACTCATGATACATACCCCCCGAGTGTAACTGTACGCTCCCGAGGTCAACGCACAAAGATTACAGCGTCCAGACGTTCTGAGCGTGACTATCCGCCATGAGCGCTCGGTCGGCTCAGGTTGGCTGCGTGAGTTTTGCATCACTGGCGTGCCCGTACAGGGCGCTTCGTCATTGCCGGCGTGACGTTTCGTGACAACGTCCTTTGCACAACTGTGCTCCTCTCGCTCTCCTGTACTTCTCCTCTATTCGCTCCGAAAAAATTCACAAGGTACCTTCCATGATTTCAAAACTATGTACCAATTCCGAGAGGGATCGAGAGCGGGACGGACAAGATACAGCATCTGCAAAATAAGTTTTGCACATCCGGTAAACCCATTTCGACCCAAAGTTCATCGATTTTGGGCGTGACCGTGAACGTTTCCAGCCGAAAAAGTTCACGGCCCTCCGTGACCACGGACGCCAAAGTTCATCCTGTTCATAGCCCTCTTCCTCCACCACAAACGCGACGAGCGCCCATGAAGCGCCCATGACCGCCCGTGGCGAAAATGTTCATGACCCTCCGTGACAGATTGATCGAAAGTTCATGATGCTTCGTGACGCGTGACATGAACTTTGGATCGAAATGGTACAGTAGCCTGTGAGCGACAGCTGGGACGTACTGCGGTCGCTCGGCCAATCGTAGGGCCTTGAGGACAGGGTACGACCAGTCCCGTACACAACGACTCTCATGCAGACTCGGCCACACGGTTGAAGGACTTCCAACAAGGCGCCATTCGGACCACACATTGCCCAAAATCTGCGTCCTCACTCGGACTTCCCCGAACCCTTGACAAGATCATCCCAATTCATCGACGACAACACAGGGCAGCTTCAGACGGGGCCCTGTCAACTCTTGCTCTCCCATCTCCTCCTTCCGCAGCTCCGACCAATATATTTTCGCCCCCTTTCCCGTCGGGATACTCACGCCTCCCCCATCGGGAGGCCTACCTCGAGCGGTCGATCGCGTCCGGGTTCTGAGTTGCTCGACGGTGTCTGCTGTTCGGAAATTTGAGAATGGCACCAGGCAATGCTCGTAACATCAGCGCTCAACTGCACACACGTTGCGCCCGACTGAGGGAGATGATAACTCTCCGACGTTAGTCCTCTCGCGCGTGTTCCTGGAGCGTCCACCGCCCCATCAATGACACTCGTCCGTCGAGTTCTCCGCTCCGAGGGCCGTCGGTCGACTCGAGATCAAAACAGCTCCGCACGATGATGGACGAGCAGACGACGCCGCTGCGGTCTCACACTCCCATCGCGTGGAGTGCGCTGGCTTCGCGCGCGCGCGGAAGGGCGGCGGCTTGGGAGGGCCAGAGAGACCGAAGAGATCGCGGCGGACATGCTGCGACTCGGCCTCTCGCACGCGGAGACGAGGGTGAGACTCGCGCGGGCGTCGATGCGTGAAAACCCCGGTCTCCATTCCGACTTCTATCTCCGTACGAACGCAAATACGCCCGAACCGTGAGACGCGGGAGGGGGGCGAGATGATAAGTATAAACAGAAGCACGCTGCGATGCACGGTACAAGGGCCGCCTTCCAGCCTGTACGACGGCTCCTCGGAAGGTCGTGGCAAGATATCGAACAAGGGTCCTCCCGTTTCCTGGACTTCCACCGCATTAACGGCCCGGCGGTGGAGCCGTCGCGCACTGGGCACGCTCAGCGTGGTGACGCAGGCTAGGGCAAGGCTGGCAAGTGAGTGTCCTGATGGATGATTCCCGCCCAGGGGTCGTGGGGCCGGCAGGGGCAAGTAGCAGGTGCGGATCCAGCGTAGCCGGCGCGGCTTAATTATGGGCACCGCTTCTTACAGATCTCGCAGTGTGGGCCTGAGAAAGGGAGAAGATTGGGCAAGATGCGGGTGTACCTACCGGCGGACAAGGGCATGCATCCGACGGACGCGCCTCGCATTTCCTTATGGAATTTCTACTCTTTGTTGTTGTCCCGTGGAGTAGGCGGCAAGGTATCGTTGCTGCACCGTCAGCAGCGTTGTGGAGGTTGACAACTGAGGACATTGACGCCAGCGACCCCCCGGCCAATCGAGCTTCCGGCCGTTCCTGAGCAGAGAACTTTTTCTGGATCCCCGTTAATTACCCTTGAAGGCGTGGCCTGATGGTAGGCATAACAGGGCATAACCTACATTGGTAGCTTCGCGTCAAAAATGTACGTGGGTGCATATCTGCTGCACAGACACCCCCCGGCCGGGGCCGGGGCCCGAGAGCGAGAGATTGAAAACCTGTCGGCGTGCCAGAAAGCCTTGTGCGGGCTTGAGAGGTGTCCATGGCGTGCCTGTCAGGCCTGGTGAAGTTGCAGCCGTTATGAATCTTGATCGGACCGCACGGACAGCGGCGGTCCGGCCCTACGGACTTGGAGAGGATCAGCAAACGCGGCAACGATGCCGGGCTTCGGAGCATGCAAACACAACGGGAGCGGCCGGTCGTCAACTTTTGCGCTTCCCAGTGGTGGCCGTCCCTTTGCTCTCCTCAATACCCTCTTCGCAGATCCCGAGGACGGCCGGGATGTACTTCAGGGCACACATGCGCGTTTGCCGGTGCTGTACATCGTCTTCCGCCTCCGAGATCTCCGAGCTCGCCCTGGCCGAAATCATGGGTGAAACTGGCCAAGACCACCGTTCGTCGCTTGGAAGAGTTATTTGGTGTCTGCGCATGAGCGATGTGTAGCGACGGAGGCAATATAGCTGCGTACGTCAGCGTCCGACCTGCATCATTCTCTCGTAAAGCAGCACACCCACACCACAAGGCGAGGTGAAGCGGAGGGCGTGAAGGGCGTGGGATGAGGGCGAATAAGACAGTCGGCATTGCACGTTGTGCGCGCGCGACGTTGTGAGGCTCGATTGCGGGCGCCTGAGGGAGAACTTCGGAGAGTCATGAACAGGATGTGGTGATACGAGAAGGGCTGGCCGACATACGTCTTGACGCGCGGAAGATTTGGCTGATCGGGTTGTGGGCGGAGACAGAGGCCGCACGGGTTCGGGAACGCGCGGAGGCGTAACCAGGAAGTCGCCTGGCGACGGGCTGGTGGCGGGGCGCGATGATTCCACGCTCGGATTCTGTTGTGATCTTCTGCTTGGCGAGCTGGAAGATGGCCCAAAATTACGCGCCACAAGCTGGCAACGAGAACAGGAAGGACGGACACGAGGGGACCGCAGGGGCGAAACGCGCTGTCAGTTAGACACAAGCATGCATGCAGCTGTGCAGCTGGGGTACATGAGATGGCACATGCCACACGTAGGGCCGGAAGCATAGCACACAGCGTCGAGGGGGTCATCGACGTGCGGCAGATGTGGTGGTTGGGCGCTGGGCGGTGGAGGAGGAGCAGATCATAGATGCCAGGCACGAACGAGCGGCTGGAGGAGGAGGATGGCCCATCGAGTCCGCGGGCGCTGCTCATCTCCTCTCGCGCTGTCCTGGCAACGGCCCTGGGCATCCTCTGCGTGTGCCCGGAATGGCAGCTCTGCGCCCTGCCGACCGAGGGCTCGACGCCTGCCTGGTCAATCTTCATCCGCGAGGAACACGGCCCACCCGCTCGTCACTCCCGTCCCGTTCTCCCGGGTCCGGAGGTGCACGCGGGGCGGTCGACAACGCGATATAAGGCCGCCGCCGGTGTGCCAAGGCCTCACCTCTTTCCTCCCCTCTGCTCTTTCCTTCAAGACCTTCATTGGTTCGTTGAACGGCCTTTTCCCGCCTTCCTTTCGACCGGGTGTCATTTCCTACTGTCGGTGCCATCTAGTGCAACCTTTCCAGCTTGCGTCCCCTCATTCACCAACGCTACTCCGCCTAGTCTCCCTCGTTCCTTCCCTTCGCTAGTACGAAATGGTGTTTCTCAAGTCTCAACTCGCCCTGGGGGCCCTCACCGTTCTCGCCGTCACCGAGTCTGCCTACGCCCGGATGCGCTGGCTCGAGCGCGACGGCCGTCACGTCGCTCTCTACCCCCGTCGTTTCGGCGAGGAGCACCCCGCGGTCATCGACAAGATCTCCTCTGCCTGCCCCGGCCAGGTCTGCGGCACTCTCGCCGGCGCCGCGATCACCCCTCTCCTTGCCGCGCAGGGCGAGTGCACTCAGCAGGACATGGCTGATCAGATCATCGGTGCGTGTTTTGCCCCGAATCCAGGCGCGAAGCAAATGGCTGACCTCGCGCACAGACGCCGCCCAGCAATTCGACGAGCCCACGAAGTCGAACATGATCGCGCTCGCGGTCGAGTACCGTCAGGCCGAGAAGAACACCCCTCCCGTAAGCATCTGTCGAGGGTCGCATCGTCGCGCGCGGCGGGCCAGCACTAACGTACCGCTCCGTTTCACAGGATTTCTCGGTCCAGCCCAACATCCTCCGCAACTCGGTCTTCTGCCAGAAGGCGCCCAAGAACTCGCAGCTGAACGGCCTCGTCCAGGCTCAGGACCCCGCCAACGACCCCAACGCCTTCTTCGACCCCGCTCTCAGCAAGACCGTCCAGAAGGGCTCCCAGGCGAACACCTCTCCCTTCGGCGGCGCCGCGGCGTCTTCTGCGGCGTCGGCTCCTGCTACGTCGAACGTTGCGGCTGCCCCTGCCGCGAGCACTGGCGCCGCGAGCTCGACCGTGGACTGCGAGGTATGGTGCTTAGTTACAGGGTGATTCATAGTAATTGACACACTGTTCATAGACCGTTACCACCATCACCGTGACTGAGACGGGTACCGCTACCTCCGTTGCCGCGGCTCCGGCTGCTTCCACCGGCGCGGCTGGTGCCATTGGCAACTTCGGCAAGTGCTCCGTGCCCCAGATCGAGTTCGGCGTCGGCTTCGACAACCGCAAGGAAACGTCTTTCCAGCCCGTTGACAAGACCTCCTTTAACCACGGTTCAGCCCAGGCGATTGGCATCATCACCCAGTTTATCTGCGACACACTCACCAACTCCTGCGGTGCTGACGCTACGGCGAAGGCGACCTGCGCCAAGGCCCAGGCCGCGGCAGCTGCGCAGCCCCCCAAGACTGGTGTCGACGCCGACGCCTTCAACGCCGTCTTTGGTATCACCACGAACTTTGCCTCTGTCAACGTCGTGTCGGACACCGGTGTGACCCTCAGCCCACAGGGCTCGTCCGTCGCTGCTCAACCTGCCGCGTCGACCGGTGCTGCTACGACCATCGCTGCGTCTCCCGCTGCTTCCACTGGCGCGGCTGGTGCCATCGGCAACTTCGGCAAGTGCTCCGTTCCTCAGATCGAGTTCGGCGTTGGCTTCGACAACCGTAAGGAGACCTCCTTCCAGCCGGTCGACAAGACTTCCTTCAACCACGGCTCCGCACAGGCGATTGGCATCATCACCCAGTTCATCTGCGACACGCTCACCAACTCCTGCGGTGCCGACGCGACGGCGAAGGCCACTTGTGCCAAGGCCCAGGCTGCTGCGGCTGCGCAGCCCCCCAAGACCGGTGTCGACGCTGACGCCTTCAACGCGGTGTTCGGAATCAAGACCAACTTCGCCGCCGTCAACGTCGTCTCCGACCAGGGTGTGACCCTCAGCCCGCAGGGTTCTTCTGTCGCCGCTCAGCCCGCCGCATCGACCTCCGTTGCTGCGTCTCCCGCCGCTTCCACCGGCGCGGCGGCCGGCGGCATCGGCAACTTCGGCAAGTGCTCTGTGCCCCAGATCGAGTTCGGTGTCGGTTTCGACAACCGCAAGGAGACCTCCTTCCAGCCCGTCGACAAGGCTTCCTTCAACCACGGTTCGGCGCAGGCCATCGGCATCATCACTCAGTTCATCTGCGACACGCTCACCAACTCCTGCGGGGCTGACGCCACGGCGAAGGCGACCTGCGCCAAGGCCCAGGCCGCTGCGGCCGCGCAGCCCCCCAAGACGGGTGTCGACGCTGACGCCTTCAACGCTGTCTTCGGCATCAAGACGAACTTCGCCGCGGTCAGCGCCGTCTCCGACCAGGGCGTGACCCTCAGCCCGCAGGGCTCCTCTGTCGCCGCGCAGCCCGCCGCGACGACCGCCGCCGCCACCAAGACGACCGCCTCCGCCGCCGCGACCTCCGCTGCCGCGTCCACGGGCGGCAACCTCCAGAAGTTCACGGGCGCGCTCGGCAACGTCACCCCGCCGCCGGTGACCGCGAACGGGGACGGCTCCTTCCAGGTGACCGGCAACGCGTCGTTCAAGACGCTCTCGAACGCGCTCGTGCGCTCGTGCGACGTCCAGCACAACCAGTGCGCGAACGCCGCGAACGCGTCCGGCAACAAGGGCGCCCTCACCGTCGAGGCGTGCGGCACGCAGCAGACGCAGTGCAACGCCGCGCAGTGAGCGTCGCCCGCCGTCTTGGTCCGTGAAGTGATGTGAGAAGATGCATACCGCCGCCCGCCGTGCCGCGCACGACGACGTCCTGGATACCCCCCTACCTGTAATGTGTACTTGAGACTTCCCCCGAGGCTTCGCTGGCTCGCACTAGAATACGTCCCTCCCCCTCCCCCGACGCACGCACCGACCCTCCCCATCCCCCCCTTACGTCCGGCCCCCCACGAGGCGGCTCGTTCGAGTACCGGTACTCCGCACCTTCTTTCTTCTTTGCATAGTAGTGCCGTGCCCGGCGCGCCGTCGCCAGATGTTCCCCCCCTTTGTCCCCTTCCTCAGCAGAGGTCCGAAAGAGCAAAATCCTTCCTTCCCGTCATCTCTCCGTTGTTGAGTGCGTGTGCCCACCAAGCCAGCGTGGTTGCGAAGTGAGGCAGGAGGAGGAGCTGCGTTGGTCTTTCATGTGCGCCGAATCATTCGCGTCGATCCATCAAGAAGCAACGACAGGACGCAAGTCCACGCTGCGCTGTTGCTCGCTTGCGTGGCCCGGGCGCGCTCGAACTTGCCGTACAGCATCACGGGATGGCTGCCCTGCGTTTGTATCTAACTTTCTGAAAGAAATGCAACAGAGGCACGGTGTTGGTGGCTCTTCGGCGTTGCACAGTTTGTAGCATAGCTAAGATGGCCTTCGAGTCTCGAGCTGGGGCAGTACACCGGCTGTGCCATAGCACTACTTATCTCGAACGCCGCATGGTTCTTTCTTAGAGTCTAGACTCATAAAGCGCGCGCTTGGTTGTAGGACGATTGAAATGACTCGAGTACTTACAGATTCCGGCTGCCCGGTGACTTGGACTCGGAGGCCGAAGACGTCCGACCCAGTCCTCTCCCTCGCCGCCCTCGACGTCGTGCACCTGCTATCCACTACTATCCACTACTACCGCTTTCCTCTTTCTCTCTCTCCACCCCATTCACGCACAACCTGAGCCCCCACTGGGCTCCTAGGCACGTCGGTTGATGCCCGCCGGCACGCTTCGGTCCACCGCGCCTTCGGTATCGCTCCCTGGATATGTGATACTCTACATTAGAGATCTGCAGTGTGTTGTGCCTACCACGGCGCCCCGCCTTCAAAGGCAATAAACGAGGATCAAAAAAAAACTCGGAGGCGTGATACACATGCCGCCATGTCTTGATGATCTTCTGAATCTCGGCGTCGAGACCGGTGCAGCAGTTCCCCTCCGTGCGCGAGCTCGGTGGGTGTAGTGACAGATGGGCTGCGGAGCATACGTGTCGTTCGCAGGTGGCAAAGCGGAGGTTTAGAATGCGAGCACAGCTGCAGGATCGTGCGCCAATCTATGCAGGGGCGGGCCGGGTAAGCGGGCCCATCGGCATCGCGCTGACGAACGCCTGTGGCTCCGGGTCCGCCCCAAGCTCTCTTTCATCCTCTGCTGCGCGCCTTCTCTCTCTCTCTATCACCTCCCGTCTCGGCCGACGATACAATGTGCAATGTTGTGGTCTGCCCTCCGACGCTCCTCTCCCGCTCTTGCCTCTCCCTCTCGCCCGTCAGTCCTCAGCAGCCATCGCTCCTCGCTGCCGCGCACTAGCTCAGCATCACTCGTCCTCCTAGGTTTCCAGCCGTCCCTCCGTCATCACTCGTCCTCTACACCTCCCGCTCATGATCTGCGCACTGACTCACCCTCCTCGGCGCAATGTCCCCGGCCTCCATCGACGCGGTTCAGGACGGCTCCATCTACTGGCTTCCTGATCCTTACTGCTACAACACGACATCCGCGCGCCCCCTTCGCGCGCCCATTCACCCCGTTATCGAGAGCGTTCCACGCGACGCCTCGAAATCAGCTCAGTCCTCTCCCGTTCCTCGCGGGTCTGCTCAAAGTGAGTCTCTCTCCCATAGTCTCTCTCCCATGCCTTTCCCCACCGCTCTCCTTGGCTTCCCGGGGTGGTGCTCTCCACCGTATCGGTTCGTTTGTTGAGAGATGCTTACGGTGTTCTGGTTCAAACTGGTTATTAGGCTTCGACGGCGCTCGAGATGTCTCGCATGGCCGCGCGTATCGGCCTGACATTCGTCCCCATTTTGCTCCTCGGGAACATGAAGTCCAAGAAAATCCTCCAGCACGCCGAGAAGTATGGCCATCCAGACTTTGAGGCGAAGAGGGAGCAAATGCTGCGTAGCATCCGGACCCGCACCATCCTCTTCCACATCCTCATCTTCGTTCCCATCTTCGTCTTCTGGGCGACGATTATCGCTAGCCTGGAGCGCACCCCGTTGACGGGCAGGTGAGTCCTCCTCTCCATCCTTCTTCAAGTCCGATCTCGCGGGAGGGCGATAGCTCCCTGGCCCTTCGGCTCTTTTCTTACCGCCGACGCCCAACAACGCGGACTGATCTGGGAGTGGTTATGAGATGGATTGTCGGTGGAATTCGTAAATCAGTGCGCCCAGAAAGTTCTATGTTGTCGGTCATCTTTGGTTTTGGAATTCAGGAATCATTTCTCACGTACTGACACGTTTGCAGATACCGCGTTATTCTCCTTTCGCCCGAAGAAGAGGACAACATCGCAGCACAGCTGGCAGGGCCCGGCTGGTACCGCGCCGTCGGTGAGATCCTCTCCGCCGCGGGCCCTCCGCCGCCGATCCTCCCGCCGTCCGACTGGCGACTCGTTTGGGTTCGCGATACCCTGCGCCGACTCGAGAGCGCGATCCCGACGCTACAGTACGAGGAGAAGCTCTGTCCCCATTGGATGGACTGTGGCCCGGACGACATCCCTCTCCCTCCGCCCGCCGACTACCCGCTCCGGCCGCGCCCGCGAGGATCCGAGGTCCTGCACCGCTGGGTCGAGCTCACGTGCACCCGCCCCGCCCCGCCAACGTCGCACTCAATCACGGGTCCGCCGTACTCGCTGCTCGTCGTCGACCGGCCGGACGCGTCCAACGCGTTCTCGTATGGCTTCGGGCCCGACGGCGGCGGCGGCATCGTCGTCTTCTCTGGCTTCCTCGAAGAGGTCCTCTCTCGCAACGGCTGCCCGGACGGGGCTTCGCCCCAACTTGCGCCCCCGCCAGAGCGGTCCTTCCTGTCGAACCTGTTTGGGCTCGCGCCCCCGCCACGGCCTGCGCACCCCGTGCCAACGGACCAGCAGACGGCGGAGCTCGCGACGCTGCTCGCGCACGAGCTCGCGCACCTGGTGCTCAGCCACCACATCGAGACGCTCTCGTCGGGCAGCATCGTGTGGCCGAGCGTGCTCTCGATCGTCACCGACGCGCTCCGCGCGTTCCTCTTCCCGGTCACTATGCTTTGTGAGTCTCTCCATCCTCTCTTGGTCGGACTCGAGCCGCCGTAGCGGTGCCTTTGCGTTTCCGCGTCTATGACTGGGAATGACTCGCACACCGCCGGCCGATCTCAGGACCCGTTCATCTGTCTGGTTTGACAGAATGCTGATCGACGCCTCCCCCGCCCGTCCACAGTCGGGCCGTTCATCAACGACGCGCTTGGGGGCATGTGGAAGGCCGGCGCAGGCGAGCTCTCGCATCTGCAGGAGTACTGCACGAGCCAGAAGCAGGAGGTCGAGGCCGACGTTGTCTCCGCCAGGTCCGTCCTCCCGTTCTCCTTCCCCGCGTCCGCGGTCGCTCACATCGTTTCGCATTTCCCCCAACTCGCCCTCGCCCCTGCCCCTCCACTCCCACCTCCACCCCCACCCTCATCGCACGCAGGCTCCTCGCGCACGCGGGCTTCGACCCGCGCGAGGCGGTGCGCTTCTGGGAGGGCCGCCTGGACGAGCCGCAGGCGGCGGAGTGCTCGACGCGGCCGTCGCCGGACTCGGCGAGCGCGATGGCGCGCAAGATGTCGGGCGAGACGCACCCGCTGCACGAGACGCGCATCAGCAAGCTCCGCGCCGAGCTCGAGCGGTGGGAGAAGAGCCGGGCGGCGGCGCGCGCGCGGCGCGAGCGCGAGGCGGCCAAGGCGCGCGCGAAGATGCCTGCACCGCCCGCGCCAGGTGCAGAGAGGGGCAGGGAGCAGACCGCTGGGTCAGCTTGAGGGAGTCAGGGAGGAAATAGAATAAGAGGCCACGGCGCACGCGTCTGTCGCGGGGCCCGGAGCAGGCATTCGGAGGAGTATTATATCGCGCCACGGACAACCGTCGCAAGTAGTGAGTATGCTTTGCCCGGGCCGCCGTGCACGCATAGAACAAGCACACACTCTTTTTGTTTTTTTTTGTTTTCGTTTATCGACTACGTACGTACAGGCTCCGCCGCTCTGCTGTGTCGAGAGCGCTCCGTCTCATCCACTCTATCTTACTGTAATACTAGGTTGTGTAGTAGCTACCCGCGATATCCCGATGCGATCTCTCTCTTCTCTCTCTCGGTGTACCGGGAACAGGTTCACGCACAGAGTAGAACGCCGTCGACACCGCTGCTGTGGTTCTCCCGTCCCGACGTCGCCCGGCGACCCTCAACCCACGGCGGCGCGGTAGTCGAGCCTCAGCAGCGCCTGCCCGTGCGCGATCGGCATGCGCTCCGCGAGGACGCGGGCGACGTCCTCGCGCGCGCCGCCGGTGCCGGCATCGGCGACGTCGAACTCGAGGCGCGCGAGGCGCGCGTAGCACGTGCGCGCGAGGACGACGTCGAGGCCTTCGAGGTTGAGCGCGGGGAGCGCGCGCCGGGCGAGGACGAGGCGGATCTCGGCGAGCGCGGGCGCCGCGCCGCCGGCGTGCGCGAGGAGCGCGAGCACCCACGAGAGCGAGCGGGTGGCGGCGGCAGGAGATCGGGTGGGGGAGGAGGGGCCACAGGGGACGTGCAGGGCGCGCAGGCGGGTGCAGGGCGTGAAGTCGAGTTGCGCGGCTTCGAGGAGCGCTGTGATGATGGAAGTGGGGCACGGCGGAGGGAGGGGGACGGCAGGTCAGAACGCGCAGGGGAACGTGAGCCGTCAGCGAGGGCGGTGTTGGGCAGGGACGGGCGCGACGTACAGGTGGGATCTGGGGATTTGGACAGGGTGATCTGGATGTGCTCGAGCGTAGAGCCGGCGGCGGATAGGAGCGCGCGAAGGGCACCTGCGCTGCGTCGCGTTCCGATGGAGCATTTGAGGATGCGTAGGCTGCGGTGCGCTGACTCCGCGAGGAGCCAATCCACGAGCGGCCCGATGTGTATGTCTTGTGAGACCTCGAATTGCCCGAGCTCGAGCCGCGGATAGGTCTCGGGGAGAGCTTTCCGGTCCTGTTTGAACTCTTCGCCCTGTCTTCTTGCAAGGGACGGATCGCGCGGAACGGATAACCATTCTGCGGACAGGAGGCGGAGAGCGCGGAGGCGGGGGAACGCTAGGAAAAGACTAGTGAGGTCTGCGAAGGACATTGCTCGGCAGTGACTGAGGGTGAGGGTGGTGACTTTGGGAAAGGCAGCGGCGAGGAAAGAGGACACCCCAGGGCTGAGCGTAAACTCACTCACCCTGAGAGTGTGGACGAGCGGGAAGATATGGTGGACTGTAGAATTGGCGGCAATACTTTTCGAGGAAGAGGGGTGAGAGCTGTCTTGGTCTGTCTTGTCTGAGGGAGGGTCGGGAGAAGGAGATAACCCCTCACGCAACCACGAAGGCACCTCAAATGCCACAGCGTCGCTGCGTACAGAACGAGCCATTCTTGCTCCAAGAGTGGGCCATCTGCTGAGACTGAGGCTGGTGTCGGCACCATTCATCCACCACCCCTGGCTTGTGGTTGCTCGGCCCCGTATCTCGACGTCGCGCACGAGAAACCGAACGTCTGGAGTCTCTTTGAAGAAACACAAGAGCTGGTCTGAGGAGGGGTCAACCACGATGTGGCGAAAGAGGTGGCAGCGAGCGCGGGGTAGCCAGGAACGGGAGACCCTGCTACACGCGCGTAAGTCGTCCGGGTGGGCGTGGAGGAAGGACAGGATCTCGTCGACAATTTCGGCTGGCAGTCGAGGGAACGTCATGCTGGCAATGACAGTGGGATAGAGAGAGCAGAGGGCGCTGGAATCCCTGGCAGCAGTGATCATTTATTGAGACGTGCGGGACAACACATTACCCATTAGTCGAAGGATGATGATCGCCTGTACCGCTGCGATCCATTGGGTTGGAGGTGGGAATGCGCATCTGGCCCTACGCACGAGTGTTGCCTGGCTAGTGTCCTTGTTCAGCGCTCAGTCAGCGCAGACCATAAGACGGCTCACCTGGACCTGGACCTGCGCGCACGGGACGAAGAGGCTGCCTCAGCAGAGGACGCGCGTCCCGATCCCTGGGCGAGCCGGTCTCGATCACATCCAAACCTGGCTGTGACGCTAGCCGGATTACGTCAGTCCAGGCCTCGCTCGAGGAGCACGGTGCGCTCGAGGCCCGTCCTCTGCCCTCCTCCTACCACCATGTTCTCCTCGTTCTTCTCGTGAGTCCTGCGCCCGTCGTCGCCCTCATCAGTCTCATTTGCACCCAGCACCGCGCCCCCGGCCGATCCCAATGCGCCCAACTTCCACCCCATCTCCTCCTCCACTCCCCCCTCAGAGCTCTTCGGTGAGCTCGAGCCCAAGGACACCGAATGGGCCTGTCCTGGCGGCTTTGCCGTAGAAACCCAGATATTCTACACCTTCCTTGAGGATGGCAGCTCGCTCATGTGCCAAGTTATCCACTCTTCTGTTGGGTAAGTCTTGCCCGCCTCTCCCTCTTTTGCCTGCCCTCAATCTGCATTGGTGCTCGTCCGTCTCCGCCCGTCCCCGCATCCCTCGCGCGCAGCGTGTGGTACCCCACGATCCAGTTCACGTGCAAGATTTTCAACCCGAACTCCAAGGAGAAGACCTGGAAGTCCGTCAACGTGACCAACTTCGTCGCCGGCCCCCCTGGCCACGACAAGCGTTCCTGCAAGGCGGACGAGTTCTCAATTACCCACAAGGCCGCCCCCTCCGCCGACGTCGCGGAGCAGTATACCATCACCGCCAACCTTGACGCCGACCTTCAGATCACGCTCACCGTTACCCGCACCCCCTACGCCCCCGGCTTCAAGGTCGGCCGCGGGCCCTCCGGCGGCTTCTCGTACTTCGGGCCCGACCCCAAGAACGCGGAGGGCTACGTGATCCACCGCTTCTGGCCCCGCTACCAAGCGAACGGCATGCTCGTCCACCGCGGCGCAGCCGTGCCCATCAACGGCCCCGGGATGTTCGTGCACGCCATCCAGGGCATGCGCCCCAACCTCGTCGCCGCCCGCTGGAACTTCGCGCACTTCCAGTCTCCCGCGCACGGCGGCGTCGCCGCCGTCCAGATGGAGTTCACCACCATCGACGCCTACGGCCGCAAGGGCGCCGGCTCCGGCTTCGCGACCGTCAACCTGGGCGGCCTCGTCGTCGGGGGCAAGCTCGCGGCGGTCACCGCGGAGACCAAGTGGCCGGACGAGCCGTACGCGGAGGACGCGACCGTCGTCTCGCGCGCGGTGCACACCAAGAAGGCGCTCGATCCCGACACCGGCTACGAGGCCCCGACGGAGCTCTTCTTCCGGTGGGCAGGGCCGTCGCTCGTCGCGGGCGCGGCGGGCACGGTCGACGCGTCTGTCACGCTCGACGTCGGCTCTCCAGACTCGTACAAGGGGCTCATCGAGAAGGTGGATGTCCTCGCCGAGATCCCATACGTCATCAAGACGATGGTCAACTACGTCGCGGGCACAAAACCCTACATCTACCAAGTATGTTCCTCCTGCATGGGTTCCCTAAGTCGTGGTGCTAATATTCTGCGCAGTGGATCAACAACGCCAAGCTTAACTTGAAAGTTCCGGACGGTCTCGTTCCTAGTGTCTCGAATGAGACGGAGGTGGAGGGAATCTTTTACAATGAAGCAACGTTCATCTCGTAGATTCAGCCTCGCAGTTGGTACACAAATTTGTACAATACGACCGGTCACGCTTGCATGTACACGTTCTTCATCTATAGCCCTGTCTCATGGATAATCACACCGCTCACGTTTTTGGACCCTTGCGATCGACTCCCGGGTTAGCGTACGGTGCCCTACGGCTACATGGTTTCGTCACCCACACATCCAACGACATGCCACCCAAACAAAACCCGTGATGTGCCTTCAGGAGCTGCCTCCTCCCAAGATCTAAGTAGCGCGCACGCCGAAAACGAGTATATTGATGATCACAACAGAACAGTATGTGTTGCGTAGGCCCATCCGTGCACGAGAACGCGGGAAAAGGCGGGTATGTACGTGCCCGTGTCGCGTGGTGCAGGGAATGAACCTGAGGACCCACGAAACCCCCAGGCGCATGAGGTGTCCCAAGGAGCACGTAAATACGGGGGAGCGGCAAGTGGGGCCCCTTCGTCCCGTGCGCCTCTACGTCGGGGCAACCGCCTGTGGCTGCACGGGCACGGTGCTATACGAATGGCCATGGCATGTCCGGCATGTACAGTCGCGTCGGCCCCGGGATCGCGCCAGACGCTGAACGAAACGGCCAAACGCGACAGCGGCGGCGGCGGCGGCGGCGGCGAAAGAAAGAGCAGGGGTCCAGTGGTCGAACCCGGCGGTACACCAGCCGCGTCCAGCCGAGGAGGATGGAGGGAGGTAGATTCTGACCCGCGCGAGCTCAAGCTCACGGGTGGCGCTTGCTCGTGCCGTGCCCTTGCGCTTGCTCTGACCCGGGCGCTCGTAGTCGGAGGAGCCGTCCTCGGAGCCCACGAAGGTGACCGCGGTGTCGCGCCGGATCGCGACGTGGATCCCGGCGCGGGAGCGGGGCTGCCAGGCGTGAGGAGGAGGCGGCGGCAGGCACGTGGAGGCGGGCGTGGTTGAACGAGGAGGAAAGCGCAGGAGGGGGAAGGGAGACTCACCGCGGCGTCGACGAACGTGCGGCGCTCGGCCGCGAATCTGATGGAGCTAATGGAGTTTGCGAGGTGAGGGGGAGGGGAGGTGTCTCCGATGCGGTTCACCTTCTCGCGGAAGCCCTCGCGCGCGTTGAGCGTTGCCATGAGCGAGATCGTGTACACTGGTGGTGGGTCAGTATCTGAGGCGGGCGGAGTGGAGCGGGGAGACGGGACATACTGCGTGCGCCGGTGTAGTAGAATACGAGGTAGATCTGGTAGTCTGGGAAGAGGACGAGGCAGATCACCGTGACGATGTTTAAGAGGCTGGAGGAAGAACGTTGCTGTAGGCATGCTACGCTCCTGCGAACGAAGTTGCGCAGCGCACCTCGTTACAAGCCCTGTGTTGATGGTGAAGATCATCTACGAGAGAGCGGTCAGCCTCCGCGTCCTTTGAAGATAAGGATATGACAACTCACTAAGCTATTGATGAGGCGCCTGGCTCTGAGGGTATATCGTGCATCAGCGTGAGCGTCGTAACATGATAGTGGTGGTTATAGGCTCACCCGGTGGAACCAGTGCGTGCACGAGCGAGCAGAACGACGAGCGTTCCGGACAACGCTAGGTCGGTGACGGCGGTCAAGGTGCTCATCCCAATGTCGATTGGCTACAGTCTCAGCGACTCAGTACCTGAAGAGAATATGGCTTGGGAGCGACTTACCACAAGAGCGATGAATTCGGGGCGGGTGGTCGCCTGTTCACTGTCCGAAGGCTCAACACGCAATGCAGAACGCCTATGTGAAACACGCCCTACCCCTTAACGAAGAGAACTGCGAATGATCATGTAAGAACCAAGAGCGCCTATGGAGGGGGCAGCAGCACTTACAGAATGCCACGACGAAGTCGCCGAAGACAAGAGCGGACTGCAAGCACGGTGTTAGCGGAAGTTAGCGCGAGGATGATGGAAACGCGCCAATAATATGGCCAGGATCGCATGCTGGCTCACTGCGAAAGCATTGAGCGGAACTACCTCGCCTCAATCGAAGGTCATTACTCACGAGTCCATATTCGGTAGGTATAGAAGCTGCATGTGGTCTGAACGGCGGAGCATGATATGGTTTGCGCGTGACGTACCTCTGAATAGTGACTAGGCTTAACGCCTAACGGGAGTGTTATGAGGAGAGACCTCTAGCAGGCATACAGCGGTACTCACGTTTGTGAGGAGCTGAGCCTGTATCGGGGTCAAATTTTGCATGGAGGCACGGGTGAAGAGAGACGCACGGCAGCTGTCCTGTAGGCAGCCTTCAGTATAATGGCAATCAGAGCAGCATTTTGGCCACCTACCATGGCACCAGTGGTCCAGTCGTTGGCCTAGCGACGAGAAGGTACCAATCTGCCAACCAGAGTCATGGCAAAATCTCGAGCGGAGGATTGTGTGCACTCACTAACAGAGTTTAGGAAGAACAAATTCACAGTGTCCTGTCTGACGGGTAATGCCGAAAGTACCAGATCATCTGCGAGGTCGAAACTGGAGGCCGAAAGGCGCGTCAAAACAGCGGAGATGCATCGCCGGCAAAGGTTGGCCACGCACCCCCGTACAAGCTGTCCGCGAAGGGACCACGTTTTCTCGTTAGCATGACGGCGTTGGGGAAGCGGACATGAGGCACTCACCAGCCCATGACCATGCCCGGCACGAGATTCATACCCAGCCTGGATAATGCACCCATGAGCCGACATGCCCCCGTTCGGCCGGCGCGCGAGGTCCGTACGTGACATCGAGGAGGTACTTGGTGGGGATATCAATCGCCATCCTTACGCGCAGCTGCACGGAGAGGGGGGCCGGGGTAAGAGCCAGACGCGGTACGCAGGGCGACGGTCTTAAGACGACGACGGGGCCTCTGTGGCAGGTAGTGACAGAGCGGATCATCCCTGGAGAGGCCGTTTCTGCGTATTCCGTGCCTCACGCCTCTGGACAGCTAATGTGGCCCCCGGCGCAAAAGTTGGACTCGTGCGGATGTACAGCGTCGGAGGATGCGAGGGGTAGACGGTTCCAGTCGGAGCTGGTGCCCAGCTCTATGGCCTGTCCGAGGCTCTCTGGTATCGAAGGCGCTGGTGTCGGCTCACATCTGTAAAGAAGGGAGCGGTGGTGTTAGTAAACCGCGTATTTCGCTTGCAGCGATACGCGAAGCTAGCGAAGTTGGCCAAATAAGCGAACGTAGGTTTTGCCATGTGGCTTCCACGTGCGCCGGCCAGCCGAGCCTACGATCATGTTGAAAAAATGCCGCGGGCCACAGCCAGCGTCTAATAGTGACCTTGCGTACACAAAAACAGCATCCCCTGAACCAGGATCGAACTAGTGACCTTGAGATGACAAGTATCCATTACAGTCTCACGCTCTTCCAACTGAGCTATCAGGGGATATAAACATAGGCCTAATGAGTACATTTAGAGTTGCGTGACCGCTTAGGACACGTGTACGTGTACGTGTACGTAGTTACATATCGGTGTTTACGGTGTTGCCTGTCCTGATCAGGTGCATTCCCCACAACATGCACGTCCAGATTGCGCCCAGACAGCGATCCCCGCCGCGCCGCCGTCCAGGCTGGCAAAGTCGCTGCCCGCCCTCGCTGCGAACGACAGCGATGCGGTCGCGAAGGTACGCGACGAACCCGTTGGGGTTGATAGCCTGATATGAGCGCAAAAGTGGTGGTACGAGTCCCATTCAGACATGGCCTTGCCGAGCAGTCCATCGCCCGGTCACCCCACCCAGACTCGCGTCCCTAATTGGCACAGGGCCCCATAATACCCCACCGCCGCTCGCCCTGCCCTCTCACCCCTCTCTCACTCCCCGCGACCACCACCGCAGCTCTCCCTGCACCCTCCACGCCCGTCCACGCCGATTCAACTCGCCGCCATGTCCTCCGTCCTCCGCACCCTCTCCAAGCACACCCGCACCCTCTCCGCCGCCGCCCGCGCCCCCGTCGCGAGCACCAGCTCCGTCGCCGCGCCCGCCCGCGCCTTCCACTCCCCCTTCGCCGTCCTCGCCTCCTCCGGGTCCCCGCTCACCGTCGCCCCCAAGTCCCCGCCCCCCGCGGGCTACGCCGGCATCTACGAGAAGAACATCGAGTACCCCGCCGAGCCCATCCCCTCCGGCTTCGGCACCCGCACCTACGTCGTCTCCCAGCCCGACCCCGCCAACACGCCCTACTCCGTCCCCGCGGGCGCGTACCCCACCTCCGCCCCCTACGTCGCGTACCCCCGCGCAGACGCGCCCCCGGCCGAGCCTGGCGCCCAGTTCGCGTCCGCGAGCACCGGCTTCGCCCACCCGCTCTCCCAGCGCGTGCTCTCGGGCGAGCTCCCGGACGTGAACCCGTCGCCGCTGCACGAGAACGCGGAGAAGTTCTCGAAACTCGGCGTCGACAACGCTTGGAAGGCCCGCAAGTGAGCGTGCAACGCTCGAGCCTCCCCCCACACGCCAAGAGGGGGCCGTGCCCGCCCAGCTCACATTGCGGGCGCGGCGTCCCGCTGTCCAGCCCCTCCCGTCTCTCCTCTACACCGACCGATCATGCATATCACAGGCGTGAGCACGGAGGTCCCGGGGGGCAGGCTCGTGAGGGACGAGTAGACGTTTCGGGTTCGTTGGGAGGTTCGTTTCGTTTGGAGGTCCAGGTTCCGTTTCGTTTCAAAGCTGTAATCGCAGTCTGCTCTTGTCCCCGCACGTAGTTTCTCGCCGCGCTGTGTTCCCTGTAAGTAGTCCTTGTACGAGTCGCAAATCCAATTGTACGATACGCCGCCGTACGTTTATCATGCCGTTACGAGTAATCCATCCATAGATTTGTCCGCACATCCCCCGAACTCCGCTTGCTCGTGCGATACAAATGCAGTGGCCAGCTCCAGCTCGACGGGGCGAGACACTGGGCTTCGTCGCTCCAGGTCGTTATCTGCGGGCGTTGGCGGCGTCCAGACGACTGTCCAGAAGGGATCCGCAGACGTCTCGAGCGGGGCCAGCGACGGACTTAGAGCGCCCGTAACGTCATCGTCCACTCCCCCGCGCCGGGCTCCCGCCGTTTCCGCGCCCGTCCCCAGATCACACGCACGCACGATCGCGAGGACGTGCAGTACGAATCGAGGATCGAGCGTTCATAAATTGCATCGCCTTCGAGATCGGAGGAGCGGGCTCCTTGGCACGCAGAGTGCTGACAGAAACCCTGCGAGCTCGAACGACACTGTATTCAACAGGGTGCACCGCGCACGTCATGGGGGTGCGCCCGCGAGAATAAGTCAAACCTATGGGTGTGCGACAGAGAGATATAGAACCGACGGGAACGAGGGAGGGGGAGGGAGGAGCGGCCCAAGCGGTCTACGCCTATGTGCGCCAGCGGGCTGCGGAAACGGGAGGGAACATGCAACGGACGACAACGCGGAACATCCCCGCGGCGCGGCGTGGGCACGGGGGCACTGGCTGCCCCTGTGCTCAGGGCGGCGCGGGGAGAGAAGGATTAAAGGGAAGGAGGGGCGGTATCCTTTGAGCCGGGACCAGAGCATGACGGACGCCCTGAGGGCGATATATGTAGGAGGGCTAGACAGAAGACGAGGGGCCGGGCCACAAAGCGGGGTAGAATTCAGAAATGCATGGGAACGCGGTATTACCGGGGCGCCAACCCGTGCTAGCGATAGCGAATATACACAGGCGAATGGATGGGTATGTCAGACGCGGTACGGGGTAAGGGTGGAGGTTCGGTGCGACGGGCGCGATGGACGAGCAGCGGGCAGTGAGACAGTGGAAGGTTCGAGCGTCGTAGCGATTCGTGAGGCCGTCGTCAGGATGACAGAGTGCTAAGAGCCAGTAGCGAGGTAGCGATAGCAGCCGGGCAGCTTGTAAATAGGGATGGTTAGGTTATTGCGATCGTTCATTGAGTCGTCAGGGCCATGGCAAGAGAGAGCTTGGAAATCTACATGTGAGTATAAGTCGACGACAAGCAAAAGGGTATGCGAGAACATGACGTACAAAATCCGCGCAGCCCGTGCGCGTTGATAGCACCGCGGCTGGGGCCATGCTTATGCTCGACAGCAGAACGCGGCCCAGAAGCCCTTCTTCCGCCCCATCCCGTGCTCATCCTGCTCGCCGACACGCGCCATCTGGTCGCGGTCGTACACACCCATGTTCCTCGTCTGCCCGTTCATGCCGTCCTGTCGCGTGCCCGCCGTCGTGGTCCCTTCGCGACTCCCAGTGCCTGTCTTCCCGCCCGGTGCTTGCCCATACATGAACGACTCCGAGTTGTTCGGGTGTGTGAGCGGGTTCTGCCCGTTCGGCGCGCCAGTGGGTGGTTGTGGTGACTGGCGGCCGTACGCGTTTGTGCGGTACCCCCCAGAGCTGCCAGGTGCAGCATACGGGTGCGGCGCGACGAGTCCGCTGTCGCGCTCTGCACGTGCGATTTGCTGCTGACTTGCGCGGCGGCTCGTGGGTGCCAAGGGCTGCACACTGACTTGCTCGCGAGAGCCACCGCGTGATGCGTCGTGAGGCCGGCGGCTGCTGCTCTTGACGTGTGCCGGCGTTGGCGCCAGAACAAGTGGTGATGACGGTGACGCAGTACCGTCTTGGAGAGCATTCCGTGACGAGCGATGGCGATCCCGTTCTCCCCGATGACGGTCCCGAGGGGTATGCGGAGTGCCGCCATGAGCAGAGGCAAGAAGGGCAGAAGTCTGAATGCAAGCTCAGCGAAGATCCTCCCAACAGTAACTCAACCTACGTGTCCGGCTTCCCATCCCTTCCCACCGTTAAGAAGCATCCAGTCGAAGATGCCGTCTTCGGGTTCGCCAAGGGTTTTCAGTACCTTGGTGAACAGCTCCCGAAGGAAGTCGTAGTCCGGCGTCTCCTCGAAGCCGAGTTTGCGGACGTAATTCATGTAGATAGCGAACTCCTCTGCACCTCCAAGTCAAGCAGAGGTGGACTCAGGTGAACGGTGGAGCTTACCAGGGAACCCCTCGCAAAGCTCCTCGATAGCAGTGCTTTGCTTCTTCTCACCGATCTTCTCGTACTTCTGCTTGTTCGTAGCAGCACGAAGACCTTGCCAAGGCAAACCTCCACGCAGGAAATACATGAAGACATGGCCTAGTGACTCAAGGTCATCTCGACGAGATTGTTCGCGACCGAGGTGGGTGTTGATGGACATATAACGAGCAGTGCCGGATAATGACTTGCGCTCACGGTAAGGAATATGCACCTTGGTTTTCGGATCACGGTAATGCTTCGCCATACCGAAATCTGTGAACATAGTCAGTCAAGTCACCAAGACCTCTCGTGGTGACGTAAAGCCTGACAACTGGCAGGCTTCATCGCCCCGCGTGATCACAGCACCAATCCCAGCATGGTCGTACTCGTATTGCCATGGACTAAAGGGCAGCATCCCTCGGGCGCCATTCGGTATGAAACAAAACTTACCGATGATGTGAATGGTGTTGGCCGTCTTAGTGCCAGGCACTCCAATCAAGAAATTGTCGGGTTTGATGTCGCGGTAAATGAGAGACTTCTCGTGGATGGACTGCACGCGGGTGACCTACAACACAAGAAAGCGGTGAGTGGTAGATCCTAGCCGCAGCCTAAGGGACAAAAAGCAGCGAATATCACAGGGGGCGTTTGTCTCGGCGTATAGACGCTCGGAGCCGAAACGATGAATGTTATGAAACCTAACACGTCGGCACGCATCGCGCGTGTCGCCTCGGTGCGGACGCTCCACCGCATGCCAGGCCGACACACGCCCTCCCCGAGCTATTACATCACGCTGTTAGAAGTAGACTCACCATTTGCTTCGCTGCCATGCATACGGTCTTGATGCTGAACTTCCGACCACACATGTCGAACAGGTCCTCAAGGTTGGGCCCCAGCAAGTCGATGACGAGAACATTGTGCAGACCCTCTTGGCCGAAGTAGTGGACCTGAGGGACGCCGGCTGGTGCACGAGGTCAAATTCACAGCGGCGGGGATATGCGGAAACTACTTACGGGTGCCGTTCAATGTCCTGTAAGACCTGTACTCATCCCGCAGCTGGGGTGCTTCCGACTTGCGTGGTTCCTAGAATAGAAGAGCATATGAGCGACGCTTGAGGTGCTGGGGGAACCACGCCGTTTGACGTACAAACTTGATGGCGACAGGCTGGTTGTTGAGCATATTCGTGCCTTCATAACAGGAGGCGGGTGTCACAGAGAATTTGGAACGCTAAGCGCAAACCGCATACCCTCGAATACAACACCAAATGAGCCCTCGCCGATCTTCTTTCCGACACGGAAGTGATTGCCAACGACGCCATTGGAGGTGCCCGACTGAGAGGAGTGGTGGGCCGAGGAGGAGGCTATTACATGTGGAGTCGTCATGCTGGCGGAGACGACGGAGCGGGGAGGGTAGAAGGGGACTAGCAGGCGAAAGGAGGAGGAGGGGAGAAGGAGAGCCAGGCAGCGAGAGCGGAGCAGACAACAGCGCCCTGGCGAGCGGAGTCTGAACCCGCTCGGCACGCTCCCGCATTTGGCACAGCGCGGCGACGGCCTCCGTCGGCCCGTCCGTCGTTCCCTCCGCTGCCATCCGCTCCGATCCGCAGACGATTGACACTCCTCCAATTGCGTACACGCATCACAGCCCGTTCGCTCCAGACTGCAAGGCTGCGCCTCTTCTGTCGCCTTGCCTCCCGCTGTGGCCCGCCTCTCTCGTTTCATTTGCTTGACAGCCAGGTCTTCGTTGGGACCAGTCGATCACAACACGGGGCGTGCTAAACATTCCCATCACGCCCTGAACATGTCTAGCATCCGAGGACCCCCAGCGAGTAGACTACATTCCATTCCCGTCGAGTACGTGGCTATTCTCACCGGTGCGTTGCGGAGTCTTTGCGAAAAGCAGTACGTTCGATTGACACGCAGAACTTATTAGTACGGGGAGCGGGTGGCGATCGCCACTGATCCGCGCTTCGTACCGCTAGATCTCTGGACATCCGCCGTCTCTGTCCGAACATACTAGTTGCCTGCCAATACAGCCGGGGGCTACAATTCCATTATTCCAACATGCAGGACGTCTTTGGCAATCGCCTTGACACATCCGTAAGTTCATCGAGCTTTTGACCCATATATTTATTCTGGGACGGCTGAATCAAAGGCCCCATTGTAAACCATGCCGCGCTCTCCGACAAAACCCACACCCATTCAATGGGGTGTCCAGACTGTTGGAATGTATTTGTCCCCGGTCAGGTATTTACTGTCTTGGCTATCAAACTCGCATGCTGACATGTGCGATCCCAGGAAGAATATTCCGCATCGAGGCGGCCCTGCAGACCATAGACAATGTGTCGTAACATCCTAAGCTGATAAAGCTGCAAACAGTCGCCCATGCAATGTCTAATCTGCTACGCCGTGGATGCTGACGTGACCGCTTCCGATTCCCCACAGCATGTCGAAGTGCGTGTTTTTCCTTAAACCACATACTTACTCAGCGTACGAAAATCTCTTGCAACCAGGCCCTGTGAACGGTGGCAAGTCCGACTGTCCAGTAAACCCATCAATTCCCCGCTACTAAAGTCTTGACCTTGCCACCGGAGAGGACGACTCGTGCCGTCAGGTATGTACGCGAGTATGTATGGCTGACGAACACGATCGCCGGTGTACGCCCTTGCGTCACCCTGTGTATTTCTGAACCTCGGCAAAAACTGACGACATTGGTAACTCGCTGTATTCATGCCCGACGTTGCTGCGTAATTTGGGCGGGCAAGGCGCCAACCAAACTCGGAGACTTGGGCTGCGGATCTACGACTCCCCCCCCCCCCGAGGGCGTCATTCGGCCACAGTGTGTCCCAGGCCCGATGTACTGCATCATTCCACGCTCGTCAATAACTTTTTTTCCACCGACAACGGTAGTGTGGGATAAATGGGCTTTGCAAGGACATACGCATTGCATACGAAAGCCACCAGTGTCCTCGTTGTCCGACATGTTAATAATCCCCATCACATGACCGCTGCCAAGGCAGCAAACCGCAAGTTGCCTGTTGGTCCGGAAAAGGGCCTCGCCCGTGCATCGCTCCGCCGTGATGTCGCATCGGCGTGAGAGCTGGTGAGAAGTCTGACATACCAAACAGGCCTCGTGCTGAATTCCCCGAGACCGTACCAGTGGTCCGCCACAAGCCGCCGCTGGCATAGCTAGCTGATAGCCCTTGCCCTTGCCCTTTCACGACGGCTACTTTGGCGTAGCGACTGCTAGGCGCGCTAGTTCGTAGTATCCAGTCTCGACAGCGGCATCACGCCGGCGATGGCCGGGGTCTTGTCTGAGGTGCTCATATTGCACGGACGGTGTGGGAATCGAATGTTCAGTGCGCATGACGAACTTACAGAGCCCGGGCGCTTGTCACAGTGTGGTGTATGTCAGACTCACACGGCACGGCAAAAGCTCTCCCGTGAGTACATGCAAGGGCGGGAAATATCCGCAGACACCATGCGTCGAGCGCGTACATGTCGTGCAGGCGGCGAGGCTGGAGCGCTGACCGCTGCTCATCGGATCGGGCGCGCCCGATGCCGCGGGGACAGAGTGTCCATGATCAAGAGCTCAACTGTGGAGGCCCTTCTTTGCGTTACGGCGATACCTTTGCGCAGAAAGTGAGGGCTCGCAGGAAGGACAGCGGGCGAACCTGTGCGGTCATTCACATCGCGCGATGATGACGCCAGATAAGCCAGCCGATACCTCGTGGGGCAAAGTCTATCAAAGGAACGGGCCAGGGCTTCAGCCAGCGGGCTCCCCGGACGCCTTCCGGCTACGACCGCGTAGTCTTCGCTTGGTGGGCTCGCGCTTCTGCTCGCAATTGGTGGCGAGATGCGCGCGGAGAGATTGGGAAGCACTCGGGCGGGCGTGACAGCACAGGCGGCGGCCTGGGTGTGACCGTAACTTGACTAAGTAGCAGATGCGGTGGATCTGAGATCGGGGTGTGCTCACCAATCCTCCTCCCCGCTATTTGTAACCTCCCTCCAACGACGGGCCCGCCTTGTCCGCCCTCGAACCCCTCGCACTTTCTACGCCGTACACACCTCCTCCCCCGCCGCACACCCAGAGCACACTCCCCGCCGCAACCACCAGTCGCCCCCTTCGGCAACGCTACCTGCGCGAACAGCCTGTTCACCAGCACCGTTCGTTTCCCCCGCCCGCCCCGGAGGAGTTCTCTCGCACACATTCATACCGGACAAAGGACCAGAGCCATGATGCATCCTGGTGTAGTCACCCTCGTCGTCATCTCCGACATGGTGCGTCCCATGTTTTGCGTTTTCTTCCTCGCGCGGCGTCCTGCGCGCCCCCCGCCTGCGAAACGGCCGTGGAACTCGGTCCGCTAACGTCGGCGCATGACACACAGGTTTGCCCTTGGTGCTACATCGGCCACCGGGAGCTCAAGAAGGCCCTCGAGGACACCAAGCACGACTGTGCGGACATGACGATCAAGATCGAGCACCGTCCGTTCCTCCTCCACCCGTCCATGGGAGAGGATGAGTTCGTGGAAAAGCTCCCATGGTACTTGGAGAAGTTCGGAGAGGAGAGAGTGGCCCAAATTCAAGACATGGTCGGGACGCGTGCAAAGGAAGTTGGGATCGAGATGTGAGTACCCTCTCTGCCTGTGCCAACCTTCCCGTTCCGTGCAGCCCCTCGGGCATCACTCGGGCACGGAGTGTGATATCATACTCTTTCCTGCTCGCGGGAGCGCATGCTGATGGTTTTTTTTTGGTATACAGCACGTTCGCGGGCATCATGGCCCAGACTATCCGAGCTCACCGCCTGAGTCGCAAAGCTTTCGAGCTTGGCGGTTCTGAGCTGCAGGAGAAGTTCATCGAAAGGATCTTCCACGAATACTTCACCGAATGCAACAACATCGGTGATGTCAACTTCCTCGCAGGTTTGTCAGAGCAGGTAGGCGTAATGCCGAAGGACAAGGCATTGGCCTTCCTCAAATCGGACGAGTACCAGGAGGAGATCCAGCAGATGGCAGCGGAGGCACGCAAGAAGGGCGTAACTGGCGTGCCCTTCACTATCATCAACGGACGGTGGGCCGTAAGCGGCGGCCAATCAGCCGAAACATACGCACAGGTGCGTTTGGAGACGCCGCCGCCGTCTCATGTGCTGACTGTCTTCTTATTCATGCTCAGATCTTCCGGAAGTTGGCCGGCAAGGGACGCTTGCAGCCGATACCCACCGCCCCCAGCTGCAACAACGAACGCAGCGGGAGCCACGCATGCGCAACTAAGTCGTGAGCCCCCGTTCGTGTCGTCCTTCTCCCTTGCACCGGCTCTCCGCCCTCCCTCCCCTCCGATGAGGAACCCTATAACCTCGGCGACCCTCCCTCCCTTCACCGTTGCCTGGTCCTTCCTCCTTTCATTATTACCATCTCGTCGTGGCCCGCTTTCCGTTGCTGTTCGATGCGTTGTTGTACACTATAACTCTTGCAGCTCGGGTATGGTTTATTGGACTACCTTTGCTTTCGTTTGCAGCACGCCCCTTGGGCGCCCGCATTTCACACTGGATCATGAGGGACGAAGCAAGCACGGCGCGAGCGCTTTCCAACTGCAAACTGCGGCTTGCACGGCGATGAGCTAAGGCCAAGCGCATTGACGGGAACCAGATTACGTTTGTGCGCGCTCGATGAGCAGGCGACCAAGTGCTTGCGTCAGGCGACGAACCAAAAGCGTGCGTGGATATCCCGGTGAGCTGGGTGGCCGAGCGGCGAGGTGCCCAGTACTTCGGAGGTGCGCCGTACTGACCGGGCCGGCGTGGAGTGGAAGCACGATCGTGACGTCAGACTCGAGACCCCCAGCGGCAGCACGAAATTAATATCGGTCGACCCCTCCATATAGCCTCGTGTCTCCCCTGCGCACGCCGTTCCCCCCACCCTCTCATCCGCTGTCCGCGTCCATCCGGCGCGCGGTCGCTCTGACGCCTCCTTACCCACCTACTCGTGCCTCCGGACACCCGTCAAAGCCGCTGCGATTCATGCCTCACCCACACCAGCATTGGCTGTACGTATGGACACCGCTCGTCGGTTCCTTCATGTGGTTCGGTGAGCAGCCATCTACGTTCGCGCGTGCGAAGTCCCCGACCCTCACACTGCGCTTCCTACATAGGCACGCTATGGGCGATGCTCATCACCTGGCTCGCGAGCGGGCAGCCCAAGTACCCGTCCCAGGACGGCAGCATCGCCTACATCTCCGACATCGGCGCCGGTATTCTCAAGCCCCTCTTCATCACCGGCTGCGTGATCACCGGCCTGTCCTTCTTCCTCTCGCTCTCCATCGAGCGGTGGCTGCGGCATGAAGGACGGTGCGTGTCACCGTGCTAGCAAGACGATAAGCGTACCTGTACTCATCTCAGCACTCCTTCTCGCCAGATTGCTCCCCAACATGCGCCGACGCGAGAAGGTCCTGGCCAGTTTCGCGATCTTGGGTGCCTTCATAGGAGGATGCGGGCTCATTCTACTGTCGATCTTCGACACGAACCGCTACCCGTCCCTTCACCGTATCTTTTTGCTGGTGTTCATACTCGGGGTGGGCCTCAGCGCCATCTTCACCGTTACAGAAGTAAGTGGATACCCCGCCGATTTTCCCATGCCCGTGCTAATTTGTCCCCCAGTATCGCTGGATCAGCCACGAATTCGACGAGATTCGCAAGCTGAAGATCGCATATGTCGTGAAGGGCTCCATTGCCACCATTCTCATCCTACTCGCGATTGCTTTCGCGGTCACCTTGTTCGTTGCAGTCAATGTCGGAGGTGAGCATACCGTAATGCTCCTGATAGCGGGAAGCTCACGCATGCTTCAGCTGTCTTGGAATGGACGATCGCGTTCGGTTTCACGTTCTTCTTGCTCACATTCTTCTGGGACCTCCGCATGGCAAAAGGCGTCCATCAAGGCGAGCTCTCCCGTCAACGCTTGCTGCGCATGCGGCAGACCGGTGAAACGGGGCTGCCTACGCACGTGGCGAATGATGTAGGGGCCGGCTCAACGTCACGGCGCTGAGCTGGGGTTTGACATGCCACATCCTCCCCCGCATCTTTTCTTGTATTGGACTCACGACCATATCATATACATTTACGTGTAGCCTAGAACCCATGTATCATTATCACCCGAATTGCATTAATAGGAGAACGTACAATTCTGGCGCCGGGACTGGATCGCCATGCGAACTCCTCTCTCTCTGTCGCTCTGGAAGCGCCACACCGAGGCTGCCAGCCCCTATGTAGCCTCCTGCTTGCAACCAATATATCCTCAACGGCTTACCACCAGGAGCCCACCGTTCTGCCCCGACCGCATACTGTGGTCCATGAATCGCCGTGCTCTGCGTCAACATCGACACAAACCGGCTGTGTGGATACCCCTCGTTGGCGCTGTCATTTGGTTCGGTGCGTGCGAAATTGGCGGCGGGAGCTTGCACCTGCATTGACCCGAGGTACCGTGTCCAGCCACCCTCTGGGCATTGTTCATCATCTGGGTCACAAGTGGTCCGCCGAGTTACCCTCAGCAGCGGGGACGGACCGCCTCCATCTCGGACATCGGCGCAAGCAACCTCAAGCCACTCGTCATCGTGTCGTGTGCGATCACGAGCTCGTCGTTCGTCCTGTCGGTCGCTATAGAGAGGTGGCTGCACAATGAGGGCCGGTGAGTGGCAGGAACGCACATATTTGGAGACCGCCGTTCACCTCTTCCCTCAGCCTGATGCCTCACCAACGGCTTCGTGAAAGAGTCCTCGCGTTTTTCGCCATCCTGAGCGCTCTGTGTGGAGGATGTGGGCTCATATTTGCCTCCGTCTTCGACGTCAGGAGCCATTTCTTCATCCACGAAGCGTCCCTGGAAGTGTTCGTGCTGGGAGTGAGTTTCAGCGCTGCCTGTACTGTAGCCGAGGTGAGTTGCTACGTACCATCTGCGAGCGAGAGCACGCGTGACGGCGACCCACCCACCCGTACCCAGTACCGCTGGATCTGGGACAACTTTAGAGAGCACCGACGGCTCAAGAACGTCTACATCACCAAGGGGTGCCTCGCGAGCGCGCTTGTTCTGTTTTCGGTTGGGTTCGCGGTCAGCTTCCACTCCAATCCGGACGCGGCAGGTGAGTCTCCCTCGGTAATAGTGTCCTGACGAAACGACCTGATGCGTTCTCCGTCAGCTGTTCTGCAATGGGCGGCGGCGAGTGTGTTCACGTTCTATCTGCTCACCTTCATTTGGGACTTCCGGGTGTCCGTGGAGGTTGAGAGAGAGTCACCAGTACCGCGCCAGCTCATCCTCACCCAGACCCCGAAGGGATATACCAATGTTGGTGCGATTGAGACGTCTTGCGTCCACTAGTAGTAGAAAGTCCGCGTCCTGGGCATCCGGCATCGCGCATGCACACTGTATATGTTGAGGGTTAATTCATCCATCGCTTAAGGGAGCGGTCTCCTTGGGCTAGCCTTTCGTTGCCTTACAGTCCGGTGGCCGGCTAGAATTTGTGTCGTGGATGAGAGGCAAGAGACGCCGCGCGCCTGTCTCACACCACTCTTGATTCGACTCCACACCTCGAGCGGCCTCCCCTGCTCCTCCTACTTAATAAGTACCCTCGCCCATCCGCGCCCGCCATGTCGCTCGCCCCAGGCAGCCCTCCCCGCACCCCCCGCACACCCCCCTACAGCGCGCACTCCACGCTCGCCCCCGGCTCCGCCCCACAGACCCCCACGCGGGGCGGGGACCCGCACACCGCCTCGCCCCGCCCGCCCGCGTCGCCCATGCGCCGGCCGCTCTCCCAGGTCTCCCTCCGCTCGCCCACGCCCGGCGCACCGCCCTCCACGTCCGCGTCGGGCGCGAGCTCGCTCGTCGCGTCGCGGCGCGGGTCGGGCCACGGGCTCCCGCCGTCCGCGTCGACGTCCGCGCTCGGGCTCGGGCTCGACACCGGGGCCCCGGGCGGGGGCGGGGGCGGGGGCGCGCGGGCAGGGACGCCGGGGACGCCGCAGAAGGCGAGGGCGAGGGATCTGCTGCGGAAGCACTACGGGTTGGGTATGGGGCCGCCGCCGCCGTTGGGGGCGGGGAAGAGCAGCCAGGACCCGATGGACTTTGGTGCGTCTGCGCGTTGATGGGCGTGTTGAGGAGGGGGGAGGGGCACGGGGGCTTACGGGGCTCGCACAGACTCGGTCGTGTTCGACGCGAAGGCGTACTACGAGCAGTTGATCACGACGTCGTCGCTGCCCACACTGATAAAGAAGGAGAACGACCTCTTAACAGGTGCGTGCGTCGGGGATCTTCTGTCAGAGAGGGGGGACTAACGTTTGTTTGTGGGCGGTCAGAGATCAGGCAGCTCGATAGCGAGAGGCAGAGTTTGGTGTACAACCATCACCATGAGCTCATTGCTGCGAGCGATACCATTGCTGCTGTGTGTACCATCCGTGCGTCCGGGGTATCAGGCTAACGTATTCGTATAGATGAAATCCAGAGCTGAGAATCTGGATGCGGACCTTGATCTGCTGCGAGCTGCATTTTCCGAGATTTCTCGTCTGTCTGCGGAGATTGCTATCGAGCACCAGTCCCCCACCGAGCGGCGACCACCACAACCCCATTCGACATCTGACTTATGACCCGACACGACCCTCCTTCATACCAGCATCTCTTTGCCCTGCACACCGCCGTTGGCTAAATCGGACAGCACGTCTCGTGGAACTGTACACTTGTGGAATGTCTACTTTACAGACGGTACGATGCTCTTAATGCTAGAGATCCATCCATCCGAATACCGAGAATGTCCAAGCACTGTCCTCAATTATGCTACAGCAGTGAAATCCATCCGCTCGGCCCCCCTTGGCATGATCAGAGGGCGACAGCGGCCGCACTGGCACGTTTGCTGCCCGGACGCTGTGGTCTAGGCTGAAGAACGTCGTCGACGTAGATGTCGACCTTCTCGTTGTAGAAGGCGAGGCAGCCCTTTATCTCCGCGCACTCGAGTTGCGGGGTGCGGTAGTACCACACCAGATCTTCGAAGCTTTCCCCGGAAGGAAGGTGGATGTTGTAATAGCTCGCGACACCCTAACGTATGATAGGAGGTCAGGAGGGACGGGCAGAGTACACATGCGGGAGCATACCTTATACGGGCACTCCGTGCTGGACGACGAGGGGATGAGCAGCTCCAGCTTGCAGTCCGTCTTCGGGATGTAGTAACGGATCGGGAGGCTCGTCTCGTACAGGATGCGCGGGCGCGTGGTGCTCGCGACCTCGACGCCGTTTACCTCGACCCGGACGCGCCGTGAGGAGTGAAGGACGTCTACGCGCTGGGCACGAAAGTATCTATTTTGAGCACTCTCGGCCGCAGCAGCGGGGGTAGACAGGACCGCCGCGGGAGTGGAGGGCGACGCACCTTGTACGGGTCCTTGGGGTGGACGTATATCTGCTCGTCCTCCTCGAACCAGGCGTCCATCTCGCTGAACTCCAGCTGGATCAAGCCATCGAGCTCGTCGTCGTGGTAAATCGTCGCCGCTGCTTCTGCCCGGCGGTTGCCCACCACGATGTCGTAGAGGTGGTGCTTCTGAGACTGGAAGGCGTCGACGAGGTACTTCTCCTGAACGTCCTTGACCTTGAAGAAGTAGTACGGGTAATAAGGCTTCAGCCAGCTGCAACACAACGAATATCAGCGCATGCTACGACCAGGTAGCATAAACGCCTACACAAGAAGGGCTTCCTGTGTGTCCACAATGTACTCGCCGCCGAAGAGGACACGGACCCTCCTGGGCGAAGGCTCAATGTGCGGCAGAGCGAAAGGAAACGACGCGATTTGAGACATGACAGTGCGTGAAGACCACAGCAAAGCAGAACAACGAGCAGGGTGGCAGGGAAGGCCGGAGGTAAGAGGGTGCCTTGCTGCAGGCACGCTCATAATATACGGCGCGCCTGTGACGCGATCACGTGCAGCCGGTGTCTCGCATGCGTGCTGTGAACAGACTCATGCGCGTCAAGCTTGCCGACTACGCATTGCTCTTTCGCTTGCTCTGCCACCTCCTTCGCCCTTGTCCCTCCCGATCGTCCTTCCCCGATCTCTTAAACACGCATTTTATAGCAACCCTCTGGATGTCCAGGCTTCACGAAGATAATGGATTCGTTGAAGACAGTGAAGGAGAAGAGAGCATACCTCGTCCTCAGGCTCCCCGCCTCGGACTCCCACCCCCACCCCCACTCCCTTTTCCGCAGGCACAAAGAGATGATACAGGTTAGCGTCACGTTTGGATCCTTCATGAATTTCGCCAGAAGAGTGAGGATGGAGTGGGGTGGGGCGAGCTCTGGCCGCTCCCTGACCACCTTGCGCGGTGGCTGTTGGGTGTTGGGCCCGTGCAGCTTATATGCACATGTAAATGGCTACCATCATGGGCGCATATAGCTGCGTTTGGCAGACTCTGTTGCATCTTTAGCCAAGCCGACCCCCGATCCCCGCCTTCATGAGCCAATTGCTGACTTCCTCTACAGTGTCGTCCATTCAGACGGCCGATTTCACTCTGCCTTTTCCGATGAACCATGGCGTACCTCAGCATCTTCAGTCGCCTCAGGCATCAGATGGTAAGCCTGCCCACTATGTTGCCCTTTTACCCCCAATCCAACGTCTTCCTCCAGCCTCATCTATCCAGACTCCCAACTTCACTCTTAATCACCCCCGAATCTCGGACATATCCTCCCTCATCACCCCGGGGCCTAATTTCAGAATCTCTGCGAATATTCTAGATACCTCGATCTCAGAGTTTACCCCTGCACCTCCTCCCGCCAAGCCCAAACCTCGTCCACGTCCAGTCAAACGTGTGAAACCGGACCAAAGCGAGTCCTCTGTCTCATCCCATGCTACCTCCTTTGCCCCACCTCAACCGGGCCACTTGCCGTTTTCCTCTGAGATCATGCCGCCTCCCTTCTTTCCTATCCCCGCGACCGCCTCTTCGTCTGCCTCTACCCGCCCGCCCACTTCCACGCAACCGACTGTTCTGGCAACACCACGAAGCGCAGACAGCGGGATTGATCTCCCCGAGTCGGACATGATGGACATCGCCGAACGAGCGAAGATGCGCGTGCGTTCTCAGGCCAGCGGGAAAGGCGCACCAAATTACGTCGATACCATCGAGCTATCGTCGGACGACGAGCTCTCCTTCCTCCCTATTCCGAAGGCCAAACCTAAGCCGAAGCCGAGGGCCAAAAACAAGAAGACATCTGACGACGAGTCGAGGAGCAAGACCACGGACAAGGGGAAGGGGAAGGATACAAGTAAGCTGCCTGCTGCGGTGAAGCGCACCAAGAAGGCTCGCGTAGTGGAATCCGGGTTTGATTCAGACGTGAACACCGTTCCGGTCCCCACCTCAGACTTTCCAGTTCCTGTCGACGAGCATGAGAGTAGTCGACCCGGCTCGCAGCTCCCCCCATCCGACCCACCACATCCCGGTTCCACCGTCGCCTCCTCCCAGCCTCGCTCTGCCGGTGGAGCTTCGCAGGACCTCCAACTCAAGGGCCCCGCTCCACCAAAGGCCCGGTCATTATCCCCCATGTCATCTCCTCCCCCTATGCCGCGGAAGCGGAAGCAGGCCTATGTGGAGATCACCACAGCCATCGACGCCGATCCGGATGGCTTCGTGCCCGGCCGCAAGAGCCCCGCGAAATCCTCGAAGGATAGTGCTGCCGAGGCCGAGCCCATAGCCCGCCCGTCAACGTCCACCGCAGACATCGTGCCCGAGACGCAGCCGCCCGCCCCAGTTGCGAAGAAGACGACGACGCGGCGGAAACGCAAGGGCGCGGACGAGGACGAGGATTGGGCGAGCGGCGTGCCCGAGAAGCCGGCCAAGAGTAGGCGCAAGTCTCGTCAGGAGGAGGACGACGAGGGTGACTGGGCGGGTGACGCGGCGCCCAAGGCGAAGCAGAAGGGCAAGAAGACGCCGGCCATCAAGCCCAAGGAAGCGAAGACGGGCTCGAAGAAGGGCAGGGGCAAGGCGGGAAAGGACAAGGACATGGAGCACGTTACTGCTATGGACGTTGATAAGGAGCCCCGAGCCGACACTTCTACCGAGCCGCAGGCGCAAGCAGCGCACGAACCTGTTGCTCAGAGTAGCATTCCTTCCCACCGGTCAACCACCTCTAAAGAGAAGGGGAAAGGCAAGCGACGTACCGCCATGTTGTCAGACGACGAAGACGAGAGCGCACACGCGGCCGACATCTCTACCAATACCGTGACTGTCGGAATTTCTTCCTCAGTGTCCGTTCAAAAGTTCAGCGGGCGCCAGTCTGACGCCAAGGTATGTTGGTTTGACGCATTGCACGCCTTTCGTCGTGCTCATATTCTTGTCATAGGAGAACGACGAACCAGAGTCCGAGGCTATGCCTCCTCTCCCCAAACCCAAGCCCCCGGTGACCCCTGCTCCAGCACGCTCTAGCTTCGCGGCCGCCAACCGCGCGTACAGCATCTCGGCGAAGAAATCCACGCCCATGTCCGAGCTCATCCGCCGCATCTCCTCGGCCCCCGGTTCACCGTTCCCCGCCACGACGCGCCCGACCTACTCGCCACTCGCGAAGTCGACGAAGAGCGTCCTGAGGCGCATCGCGCCGCTCCACCCGAACCGCCGCACGCCGCCACCGCCGCCGCCTCGACTCCCGCCGAAGAAGAAGACGCAGAAGATGCTGGATCTGGAGGAGAAGTGGGAGCTGGAGCTGGAGGACACTGTGGAGGGGTGGTACGCGATGTCGGAGGAGGAGCGGGCCGTGCGGCGGAGGCAGAAGCGGGATTATGAGCTGGGGGTCGAGGATTAGGTTGATGTGGTCGGGAGCTGTACGAGTCGAGGTTGAGGTTGTTGTTTGGTGTAATGCTAGTGTAACATTTCGACGCGCACCACGTGGGTGGGCCATCAGCGAGCCCTCGGCTTCACCACCGAGATGGACGTGTTCCTAAGCGTAAGGTACAGGTCCTTGGGTGGCTGCGTTGCCCATGGAGCGAGGGCGAAAAAGCGCGAGCGGATCGCACGCAAACGACACGACAAGTCATACGGGGGCGTCGCAAAATGGTAAACCATCCGTTGCGTAGAGGAAATCAAGTGTACTGAGAGCATCCTGCCAAACGGTGAAGTCGGTGCTGTCGAGTAAGGCAACCCGAGGGCCTATATGCCTCGTCATGTACATGTACTTTCTCAAAAACATCCCTGCTGCCACTCATTACATAAGATCATAGTCCGTCCGTGCGGTCCTCTTTGTGTGCGTAGTCCGGGGTACGATGCTGTCCTAGTATAGCCAACTAGCCAAAAGCCAAAAGCATCCTCGAGGCTAGACGGCTTCCCGGCTGATTGGACGCTCCACATCGATGTTCGCAGGCGCGCCTTCGGCGATTGTCATTGGGTTCAGGATATCCGACTGTGCAGACCTGCAGGGCGCTGGACACAAACCACATGGGGAGGAGACGGCGGAACAGGGCAGAGGGCTTCGGACGGCCGGGGCCTGAGGCCTAAGCGTTTGCGCCGGTTCTCCGCTACGCCCCATGCCAGCTGGAGCGTCCGCGAGTACCCTTGCGGGATGTGGAATGGGCAGATTTCACGCGCGTTATTTCACGACAGCAATGTTATTCCGACAACTAATAGAGACGACAGCGAAGCGACGACGACGACGACGACATGGAGAGCATAGAGTTTACAAAGCAGCGCCAACCCGTACAACCCGTCTCGATCCGGAAGCAACCTTGAAAGCGCGATGCACCCGCAGCGCGCGCCGACAGCCCAAAATACAAACCGTGTGTGCTGGAGACACGATGGTCATCCGCAGTGCGCACCATATCCATATGTGCGAGGCTGTAGGGGGTCGGCGCCATGAGCGAACCAACGTCGGCGGGGGCGACAAGCGGGGGACGACAGTACCATAGCAGGGGGGCACTCGCCTGGGTGGACCCGGTCCTGCGGAGCTCATTGGCTCCGCCTGTCGTGGTCGGGAGTGGAGGGGCGCCCGCCTTTATTGTCGCGCGACGACCCCTCCACGAAATCCGGGAGCGAATCCACGCTGCCCGTCGTGCTCGGCGTCGACGCCGTCCTCCAGCCCGGACTATAGCCGGAGGCTGTGATATGGTGGATGCCGGGCAGGCTGGGCGCGTTTTGCGGGCCGTGGGGCGGGGGTGGAAGATCGTGCGCCATGCCAATCAGCACGGGCAGCGTATGTCCATGTCCCCGAGAAGACCCCGTGCCGGTGGCGAATGGGCCGGTTCCGGCGTGGGCGTGATGACGCGCTTGGGAAGTTGGCGCAACGGGATACGGAAGTGGGTTGAACGGTCTCGCGTCAGACGATAGCTGACCGAGGGGAGCGTGCGGCTGCCACTGATGCGTGGCAGAAGACTGCGCGAACATGCCGGCTCCACTGAGGGAGTGGTGGGCAACGAGATCGCCAGGCTGCCGCCTGCGCCCGACCGCAGTGAGGCCCTGGTCATATGGAAGGTAAGGTGAGCTGCGCAGTCGAGAGGCAACATGTGAGTCGGAACGACTCCTCGGAAGACCAACTCGGTGGCCAACGTCGCGGTGAGAGCGCGGCGGAGAGTCGAAAGGAGTCGGGGGGTCGTAAGGGGTCGGGGGATCGTAAGGGGTCAGAGGTGTGGCGGCTTCGGGCTCGTCGGAATCGAACTCGGAGTTGGACTCTTCCTCAACCTTGGGTGCCTTCTTGCTGGGTGCCTGGTCCTTGCGTGCGCGCCGACTCCTTGTCGGTCGCTTGTTCCGCTTACGAGGGCGGTTGGTGCCCATCCCCCGACTGTAGTCGACAGTCCAGTAGCTTCCCTTGCCGCTCTCCGTGATTGGCTTGGGGATGCGGCGGAAGAATATGTACAGAGACAAGTTGTGACGGATGGAGTTCTAGGGGCACGATTCAAACGCCATCGTGCGTCCCAACCAAGGGACCCACTTACCTGCCACGACCGCTGGTGCGCGTTGTCGCGGAACCACTCGAACCGGTTCTTGAGCGCCTTATATATACCTTGTAAGGTGAGCTTGCGGTCCGGGCTTCCTAGGATTGCGAGTTGCGAAAGGATCGGGATCGGGTGGGTGGGACGGACGCCGGGCGGAGGGTCGTCGAGCGCATCGAGGCTCAGCGGCTGGTCTTCGGTGAGGCCGAGGTTGCGCCGGATCTCCTCGTCGGAGTTGGCGAAGCGGGCGGGACTGTCCATTCGGCGCCGGAAGCTCAAGCGCCTATCTTCTTCGGTGTACTCCTGTGACGGTGAGAGCTCGATTCGCGTTTGACCGGGAATGATCGAGGAGTGGCTGCGGGGGTACGTAGGGTCGTAGGGCATCATGCCCATTTGAGGATGGTCCGGGGGCGAGTACGTCATCCTGCTGCGCATGTCGGGGAACGAGTGCGACATCTGGCCGTACTGGGGCGTGTAGGGGTGGAAGGGGGGCGACCGGGGAAGCGAGTACTGGGAGCCGTGGTAGAGAGGATCGAGAGGAGGCCGTACTTGAGTCATGTCTACGGCGCGGTAGCGTTCGTCGAAGCCGAGAGGCTGTTCTACGAAAGGCCGCTGGTAGGGCGCCGGGTCTAGAAAGCGCGGCCCAGGGTCCAGAAAGCGCTGCCCAAAGTCCGGAGGGCTTCGACTAGGCTGTTCGAACAGGCTCAAGCCAGTCAACGGGTCCAGCTGATCCGGAGGGGGAAAGCGAGGGCGCGCGTCTGCAGGCTCGGAGAAGCTCCCCACACTGCTGCTACCACTACTGTGAGGGATGGCGGGAGTCTGGGGGAGCGTCATCAGATAAGGAAGCGCCCGGAAGATTTGGCGGGCACGGGGCGCGCGCACCTGGGGCAGCCCCACCGGCGGGGACATGGGGGGCCGGTCGCAGGGGATCCATGCTGGGAGAGGCTGGGGTCTGAGGAGGGCGGGAAGGCGGCGGGGGAGTAGACAGACGACGCGGATGGCGAGTTGGAGGCCCTGAGCGCAGTGTCGAACGGGCCCGCAGAGTATTCGACGCGATTGTGGGCAAAGAGGGGCGCACCGATGTCCCATTGCGGACCGATCGGAAGGCCGAGGCCGGTTTGAGAGTCCACAAGAGGGGGGAAAGGGAAGGAGGGTGAACCGCCACCCAGTCCGTGGGCGACAGCGGGAGCATCGAAGCTATCCGGATACCGAGCGGTAGGCGACAGCGACGCGACCGAGGAGGCGGCTGAGGACGAGGGGAAGCGCTCCAGGCTATCGTCGGAGGACATGATCGAGAGCGGGAGGGACGACAGGGGGCGGAAGGGCGACGACGAGGGCGAGCCGGGGGAGAGGTGGGGGGTGCAGGAGAGGCGGAAGAGGGTGCGCGGGGAGGCCGCCATCTAGAGAGAAAGAGAGGCCTGCGGCTCGACGGAGGCATAACAGCTCGACGTTGCACCAGTGGACATCTGTAGGTGCAGCCGCCCATTTCTTCCCGCGGCGGGCGCCCCTTTCGCCACCTCCTCCGTCCGATCCGACGACACACCCGCCACGTAATCTCGCCCTCTGTTGACGAGCCGAGGCCCATGCATGGCTACAAGACGGCCACAACGCTCTATCCCGCTCTATGCACATGTGTGTCCCCGCTATTTACCGACTTCCCGCGTCGCGCCGGGCCCTGCTCCTCCCTCAGCGCCCGCAACATCCCCACCACCGCTCGCGCCGCCACCACATCGTCGAGCTCGTAAAACGCGTTGATGAACGCCTTGTACATCGGCTCCACGTCCCGCCGCGCATCCAATGGCCGCGCGACCCGGGGAAACGCGAAGCCGTCGAGGCGGAGCGTCCCATCCGCGAGGCCAGAGCCCACGCTGCCGAACGGCACGAGGTCAGCCGCGCTGCTCCCACCCCTCCTCTCGCCCAACTCCGTGGCCTCGCCCCAAACCCCGCGATCGGCCTCGCGCCCGCCCCCAATTCCCTCGTCCTTCCCGTCTCCCCGGCCGTCGCAGGAGCCGGGCGAATATCCCGCGCGAACGAGGTCATCAAAGAGCCGGCGCGCCTTCCCTGCGTCCATCCCAGGCCGCGCGCGGAGGTGTGCCGTAAGGAGGATGGTCACGGTGGTGTGGTCGGGAGCGAAGCCGCTCGTTTCGCTGAGCTCTTCGTAGCTTCTGATCACCCCGCGGAGCTGCTGGCTGCGGGAGGCGCCTGGCGCACGGTGCCCGCGGAGGATGGCGTTGCCCATCATCGTGCGCGCAACCGGGTCCGACTGCGCTTGGACCGCCCGATACAGTCGTCTCGCCGCCCGTACCCGGCGCGCCCTGGTGAGAATCGTGATGGCGTGCACCCACACTTGCGGGTTGTCCGAGCCCGCGGCGAGACGCTGGATGGCGAACGTATCAACCGCTCGGGGAGAGAAGGCCCGGAACTTGGCCATGGCCGCGACTTGAAGTCCAGGAGGCAGAGAAGACGCTTTCAGATGAGAACGCCTGACCAGCGCCGACGCCATGCGGCTGGCACCTTTGCGAACGAATCCTAAAAGCGCGATCTCCGTCCACCGCGGCCCCATATCCGGAATCGCCGACGTACACATGTGTAGGGTATCTCGAGCGAGGCGAAACTGTCCCGAGCGGCTCAGAGCGTGCAGAAGGCGGCTGTAGAAGGAGGGGGGAAATGCTTTGGCGTCGTGTCCGAGGATGGATTGAACTATTTTGGCGACCTCGGCGGAGTGCTGGTGACGTACAAGAGCCAGGAGCGTCGCTTGCAGGACAGGAAGAAACGACGCAGGCTGATCAGGACCGTCGAGGAGGGGGAGCGACTGCCACATGGCCTCGATCACTTTCCCGGGCCGAAGGAAGCGAGGGCCATATTGAACGAACATGCGGAGATGGGCGGATATGACGAGGGAACGTGTCTGCGGGGTGAGGCAACGATACTCGAGGTATCGATCCAAGAAATCGCTTATGCCACTTTGAGCGACGGCGATCCCGACGGTACGGAGAACGAGGTCGCTGGGGACGATACCGCGTGCACTGGACATGGCCACGAGCTCCTGGGCTTGTTCAACGTTCCTCTTGACGAATCGAAGGATGGTCGTGTCGACCGCGTGCCGCAGACTGCTCAGTCGATCTGTGGATACCATGAGGTCCACAAGTGCTCGCTCGAAAAACGTTCCGCAGGTCAGCGACGCATAAAGTTGTTCCGCAGTCAGTGTACGCAATCCAGCGCTCGAGGTAGGGTCAGGGAGCTTCGCTTCCCACAGGTCTGCTGAGACACAGAACTCCCGGCAAGCCTCCACCAAGGATCGATCTCCAAGCGACGCCGCGCATTTGAAGAAAGAGGCGGAGATGAGTCGGGGAACGAGGAGAGGTTGATCAGGGAACGCCGAAGGACATGTTGTCGTCCATTTGCGCCAGTAGTTGCGAAGGACGATCGACCAGTCGTGGGACAGACTTTGCGAGAACGACTCATCATCTTCCTTGGCTGCGGTGGCACTTTCTGCAAGCGCCAAGCCGCAGATGGTTTGCCATTCCACTATAGCCGCTTGGGTGAGGCCGTCAGGCGAAGACGCCGGGGTGAGGCCGTCCAACCGCACCGGCCCATGACGAGCCAAGGCGAACAGCAGGAGACAATTCCAACGGAGGTCGAAGTTGTCCCCTTGCGGCCCGAAGAGACGACGAACGAGACTTGATGCCCAATGGCCTAGTTGATGGTCGTGATGAGGGGTGAGACTGAAGAGTGCATCTTGGAGAGCAATCAGCAGGACCGTGGATGGGTGTTGGGACGAGGGAGGGCTGTCCTCAAAAGAGCCGTGAGAGGGTACCGTTTCGGCGCGACTAAGAGTCTGAGCATTGACTCTATCGACGACAGCCTGCACGATGGCGCGCTTGGACGCGACCGGAAGGGCACTTTGGAACTGGAGGAGCGCGCGGAGTAGTGTATCCACAACCTGGCCTTCACAAGGGCTGTCGCGGGCGAGAGTTTGCGACCAGTGGACTACGAAGGCGCCTTTTGTCTCCTCAAGTAGATGCGTGTCCGGCTGGCTCAGCACTCCATGGCGAGAGAGGGCTCGAAGATGTTTGATCGCCGAAGCAAGCGCATCCTGAGTGGTTTTAGAGCCTCGAACGACGTTAAAATCCAAGCATATATACACGAGACCAGCACACTCACCATTTTGCGAGGGGTCCCGAAACCGCGCCAAACTACGACGGAAGAGCCAGTAATGATCTGAAGCAGTAAGAGTGTGTCCGAGCCAGGATTTGTGCACGCTGATCCGTTTCACCATATCCCAGTGAGACGAAGGTGGATTCGGGGAGAACTGGGTAGCTTTCGGGTGTGCGAAGGAATTATCGAGCCGGCCACGCTGAGTGGTGGATAGTGTGCCGAAGAGACTGATGAGACGGGAGAAGTCCTCGGCCGTCAAGTTAGAAAGTAGACGCTGCGAGGCCCACAGGCTGTAGCGATGGCGGATCTTGCGTGCCGTGTAAGAATAGGATACTTGGGCGGGGGAAAGGAAAGCACGGAGTTTCGCCATGGAGTGGATGTGTCGCGGAAGTTCGTTGTGTCGCGGTACTTCATCGGGGGGGAGGACGGGTGATAAAGTGGCTGCATGTGATGTGACCTGCGTTGTAGCTGAGGAAGCTGCTTCATAGTCCATTGAATACCTTGGTAATGGGTCGCGAAACGTCGAGTACCGAGAGGTGGCCGTCCACACACTCAAGGAGCACTGGTCACGAGACAGGGTCTTGTCATAGTATCTATGGATTGCATTGAATGCATGGTAGCACCAAGGAGTAATTTGCGACGCACCTGAAGGCCCAGGAAACACCACGGCAGCCGTCCGCGGGACGGACGGTCTGCAGAACACATCGCCACATTCCATTGCATATGGATCGCAGAACTCGACGCGTCGTGCCGTACGCGACAACCAGGACGATGGCTCCCACGCAGACACCGAGGAGACAGAGGAGAGGGTGAGGATACAAGAGCAGGGCGCGTTCAGGATCACGCTCGAAGCCAGCAGACACACCTCAAGAAGCACGTGAGGTAACCGTGACAGTAGGTAACAACATACACGTGATTAAGAGTGACCATGGCCGCTCCGAAAGTCTCGGACTCGGGCATTGCCGACATATAAACTTAAATCGAGCAACTGTACGCCACCCGCCCGCGTCCACAGAACGCGCCGTGCGCCGGCGACGACTCCTACATCTTGACCAGCTGCCTTGAAAAATCCTTTGACACGCAGGTCGGTGCTCATCGTCAGTAGGCATGAAGGTGTCGCTAATCTCAAAGTAGAGGTCAATTGGGAGGCCCTGATCATCCCCTAATCCCCCCCGAGTCCAACACTACACCATCACAATGGGTGCTACTCGTGCGCAAAAGGAGCTGTACTTCGTCAAGCTCAAGGAGCTTGTCGTCAAGTACCGTAAGTAGCGTACATTTCCCCCGATGCCCACATATTGAGATGTAGCCAACAGCTTCCTTGTTCATCGTCAACGTCGACAACGTCGGTTCCAACCAGATGCACCAGATTCGTGTCTCTCTCCGTGGCAAGGGTGTTGTTGTTATGGGCAAGAACACGATGGTTCGCCGCGCTCTCCGTACTATCCTCGGCGAGTACCCCACTCTCGAGCGTCTCCTTCCCCACGTCAAGGGCAACATTGGGTTCGTCTTCACCTCTGGTGACCTCAAGGATATCCGTGAGATCATCACCGCCAACAAGGTCGCTGCGCCCGCTCGTGCAGGCGCTCTTGCCCCCAAGGATGTTACTATCCCCGCTGGCAACACTGGCATGGAGCCCGGCAAGACGTCCTTCTTCCAGGCCCTCGGTATCCCGACCAAAATCGCTCGTGGTACCATCGAAATCGTCTCCGATGTCCAGGTTGTCACCGGGGGCACTCGCGTCGGCCCCTCCGAAGCAACCCTGCTCAACATGCTCAACATCTCGCCATTCACGTACGGTATGACCGTTATCCAGATCTTCGACCAGGGCAACATCTTCTCGCCGGATGTCCTCGATGTTTCTGAGAAGGAGCTCCTTGAGCGCTTCACCAAGGGTATCACCACCATTGCGGCCCTCTCCCTTGCTCTCCACTACCCCACCATCGTTTCCGTCATGCACTCCCTTGTTAACTCGTACAAGAATCTCATCGCCGTTGCGCTTGCGACCGAGTACACGTTTGAGGGTGCGGAGAAGGTAAGCGTCCACTTCTTTCGCCTACCAATGACTGTTCACATACACTGAAAATGCTGAGCGTCCTATGGACTCGTGCTGTCTTCTTTTCCGCTTATTGTCTGAGGATACTCCTCTCTAACATTTACGAACCTCACTAACAATTTCCTTTTTGTAGGCCAAGGAGTACCTCGCCAACCCCGAGGCATTCGCGGCCGCTGCCCCTGCGGCCGCTGCGGATGCGGCTCCCGCTGCTGCCGAGGAGGCTGCTCCCGACAAGCAGGAGGAGGCGGAGGAGTCCGACGAGGACATGGTGAGTCCTCACAAGTAGACGTGAATCACATTAGCTAACATTTACCCTCCAGGGCTTCGGTCTCTTCGACTAAAGGACCTGCGCAACTGCCTTCTGATGTCGCATCGTTTCGTGTCCAACTGTCAAAATTACTTTACGATACTGTCGTGTACATCAGCTGTGTCGCTAGCATCTCACGAATATCGATACGTTCAGCCCATCACTGATTGTTATACACACAGTCATGATTCAGGCATGTTGGAGTCTATCCAAACGCGTACGTAACCTCAGTGTCGCGAAGCGACCGATGGGATGTCGTCCAGTGTACTGTGAGCAGACTTGCCAACACTGCTTGGAGGGCTTCCTGTTTGACATGCCGGTCTTGATCAGGTACACAACACCAATGACAGCAGCACCTTGCAAGGGGCCATCGACAAAAGTCATGTAAGTCCGTGCGTCAGTACACCCCTTGAAATCACTGAGGGATCGCAGCACACGTCCCTGAATGATAGGACCTGTTTCTTAGCGTAGGCGCCTTCGATCCTTACATGACTCATGGAATTTAGGGCAGGAATATAAGCCACCACAACAGGCCGATAGCAGCATTCCCCGGCATCTCTGAAGCTTAAGACACGATGGACCCCGAGTTCGCCGCAGCCGTTGAAGCCACGAAGGCCAACGCTCACCCCGCCCCAGCTGGCATCCCTACCCCTGCGCAGATTAGGGCGTTATACGACTCGGCGTGTACCGTGGACCATGCGGCATTTCACGAGAAATTATTGCCCCAAGGTGAGGCTAGGTACTGCTGTTTACCGCTACCTCAGCTGATCAAAGAGCATCTCTCCCGCAGACTCTGCATACACTCTGCGGGACAACGTGGTCGCCGTAGAAGGTGGTGAGGTTCTTGTCCGGTGCATCACACCTGCCTCCGAGGGTGGACAGGTGATGTTTCCTCTGTACTTCAACATGCACGGGGGAGGTGCGTATTTCTTCGCGTGCCACCTTCGTTCAAATGTTCACAGTTTATGTCTCGTAGGTGGATGCGTCGGGTCCATCACCAACGACGACTTCATGCTCCGCCGTCTGAGCGGTGATTTCCGTATGGTCACCGTTAATGTGGAGTACCGGTAAGCCCCTATCTCTCGCGAATCGCGCAACATCTGAAGTCTTGACGCTCTGCCAGCCTTGCTCCTAAACACAAATTCCCGATTGGTTTCAGTGACTGCTTCGCTGCGCTCAAATGGGTAAGTACTCCTGCTGCTCTCATTGATGCCAGGACTGAACCCCGCATTCTTCAGGTGGTGGTAAACGCCCCATCCATCGGCGCCGACCTTTCAAAGGGCTTCCTCATCGGCGGTCACTCTGCGGGTGCCCGGACCGCCGCCTGCCTCGCGCACGAAGCCCGCGACGACCCTTTCTTCAAGGACACCACGCTTACAGGACAGCTCCTGCGCGATCCCGCGGTGATCGTCTCTCCGAGCGTCCTTCCCGAGAAGTACGTGATGAGCCTGTCGCTGCTACTAGATGCACGGCTGACTGCATTTCGGATCCTATGTAGGTACAAGCCGGTGTACAAGTCGTTTGAGGAGAACGCGATGAACCCGCCCCTGTCTCGCCCGGTCATCGAGAACCTGAGACGTAAAGCCCTTTCCATGCTCGAGTTTCAGGGAGCAGTTGACTGACAAGTGCTCTGCAGGCATGTACAACAGCCCTGGAGACGAGCACGATCCGCGTGCCGGGGCGCTGCTCTATCCGTCTCACGAGGGACTCCCGCCGGCATATATCCAGTGCATGGGCGTGGACATCCTTCGGGACGACTCCATCATTTACGAGATGGCATTGAGGGAGGCCGGTGTGAAGACCCATCTTACCCTGTGCGTGCCCATCGCAGATTGCTTCTCAGAAGAAATGTGCTGACCGAGATCCAGGATCCCTGGGGTCGGCCACGGATTCTACTACAACTACCCCCACATCTCGCTGGCAGAGAAAGCGAGAGAAGACATGCGGAATGGCTTCAAGTGGCTGCTCGGGCGCGACGGCGCGTAATGATGCTGGAACGGACGGACACTTGGTCTTCAATTGCGACTGCGCCCATACTGTAATACTACCACAACTCCCCACTCATATAACGACCTGTCTTTTTATCCTGTCCACGCAATGTTGTCCAACGCCTTACGCCTCGAGCTATCCCCACGTGGTCATGAGAAGACATGAAAGCAAGCGTGTGCCCGCCATCGACAGCCTGCGAAATGCCTCGCGCATCACCCAGCCAGTGTCCTCTGCACAAAACGCCCACCGACCCCCGTCTCGCGCCTTCCTACCGGCCCTCCATGTGCACCGACACCGACGTCCTCGAACCGGAAGAGTGCTCGGTCACATTCCACCCCCCGCTGCACCTCCAGCGGCAGGGCTGGGTCCTAGACATCATGCGGCGCGAGGGCATCCGCGAGGCGAGTCTATCCATGCGCGCTCAGGGCACCACAGCTGCAGTCGAATGCTCATCGACACCCTCCCGTCCCCGCTCCCCTATAGGTGATCGACGTCGGATGCGGCGAAGGCGAGCTCCTCTCGTGCTTGCGAAACCCCGCGCCGTGGCTCGCGCCAGCGGACGCACGCGCAGACCCTGGAGAAAGGGCAGTGGGAGAGGCAGGCGCGCTGGCTGCCGCAGCACTCGCCGACGTCCATCGCGACATCCTCCACCCCGTGCGGATCGCGGGGCTCGACGTCGGCCGCGCGGAGGTCGAGTCCGTCGCGGAGATCGCGGCCCCGCCGCCGCCCGAGGACGAAGGCGCATCGTTGCGGGCGTACGGCGCGCCCGTCCGCTGGGAGCCGCTCTCATTCGAGGTCTGGCAAGGGAGCCTGGCGGACGTGAACCCGGCGTTCGTAGGCGTGGAGTGCATCGTCGCCACCGAGGTGTGAGTGTCCTTTGTCCTGCGTCTTGTCCTTCGCCTCCCGTCTCCGTGCCCCCCGTCCCCCGCCATCACTGACCGCCCGCTCGTCGCAGCATCGAACACCTCCCCGACCCAATCCTCGCCCGCTTCGCGCCCGTCCTCTTCGGAGCCTACCACCCCCGCCTCGTCCTCCTCACCACGCCCTCCTACACCTTCAACGCGCGCTTCCTTCCACCCGACGCCCCCATCTCCGCCCGCCGCGGCTGGCCAGACCCCACCGGCCGCACTGCGCGCGTCTTCCGCCATCCGGACCACAAGTTCGAGTGGACGCGCGAGGAGTGGGCGGCGTGGTGCGCCGCAGCCGCTGAGGAGTGGGGGTACACGCTCGAGCCCGGAGGCGTTGGCCGCGCGCACGAAAAGGACGAGTGGGGCCGGGACGACATTCTTGGCTGGGCGAGCCAGACGGCAGCCTTTGTGCGGCGGGAGGGTGCGCGGTGGGCGCAGCTGCGGGCGGAACGGTGGCGGGCGGTGGCGGGGGAGGGCGAACTGGGACCAACAGAGGTCACGACCGCGCACCGGCTGGTCGCCTCCCACGAGCACCCCGCGCACCCCGCGGCCGGCGCCCCTCTGGTCGTGGACGCCATTGGAGAGCTCGTCGTCGCGAGAATGGCGGACCTTCGGGAGACGGAGACGCCGCTGCTGAGCATGTGGTTCGTGCGCGAGGTCGAGCTGGCGTGCGGCGGCCGCTTCGAGCGGCTGCTCGGCGCCGTGCGTGCCCAGGGCGGGCTCGCGCTGGCGAAGCTGGAGAAGGACCGGGCGACGATGGGGACCAACGACGAGTGGGTCGTCCGCCTCGACCCCGCCTTGCACCATCTTCTGCGCCCAAGGGAGGAGCCTGACAGGGATCCGTGGGCGTCGCCGACAGACTTGGACTGTGTCACCGACTCCTGGGAGCCTTCGGACCCTTCCGACGAGGAGGACGGGGGCTGGGACGAACAAGCTGAGGACGTCGTGGTGCGGGAAACGGGCGACGTCGAGGAGCCGAGCTGGGGAGACTCGGCCGATACTTGGGGCTCCTCGACGAGTGGTTGGAGTGATTCGGTGTGCTGGGGAGGACCCGCGGGGGACGCATGGGGCAGGCCAGACATAGAGGACGAGAGCACTCTGGATGTATGTATGTTTTCCCGCGATATGGTCTTCAAAACTGAAGATCATGGCACACAGTTTCCCGCCGCGGTGGTAGCGTGACGCGACGAAATCACAGCATGTCCTAAGCAGGATACAACACAACCTGTCTGCTCGTGGATTACACTACCGAGGCCGATAGGCAAGTAAAGCGCAGATTTGATCGCATGTTAAACGGACCCCGCCCCCTACAGACCGCAGTATGTCGGAGGTGACCGAACAAACCGGAACAATGTCTCATCCCCTTTCCCGTCCCCAGGTTGGTCACGCATGAAGGACACCCATGCGGAAATGCCAGAATCCTCACGCGAGCGCCGCGCATGCCGCCGGCGCGGAAACGTCCTCGGATACTGAAAGCCGCGCATCGACATCTTCAGCGCGTTCTATGAGTCCTTCTTGGCCGAAGGCCACAACCGGAGTGGAAGCGATCCCTGCCCTCGGGCATACGCCGGGCGCGACGGTGATGGGCCCAAGCTGCGGCGGATGAGGAAGGCGATGAGGCACCCGATGTGCGAGTATGGGGAAGTGATCAGGGGACCGCGGTCGACAGAGGTCTGCCGGCCAGAGGACGTTTGCGATGGGTTCGCTGACTGGCCCCAAACGACTTGCCCATCTGCGCAACGTTCGAAAGTCGTCGTGGATCGTCCGCTTTGTACCAGAGAAGGTTTGCTCTGCGTAGACGAATGAATGGTCATGTTGAGGTTTCGCGGCTGTCGTTGGATGCACGCCTTAAAAGGCGCAAGGCAAGCTTTATACCTCGATAGGCGACAAAAACAGCAGAGCAGATGACAATACAACAGATCGCATGAGAGTAGCAATATGACATACACGCATCATCAGATGCAGACCCTCATGCAAAATGTATGCCTGCGTCATGGAACGCCGACAGCAGTCTGACGGGATGATGTTGAGCACGAGAAGAAGGTAAGACAGGCAAGTACTCACTTTAGGAGATCGTTGATGTCCATTTTCGCCGCTCGACTCTCCGAGAACCCGGCCTCTTCCAGCACATCCTCAACCTTCTTCTTGAAGTCCACTCCATCTTCAACAATCTGGGGGTAGCACAGGTAAGAAACCGGCTACGAACGGCATCGGGCGACGTACCGCATTGTTGACCGAGGCCCACGTCTTCCAGTTGCTCTCCAGCATCTCCATCACGCCCTTCGCCTGGAAGTTCGCATGCACGACCTTATTCCGCCGCCCGAACACGATCCGCCCCAGCCCGTCGAACTCCGCGAACTCCACCGGGGGCGGCGGGTCGCGCGGCACGACGCGGACGACGCTGCTCTCGACCTTGGGCGGCGGCCGGAAGTTATTCTTGCTGACGTTCATGACGAGGTCGACCTTGGCGTACAGCTGCACGTTCGCGGACAGGCGCGACCAGAGCGCGGAGCCGGGGACCGCGACGAGCCGCGTCGCGAACTCGCGCTGGAACATCAGCACCGCGACGCGGAAGAGCGGCCGGTGCGAGAGCAGGCGGAAGACGAGCGGGGAGGAGATCTGGTAGGGCGTGTTCGAGATGCAGACGTCGAAGTAGGGGAGCGTGGCCTTGACGAAGTCACCGATCATGATCTCGAGCTTACGCTGCTCCGGCCTGGGCGGGAGGAGGCATGAATTTCAGTACGGAGGACGCGGACAGATGAGGGACGGGGGACTCACTTGCCCTGCACTCGCTTCGTCAACTCGGCCGCCATGCGGGGGTCCATCTCCACCGCGGTGACATGCTTCGCCTTCTCGAGGATGCGCACCGTCAGGTTGCCGGTACCAGGACCGACTTCCAGCACCTTGTCCGTCGGGCGTAGGTTCGCCTAGATGAACTGTAGTCAGAACTCAGACGGTGTTGTTCGCGGCGCGAGTATGCATGGGATCTTACTAAGTCTACGATGCTGCAGAGGGACGTTGAGCTCGGTAGAAACAGGATTTAAGCGATGATCACGCACGATTGAGCTGTTTGCGGGTTCTTGAGGATATGCTGGCCGAACCGTTCTGTGTTGAAGATGGGATTCCGGGTCGCAGAGGAAGGCCCCGCCTCCGCGTTTGATGATTTTGCTTTTGCGGAGGGCTGGTGCGCCCGGGTGAACCGGTCTGAAGTCGCGCGGGGCATGACAAAGAGACGGGGATGTGATGGGTGTGACGAAGGGTAGGAGCAAGGGGGCAGGCGGCGCGGTAAGACAGTGCAGGGTCAGGGAGCAGGCCAAAGTTTTGCGATTTGCCTCTCCGATCCGATCGGGACTCCCCCCACGTACTGTATGTCGATGGTTCGACACGGTGACTACGAGGATCTATGATCACAGTCACTAGAGCTCAAAGGACCATGGCGCAGCTCCAAGAACAACTCCGTGTCGTACATCTCTGGTCTCAACGACACTCAGGTATTCGCGCCTGTCGTGTTTACAGATCCCGCAATGGGGACAACAATTCGATTTTCGTATACACAAGATCGAGCCCGAGATTAGTGTACAACAAAAACTACTGTGTACCAAGGTCCGACTCGGGGTTACCCATAGCGAGCTACAGACTACGGCGAAAACGTTTGCTAGAAACTGGACAGTGCAGGTTGCGGACTTGGCACAACTGTACTGCGCGCCGTAGTGCGCGTTTCTTGGATGGGACTGGCTTCCCATGGGACCTTTTCGATGTGAAACTGTGCGACGGTGCTCAAAATCTGCGCAGTGGGAGGATATGCTTTCACTCACGTTTAACTTCGTAAGCGTCCCGTCTCGACACTTTCTCATGTACTGCTCTCTAGCTCAGCATCTTTCTGACCAGTATCTCAAACTCGGGCGCAAACAACCTTATCTTGAGGCTGCATTGGGGGACCTTCGTGCGCGCCGACTTTCGCGGGACTGTGGCAGGACAAGATGGATCAGCCTCGCGCACTCGTCATTCCACCACTTCTACTTACACAGGAAGTAGGCCACCTCGGGGTCCGTCATCCAATATCTCTCCTTCATCCAGAGCCTTGAGCCGTTGGCGGAATAATTAAGGATGCTCCATCCGGACCTGACGCTGCAGCGATGCCAGTAAGCGTTGGGGAACAGATAGGCGGGTGCAGGTGGGAGAGGACCTGCGGGCGGAGGTAGTTAAACCCGAGGAAAAAGTGGGCGCAATTCTATGCGTATCTTGCGGGTGCTCAAGACTCACCTCGAGGGGTGTCTCAATTCTAAGTCTGCGATGCACCGTAAAGTGTTGAATCCACAATGCACATCTACCCTTCAACCACAAGAACTTTGGGATTACCAATAACGGGAGAGGGGGGTTCCGAATCAAGAGTCGACTTAGAGAAACTGCGCGCATACATATCCTCACCTTCTCGTACACCGTTCCCCGCAGATGCAAGCATACCCCACACGTGCGCCCAGCTGAATCGGTCCGAAAGCAGATGCAATAAGGGATATAAACACGGGCGAACGCGCCGCGCCGTGCGTGCGGTAGGATACAAGTACTGTCCTGCCCGCAACGCCCAGTCAGCACTTCCTTCAGCGCCCCACAGACAACTCGCACCACGCACCAAAAAGCAGAACGGCAACCTGCCGCTCACCCCTCCAACACCGACCGCCTCGGACCTGGAGCCGCCGCGGGCGAACGGTGAGCCTCAGCGAAGGTGGCAGCGCATGCCCGGCAGAGTGACAGAGACTCACTCTCCAGTGGGTGCACCTGCGCCAGGTACGTGACCGACCACATGAGGTAGCAGCAGGCGAGCGTGAGCATCAGGCTCGTCCGGATGAGGCTGCAAAGGGTGTATGTGTATGGGATGGGTCGGGCGAGTTGTCTCGGTGATACGGGCGGCTTACGTTTGATTGGGGCCCTTGGGAGTCGAGAACCAGGCGGCGGACATCAGCCCGAGAACGACGACGAGAACGAACAGGGTGGGGAGGGAAGTCGACATGGTGGAAGTGCACTGGAGAGCCGGGGCGTGACGCCGTGTCCGAGCCAATGGCGGGCGCCTCTGCGTTCGACACGGGCGCTCTGATTCCAGCACAGAACATGAGGGGAACCAATCGTTCTCTCGAGACCCACACCTATATCCCTCCAGCCTACACACACGCAGCCAGGAGACACTATTTGCGCCGGTATGGTGCAGCCTATACATATACTTGACATTCAACGTTCAATGTCCATTTCTTGGGAATGGCAACAAAAGACCGCACAAGGTGTATAGATGCGTCGGGAATCATCATTATGATATTGGTATGCTGAGTCCACTACAATACTTCGGGTCATGCTCAAACGTCATAAACCCTCTAGATGCAAACAGATAGCAAATCAGACAGCCCGTGAGCTCGCTCAATCAAACTTCCTCCTGCGATACAGGAGGTTGCAAGGCAAAGGTTGAACCATCATGGACTAAACACACTCGTGAGCGAATACTCAAACAAAAGTCGTGGACCCAACGTACCGCAAAGTCAGACTTGGGGAACTCGCCGTCAACGCGAAGCTCAAGGCGGCGGATCATGGCGACGATGATCGTGCTGATTTGCAGGTAGGCGAACTGTCGTGAATCCTGCGATTAGCATATTATCCCACAAAGACGATGGAGCCATGACGTTCGCACCTGCTCGCCGATGCAACGATGCCTGCCCGCGCCGAAGGGCAGGTAGGGGGAGACCGTGCCCTTGCTGACGAGACCGAATCCGAAGTCCACCTTCTCGCCCTCGTAGTACTGCTTGCTCGCCTGGGCTGCGAAGCCCGCTTCGTCGTACCACCGCAGAGGCTCCCATGTCTCCGACTGCTCCCACACCGTGGGGTCGAGCTGCGAAATAAGGGGCGAAGCGAGTACAATATCACCCTTGGGCACAACGTATGTGACATCTTCGGAGGGCGCGGCAAGGGTAGCAGGTACAGGGATGTCGACGTGTGCCATACGCATGATGCTGTGGATAGGAGGGTGCATGCGGAGGGTCTCGCGGACGACGGCGTCGAGAACCTTGAGTTCGCGAATATCATCATGCGACAGGTCGCGAAGACTGCCGTCTGGCGCGCTGAAGTGGTCAACCTGTTCCTTGTAAAGTGCCTCCCTGGAATATTGATTATTAGCAGCACATGCAGTATGTATGCCGGAAGTACGCACTGGATGTCAGGGCGCGACGCAATGTGGAGAAGAACCCAGGAGAGAGACGAGGAGCTAGTGTGCTGTCCAGCCATGAGGAGGGCGATGAGAATGTGGGCAATTTCGTGGTCGGGGATGGGGGAGCCGTCACGGTAGCGCTGGATCATGAGAGAGGCCATAACGTCGTCCTCGTGGTCCTAAACAAAAGTTAGCCAGACGTTGACTCCAGAGTACATCTCCACCTACCCCGTTCGGGTTTTCGCGGCGGCTGCGAAGGATAGACTGGTAAAACGCGCTCATCTTGGCGTGGGCGGCGTCGCGCTTACGGTAACTGGGAAGCGGGAGGCCGGGAATCATCCAGTGAAGCGGAGTAAAACCGTGGTCGAGGTCCGAGTAGGTCTGAGCATACGCCTTTGTGAGGTTGTTCCGGATCTCCCTGCCCTGAAGCGTGCGCGATGCAGTGAGGATGGTCATCTCCGAGAAAGTTTTGAGGACCGGGAACCTCCCCCATTCGTTGATGTCATTCATCTGGTAGACACGGAAGGAGTCGTCGGTGCCAAGGTAGCCCTTGATCTCTTCGTCAATCATGCCAACGTATGCGCGGAACTTCTCGGCGGTGAGAGACACCTTGACAAACTTCTTCTGCTCCATGAGCTTCTCGTTCGGGCAATCGTACACCACGTCCTTGCCAAAGATGGGGGTAGTCAAGGGCTGAAACCAAGGATGAGACACGGACACGGCGAAATCGAGCATCCAGTATGTGCGCACCCCGTAGACGTCTTCGGCAGCAAGCTGGGTGTGTTTTCCGCCGAGCACGTAGTCGTTGCCCTGAGTGCCGAGAGTAACGGTGACGCGCCTGCCGATGAGAATAAAGGTGAAACAGTTGCCGTACTGCGCGAAATGAGCCGCCATATACGTGTCATATGGCGAGAATACGTACCTTCTCACGACATTGCCTAAAGAATGCCACGGGGTCGCGCCCGTACGCGGGGGCGGAACCCAGGAAGGGGATCCAATGCCAGACTAGTGGGGGCTGTGACTTGGAGCGAGGAAGCTTTGGAGTGCAGTTGGTGACTGGATCGCAGAGGGGGGAAAAGTACGGGAGTACTCACAAGCTGCCAGAGGACGTTGAGGATGATCGAGACCACGGGAAGGTTGATGAGCGCAATGAGCAACAACTTCGGGGTGGACGGCCACTCGAGCTGGGCGAGGGTGGCGGCCCAGGGCTCGGCGAAGGTGGAGTTGGCAGACATCTGGCCGCTGCTGGGGACGCTGGGGGCAGGGCAGGAGGCGGGGCTGGCGGTGGGAGGACAAGCGCGGCAGGACGTTTTATGAGGATTATTCGTGCGAAGCATCGTTCGACTCTCACCTTCCCGAAGAGGCAGCCGATGCACCTTTTTTGGATCTGGGTCTTTCTAGTCCTCGTCGCCCCGCGTCCGGGCCTCGACGTCGACTTCACACGCCGTCTCGCCCCATCGTCGACATAACGCGCCAGCTCGCAGAGAGAGAATCCGGTCTCGCTCACTCGCACGCCGCACGCAACGTATCCTTCCGGGCGTCTATGATCCCAAGCGCCGATCGCATGGGCTGCGTACTTACACATGTAAGTAGTACTGAGCGCTGAGCGCCGAGCATGAGCAGTATCAAGAAGGTTCGTTTTACATAGCGCTGCAAGCTAAGTACAATTGCTGGCCCACTGGTAGACTTCAATGTGAGCGCTTGAATGCTCCAACCGGGGACTCCAGAGCCAACCGCGCGTCCTCCTCGATCCACAACCACCCACTAGGTCTTATTCGGGATGCGTGCATTTAACGGAGAGAGCATCTATCTGACCCAGGACTCCTTCGTTGTGCCGTAAGACGTGAGAACACAAGCAGGCGCCAGGTACTTCGCTTCGCACTTGGCCTCACCGGTGCTTCTCAAGATGAGCAGAGGCGCAACTCCAGAGCGCCTCACCTCTCTCCAGGTTGCTCTCACCAACCATCCCGCTCCGCCCCGCTCTCCCGACCCGCCATATACTCCCGATGATCTCGCCACTCAGGTTACGTCCGAAATCCACACTTCCGTTCACAGGAGACCATCTGAGCACCACTATGGACACCCTCACGGAGACCTCAGAACCATCCCCAACTATACCCACAGTGACACCCTGTTGGTTCCCGCCACATTGAACGTCAACCATGCGCAACCACTCTCGTTGGAGAACGACAGGCTCTATTCCGATGTCTCGGCGGAGACAAACCTCGACCACAATCCCACCTTTTCCCTTCTAGCTGCACACGAGCCTCCATTAATACCCCCGCCGAATCCTGGCTCCGTGAGTTACTTCTATCAGGTTCCGTGCCCGCCACCTCATCCCATGTTTTCTAGGTCGAACTCGGCTCTATATATAGAGCAGGTGAAGTTGCGCTTGTGAATGAGAGCGATGCTGGGCCTCGTAACGTCTATGAAAACAGTGTGCCAGATTCTCAGGTTGTGTCGACACTCCGTTTCCGTGCACATGCCGTGGCGCAATTTTGCTCTGGACCCGCCACCCAATTCATGTCTCACTCGTCGAGGGTTGCATCTTTCGCTTCTGTTCATCAAGGCACCTACGAGGCCAGCCTGGATATTGCCAATCCTCGTCATCCTACATACCAACAGCCAGAACTCTTTAATGTCACGCCATTTCCCGGGAGCGCCATCATGCCCGACGTGCAGTTTGACCCTCAAGTTGCTTCTCACGCTGCGGACGCCGACCTACGCTCTCTCGAACGCGAGGGCCTCGACTGTCCTGCAAACTGCAGTACTGTGTACAATTCTGAGCAGGAGCTGCGACATGCCCTTGGGCTCAATTATGACGAACCGATCAGCCTCAGTCTTCTCTCGCCAACGTGGCCCGACACCTACACCTTGCCACTGTTGGCGCAGCTCGCTATCCTGGGGTCACCCGGAAGAAGGTTGACTGTACGAGAACTTTATGATGCCCTCACGTCTTTCCGGGAAAAGGGAGATGATAAATGGCGGGTAAGAGCACAAGCGCACTTTTCTTCGTTATATTCGTTGCTTATCGAATTTCTGCAGCGCAGTCTACGTCATGCCTTGTCGCTGCACTCCATTTTCCAGAACGTCCGGAGGCCCCCCACGGCGCAAGGCAGAGGTGGGTACTGGACCGTGGACTACTCTCGTGCCCATGAGAAGAAGCAAAGAAAGCGCCGTGCGAAAGGTTCCCAGAAGGCCCCGGCTCAAGAAGAACTACCGTCCGCCAGTCGTATAAATGAGCTTTCTGCCTCGCTAGAAGACAACGGACGCCGGGTCGGCGAAGACGGACCCCGCTCGTATAAGACTCGTCGTCACTCTCGTCTGGATGTCCCGCCGTACATCGCCCATAAATCTCGTCAAGTTCATTCGAGCCGCCGCGCGCCCGACCCTCGTACAGCACAACCCCCTACACCTCGTCAGCGCCAAGCACATCGAAGATATCGTTCACCCGCCGAGGAGACATTCGCTGCCCTGATGGAAAGTGGCCGTCTGCTGCAAATGCCAGCTTCATCGTCGCCACTCGCGGCCCCCCAACCTCTCCGCCCGTCTGCGCCTTGGTCTCACATTGGCAGGCACCATGACTATGCAGCCGGAGAGCTGGATCAGGGCACTTTGTCGCAGGAGGCTTTCCGTGTGCCCGATGCGTCGCAGTACCAATACCAACAGCACTATTACCCACCGATGCCACGGCTTCAGGGTTACGACGAAGCTCATCATGACCAACACGCCGCCTACAACCAGCACCACGAACAGCACGAGTCTCGATCGGAGCAGCAATCCCACTCGGACGCGGATGCGGGCGCAGGTCGTACGTACCGCAACGGACAAAGTTCATCAGCTCGTGCCCCGGGTCAGGTAGATGAACGGTCGGGGTCCCACCCGGAGTTCGTGCAGGGGTCGTCACGCAGAACATGGCACTGAGTAAGTACTGTATGCTGATTGCCGCATCCCTACCGCCCACCGAACTCCTGGTGACAAAAATATGCCGTGGTCTAGCATGCGCTGTATCAACGTCGGACTGTATAATGTCTGCGGTTCTTTAAACTGGTCCTCAATACTATTCCAAGTTGCCGTGTATTCTAGTGCGCATAGCTGGTTATGGAGCCATCCAGTGTACATCATAGCCTTCAGTCATCAATACACGTTTGCTTTCTATGGATACAATTCACATCTAGTGTGAAGCGTAGGTAACGATACAAGGTATGCTCTATAGGGTATACAGATGAATGTCCGTTTACACGACCTCAACCTCGACCTCGATTGGGATCCCAGCCGCGAGCTCCTTGACCGCCGCAAGGCACCGGCGCAACGTCGTAGGCCAATACTTCAACGCACCCATCGAAGTCTCCGACGAGACCCCGTGGCCGTCTATGCCCGTGATCGCCTTCTTCAGCGCGAGCCGCTCCGCCATGTTTGGCTCCCGCCCCGGGTCCGAATGCAACGAGGGCTCCCTGTCACAGCCGTCGTCCGACACCAGCGAGATGTCCTCGTACGCATCCCGGCGCGACCCGTCCTCGTCGTCATCCCCAGATTCCTCCTCCTCCTCCTCCTCCTCCTCCTCGTCTTCCCCAACACCGTCGTAGTCGGGGTCCACGCGGTAGATGTCGTCCCAGAGCACGCGGATGTCCGACGCCGCGCGCTCGAGCTCCGCGGGCGTCAGCCAGAACGTGTCGAGCTCGACGATCGCGCGGCGGAAGTCCTCGAGCTCGATCGCGGCGGCGGGGTCGATCGCGAGCGCGCGCTCGAGCAGCGCGGCGAACCCGCGGGAGATCGGGAGGGACTGGCGCAGCCAGGACGGGTCCGCGGCGTACGCCGCGAACGAGGGGTCTTCGGGCGACGCGTCGCGCCAGAGGCCGGTGATGTTGAGCGAGAGCTGGACGAGGATGATGCCGAGCGACCAGACGTCGTTCCGGCGGGTGTCGTAGGGCTCGGACGAGTCGCGGTTTACGAGGTTTTCTGTGGAAGGAGGAAGGTCGTGAGTGAGGATGCTGCGTGCAGTTCGGGGGTACCAAGGACGTACCGGGACACCGGTGGCCCTTGGTTCCACAGCCATACGAGGTGCTGTAAGGGGCGGTCGTCGCGCACCCGAAGTCGGCGACGCAGACGCGGTTAACGGCGCGGTCGACGAGGATGTTGCCGAGCTTCAGGTCGCGATGGTAGACGCCATTCTTGTGGGAGAATGCGACTGCGTCCAGGATGTGGAGGAAAATCCTCTTGACTTCTGCGGTGTTCCCCACCAGGGATGGGCTATGTGACAAGTAGCGATGGAGGTCGCTGCCGGAGAAGTAGTCCATGATAAGGAGGATGCGGGGCTCTTCGGAGCCTGACTCCATGAATGAGAGGACGTCATGAATTGCCGCGATGTTGGGATGCCGTCCGAGCATGCGATTGATTTTGAGCTCGCGGTTGTCGTTTGAGGTGGTGCCCGATCCGTGTCGAAGGACCTTGATTGCGCGTAGCACCGGGCTAGAAGTTTTGGAGAATTCCAGAGCACGGTAGACGACACCGCCAGATCCGCGTCCGAGGCGGTCGATGAAGCAGACCCGCTGCACCTTGTCGGGGGAGGAGATGGCGAGGCTGGAGAAGTCGGGCATGGAAGGCTCTCTGTGAAGCATGGCAGGCATATCGTTCTAAGAGGCGAAGCGTGCGAAGTAGTAAGAAAGGAAGTGAAGAAGTGATAAATGCAATGGGATAGAGAAACCGCCGAGCAGAGCGCGGCCTTTATACCCACCGCAAGCCTCAGGGGTAGCCATAGGGCTGAAGCGGACTCCCCGCGGACGAGGGCAGGTGTTCCGGCATCCGCGAGGTCTAGAAGCGCACGAAAAGCGGGACGCAAGCGTTGAGGGGGTCGGACTCGCGGCGGGTTTGAAGGGTGGTAAGGAGAGACGATGCTTCCGCGACTGCGACGCGGCTCGAAGCGCGGCTTCACCACGGAAAGGTCACGTGTAGCAACACTATTTACCCGCTTTGCAGACCCGCACAACCGCAGTAACAATGCGTATGTAGAGTGGGCCGTCCCGGCATAGCGGCAGCCGGTAATGATCTGGACCAAGTCTTTGCAAGCCGCATTTTACCCCCTATCGAGTCGTTAACAGTGAATTTCAGCACCATGAAACCCATAACGCTTGTACAAGTGATGCTAAATCACAGAAGGCATTCAAACAGGCTCTCTATTCGCTGCTCTCGTAATAATGAGTAGAGACCAACTGTAGGGCAGCGACCTCGGAGCCTGTTTGCCACAGAAAGCAAAAGCATGGCTCAATGACCGTCAAAAAGTGACGCGCTCTAAGCTTCCGCCAACGAACTGTTTAAGAGGGAGGGCTGTGGAAGAATTCATGCTGGTGAGCGTGGATAACCATCCCAAGCGCATACAACCACGTACACAGGGGCGACAGTAGTCGCCGGACCCGGAGCGGCGCTGAGCGCGGGGAACGGCGTGGCGGCGCAGGCGGCCTCGACGTCCGCGAGTGACTTGCCCGCCGGGAGCGTCGCCGCCGGCAGCTTCACCGCGGCAGGAACGGGGATGACTTCAGAGCAGTCCGTGAGCGTGCGCGGGTTCTGCCCGAGCGTCGCCAGCTTTGCCATCACTTTCTCGAACTTGGTCACCATCAGGCTGTGGTCGGCTGCGTGCGGGGCGCGTCAGCCGAAGCTCAGGCCCAGGTAGGCCCAGGTGCGGCACGAGGAGACGCACTGATGAACGACTGCCACTCGCACGCGGTGCGCGCGTCGCGAGCGATGTTGTTGTCTGAGAAGAGCCGGAGCTCGCCGCCAAGCGGGGACATGACCTCGCCCACGTTCGAACCGTTGCCCGGGAACAGCGTGCCCTGCAAGAGGGTCTCGACAAAGAACTGGGAGTCGAAGGAGCCGGGTGTGGAGTCGAAGGGCGTTCCCTGGGGGGTGCAATTTTTCAATGTGGGCGCGTGCAAGGTAGCAATGGGGGCTACTCACGGGGATGGAGGCATCAACGTGGTCCTGGGCAGCGACGGTGTGCGAGATCAGGAGGTCGACAACCTCGTTGGGCGAGAAGCCAGCGTCGCTCATCCGCGCGAATATCTTGTCGTTGTCGTCCGAGGGCTCGGGGACCAGGAGGTCTGGAGACGGCTTCGTGACGTTGGAGCGGCCGGCCAGGAATTGGAGACGAGGACCACCAGCACAGTTCGACACACCGACGGCGCCGGCGAATTGAATGCTAATGATAGATCATTTCAACAGGACGCTTGATGCGCCTAGACAGTGAAGCACTCACAAGTCGGCGAAGGATACCCCGTGGGCGAGAGCGAAGGGACGCTGGGTCTCGACGATCTCGTCAACACCGCCGTTGGCGTCTGACAGTGGGTCTCAGTGAGGTATTCAAGGTGAAAGTGGATGGGGCTGGGGCCTACGGAAGTTGGTCTCAATGTCAGCAAAGTGCATGATCGAGCCGTCAGCACCTCCGCCACTAGTGAGATAGGTCAGCTGTCTAGTATGCTCCGGAGCAGAACACGTACCCGAACTTGCCCTCACGGAAGAGCTTGGGAGAAAATCCGATAGCGTCGTGGAAAGTCAGGCGAAGAGACTGGACATAGGCAGTCAGCGGTGCTGTCGGCCAAAGCGGACGAATAGATTACCTCATGGGTCTCCTCGCCGCATTCGCCCCCGTCGAAGCTGTTGGCGAGCAATCAGTACGCTGATGTTGGTTGAAAGGCGTGGTCGTACAGGTTCTCCTGGAGGTCGTCGAGGACATCGAACCAGACACAGCACTGATCGAGCACGTCAGTGACGATTAAAAGGGCGGTCGACCCGGACAAAGCTACTTACAGCCTTGCTGCTCGCGCGGCGACCACCGCTGCACACAGCTGACGGGGAGGGGACAGCAGAAACGGTGACCGCGAGGGCGGCGATGGCGAAGAAGGCTTTGGAGAACATCGCTGGCTGCCGGAGGGGAGGGTGGTCGTCGAGGTGCGACTGCTAGGATACTCTGAGTCGAGTACTGCTGAGCCTCGTCGGCCTCACCCCATCTTTTATACCTCGTCGAAAAGACCAGTCTCTGTTGGTGCCGTCCCGTTCGCTCGCACGGCGAGCATGCGTAATTTGCGCGCACGGCGCAATCGGGACCAGCCGCGGCTCCACAACGAGAGATGGGGTCGTCGCCTAAGTTGTGCTCAGCGTTCGCAGAGATAGTCAGCAGCACAAAATTTTAAACAGACTGCCCACACAGATGAGGACGGCGTGTGTCTGCATCCGCACTCATGGTACAGAATGGGTCCCTTGGGTGCCAACATTGGACGTGCCGTGGTTGCCAACAGATCGGCGACTACAAGAAAGGCATTTTCACCCAGGGGTCCTAACACGAGAGCATCGCACGATGGCTCAAGGGCAGCCATTGAGTCACTCACCAGGATGAGGTAAGCATGTGAAGAGAGCAGCCGGCGGTTCGGGAGACGGTCGGGGGTTTGATTCAGCTAGGTGCCACCGGGAAACTGGAGGTGGTTAAGCCAGTGAAGAGAAGGTCAGACAAGAGTAAATCAAGTGAAGACTGAGCTGCTGCGCACATAGGAATGTCTTGGAGGTGCTGCAAGCGTCTCGCCTTGGATTTTGCCTCGTGTACATTGCCTCGAATGAGGGTCTGCCAAATGCACGTCGTGCACCTGCCAAGCCACGGAATTTGCCATGCAGTGCGTATCGGGACCCACGGATAAGGTTGTGCGTGGAACCAAGACACAGGAGCTCGTCAGCACGGAGGTGGAACCTGTGAAAGTCCTGCGTCACCGGGACCACGTCCTTGGGAATATCGTCAGGGGACTGAACAAATCCACGAAACACGATTGGTCTGTTGACGTGAATGTCAATGTGTGCGGCCGGCGGGAGGATACTGCTGGGTGTGAGCGAAAACACCCGGCACGGTCAGGTCGCCGACTGATTCACTCCCAGGGGCTTGGACGTATCGACTCACGACATCAGGACGAAAAACAAGAGTGACAACGTCATGCGTTCGAAGGAGGGTCTAGGTTGGCTTGAGCCGCAGAGTCCTCTGAGGTTCGGGAGTATCGGTCGAGGAGCATGGACCTGGGTGAATGCTCACCAGCGAATCCTACGACTGGCGGGTCAGTGCGCCAACCGAACACTCCGTGCCACGGAATACTGGACGGAAGCCCTAGCAAGCACAGCATGAACGCGGAATCTTGCCCCCCGCCCCGGTCGAGGGGGATGGATCTGCCAAGGTAAGGACCCGGGAAACCGAAAACATGCACTCGGAACGAATCTCAGGAAGAAACCAAGTCGAAATTTGGCTGAATGAAACCTGTGGAATGTGCGAGATATTATTGGTGGGCGGGAACGACCAGTCGTCCACAATCTGGGGTACTCACAGGGCAGCACCGTCTCCGAGGCCACGGGACACCCCCCCGAGAAACAGAAAATAACAAAGGCCATATAGGCGTGGATGCCGCAAAAGCGACGGTTTCACGAGTAGCCGTTCTGAATGAAGGAAACTCACAGGCTGGCACCTTGAAGGTTATCTGGAAGTGTCCCACCTAGTAGTACTACCGAGTACTGAGCGATTGAATGAACGGCAGACGTGCTGCCGGTAGCTCGGAATTGCAAAGCAGAAAAGAATGGGTCAAACGAAAAATGATACAGGATAGTGAATTGGTTCAGAGGAGATGACGACGAGATCCGAGCGAGCAGCGTATTAGGATCGTGAGACTTCCAGCGCTTGGCGATGGCCCGCGCGTGCAGGCGCGCGCGGTTGGCAGCGGCGTCAGCATTTCAACAGCACTTTCGACAACATGGAACTGTCCAGGAAAGACCGTGTAGGTTCCTCATGACACATCTATTGTTGACTGCAGCAGGCTGTGGCAGCTCATAATGTGCCCATTCAGAACAATGCGTCGCTCATAAGCTCTTTTCCTCAAGACGTTTTCATCCTCACCATTCAACAAGCTCTCGCACCACTCCCACAGTATCTTCTAGAGCGAAGCATTCAGGGCGTGTTGTCCACAAAAGACGTGCATACCACCACAGGGTATATGCGGCTACTGGTCAAACTCACTCATGTTTGCCGAACCTGGCGCCACGTCATTATCGGATACAAGCCCTTTTGGGCCTTTCTTGTCACCCAGGACGACGGGAAGCTGGGCTCGATGGCTCGTGTGTTCCTCGAACGCGCCGGCCAAGCTCCTCTTACTGTGACGATGAACATCTGCGCTGAGCGCATCGACCACCCTTTCTCCACCTCCGAACGCGCTCATCAGATACAACACCTCCATATCTCCGGCTCCTGGGACTACGACGAGTATCTGAAACTCATCCCTTCCTCATCACCCCTTCTTGAGAGCGTCGTGCTCGACGCACATGGGACCTTCAGTAAGCTCAGGAAGCCGAGCTACTTCTTCCCTCAGAGCCATTCGACGATCCGAGGCCTTGCCATTGCCCCAGTACAATCCATTCTCCCCCTCGACTCCTTCCCCAACCTCACACACCTCTGGCTCTCGTTCAAGCCGGTCAAGAACCGGGGCGAGCAACTCGCCGATCTCCCCCAAGTTTTCTCTCGCACCCCTTCGCTCCAGTACCTACATGTGTGCGGTGCTCGCAATGGCCACGGGTTGTACGATTTCCAACCGCCCCCAGAGCACCTGTTGGTGGCGCTACCGCAGTTACGCAACTTGACCTTGGTGGATTTCAACTGGAGCTGGAGCTGCGCGTTTCTCCGCGTCCTCGTCCTTCCCGATGACGCCGACGTCTACATCCACCGTCCACGCCTGCGTCTGGAAATGTTCGAAGAGACGAGTCCGATCGCCGCTTTCCCTCGCCTTGCGCTCATCCCCTTCCTGGACCGCGCCAGGATCTGCCTAACCGTCTGCACTGTCACCCTCGTCGCTGAAGGACCCCTCGCTACCAAGACTCCCTACGCCTCCCAACGGCCGCACGGCCGCCTGTTCGTTTTCCCGGAGCTCGCCGATTTCAATGGCGGGGTAGAAACCATCGCCGAGAGCCTTCCAGCGCTGCTACCGTTCTCTTCCCTGCACGTGCTGCATCTCCAGCTCAGAGCCCAATGGCATGACCTCTTTCTGGTCTACATGGACCACGCTACGTCGCTCACCGAGTTCGTCGTCTTCCCGGATCCGGACACGATGAGCGACGAGAGCGCGCTGACCACGATTCGGATGCTCCATCACGTGCTCTGCCGCGCGACCCCGCCAAAGTGCCTGGCTCTGCGCGTGCTCGGAACGGTCATGCCCATCCCGAACCCGGACGAAGACCAGTATGAGGACAGGGAAGAGGAAGAGGCCGCGGTGCAAGAGGCCGCGGTGGAGCTCGGCGGAAACTTTGTCGAAGTCGTGCCGATCCTCATGGGACGTGCCGCGGCGGGCGTTCCGCTGCGCACGCTGCTGCTCGAGCCACGCAACTTGCGGCTGGAAGACCGGTGGGGTGAGGAAGGCGATGACGAGAGCTGGTTCCGGGAAGAGGGCGTCTATGCGGAGGTCGTGAAAGAACACTGCAAGCTCTTGCGCAAATTAGTCGATGAGGTGGAGTGGTTGGAGCCAGATGAGGAGGGCCGTGGAGGACTTGCGGACAGGCTCACGAAAGGGAGCGAAGGGTTCTTGCGAGAAGAGAGTGCGAGGGTGCAGAAGTATTGGGCGTTGCCTCCACACGGCGTGCCATGGGAACTACCGTTTCCTCCTCCCTACGGGGAGGAACCTGAGGATATCAGCTCATGGTGATTGCTATATGTTAGATGATTCGCCGGCGCTCTTCACAGATCTGAGCCAGGACGAAAACGTTCGGCACTTGACACACTGCGGCCGGCGCCCGCGCGCAACCGCACAGGACGACCAGTGAAACGACTCGCAGATATTACTGATATAAGAGCGGCGTAGCATTTGAGGGGAGAGCGATGATTATGCATGTACAGTAAACTTTAGTAAGATGGCGGTAGAATAAGGATAGGTCTATGTGTGCGCTAGCATATGTGGGGTTCGAGTGTAGGCAAAAATCCATCCCGGGTCACAATCAGCGCAGCTTCAAAATGAGCGCTGATATCACTCCAAGATCCACCCGCTTGATATCCACCGCAACCTCGTCGCCCATCGACAGGTGCGCCAAGTCGCCCGCCTCCGCCTGCAACATGCCCATGAGCCCCAGCTGCTCGACGAAAACGCGTATCCTTTGAGCCTCGCTGAACGTCACTCCCGAGGGGAGGTCGACAACGCGCCCCGTCAGGTTCTTCAGTGGGTCTTCACCCGTATGCGTCTTGCGCGGGCCCTCCATCCACCATTTGATGTACGCGCGCGCCCAGAAACCGTTGCTACGCTCCTCGAGACGGCGCCCGCTGAGGTCCGCGAGCTCAAGGCTCTCCGCGGCGCGCGAGAGCCACGTCGCGTCGAAGAGGATCGGTCGGTCGGGAGAAAGGAGCGCGTGTTTGATCTGCCAGTGCGCGATGAGATCATCGAAGCGGCGGAGAGGCGAGGTCACTTTCATGTAGCCTTCGTCTCTGAGGATGCCGAGCATATGGTGGGGGCCGGGTTCGGTCGAGTAAGTACCCGCAGGAGTTGCTACGCCAGCGTGGATGATCTGGTAGGGGTCCAACTGGCCAATCTCGTTACGGGCAGCGAAGGCCTCTGCAAGGCTTCGGGGAGAGTTCGCGGTCAGAGGGCCCAGGATGCGCCGCACGGCGGGCACGCCGCGCTCGGCGAAGAAGCGCGACGCGGCACGCCCTGCGGAAAGCATACACTCGGCGATCATCTGGCGCGCGTTGAACCCAGCGACGAGAGGGATGGAGTAGGAGGCAGAAGGGAAGCCGCGGAACTCGGAGGGGGTCAGAACGCCACGCAGATCGTCCGAGAGAGGTCGAGGAGATATGGAGACCTCTGCAATGTTGAATGTCCAAAACAACGCGCCTTGTGAAACTCTGCGCCGGACCAAGGCACGTGTAACTTCGACCAGTAATTTCATGTCTTGCAACTGGTCTTCAGGGATTGACCTGGGGACGCGCTCTGGGTGCTGACGAGAAACACCGAACGGATGTTGAACGAGTCGCGGGGTCAGACCCAGTGCTATGTCCACATCATCGTACTTGATCTGTTGGACGTTTCGGATTATGGATGGCCGGACCTCAGTTTTGATGGTGCGGCCCGAAGGGAGGTCTATCAAGGTGCTGAAGCTCATGGCCACGTCGGGTTCTCCTGGACGACTGCCAAGACTGAAGTGTGCCACCTCGTCGACGTGCTGGAATAGGCGGATGGTACGATCCGTGAAGTATCGCGACTGGGCTTGTCGCAGAGCATCTTGACAGGCCGGATGCGTTGGGGGAAGGCGGGTGGTGGGGTCCGCGATGTGGACGTGAAGCCACACCTGTTCTGGATTGGACGTCCTCTCGATTGAGACGCCGTCGTCGAGCTCCTCTGCGCCCCAATCATCGACAACAAAAACAGGAAGATTCCCGAAATCATGACGAAGAGACTCCACGATATCGTGCGCATACAATTTGCTTGGAGAAAATGCGCTGCTGAGCAGGGGAGTGTTGGAGTTGGGTTCGATTTTGGGAGGGGGAAGTAGTTCCTTGTCCATAGCACGGTAAACCGGATCCTCCCAGGGGGCGATGCTACCTAGATCCGAAAGGAACTCGCGAGTGGTGTGTTCGTCGAAGCAGTCGGGGTCGTACAAGCCGGTTGCCTTGATAAGAAGTGCCCGAGCGACGCGGTAAAGATCCTCTTGAATCCCAAGACGGAGTTCTATAGAAGAAATGAGAAATCGAAGGATGGTGCGATCGTCATCGGTCCACTGGAATCCTTCGAAGGGGCGACGTGTAGGAGGTTCGCCCCAGGATCCAGTACGTCGTTCACGAAGCGTCTCTATTGTCATCCGGCTTTTCTCGATGAACGTTTTCAAGGCAGGAGCTTTCCGACGAAATGAGTCCCAAACGAATTCGATGTCTTCAATGGCCTGCTGTGGGCGGATCCAGAAGACAGGATGCTGAGAGAACCTTCTCGTGTGCGCAAGGAAGTGTAACGACTCGTCGAGCATGAACTCCTGGACGGCCATGAGCTCGATGTCGGTAAATTTTCTTTTTCCGAGGAGCAGCTCCGCTGCTTCTGAAAGGGCGATGGTCTTCCAGGTGTTGCGGTCCTTGTGGGCCACGAGTTCACGGAAGTTGATATCCCGTGCCTTTTGGGTGAGGGGATGTTGCACGTGTTCTAGCTCGACCTGGAAGAGAAGCACCGGGCGCGCAACCTCCGCACGCGCGCGCGTTTCGTCTGTCGAGGCGGGTACTTCGGAGAGACCGCATTCCGCGATCTTCTCCGCCGAGACGAAACCTGGGACGCTGAATGTGACGTCGTGTGGTGAGATTGGCAAGACTTCCCCGCGCTTGGTGAGTATTGTAATGGTTTGCTGCCGCTTCTGCAAGAAGGTGTCGAGAACCACACCGAAGGATATGGTGCTGTTTCTACGTAGACGCGAGATTTATGAGCACCAATACGATAGCGTCGGCGTGATATGCTCACTTTCGTAGCTTTACAAGCGTGCCCACAGGTAGAGTGTTGTGATCTTGAAGTGCATCCACGTCCGTACCTGAGTGCCCCAAGTCCGAGTCTTGGTGCGAGGTGTCATTCATCACAAACTCCGCCTCCTCTTGAGATGCATGAGCTATATGCCGTTTCCCATGGGGTTTGTCGATGGGCGTATCATGTGATTTCAGAGCCTTGCCTTCTAGCCATCCGCATGCCGTAGGAGACAATATGTTTCGCAGTTGCTGAGAGACGAGGCCCCGGCCGTCCTTGGGGTGTGAGACCAGGCCGTGTTTCGACGGCGCGCGAGGAGTATTCGACCTAAGCTTTGGCGGCTTGTCAACGTCGTTTTGGTTCGCCCTGCTACTCCTGCATCGAGCGACAGTCCGACGGAAGCTGGAGGAAACGTCCGGCAGAGTTTGGATTGCTCGTTTATGCATGGTGACAAGCCGAGTCGAGTCCGCTGGAAGAGTTTGAAAACAGTGAGGCGGACGCACAGCCGTAAGAAAAGAGCAGCAGAAGGGGGAGGAGGAGGAAGAGCAAGGTGCGAGCACTGTCGCGGTTCTCGCTGGGAGAGAGAGTCTAGACAGAGCCTGGAGGTCCTGGTCAGTGAACTAGTGACGCTCCTGCGCGGAACGGGCTTGGGCACCATCACGTGACTAAAGTTGCGGACGCGACATTCCGATCTTTCATGATGAAATTCATGATTTCGATCCGAAGTCGCATACCCTCGTCTTCCCTCATTTATACTCTGGTGACACTCCGTCTCATCTGCGCGTTCCACATCTCTTCGCACAGTCAGAAGCTCTCATTCTGTAACCATGTTCAAACGTGTCGAGAAGCGCATACGCAGAAAAGAAAAGGAAGAAGAGCTTGGCATAGACGACGACATGAAGGAAATGCTCGGCATGAACGACACAGACTCAGACGAGTCTGACTCTTCTGACTCTTCTGGCTCTGACAACGGAGGAGACGTGCCTGTGAGACCAGAGGTGGAGAGCAGGGAGGAGGGGGAGGAGGGGGAAAATAGTATGGCGGAAGAAGACGAACTTTCGGACGACGATCCGGAGGACGACATTCCACCTATGAAGCTTTCACGAGCTCTCCAAAATCCGCTGTATCTCGTCCAAGAGGAGCCTGAAGTGCAAGGATGCATCATATGTCCTAGGAAGCTCTTCAAGAATTCTGTCATGATCGATGTGCACCTCAAGTCCAATGTGAGTTTCTGGTCCACTCTGTCCCATGTAAAAGCCTCATAGCATGTCAGGCGCACACGAGACGGTTCTCTCGCTTCAGAGATATTGCTATGGATCATGACGCGGAAACAGACGTCCGCGAGATTTTGGATGGCGTACTCGTACTACCCCAGCCAGAGAAACAATCCACGGAGGGTGAATTGTCGAAACGTGCGCTGAAGAAAGTACGGTGACGATTTCAACGCCTCACCGACTACGCTAACACTCGGCATGCGCGTCGTAGAAAGCCAAGTTGGAGGCGATCAAGGTGAAGAAAACAAAGCAAAGGGCCATGAAGGCTAAGCACAGGACAAAAAGGGAAGCGAAGGCAAAAGCGGAGGGTGCTGCCGGGTCGGACGCGGAATCCAATAGCGAGGACGAAGCTGCGCCCGATCCTCCTCCGAAGAAATTCAAGGCCATCCACACAACAGACGTCGACTCACGGGCACCTCAGGTCAAACAAAAGCCACATGACGAGAAGCTGAACGCACGGAAACGTCGCCCTCGACCTTTACAGCACGAAAAAGCGGCTCCGATGAGCCGAGCGATGCCACCCAACCCGTCTCTGGCAAAACAGGTTACCACCAAGGGTGCCGTACGAAAACGGCCTCGGGCGTCGACGTAGTTCTGGACTCTGAGTATGTATTACGTATAGTCTATAGCAGCAGTTATTGTCCGCGAAGATAAGTTCCATAAGTAAGCAAGGGATAAGGAGCGGATGCGCGACACCATAAGGTGCAAATGATACACGGGAACTGCAGGCACAAAAATGGGGGGAAACGGGCATGGGATCGATCACCGGAGACTCTGCAACACCCGGTCAGTCATACGGAGGACCTGCAACAACAATGTCAGCCACGGATTGCATTCCAGTCCTGCCGACACGAGACACGGACCTCATGGATATCGGGTCGACTTTCCGGCTTGACCTTCAACATCGAATCAATGAGGTCCTTTAACCCTTGTGAGTACGCCGATGCGGGGTGCTTGTATTGGGCATTCATCACAGCCATAGCTATTGAGCCACCCTGCTCCGTGGTTTGCGTGTTCTCAAAAGGCGAATGGGAGTAGGCGAGCGCATATAGAAGACAACCGAGGGACTGTAAATTCGCATGTCAGTTTAAGGTAAAGGCAGCCAGTCAGTGCCACACACCCAAATATCAACCGCTTCTGTGATGGTGATTCCAGTCTTGACATCGAATAGCTCTGGGGCACGATAAGACATGGTGCTTTGCTCCGCAGCGATATCCTGCAGGATGCGTTAGCTTCCTGTTGATGTCAGTTACACGAAGAGCAGACCTGCTGAAGAAGTGCCTGAGAGCGATTCTCAATCTTGACACGGGCCTTTATTGTGCTGCCGAAATCCATCAGGATGGGTCGACCGTCATCGGAGATCATAACGTTCCTGGTGACGCTTAAGCGTCTTCCTCGATAATGCCAGCGAAAGATGAGACGCACCCAGGCTTCAGGTCACGGTGAGCATACGGTACGAGTTCAGTCTGTCCTGACGCCGCATGACCGTTTGCGCCCCCATGTTGCAACCTCTCCAGCTCTTCATCTCCGTCGAACAATGGCTCGTGTTCATGATCTTCACCGGGACCGTTCTGTGATACAAGTGGGGCGCGGCTTGAGGTTGAGGAGGCTCCGTGGTAAGAATATCCGCCTTCACCGTCGCCTTCTGGCTGTGGGAACATTTCATCGTCTTCTGAATGGCGGGGTGAGTTTGGAGCAGACGGTGCGTGGCGTGAAGTCGGCTGGGTTGAGCGCGAAGAGAACGCATCCATCTTGGTCCCGACGGGGCCGTGGTAGTTGTGCATTGCGCGAAGAGCTTCGCACGTGCCTTTGAAGTACTGAAGCATTTCAGTCTCAGAGAAGTGGGTGTTGTTGATGGAGTTCGCGTTGATCGCGTCCTGCAGGTTGCCGCGCTTGTACAATGGGAGGAAGAGGTAGACGACCTGGCCGTCGCCGTTGGGATCCTGAACTACGGCCGAATCCTGTTGGACGCGTTTTGTGAGCAACAATGACATAATTCGCCTATGGTGCAGACCCACCATGATATGGATAATGTTAGGATGTCTGGAGAGTGTTGGTCGCAAGGTCAATCCAGGACAAAGCCAGGTTCTAACAATGGGAGGACTCACTTGAAACGCCTGTACGCTTCGACCTCCCTCATTGCTTGCCGGACATCCTCTTGACCACTGGGACAGCGTATCTTCTTCAAAGCAAATTGCCTCTACATGAACAGTCAGTTCGACTCTCATTGACGGAGATAGATGACAGCATACGCCGCTGTGCTCGTCCTGAGCGAGATAGACAAATGAGAACCCTCCCTCTCCTAGAACACGGATGATTTTGACTGCAGATGCAGATCTTAGTACCTTCGCACATGGGATTTTGTGTGGCACGTACATGTCCTGCCGTTGATCTTCACTTTGGCAGACTGCTGGCAAACGCACGAAGAAAGTGCCCAAAACGCATCCTTGACTTGGTATTTGAGACCCTCGAGGGTGTGCATTAGTTGGGGCGGGAGTGCCATGGTGGGATAAGGATGATGCACAAGAGATGTGCCGAGCGGTGAGAGGAATACAAGTCGGTGGAGAGAAGGGGAAAGCGATGAGATGGAGGGCGGCGTTGACTTGGCGGTGATCTGAGGGAGCAGCTGTGCGCGGGCCGGCGCGTGCGCGGTTCGGCGCGCAGCGCGCGCGGAAACGTCGCTGCAGCACCTTGCTTCTGCCACACCTTCGGATCCTGCTCTTGTTCCTCTTCCTTCTACACCGCCCTCACCCCGCGTCGTTCTTGTGTTATTCCTGCTTCCACCATTGCCACGTATCCAAGGCCATGGCCTCACAAGTCTTGTCCGCGGTCTCTGTAAATAGTGCCACTACCCCCTCGCTCATCCCGTCATCCACCACCGACAAGTCCCTCAAAGTTCGTGACGCGTCCATCCAACATCCTCTAGACGTGTCCTGATTCAAGTTGATAGCGCAAACTAGAAGATGCCTTGCAGAGTCTCGACGAAGCCGTCGGCCCCACGGCCACTCCCTCGGGCTCCCCAGAGCAACTTGTCCCCAAACGTCTCCGCACATCTCGCTCAATCTACTCTATGCTCACGAGGCTCAGTAAGAAAGACAGTAACAAGTGCGTTGAGTGCATTTTTGCTTTCCGCACCGTATTCTCAACAACCACTCCCAAGGTCTGCCGACGACCTCCAGGGGTTGTCCAAGACTGCCCCTCACCTAGCCGCCATACTTTCTCGCAAAGCCTCCCGAGCGGCCAAGGGCTTCCCATTCAAGCTTAACCATGCGAGCAAGTTTCCCGGAGGGTCGTCGCCAATTGTCGACTACAGTCCGTCATCCTCCCCCCAGTTCTTCGCTCGCCTAGCGACATTCAAGCCGACCACATATTCCAACAAGCCGGCTGCCATTGACGCTGTTGCGGCCGCGAGGTGTGGATGGGTCAATTCGGACAAGGACCGACTCCTGTGCAAGATTTGTGGAGTCTCATGGATAGTCGCCGACAGCAAGGGCATGACTCGCGATGCGGGTATGTAGGAAGGAACTTCGAAAAGTAAGATTATGCTGACAAGTACGGGTTATAGCGAACGTACTTGCCGGGAAGCAGCGTGGCCAGCTGGTTACCGCTCACAAGGATGGATGCCCTTGGAAAGCTCGTCAATGCGACGGTCAGTCACTTGGGAATGTCTCCAATATATGCACTCATCTCACCACCAGAAACCATCAACCGAGTGTCGTTGATGTCCCCACTCGCCACTATCCGTGAAGTCAAGGCCAGGGCGATGCTCCTGGATGGCGTCATGGAAGGTGTGAAGATTGCTCATCCCCTTGTAAGTACAACCCTTCCGAAGTCGGCGAATCCGGCTCACGCATTTTCACAGAGCAACCTTCAAGTCCAAAACTTGGTTTCCATCATCGGTTCTGTATCACTTCCTGCTTCGGCGGACCTCGACGATTCCGAAACCTCTTGTATGTCCGACTCTATCTCCACCGTGCGGTCCCCGCAGAAGGATCCCTCCCAGAACGCCATACTTGCCGCAGTCTTCGGCTGGGGCATTGCGCCTCCACCCACCGCATCTACAGCATCGACTTCTGTGTCACGTGCTAGTTCACTTGCCCCTGGTCATCCTCAATCCCGCCTCTCGATTTCTCGTGCCTCATCCGTCTCTCGAGCCGGGACCCCTTCTCCCATGTCGGCTTCATACGGACTTGCCGCCTCCGCGTCCTTATTGTCGCAACATGCTCTCTCAACGAGCGCCCTTCGTTCAGACACTGCCCTAATCCACTGCCCGCTTTGTCAGCGGCGGGTTGGACTCTGGACGTACGTTCCCAAGCCCACGGAAGAGGACGACCCGATGACGGGACAGCCCGCACAAAGCACCCCCGCGAGGCCGCAGCCAACACTTGACATCCTGCAACAGCACCGGCCGTACTGCGCGTATGTAGTTCGCTCGAGCTTCATCCCCACTATGCCCGCACCCCCCACCCCAATCATCAACGGACACTCGCGTTCCTCGTCGGCCGCGTCTACCGCCTCGGTGTCGCTGGTCTCCAATGGGTTTGGGGCCCAGAGCGCGATGGAGGGCTGGAGGGCTGTCATCAACGTCGTTCTGCGCTACGGGACGGTACAGCGCCAGCGACTAGGGATGAACCGCTCGCAGAGTGCGCAGGTGGACGATGGCTGTGCTTTTGTGGAAGGGCAAACGGAGGAAGTAGACGCTGTAGATGCTATGGTGGCAGGGGTAAAGAGGAGTGGAGTGAGTATCTCCGGTCTCTCTTGTCAACACAGTCCGCTAATCACGTCTATGCAGGGTTCGGCCTTGATGCGCTACGTCAGAGGCCTTTTGAGTTGAAGGCACAGGGGACATCAAGAGGTCACCACTCGCACTATTTGTTAAGATTGCTTCAATATGCTATCCCAGATGCTACGTACAATCTCGCTCTCGACTTGCTCATATGTACTTGTATCCCACTCATTGCAATCGCACCGAAGACTCATTTTCATCGGAATAATTGCTACGTTCCGACATTCGGCGGACCATGAATCACACATCGTTCGAAGTTGCGAGGTCGTACGCCGTGTATTTACTCTTGCGCGTGAGCGTAAAAAGTCTAGCTTCTTCGTCCCATACAACGTATGTGTCTTATCCGTGTCCATTCTCGCGCTGGTATATTGATGTCGTGTCCTATCAGGGGGTCACTGCCGTTGCTATTGCTGGTGAAGTCAGGACTCGCGCTCAAGGCAGCGTTGGAAGCATCAAGCCCTTACTTCCACGGCCAGCACCGCGTCGTTGTCAAAGGCCACCCCACCTTCATCGACAACCCCGCCTCCGAGGGGCGGGGGCGAGACGGGATCCCAGGGGGCCAGGGCGGATGGAGGAGGGAATGACGCGATCATGATTTGCTGCCGGAGCTAGCCGTCTGTCCTCAAGGCTCACGAGGCTCAACGTTCAACCCTCAGCGACGTTCGAGGACACGAACCCGACATCGTCGTATTACTCATGATATCTCTAGCCTGTGTCCTCCGCCCTGGGATCCCGTTTCGACTCCCACATTGTCCTGGGTAGGAGCCTGGCGCTCATCTATAGTCACCCTTCATATTTTGATATGACAGGTGGCACGGTGACGATCCAGAGCGAATGCTGAATGTACCTCCTAATGTAGTACCCGCTTCAGGTAGTTACAGCTACAGCTACGGCGCGATAGGCTTCGCGAGCACCAGCACAGCGCCAGGTCTAACCCACATCTTGAAGTCTCTTGGTGTGCGTACTCCGCCTGTCAGGTGACGATGTTTCGAGTGGCTAACGTTGTAATCCAGGCTACACAGTACCCCTCAAACGTTCAAAAGGCGGTCAGTCAGGTCAGATTCTGGGATTGCGTTGACGCACGACCAACATGTGTCCCCGGTGGCTCGCTGTCGTAGTGCAACTCGTCTTTCTCTTCTCAAGCCTCCCCGAGATATCTTTGTTCGCTCTCGCGACGAGCCCGCATACGCCGAAGTCGCTTCACACTCCTTTCCTCTTCGCCGTGCTGGCCACACTCCTTTTCAACACTCTCTTCACCACCTTTGCCATCATTCTCGCGGACCCTTCCCACAACACGAAACTACCATGCCCTGATCGTGTCCTCTTCGCGATGCTCGACGGCGCACCAGCGCTTCTCAAGACCGTCGGCATGCTCGATCTGCACCTGCTCTGGCAGCTCGCACAGCTCAGCTGGCGCCTTCGAGGCGTCCTGCGCTGCGCCGTGTGCGCGGTCCTCAACCTGGCACGCAAAGCAGTCGAAGCCCGGCGCACGCTCTGGGCAGCCGGCCCGGCGCTAGTCTCCGGCGTGCGCTCGACCTGGGCCGCCATATGCGCATTCACCGTCGTCGCGCTCGCATGGGCTCGTGTGGCTCTCGCGTACGCACGCGTGCTGCTCGCGATGTACCGCTTCGCATCGGTGGTGTATGCAATCCTACGGCATCGCGGGCCCCTACGCGCGCGGACGGACCGCGCCGCCTTCGTTGCACTCTTCACGACGCTCAAGACTCTCACCCTCGAGATCTGCGGCTTCGCCGTGCACTCATTCGTGGCTCTGTCCAAGAGCGGGTTTCTCTCCGTGGGCGCTCTCCGGACGACGCTCCCGCTCACGCTCCGCCTGCTCGCGTTCTCGTGGTCGCTCTCGTGGTCGCTCCTCGAACCGCGCCTGCGCCGCACCTTCCTCGCGAATCCCGGATCCGAACCCCTCCCAGCACCTCCCGCGTCCGCAGTCAAATTCGCGGCGCCTCCGCCGCCAGTGTACGTCGCCGCTCCGCGACGGGTGCGGCGGACGACGGCTCTGCGCGAGCTGCGCGCGCACGCCCAAGCCGCGGTGTCATTGGCGATTCCCGGAAGCTTCTTCCCGGTCAGGAGTAGGAAGGTGTCGGTTGCCGCGTAATTTTGACAGATTTGCTTCCTTCTGTGCTGTATTCCGAGCTCCTCGAGGGCTCAGGGTGCCGGATGTGCGGCTGGTGGATGATGCGGACACTGCGGATTCTTGAGTTTTGGATTGGACTTTGGACTACTGTCGTCTTTGTAGAGCACATACCTTTCCTCGTACGGACACTGTTTCATTGGACATGGCTTTCGAATGTTGTACACATGGTTGCAATTATCTCTGACGTGGTTCCCGATTAGCATAATGGTCGAGGAAGCCGCTGTCGCAGTGTTACAGCCGCAGTCCGACGATTACCCCTTGCAAGGGTTAGGGGCTCGGAGTCGGATGTTAGGCGGAAAGCAAAGCGGACGCTTTCAACGCTCCCGCCTTCCGACATTAGGTTGCCGGTGCGGACGACTACGGCAATTGAAGGAAACCGCAGCACGATGACCCTATCGACCTACAATGTCTCCTGTGTACGTTTTCGTATATAAGACCCGTGATTTCTGAGCAACAAGGCATGATAACATACCTCATCTCCCAGTCTCGCTCAGTTCATCTACGCTCAGCTCAGCTGCCTTCGCCTACGCTCACCTCTTCGACACTCGCCTCGCATACACTTGCTCAATCAAATAACTCTTCGACACTCAACTCGCCTACCATCAACACCTCCTCACACCAACTCATCATCACCATGCTCTCCCCCACCAACTGCCTCCGCCTCAGCTCGACCACCATGCCTCAGGGCGCCCCCAAGGCCATCGCATTCTCACCCGAAGAAGCCATGGCGATGTACCCTTCGCGCGCCGAACAGGTCTCTCCCCCGCCCACTTCCCACCGCGCGCTCCGCGACCGCTGTGGTGTGACCCTCAACATCCGCATGGAGTATGCCACAGCAGGGTCGACCAAGCCCCGCCGTCTCATCAACGCTGCCCCGGGCAACATCAACACCGAGCCGCACCACGCCAAGCTCCCGCGCCGCAAGGTCGTGGCGAAGATCGTGCACCCGGCCAGCCCGAAACCCGAGACCCCTGTCGAGCCTCCCGCGCCCACCCCGATCTCCCAACCGCCCGCGGCCAACGACCCGCAGCTGCAGGAGATCCTGCCGGCGATGCACGTCTGCTTCGGGAACGCCCACCACGCGCGCCGGATGGGCTTCACGCACTGCGTCGAGGTCGTCTACACCTACGCCGAGCCGCAGCGGGACCGGGTCCTCCGCGGCGGGGACGTCAAGCGCCTCCGCCTCACGCTGCCCCGCGACGTGCGCGAGCGGAGCGCGTCGCGTCTGCGGCTCACGGAGGCGCAGCTGCTGCTCGCGCGCGACTTCATGCTCGACGTGGTCCCGGCGGCGGACGCGACGAAGCCGGCGGGAGACGTGAAGATCCTCGTGAGCGTGCCGGCGGGGCGTCCGACGGAGGCGATGTGCATCGCCGGCACGTACCTCGCGCACGCCGCGGACCGGGACGCGGAGGAGATCCTCAGGTGCATTGACGAGGAGGAGGAGGCGGTGCTGAGCGTGTGGAAGGGCGAGGTGTCAGAGATCGAGGCGGCGCAAGTGAACAAGGTTGCATTTCTGCCCGCGAGCACGGGCACCTGCCGGGAGTAAACCACAGGATGGACCTTTTACGTAGACGTTCAGACTGAGATAGACCGCGCGCCTGGAGTCGCAGCATTGTAAATTGTACTATACCTTCGGTTTTTGAACATACTAGACGGACCATGAAATCGCAGCGCAAGTGTCTGAGTACATTGTTTTCCCTATAATCACCCTTCCGGCCAACGTTTCAAGCGAACAAGCATTGTTGTTGTCGTTGTTGTATTCCCGTTTAACGCCCTTCAGGGCCGAGCCCTATGGTAGGCGGTACGCTACGTGTGTGCTAGGTGTGTTAACTACAGCCGAGTCTGGGATGATAACATAGAGGCGCCCTCGCGGACGCCCCAGGTAGCGGCCAGGGGTCTGGCCAAGGGAGTAAAGTACGGAGGGGACTGGTGAGACCGTGTGGGGACCGTGAGGTGGGTATGGTAGCGGGTGGGTGTGGGAGGGGCATGCGTCTGCGTGGAAAACCTCTGCACCTGCTCCCGGCCATTCAAGGCAAGGAGGACGAGATCTAAACCTGCTGCCCGTCAAGGGTGGCCAATGGGCCCCCGGGTCTCGCCTCTTGCCGCAGTCAGGGGTACGTCGGGTGGTCCCCCACCCTCCGTCAGAACTCCCTCGCCCCCTAGAGCAGGGCCGAGGCCTGCAGTGCATGGCGCCGAGGCGCAGTGGGACTATAGTAGGTATAATGTAAGGGCAGGTATAGTAGTAGGGGAGCGTGGGGGTCAAGGGCGGGTACGAGCGGGGCGGGTGCGTGGGGCAGCAGTACGAGTGGGAGCACCAGCGGGTCGCGGGCGGGACTGTCGTGTCGCGCGGGGCGAACAAGCATGGTATGTGCGCAGCATTGGCTTACAGCCAATCTTGATCATCTTCTGGGTGTCCTGTGCCGTCGCGAGTGGGCGACGGCATGATTCCGCAATGTGCCCAAGGCGTGAATTTGGGTGAAATCATGCCTTGGCTCGGATCAGTGAAGAGCTTGAACCGCGACGGCAAATGTAGCAATCACCATGAGCTGAGATCCTCACGTTCCTCTCTGTAGGGAGGAGGAAACGGTAGTTCCCATGGCACGCCGTGTGGAGGCAACGCCCAATACTTCTGCACCCTCGCACTCTCTTCTCGCAAGAACCCTTCGCTCCCTTTCGTGAACCTGTCCGCAAGTCCTCCACGGCCCTCCTCATCCGGCTCCAACCACTCAACCTCGTCGACTAATGTGCGCAAGAGCTTGCAGTGTTCTTTCACGACCTTCGCATAGGTAACCCTCCCCCGGAACCGGTTCTTGCTGTCGCCTTCCTCGCCCCACCCCAGCCGCAGGTTGCGCGGCTCGAGCAGCAGCGTGTGCAGCGGAACGCCCGCCGCGGCACGTTCGATGAGGATGGGCAGGACCTCGGCGAAGTTTCCCGCGAGCTCCACAGCGGCCTCTTCCTCCTCCTCCTCCTCCTCCTCCTCTTCCTCCTCCTCCTCCTCCTCCTCCCCTTCCTCCTCCTCCTCCTCCTCCTCCTCCTCCTCCTCCTCCTCCTCCTCATCGTGCTCTTCCTCCTCATCGTGCTCTTCCTCCTCATCGTGCTCATCGTGATTGTCGTGATTGTCGTGCTCGTCGTGCTCTTTGTGTTCGTTGTGCTGGTGGTGCTGGTGGTACTCGTCCTCGTCCTCGTACGAGTTTGGGATGGGCATGACTGTGCCGAGCACGCGCAGAGCCGGGCACTTTGGCGGGGCCTCGCCACAGAGCACGCGACGGAGCAGCTGAATCGTGGTCAGCGCTTGCTCGTCGTCCATCGTGTCCGGATCCGGGAAGACGACGAGCTCGGTGAGCGACGTGGCGTGGTCCAGGTAGACTGCGAAGAGGTCACAGTGCCATTGGGTTCCGAGCTGGAGGTGCAGCACGTGCAGGGAAGAGAACGGTAGGAGCGCTGGAAGGCTCTCGGCTAAGGCGTCTACTTCGTCGCCGAGCTCCGGGAAAACGAACAGACGGCCGTGCGGGCGTGGGGAGGCGTAGGGCGTCTTGGTGGTGAGGGGCCCTTCAGCGACGAGGGTGATAGTGCGTACGGTTTCGCAGATCATGGCACGGTCCAAGAAGGGGATGAGCGCAAGGCGAGGGAAAGCGGCGGTCGGACTCGTCTCTTCGAACATTTCCAGACACAGGCGTGGACGGTGGATGTAGACATGGGCGTCATCGGGAAGGACGAGGACGCGGAGGAACGCGCAGCTCCAGGTCCAGTTGAAATCCACCAAGGTCAAGTTGCGTAACTGCGGTAGCGCCACCGACAGGTGCTCTGGGGGCGGGTGAAGATCGTACAACCCGTGGCCATTGCGAGCACCGCATACATGCAGATACTGGAGCGAAGGGGTGCGAGAGAAAACCCGGGGGAGATCGGCGAGTTGCTCGCCCCGGTTCTTGACCGGTGTGAACGAGAGCCAGAGGTGTGTGAGATTTGGGAATGAGTCAAGGGGGAGAGTGGATTGTACTGGGGCAATGACAAGGCCCCGAATCGTTGAACGACCCTGAGGGAAGAAGTAGCTCGGCTTCCTGAGCTTCCTGAAGGTCCCATGTGCGTCGAGCACGACGCTCTCAAGAAGGGGTGATGAGGAAGGGATGAGTTTCAGATACTCGTCGTAGTCCCAGGAGCCGGAGATATGGAGGTGTTGTATCTGATGAGCGCGTTCGAAGGTGGAGAAAGGGTGTGAGTCGATGCGGTTAGCGTAGGTTTTGATTTTCAGCGTCACAGTAAGAGGAGCTTGGTCCGCGCGTTCGAGGAATAAACGAGCCATCGAACCCAACTTCCCGTCGTCCTGGGTGACAAGAAAGGCCCAAAAGGGCTTGCATCCGATAATGACGTGGCGCCAGGTTCGGCAAACATGAGTGAGTCTGACCAGTAGCCGCATATACCCTGAGGTGGTATGCACGTCATCTGTGGACAACGCGCGCTGGATGGTTGGCTCTGGAAGATACTGTGTGAGTGGTGCGAGAGCTTGTCGAATGGTGAGGATGAAAAGGTCTTGAGGAAAAGAGCTTATGAGCAACGGATTATTCTGAATGGGCGCATCATGAGCTGCCATATCCTGCTGCAGTCAACAGCAGATGCATCATTAGAAACCTACACGGTGTTTCCTGAATGGTTCCATGTTGTCGAAAGTGCTGTTGAAATGCCGACGCCGCTGGCCCGCTGCCAACCGCGCGCGCGGGCCATCGCCAAGCGCTGGAAGTCTCACGATCCTAACACGCTGCTCGCTTTGGATGTCAGCGTCGTCTCCAATGATTGAACCACTTCACTATCATGTACCATTTCTCGCTTGACCCATTATTTTCTGCACCGCAATTCCGAGGAAATCCCCCTTCAGTCACGGCCGCTCCATTCGGTCAACCACTCGCTACTCGGTAGTACTACTCGTGGGACTACTAGGCGGGACACTTCCAGATAACCTTCAAGTTGGCAGCCTGTGAGCTTCCTTCATTCAGAACAGCTACTCGTGGAACTGTCGCTGTTGCATGTGGGCAGCATCCACGCCTACGACCTTGGTTAGTGTCTGTTTCTCAGGTGGATGTCCCGTGGCCGAGGAGACGGCGCTGCTCTGTAAGTACCCCAGATTGCGGACGGCTGGTCGTTCCCGCGCACCAATAATATCTCGCACATTCCATAGGTTTCATTCAGCCAAGTTTCGACTTGATTTCTTCCTGAGATTCGTTCCGAGTGCATGTTTCCGGTTGCCTGGGTCCTTCCCTTTGCAGACCCATCCCCCTCGACCGGGGGGGGGGGGGGGGGCAAGATTCCGCGTCCATGCTGTGCTTGCTAGGGCTTCCGTCCAGTATTCCGTGGCACGGAGCGTTTGGTGGGCGCACTGGACCCCGCCTGTCGTAAAATTTGCTGGTGAGCACTCACTCAGGTCCAGTCTCCTTGACCGATATTCCCGAACCTCAGAGGACTCTGCGGCTCAAGCCAACCTAGACCCTCCTTCGAACGCATGACGTTGTCACTCTTGTTCTTCGTCCTGACGTCGTGGGTCGACACGCCCAAGCCCCTGAGAGTGAATGGTCGGCGACCTAACCGTGCCGAGTGTTTTCGCTCACACCCAGCAGTATCCTCCCGCCGGCCGCACACATTGACATTCACGCCAACAGACCAATCGTGTTTCGTGGATTTGTTCAGCCCCCTGGTGACATTCCCAAGGACGCGGTCCCGGTGACACAGGACTTTCACAGGTTCCACCTCCGTGCTGACGAGCCCCTTTGTCCTGGTTCCACGCAGAACCTTATCCGTGGGTCCCGATACGCGCTGCCTGGCAAATTCCGTGGCTTGGCAATCGCGCGACGTGCATTTGGCAGACCCACATGCGAGGTAATGTAAACGAGGCAAAATCCAAGGCGAAACACTCGCAGCACCCCCAAGCCATTCCGATGTGCACAGCAGCTCAGCCTTCGCTTGGTGTACTCTTGCTTGGCCTCCTCTTCACTGGTTTAACCACCTCCGGTCTCCACGCGGCACCCAGCCGAATCAAACCTCCAACCGTCTGGCGTCCGCCCAATGTTCCCCGGTTGAACCGCCGGCTTCTCTACTCACATGCCTGTCTCATCCGAGTGAGCGACTCAATGGCTGCCCTTGAGCCATCGTGCGACGCTCTCATGTTCCGACCCCTGGCTGACCAGTGACAATTCCTTTCTTGTAGTCGCCGGTCTGTTTGGCAGCCACGACACATCCAATGTTGGCACCCAAGGGACGCATTCTGTACCATGAGTGTGGATGCGGGCACACGCCGTCCTCGTCTGTGTGGACAGCCCGTGTAGATTTTCGTGCTGCTGACTATCCATGCGAACGGTGGACACTAGGTACCCTCGTCCGGATGTTGTGGCGCCGCGGCTGGTCCCGAGGAGCGCCAGACGCGTAAACCACGCACACTCGCCGTGCGAGCGAACGGGACGGTACCGACAGAGACTGGTCTTTTCGACGAGGTATAAAAGATGGGATGAGGCCGACGAGGCTCAGCAGTACTCGACTCAGTGATGAACTCTGAGTAAGGCAGGGACCGACTGTAACACACGAAGAGGAGCGATCCTCAGTCAGTGATAGAACGACTGAATTGAGAGCATAAGTTCTACCTGTAACACACGAAGAGGAGCGACTACAGATAGAGTAAGCATATGTAAGGAGCGCATAGTAGTGTGAACAGACTTACTCCTCAGTCAGTGATAGAACGACTGAAGAGCAGTGCGAGCCAGAGTCCTCCCTATATACTGTCCAGGAGTAGCATACGTAAGCAGTGATGGGAAGACATAATTGGCGCAGAGGTCAGACCAGACAGAAGATGGATACGATGCTGTGCGGGCTGTGCGCTCAAGACAAAGAAAGTCCGTAAGTGGAACAAGGGAACAAAGAGAGAAGCGTAGAAGAACGAAATGGAAGAGATAAGGAACTACAAGGCAGTGAAGTGACATATGGAACTATGGGAAGTCTCTCACAGAGTCCATGTGGATGCGTAAACTGTCCTAATGTACGTATGTTCGATATCCAATGTTCAACACACCCCCTCGTTCAAGACGCGGATGAAACTAAACCAACGTGCTCGCAGAAGTACTTGAGTATCGAAAGAGGAACTGACTTCGTAAGCGAGTCCGCTAGCTGCTCCGCAGAAGGAACGTGAAAGAGAGTAACTTCGCCTTCCTCGATGTATTCGCGAATGAAGTGGTAGCGGATGTCGATGTGCTTCGTGCGACGGTCAACGGCAGGGTTTTCAGAGAGGAAAATCGATCCCTGGTTGTCCATACAGAGCGGCGTAGGACTCGACATATCGTCACCAACTTCACGGCCGAAAGTGCGAAGCCACTTCATCTGACGGCAAGCGTCTGACGCGGACATGTATTCCCCTTCGGTGGAGGAGAGGGATACTGTGCGTTGTCGGCGAGAGACCCAGGAGAGTGCACCTCCTGCCATCAGGAAAACGAAGCCGGTTGTCGACTTCCTGTCATCACGGTCTTCTCCCCAGTCCGAGTCCGAGTACGCGATCATGCCGGCGCCATCCTTTCCATCGTAACGAAGACGATAGTGCGAGGTACCACGGAGGTAGCGAAGGACGTAGCGAGCGTAACGCATGTGATCTTCAGACGGATTGGCGTTGTACTTGGAGAGACGCGTGACGGCGTAGGAGATGTCTGGACGAGTACCGAGCATGGCGTAAAGAAGGCTGCCAATGAGGCTCTGGTACTCCCGACGAAGGGTTGCAGGTGCTTCATCCTGTCGAGCGACGAGGACGCAACCAGCGGGGAGAGGAGTGGATGCAGCGTTGCAGTCAGACATGTTGAACTTTTCGAGGACGGCGTCGATGTACTCTTCCTGGTCGATGTCGAGGATGCGTTTGACGCGATCGCGACGAATGCGAGTACCGAGGAATCGTTGCACCGGTCCTAGATCAGTCATCTTGTACTGCTTGCTGAGAGAGTCCTTGACGAAGTCGATGCGCGTGCGTGAATTGCCCATGACGAGTAGATCGTCGACATATAGAACAATCAGCGTGACTTCGCCTGGAACACCCCCTTGTCGACGATAAACGTAGACTCCGGCATCTGAGTACGTGCGGACAAATCCCAATTTGATGAGCGAGTCGTGGATTTTGAGGTTCCACTGGCGAGAGGCTTGCTTCAGACCATAGATGGCCTTCTTGAGCAGACAGACGTAGTCCTCTTTGCCAGCTTCAACCCATCCTTCCGGCTGCTCCATGTAGATCTCCTCGTCGAGATCGCCGTTGAGGAACGCGGTTTTGACGTCCATGGCGTCGATATCCCAATCTTCGAGCGCGGCGTGCGCAAATGCGAAGCGGGTCGACTCGTTCCTCGACACAGGCGAAAAGATCTCGAAGTAGTCTTCTCCCCAGTTCTGCGTATAGCCCTTAGCTACGAGGCGAGCCTTGACTCGACCATCGTGCTTGATGTCATACACCCAACGACATCCGATGACGTTACGACCCTTGGGGCGAGGTACGAGCACCCAGGTTTGGTTTTCCATCAACGAATTGTACTCCGAAGCTTCAGCCTTGAACCATTCATCACTCATAGGAGAGTTATGCGCTTCGCGGTAGGACTGAGGAATGCCTTTCTTGCGCGCAGCGTGGTTGATGATAGTGTTGAGCAGATCGAAGTACTCGCGCTCTTCAGCTGTACGTAGCTGTCCGTCTCGTCGTGTCCTGGCGTCGACGCGTGCAGGCGGTTCGTCACCGTAGAAGTTGTCCCTGTTACGACGCGGATTCTGTCCTGCACCATGACGCTGAGGGCGCTGAGGTTGTGGTGGAGGACCAGCATCGACATCAGGTATTTCTTCAACAGTAGGATGACGGTTGCGACGGTGGTTAGGAGCACGTGGCGGTGCACCTGGTACGACAGGAGGCGGAGGCGGAGCTTCGCGCTCTGGTTCAGGCTCAGCATTGGGTGGAGCTTGAGGAGGGTGTGGGACCATAGCAGGTTCCGGAGGAGGAGTTGGAGGAGGAGGTATGAGCTCGACTGGTTCGTCGTTAGGCTCTCCCTCAGGGATGTCCGGGAACGGTGAATCGTCGGGTGTTACACGACGACGGCCGGTGGGGTTTTCACGTGCAGGGAAGACGTTCTCATCAAAGTCCACATCGCTAGAGACCATGATGGAGCGGGTAGAGCGGTTCCAGAAACGATAACCCTTGGAACCCTCGTAACCAACAAACACAACTTCGAGTGCCTTAGGCTCGAGTTTGTTGTCGCGTTTGTCCCTTTGCACATGTATGACTGCTTTGCAGCCGAAAACTCGGAAGTGGGA